TAGAAAGCAGCTCTGTGATAAGTCCTACTCCCTCTTTCCGGCATAGTTTCTCTATGCATGCCTGGTCATCTAGATCATCTTGAACATCTGCGCCAGGGTTGGGCTGAGAGCTAGCGTCAGGAAGCCTTTGCTCATTGCTGGGAGCTGGATTTGATCAGGAGCTACCCGGATCTTGTCCTAGCATCTGCTTCCAACCTCTGCTGTTCTTGATGTCCCGGACGATGTTTGTTGGGTTGTGACGTTCCCCATAGATGTTGTTCGGGTGGAAAGGGATCTTGCGCTCACATGTGGTTCTCTGAAGTGCGTCAAGCACCGGAGCAGGCTCCTGGCGGCATTGCTGCAGGGTAATGTCCCTGTGCGGGCGTGGAATTCTGCTTGGAGTCACATCCCAATGTGAATGTGGCTGATCCAATGGAGAACAATCATTATCGTCACCATCATCATCCTTTCAGGGATGAGGTGGAGCCAGAGGTGCCGGTGGAGGCGGAGCATCGTCATCATCACCTGGCAAGTCTCCTGGTACCTGCAGATCTTGTGGATCCGCTGGATCATCGTCACGCTGTGGCTCATCACCAACAGGAACGTGTTGACAATGATTCAAATCGCTGTCAGTGTTGGAATCGGTGTCTACGCGCTCTCTAGCGCCTATGGTATTTTTCTGCGATTTTACGGACTTTTACGGACTTTTTCCCGGTACTGTACGCTTACCTACAGTCTTACTTGTGCGCTCGCGCCTTATTGCCGAGCGCCACATATTTCCTCGGCATTTGCCGTGCCCTCCTGCCTAGAGCGGCGCATCCGAGTCTTTTCTCTTCCTGACTCGTTTGCTGTCGCTCTAGGTGCGTAGTTATGCGTTGTATCTCGCTACTTGTGAACCTGACTCGTTTGCTGTCGCTCTAGTGTGATCACTGGCTCGATTCTGCCTCGGACAGTCAGGGCAGCGGGGGAACACTTCTTTATCAAACATTGCCTGAGTAGCAACAAAGAGAGATGTGTTAGAGCGCATGAACAAATATCCCTTCACACCATCGGGAATACCCAGGTACGTCATCAGCTCCGATTTGGGCGATAACTTGTTCTGGCGTTTCTCCTCTGGAATAAAGATATAAGCAGCACAACCAAAGACCCGGAGATGTGAAATATCTGGTTTCTCCTGGTGGAGTGCTTCATACAGAGTCTTCCACTTCAAACGCCGGATAGGTGTCCAATTGTAGATCCGTGTTGCGAGTGCAATTGCGAACTCCCAGAACGAGTTAGGCAGACATGCTGTGAAGCGCATGGCTTCGGCCTTGTCCATAATCGTCCGGTTGAAGCGCTCGGCGCGACCGTTCTGCTGATGAGCGTAAGGTGCGCCTTTCTCCACCAGAATCCCGTTCTCCGCAAGGAATTCCTCCATTCCCATGCCTTTAAACTCTCCCCCATTATCGATATGCCACTTTTTAATTGTAGCACCAAACTGGTTTTTGATCATCGCAATAAAGTTGCGCGTAGCCTGCTTGGTGTCGGACTTCTGCGATATGCATACCGTACAGCCAAAGGAGAGTACCTCATCAAAGAAGCCAATAAAGTAATGATACTTGTGATAAGATATCATTGGGAATTCTTTGAGATCCGAATGGATAACATCAAAGGGATTTTTAACACAATGCTCGGAAGGCGGGAAGGCACGTTGGTGCATTTTCCCTTGTGTGCAAACTTTGCAGGGGCGAGTTTCCTCGGGAGAAACAAGGTCTTGGGGAAAGCCCTTGGTGTGTTTCTGCGCCTGATGTAGAATGTCTTTTAATGGATGTGTGAATCGCTGGTGCATGATGTCATAGTCAACCTTGTATATGGTAGACACAGACTGCACGGTCTTCGCCGTAGAAGATGTTGACCAGAGGAAGTACAGGGTATGCACTTTGTTGAGTTTGTAAAACTCAAGTACCGAGAGAGGAGAGTTCTTCCAATGTAAGCTGATCATCATGCTGTTTCCACGCACAGATAATCCTCCTTGAAGTAAGGAGCCCAAGGAAAGTAGACGACCATGCAGTCCAGGCACGTGGTACACTGGATATAGCTGCGAACTCGTGACAACTTTCCTACCATGCCTCGTGATGCAGTGATCAACAAAGGCTGCCCCACAACCAACCAATGCAAGTGTAGTGTCTTGGATGCAGTCTGCGCAATAATTGGCTCAGAGAGTTTCTCATAGCCAGCCAGATCACTCTCTTCCAACGTCACGTGGAGAGATGCACCAGAGTCGACAAGCCAAGAAGGCGGGAAACCCAAGTCGTCTCCGTGGAGAGGTGCTTTTACCTTACACTTAGGACACACAGCAATGTCTTTTCAGGCACAAAATATATTCGTACAAAAAATATGCGAGCCAGTCAGCATACAGTATAGTACAGAATCGCGCGATAAGATCAAGCGCTGTGTGCCGCAATCAGTATTGCACAGAATATCCTCGTGAGAGGGTACTTGCCTGTCGGCGCCAGTGAAACTGGCAGCCTGGGCAATGGCATCATCGACATTGACCTCAACGTCCCCAAACTCCTCGCGCAGGTACTCCTCAATAGGAGAGAGATCTCAGCTGATCTGCTCATCTATCGTCCCATTGAAGAGGAACGATTTGAGCGCATGATCATTGGCGTGAGCACACTTGGTGGGCGGCTCGTCATCGATCTGCATCTTCAAAGAAGACGCGCGCGGAGTGGGAAAATCGTCGGTACAGTCCATGTTGGCCAGGAAGCCGCCAACATTGACGACAGAGTCGAGATCGCGGTAGACCTCAGGAGTGACGCGGATGTCAAGCTCCTTGGCGGTGGCAAAGACGTTCTTCGCGCCTTCCGCGATGGGGGTGTCGACGATCGCCTTGTCGGCGGACACAGCGGGCTTCTCAACCACCTGACGGACCTTAGTCCCGGCGGGAGTGATAAGGGCGACGTGGGACGTCTTTGTAGCCTCAACCGAAGGAGTGAGCGCGGAGATGTGCGCGGATCCGACGATCTCAGAGATTGTGGCGTGCGCATGCGCATGCTCCTTCCCCTTGCCCTTGTCCTTCTGGTTCTTCCCGCCGCGCTTGCCGCGTTTGTCCTTCTTCTTCTTATCAGCCTTATCGCCACCATTGGGCGCAGAGTTTCCACTCTGTTGCTGATTAGAATACTTCGGATCATCGCACTTGCGCTTGACGTTCGAGAACTTCTGGACGTTGGCGCCAGACATCGACTGGTTGTGGGAGTAGTGCGTGAGAAGCGCTTCTTAGACCACAGCAACAGTGAGCTCATCCTTGTTGTATTGCTGAAGGATAGACTCAGTGATGCTCTTCACCTTTGCAACATGCAGCAGGATCATTGCCTGAAAAAATTTGGGGATTTCAACATCCTCGAGGGCAAGCTGCGCAAACGTGTTGGTGATGATGTTGATCTGGGGATCAGGGTGCTCACTGCCATTGAACTTGGTGTTCAGCGCTGTCTGGAGATATCCAAAGAGATCAGCGCATTGAATGCTGCTGTACTGCTTATGAAGATATTCCATAGGCAACTTGGCAGTGGCAAGATCAGCGGTCAGGATGCTGCTCTTGACATATGGCGCTAGGCGCAATTCAATGCTGCCCTTTGCCTTAGTGACATTGCGCTTCCACGAGTTAATTGCCTCCTGGTTGGAGACCACTCCATCATCGTTGGTGATGGGAGAGGGACATTCCCCATCCAAGACGTAGGCAAGACTATTGGCCTCAAGCCATGACACCATCCCATCAGTTCACTGGATGTAGTTGTTGCCTTTGAAGACAAAGACAGCCTAGAATAGGGTGTTTAATATGATCTAAATAGATTGTCAGCATCGGATTGAACATCTAGGTAGCAGCCATTGATGGCGCTGATAAGCAAAATGAGCATGATGCCGATAGCCATCGTCTCCTTCAGAGATGGGTGCATCGGATCAAGCGTGTTAACGCAATCCAGCATGGTGTCACCTGCGCTTAAAGCGGCATAGTGATGGCAAACAATGAGAGTGCTTGTCATTGCGGCCAGTGACAGTGCTAATGACTTGTGTTGCAGCCACAGGGGGCATACACTGTGCTGCTGCCAGCAAGGGCACAGGCACTGCTCACTGGGGCTCATAACCTGTTGAACATGCTGGGAAGCGCACCACTCAGCTTACCTGAATATAATAGAGGCTATGCACAGAGTAGGTGAAGACCTGTCATTACAGGGGAAGAGGAGCCTCCTTATATATGTACAGGGAGGCAACAATGTCATACATAGTAAAAGGTAATGAGTCAAGAGGACTGGAGACGCTGAGTAAAGCGTACACATGACAAGTCCAACATATGTGTCCATGTGTTTGGTCCATCTGAGTCATATGATGTGCATGTGGTGCAACGTGACATGTCATGACTGGGCCGAATGTTCAACAGGGATCATTAGACAAAATATTCAAAAACATACTGTATATGTAATTTAAAGGTTTTGTTGGCTTACATGCGCCCTCAGACGCATGCATAGGATGATAGGAGGACTGAAGCCATCCACTCGTCGTGTCGGACGTTGCCGAAAGGTTCAGCGGCAAGTCCGCCACTTTTCGCCGGGCTTCTTTTTTACAGGACACGCAACCTTGGCGTGGGACACTTACCTCCGCATGTCTTCGGCTCCGTCAAGACACGCACGTGACCCAGCTGATTGGGGTGCGCAGCCGGTGATAGCGGCGGCATGCGGAGGTCTCTGTGCCTTCATCTGGTCCCGCGTCTGCCCCCGCCGTTGTCAGCGAGGGCGGTGGCGAGCAGCGCGCCGTCGTCATCCGACGTCGCCCGCGCGCTCCCCCCTTTTCGCCCTTGTCGTCTCCCACCTCCCCACCATCACTGGCCATCGCTACTCGGCCCAGAGTCGCCTTACTCTATACCTTCTCGCCGTAATCTAGTCTATCTACCAGCCCTCTAATCATCATCCGCGTTGTCGTGCATCGCGCATCGCATCGCAACTACACTACCCCTCGTGCGCAATCCAAGCCAAGGTGTCGCCATCATGCACAAGTACCAACCCAAGGACCTCACCGCCGCCCGCCTGTCTGTGGCTGTTGCTGCCGAGATGAAGCAGTGGGTCAAACTCACGAAGGCGGCGGCGCAGGCCGACGACACAAAGATCGACTTGAAGTCCTCAGGCAGGGTCGAGGACCTTTGTGCTCGGCTTGCCGAGTTCTTCGGGATTGACTTAAAGGCACCCATCATTCCCTTGCACCTGTCGGGTGGTGTCTCCGTCAAGAAAGAAGGCAACATCGACGCCGCCATTCGTGCTAAGCAGTGGGAGGACTGGCACGCGCTAGGTGACGAGTGGGTCGCGGCAGTCGACCAGAAGATCCCTTTTCGCCTGCAAGAATTGAATCAAGGTATGTCGGCGCATGAATTCGGGTTCTATAACATAAATAATGCATCCCACCTCAGACATTCCCATCGTGCAAGACCGGGCGCTTGTCAGCATGATTTCTCGTGTCGTAGCCAAGTTCCCTCGTCTACCTAGCGACCCCGCGATGCCGTCGCAAGATGAGATGCTGGGAGTTAGCCGTCAAACAATTGGTGTGTGGATTGAGGTGGTATACAAGCATCACGACCGCGTGGCCCTTATGCGGCTTCATGCCCTTCACGACCTTCTTTACACCGCGTCAGAGGCATCCTTACGTTCTGCGGACTCGGACTCGGTCATTGTGGGCACGTCCAATATCGAGCTCATCACGCTGCCGACCGCACATACGCTTCCGGAAGCCATCGCGCAGTGTGAGAGCGGTTTGGTCGCACGTATTCGAGATGCCTACGGCCCGCCCGACGGCAAGAAAGGCACGTCGAAGAACTCAGCTGTTTGGGCGCAGTACAGAGGGCGCATTACTCGTCGAGAAAGGCTGCATTCCATCTTGCAGCTGGACTTCCGTGGCGACAAGGATTGCTTCCTCGCGTTCTTCACGAAGCCGAAAGACTCTGTACCTCGTCAAGGGGCGAAGCGGTCTCACGCGACCATGGAGTCCGCTGACACAGACACGCATACTTTCTACGCTGTCAACGATGTAGTGGAAGTGCTACCAAAGTGTCGAAAAGCCGTCGCGCAGGCCACTTATGGGTTGGACGACGCAGAGAGAGCTGCAAAGTGGGGTGGAATGAATGATTTCGAGATTTGGCGTGCACTTGGGACGGAGCAGTATGGTTCTCGGAAGTAGCTACTATGTCGTCCAAATAGCCTCTGTCTATTCTTTATGTGCTGCACCTCATATTATATCTACTTTCACCAACGAGGGGGATTGTGTTGTACTTTCAATTGTTCAGAAGGGATAGTTGATTTTCTCGCTCACCATCAGACTTCTGGGCGAAGGTTCGGCACCAGCTATCACGAGCAGGGAGAAGGCATTGATTAGATAGATAGATACAACGGGAGCACACGATTAAAAGAGAACGCGAGGCCTATGCAAGTCATTACAGTCGTAATAGTCGAGGCGTTTGTGGTTGTTGTTCGGTGAGTAGAAGTAGCGAAACATGGTCACAGCTTCAACCTGTGACCAACCTCCCCATGCCGCAACCATATCCACAGTCCATCCCTTCGCCTTCACCCTATATTGACAACCTCCTTGTCGAAAAGAGTGTGTACCGTATAAGCGCCATGAAATGTAGGATAGATCTTGAAGGTCTTTTGCAAGTGCGCGAGCAAGCGCAGAAGACGTCTAGAAGAGAAGATGAGATCATGTGGTATCCTTGAATGAAGCCGTACTCACTAAAGTGTTGGAATTGGTGTCTACGCGCTCTCTAGCGCCTATGGTATTTTTCTGCTATTTTACGGACTTTTTCCCGGTACTGTACGCTTACTTACAGTCCTATCTCTGCGCTCGCGCCTTATTGCCGAGCGCCACATATTTCCTCGGCATTTGCCGGTCCCTCCTGCCTAGAGCGGCACATCCGAGTCTTTTCTCTTCCTGACTCGTATGCTGTCGCTCTAGGTGCGTAGTTATGCGTTCTGTACTGCTGAATATACTTCCTGACTCGTTTGCTGTCGCTCTAGTGTGATCACTGGCTCGATTCTGCCTCGGACAGGTTATGAGCCCCGCGCTCTAGCTGCCCCAACCAGCCAGATCGACACTGCGACTCAAATTCGCCGTTGTGCGCGCGTACCAGCTGCGACTCCCTCCGTTCGAGCGGCATTCGACGCGCAAGACCCTCCCCTACCTTGTGCCCGAGCCGCGCTCCGCGAAAATCGCCAGTACCGCCGCTATCGCCGTGCGAAGTCCAGCACCTCCGATCACCGCAAATTTTCACCCTCCCTCATATTCGCCGTCGCGCACGCAGTTTGCGTCCGTTCCTCTCCAAACAACTTCTAGTCACTCCGCGCCCTTCTCCCCTACACGTCGACCCCACTCTCGTCCACTTTCGCCGGTTCGATCGTCCCCAACAAGCGTCCCTTTGCGCCATGTCGAAGCGTGACTCAGACGGCCGCCCCATCCTCACCCGCTTCAACTGGAGCTGGTGGGACAGCGAGATCCAGCCCTGGCTGTCCAGCAAGGGCCTCTGGCGCTATGCCAAGGGCACTGTCACCAAGCCCAAGCCCAAGGACGCGAGCGCGGTCACTGATGCGGAGTACCGCACTCAGGAGGAGTATGAGCAGCGCCTGGAGAAGGCTGCTGGCGAGCTCTGGCTCGCCATGGAGGAGCCGCTTCGTCCGCAGTTCAAGGACAATGGCAGCACGCCCAAGGACCTCTACGACGCGATGAAGACCGCCTTCAACATCCAGGAGGCCGGCACGCGCTTTGCTGCGCTCTCGGACTTCTTCGACGTCGACCTGGGCGACAACACCGAGGCCACCACCGCCCTCACTGACCTCCTCTCGCGCGTCGACGAGGCCATGACGCGCGTCCAGTCCCTGCGCCCCTCGACCGGCTACGACCTAGCCACGATGGACCTCGAACTGAAGGCGATGGTCACCATGCGCGCGCTCGCCGCCTCCCCCAACCCGCAGCACGCCAACATGTACACGTCCCTCCTGCTCGACAAGGCGCTCACCTACGAGACGGTGAAGGACATGATCGCGCGCGAGTTCGCCTCGCACCGGATGACGTCGGACGGCACGCCCCTCGCAGCCAACCGCGCCGGGTACACGCCCGAGTGCTACAACTGCAAGGGGCCGCACCTCATCCGGGACTGCCCGAAGTTCAAGCCGGACTGGAAGAAGGAGGAGGAGGCCGCCGCTGCTGCTTCTACCTCGAAGCGCCAGCAGAAGAAGAAGAACAAGGGCGGCGCCAACGCGTCTGGCGCGTCCTCTGCGCCTTCTGCGCCCTCTGACGCGTCCTCTACCGCGTCCACCTCCGCCGCTGCTGCGCGTGTCGAGTCTGCTGGCCAGGCAAGCGCTTTCACTTCCTCCCCCGCTCTCAAGGAGTGGCTCCAGTCCAAGGCTGCGGCTAACTTCAACACCGACACAGGTGCGTCTCTACACATGACGCCGCGGCGAGATTGGTTCGTCACCTACTCGCCGCATCGTGTTCCTGTTCGCCTAGCGAACGGCGCGATCGTCTACTCGGCGGGCATCGGGTCGGTGGAGTACCAGCCGGTGGAGGGGGAGAAGTTGCTTACGCCTATCGTGTTCTTTGACGTCCTTCATGTTCCTTTGCTTACCTCGAATCTACTATCCATCTACCACCTCACTGCGCACAAGGGGTACGAGGTTAGCATCAAGGACAAGCGCGTTGCCTTCTACCGCGCTGGGGCGCTCGTCTGCACCGCTACTGTGGACGACTCGAACACGGGCTACTTGGACGGCTATGTCGTCGTTCCTCCTGCGCACAGCGCGCAGCGCGCCGCCTCTACCACGCTCCCGCTCGACGCTGCGCTCTGGCACCGCCGCTTTGCGCACGTCAACCATGGGGATATTGCGAAGCTGCGGCAGCGCAAGCTGGTGAGGGGAATGCGGTTTGAGAGCAAGGAGGCGCCGGACCCGATCTGCGAGCCATGTATCATGGGCAAGCAGACGCGCAAGGCGGTACCGCGCGGTCCTGGAGAGCGCGCTACGCGTCCCCTCGAGCTGGTTCACACCGATTTGAAGGGTCCTATGCCGGTCGCATCCAGAGAGGGGGCGAACCTCTACTGGATCACCTTCATAGACGACAAGACGCGGCGGCGCTGGGTGGCGTATTTGAAGCGCAAGAGCGACGCTTGGGCTGCTATCCAGCAGTTCAAGGCGGCTGCTGAGGTGGAGAGCGGACAGCGCTTGGAGGTACTGCGCTGCGATGGGGGTGGCGAGTACATCTCCAACGTCATGAAGGACGCCGCGCTGAAGGAGGGGTGGCGGTTGGAGATCACAGAGCCAGATGAGCCGCATCAGAACGGCGTTGCTGAGCGTGCTAACCTAACCCTTGCCAATGGCGCTAGCTCGATGCTCTATGAAGCGAAGCTGCCGCCTTCGTTCTGGGCCTACGCTATAGCCGCCTACAACCACGTCGCCAACCGCGCTCCTACCTCCGCTCTGCCTGGGGACACCACCCCCCACATCGCCTGGACCGGCAAGACGCCGGATGTTGGCTACTTCCGCGTCTTTGGCTGCCTGGCGTACGTCCTGGTGAAGGACAAGCACCGGCGCGCGCTCGAGCCGCACTCTCAGAAGTGCATCTTCTTGGGGTACCCTCCCGGGACCAAGGCGTGGTTGTTCTACAACCCGGCCAACAAGAAGACGGTTATATCTTCGCATGCAGTGTTTGATGAGCGCTATATGCCGGGTACGTCGCTCAAGAGCCTCAATCTCATCACTGCAGAGATTATAGACCGAGGTGAAGGTCCTCCGGACTTTGGGGATGTTGCTGATCAAGGGGGTGATGTGCCGTCGCCCTCTACCCATCGTCATAGCGCAGATGACGATGGTGTCGCGCTCTATGATGATCAGCCACCTCCCCCATCCGGACCGCCAGCGCCTGCCGCGCCTCAGCTGCGCACGCCGCCGCCCACATCGCCGCCGGCACCCTCTACACCGCTTCAGCAGCCAGCTGAGCCTACCACGCCGCCTAGCGCACGTCCGCCGCCGCCCTCTGCGCCCCGCCCGTCTCGCACTGCGCCGCCTAGCAAGGCCGCGCTAAGAGGCAGGCAGGAGCGCGCGCAGGAGCAGCAGCCAGCGCCGCGCACAGAGTGCAGTCCGTCCCCTGCTTGGGAGACGGTTCGGCCATCTACCTCGAGCGGACCGCCACCGTCGCGTCTGCCTCGGGCAACCAAGCCGACCCATAGCTTATCCGAGCGCGAATTGACGACTCGCGCTTGGCAAAAGCAGCCTGCGCCGCCTTCTACAGGCCGCGCTACATCGTCTACACCCGCGCCACAGCCGCAGGTGACGTCCCCTAATCGGTTTGCGCCGTTGTCCGGCCAGATTGAGGAGGTGGACGAGGAGGAGGTGGAGCAGGAGGAGCAGAGCGAGCAGGGGGTGCAGGAGGAGCGCAGAGAGCAGGTGCAGGAGGATGATGTGCAGGACAGAGCAGAGGCAAGGCGCAGGATGATGGAGTGGTCAGGGAGTGAGGACGAGCTGCGGATCACTGATGAGACGCCTATCCCAGGAGCGCACGTTCTTCAGGCCGGCCTCGACTACGTCTTCAGCGGCATCACCCAAGAGGACTGGTCAGTAGAACAGGCCCTCGACTTCGCCCTCTCCACTACAGTCGCGCCCGACCCGCAGCAAGGCGAGCCCAAGACGTTTGCTGAAGCGCTGCTTCGCCCGGACAAGGCGAGGTGGATCGAGGCCGCATTCGACGAGGTGCAGGCGCTGGTCGACAACGGCACGTTCGAGGTGGTCGAGCTGCCGCCAGGCAAGCGCGCTATTGGCAGCCGGTGGGTGTTCAAGGTCAAGCGCAATGCTGATGGGTCTATCAAGCGGTACAAGGCGCGCTGCGTCGCGCAGGGCTTCTCGCAGCGTCCCGGCTTCGAGTACACCGAGACGTTCGCCCCTACGCCCAAGTGGGCCGCCATTCGCGCTATCCTCGCCCTCGCCGCCATGGACGACCTCGTGCTCTACTCCATCGACATCAGCAACGCGTTCTTGAACGGCGAGCTGGCCGAGGAGATCTACATGCGCCAACCGCCCGGCTTCAAGCTCGGCATTGATCCTGACAAGGACTATGTCTGGCGCTTGAAGAAGTCGCTCTATGGGCTGAAGCAGGCGAGTCATGTCTGGCACGAGACACTGAACAAGGTGCTTGTAGAGATGGGCTTCACGCGCATCCTCTGCGACCACAGCGTGTGGGTGTACGGCCGCGGTGACGCGCGCATTCTCGTGCCGGTCTTTGTTGACGACATGACGATTGGGTGCAAGACTGACGCGCAGGCACTCGGCATCATCGGCGAGCTGAAGAAGCACTTCAAGCTGCGCGAGTTGGGTCCTACCACCTGGCTACTGGGTGTTGCCATTGAGCGCGAGCGCAGCCAGCGCACGCTGTCTCTTTCGCAGCGCCAATACGCCGTGGACGTCCTAGAGCGGTTTGGCATGGCCGACTGCCACCCGGTCACCACCCCGCTCGACCCCTCGCACAAGCTCAGCGCCGCCGACGCTCCTGTCACGCCGGAGGACATCGAGTTCATGTCCACCCGCGCTAAGGAGTACGCCTCTGCTGTTGGCGCCATTGCCTGGCTCGCCCTCGCCACTCGTCCCGACCTCGCCTACCCGGTCTCTGTCCTCGCTCGCTTCACCGGCAACCCCGGCCGCTCGCACTGGCGCGCGCTCATGCACCTCTTCCGCTATCTCAAGGGCACGCTTGACTACAAGCTGACCTACGACGGCAAGGCGGTGAATGCGCGCTCAGAGCTCTTCTACACCTACACCGACGCGGACCACGGCGGTAATCCGGACAACGGGCGGTCTACCAGCGGCCAGATTGTCATGATGGCGGGTGGAGCGGTCTCCTGGTCGTCCAAGCTGCAGACTATAGTCGCGCTTTCGACCACCGAGGCAGAGTACGTTGCGGCGTGCTCTGCCGGCCAGGAGATCCTGTGGATACGCAACTTCCTGACCGAGTGTGGCTACTCGGTCAAGAGCGCGCCCTCCACCCTCTACATCGACAACAACTCGGCGCTGCAGGTGGCCAAGAACCCGGAGCATCATGGGCGCATGAAGCACCTGGACCTGCGCTTCTACTGGCTGCGTGATGAGGTGCATCGCGGCAGCATCCGCCTTGTCCATCTGCAGACAGCGGACATGCCGGCTGACATGCTGACCAAGGCCTTGGGCCGGGTCAAGCTGCAGCACATGGCGACGCTCTCTGGCCTTGGAGTTGGGCGCTAGGACGTGCTCGATCAAGGGGGTGTGTTGGAATCGGTGTCTACGCGCTCTCTAGCGCCTATGGTATTTTTCTGCGATTTTACGGACTTTTTCCCGGTACTGTACGCTTACCTACAGTCATATCTCTGCGCTCGCGCCTTATTGCCGAGCGCCACATATTTCCTCGGCATTTGCCGGTCCCTCCTGCCTAGAGCGGCACATCCGAGTCTTTTCTCTTCCTGACTCGTTTGCTATCGCTCTAGGTGCGTAGTTATGCGTTCTGTACTGCTGAATATATTCCTGACTTGTTTGCTATCGCTCTAGTGTGATCACTGGCTCGATTCTGCCTCGGACATTTGGAGGACTAGAAGCCAGGCGAGGAGGTAGGCGGTCTGTTGGAAGTGTCAATCCGTCACAATGATAGCAGTCTGAAGAATGAGTGCACGTACATATCGGATGACTCCCTTGCGTTGGCTGGCAAGCGCATCCTGTTTTTTGGACTGGTGGGGCTGCACGATGCACAAGTCAAAGAGCCTGTGCATGTCGTCAAGTGTGAGTGCGCGCGCGGACTGCAAGACTTCTCCCGCTGCAGCTTTTGTCTTTTCCAAGCCGACCATGAATTCCGCCACTGCCCGCGACCGCGTAGGAAGTCCCCTCCTGCGGGGCAGGTTAGCAAATCATTCGTGTAGATTAAAGCGCTACATTGGCCCCTACCATTTCCCCGTCAAGTCGTCTTGCCGCCACTCAGTGACGCTTTCATGTTCACGACCAGGAAGATGGCGATAATAGTACGTAAGGGCTGCTCGCGTTGAAACGGCGGTAGCAAACTCCACAGAGGAGTATTGAGCCAATCGAATGCGCAGGATATTATAAATTGCGTACCTTCTTCCCTTGCCCCCCGTTCTCCGGCGAGGCGCACTTGAACGTGATGAACTGGTTGATCCTTTGTGGTGTTTGGTCATCCACCACCTCGGGCCTGAACGAAGGGTCACGAGCGACTTGAAAGGCGATGAACGCCTTCGCAATGCTATAGGAAACGATCAGAATACGGCAAGAGAAGCAAAATATACCATGACACACCGTACGTGCGCTGTGCGCGTCTTCTCTTTGATGTAGGCGCGCATCAAGAACTCGGTATGTGCTTGCAGCTGATCAGGCAGCTCGGGCTCATCGAAGTCTTCGGCCGCTTTGTTTATAAAGTGCATCAATCTCAGGGAGAGAGTCCTGATCTTCCGCTGTAATTTTACCCATCTCCGCGAGGATCTACAGAGCTGTGAGCCATGCCATAACGTGTACCAGAGTCAGCTAGAAGCAAACCTGCTGCGAGGTAACCCCCTTGTCCCCAGACGTGTAGCCCAGCTCTTCAGCTCGGGCGCGCGCCCACACAGTGTTGCTGTCCACAAGCGATGGCTGCAAAAAATTCATGGTGGTTGCTGACAGAGGAGTGAGACATTTGTTCGATCATTCGACTCACAATCTATAGCGACGGACGGCGAATCATATTGCCTTCTACTCGCATGCGAAAAAAGCAACCTTGCCATCAAATATAATACAAGGAGTGGAGGACGTAACTTCCTCGCAAGGCGTGCTACCGGTATCCGCAAGCTCCCTCCATGAGACGGACTGCTGAATAGACACCGGATCCGTGCGACCACTCTCGAGACAGCCCCCAATGCAGCAGCCAGCAGCGGCCAGCAGGCCTCTCTCAATGGTGCCCTAGACGCCCGCGTAAAGTGCATGAGCTCGACCGAGAATCCCTCCTCTACCACACGCCGGCACCTGCGTGCGAGTCAGATGGATAACCGGGTGAATCAGACGCATGAGCGGAGACGTGGAGTGAACGAGTGCACTGCATCCGCAGAGGCGGCAACGGCGGAAAGGCCATGTCCTGGCATACGTGCGGCCAGATGAAGGGCGCATCACGACGGTGAAGCAAAACAAGCGCGCAAAGCAGAGCACGGCAGCGAAGCTGACGAATGGCGGTCGGCTATGACTCTTGCCCGCCTTCAAGCGTGCCTACGGAGACAAGCACATCTGCCGCGTCGAAGAAAAGCAAACGCGTGCTCAGCACGCCGAAGCGGTCTTCTGCGCGAGTGAAGGGGCCCACCCTGCCTCCACAAAGACCCTGACCGCACGATCTTCATCCTTGAGCAGGGTAGCAAGACAGTGTGTCTGCCTGCTGAGCCCTTTGGTTAGAGGGTTGACGCGATGGCGTGATGGGACGGCGGCAGGTGCGCTGAGTGGGCTGGTCACATCGTTAAGGCAAGAGGTCGCTCGCGAGCAAGGACCATGTCGTACAAGCAGCAAGGGCGGTAGAAGTGGGTGCCGCGACGTCATCGTAGGTGAACGAGAGCGTACCATCTTCCGCTGGCCTCGGGGTGCAGATTCAGGTCTTCAGGTTCACCAAATGCTAGTTGGGGATGGAGTTGAGAGCCATTTCATCCCAAGAGTGAAGACGGTAGAGTTGAGGGAGGAGGGGGCTGCGCAATGGGACGAATCATTGGCGCGCTCGACGTGCTCCTCTAGATTTTTTCTGGTGTACAGGAAGAGCGACGATGTCCGCTGTGCCCGCGATCCATCACACCGTTTTTTCCTACAGGACCGGTGCCCATATGACCAGCTGACGAAATGCGGGATGTCTTCGGAGCTGACGAACTTGCGTGATGGACCCAGAGAACGGTTGACCACCATCAGTAGCAACATCCTTGTTGACACCGGCAGCGGCCTCGTTCGCATACTCGGAGTACTACCCCCCAGCCTCTTAGTCCCTAATACTTATGTGCTTCAGTTTGTTGAACTCATCCTTCGATGCGGCGCACGCACCTGAGCATTTTCGTGCAACAAAAACCCCTCGCTGAACATTACTGCCTCCCTGGAGCTCACACGATTGTATAGCAGTGTATGCGGGAGTGGGTGACTGTTGTTGCCTCGAATGTCGCCAGCGGTGCGTAGAAAGAGCGAGCATTAGAGCAGAGCAAGGATTGCGGATGACGGGAAGTCGCCGGCTAGGCGATCCCCTCCTTGGCCTGGCTTGCAGCGGCTCGTTAGCAGACTATCAAACTAATGTAGGAGCAGCTACTGGCTCACCTCACGACGCGGCACTTCGCTCATTGAGGCTCTAGCGCGAATCGGGCGAATATTCTTAGCCCGCGTGTCTTGCGAAGGCCTGCAGCTTATTTCTTCACAGGACACGCATCACCCAGGCTGCCCGCCCAGAATTTGCGTGTCCTGCGGGGTGCTGAGTCGCTTATCCTTTCACAGGACACGCAACTCAGCCGGGGAAGTTGTTGAGGTTGCAGTTCAGCCGCTCGCCCGATGCGACGGGTCATTTTGTGCTTTTCGGACTTATCGCTCTTAGTTTACGTATATAAACCCCGCTGAATATACAGGAACCTCGTACGCTTGTCGAGGTTCCTTGCCTATTGGATCTGCTGCTTCGACCATCAGATCAGCAAATCTAACAGAAGTCGGTAGAGGAAGTCGCCTAGAGGTGTGGCGATTGCTGTTCGGACGCGCGCCAAGAGTCGTGTTTCAATGTTGACAACGCAGACATGAGCGTTAGAGAACAACGGCATTGTGAAGCTGCAATCTGTGCGATTCCAGCGATATACAACATGTCGTGGTAGGCTACAATAGGGCGGGCACGGTGGGGGGAGGAGGACGGGGCGCGCGACCTTGATCTGGTTCCGCGCCGGGTCGCCGGCCGTCACGTTACGTCGCCCGCGTTCGGCTCTTACCGGTGCGTGTCTTGGGTCGATCTAAGTGTTGCTTCTTCCGACGGATACACTGTCCGGGCGCACGTGCGCCACGTGCGATCACTGGGACTGTCCCGCCGCCGGATCCCCGGATGGATGGGACCGCGCGTCCACGTTGGCCCTGTTTGGCTCGCCCGGCCGCGCCAGCCGCGTCCGCCGTCCGTCTCCCCTCACCCGCCTCGTTTTGCCCCCGCGGCGGCGAGGCCCTCGCTCGTCGCCGCGCCAAGCGGGCGGCACCGCCGGGTTGCAACATGGGCACTGACAGGAGCCCCGCAATTTAAATTCGCAGATTTCCGACATTTTCCGCGAACGTCCACCACATTGGCGACCGCGTCGACCTGGACCGCGCGGCAGGCGCTCACGACGCACTTGTTGCCGCGCTCGATCCCGCCGCCAATAGCACTGATCCTTGCGCCTTGTACGCTGCCGCCAACGACAAGCTCCACCGCCAGCTCCTCGTCTACGTCGTCCTTGCTTCCTTCCTCGCAGCACTGCTCGTCATCACCCATCGCTGCGCCCTCGCTTTGCCGATCTACGTCCTCTCACGCATCCTCAACCGCTTCGTCAAACATCTCACCATGGCCGTCCAACGCACAAAACGCAAGCGCGACAAAACTGAGGACCTTCTCTTCCCGGTTCCAGGCAGGTTCAAGGAGGACGGGCAGCTGATGGTCGAGTCGGTTGACATGTGCGTTGACCGTCCTGTTGCACTACTCATGTGTACTGACGAAATCGTTTGCAGCTCCGCCCTCACCGTCAAGCAGATGAAGGAAAGGCTGCGAGCATACACACGCCCGATCACGGGCAACAGCGAGATTCTCAAGCAGCGGTTGCGGGAGTTCAGTGCCGACCGCTCCGCCTGGGACGTGTAAGTACAAGATCTCATCGCTCTCAATACCATGCTGACGTTGCCCGCATGCACCAGGTTACTGCCGAGCATATCCTCAAACCTCAAGGTCTTGCGCGTGAGTAAGCCAAAGGTGAAGCGCGCAAAATCGTGGAAGATGCGCCGCCACAACATGTTCGGTGATGGCGACGATGCCGAGGATGGCCAGCATCGCGTTGCGAAGGTTGATGAAGGGCTATTAGCTGCGGTGAGTATCATAGCTTCAAGCACGCGACCCTCCAGCTGAACGGTGTTTACTTCAGGCTGCCCGAATCCGTGCTGCCAATCCATATCGCCCGCCTATCGAATATCTACGCCGTATGAGCAACCCTTCGCATGTAGTGCAGGAGCCCGTCGATGAGAGCGATAGCCGCGCGGCAGGATTAGTGCCACCGCCTGTAGCTGCCCCTGCTGCAGTTCCGGTACGTTGACTATGATAGCTGACTTTTGTATGACGCTGATGATGTGTGTGCAGAATGCCCAGGACATCGTACAGGGCGTCCTCAACGGTCTCCTGCAACACCAATTGCCACCGACGATGACCGCTGCGACCCTCAATGGCCCGGCCCAGAGTGACGCCGTATCTGCCACGACACGACATAACGGCCCTCTTCGCAGTGGTGGTGAGCACGCACTGGCCTCAACGTCATCTCCTATCAATGCCAAATCCCCCGCGTCGTCGCCTCCACCTCGCCGCACGCTACATCTGCCCCCTCTCGCCACCTGTACCAACAACGGCCTCCTTCTCGAGTTTACAGATGATGACGTTCAAGCACCCGCTGGTGGAATCGGCTCCGACGTCGAGCGCATCGCCTGCATGTGGACGTTCGATTCGTACTGGCGCCGCGACTCCCCTCTGACGATCCATGGGCACCCCATCCCCCTCTCGATCTGGCCCGAGCTCTTCAATCACCGCAAGCCAGAGCTATGGACCTACTACAAGTCCCACTACATCAAATGGAGGGTATGTCACTTCATTATCTTCACTAACCAAGACTGACTCCCATACAGGATGTGGCAATGGCATGGCGCAGGTTCGACTCTCCCGAGAAGTTCTGGGAGAAGTACAGCATCATCGGAGGCATGCAGCGCAAGCGCCAAACCTTCACGCAGATCGCCAACGAGGTCATGAAGGCGTGGAAGGACACGACGCGCACGATCGTCGCGAGGGCTCGTGCCGAGTACGGTGACGGCGATACATTCGCCGCCGCTTTCAGCTATTGGAAGGGTAATACCATGCACACCTTACGCAATGACACGGGCATCGCTCGTCGATACGTCGAGCTTCTCCGTCAGCAGGGTCGAGATGCCGATGCGGTCTTGGAGGCTGATCTGGATGACGAGAATATTTAGTTCGCACTTATGGTACACCCCAGCTATTCAGTATACTTACAATCGTCACTCTTGAGTAGCTCATTGACGGCCGAGGAGTAGGATAATTGCTTAGAATAATCACAAATCAAGATAACTATGCTACAGACTCTGAAGTACAGGCAACTCAAGAACAAGTACACAAACGGCCACATTGGTAGCACTTGGTGGTAAGTTTCTTGTTTGGATTGAGAAAGTCCTCGCGTGCGTCTAGGGGGTCGTCGTTCCAGTTAATGATGTACTTGACGATAGTGAGGTTTGAGAACTCTCGACTCCATCCACCCCACTCGCAAATCTTCCTGAGATTCCAGCAACGATCGACGACATAGAACTGACAGCCTCCGCGGCGGAAGGAATGAGTGCCGTATGGTGTGGGGTCAATGCCAATATCGAGGAGGTTGTTGCGAAACATCTCCAAAAACGCGTCGGACGACTGATGAACTGATTAGAGATGTGTTCGCTGTACGCTTCAAGGCAGACGCACCAAGGGACGGTCGCCCTCTGAGACGACGCGGTCGCCCGGAGAAAATCTGCGAAATAAATATCTGCTCTTGATCTGCGAGACGTGCAGCCATTCGCACAATGCGCGAACAGGGCACACGTGCGCGAGATGCTCGGGCATCCTCCAAAGAACGAACGGTTGAACCTCTGCATATCGTCAGTGATGTGTTCAAGGATGTAGAGATGAAATCACTCACTGCCGTACTGCGCAGTCTTGCGAAAGTTTAGGTGCAAAGTCCATTTGTCGTCGTCGAACTTGTCGCGCTCGATGTCTTCAACACGTAAGTTAAGGACCTCATCGGAGCGCAAAAGACAGAGGAATGCAATGATGTAAATGCAATTCAGCATGCGACGCTGCTTGCCCCCAGCCCAATTTTCCTTCTCGTCGTTCGTACCACGCCGAGTGGGACCAGTGTATGCCGCATTCAGGGGGAACTTTCCCTCGTCCATGTTGAGGTGATATAGCTCCCACGAATTGTCCTGCCCGAGGTCTGTCAGCACGAAGGAGAATTGGGCTATGCGGAAATGAGAGCGTACCGCAGTAAGAGCACGCGCGCTGGTGGCCACCTCGCCCGCTCGTGTCTGTGAACGAAACTTAAGAAATCAGGTTTATAGATGAGCAGACTGATGTACCTTGCGCTTGCGCAGGCTGACCATGTAGCGCGAGACTATAGGTGAGATAGATGGATTGCCTATCATCTCACCGGCGTCATTTTCGTGCCATGGAAGCGTGCCCAGGCCGCAGATGTGCCCCCATGAATAGGTGGCCGAAGCGTGCATCTTCTGGGCTTGACCCCACGAGTGGGTATTTTCTGACGCCGGCTTCACCGTGCCATCGATGTTGAGGCGGTCACATATAGGACGGGGTGCATTTGTCAGCGCCAACGCGAAGCCGTAGCACACGAGAGACTACATACGAGTTCATGAGCCATAAAACTTGGAAGTATGGGGCATTTCGATGCGGGCGCTTCTTGAATATAGTGTCATTCTGCGCAATGAGCCCCTTCTCGCGAAGGAATATGTCGAAGTTCGTCGCAAGCCTATCGACAACCATCAGTAAATGTTCCGCTTGAATGTGAGGTAAATACTGCACCGTCGATACTCGGCTTCCGTTTGGTCCGATATACCCTTGGCGACGGCTGTGACAGCGCCAACAAGACTTTCGATGTTGTTGTAGATGGATTCTACAACCATATCATCGTCTTCGCCGGCGTGGCGAGGCGAGTCAGGCCCATCATCTTCTTCGTCGTCATCATCTACAACTCCTTGCTGATTCTCAGGGAAGGTTTGTCGCTCGCCCTCCATGTCGTCCTGGAGTTCCGTCTTTCCCGCTGCGAGAGCGCGATCCTTCGGATAGAGCACTGCCTGAAGACCAGGGAATTCAGGAAGGGGGTTCTTTGGTGGCATGGCTGAACAGGCCCAGGATGTGGGGGAGGTGAGGAATGGCTCGTTGACTTCGAGAGCTCATACTTGTATGCCCCGACAGGCCAGTGCAGGATTCAGGCGGGTAGCGGGTTTCCGAGCGAGACATGACTGAATTGTCTAAATTACACAGCCAATCTACGGAGCAGAGATGCAAGACATACACACGCTTGTCGCACCCCAACACCCACCCCTGCAGATGAACAAGCACGAAGACTGCCTCGAAGTATCAGATCAGGCGAGGCGGGTACGTCATTAGGCCTGTACTCACCTACTCCTCAAATGCCAGGACACCGTCCCCTGATTCTACGAACCAAGCAATTACCCCCGGATATGCCAGTTCGATGACGTCCTCGGGTACGGTGAGGTATGCACGAGGGAGTTGGAGTGACATTGCTGGGAAGACATCCTCAAAAGCGACGTCAACCCAGATCTTGGCCTCAGCAAAGAGTGTTTCTTGAAGGAGGCGGTGGAGCGCGACTTGATTGCACTGAACGCGGCATAGCCGCTGACCCAGCGCTTGATTCTGTCGAAGACCGAAAACGGACTCAAAGGCAGTCCGGGGAAGAGTGTGTTCGTTCTGAATGACCGTATGAGCAGGATGTTAGAAACAGAGTAGAAGACGTACATATCGAAGGTCGCGGACAAAAAGTGCTGTCCATAGACCATTGTCAAAGACCCGGGCGATGGCAGCATACGTCTGGCGCAGGCCTTCGCCCTGACGACCAACGAGGGGATCACGGGGAGAGAAGAGCTGCTGAGTACGGGATACTAGTCCAGGAAAGTCAAAGAGCTGATTGGCAATTAAAATGGCACCGCCGGTGTCGTGCGAGGACACAGGGCAGATGTAGCGACGCATGAGGACTATGTCCGGAAACCCGCGTGCTCGCCCACTGAGCACCTTCGCGACTTCTAGATAGCGCCGCCCAAAATACCCATGACTATTGGTGGTTAGTTCGTGGCACAGCTGATCGCGCCACGCACATAACTGTTGGCCAAACTCGTTGGCGGTGATGGTCTTCTCCTGAATGGCTGCAGTCGCTATAGCGAGAAGGCTGTCGCCGAGACCAGCACGAGCAAGTTGCTCGCCTAATACACGTCCACATCCCGGAAGACCCTGTCTCCTGTGAGCACATCGTAGGTAATGGCGTGCAAAACAGACTCACGACTGTATCATAATCTCCGCCGCAAGCCAACGCAAACAAGAGCAGGCCACCACGTGAAAGCCCGGCTGCGGTGAGTTCAGCCTGGCGATAGACTTCAATTTCATCGGGCTTCTTCTTATTTTGCGAGCTAGAGGTGCGGGTGAGCACAGAAAACCTGGAAAATACTATTACGCAAACCTTCGTAGCAGTATCTTTGCACCGAAGAGTAAGGTATCACTATCAGCGGTCAGGACAGCGTCTACCAGACCCTCGCTCGCAAGGTAAGCAAGCTCGGCTTCTGCGTCACCTGGAGCCTGCAACTGTGTCAGTCACGCTTATACAAGACAGATGATGGAGCATACCTGATGGCAGGTGAAGTTGAAGGCCTCAGCAAGGCAGATGGTTGGAGCCACCATCCAGTGCAGCCGCTGGCTGACACGCACTAGCCGTTTTGCACCCGGCTTGTCTGGTCCATCGAACACCAGGACAACTTGCGCTCGAAGGCCCAGAAGCCGTCGAAAGAGCTTGTGGAGGCTGATAAGCTCCCCTGCAGGCAATAGCTCACCGTTAGGGACGAAGCGCCCCTGCGTGTTGTAATATGCCCGACCCGAGCGAAACGGGGTGTGCGCCTGTACACCCTGTGTATATGCGTAATAATAGGGACTAGATGAAGGGTAAGGAGCGAGTAGCCAACGCGGAGTAAGGTATACCTTATGTCAATGCCTACGACAGGCTCTCATCCGAGAGCCCGGGCCTCATTGAGGCAAAAGCGTGTGAGTGTTGTTACTTCACGCAGCGAAGCGACTGCCTAGGGGGCTTGATTAGTCCATGGTCAGGGTGGATGATTAGACGAGAACGTACCTCCCAAAGTCCGTTGATACCCATGATGATACGGGTCAAGGTACAATAGGGGTATGCTAGACACGACACAATCGCATCGGTCTAGCACTGCCACTTAGGTTTGTGGCGAGTATCTACTCCGGGGCTCGTCGTATATTTATTTCTACTCGTATTGTACACAAAGGCATCTTGACGGAGAGGTACATGAAACAATACACTCAGGCTTGTTGTGTCGGGAGCTGAGGCTGATGGGCTCGTCGCTGCACACGACGGTTCTGCAAGGACCAGCACGAGAAAGGGCACAGCGTCTCCGGCATGGCAGGTGAGCTCGCGCGAGAGATCGGGCTCCCGCTGGGCTCGAACCACTGTAGGATTTCGCCGTCGACGACGAGCTCCCACGCATGCACATCTCGCAACCCATCTGGTTGATCTCGCGAAGGTTGAACAGGCCCTGCAGGACGACGGACCAGAACTTGTTCGAGTATGTGTTGCCGCACGTATTCATTGACACGATCATGAAAGTGGAGACGGATTGTTGGTGTTCTGAAGAGCCTTGTGTAGCGGGAAACACACGAGCGGTGCAACACTTCGATTGCGGACCACGAGCAGGGTCGAGGCCGGCTGGTAAGCGCGTTCTCATCGAACGGTACCAACGTAAAGGCGAGTTCCGTGTCCTGAGCTCCGCATTCGTCACTATAGAGCCCGGTGCGAACCAGCCAAACTGCTTGAAGCTGACGATCTGCACGGACATGTTGCCGACGCCAAGCACGACGCCGTTGAGTAAGGGCGGGAAGAGGTTGATCGCGAGTGCAGAGACCAGCAGGATGGCGTAGCACTGGGGCGGGAGGGACATCTCAAAGACATCGAGCGAGACTGAGCAGACTTGCGCATCGTGTTCGCGAGGGACGACTCCTCTGTGCACAGCTCCTGGAGGGATAGGACGAGGTGAGGTCGGAGGGGAGGTTTTCCCGCTTTTGTGAGTTGTCGCCCTTGGTGTGCAGTATGCAAGGTGCCTTTGGGCCAGCCGGCCTTGTTTGAGGTTGCGTGCTACTGGTACGTGTGAGCATCTTCTTATACTTCCGAGTATGACAGCACACACCTGCTCAAAACTCGTCCGGCACCAGGTCGCGCACGTCCGCCGGGCCCGATGAAGTGGATTGCGGCTGCGCTGGTAGAGCCTGCAAGCCCGATACCTGTTCCCGGGCTGACGACGTGGCGAGGGACTCCGCCTGAGTGCGGTGGCTGCCGACCGCGTGGGGATGCTCGTGAGCGGGAGGTGCGCCGCGAAGTGGTTCTCCGCAGAGAAGGAGTCAAGTGCGCCTCGAATTCGAGGCGGGCTGTCCTCAAGTAGCCGTGAATTCACGGCTACGCTTCAGAGCGGGTGACCTTGGTGCAACCTCCGGGCCCCTGCTCGATGCGTCCGCGACGTCGAGTAGGGCTGGTGAGGGTTTGCGAGTAGAAAGGTGTCGTATATTTCATAAGGCGGTCGCGTCGCGCCGCCCTCAGCCACGTGCGTATGTAAGATTATCTAAGGCGCTGTAGGCGCCTATGTACGTGCAAGTCATCGTGAGTCCGTAACAAAAAGAAAAGGGTAAGTAGCGTAAAAGTGACTGCTCAGTACCGCGTCGTGGGGGAAGAGTCCCCCGTGTCCCGGATCCCTCACAAAGCTCCCCACTCTTCGCGCGCGACGTTGGTCTCAACGGAACTGGCGCAAGTTCTTCGCCTTGAGCGGCTTGACCAAGTCGGCGACCTTGCGGAACTCGAGCGAGATGCCGAAGGCCTCCTCCAGCTTCTTGCACCACTCCTCGCACTCGCTGCCCATCGGGACGCGCGCCCGTTTCGCCTCCTCGGGGCGACGCTGCTTGTACGCGTGCGCCCACATGCCGGCGTGCTTGGCCCATTGCGTTGCGGTCCTTAGCTTGGTCTCCTTCCCCGTCTTCCAGCGATGTAGGACCTCGTTGAGGTAAGCCTCCTCGGCGTCGCCCCACTCCCCTGTCCCAATGTCCCACTCCTTGGCGTCGAACGTTTCCGTAGGCGGGAGGACATAGTAGGGGTTCATCTCCTCGCGCGGATTGGCGACTTGGCCTCCGATGGCCGCGAGCTCCGTGTCTTCTGCCACGTCGCGTACCACGAAGTAGTTGCCACCGAATTTGCCGGCTGGGAGCGGGAAGCTGTTGAGCGTGTAGGCGCGACTCTCCGGGCTGACCCCCGACCCCGCGTAGTTGAGGTACTCCCTGGCGTAATGTCGGACGACGTACGCGACCGTCCCTCCTTCGGCTAGGAAGGCGGCGAAGTGCGACTTGGCCAAGGCTGGACCTTCGAGCTGGCTCTCCCAAAGGCGAAAGACCTCAATCGGCGTCCTTCCCGTCAGCGGGGCGAACAGTGTCGACGAAGGGGGGTTGCGCGTGCCGATCTGCGCCAATGTCGGTATCGGGTCGCGGGGCACGAGGAAGGAGATCTTCATTCCCTTCTCCACGACGAAGTCAAGCATGTGGATGGGCGAACGCAGAGACCGATGATAGATGGCGTAAAGAAGCAGCCGAATACGATCTTCCCAGCTGTGTACGTGGAGGAGTCCGCGGGCCACGAAGTCGTCGTCCCATTCGATCCTTGGGCGCCGGAGATCGTCGCGCACGTAAGGTCCTCGCGCCGCTGTCATGCGATGCGCCAACTCGTCCAGCTGCACCCAGAACTCCTTCTCGACCTCCTTCCAGCGTACGTGTCCCTCGCTGTACACCTTGCTGGAGGTTCGCCCCGGGTCGGCCAGGCGCGGCGCGCGCACTGGTGATGCGCTCCGCCTTTCTGCGCGCCATACGCGCCCTGAAGACGCAACGCTGCTCGCGGGGGTTCCTTCCTCATCCGAGCTCTCCTCATCCCAGCGCGTCTGCCTCCCCCGTCTCCAATCCGTGCTGCTCGGGGACGAGAGCTGAGCTTCCAGCCCTACCGGCGCGACTGGCTCACCCGTGGTCGGGTCGGTGATGCGCTGGCTTAGCGACAGTCTGCCCGCCGGGGCCGTCGAGAACTCGTCCGTCCCCTCGCTGGAGCCGTCGCTGCGATCCGACAGCTCTCCTTCCTCGAGAGGACGGGGGTCGCCCATCTCCGTGTCCTCCGAGACTGTCGACGCGGTCTTCGTGATGGACAGTACCCAGTCGACCTGACCTTCCCATCCGACCTCCCAGTCGTGGAACTCCCGGTAGTCTTCGGGGCGCTTCTTCCCTTCGTAGATGGCTCGGGCGACCAGCTCCTTCTCGAACTCCCTCAAGCCGCCCCCTTCTTCCAATGGGAAGGACGACCTGCCGCCTTCGAGGTCGTAGACTTCGCCCGGCTTGGGCGCGAAGGAGAGCTTGAACAGCTCTCGCAGGGCGAGATAGTCGTTCTCGACCCACTGCGACTCGCGATCGAAGGATTTGCCGGGAAAGGGGAGATGGTCGGGAAGACCAGTCGTGCCGGGGTCCATCGTGTACTCCCTCTCGTCCTCTGGCCCTCGATACGGCTCGCGCGCCGCCCAGCGCGCCAGCCTGACCTTGTTGGGCGTCTCTGGCCGAACCATCGCCTCGTACCTTTCGAGGAGCAGCTTGATGAGAGTCGCGTTGCGGGTGATGTACGGTCTGTATCCTTGGCAGATCTGTACCGAGTACGTCGCTTGCGGGTGATACGTGATGCGCGGGGTGTCGACCAAGGTCCGTCTCAGCAGGCGTTGCTGGAAGAAGTCGTCGTACTCGATGGTGGCGGGCTCCACCAAGCGATAGAAGTCCTTAATATCCTCCTCCGCGTTCTGACATTGCCGGCGCTCCCAGTAATCCTGGATGATGTCGGGACGTACGCGTACGAAGCGGTCGAGGTGATACATTGCCTCCGTGAAGATGTAGTAGATAGGAACCTTGTGCTTGATCCACGACTCGAAGTTGGCGACAGGGTAGTCGACCAGAAGGTTGATCAGGCATCCCTTCTTAGGACGCTCCTCGAATCGACAGTCCCGCACGATCTTCCGCTGCTCGGATGACAGGGCCTCCTCCCATCCGCGAAAGTTGAGCGTGAACCAAGCGACAAAGGATACGTTGTCCATAGCTGCGGTGGTAAACTTGCGCGTGTCGTTGATCACCGCGTCTGCCCTGCCGCGGTCCCCGATGCCCCAAAAGTCGACGTCGACGGGCTTGATCCTCGTGCTGTCGCGCAGGAAGAAGGCCGGGGGAGCGGAGTTGCGTAGCTGCTCCGCTATCTGGATGAATGCGCGTGCAGCTGTCCTCATTTGCCGAGCTTTGTCCTCTGAGATTCGGCTGCCTTCGCGGTTCGTCTGGAGGTCCAGAAAGTCAGGCTTCCAGAGGAGCGGCGCCACGGGGTCGCGATCGGAGAGGATAGTGGAGGGTCCGTAGGGTCGCCAGAGGAAAGGAATGACAATCCAGCGTGGTCCCGGGCCGTCCTCGCGCTCCGCGGGGTGGCGGAGGCGTTCCAGGCGCGGGCTCTTGAGGAGATCCTCGTAGCTGCCTCCGATGGCGACCCACGTGTCGCCGTGCTCGAAGTGGTGGATTTGGAGAGGCGGGGCGTCAACGCCTAGAGCGAGAAAGAAGTAGAAAGTCATGTTGCACCCGCTGAACGCCGAATTCGATGAGGAGCGGGACTCTAGGGAGGGCAGCCAAATTTGACTACGCTCCTTTCGAGTGGTGGAAGAGGAACAGGAGAAAATCGGAAAAAGTCGCGTATGATACATCGCGGCGCGCGCGTGTCCACGCGCGTGGCCGCCCTCCGGCCTGGCCAGCATTATCCGAGCTATGCTCTTCTAAGCTATCGTAGATTATACCGCCTCTGATACTTCCTCAACACCTCGTCCGCGTTCTTGAGGTCCTTCTCCGTCTGCCACGTATCGTAGAAGGGGCCGTACCCCACCCAGCGCACCTTGTAGACCCGTTTCCTCTTCTTCTTATCCCATTTGTGCTCCACGATCTTCTCGACCTCGTACTCTTCGCTGGCCATCTCTTCGCCTCGCGTCTCCGGCAGTGTGGCCCTTGGCTCGTCCTTGGGCAGCGGGTTCTCGCGGTAGCGCTTGAGGTGTTGTATGTTGAAGACGGGGAAGCCTGGATACTTGTCGTTCATATGCAAGCGGTACGTGTTAGGGCTGATTCTTTGCGCGACTTCGAACGGGCCGATCCACCGCTGCTTGAGCTTGGGCTTCCCCTTCGACTCCACCCATTCGAGCGAGTGCGGGTTGACAAGCACCCGCTCTCCTTCGGCGAACACTGGTGCGGGCTTCCTTCCTCGGTTATAAGCTTTCGCTTGCTCTTCCTGCGCTAGTGCGATCGCGTCCCTTGCTGCTTGCCGCGCGAGGTCGAGCTGCTCTAAGTACTCTTCCAGGTCCTTGTCGGTCGGTGGCTCGGTCGCGCTCAGCCTTCCCTCGTAGACCGCGTCTAGAGGGGACCGGGGAATGCGTCCTAGCAACAGCTTGAATGGCGCCTCCCCCGTGCTCTTGTGTTCCGCCGCGTTGTAGGCGAACTCGAGAAGGTGCAGTAGCGACGCCCATTTGCTCGTGTCGCTCGCCACGTACGCCCTGAGCATCGTCTCGAGCGTCCGGTTGAGTACCTCCGTCTGCCCGTCGTGTTGGGGGTGATGCGCTGACGAGAGCATCATCCGCGTCCTCAGGAGTTTGGCCATTTCCTTCCAGAAATCTGAGATCCAGCGTGGGTCTCTGTCGGCTATGATGCTCGAGGGGAGGCCGTATCGCGTCGCTACATTCCGCACGAAGACCTCGGCGGCGGCTTGCGCGTCGAGTTTGGCGGGTATCGGCAAGAATTGCGCGTGCTTCGTGAACCGGTCCACTACCACGTATATGCCTGTGAAACCATGCGACTCTGGCAAGCCGGTGATGAAGTCCATGGACACCGAGTCGTACGGGTGCGGTGGTATCGGATTGGGTATCAGCGTGCCATACTTCCTGAAGTTGTCGAACTTAACCTTCTGGCAGACATCGCAGGATTTGCAGAAGGCGTCGATGGTCCGGCGCATGCGTCGCCAATGGAACTTAGGGTGCAGCTTAGCCCAGACCTTGGCCGCTGCGCCATGCGCGCATTCCATGGGCTCTTCGTGCGCGGCTCGCAGGATGCGCGGAACGAGTTTGTCGGGCACGCAGAGGCGCGGCAGGAAATCGGCGTCCAGGAAAAAGAGAAGGCCGTCCTCCGTCTTGTGGAAGCGTCGCCCTGGCGTGAACGTTGTCGACTCGGAATTAGCGCTCTTCCATCTCTTCTCCCAATACGGCTCCTGAAGGTACGCGTCGACGAATTCTTTGGCTTCCTCGGGTTCCATGCGCAGTAGGATCGCTGGCTGTTTGGTGAATACTCCTTCGTATCCGTCGCCTGGGGTAAACTCTTCTTCGTCCGAGTCGTCGTCTCTTGTGCTCTCCGCCGGCTCGTGCTCCCCTCGCTCTTCCTGCTTTTGCTCTACTTCCTTTCCCGACTCCCCGGCCCCCCCGCGTGCAAGGCGACGCGCGGCGGCTCGCGTAGTTGCGGCATACGCGCTTGGGAGGTCCTCGAGGCAGTTGGCGAGGTGCGCGGTCTCGAAGACCCGAGCGGCTGGCGCTCTCAAAGCTGCTTCCTCCCTTAGCTGCGCAGCGGCCTCGTCGGTCGACAAAGCCGGGCCTTCCATCCTTGCTGGTGACGTGTGCGGCGGTGGCGCTCGGGGAATTCGACTCAGCGGGTCGACGTTGGAGTGCACGCGTCCAGGTCGGTGTATGATCTCCAACCCTGGGGCGTACGCGGAGTAGATGGCCCCCCAATTCGCCAGTCTGCGGTTACTGTTCTCGTATGTGCGTGCCCACTGCAGCGCGCTATGATCTGTCACGAGTAGTATCTTCTCTCCCTCGATGTAAGGTTGAAATTTTACCAGCCCTTCTTTTGCCGCTAAAGCTTCTCTCTCTGTCGTGCTGTACCTCGCCTCGGCCCCTCTGAATGAACGCGACCAGTACGCGATCACGCGCTCTACGTAGACTTCTGTCTCCTCGAAGGTCGCGGCCCACTCCTTTGCTACGCGCGTGTCGTTGCATTTGTCCGAGAGCTTGGTCACCAGCCGAGGGGGCGGTCTTCCCGCTTGATGCGCTTCCCGTAGTTTGTCGTAGAGCTTAGTGCCCGCAAGGTCTCTGATCTTGATGGCCTGAACTTGCTGTAGCGCGCATCCGAGCGCGTAGTCGGACGCGTCCGTATAAAGTCGATAAGGCAGTCCTTCTTGCGGGTGCCCCAGCACTGGCGCGCGCTGCAGAGCGGTCTTGGCCTGCAAAAATGCGTACTCTTCCTCGGGTCCCCACTCCCACGGCACGTCCTTCCGTAGTAGGCGGTGTAAGGGGGTGCAGATGTCGGCGTAGTAGGGTATGAAGGCACTGAAGTACACCGTCATACCGAGGAAGGCTCGCAGCTCCGCTACCTTCGTCGGGCGCGCTAGCTTCAGCACCGCCTTGACCTTCTCCAGGTGCGTCGACAGCCCCAGTCGAGAGACGCGATGACCGAGTAGGATGATGGAATCGTAGAAGAGGTGACATTTCGAGGGCGACAGGGTGATCCCGGCGTTCTCGATCGCGCCCAGCACCTTATCCAGATGCTCCAGGTGTTCTTCGAACGACTTGGAGTAGACGACGATGTCGTCTATATACACCAGCGCAAAAAGCCAAAGGTATGGCGCTAGTACCGACTGCATCACCCTCTGGAATATCGAGGGTCCGTTCCGTAAACCGAAGGGCATTCTCTTGAACTGAAATAGCCCGCGATGAGTCCGGAACGCGGTCTTCTCGACGTCCTTAGGATCCAATTCCAACTGCGTGAAGCCGGAGAGGGCGTCTAGTGAGGACAGGACTTGCGCTCCCGAGAGCGAAGCTAGGATCTCCGATTGCCGCGGGATGGGGAATTCGTCAGGAATAGTGACCGCGTTCAGTCTGCGGTAGTCCACGCAGAAGCGAGCCTTCCCGTTGCGGGTAGGGCGATCACCACTGGAGCGCTCCAGGGACTGATAGAGGGCTCGATAACTCCCTGCGCGAACCAGGCGTCTATCTGTTGGTCCATTACCTCCTTCTTGGCAGGAGAGGCTCCTTGCATCGGCTCTGCGATCGGAGTCTGACCTTCTCGGGTGCGGATCGTCGCCTTCGCGGGATAGTTCCCTAGCCTGCCGTCCAGCCCAAACGCCTTGATCCTCTTTTCCAACATCCTCCACGCTCGCTCCTTCATCTCGTCCGGTAGTGCGCCCACGTCGAGGATTTTCCGGAATTGCTCGCTGGAGATGGGCTCAGCCTCCGGCAGGGCGGCTGTCTTGGGGCCGTATTTGTAAGGGGACCAGCCGGAAGTGGCCGAGTGGAGATGGTAGCAGAGACGAGGCTAACGTCTAGGCAGCCATGGTCCCCGGACAGCCACACCACCTAGAGGGAGGCGTGACGTCCTAGAAGGGTGAAGAGCGTCACGGTGGACGAGGGAGAGGATCGACAGTGATGGCGGGTCGTGACCGACGATAGAAGAGGGAGTAGGGTAGGGCGTAGCTCGGTAGAGAGAGAAGGGCAAGCGTACTGAACACCACTACACAGTGGACCCATGCGTGAGCCATACATGAGGGGGCGCCCACGAGTAGGGTGCCCGGTAGGCAGCGCTGTCAGCGTCTACACGAGGTGGAGGGTAGTGACGAGGGGACGGCGTCACTAGGAGAGTGGGGGAGGCGTGTCGGCCAGAGACGCGACCGGTGGCGGTGATCGATGGAGGGCGACACCGATCGGAAGTGGGAGGGGGTGCGGTGCAACGTCAGGATCGAGGGGGGTAGCCTTGATCGACGAGGTGGGAGAAGGTGCACTGGGGAGGGCGTCGAGAGATGCCCTACGCCGGAGGAAGCGCAAGGAGCAGCGCTGAGACCAGACGTACCACGGCGAGCATGAGCTCCAAGCCAGTGGGGGAAGGGACGACACGATGGATGACGGCATCGGTCAGGGAAGGGGGTTGCGACCAGGACGAGTGGCCAGCGAGGCGAGGGGAGGTGAGCCCGCAACGGACCGATGGGAGCGGAAGGCCTGACGAGGGGTGGTACTCCCGAAGGTACACTTCCCACTGCTGCCAGGGCGGACGACCAACTAGACCACACCGGGGGACGAAGGGGAAACACACCAGAGCGGGAGGCGAGGGGTGCCACGGCGTACAGGGAGGGCCGTTCCCCGGAGTACTAGCACCACAACCGCTGCAGAGGCGCGGGCGTAGACCAAGCCTGAGGATGCAACCCAAGCCAAGGGAGGCGGGCCCGCTAGGAGGCGGCGGAGGCAGCCGAGGGTGTGGAAGGCCCAAGGCGGCAAGGAGGGGATGGGGCGATCATCGATGGGCGACGCCCACCGTAGCCAACGACGAGCGTTTCTGGATTAGAGAACTCCCAGAGGTTAACTAAGAGCCAGGCGTAGGGGCGCGAGCTAGGCGAGCGGGGAACCAAGGTATATTAGCAGGGAACAGTAACCAGTAAGTACCAACACACCTAGGCGAGCGGGGAACCAAGGAGATCAAACCCAAAGGATCTCCTGATGCCCACTGCCTGTATATATACTGTAGCTATAGTAATCAAGGGGATAGGAGATAACTACTACAGTCATCAGGTCACAAGATCGGTGAGCGATGATGGTGCGATAAGGCGCCATACAGTAGTGGTGGTGGGAGACAGGTAGAGTACTGGCAATGTCCAGGAAGGGGGAAGGAATAAATAAGAGAAAGGGAAAGGGGGAGGTCACCAGAGGGAGAGGAGGAGAAGGGAAGTAGGAGATATAAGGGAAACACACCAGGAATGAGTCATAGGTAATGACTGATGGGGGGCGTCAACACATGCAAACACCATCAGTCCACAACCAAACAAGACCAAACCAGTTGAGTCCACATCACGCTTGTGGGCGCTTGTGGGTGGCGTGGATATCCCCTGACAGTATTCGTCCTCCGCTTCCTCCTTCGAGTCGTCCGGTGGCTTCTTCAGCGGTTCCACCCAGCTGCTATACGCCTGCTCGTCCGGCATGTGGAAGCGGCTACGGGCGGGCTCTTGTCCTGCCGCCCACGCTCCGTAGTTCTGGGGGTGAGGCATCCTCCAAGCCTTGTCCGGGGCGCGTGCTTGAGCCTTGCCCGTCGTTCCCGGACTTGTCATTCTGGCTCGGCACAGTTCCTCCATCAAGTTCGCGTGCTTCCGCATCTTGTCGAGATTTTCTTGCGATTTGGGCTTGTCGAAATACTCTTGCGCGGGTACTACGCGTCCGAGGACTTCTCCCTTTCGAATGATGCGCGGAGAGTCGGAAGGGTTGGCTAGCGGCACGAAGGGAGCGGCTGATGAGATGAGCGTATTAGGGACCGCTAAGAAACGATCGTCGTCGGACGAGAGCAAGATCTTCTCTACCACCCACTCCCCGGGAGATTTGAAGGGACCAAGTACTTCGACTTTGACGCACGTGTGTGGCGGTAGTCGCGTCTCCTTAGCGGCGAGGATGAGGGAGTCCATTAGGTCAGCCTTTTTCTTCCTCTCCCTCAGCTTCTGCTTAGCGCGCGACTCGAAACTTCCTCGCGCTATCTTCTCGGCAGGCATCTCCCCAATGAACGATTTAGCGACCCGGTCGTAATCTGGGCTGCGTCGCACCGGGGTGGCCGAAATAGGATGCTCGGGCGCCCCGCCGAACTCGATGGTCGTCGAGCTAGTTCCGTCGGATTCCAGGGCTCGTCGTACGGACAGCTCGTAGGCCTGCTGAAAGTCCTCCCCTAGGAGGACGGGTACGGTCATGCCTTCAACAATTTGCACCTCGCATTCCATCTCGAGTGTCGTGCCATCGTCGCAGAAAATCTGGAACGACAGCCGCACCTTCCCCCGGACTGGTGCGTCCCTCTTCGTAAGCTGCATCAAGCGCGAGCCCTCGTCCGTACGGATCGGGGGCGGACTTATCAGCCGGCGGTAGTGACCCAGAGAGACCAGCGTGACGCTGGCGCAAGAGTCGATCCTCAAGTCGATTTCGATGTCGAGCGAGGAGCTGACTCGGCCCCTCACGCTCAGAACGGACGTGTTTCCGTCCGGCAACCTCAAAGCCCCCCTCCTCGGTACCAGTCGAATCTTGCCGGGGTCATACGGCTTGAGGGCGGCCAGCGCCTCGTCGAGGCGAGGCTCCTCCTCCGTGAGCACGAGGTTGATCTCCTCTCGCACTCCCCGTCCCTCCAGTCCGTCAACGCCCTCGCCCTCTTCATACACAGCCTCCAGACTGTAAACAGAGTCGACTGGAAGACATTCCCCTCTATGCCAATAATCATCTGCAATTTCCTCTACCCTTGATACAAATGGCGAGACCTCCAACAATAGCACCTCCTCCTTCGTCGCCTCGGGACCACCTCCTTCGGCTTTCCCCTGGGTCTTACTCCCTCCCCGCTCGCTGCTCGCGAGCGTTCGGGACGCCCGGTCAAAACCCTGCTCCACTGCGAGGACGTACGCGGTGTCGTAGGCCAAGTCGGCGGCGGATTCTACTAACATTCCGGCTTCCCTACGCCGCTTCTCGAACTCGTCCCAGTGCGGACAGTCTTTGTTCCAGTGGTGAGGGCTGCCGCAGGCGAAGCAAGGTCCTGGAGGAGGCTTCTTGCCTTTGGAGTGGACGTCGTTCCTAGCCGGGAAGGGGTACGATGTGTTGGCCGCCGCTCTCTTGGCCGCTACCGCGTAGGCGACGGCGAACAAATCGCGATCCAATCCCTCCGGCTCCGCGCCCTCTCCCGAGACGGGCAGTTCCTCGCCTTCCATCTCCTCCACCTCCACATCGTAAGCTTGCGGTGTGGTCTTGACGGCTCCCGCGGAGGTACGCCAGGAGGCGCGCGTCTGCGGCCTCTCGGCGGTGTTCTCCAGCCTCTTGTCGCGCACGTACGCCAGCACCAGGTCCTCGGAGTGTTCGATGACGCGCGCCTGAAGCTCGTCGGTGCTCCTGACTGAGGTGAAGTTCAGCATGAGCTTCCAGCCCTTTGGGGCGACGTCCATGATCAACTTGGCTTCCTGCCGCGAATCCTCCGTCGAGTAGCCTAACGATCGGCAGTACATGATCCTTCGGTGGATGAAGTCCTGAGGCGACTCTCTCGGGTTCTTTGGGTCGCGGAAGTGTTGCATACGGAACTCGGAGGAGAGCGCGCTCATCCAAGCTGGCCCCAGATAGTGCCGGCGTATAGACGAGATGTAGTTGCTGTGACCTTCTCGCATGTAGTCCTTGCGTGACTCGCTCAAGGTCATGTACCAGCGCTGTACCGGAGAGTTAGGGACCAAGCGCGACCACAACCACTCACCCAATGCCTGAGGCATCCTTCCTCCCTGTCGCGCGAGCTCGACGACGTTCCAGAAGTACACCATCGCCGTGTTCCGGTTTCCGTCCCAGGAGGGTAAGCTCTCGGGCTTGATGACGGGGTTGATGCCGGGCACGGGCGCTCTCGTTGCGTTAGCAGGGCCCGTCCCATCCCCGGGAGGGTCGCTCCCTCCTCCTCCTCCGTCCTTCTTCTTCTTATCTCCTTTGTCCTTAGCGCGCTTCTTCCTCCTTTGCCGGCTCCCTGCGTCCGAGAAGTCATCCGAAGGATCCGGAGGGGGATCTTCTTCCTCGATCGGTTGCAGGTGCATCTCTTGAAACGTCGATAGCCGCCCTCTGCGTCGTCGGTGTCGGCGCTCGGAAGACCTCGAGGAGGGGCTGGATGTCGAGCTCGATGACGAGGACGACGGATCAGATGGCGCGCGACTGGACGAGCTAGAGGAGGAGGAGGACGAGTGTGACGGATGGCCTCCTCTCGCCGAAGGGGGCTTAGGAGGAGGCGCTGGAGGCTGAGGCGGCGGTTGCGGAGGCGTAGGCGGGGTCTGCTCAATGCCTCGCCTCCATGATTCGGTGCGCTCCCTTGGCAACTCCCCTGGCGAGTACCCCAACGGATTCTTGTAGGTGGTCTTTGGCGGAATCGCGCGTCGTCGATCGAGCTCGTCGTAGTAGACGAGAGCCGGATTCGGCTCCGCTTCCCTGGGGGGAAAGGCCCGTGCGATGGGCGTCGGCACTCGAGTCATTTCCCGGACGTCTGCGTCCAGGAATTGCTCGACTGCTCTTCCTGCACGGGGCCCATCCGCTTCAGCCCGGGCGTTGGGTAGCCCCCCTAGGGCTAGCCGCAGCCGTCGGTGGGGCTCCTCTTCCTCTTCTATCTTCCGGTAGACGGTCGACGGAGTAGTGGTCGGTTGCGAGTGTAACTCCGCGTCATTCACGCCGTTCGCTCTTAGCGCTTCTGCAAAGTACTTCTCGTACACTCGTTCGGCGCCCATTAGTCGCCCTGTTAGGCCTACCCAAGCAAGTTGCAGCTCCTGAAGAGAGGCGGCGTGCAAGAGGATCCTGCTGAAGGCGTCCTTCGGGTCGATCTGGTACGTGTGGGTGCGTTTGGGCAGGTACGCGGCGAGAGAGGTGAGCACCAGCTGCATCTTCGCGACGGTGTCGAAGACAGGCTTGGTGAGATCGTATTTGATGGCGTAACGCGGTTCGTCGGCTCCTGTGGCCCTGCCGCAGTCCACGATGTCACTGATCGTCAACTCTCGCCGGGTGGCGTACTTGTGAACTCGCCCCCTCAGGGAACGGAGCTCGGTGGGTAGGAGGGCGTCGGCGTTGGACATCTCGTCCTCGTACATGACCCGAATAGTCTCGAGGCGGCTGCGACCGAGCTGACTCCGAGTGGGTGAAGGCTCGCGGGGGGAACGGCTGCTGCGTTCCATTTCGCGCTCCACTTCGGCGGCTGAACCGGGCGTAGAGTCCGGCATGTTGAGGTCAAGCTGAATGTCGAACAGAGAGACGTGTTCTTGGGTCTGGTTGGCGGCGAAAGTTTCGAGGTTGAGGGAGGCGGCGTCTGAGATCGGGGTGAGAGGGGAGTCCGAGGATGAATGGCGTCGGTTCTGGAGGGACAGCCGTGGTATACGGCTTCGGGCGAGCGGGGCTGAGACAGAACGGCGTTCGACGCGACCGGCGTCGATCGGCGATCCCGAGAATTCGGCCTCCTCCCTGCGCAGGCGTCGACTATGCCGAGTAGCGAACGGATACAGCTTGACCAAGTAGACAGAGATCACTCACGAGATCCCACAGTGTCCACTTTGCGGTGGCTGCCGACCGCGTGGGGATGCTCGTGAGCGGGAGGTGCGCCGCGAAGTGGTTCTCCGCAGAGAAGGAGTCAAGTGCGCCTCGAATTCGAGGCGGGCTGTCCTCAAGTAGCCGTGAATTCACGGCTACGCTTCAGAGCGGGTGACCTTGGTGCAACCTCCGGGCCCCTGCTCGATGTGTCCGCGACGTCGAGTAGGGCTGGTGAGGGTTTGCGAGTAGAAAGGTGTCGTATATTTCATAAGGCGGTCGCGTCGCGCCGCCCTCAGCCACGTGCGTATGTAAGATTATCTAAGGCGCTGTAGGCGCCTATGTACGTGCAAGTCATCGTGAGTCCGTAACAAAAAGAAAAGGGTAAGTAGCGTAAAAGTGACTGCTCAGTACCGCGTCGTGGGGGAAGAGTCCCCCGTGTCCCGGATCCCTCACACTGAGTGCCGCCCGCGGCACGCTCCGCTACCCGAATCTCCTTCCTCAGGCGTTCCTTCTCCACCTTCTCGCGCACTTCGGCAGACTGCACCTCCCTTGCCATTCGTGCTGGACTCGCACGAAAAGACCTCATGGCGGTGTCGGTAACGTGTCCCGCCTCCAGCGCGTCAATGAGCATGGGGATGCCGAGTACTTTGCCATTGAGGGCTGTTCAGGAGGTACACGCCCTTCTTCATTTGCGTGAGTTACTCGCAGCCTTCTGCACAGCATTTGAGCTTGAGGGCCACCACCAGCAGTGTCTCCCAGCTCGTCGCCCGCATGCTGCTGTGCCACAACAACGCGAACACGCCCAGAGCATGGTCCTGCTTGCGGGCATCGCGCGTATCGTCGGCGTGCGCGGCTGGGAATACGGTTGCAGCGTCAAGCCGGATGAGTTGATGCGAAGTTGGGGATGGTGGTAATGGCCGCCGCCTCATACTGGACCCCTCGGCTTGACTTCCATGCCCAGCGAGACGTCACCAATGGTAACCAGTCCTGTAAAGCAATGTCAGTCAAGAGGTTCAAGCACGCTGATTTGGCACGTACATCTTGTGGTAGAAGGCCTTCAGCTACACGAAAACTTGATAATCCACAGTTCGTCGCCGTCGAGGTACCGAGAGACGTTGAGGGTGCAGCGTGACTGCCAGCGGACGCTCGTTGATGTTCGCCATCCGTGGCTGGTTGAGCCAGACGCGACGCGACATACACGACCTCACGCTCGAGTAGCAGGCCAGCAGCCCAGATGCAGCTTCGCGCAGTCCGATGGACGCGGCTTAGCCATACCCGGGCGCTGAAGCGAGCACTCGTAGACCTCGTAGACGGCGGGAGTCAGGGTGTCGGGGTGAGGGCGGTGATGAACTTGATGGAGCGTATGTGTGCGACTCATGGCGACTACCGATGAAGGAGGAGGATGAGGAGGTCACGGCGAGGACGACGGAGGAGAAGATTGGGACGACGGGGACAAGGGAGCCGACGGCTGTGTACACGGTGGTGGTTAATCAAAGGTGATGCTGGAAAATGGGGCGGGACTCACTTGATGCAGAGTCCCTGACGAAGGGACTGTGGTCGGACTGTGGTTGGACTGTGCATTTTTTAGGTGGGCACAGTTTCTCGAGCGTTTTGGCGGAGGATTTGAGGGAGGAGACGCGCACGCGAATGGTGGTGTTGGCGGCGGGAAGCCCAGTCCATTTGCCGGCAAACCCCGTTCCGCCGTCCAGCTCGTGGGCCGGGTGACGTGGATTTGATCCCTTGTACATCACCCGGGATGCAGTACCACCGTGGCGTGTAAAGCACATGTCGAATTACGCGCTGTCTACTTGTATATGTAAGGCGCGGGTGGACTGACTCTGCTTTTTCCCAATCCCCCATTCACTGAGACGTTATTCCCTTTTCTTGTTAACTGTCTGCCTCGCCTCGCTTTCCTGCCTTCAGAAGCATGGCACCGACAATAGCCTCCCCTCCTTGCGGTGTTCGCACCTCGCTCGATCATGTCCGAGCAGCAGAGATGGACAAGGCAATCCCCCCATTCTCGTGAGCATTTTCCCTCGCATCTACAGCATTATTAGCATTTTTTGCGGCGCGCTTCGCGCGCTCTCCATACCCCAACTCCCCCACCTCTACCCTCCACTTCCGAGCACTTCGATCTCTCCTCCCTCGCAGCTTGCTGGCCCGTTTCCTCATTTGAACTTCGGTCCACAATTCCTGGCCCCGAAGGGGCTGAAAGACTCCCATTCCTACACTGGACTACCACCACAGACAGAGGCTATCATATGTTACTTCCCTTGTACACGATGGACGGGGGAGGGCGTCAGGCGTCGGTTGGTCGGGACGCACGCGCCCAAGGCGCGCGCCTCCGCGTCGCGGAGGCAAACCGCCCGCCCCGCTCGGGGATAGCCTCCCTGGGCACGCGGCGCGGGGATCAGGATCCGGCCGCGCGTGGCCTCCCGGCGCTCGGTCGCGCACGCGGCCGCAGCGCCGGGACCGGTGATCGCGGGCGTGATGTGGGTCGGGACCGGACTGTGGATTCGTCCACGGTAAGATTCTTCCCATCACGTGTCAGACTCGACTTGACCGGACTTGACCGGACTTCGGTTGCCGACCGGGGCCTTAGCTTGCCTCACACCAGGGGCTGGCATTCGTGCTACTCTCTGGCCGGGGGCTCACATCCTGTCTTAAGATATTTAAGAACACCCTCGCGGATCATTGCAGATGGGTAGACAGCTACTACTTCATCTATACACTATCCTCTAGAACCCATATTAAAGCCCCAACTCGTCGGCGAAAGGAAGAGCGGCAATGTCACCAACGGCGACGTACGTCGGCTTGCTCTTGAGCAAGCTTGTCGCGGTCTGGATAGTAGCATCAGTAAACGGTCTGGCAAAGGAGATGTAAGTAAGCTTACTTTGTTGAGACCGTCAGCGGAGAGCTTATCAAGGGATGACAGGGCATTTTGCAATGACGCATCAGAACCAGCGAGGACCTATTGTCGAACAGTGAGACTAAATTCGTCGACAGCGATGGGGTACACACCTTGGACCCGAGGACCGAGACGAGGCCATCGCGCGTCTCCAAAGCGTTGGCAGCAGCGAACTTGGCCTTCGCGATGGCCTTGGTGAGGTCGCTCGCTTTCGCGGAGCCGGCACTCTTGAGCGCAGCAACTGCCGCCGTACCTGCGGTCTTCACCGCCTCCGCCGTCTCACCCTGCACGAGCAGACCCACCAACGTCGCGTCGGAGTAGGGCAGGAACACCGGCTTCACGGACGCGTTCGTCGGGATCGCCGCCGCCAAGGGCGACGTGCCCTGCAGCCACTTGCCCGCCGGCTCCGCAGACAAGAACGCTGAGAGCGCGGCGAGCTCTGCGGGCGACCCCGTCGAACCAAAGCCAATGAACACGGTCTGCGGCCCATCATGTGCCTCGAGACGAGACTCGCCACCGAAGTACTTCGACGAGGGGGACGCGGACGCGGCGCCGGCGGCAAGAGACGCGAGCGGAGACTTCTCGATCAGCGCGGCCAGCTTCGCCTGGTCGATGCCGGTGCCAAGGACGGCGATGTTACCCTTCGCAAATGCGGTCTGGGCGAACGCCTTCACGTCCTCGTGCGTGACGGAGGAATGGGACGGGGCGAAGAGGGAGGCGCCAAGGCCATTGCGGAACGCGAGAGCGTGCGCCAGCTCGACCGCGCGTATGCCGTTGTCAGACTGAGCGGCAGCAGTCTCGCCCTCGACGATAGGGGTGACATACTCGAGGAATTCATGGCGGGTGAACTTGGCGGACGTCGCGAAGGAAGTAAGGACGTCGACGAAGAACTCCCTATTGAGACGTCAGACATTTGCCTCGACACAAGGCGCAGACACGCACTCATCGCCACGCAAGAACTCCGCAGTCAATGCGAGATGCTCGCGCGAGAGGCTTGAGGACAACACGCCGCCGTACAACTCGGCCTCGCGAACCGTACCCAGCGCTGAGCGCTTCGCCGTGCTCTGAGACGCGTCAGCGACAATCCATTGCATCCCGCTCAGCACACACCTTGAAGGAGAAGTTTTTGAGGGCATGCGCGACACCAGCCTTAGGCTCAAAGCGGCTGCCCGCCTTCACGAGGAGCGTGACGGAGGAAGTCGGTTGGCCGACGTCGACGGCGGCAACCTTGATGCCAGCCGAGTCAGCGACAGTGGCAAACGAGCGCGAGATGCGCTGGACGCTGCGGGCAGCCGAAGCCCTGGACGCGAGCATCGCCGTGAGGTGGAGAGGTGAAGGACTTGGTGAGGGGAAAGAAATGCACGCCCGCCGCAATCATCATCTCCGGATTTGTCCGGCCAGTCGCGCACGTGGGAGCCCAGAGCCCAATGAACGCGATGCGTTTCGTCACGCAAAACTTGGATACATGGCTCAAGAAAACTACAACTCTACACTCAAACGGTTGATATACGACAGAACATCGGGCGGCATCCGGTATTTGAGCATGCCAGCCAACACAGCGACAGACCGCCCCTTTTTGGCAAGTTGCGAGTCCACGTACTGCAAAGCCCAGATCGTTAGTCTACGCATCAAAAAGCATACTGTTAAACTCACCGTCCTCGTCTCCGACTGCTTGATCTGGTGCAGAATATCCATATACAACCGCGTATAAAGCGGGAAGTTCCTCTGCAACGCCTCGTGCAGATCCTTAAACTCCTCCGCCCGCTTGCTGATCTTGACCAGGTCGTTGTCCACCACCAGCAGGTCCGTCGAGTCCAGCACGTCCATCGCCCGCTGCAGCTCGCCCGCGTTCCGCAGGTCCATTGCGCGCCGGATCTTCAGCAACTTCGCCACCGCGTCCTTGTCTTTGCCCGCCGCCCGGTTCGTGCGCGCGTAGTGATCGAGGATCTGCTCCGCCGTCCGCTCCAGCGTGCGGCACTTCGCGTCCGGCGCCGTCTGCGCGATTGTGTTGCCCAACGCGCGAGCCAGGCAAGACACGACGGTAGCGTAGTCCTCGGCAAGGTTGTACAGCTTGATAGCCTCCGCCGTACGGTCGTTGTCCTCGGACTCCTTCGCCGCGCGAACGAGGATTTGCTCGTTGTACTGTTGCTTGGAGCGCAGCTTGAGCAGCGACATGTGCTGCTCGATGGTGCCGGGCTACAATGATTTTATGTCAGTACTCAATCTTCCCTGTTCGGCGCATGACTACTCACCGTCCTCGTACCATCCGCCCTGAACCCACCAACCAACCTTTCCCACGTCGGGCCCCCATTGCTCAGCACAATAATCCTCCGCACCAGCTCCCACGCAATCTCCACCTGCTCCCTACCCACCTCGCCGCCCTGGTCCGCCGACAAGCACACGAAGTACACATACTGGAGTGCATCCTCCGCACCGTGCTTCACGAACGGACGAACGTAGCGCCAGAGGACGGTGGGCAAGTTGAGCGCGGGCGGAGAGTTGGGGACAATGGTTACTGGAAGAACGTTCAGAAGCTTATGGTGATGACTAGACGCAGGCCACACTCACGAGGAGCAATGTCCGACGCCTCCGCCCTCGAAGGTACGCGGAGCAGTCCGTGGTACGCCAGCGCGATAGCAATATGCACACCGTCGACCTCTGTGTCGGGATGACCTAGCAGCGCCGCGACGGCCTATGCGACCAACATCAGCACCATGTCCACCCGGGAAGCAGCTTCCATGCTCACCCTCTCGAATTGCCCACAAACCAAGAGCACCTGCGCCCACAGCTCCGGCCTGCCGTTCGGCCCCTCAAAGTGGCGTGCGCCATACCCTAGCAATGTCTCCGCAAGCCCACGGAGGCCGCCTTCGGTATCCTCATCGACCTAGAAGCGCGTCAGCCCATTAGGGTATCACTCTTGAAGGGAAATGACTCCGCATACCATAGCCAGCTGGAACCACAACCAGTCCTCCGCCGTGCTCGTCACCACCGGCACGCTCCGGCGGGTCGGCTCGAGCTTGCCCATCAGCTTGTACAGTGCCAGCTTGAACGGGTCCGTCGACTTGGCGTGCAGCATGTGCGCGTTGTAGACGTTCTGCAGCTCCTCGCGCTCCATGCGGGAGAGTCTAGGAAAAGGGCATCAGCTCCGCGTATCAAACAACTCGCTCCTCACTCACTGCCTATCCGGCGCCTGCAGCCACGCCTTGAACCGCGCCACAAACCCTGCCTCCCGCGCCTCGATCGCGCGCTCAGCCTCCACCGCGACCTCGAGCGCCGCCTCCGCGCGCCCCGTGCGCACCAGCGTGAACAGGATCGCCCACAACGGCGCCGGGCGCGGCTTCTGGAAGAGCTACGAAAGCAATCAGCCACCCTCTCGTAACGACTCGCACCCTCGAGCACTCACCTCCACCCCGCCCGTCCACTCCCCATTCACATAATACCTCGCCGCCACGAACTCCGCTACATGGTGGGCGTCGCTCGGGTCTCCGCCAATCGGCACCCTCCGCGCGCGTAGCGTCCTCTCCAGCACATCCCAGTACTGCTCCTCCAACGCCTCCCTTGCGCCGCGGGCGATCTGCCTCCTGAGGTCCGCGGCCTCCCGAGAGTTGGGGGAGCCGGTGAGGTTGGAGGCGCCGCCGGTGGGGGTTCCGACGGAGGGTGTACCCGTCCTGGATGTGCCGAAGGTGGAGGCGCTGAATGCGGTAGAGGAACCAAACCCGGTAGATGCACTAGCAGGGGTAGCAGTGCCAGCTCCGGTAGGGATAGAGGTAGCCGCGAGGTATACGCGAGCAAGACGGCGCTCTTGAGGGGCCGTGTTGAGTATGTGTGCGCCTGCGTGCTCGACGGGGACTGCGTAGCTGGGCTCGGCTGTGATTTTCGCAAGGACATCATAGAGGTGGATGATTTGGTGAGAGGTGCCCTGAGAGACGTCTTAGTATGCGATTCTGCAGCATAGATCCCTAAAAACAGCAAAAACAGCCCAAGAGTATGGAATACCAAGGGAGGAAAGGACGCGCAAATATAGAATACAACACTCACCGGCACACTGCCTGCAAGAGTGGCAGCAGCCTGACGCAGGGCATGTATGATAGCAAAAGCCTCGCCGCGAAGACGCGCCTTGTTGAGCTCGACGATTTGCTGGCCATAGATGAGCTGCTTCTGCGTCTGCTCCCTGCTTGGAGCCGCCGGGGCGCTCGTGCTTGCCTGCAATACCCATAAGTTCCATATGATCCCCACATCTGACCTCTAACACTCACCCCCAGCCCAGCCCGCCCGTACGAGCTCATCTTCATCTCAGCCACCGCCCTATTCTCCACGCCCAGGCGTCCTCCGAGCTCCTCAAACAGTCGCCTCTTCCTCGCCTCCCAGTCCCGCTGCCCCCTCTCCTCCAACAACCGATAGAACTCATCCTGCGTCTCCGCGCGGCCCTCCTCGATGGTGGTAATGAGGGTCTGTTCATGCGCGTGGCGCAGGTAGCCGGCCACATCGGTGTCCTGGAGCTGCTGCAGTGGTGAGAAGGTCGTCGCGGTGTTCAGGTGCGAGATCGTGTTTGCGAGTGCAGACGCGTCAACGTGCGCTTGCGCGAGTAGGTAGTTGCTGAATGGGTGGTGAGGTTAGCGCGGGGAACAATGGCATGAACAATAGGACGTACGCGCGATCCGCATCGGCGGCGGTGTTGTGCTGGCGCTGGACTAGTCGTCGTGACTGCGCCTCGATCTGGTCGAGGGACAGCTGCACAGAGGGCAGGTCGGGTCGTGAAAGGTGGGACGTGAGGTTCTTGGACGCGGCCAAGAGGGCCGACAGGTCAGACGCCATCGTCGACAGAGCAGAAGCTGAGATCGTGAGCAGTGGTTCGTAACGTTTAGAGTGGTGGGCGCGTTCAGCAAAATGCCGACCAGAAACGCGCGATGGTCGTTGAACGTGAGGTTGGTACGCGTCGATCGCGTCGGCCCTTGCCACGTGCCGCGTCACTGTCACAGTCCAGCATTGTTGGCGAACTTCAACTTGAGCTCAACCATCATGGAACGTGGCCTGGGGGCGTCTCAGACTACATATGCTCTTCACGTTTGCGATTCTCCACAAAAAATTGGCCTATACACCTTGGCCAATTTTGAAACTCCACGAACGAGGTTTTCAGGCCGTCATCACGACATTCAGAAGCAACGTGCAGAACGTATATGTATACGGTAGGCCGACTTCGAGGGTGCAATCACCCTTCAGTGGTGCCTGCAAAGCGTCCAACACACGCCTGCTCGGCGAATAACCGTCGCCCCGCATCGAGCCCGCGGAGCCGGAACGCAAGCGGACGCCACAAAATGCAACGTGGCCCGACGTCCAACCGAGAACAATGGATTGGTGATCCCATCCGGCGTCTAGTCACCTTCCCCCGTCGTCCATCAGCAGCCCACGTCCACCGCCGCTGACGGAGCTATCAGGCTCTCTATCCCCCACCGCGATCCCCACCAAACATCGGCGCTAGTCGGCGGGATCACGTATCACACAGCACCGATCAGTAGCTACATAAAAGGATTGCCGGCTGCAGTCGTTGTTCCTCACAGACTCCAGCATCCCCTCCGCACTCATCTAGACCAACCACCACATACACTTAGAAATGGAGGGCATCAAAAAGGTTTTCGAGGCTAAGAAGGAGCAGGTGTGTAGAGCACTCCTCAGACCACTGATCAGCGACTCATGTACTCCAGGGCTCGCCCGCGCTCGTCACCTTCGTCACCGCAGGCTACCCGACAAGGGAGTCTACCGTTCCCATCCTGCACGCTCTCGAAAAGGGCGGCGCAGACATCATCGAGCTCGGTGTCCCCTTCTCAGATCCCACTGCAGATGGCCCCGTCATCCAGTACTCGAACACCGTGCGTGCTTCCCCTGCGTCTGACACTTCCCCTCGTACTGACACTCCTCCCAGGTCGCGATCAACAACCAGATCGACTACGCGACCGTGCTCGGCTACGTCCGTCAAGCTCGCGCAGAGGGCATCAAGGCCCCCCTCGTCCTCATGGGCTACTACAACCCCGTCCTCGCATACGGCGAGGACCGCGCCATCGAAGAGGCCGCCGCCGCGGGCGCCAACGGCTTCATCATGTGCGACCTCCCGCCCGAGGAGGCTATCAACTTCCGCGAAAAGTGCCGCAAGTACGCCATGTCCTACATCCCCCTCATCGCGCCCTCGACCTCCCTCCACCGCATCAAGTTCCTCGCCTCCATCGCGGACTCCTTCATCTACGTCGTCTCCAAGATGGGCACCACTGGCTCCTCCGATGCCGTCGCCATCAACGCCGAGCTCCCCGCTATCATCGCGCGCGTCCGCCAGCACGCTACCGTCCCCGTCGCTGTCGGCTTCGGCGTCTCCACGCGCGCGCACTTCGACACCGTCGCCGATGCAGGTGCTGACGGCGTCGTCATCGGCTCGCGCATCGTCCAGGTCATCAAGGGCGCGCCTACCAGCGACATCGCGACTCCGGTCGAGGAGTTCTGCGCCGCCATCACGCTCAAGGGCCATCAGCCGCACCCGCGCAAGGCGCAGCCGCCCTCGACACCTGCGCCGGTCGACGCTGTCGACGATGCCCCGCCGGCCGCGATCAGCGACCTCCCCATGCGCTTCGGCGAGTTCGGCGGTCAGTACGTCGCGGAGGCGCTCGTCGAGTGCTTGCAGGAGCTCGAGGCCGCGCACCGCGCCGCCATGGCCGACCCCGAGTTCTGGAAGGAGCTCCGCAGCCACTACGCCTACATGAACCGCCCCTCCAACATCTACCTCGCCGAGAGCCTGACCGCGAAGACCGGCGGCGCGAAGATCTGGTTGAAGCGCGAGGACTTGTGAGTATCTTTATCAACGGTCATAAAGTCCCGTACTGACAATGAAACCAGGAACCACACTGGCTCGCACAAGATCAACAACGCGATGGGCCAGATCTTGCTCGCAAGGAGGTTGGGCAAGAAGCGCATCATCGCCGAGACTGGTGCTGGTCAGCACGGTGTTGCCACCGCGACCGTCTGCGCCAAGTTCGGCATGGAGTGCATCGTCTACATGGGTGCTGAGGACGTTAGGAGACAAGCCCTTAACGTCTTCCGTATTGAGATGCTCGGCGCGAAGGTCCCTGCTCTCTTGCCGGTCGTCTGCGTCCAATCTCATCGTATTTTCAGGTCATCCCCGTCGAGTCCGGATCGCGCACGCTCAAGGACGCCGTCAACGAAGCCCTCCGCGACTGGGTCACCAACCTCTCCTCCACCCACTACCTCGTCGGCTCCGCCATCGGCCCGCACCCCTTCCCAACCGTCGTCCGCGACTTCCAAAAGGTCATCGGCGAGGAGATCAAGGCGCAGATGAAGGAGGCCACCGGCGCGCTCCCCGACGCCGTCGTCGCCTGCGTCGGCGGCGGCTCCAACGCCATCGGCACCTTCTACGACTTCATCAAGGACCCCTCCGTCCGCCTCATCGGCGTCGAGGCCGGCGGCGAGGGCCTCGACGGCACGCACCACTCCGCGACGCTCTCGAAGGGCAAGCCCGGCGTCCTCCACGGCGTGCGCACGTACATCATGCAGAGCGAGACCGGGCAGATCATGGAGACGCACTCGATCTCCGCCGGGCTCGACTACCCGGGCGTCGGCCCCGAGCACGCGTGGCTGAAGGACTCGGGGCGCGCGGAGTACGTCGCGGCGACGGACGAGCAGGCGCTGCGCGGGTTCCGCATGCTGACGCAGAGCGAGGGCATCATCCCCGCGCTCGAGTCGTCGCACGCGATCTGGGAGGGTGTCCGCCTGGCGAGCACGCTGCCGAAGGACAAGAACGTCGTCATCTGCTTGTCGGGTCGTGGGGACAAGGACGTCGAGGAGGTGTCGCAGATTTTGCCCAAGTGGGCAAACATCCTCGACTGGCACGTCGCGAAGCGCACGAACGCGTAGAAATTCGGTTCGCAGTGTTGTATATCATAGCAATATATTAGTGTAGTACATCCTCATGGCTTCATAATTTAAGCATTTATCTTGTCCTGCTGCGTCGTCCGTGCCAACGAGGTTTCGATTTGTTTTGTACGGCAGTAGGCGCTTGGCTAGGAGAGCTTGAGGGCACGTTACTCATCGGTTGGATATCGCTTCAACATTGATCGAGGTGCAGTTGTAGCCTGAGACCGTCAATACTCAAGTAGGGGGGGAGGTACGCGACATTTGAAGAAAAGCAGCGTTGCGCTGATGGCGGTCAGCTCAAAGGCGTGGAGCAGCAGGAATTGACTGGTCGGGGGGTCACGAGCACCAGCACTAGCGTCCGCGAAGTCACCAGATCTGCCAGTGGGAATCCACCACGGCTATGGACGTCGCCGGCGTGTACGTGAACAGGCGTCGCCGAACGCCGAGCATGAAGGTATGTATACGTGAGAGCGGCAGGCGACGACGAGCGATCCAACCGCAACCATAGTACGATGGCCCGCCGCACGTTCCTCATCGGCCTCGGCTGCACGCCCTTCATCAAGCCGCGTGGCACACGCACGACCGAGTCGATGGGGCTCGAGGCCGCCACGAAGGCGCTCCTAGATGCCGGCATCACCTACGACGACATCGACACCGCCGCCGTCGGATATTGTTACGGCGACTCAACTTCAGGCCAGCGCGCCCTCTACGCGCTCGGCCTCACCGGCATCCCCGTCGTGAACGTGAACAACAACTGCAGCACAGGCAGCACCGCGCTCTACCTTGCCAACAACGCCGTGCGCGGCGAGCAGGCAGAATGCGCGCTCGCGCTCGGCTTCGAGCGTATGGCTCCGGGCTCGCTGGGTACGGTGTTTCGCGACCGCCCGAGCCCAATGGGGCTGTTCGCGCAGCGCGTGCAGGAGATTGAGGACGACAGCCTCGGCGCGAACAAGGGGCCGCCCGCGCCGCGAGAATTCGACAATGCGGCGAGGGAGTACTTTGCACACCATGGGGTGGACGCAGGCGCCGGCAAGCGCGTACTGGCCAAGATCGCGGCCAAGAACCACCGACACGCGGTCAACAATCCGTACGCGCAGTTCAGGAATGGGTGGGGAGAGGAAGAGGTACGCAAAGTCACCCTTAGGGCGTCTTGATTCAAGTCGACCCTTCCACGACTGCTTAGATCCTCAACGCCACAACCATCACCGCAACTCTTACAAAGTACATGTGCAGCCCGACCTCGGATGGCGCTGCCTGCTGCATCGTTGCTTCCGAGGCCTTCGTACACACGTGAGTACTATTTCCAGGTTCCCGCTTATTACTGTGGAGAGGTCCAACGGCTGGTTATATTCAACGTATCGATCACTGATATCCTTCGCAGCCACCACCTGGAGAACCAGGCCATCGAGATCGTCGCGCAGGGCCTCAACACCGACGCGCCCAGCGCATTCGAGAAGACGAAGTGGGGAGCGGGTGACGAGTCAGGACCCGCGATGGATCTCGTCGGATATGGGATGACGAAGGCGTGCGCGGACAAGGTATTGGTTCCCCTTCGCCTCCTCATCCGAAGATCAGCCTAACCATGTCGTTTTCCGCTGCCTGAGCACATACGAGTCGATGGCTGGCTTACTTTTTCTCAGGTCTTCTTAGTTGCGGGTGCATCTCGCGCCGAAGTAGGAGTCGTCGAACTCCACGACTGTTTCGCTGCGAATGAGGTGAGCTGCTCGTTCGCCTCCAGGATCTGGCATTAAGCCTGTGACCCCTTCCCGCAGCTAATCACATACCCTGCGCTTGGTTTTTGCGCGCCTGGAGAGGCGCACAAGGGTGTCGAACGGGGCGCCTTCGAGGTGAGTTCCGCGGCACATTCCTCGTATCTCGCTGCTCTTGCACGGCCTTCTGCGCCTTTCTCGGCTTCCTCGTCTTGGCGTGCCTCTCGTTGTTGTTTTCCCATATGGCGAATTATCTACCCCTTCAAAAATTCGCGGCATATCCTGCTTGTCGCTTTATACTGACTCTGACCCTCGCAACCGACAGCACGTCAACCCCTCGGGCGGCCTCGAAGCAAAGGGACACCCGCTAGGCGCCACCGGGCTCGCGATGTGCTTCTACGTGGGGAGTGAGTGAATCTTCTGATTCATCTCCATGGCACTGCGCGATCATTATACGCTGCCTCTACGCCCCATCGACCTGCTATACTGACCCCCTTCTTTCCTACAGTGCAACTTCGCAACTGGGCTGGTCCAATGCAGGTCCCGGGTCTATTCGACACGAAGGGTGAGTAGCGACCGACCGCCCGCCTCTTTAATCGATGTTCATGACGTTCTCTTGCTCACTCGTCAGACCCCCGCGGCAAATTTGGCCTCGTGCACAACATCGGGCTGGGCGGCGCGGTCGTGGTCACGCTCCTGCGGCGGCCCGAGTTCTATGAGGACGGGAAGCAGAGGGAGGACGGGCGGGATAGGTGAGTCTGGTTTAGGATCAATTCCCTGAGGATAAGATTCTTCTAAGCGCGCACGGTAATGCCGCTGACGTCCCATCCTTCCACTTCGAGCGCTACTCTTATAGCGTTGTACACATCGCTTAATCAATCCTAACCCAACCTTCCAGACTTACCTACAACCACGCCCACATCGCTCGCCCAATAACCCGCGCGGATGTGGACAAGGTCAAGAGCAGGAAGGCGCCGAGCAAGTATGTGTTGGAGTACACGACCATCGGCTGGGAGGAGGGCAAGGAGGCCAAGTTGTGATTGCGCAACGCTCTCACACAGCGTGTCCGCGCTGGCTGGGCGAGCACATCGCCTCAACACCCTTGTATCAACACGACTCTATCTGTACTTGTATCTCGAAATCCTGAATTTGTACAACGATGTCGCATGTTTTCCTGCTTCTTGATATGGCACTGTCTGACGGTTCCCCCTTCGATCTGTGTATCGCCCAGGAGCTCTCCAACGTCTCAACCGTAACGTGAAAGAGCCTGCTTCTTGAAGTGTCCACAAACAGTTCCAGCACAACTGCGTGCACGACGCGCCACAAAGTACATAATATAGGACATCATGCTATGCTTGAGGCGCAAGAATATTCCGATATATGGGCCGAATGCATAAATACTCGTACAGCAAATTCCGAACCATAGATAGCTTGACGCCCTGCGATCCTCCCCCACATCCCCTTGGTCATGTATCCCGGTCTTCTTCTCGCGAAGCAATCACATTCAGATATTCGTTCGTCTCGCCAGGGGATGCGTCAGACGAGGAGCAATGCGATACACTATTACGATGAACAAAAATCTGAGTGATAATAATCAGCAACCGTGACAAATACGGTCCAGAACATAAATACCTTGATGTCCTGCACAAATAACGTGATAGCTGTAGAGGAGCTTGAGCGCTTTGAAGAACCACGGGCAAGAAAGCAGAACACGCGAGATCGGACTGTCGGACAAGTCCCAAACAGCGTGTTGTATAGTGCTTCGCTCCTCGTTCAGCGCGTTGAGTCTGAGGAAAGGATGAACACGAAGCGACAGGCGGAACGATGTATCACTCACCTACTGATCATGATACTCAGAGGACCGTCTTGAGTGTCGCCAGCATCACTCGTACCTGGGCTGGGACCGCTGCCGGAACTCGGCGATGCGGCAGAATGAGCCAGCAACGATCGAGCCTCATCTTGAGCCTGCTCGCAGTACTGGAGGATAGTAGGAGGTGCTAGCGCATAGAACGCTAGGGCCAGGACCGCTACAGCCGCTTCGGAGAGCACGACATAGCGCGCGACCGCGGGTAGGTCTTGGAGGACGCACGCCTGCAGGACGTCCAGGAAGAAATGTAAGATCCACAGGATAGGGCCCATGTCATTGGTGAGGTCGAGGATAAGAACGGTAGCATCCGAGGAGACATGCGTCCAGCATCCCTCGCTTAAGTACGACAGGCAAAGGTGTGGACCGGCGAGCGTTCGTGTTGGCTATCCTCGTTCTCTGACCACGCAAATGAACGTTGCAAGAGGCCGAGAGTGGGAGACCTTGGCAGAGAAGTCATAAGGTCACTTGGTCAGTGACTTCGGTGCAGAGCATCGGAAGGAAACGGGGGACAAAACCCGAGACGCGAATATGGACGAGGGGCGAGCAGTACAAGGGACGTCACGTCGCCCACGCGAGGTCAACGCATGTTCTGGCAGTGCATTCTACCTTTGCGCAAGCGAACGAGGGAATTAAGCCGTGGAACATTGACAATGGCAGCAGACGCGCCGTTCTACGCCCTCTAGCGAAATGCAAAGGGAAAAAAGTTACCAGCAGTTCGGAGTCGCTTGAGAGGAAGAGCGCGTGTCATATCAATTGTCGGTCCAATAAGGAGGGGCTATGAGCCTTCTAGGCTGAGGAGGAAATATCTGGAGTGGCGTTTGAAGGGCCAGCGCAAAGGGAGATAGCAGCACGGCGGTCACCACGAGGAAATATCACGTGCTTCATGTCGGCCCAAAGTCCACTAGAGGACCGTTGCATCTGGTGACGCCGAAGCTGAGGTATGGCAGGACCTGAAGAATTGCAACGAGACGGCGACCACAAGATAGCACAGTAAAGTCCCTAGAAGTATGATTATGAAGGCCGGACTTGTTGGAGCGAATAGCTTTTGCGCAGGTTGCATCGTGTGTTTTCATATCTTCCTCTTCCGTACCGGTCGGATGTTGATGAGCTCATGAGGTGATTGCATCCTTGGAGAGTGGGGTGAGGACCAAGATTGAAACACGGGCGTTAGATGGCTTTGCTCCTGCGCAATGGCGAACGTCGACCTCCTGCTCAAGGGCAGGTGCGGGAGGGTCGCGGGAACCATAACAGCAAACCAGATGTTCTGGTGTAGAGCATGCGAACCGTCGTATGACCCACTTATAGAGGAAAGTGAGAGCCAGAACATGGACGACAGACGCAGGAGGCAAGTTCAAAGCTGCGACTCCGAGCGCCTAGCCAGGACCCCCGACAACTCCCCCAAATGTCCGATCCTACATTTGCGATTTTGGGTCATTTCCGTCGCATAGATTTTGGCCCATATTGAGGGTTTCTCGGCGCACTAGGATCAGACATGGGTCGAAGGCAGGATATCCGTCGCACTATGGATCGGAGATTGGTGGCGACGATCACCCCCGGCCACCTCACATGGGGTCCCCTCAGTGCTCTGAGGGCTGCTTTGCCTACTGCTGATGGGGCGGCGGGGTTCTACGCGGGCGGAATTTCGACGCAACGCGCAAATCCGGCGCACAGTGGATCGGACCTCGACGACGTGCGCTCCCAGTCGTCGCACTTTGGATCGGACGTCCCTCGTAGTTTTGGCCAGATTCGGCGCACTGGGATCGAACATTGCTGTATTTTGAGCGTCTACCCGTCGCATTAGGATCGGACATTTTGGTGAGTTGTCGGGGGTCCTGCCTAGCCTGGCCCGGCCCCCGGACCGGCGGACTCCATCTCATAACAACACCAAACCAAAATTCTGGTCTTTTCCGCCAGCGTCCCCGTCATCGTTGACCGCGCCGAGAGCCTTTTGCTAGGTCTCTAGCCCCCACCGCGCCCATCGAGCTCAACGTCCTTGCCGACGAAGCCACTTTTCTTCTCCCTTCGACCGGACGTCTTCTTAGCCGAAGCACACCTTCATTGACGGAGTCTCTTCTCGACGAGTCTTTTTCCTCGTCGACCCAAGCGTCCTTCTCGACCTCGACGAACTCCAATCCATAATGCTTGGCCCCCTCCGCACCGCCGTTACTGGCACGTTCCGCACCGCGGTACAGGCGCGCGCGCTCCCTGCCGCCGGCGCGCGCACAATGGCGAAGAAGGCCAAGCCGCCGCCCTCGCCTGCAGTGGACCCAACACCCGAGCAGCCACCCGCATCCGAGCAGCCGCCACCTCCCTCGTCCGATGCCCCGCCCCCACCTCCCACCGACACTCCCCCATCCGACGCAGCCACACCCCCGACCGAGCCGCCTTCCAAGTCCTCCCTCCCCTCCCTCGACTTCTCGCCTGCGGAGGCTGGGGACGAGGTACCCGGCGGCCGCACGGGCGCCCGCTCCGCACGCGACGCGCCCTCCGCTTCTGAGCGCCGCCAGCAGGCATACGCGCGCGTCCTCGGGGGCTTCCTGCTCGCCGGCCTGGGCTACAACGCGTGGTTCATGGGACGCGAATGGACCGAGGAGGAGCTGAAGGAACGCAAGCTGACCGCGGAGACGGCGCCGCAGGGCAGGTGGGAACGGACTAAGGCGCGCTACATGGGCATCTTCGACGTACGTGTCGAGTTGCAGATGTGATGCAGGACACTGACAACTATTGCAGTACTTCACGAAGCCCGCATGGACGGAGCTGCTGCCGCCACCGCACCCGCACCCCATGTACCACCGGGACTACACGCTGATCATTGACCTTGACGACTTGCTCATCAAGTCGATGTGGGATGTACGTTGCGCTTTAAGGCAGCCTGTTTCGTGTACTCATCTAATCCTCTGTAGCGTCAACATGGCTATCGGACTGCAAAGCGGCCCGGTGTCGACTACTTCCTCGCGTACTTGTCCCAGTTCTACGAGATTGTCCTCTTCACGACGCAGAACTCATACGTGAGCACATCCGACATGCTGTACAACCTGCATGTGCTCACAGAATCCCGCAGACCGCGGAGCCCATCTTAGAAAACCTCGACCGCTATGGGATGTACTTCACGTACAGGCTGTACCGCGAGTCGACCAGGTCGACGAGCGGCCACATCGTCAAGGTGCGCGGCTTGTACCAGATACTTGGACGTGACTGAATCGTGCTGCAGGACTTATCCTATCTGAACCGCGACTTGTCGAAGGTTGTCGTGCTGGAGACTGAGCCGGACTACGTGTCGCTGCACCCGGAGAACGCGATCATCTTGCCCAAAGTGGGACGGTAGCCCCGAAGGACCGTGGCCTGGTTGGCCTGATTCCCTTCCTGGAATGTGAGTGACCTATATCCATGCTACCATTGACGCGTCTAACAGCGTCGCAGCCCTCGCGATCTACAAGGTCCCGGACGTTCGGCCGATCCTGCAGGCGTACGCTGGCAAGGACATCCCGATTGAGTACGCCAAGAAGGAGGCTCTGGAGAAGCAGCGGCACATCGAGGAGTGGAACAAGAACCCAAAGAGCAAGCCGCGGACGAACCCTGGCCTTGCCGCGCTCTTCGGGATCGCGCCCCCGCCGCCGTCGACGGACGTGCCGCTTACGTATCTGGAGCAGAAGCGGCGGGAGTACCAGCAAAAGTACCTGGAGGAGAAGGAGTGGCTGCAGAAGAACCGGGAGGAGCTGGAGAAGCTGCGCGAGCAGGACCGACAGGCGATGATGGGAGAGGTGCCGCAGAACCTGTGGGAGATGATGGACCGGATGAAGGCGGGCGCGCCCCCTCCTGGGCAGGAGGGCCAGCAGCCGTCTGCGCCTTCGCAAAAGACACCATAGACAGTCCACTAGTTTACACCCCCGCTCATAATCGGAGTTTGAGATGCGATTGCACACCCTTAGCATGACCGTGACAAATGAACAATGATCGCGCACGTGACTGAAATAGAGGGATCGGACACGGCTTGTTACGGACGACGACGTCGACACCCTCACTGCTCATCGTTCATGGCGACCGCGGACGAGTACGAGGGCCTGCCCGAGACCGCCGGCCTGGGGACGCATATGGCGGCGGGCGCGCTCGCGGGCATCTCAGAGCACGTGGTCATGTACCCGCTCGACTCGGTCAAGACGCGCATGCAGGTCCTCTCCGCCCCCGCCGACGCCGCCCAGGCCCTCCGCCGCGCGCTCACCGCCAACTCCGCGCGCGCACTCTGGCGCGGCGTCTGGTCCGTCATCCTCGGCGCGGGCCCCGCGCACGCCGTCCACTTTGGCACGCTCGAGGCCGTCGCCGCGCTCGCCACGGACGCGGGGCTCGACGGCGTGCCCGCGACCGCGCTGGCGGGCGCGGCGGCGACCACGGCGGCGGACGCGCTGATGAACCCTTTCGATGTCGTGAAGCAGCGGCTGCAGATCGGTGCGCACGGGCCGGGGTCGTCGGGCGCGCGCGATGTCGCGCGTACGTTCAAGCGCGTGTATGCGGCAGAGGGCCTGAGCGCGTTCTACGTGTCCTACCCGACTACTTTGGCGATCAGCATCCCCTACAACGCGATACAGTTTTCCGTGTACGAGCAGGTATGGTACTTCCCATTCCCCTCCCGTCCCCCTTCTAACCCGTTTGTCCCACAGGCGAAACGGTGGCTAAACCCCACCAACGAATACTCCCCCTTGTCGCATATCGTCTCTGGTGGTGTTGCTGGTGCAGCTGCCGCCGCTCTCACCACACCCCTCGATGTCGCCAAGACTGTCTTGCAGACGCGCGGCGAGAGCCAAGACGCGTGCGTATCTGCGATCCTTGGGTTCCCCCTTCCTCGCTAAACGTCTCCTAGTCAAGTCCGCGCCGTCCGGGGCATGGCCGACGCGATACGCCTCATCTGGCGACGAGACGGCGCAAGAGGGTGCGAGCTCCGCGGCATGTCATCAGCCTTTACTCAATTCTATCCTCTCAGATTCACCCGCGGTCTTGCGCCGCGAGTGCTCACCGCCATACCAAGCACGGCCATCTGCTGGATGTCGTATGAGTTCTTCAGTGCGTGGCGAGCTACTTGACGGAGTGCGTTTCACTGATTCCTCGCGCAGAAATGGCTATCCACGCCGCATAACGAAAAAAGGCGACCCGCGCGACCCCATAGACTCGCAGCGTAGACGCTCCGACGTCCCCCTGCTCGCGCTGCGTCCCTTCCCTGGCTGGTCTCCACCTGCCCATGTCGCCAGCCGGCAGCCCTGCATACGCACTCCCTCCGGCATGCCTGCTCCCACCCGCACCGCCCATCTCGTCATGCCGACGCTTCGTCGCTAATAATGCACCGCCCTGCCCACCCGTGACGCATATCTGTTGCCCTCGACGCAACCCACTGACCCAAGACCCTCGCACCCCCATTCACCGCACGTTCCCGCATGCCCCGCTGCCTATACACTACTGAATCTTGCTGTATGCTAATCTATACAACATGTCGCCGATGATGCGCTCTGTCGATCAGCGTGGACGCGTCCCTCCCACGGCGCGGGCTTCTGACCGTTCTTCTGACCATGACGCGCAGCGAAGGCCTTCTGAGCGCTATCTGAAGAATACGTTTACTCGACTTTCCTTTCGCGCAGTCCTCACCGCCGTCCCTCTCACCCTGCCTCGTCCGCCCTCCCCGGCTCATCGCGATCTCTCCTTCACCCACACATTCCCCTCGTCCCCCGCCATTCCGAATACCCTCTACAGCTTTCTGCCTCGCGCTTGGTACGCATCTCATCGCAGCGGCGCGGCCGTATCTGATAAGATAACGGGCCTGACGACGCACGCGCTCACTCATAGCTATTGAGTCCGGCCAACTTGCGTCCAACCTCCCCCGAGCCACTCACAAGCCTCCGCGTCGCCACCGGATGATTATCGCCGAGCGCTTGGTATCGTCGGAGGACGCGCCGCACCTCGGAGGTTCTCCCACCTCGCGGAGCGGGCCTCCAATCACGAGCGTCCATAAAATACCATTTTCGGCACCTAATGCCTCCGCAACGCCACAAAATAAATTGGCGACTCAGTATGTTGGATAAACGAGCAAAACAGCTTATGAATTAATCAGACAGGTACGTGCGTATAGATGTGCGTCCTGATGCCAGCGATCTTTCTAAGAACTGGCTTCAAGTTGTGCAAGCAAACAGATCGAACAGAGCCTGAGGTCTGAGGCATCGTATAGTTCGCTTGTGAAGTATAGTCGCATGTAAAGTATAGTGCGCGTAAAGTACAGTATAGTTGTGCGTAAGCCCATGCACGCTCAGAATGGTCACCCTCGACATAGCTGCCCATCTCGTGAATGCCCATGGCAGCTCTATCACTGCTGTCTCTGATGACAGTGGGAGCAGGCAAATAGCACGAACTGGTTGGAAACAGGCAAACAGCACGAACTGCTGGGAACAGGCGAACAGCGCAAACCGCCCAGCATGAAACCGTCTCAACCCCAGAAAACAGTGCGGAAAGGCCGGACGTGTATACCTGCGCACGCTGTCAGACAATGGCTGCACCGGTGGGTGGGTGTAGAACAGAGGATGCGCGTAGATAGAACAGATAATGCGCGTAGCGAGAAAAGAGTACGCGCGTAGCGAGAAAAGAGTAGCGTGCGCGTACTCGAATAAAAGCAGCGTGCGCGCTTCGAATAAGAGTACGCGCGCAGCTTGAAAAAAGTATGCGCACCCTTCGCCTCCAGCACCGACTTCACCTCCCTGTCCACGCTCGTCTCGCACATGTGGAACTTCTCGGGCGGGTGCCAGAAATCCTGCGTCCGAATCAACGCGTCGTACTCGGCGAGGGAGAGGTCCGCAGTGCGGCCCGCGGAGGTGGAGAGGAAGTACGAGTAACCCCTCGACTCATCCGCATTGCCCACCATCGCGCATTCGATATCCTCATAGACCTCGAAGAGATCGTTAACGAGCAGCAACATGCGGCCCGCATCACTCTTATCTCGGGGCGCGTTTGCCCGATAGCCAAGCGCGGTGAGGTGCGCGGCGGCGAGGTTAGCGAGGCTGAAGAGCTCCTCGTCGTCTATGGGATATCCGCCGCGGAGGTCGACGATCTCGATCTCGGCTTCGGCTTGGGCAGTCGGGCTGCTGGGTGGTGGAAACGTGGCCATGCCGGCCACCTGTTGGCGGTCGAGGGACGTTCCTTCTGAGTGCGTTGACCAGCGCGTGGGTGTGTTGACCAGCGAGAGGGTGTGTTGTCCAGCGATTGGGCAAGAGCTGGCGGCAGAGATGACGATTAGTCGCGGTCGAAGCCAAGGGCGGGATACCTCCGATCAAGTGCAGGTCACAAATACGTGTGCCCGGCTGGTCTGCCGAGTCTGCCGATGACCCCGTGGGCGAAGGGCGCGAGAATGAAAGTGAGAAGGAGGATGGGGCGAGAAGGAGTCGGAAGGAGGGGAGAGAGGAGGCGAGATATCAACCGCACGAGTAGAAAGTAAGGGGAACGAGAGCGAGAAGAGAGGAGGGGAGGCGGACAGAAGAAGCGCGATATGAGGAAATGAGGAGGAGAGCAGTTCGGAGGAAAGCCGAAGGAGCGCGCAAGGATAGTGCAGCGGGACAAATCATGGCAGGATGACATTGACGGAAGAGGGGAGAGGAAAGCGTACAAGGAGTGAACCATGTCCTATGCACCGGAGGGGAAAAAGAATCCGCCTATGGCAAGATGAGTCGGCCCAGGATCGAACTGAGGACCTTCTGTGTGTTAGACAGATGCGATAACCAGCTACGCCACCGACCCGTGGGAGGAACGGCGAGGGGAGGGGAGGGGAAGCGCATGTACCCGGCGGGCATGGAGGGGAGGGTGATGGGATGGAGGGGTGAAGACGAGAAGAGAGGGAGGAAGACCCGAGGAAGGGACAGATGGAGGGAGGGATGGGGGGAAGTGGCGGCGAGGAGAAGAAGGCGGAGGTTGGCAAAGCGGGTATATGCGCGCATTTGGCAATAAGGGTGCGACAGAAAGGGCGAGATGGGGGGCAAGAGAAGACGAGAGCTGGGGAGGGAGGGCGTGAAAAGAGAGCAGAAGGGGGGAGGGTAGGAAGGGGGGAGGGAAGGGGGAAGGTGAGAGGGAAGGGCAAGAGAAAAGGAAGGGAGGATGAGGGTTAGCAGGACTGATTGGAGGTGAGCGAGGTGAGTGTATGCGCCTGGTAGTCAATCAAGTAGAGGCCAACAATAGTCGGCGGGTTTCGTATGACGGCGAGGGTACGGGACGACAGGGATGAAAGAAAGGCGATGCATTGCTACTCAGATTAGGGGCGCTGAGGGCGAGCGTACAGGGAGCGCCAAAAGCGCGACTGTGTTAGCGTCTCGTTGACAGTGAGAGACGACCAGGCCACGCGCCTTCCCCGCCCGTGTGAGCGCACAAGCCAAGCTTCCGCTTCCGGTTTCGAAAGCAGCCAACCCTCCTCGGCATCCGCCGATCCCTTTTGATCCCGACGTCCATGTCGATGCTGCCGCGGCGCACGACACAACCTCCTCCCCCCTGGCCCGCCATCTTCGCTGACTTTCAGTGCACGCTTCCCTGCTCTGTGATGTTCGTATCCCGCCTTGACGGCTTTCGCCCCACCTTGCGCGGCGGAGTCATCGCGCGACAAGCGCCTCGCATGGGTCGGTGGCGTAGCTGGTTATCGCATCTGTCTAACACACAGAAGGTCCTCAGTTCGATCCTGGGCCGACTCAATACCCCCATGAAGCGATCGACCTTTTTTGATTAAGGTCAGCCACGTATCGTTCACCCAGACCATCGATTGACGAGGGTAGCTCACCTTTCGCGCTCCCTCCTCTGACCCCAGCACTTCCCTTTCTCCTCCCTTTTTGTCTTTTCTCCATTACTGCCTTTCTCCACCCCTCTGCTCATCACGCTCTCCTCCACTCTCGCTAACAAACCCTTCTTCCCGGGAGTCATGGTACAACAGCCTCAGAACTGGAAGGGCACGCGCCGCAGAATTTCATCGAATCAGCGCTTCTGAACCTCAACAGAAATCAGTGCCACGAGAGCCCTCGTGGAAGAAGCGTTCCATAAGTCCCTCGAGACCTGAGCGCCGCAAAAGCCCGCGAGGAACAAGCGCCGCAAACTCGCAAAACCCCAGAGCGAAGCACATCTCGAAAACCCCCAATCTTAGCGCTTATAAAACAGGCGAAAGCGCCGCAAGACTGTCTGCAGCGCCACGAACCCACGACAGTAGCCCTTGCGTATAAAACGATTAACCGCACGCCTCCATCCTTCTCGTGCCCGCTCCCCTCTCTCTTATCATGCATCCCCCCACTCTGTCCATGCGGGTGCTTCCAGTGAGCACTGATCCTCAGACTGACTCGCTCGCCTCCTTGGCGCCTCCACCTCCTTCGCCTTCATCACACGTGCATGCGCCTTCGTCGCGCTCATCCGCATCCGCCTCCCCTCCACGCACGCCTTTCATCTCCCCTGCATGTCGTACACCTCCCCCTTCCACCCGTGCGCGTACTCAACAAGATTACGCTCCGAGCGAGTGCGGGTCCGACGGGTGCGATATAGGGACCCACCGCTTGGACGAGCCGGGAAAGCGCCGTGAGGGCGACTTGGAAAGGCGCCTTGAGGGTGGGGAAGAAGATTACAATTTGTTCGACCCAGTGGACCATGGCGCAGAAGAGGAAGAACTACCGCTATCGATGGAGCCTCACTCTCCGTCGTCAACTGAGCCGCACTCTCCGCGGCTACAAGCTTTGACGGGCCCTCCGTCTCCACGACTCTCAGCAGAAGTTCCGCCGACCTCGCCACAAGTCGAGTCTTCGCCGTCCTCTCCATCGCTACAAGCTTCGCTGTCCTCAACCTCGCCGCAGCCTACATCTTCACCTTTCTCATCATCGCAGAATCCGGCGCTGCAAGCGCCACCGACGTCGTCAAAAGCACCACCGCTGTCGGCTGCGCCCATGCCATTGTCTTCATCCTCGCTCTTGCCGCTGCGCACACCTTCGCCTTTGGCGTTGCACCCACCTCCGCCTTTGGCGTTGCTCCAGCCGCCCGCGAGGGTGTATGAGGTCTCTGGTCACTCGCACCTGAGACCCATCGACAGCGCGCGCGCTTGCCAGTCCGAACGGGGTGCTCGTGCACGCGAGTCTCAAGCTAGCGGGGACGTACTTCCTCCGCTGCCCACCGCGGTTTCGCCTTCCCGTCGTCCTCCTTGCTGAGTTCTCGTCGCAGAGGACCATGTACCGTAGTGATAGTATCCAGATAGAATATAGTATTTAGACGACGTTACCTTGCCTAGCAAGGTCTCTCGCCACCCTTAATTGAAGCCCAACTTTTTGCAGGCACGATCAGAGAGTCAACAATGCCCAACTAATGACTGAACGCTCCGGGCTTCGAACCCGGAGCTACCCAGAACCGGATCTCAAGAAAGGGTGCGTCGCCGGTCGCAGAGCCCGAGGGCCGACTGCTGCTGCTCCTACCACCTGTGTCGTGAACTTAAGCTTGAGACGAGCCGTGCGCACCTCGAGGCCTCGGGGACAAGCGCTTGAGCTCCGTTCGATGGACCTGCACGAATCTTAGATGCGTGCGCAAGCCGCACGAGATGTGTACTGACGACTTCCAGGTGCTGACTGTTGACGAGCTCACGTCGAGTGACAGAAAAGTCATGAGCGGGTGTCTGCCTGCTGCTAGGCAAGGTCCAGAGCCGGCGTAGCCGGGGCTTCCTCTAGTCTAGTATTCCAATGACAAATGATAACTGTACTAGAGGAAGATCCGGCTTCGCCAGCTCTAACCTTGCTCTGCACCTGAGATCGACTCTTGTGGCGCGCGTGACTTTACCATTGTTGTTCAAGAGCACCGTACGAATTGATGGGGTCAATTAAGGGCGAGAGAGACCTTGGAAGGCAAGGTAATTTAGTCATCTCACCGAAAGTCGTGCCCCTTGATTCGAACATCGAGCTCGCCCGAAACCAGAGCACGCATTTCGGCATCAGCCGATCCTTTTTGTTCCCGACCGCCATGGTCACGGCGCGCGCCTCATCATCCTGCTCAAGATGCGCCACCAAACACTGTTCCAGATATTGCAGATATGCCTCACTTCAGACCTTCTAAGATGCGCCTCAGAATCCTAGACAAGATGCGCTCCGATATCCTATGCAACTTGCGCCTCGATGTCCCGAGTGCGAGCGCTGTAATATCCTGAGCGCGAGACCCCACTACTCTGCCGCGGGACCCAACTGCTCTGTCGCGCGCCACAAATGCGCAAAGAACTTGAAATTCTCTGCGGACGTCACAGGATCACGCGAGCGGTCTCGCCAGCATATATAGGGTCACGCCCTAACAGACCCTCTCACCATGCTCTCCTCAGTCTACCCGCCCCACTCTACAAACAGCCGTGCCCCTCTGCATCCCGACGTCGTACTACCTCTCGCAGACTCTCGTGCGTCCGCCTCTCGAGATCTACACTCCGCCGCCGGTCGAAGCTCACACTCCACCGCCGGCCGACGTTCACACTCCGCTGCCGCTCAAATATTACTCCACCGCCTCTCCTAGCTTCCGCCAATCCGCTGAGCGATGCCCGCCTCCTCGAGGACCCGCGAACGTCGTCATCGCACTGTACCTCCTCTGGACCAAGGCAGCGACCTCTTGCCGCCGAAGATGTCGCGCGGGGCAGGCCCATGTTCTCCCGCCACAATCAAGCGACCTCGAGCCGCCGTGCATCTTCGCGCGAACACAGGACCGCCTCACGTCGAATGGCCAACGCGCGCAGATGGGCCCTCTCATGTCGATGGACCGCCTTGCCGCGCCGTACAGTCGTCGCGCGCCACCAACGGGCCGTTACGCGCCACCAACGGGTCGTCCCACGCCAACAACGGTTTGTCTCGCGCCGACAGAGGGTCGTCTCGCGCCAACAAAAAATCTCCCTACGCCGGCGCAGGTGCACCCAACTTTGGTGATGGCATGAGCGACGTCACCTTTGACCCTCCTACCACCCCCTCGATCTCTCCCACCCTGTCCTATTCTCCCACCCCGTCCTATTCTCCTACCCCACCCATCTCTCCCACCCTCTCCCCTTCTCCCACCCCCTCCTATTCTCCCACCCTCTCCAATTCCCCAACCTCCTCCTCGGGATCGCTCGTTTCTCTCATTGACTATTCGTCCGACTCCTCATTCTCCATCATCGTCTCCGAGGACTTGTCCAGCGAGCGCAGCCCATCTCCCAGCGAGCAAATCTCATCTTCAACCAGCGAGCAAATCTCCTCTTCACCCAGCGAACGAAGCTCGTCCCCCAGCGCCACATACTCCTCCCCCAACGAACCGACACCCTCTCCCAGCGAAGCGGGCTTCTCCCCGAATCCCACTTTACCACCCTCCACGAACTCCACCCGACCATCATCCTCGTCGACCTGGAACTGGCGCACCAGGACCCCGTCCGATGACAGTAGTCCCCTTCTTGACAATCGCAGTGACCTCGCAGAATGTGGCAGTGACCTCTCTAGTCGTCACAATGACCTCGCGAGCGCTCGCAATGACCTGCTGGGCACTCTCCACGACCTCTCGAGCGCTCGCTGTGTCCAGGAGAGCACTCGCCATGACCTCTCAAGTCGTCACGATGACCGCACCCGCACAGACCTCGCGAGCACCCGCACCGACCTCTCGAGTAGTCGACATGATCCCTCGAACACTCTCAGCGACCTTTCATTATCGATCAACGCCGCTTTCGCCAGGCTATCCCTCCAAGACGACGCGTCCGACGATTATGCCGCGCCCGATGCAAGACCAACTTTGCATCCACGAGAAATTGTCCCGCGCCCATCTTCCATCATCGCGTCAACCGGTTCGGCCATTGGACATTTCCGCTCATTCGAACAATCGCCTTTCCTTGCGCCTTCCGTTTATCCGCCTGCGCCGTACACGTATCCGCCTGCACCGCTCGAGCGCACAAATCCTCTGTTGCGACAAGCCGCGCCGTCCAAGCCGCGTCGTCCAGCCACGCCGTCCGACCCGCGTCGACAAGTCGCGCCTTCTAGTCTGTCGGGGCGACTCGCGCCGCCCGAGCCTTCGCGGAATGTCGCATCTTCCGAGGCGTCGGCAATCAACATATGTAGGCGCCAACTTAACGCTTTACGCAGGGCTGCGACGAAATTTGCACCTCATAATGCTATCCCGCCCTCCCCAGTCGGTGCAACACCTCGATTTGCCGCACCGCATTCTCCGCCTTTCGCACCCTCCTCCGCACCCCTCGTCCCCTCTTCCGCGCCTCTACTCCCTCCATCCGGGTTGCCAAAGCCTAGTCCAGCCTCCCCTCAAAATTCCCCCAACTCGTCTGTCGAGATCATACAATCAGATAACTCTCTATCTTCCCTCGGTAGCTGGTGAACCGGCGAGACGTCAGGAATGGTCGCATGGCGTCTTTCCTGCTTATCACCTACCTGGTCTCCCTGTTACTCACCAGTGACTTCGTCCTGTCTCTCAGCCAGTTCCTTATAGCTATACCCCTCGTAACATGTAGTCTACACGTTCTTCACGTCATTTAGTACTTCAGATACAGTTCGTTTACCAGTCCCAATCAACTCCTGCTTGTGGTTTAACTACACCGAGCGCTGATCAAGCGATTCGAACATAGAACATGTCCCAGACTCGAACACGCGCCTCGGCATCAGCCGATCCCTTTTGTTCCCGACCATCATGACCGCAACCCGGGAGCGCCTCAAGGTCCTGTACAGTGCGGGCCGCAATCTCCCCTTAAATAACGCGCGAAACCCTCCTTGCTCCAATGAATGAAGCAAGATGGTATGAATCATGTAAACGGCAACGCCAGCCACGAAACCACGAAGAAGCACTGAGCGAGCGACGGCCAAGAGTTCGAGAGCGGCGCGAGATACAACGGTACCTATCATCTTCCGAACCAGGTGAGTGCGCAATTGTCGTGAGCTTTTCGAACAGCTTCTCTTCTCAACTCGCGCCCCTCCCCCCACCTGATCCTCTGACCGCTTTCTTCGTCTTCCGCTCTTCCCATCATGATGGCCCGTTCCCCCTCACTTCCATTCTTCTCGCAACCTTCTCAACTCACCTGGTTTAGCGCCACAGCCTCAAACAATAGCGCCCTCGCATGCATGAAGTTCTTCGGGCCCGTTCTCCTCTCTTCGACCGCTTCCTTCCCAAGTCTTGACCTGCGCCACAGAGCGTCGTGGGAATCCCAGTTTGTAGAGCGCGTCAAGGAGCTCGCCTCTCAAACCTCGGGACGACCGTCTCCAGCTTGAGCCTCACAGTGATGTCCTCGCCGCCATCATCCGCCTCATCCGAGTCTCCCATGCCCACGGCCGAGCACGCTTTGCATGAAGCGCCCTCAGTCTGCACCATTGAGCAGCCTGCGGTTGGCGGCAAAGAGCTCGACTTGCTGGCCTTTTCTTCTCAGCTCGTCGTATCGCTCGATGACCAAGAGCTCCTCGAGCGCTCGATCGCAAATCCGGAGCTCATGCGTGCAGAAGCTGCGGCGCTCCGTGCACTGGCTGCGTCGAAGACCCAGATGTGGCCCCCGGACTCGCTAGAACCCGACTACGGCTTGGACGAGGAATACAATGGCAACGTCGGCCAGTACGACGACCTGACCATCGCTGAAGAGCCTCGTACCCCCGAACGACGTGGCGCCCGCAAAGGACGTCCGCGCGCGCCTTCGCTCAGATCCATCGAGGACGACCTAGCGTTACAAATGGTGGTATGGATGAGTGCGCGCGAGGGCAAGCAGTCTCTACGGCAGCAAGCGCACGATCGGCTTCTTCTTTATGGCGCGCTCTCGGCAATGCACGGGTCCGCTGTATCAGAGGCATCTACACGAGCGCTAGCCTCACGACCTCCGCAAGCTTCGGCGTCAAAGCCCTCCACGGCTTCGCTGGCCGGCGCGCCACCAAAACCTTCCTCTCACGCACCGTCTGAATCTCGCTCGCTAACTCGAAAGATGAAGCAACGCCTCCGCCAGCTGACGAGCATTCGCCTCCACAAGCTGACAAGCATCGACCTCCAAGAGCCAACGATAGCGCCTCAAAAACAACGCTGGCGCGTCGGGACTGTCGGTGGCGCCGCGCAAGCAAATCCGGCGCCTCAAATGCGGCAATAGCACTGTGTACATGACAATAGGGCCACAAAATGATCGATGTGATAGAGTTCCGGACATATAAAAGGATCGAGTGCAGTCTTGGACTTTTCTTCAACCTTGACCCACGTTTTCTCAAGTACCGACGAGCACTTGGAGTGAAGACTGCGATTCCCACCGGCTCGCTTGTCGCTCCGGCCATATTTCCAACGCCTTCGTCTGTGTCCTGCTCGCCTCTGCCGAGGGCTTCCTCTTTACCCCCGTCTTCCCCTTCCCCATCTCATCTCAAGGGGGCGCTGACACCGACTGTCTCCACGCGCCCGGAACCTACACCTCCGCGCATGCCTTCCCCCTTTTCCTTTCGCTCGCCTGCTCAACTGGAACGCGCTCCGAGCGAGTGCGAGTCCGACGGGTGTGATATAGGAACCCACCGTGTGGACGCGTCGATTGATGACAACCTGTCCGACCTGGTAGGTCGTGGCGCAGGAAAGGAAGAATTGTCATCGTCGGCCCCGATACAAGCTTCGCTGTCTTCGCCATCGCCGCGGCATGAGTATTCGCTGTCCTCTCCATCTCCCCAAGCCCCAAGCTTCGCCGTCACCGTCGCCGCAATCTGGGACTCCGTCGCCCTTGCCACCGACATACAGTTGAGAATGTGGCGCGGCGCGGGCTATAAAATTATCTTGGTATCGGCCGAGCACGGTAAGCGCGCGAGTGCCGCGAGGCGTCAATGCTTTCCGCATAGCTTTCTTTATACTTTCGTGCACATTGTCTGATGTCGAGCGCGGATAGCCTTCCTCGCTTATCGCACTTCTCATTATTGTTGCCTCAAAGTCTTTTAATATCTCCATGCTTCCATTCCTCCGGCAGACTCTCGTCTAATGAATTGAGCGCCGCAAACTGAACCATGGCGCCCTGGCAGGATATAAGACCCTTCGGGCTATATCCACTTCTTCGCCAACACCGAGCTGCGCCACAGGGTATCAAGAATACCATCCACCGCCACTTCCAGCAAGGTCCGCCATGTCTACTAGTACACCCCCACCCCCACCATACCCATCCCCGCCACCACCATACTCGACTTCCTCATCCGCCAGCTCTGACACAACACATTCTTCACCACCACCCTACGGCAGACCGACGCCTCCACCGCCAGGGGTCCTAGACCTTTGGCAGCTCAATGCCGATAACAGCCCCAATTTCATTGATTCCGACATCAGTGCAGACGTCCGCAGGATGTTCTTTGCTCAAACTGGCCCAACTGGCATCCAGCCTCCAGGACCTCGAGCGTCTTCGTCCCCCACACGCAACTCCGATACAGCGTCACTTGCGCCCCTAGCGTCGGGACGTCCCGCCACTGTGTTTCCTCCGGCGTCCGCGATATCGGAGAATGCTGAACCAGCGCGCTCGACCGTGCCTTCGTGGGGCGCTGCGCAAGCGCCTTCAGCCGTTGCACCCGCATCGCCTCCGACTCGTGCGCGACCAGCGCGGTCGACCCATGCGCCATCCAATAGCAATGTTTCCGGCGCCTCTGAGCAGTTTACAAGCCCTGGTCGTCAAGTTCGACGCTCCGTGGTCGTGTCTGAAGTGCGTCCCCAAGAATAACGCGCAGGCACGCGATCTCGCAGGAAATGACGACGCCAGGACTCGCCTTACTTTTTGTGGGTTGACTACTACGGATGTAGCGTAGATTTGTATGCAGTCTGTCTACTCTTTACCTTCTGTGTGATGAAGTGATCCCCCAATTCACAACGTCTGATTCGAAAAGCGATCCCTGCAATTCGGCATCCGCCGATGTCGTTTGTTCCCGACGTCCATGGTGCGGCCTCATTTGTCGTCTTCGAAGCATGCGGCCCTCCTCTTCCTCCTTGTCTGCCTAACTCACTTCACCCTTCCAGCCAATGATACCCTTGCACTGCTTACACTGCTCTTGCCCCTACGCCTCCCCCTCCCACGCCTCATTCCCTCTGACATTGCCGCTCACAAGGGTCGGTGGCGTAGCTCCTCGGTTCGATCCTGGGCCAACTCATAGAAACCACTACGCAACTCTCTCATTGAAGTGGTTATTTTCCCCCTCTTCATCGGGGAAGCGATTCTGTCTCACCATCATGAAATAGCACTAGTGCGGTGGAAGACGCGAAGTCGCTAGCAACGTGCCGAGCTGCCCTCCGTTGACCACAGATCGCTCCTAACGGTTGCAAGGGCCTGCTTCTGATTCGCCATCAACGCGACCTCGCCCAACTAACCGCCGTCCTTCACAATGACTTTCTCGAAGCCTGCGTGCAAGCTGCAGCCGGTCATCTGCTTTCAATAAGTCAAGGCGCCGCTAGAAGTCGCTCCCGCCCTTCAATGACTTCCTGATGAAGAACATGACTATCAAGGATCAGAACGATGCGTGAGCCGCCTGTTCTGCCACTACTTGGATCTGTACGATGCGGACAATCAGGTACGCGAAAGCGTTATCTTTGACTGCGCGTCTTCCCTTTCCTCGCTGACTCTCTTCCTTTCCGGTGCCTCCGGTTGTATCTTCCCTTCCCACGTTCGTCTCCGCTTCTCCTTCTCCTCCATCTCTTTGCCTCGGGCTCTCCCTTTCCTCACGAACCTCCGCTTCGGTCTTCCATTGCTGACACCATTGCCACAGAGCCACGCCCAACGAGCTCCGCAAAAAACAATTGTGTCGCAATACAACGGCACCTCAAACACGGGCGCTCGTGGAGTATATAAGGGGACGCCTCCTGCCTTGCTCTAAGCCCAGATTAGCTTTGCCACACGACAATACCCACCGATTGACAAGGGCCTCGGCGCCCTCTCCCATGCCCGCTTGTAACCCCATGACGATAGACCTCGATCCGTTCATCAACTTGGACTCCAGTACGTCCAGCGCAGACAGAAAGTCTCCGCTACCCTTGCTGCCTTCCCAGCAATTGTCTCCAGACCAATCTCCGTTTCTGGCGGACTCTCCCTCTGCGTCCTTGATGATTGAAAAACCTGCTACCCCTCCGAAACAACTGCTGGTTTCATCTTCTACAACCAATTCCGATGCTCCTTGGCAAGGGGCGGACTCAACAGACCATCCAACCCAGTCTGCAACGCTCGGGTCATTTGTTCTAGTGCAGGCCACCTCCGAGACGTCGCCTGCGCCGCCCTCATTACAGCAGTCTTCCTCGTCTACTCAGGAGTTTTCTACGAATGAGGGGATGACAGGCGGTATCATGCTTGGCTACGCGGGGGGAAATGGCAGGTCCTCCTCGCCTGGGGATTATAGTCTCCAAGATGGCGATAGCCGCGCTCCTTCCTCATTAGATGATTCTACTCACGCTGTGTCTGTGGTTGAGAGCGACAGCGGCGGTGATCATCAAGCTGACACATTCAGCCAGTGTTCGACCCGAGTGTCCGACCAACACGATCGCGACAATGGCGATAATCATGGGTTGGTGTCTAATTCGGAGTCAGTGGGTCCTCTTGTGCCCACGCCGGGTTTGGCTCCCACGGGACCAGAAAACGCTTCATCCCCTAGTTCGCTACTCTCAGCGCTCCGAGAAGGTTCGACCAGTCAAAAACAGGATCCAGACGTGCTCGCTATCTCAAGATCATCATCATACGGGTGGGTGGAAGCCATCGAGCAATCGGGTTAATACCTCAATCACCTCACGCTCAAATTTTGCGCGCTGAAACCGAGAACGCGAGGAACTGTTCGAGTTAAGCACCGAAGACTAATTTGGATCGTGCTTGCAATTGGACCCTTCAGTTTTTTATACGATGTTCCGTTTTGTCATTGTTCTTTTCCTAACCTTTGATTTGCTTCGCTTCGCTATAAGTCCTTGTTCTGTAACAACAGGTCCTGTACAAGTCATCTACATGTCTTGTACCCTATATAGAAATGGCATCCGATTCCCTGTCCATGTCCACAAAGTGGTCGAATGACGAGCGAATCGAACCTTAAGCTGCCTCAATAAGGAAGAGCAGGCCTCGGCATCTGCCAATTCCTTCTGTTCCCGACATCCATGGATGATAGCGCGGCCTCTCTGGAGTGAGGTTGCGAGCAGTGCACACGAGTGAGTGCATCGACTTCCGCGCCCCAAAGTCATGCTAACAACTAAAAATGGTTGTTCCGCCGTGGTACTCATAAAGGTTATATATGTAGCTGCACCCTCGCATCGACAAGGTACTCTCCGACCCCACAAAAATCCTGCCTGCAAGTTGTAACGATTGAGTGGAGGTGCCGGTCTTGATAGCGTTGAAGCTGTCGCAGAAGATTGGTTCCCCGAGGAGCCCGCTCTCCAATGGCCTTCTTCGCAAGCACGCGAGCAAGGGCCATCTAAGGTCAGGTCAGCACGAGCGTCCGTATACTGATGACAATACAATTGCACGCCGCGGTCAGTGAGGTACGCCCAGTAGGTGACCTCGACTGCGCTTCTTCTTATTTTTCCTCGCCGACTTGCTTCTTCTTGAGATTCCCCTTCGTATCTTCTCCGCTTCTCGTTCTTCCTGATCCCTCCTTGTCCGTCGACGGCATCATTCGCAATTCTCATAATTCTCATCGCCACTGCCTCTGTCTTTGAATCACACATCGTCTCTGATCGTCAACGTCTCCCAGAGTTGCGTCCAATAAGCGCCTCAAATCTAGCACTGGCACCAATATAACATCGGCGTCTCAACACCGCCAATAACGCTGCAAACTCATATTGGCAACCTCGACGTTCGAAAGACCCGCTCAAAGGGCATCCTCTCGAGCTCGGCACTGACTTGCGCTATTGACCATTGCATAATTTCCCGCCGCCTTATAAGGCACGGCTCATCGACCACGACCTTCGAGCCCGCCAACCGTCATCCAATACCCTCGATCACCGTCCCTCGCCTCCCTACCTGATCATCAACCCTACACCAATGCTTTCCGTGCCGAAGCAGCGCGATCTATCACGTTCGCCACCGCCGTGCGCGCCTCAAAAGAACAAGGATGCAGCTGGATCCCTTCAGGAGGCGCCTCCACAACGCGATCAACATGATGCTCTCTTGCTTAGGTCCTTGCAGCTTCTGCTTCCCTACCACGAAGAACGGAAGGGTGATTCTAGTGAGATTCGCAAAGTCTTCGCGCAGCTTCGTGCCGACCTCTGCGAGCGTGTCCGATGGGTTGCCAATGTCGAGCTCACGACCGCCGTCGGATACGACGTCGATGGTCATACAGTTTGTCGAAGGGATCTCTGGTAGAGCTCGGTTTGAGTCTTCGCGCAGATTATTGACCTGAAAGGCTGTCGTGGGTAGCGGACCGGTGCTGGGTACAGAGGTGACTGGAGCGCGACGGAGCTTGCCTCTTGGTGTAGTCTCAAGTTTCAAAAAGTACAACTTAAACATCCTTCTCCATCTGTGAACAATACAAAAGAAATGACTGTCGCCTGATTCGAAAGAAGTCACCTCGCAATGCACGGCATCAGCCGAAGCTTCCTTGACCTGAACGCCCATGTACCTCACCGCTGCTTCGCCTTCTGTAACCTATGCTGACACATGAAGGCCTTGCCTTCCGATTCTCGCGGTCTATCTCGAAGGTCCGTTCTTTGCAGTATGTTGGGAACGGATGACCTTCGTCCATAATTGATGCGTCGTACACTTTCGCTGCTTCTTCTGATACAGTCACCTGCGATTGATCGCGCCTTTGAACGAAAGGCAAGTGCTATAACGTCGAAAGGATCCACTCATGGCCCAACGCGCACATCTGTGTGGCACAAAGTCGAGCCTTCGCTGCGTATAAAAGCTGCTGCTCTTGTCCGCTAGCGCCGCCGGTAGCCACCTCGACTTTCTGCTCTTCCAGTTACGCCGCATTGACCATGTCTGCTCCAGGCCTTGCGGTGGTTCTATCTGGTGATGGGAGCAGCTCGGATGACGGCTGCCGCATCGCCTGCCCTCAATCGTTGCCACTTTCCCGCTTGGTCAACCCCACGCACTGGCATGAAGGTCTCGTCCCCGACTTTGCGATGCCCGCGATACCTCGTCTGCTCCGATCGACCACACGGACAGACCAGTGGCTCACGCAGGCAGCGTCAACGAATAACGAGCGCGCCACCAGCACGGTGACCGGCGCCACACCCCCGGCCGATGTTGCAAATAATGCCACCATCATCATTGAGGTGATTCCCGCGTTTCAAGGACTAGTCGTTTATCGGGAGAGCATGAGGCCTTCCGAAGCTCCTCTGCCTTTTCAAGAACAAGGCCAGCTTTATGCTCAAGCGCTTGCTCGGCTCTTCTCCCTCATCGGAAGATCCTGCCGATGTCCCCGGACAATGGACCTCCCCCCAGTGCATAATTACGCCGCTGATATCAATGAGTGGTCTAGCCACCCTTCCTTTCCACGCTCAGCCGGCGCTGACAGCATGTACTCGTCGTTTTGGTATCAACGTCCCGATACCACGAACCATTCCCATGCCCGTGGGTGTCGAGCAGTCTCCAACAATGACCACGCTTTGTCAGAGGACAACACCGGTGCCGAGATACAGCAAGAAGATGTTTGCGTGCAGGCGCTTTTACGAGCTTACATTGAGGCCACATATGCCTTTTATTGTGATGCCGTGTAGGTCGCGCCTGCATGGCAGTCACGATAAATACGGTCAATTTCGTGTATGAAAATGCAGTCCACTCGTATAATACGGGATTCGTGAGAATAGATGGCTGCGTCTAGTCCATAAAATCATTCAGGTTGTCACAAGCTCATAGTAAGTACTCGAACCGTGACATGTCGAGTCGGCGCATTTCGGCATCAGCCGGGACAAACTTGATCTCGACCGTCATGTCAAGCCCAGGTCCTTCGGGTTCAGTTGGCTGCACTGCCTCCCACTTCGTGTAGCGAGTCCCTAGTCTCTAGACACAGCTGTATGGGATCTTGTGTGCCACGGCTCAAGACGTACGGATTTGGGAAGAAAGGACTCGCCGCTTTGGGCAGGAAAGACGGTGTTGTCGCCAGTCTAGTCGACAAGTGCCTTGACGTATCTCACTCATCCTTAGAACAGAACAATGGATCCCACGCGCCGCAATGCCTTTTGCGCAGATATAAGGCCTCCCCCCGCTGGCAAACTCCTCATTCTTTCACAAGTTCCAGCCTACCTTCACTGACTCCCTTCGTTCCGCATCTCCCACTCCCGTCGAGCAGTTAAACATGTCGATACGTCCCTCTAGTCCTTCCAATGTGGGTCGGGAGCAGCACACTCTCACCATCCTGCATGCGCCACGATTGCGCGTGAAGGACCTTCCCGACGACGACGAGCCGGACCCGAACGATCTCGAGCAAGCGACGATCGAGGATCAGATGAACGTTGACATGGAGCAAGATGCGTCAGTTGGGGACATCCACGACGCCATGGACGAGGACGGACCTTCGTGCTCGAGGAGCGGCACAAATGCGTCCGATCCAAGGGGTACTGCAGGTCGCTCGAGTAGCGCCTCCGGCGGCAAGAGTGCCGCTAACATGCAGGCAGCGCCTCCGCGCCGCATGTCTGGGACCGTGCTGGGCAGCCCTGCTCCATCGATCATGTCGAAGCTTGACCTCGAGTGCCCATTTTCGTCACCCGCTGCTCCTATGTCGACCGGCCTTTTTGACGGCACGTCCAAGGAGAAGGACTAGACGAAGTCAACCTTGGAGCACGCATTACACCGTGCCTTTGAGGCGTAGGGTGATTCATGACGGACTATCAGATTGTTGGGACTGGTGCGCATTGTATCTGGCGACTCTTGCGACTGTTTTGGACATCGATATGTATGAGTTCTTTGTGTGACATCTACGTGCTCGCCCCAAGTCGCGCTATGAGATTTGCAGTTCAGTTCCTTTCGAGTCTGAAGCTCGGCAGCAAAGAATGCTGTCGTATCACGACAAAACGATGAGTCGGCCCAGGATCGAACTGAGGACCTTCTGTGTGTTAGACAGATGCGATAACCAACTACGCCACCGACCCATGTTTCCCGCTCTATTTCTGTGCATTGCATCCCTTCAGCGGCCAAAAAAGAGCGCAATTCGCATCGCTCATGCACAATACAAAGTTTTATGCTTCTCTCACATCCTACCTGACAGAGCTTCACCGCTGAGGCTGTGGAATCACGACCCAGAGCTTTGTGGGTGCACCCTCGGCATGTGCCGACCAGCGACACGTGCACCGAATCATTTAATTCTGGTTCCGCTCTGGGCGCTTCCCTTCCCCGTCGCTCTCACCACGGTGCTCTCCGTCGACACTCACAGGCCGAATAAATCATGCCTTCAAATGGTCCGTCTCGCCGCAGCGCAAGGCTGAAGGGGCAACCTGCCCCTCCGCCTCCGTCGCCACCACTGGCAGCCCCGCCCAAGAAACGCGTCAAACGACGCCACATTCGCAGTAGCGAAGACGTTGAGCAAGGAGGGATTTTGCGGAACATGCCGCTGGATATTATATACGAGGTTTTTGCATAACCTTGCTTGCGTCGGAATACATCAACTCAGCTTGAACCAGGTTATCTCGCATCTACGGCATCGCAAAAAAGTGGAGAGTACGGCCAAGCATGGCCAAACTCAACCATGGCAGCCAATCGCTACCAACGGTATAATTCGCAGCCAAACTGGTAGCCTCACTGGCCATGCATGGTCAGCGACTCCCCGTCGCGCCAATCGCTGTATAGTGCTATAGTTTTGACGAGAGTCAATACTATGTAGAAATCTGAGGCACCGTTGGTCAATTCAGTATGTTGTGGCTGCTACTTCTCGTACCGCTGTTCGGCCTTGATGGCCTGATCGATGGCAGACTGAAAGATGACTACTAGTGATACGACACCATTCCTTAGGTGTCAGGCCGACTTGATTTCTCCCTTTGCGCTTTCCCCACGTACAGTACAAGTCCTCGGTCGTGACCAGGCGTTGCCGACTTCGCCTGGTCTGACCATCAGCCCCGAGGTAATTATGTATGGTCAGCTGGTCCCTAAATGGATGGTTGATACCATGCTTCTGCAGGCAACTCGCGGGCGGTCAGTCGCTACCGAATCTGCCTTCACCGACAATTAAGATCTAACAAAATTGACGATGGCCGATCACCGGTCGTATGGTCGTCCTTGCTAGCCAACGCACTTTCATAGCCAGTCAGAGCTCACACGTCAGGTTAGGGACAAGCAAATGCAATTTGAGCCAGTCATACGTAGAGCGGAGCTACGGATTCATTGGGATAGCATTGATATCTAACTACCCGACGCGCTCGATGAGCTTCGTGCCATCCTAGCCTCCTCTGCGTCGGCGAGCTTCTTCGCGCGTTGTGCCCCAAGCTCGCTCCACGCCTGCCCAACCTCGATTGCCGTGTCCGTATCGGTCGGGAACGCCTGCCTGCGCAAAGCGTTAGCAACAAAATACGGGAGGGAGATACAAAGACTTACTGGGAAAACCATAGCAGCGTCGCGTCCGCTTCACCCTGTGCAAGGCGCCCGAGCGGCGTGTTTGTGTCGTTGTTCTCAAAGTAGTCCACAATGAAATTATAGAATTCGGGGTAGTTGACGCCTTGGTAAGTGTCGGACCAGGTTTTCGCGTCGGTGAGATTGAAGTGCAGCTGCTCAAGCCGTCAGCATTCACATGAAGAAAAGCGAGGGACAGAACTGACCAGAACCGCAGAGTACGCGATTGATCGCGGCGTCGCCTTATTATCCATCTTGAGGAGCTTCGAAATGTTCTGCTTAGTTGTATGCTCGATCTTTGCACGCTTGGCATTTGGCTCGTCGTCGCCAGAGTTGTCATCGACATCATCCGTCGAGAGATCAGCTATGAAAATCGCGCAGAACGTCTGAAAATATATGAGCGCACGCACAACGCGCTAAGATACGAGGCATACCTTGACGAGTAAAGACCCACGTAGGAAGCCCTTCTCGAGGTCCTCCGGGTCGCCTCGATTCTTACCGTATAGGCACGAAAACCAGAAACCACCACGCTTGCGATGTGTAGGGTCCCCTGCACGTATAAGTGCACGAACACTGGATCATGGAGAAAGTCAGTATAGGAAGCGACGAGGCAAAGGAGTACGCACTCAGGTTCGGACCACTTCGTCTTGATAGAGACGACATAAGCGCCGACATCGTTGTGACCGATACCGCGATTCTCGCGGTTGTTCCCGCGCAAAAGCGGGCGGACGTTGTACGGCGCTTCATTCAGCCAGGACGCAAGGCAGCGCCGGACCCTGCCGTTGTCCTCAGAGCGCGCGACACCACTGACGTTCCAGACCTGCAACAGATGAGAAGAGGAGGAAAGCACAAAAGGTCTTGCGTACACTGGCCCAAAAAACCGTCATGTCGGCCTCGGGGTCGATCATGACAGAGCGGAGGTGCTCTCCAAGCAGCGTGTACATGATGCGGTAGCTGTCCCGGTTGCGGTCCGCCCTAAGGTATATCAGTGGGGTGAAAGTTCCGAGTCTATGCGACGTACCGACGCTGGTCAGAAGGATCCTTTGTGAGATCCCCAAACTCATCCCGACGGTCCATCTCATCCTGAAGGTCGGAGGCGCTGACAAAAGCACTGACGACCTTCCTTAATCCTCGCGCGGCGGTCGTGAACGCACTGGCACTATATTGAGTAAGTGGGCGCGGCTGATAAGTAAGTACGCACGTGAGGGTAGCATCCTTCTTGCGCTGTATCTTGTCTAGTTTCTCTTGGAGCGCATCGCGCTGCCGCTTCAGGCGCGCGTTAGCTGCAACTTGAGCCTGATCCTGATTCTCCTCAGTCATATCAGAGAGACGAAAGGCACGACGTGGCAAAGGGGAGGATAGGTTGGCGGTCCCGCTTCAAAAACCCGTCCTTATAATACAAAATTTCGAGCTCCGCCCGGAGCACTCGGACTTGCGCAGCAATGGCGAGCTGGGCAGCAACCAGGGAGCCGCGAGGCGTAGCACAGCAAAAAGGTGCGCATTTCAATTCCGTGCAGGGTTGGCGACCGGGCCTTCATTGCTCAGATTACCACTTGTTGAGGGAAGAGGGCATCAATGAACGGTAAGACCTAGCAGGCGCGAGTACTGACCTTGAGCATGCATTAGTTGTAGCACATGCAACTGGTTGGTGAATGAACGTGGTGGATGCGAGAAGTACGATGTGGTGATCAAACAAGCACAATCAAACATGTGACTGACACGGTCACGCCCGCCCGCCGCCCGCTCCGTCCCTTGACAAGAACCACTGTTGACCGAAAAGTATATATACGCCATCTCCTTCGAGCTTGAGTTCCCCGCTGCCTGATTAGGAGCATATCGCGCCTCAGCTATTCAGGCCCCTTAGCATTGGGCCTCCCGCGCTTGGAAATCCTTCTTTCAACGCGACGTTCATCGTGTGCAACGGGAGATCGACCGGGCGTCACCTCCATGGCCCCTATACGTCCTTCGCGGTCTGTGCATAAACGGCTCACACGCGCACTATATGCTTTCTGCATAGTCCTTGGAATCTTTGTCTATATCACACTTCTCGACGACGCCAGGCCATCGCCCAACAAGTATCTCGCATTGCAGCTTTCCATGCCTCGCCAGGCGTACTCCTGTGTGGAAGGCTGCACTAGCAAGATATCCAGTAGCCGAGGTCTCACACTCCATCGGAGGAGCTGCACTCTTCATCAAGCTGAAGCTGCTCGACAGCAGTCGCGGCGCGCAACGCGCGTTCAAGCTGAGCAAGCAGTGATCAATGACAGGCGGAGGCAGCGACTTGCACAAGTAAGTCATTCTTTACATACCTTGTTCTCAATCCTGACATAGTTGCAGCCCGAGCCTTCAGCAGAGATCAGCGCTTCCTCCCTCGGCACCAGTCCAATCGATAGCGCCACGCAGATAGGCCCAGACCGAGATGTCGCGATGGAGGACCCCATCTCTCCTCCCCCTCTACCCCGCAATGACCATGCTGCGCCTGCGCCGCACGTAACCGCCACTGGACGTCCCTCAAGGTCTCATCGTGTGCCGGCACAGTATCGCGATAGACTTCCCGAAGCCACCACGGCTGTTACGGACGAGCCTCGCAGACTTCCGCGTGTACGCCTCATCGTCAGAGACGTGCTCCTATCTGCCCTCAACTCGTTCAACCTATTCCGACAATACTGGCATCGCCCATCGTACGACGCCGACCAGTTCCTCACCGCTGACGACCTCACCCCAAAGCCCATCCCCACCCACGTCCCTATTGATCATACCGCCTCATCTGGACAGTCCGCACCTTGGCCCTTCAAGTCGCTGACTGTCTACCGTCTAATGAAGTGGCTCAATAATGGACAGACCGTGAAGAGCGAAGCCGAGGCGACGTCTCTCGTTCGCAACGTCATACTCACCGACGACTTTGTGCGCGAGGACTTGATCGGCTTCGATGCTCACGTCGAAAATGCGAGAGCTGATCGTGCAGTGCGGGAGGCGGATGCCGATAGCATGCCGTGGCTCAAGAGCTTCAAGACGGACTCGGTCACTATCGAGGTTCCGTCAGGAATTGCAAGCGAAAAACCCTCCCAATATATCATTCCCGGTCTCGTACACACCAACCTCACCTCACTCATCAAGGCAGCTTTCCAGGACGACCTCGCTCATCTACTCCATTACTCCCCTTTCGAGCTGCACCACGAAGTGCAGAGCAAAGATGGGACAGACCTTCACCAACGAGTCCACGGCGAGATCTACACCTCGCCTGCATTCTTAGAAGCGCACGATGAAGTACGCCTGCGCTCTCTCCCTCCACCCGACAACCCAGACTGCAAGCTCGAGCGCACTGTCGCAGCGGTCATGTTCGCATCAGATGCTGCTCACCTGACGAACTTCGGCACCGCCAAGGTGTGGCCAATCTACATGATGCTCGGCAACCTGTCGAAGTACATACGTGCCATTCCCAACTCGGACGCCCTGCACCACCTGGCCTATGTCCCTTCGGTCAGTCGCGTCTCCCAATGTCCTGGTACCTGACATTCACACGAGTCCCCAGCTGCCGCCTGATTTCAACTCGTTCGCTGCTGAAAATCATGCGAAGTGGGCGACGCAGCACAAGGACATCACTACGCACTGCCGCCGCGAGCTCATGCATGCCGTCTGGAAGTTCCTACTCGATGAAGAGTTTCTACAAGCATACAAGTACGGTGTCGTTGTTCGCTGCGTCGATGGCGTCGAGCGCCGTATCTATCCCCGCATCTTCACTTACTCGGCGGATTACCCAGAAAAGTGAGCTCTATTGTCTCCCCTCGTACGACATCTTACTGTCTTTCAGGGTGTTGCTTGGCACGATCCGCGATGGTGGTCTCTGCCCTTGCCCTCGCTGCCTTGTCGAGAAATCACAACTCGACCGTCTGGGCACTCCTCAAGATACCACTACCCGTACGGAGCGTGTTCGCGCCTATCTATCTCGGAAAGTACAACAGGCACGCAGCTGGATTTACAAACGGGGGAAGCCTATAGGTGGGACTCATGTAGATGATCTCTTGAAGGAGTCATCCTCGGTGCCGACCGTCGTATGTTTTGGTGTATCCAATCATTGGTCTTTGCACTGACCTACTCTAACAGAACGCATTTGTGCATCGCCTAGGCGCAGACCATAATTTCGAGCCCGCCAAGATGCTCGTCGTTGACCTGTTACACGAAGTTGAATTGGGGGTGTGGAAGGCGACACTCACTCACCTCATACGAATTCTATGGGCCGCTGATCCAAGAGGTGGTCTCGTCGATGAATTCAACGAGCGGTGCGTATGCCTTGGGATATGAACGCAATGTAGGGACTAAGCATGCTGTCTAGCTTCCGCCTCATAGACACGTTTGGTCGCGGGACGATACGTGGTTTCTGCGGCAAAGACAACGTCTCGGAAATGAAGAAGCTCGCAGCAAGGGACTTTGAGGATATCCTCCAGGTGAGTTGCATATCTTCGCGCTCTTCAAGCGCTTCTTAACTTCGACACTGAGCACATCTGGTAGTGCTGTATCGCCGCTTTCGAGGGCCTTCTTCCAGATCCGCACGATGGCGAAATTCTCACGCTACTCTATCGAACGGCTGAATGGCACGGCTACGCGAAGCTACGCATGCACACCGACCAGACTCTGGACTTCTTGGATGTACTCACCAAAGATTATGGCAGGGTTATGCGGCGCTTTAGGGATCAAACGTGCCCCGCGTTCAATACCGTCGAACTACCACGTGAAGTTGATGCGCGCGTACGGCGTGAAGCCAGGAAGACAGCTACATCGTCGGGCGCAACTACAGTTCCCGTTCCCATTCCCGACGCGTCTGCGGGTGCTGGTCCCATCGCAGAGCCGGCTATCATTCCTGAGCTGCTTCTTCGCACCCAGCCGTTGGTCGCTACACCACCAATAGCCGCACCAAAGCCTGCCAAAGGGAAAGCCCGGCCGCGCACCCTCAACCTGAATACATACAAATTCCATTCCCTCGGTGACTACGTTCAGACGATACGCCGCTTTGGGACCACCGACTCGTACTCAACACAACTGGTACGCACCCCTGGCCGCTTCGCCTTCTCTATTCTAACAACACCCAGGGCGAAACAGCCCACTGCGCCGTGAAGAGGTACTACTCCACCACGAACAAGCGCGACGCCATCAAGCAGATTGCGAAGAAGCGCGCTCGGTCGACGGTTTTCCGCGAGGAAAAGAAGGAGATGGGGGAGCTGGCAAAGGCCACATACGACCACCATCATGTCATTGCCAGTACTCGTAACCACCCTATCGACATATTCCGATTTGTAGAGGAGAATCAGGATGATCCTGCTTGTACTGTCAGTCCATCTCAACGTGCCGCTGCTTCGTGACTAACCCGCCTCGCATCCCTCAGAGGGACTTCATCCCAAAGCTGCAAGATCATCTTTTGGGTCGGCTTCTGGGGCGCACATTCGACGGCGATGACCACGACTTCACGCCCGATGAGCTCAACAGTATCCGACTTGTCAATTGGCGGATGTACGCCTCCCAGGTCCTCCGGGTCAACTACACGACCTACGATGTGAGGCGCAACTACGACACCACTAGCGCGACGCGCCGCACATTTGTCATGCTACGATCCCCGGAGGCTATTGAGGACACCTCCGCCCATCCATACTGGTATGCCCAAGTCCTGGGCGTGTTCCGTGCCGATGTCGCGCACATCGGACAGCACTCGCGAAGCGGGCCGAAGCCACGAGAAATGGAATTTCTCTGGGTGCGCTGGCTAGGTATAGTCCCAGACCATCAATACGGGCATATACACGCAAGACTGCCCAAGGTCGGCTACGTTCCATCTTCAGACGACTACGCCTTCGGCTTCCTCGACCCCGCACTTGTCCTCCGCGCATCTCATCTCGTACCTTCTTTTGTAGATGGAAGGACGAGTGAGCTACTACGTGAAGGCCCGTCATATGCTCGACGAGGGACAGATGTAGATGACTGGACGAGCTTCTACGTGAACATGTGAGCTCACTCTCACCTCACGATGTACTTCCCTGATGTATCCACAGCTTCGCTGACCGGGACATGCTCGTGCGACACTATGGTGGCGGTATCGGGCACCTCGGCACCTCAAGCACATTCAGGTATTCATCTATCGACGATAGCGGAATTCCCTATGAGGACACGGATGAAGTTCACCCACTGCCGAGCGCTGATGAGGACGAGGAGGATCTCGCCGACGATGACGAGGAGGCAGATGGGTCCGAAGAGGAGGATGAGGAGGATTCCGATGATGATATCGATTCTTTTGAATACCTGTAATGAACCAGTGGTTTCTCTGTTGTATAGCACATCATTGAGGAGCCTGGTGTAATGACCGATTTTTTGCTCTCGAGATTTGAACTTGAAGATGTAACGCATGTCACAAACGCGCATCGATTCTTTCGAGTCGATACGTTGCCTCCCACCTTGTTCACCTCCTCCGTTCATTGCTATTTGACTGTTGACCGCGCGCAGCACAGCAAGGTATGTTCTCTGAAATTACACTTCTGCTTTGTATGGCTGTCAGAAGTCATTGGGTGCGCCCTACGATGGGGCTGTACTTCTTCTGCCAAGGGGCACGCGTTTGAGAGCTCCTTGCACTGGGCATTCGCAGCAGCGCCCCTTGCAGATGAAGTACAGACTCCTCCTCAGCGAGCACCGACAGATCTCTGAAAGCCATCCATCCGATCATATATCCGTTCGCTAATGAGAGATGTTAGGTACCCATTGGAGGTCGAACAGTTCAACCCCCTCCCCCCAGGATCTCCCTGCGCCATCCAGTAGCCACAAACTGGCTGTCTTGTCGTCCTTAGCAACATTTGGCAGCGAGGGACAGCTCACAACAGTGGAGCAGGCCTACAATAATTCAGCACCGACGTGCTCAGCGAGATCAAGGCCGGCAACTGCAATATGCGCACCTGGGCTCCCACATTGCGTCGCTTCGCCTCCTCTCCCCCTCATTCGCTCCGCTTGCACATCGGGTAATGAGCTGCGGTCCCTCCGGCCAGCAACCAGTTGCTCGCAAACTCAACGCTCAAGGCCTTTCCCCTCCTTTCCCCACCTCAACCTCCCGCCACCCCTCGTCTCCTTCCCATCCATCATGTCAACAGACGTGAGGAGAAGCGCATCCAAGAGATCATGAAGAACCACACAGAATCCATTTCCTACCCAATCAAGCTCGTTGTCACAAAGGGGGTCGAGAAGGTTTGGACTTTGTTCTTCGACGCTCGTCGATGATCGCTGACATATCATTGCAGGAGGTCCAGGGCGATGAGGAGAAGAAGAAGAAGGACAAGAAGAATAGGTCGAGAAGTCCAACACCGAGTACAAGGATGACGACCTCGAGTTCGTCCTCAAGAACCTTGACATTTTGGGCCTCAGCATCCAGCCCGCGCACATCTTCATTCGTAACATCACGGACGTGGACATGTCCCTCAACGAGAAGTCGGCCACCACCACCGTCGGCACGCTCACGCACATCCGCATGCAGGCGCTCCAGTTCGCCTTCAAGGACATCTCCTTTTGTTCGCGCGCCAAGGACGTCTCCCTCGGCCCCAGCGAGTTCTCCGGCCTCATAGGCATTACCCTACCACCGAAGGGCATCAACGTCGACCCGCGCGTGCGCATGATCCCCTCGAACCAGCAGGAAGCGCGCGAGGCGCACAAGGGCTTCCACATCATCGAGAACGTTGAGGTGCACGTCGATGAGGACGTCCAGATCGACGTCCGCGACTCGAATCACACCGTCCTCTTCAACGTCTTCAAGCCAGTCGTCATCATGCGCTTCCGCGACGCGCTCGAGCGCACGCTCGCCGCGCAGGTCCGCGGGCTGCTCATCTAGGCCGACGGTCTCGCGTTCGACATCTCGAAGCGCGCTGAGGTCTTCCGCAACGCGGGCCTGGGCACGGGCGGCGCGTACGCTGGCGCGGTGTGGAGCGAGACTGGGAGGATGCGCCGCGCGGAGTCGAGCGCGGCGATGCGCGTGACGGGCACGGACTTCATCATCGACTAGGAGAACGGGTCGCTCGCGGTGGGCGCGGAGCCGCAGATCCTGAGCGGGGACAAGCACGGGCCGCTTGCGAGCGAGCCGCTGAAGGACCGTCTGCGCGATGCGGCGGGCAAGGCGAAGGAGGAGGTGGAGGCGCGGGGCGATTGGCGCAGACAATGTTGGCTGATGTCTTTTCCTTTGCAATATCTGGAGAGCTGACGGCGTCTTGTTCAGTCAAGCTCCTTCATCCACAAGCTTGTTCGACTCACAAAGGATGAGCCTCCTAGAAACGTGCGTCCCTTCTTCCCTGCCTCTCGCCCCTCCCTACCCAACTTACGCCCCACCCCCAGGCTGCCCCACCCCCAGGCCGCCCCGGCCAAAAGCGCGACCCCAAGACCGCCCGCCCCATCCTCCGCCCCATCATCTGCAGCTGCAATGACCCCAACGCGTCCGCGCTCGCCAAGCTCCGCCCGCAAGCGCTCTCCGTCCGCCTTCAGCGCCTCATGGACGCGCACATCGCGAAGCGGCTGCGCCAGATCTGCGAGCTCGAGGCCCTGCCCGCGGACTTGTAGGCCTTGAGCGCGCTAGTGGTGGTGGCGCGGGGGATATGCGGAGGTGTTTGAATACGCTGCAGGTGAGTGGGAGCTGGTAGGGGGAGTGAGGAGGAAAACTAGTGAGTCGTGGCTAAAAGTTCATTAAGGGACGGGGACGCGCGCAACCCGCAGGAAATCACCCGGGAGGAATGCGCCGCCTTCTACAAGGGCTTGACGAACGGCTGGGAGGAGCACCTTGGCGTCAAGCACTTGTCCGTCAAAGGTCAGCTGGAGTTCGAGGTCATCGTCTCTATCATCCCCGAGCGGTAGGTGTGCTCTCCCTTCGCGCCGATGCGCGTCGTTCATCCGTCTTTCAGCTCACCTCCAAACGTTCTCTTCGAAGCCAAGAAAGAGCGCTACAGCATCAAGTCCTACGTTTAGGCGAGTGCGAGGGCCTCATCCCCGAGTATCTCGACTTCGTCAAGGGCATCGTCAATCCCGAGGACCTCTCGCTCACCATCTCTTGTGAGACCCCCCAGCCGAACAAAATCATCAAGGCCATCCGCAAGAACATCGTAACGTGCTAGGAGGTCTTTTCCGACATCACCAAGGACAAAAACGACTTCGCCAACTTCGGTGAGGCATTCGGCAACAACCTCAAGCTCGGTATCCATGAGGATGCCCAGGACCGCACCAAACTCGCCGAGTTCCTGCGCTGCTTCTCGAACAAGTCCCTCGATGAGTGAACCTCGCTCGAGAGTAGGTTCTTTCATGTTCTCGCCTCTCAATGCTCACTCGAACCTCACAGACTACACTGCCCGCGCATCGGAGGTCCAGTAGTCACTCTCCTACCCCACCGTCGAGTCCCTCACTGCCGTCCGCGACTCCCCCTTCCTCGAATTCCTCAAGAAGGGCTTTCGGGCTCCGTCAACGAGTACACCATCACTCAGCACGAGGAGCTTGAGGGGTGCAAGTTTGTCTCTGTGATCAAGAGTGGTCTCGAGCTCGAAGAGCCCGGGAACGAGAAGGAACGCAAGCCCGAGGCCGCTGATTTCAACGAGCTCTGCACCCTTGTCAGGAACGTGCCGCACAACCCATATAATGCCCGTCTTTACGCACGCTTCTCTCATGCAATAAGTGTGTCCCCCGGAACCTGCGCGAGTATAGTGCCCTAATCTGCGCCTTGCTGCCTTGGGCGCCGCCGTTGACAAGCACAGTCAATCGCGTAGTCAAGCAAGGACGGGGTCAGAGCACCTCCAGAACGCCAACGTCAGTGCGATTCTCTCGAGCCCGACTACGCACTAGCAATATTCGAGGGTCTCATCGGACTCGCCGGCCTCGCACAGGCGCCTCGCGCGCTCGGTGAATACCGAGCTCACCTTGGATAGCGCAGCATTGCGGGCTTGCGCGTCAGCGGAAAAGACTGGTGTATCCCTGGCGGGGCAATTCGCCTGATCCGGGTTTGCTTGTGCCAGGGCAGGTATGGATCGCTGAAGGACGAGGTCGTGGAGGAGCGGCGTATCTTCTGTAGGCATGTTTCTCGCTTGGTACAGCCAGCGCGGGCACGCATATAGCTACGTATTGTCGCCACACAGTTTGTTATATATATACTCTGGCCGCTTCTCGTGCACTCATCAGCCCTTCGGCTTGTAGTGTGGGCAGTGTCATATGTGAGCTTCGATGCTTATCGAAGACGAGGTTACAGTTTGTCGATTGGTAGTGTCACACTCAAGTTCCATTGCCGACAGCAGCCTTACCACTTCAGGTACATAGTAACTTGCGCTCAGATGCTACCTAAGCCCGCGACGTCTGGTTTTAATGACTATATCTTTTATGTGTAGGAGACTGGTCTACCTCTGAATGTGCGCATTTCTGCTCCACGGCCAGATTGACAGCGCATGAGCCGACACTCACCATTTTGAGACTGCTCAAGTTTGAGTCGACAATACTCAGCTCGTCGAAGCTACCGTTGCCCGATGACGACTTTCGCATTTTCGCACCAACCATGTGCTGCCATTATCACTTCGACCTGACCATGCGCTGCCACCCTCATCTCGATCAAAGTTACGCTTCCATGATGATTTAGATCTAGTCAGGTTTTACCGCACTCAGCCAAGCCATTCAAAATGGGAATGACTGATCGTAGCAGCCTGTTCATTCCAGCATTCCCACTTTTTTGCGATGACATCCTCGCGAACTGCTGAACCTGGCGCGAGCCTCCCGAGCGACGCGCGCACTTCTATTGAATAAATCCTATGCTCTTATCTGGAGACAGTCTCTCCAACGACTGCCTTATGTGGAACGCGTGCCCGAGGGCTATCTGGTGGAGTTCACCGACATGATGTTCGGGGAGAGGTGTTACGTGCGTGTCGCCATGTACCGTCGACGGTAATGTATTATATGACTGACGACTATGATTGACGCAGTTCTGCAATACGCGACGAGTCAAACCGCGGAACCGCATATCTCATGTCTGGCACCTAAAGCTTCGCTGTTGCACAAACTGTTTGCGGAAGCCACGATTGTACGTTCGCTTAGCTCGCCTTCGACCATGTACAAGATCTCAACAAACCCTAGGTTTACGCGTATCCACGCAGGCAAACAGACCCCCGTACTGCAGATAGCCGAGGTAAAGCACGCGCTTCCCAAGGATATGATAGAGGGTAAGCATTTGACTCATGAAGTCGAGCTTGAGATTGAACATCACCTAGATGATTGGTATATGCTAACAGACGATCTCAAACGATACAACGCCGAATACCTGTCGGTGATCGACCGACCCGACGCATTCCAGATCTGGACAATGGAACTCCGGATTTCTCAAAAGGAAAGGGAGAATGTGAGTATTATATGTTACTCCTTTGACGTGATGAACGATGCTCATTCGACGTAGTTTACCCTGCTTGGGGACATCGCCCTCCTCAGGAAGGCAAAATTACGCCAAGAACGGATCAATGGGTTCGTTGTAGGCTCTGAGTGCGTTGAAACTCACCAAACAGGTCCGCAGGATATTCGACATACTGGACGAATCTGATTTGGAAGAGTATGTCTGTGATGACGTCTACGACCACCCCCTGCTCAAAGGGATTGAAGACTTGTGTGATGATGGTGTGTCGGATTTCAAAGCCTGCCTTGTTCTCCCTGTTGAGCCCCCATCAGACCTAGCCGCTGTCCATGCAAAGATGGTGCAATTCTGCAAACGGAAGCAGACCGAGCGGTTCGAGAATCGGCGGATGTGGTCCCTGACCAGGCAATATGAGCCTGTGCAAGAATACTGGGACGAGGCCATTGCGCACATGCCACCCAACGGCGTGTATCCCCCTGTATGCGACGTTATCGCGCTTCTACCGTACAAGAACTACGAACGCGAACTCCCTATCATTCGTGGAATCTGGATTATGCACATCAAGGACGCGTGTTCTCCGACTCTCGGATTCCAGCGCATCGTCGACCAGTGGCGAGCCGCCAAGGACAAGGAGCTCGTCACTATAATGTCGGAGGCCCTCGGACGTACCACAGCCGCGGATGACCTACCTCTCGCTACGACATTCTTCACATGTACAAATCCTGACGGCAAACAACCGGGCATCGGCTATCCTCGCATCCTCGTTACGCCCGGCACCTACAGCGCGGATGACCTCGATGATTCAGAAGAGCGCGACGACATGGTCAGAATCCTGCAAGAGACGCCTTGGAATCGGAACGGCGAACGGGTTAGCTTCGACCACCTCACCCACGACGCAGCGCGAAAGATCGTCTCGCTCGCTGGACTGGATCCTGAAAAAGCTACCGCGGCGGAATTGGATGCGCTCGGAGCTTGGTTTACCTGTGGGGATTGCAGCACGCCAGGCAACAAGCGTGTCATGCAGTGGCAGCAGGCGGTGAGTGGTACCAGCTGCTGAACGCCATCCGTGTTCGGCCTCGTTGACACTTTTCGCAGATCATGCATAGCCGACCCATCAACGATGCGTACGAGCTTTGCAAGAGTTCCAGCGGACCGGCTCTGCGCGTCCTGGACGAGAGGGATTGGCCCCAAGCAGAAGCGGCTCGAGATTCTCAATGGCGCATCCCTGGAGAGCCCGCCCTTGACCCAGGCTCGGACATCCGCGAAGGCCTACGCGAAGACGACGAGGACGCCTGGGTGTTGTTGCGGTGCGTGCACTGCAGCTGGAATGTGTATTCGAATCACATGTCCGAGCACATGCAAATGGAGTGAGTCTCTACGCTCTGCTGTACAAGGGTGAACAAGAGACGCTGACGAGTTGTTCTCGCCTAGGCACGGAGTCACTCGCGCGCGACCTCGAGACGTCATCTTGCCTCTCGATGAGATCGACACAGGCGAATACTTCATGTAAAAGGAGCGGATTGGCTTCAAGAGGACTTCGCGCAGCTGGTCGCGGATCACAGGTTATATCCTGTAATGCAGTCTTTCTCGTAGTGGTGATAGTGATACACTTGCGTTCCCGAACATATACAGGGGGGAATCGGATGCAGAAGTCACTCATCCGACTCGACGCCTATATCTACGGTATCAGCTGCTCCAACCAATGCGTCCCGGACGTATACGTCCCAAACGCATTTGGTTGCGAGAACGCATCCCCACCCTGGCCCGCAGCCCCATTCTCCCCATCCCCCATCGCATCCACCAGCATATCCAGCATACTATCGTCCAGCACGATCTCGCTCGACCCGTTCGACGCCGACATCTCATGCAGCCCCGCCGCCACGGTCCCCATCCACGAGCCCACCGCCGCCGAGGGCGACACCGCCGTCAGCGGCGCCGGCTGCGGCAGGATCTCCTCCGCCGCCCGCGCCTCCGGGTCCGCCACGCCCCGCGCGATCTCCAGCTCGCGCTCGAGCTCGCGCCCCGCGTACAGCTGCGCGACCTCGTCCCCGAGGCAGCCGTACGTCGGCTGGCGCGGGACGATCTTGCGGTGCGGGCGCCCGCCGATCGCCGCCGTCACGGTCGCGCCCAGGTTCGCCTTCTTGCCCCGGCCGTTGGTCGACTTGGTGCGCGCGCCCTTGGCCCCGTGGCGATTCCGCGATCGTCTGGGAGCGTCCGGCTCTTGCACGCGGCGGCGGACCTGCCCCAGTAAGCGGCTGAGGACGATCTGGATGAGGGTCAGCATTCGACATCGCGTGCCAGAGCTCCCGATGGATGTACTTACCGCGATGGTATCCAAAAACCGATACGGCGACCTCGCCGTCGCGCGCACGAACACCGGAATCGCATACTCCAGCCACCTCGCCAAATCCGGCACCAGCGACGTCCGCGGCTTCTCCAGCACGATCATCGCCATACCAGTCTGTCAACCCCTCTCAGCACCCTACCCTACCCTTCACTTCCTCACATCATGAACTGGAACTTCACTCACCACCGCCCCAAAAAACCAATTCGCGTAGTACTTCCACCGCTTATGCCCCAGCTCGTCGTGGAAGTGCAGGATGCAGGCGATGGAGTATATCGTCCGCCGCGCGCTGTCGTAAATCCCGCGCACGCTCTCGGCGTACTCGTGGTCAAGGACATCCTCCGTGTCGTCGCGCAAGGCTTCAATGAAGTAGCGCCGGTGGATGTAGCCGCAGACTGCGCGAGGTCGTCAGCACGATACCGTCGCGCGCGCAAAAAGTAAGAACGCACCACTCGCGTGCTGCGCCTGCACCCACACGATATCCTGCGCCAAGCGCTCGTCCGTCGGCATAGACAGATCGTCCGGCAGCACCGGCTCCGTTATCCGGTCGAGCTCGCCGTACGGGAACTGGAGGTGCGACGGGATCGGGAAGTTCTCCACAAACTTCGCCGCGCGCTGCAGCTCCGTGTACGGCGGCAGGTCCTATACGCGCACGGCTCAGCACACATCCCGAGCTCTTCGCGGTGCGACATCGCGCACCTTGCTGAACATGAAGTGCAGCGCCAGCGAGTCGCAGTCGCGCGTGAACCGGTGCTTCCAGGCGTGGACTGGGCGATCGTCAGCGGGGACGTACGCAGAGGGCATCCGCATGGCTCACAGCCCATCTCGACCTCGCCGTCCTCCGTCAGGAAGGGCTCGAGGTCATCCGGAAGCGACGTGTCCGACCACTGCTTCCACAGAGTCGGCTGGACGCCGATGACCAGGCTCTGCAGTAGACGGACGCAGTCAGCCGCGAGTTGGCCAGATCGACAGAAAACCCACGTTGATATTCTCATAGTTGCACAACTCCCAGTACGCCCACCGTCGGCGCTGGTGCTCCTCTGGCGAGAACTGCGCCGGGTCAGCATCCCGATCTTGACTCCTTGTCAGCACAGCGTATCTCAGCCACGCCTGTCCACGTACGGAGTCCGCTCTGCACAAGGGTATCAGTCAACGCCTCCGGACCAAACAGACCCCACCTACCGTAATCGCCAGCCGCGTGCAGATCCCCAGCATCAGCGTCGTCTCGTCCTTATGTTCCTCGTCCAGAATGATCAGCATCGACGCCAGGCTCGCAATCAGCAGCAGCAGCGCCTGCACCGTCGCCGCGCTGCTCCCATTGAACACGCCCTCCAGACAGAACGATGCCCGCCCCAGAGCCCGGTACACGAAGAGCCGCTGCAGCTTGATCGGGTCCTCCTTGCGGTAGTACGCGCCCATGGCGATGATCATGAAAAATGCGGCGAGCCGGTGCGGGTGTATGCGTGTCGGGTCGGGTGCGCTCGAGCAGAGGTACACGGGCTCGAGGATCTCTTGCATGAAGACGAGTTCGCATAGGGGGTTGAAACTGGTGGGGGTGAGGGAAGGTGAAGGCAGGGAAAGGAGAGGAATTGGTGAACGTACAAGAGCGCAGACTCGTCGTAGTATGCTCTAGTGAGCGACAGAGCTTCCTCGAGCGTAGGCATGTACTGCCTGAATATCTCCGCAGACGGTCGGGGCCCCAAAGGACCAAACGGGAACGCATTGACCAGCTGCGTGATATGCCGCGGTAGAGAGGCGTCCCAAAACGACAGCGATATAAGAGGATCGCGCCCAGGAGAGACCGTCTTTCCAACTTTCGTCTCAACGTGCTTAACGGGAGTGCCATACGATTAGTAACGAGGAAGTCCGCAACTGCGAAGGCTTACCGCGATGTTTGGCTCCTCGTCATCGGCTATCTCGAGCGATCCTACAGCATTGGCAACCCACCAGCACTCGTCTGTTCGCCCAAAGGTATTATCTGACGTAAGCGGCAGAGCTACGCCTGCGTCGCCGAGTGCTCGCTCGAGTTCGCGAACGCGTACTCGCAAGGAAGCGGCCTCTGATGTCAGCTTGCGCACATCGCCGCGCAGAGTCCTATTCAGAAGCCAAGCAGGATTTGTCAGGGATGTATAATCAAGCCTGGTCCTGTTACTCACTGGCTGACTTCAGTCCGTTCGGTTGAGACCCTGCCTGTACGACCGCGTCAGTCACTCGTTCCCCCTCCGAGGAAGCAGCATACCTTCCGGACATATGTCCTGCAGTCCTCGCCTGTTCCCACCGTCAGAAAACGCCCCCTCTTCCAGATCTCTCTACGTACTTGATGCATGCTTCGCAGGGAAAGACTCTGTACTCTGGGTAAGCCTCCATACTCCCAGGCGATGTCTTTCACGTACTTTGTGCACTTCGTTTTCGAGCGACGGCATTCCTGGCAGGAGATCGGAGCCCGTTTCGATGCTTGCATGGCCAGAGGAGTCGTGATTCAGAGAACAAGCGCCGGTGATGGTGGTTATAAGGAGGTGGCGCGTAGGGATCGGCGCCTTCGGAACACGCTCCCGGTGGTCCGGATCCGCGCACGTGGCACACATCGCTCTGGGCTTTGTGTCCGTTTCGGGCGACGACTTCTCTTTCTCTGGCCTTTTCTATCTGTAGTTATGGCTGACTATGCTGCAGCTACACTGGATTCACTCTCAGGACACCTCGTCCTCGCTGCGATGATACCGGACCTCCGACATCGCGGGCATTTTCCCTTAATGCTGCGCGCTGAGCGCTGAATTCTCAATCGCTGGCGGCGCGCTTGCGTGGCTTACCACCTCATTCAACCCCTGCGCTGAGTCAGATTTCGAGAGACTATCACAAGATCTTCGACTTCGCGTAGGTCGCGAAGCTCCGAATCAATGTCTGGAAGGGGTACGGCACTCATGCTTTGGCACTATATACTTTGAAAGGCCTGTACGCATAAAATATCGTGATATACAAGTTAACTTCGAGATTTCCATCCACCCTACTAAGTGTACACAAACTGCAGATCTACGATCCATGTCCGCACCCAAACCAACTACCCAACCCCTCACCTTGTCCCATCCATGCCCAGATCCTTCATCAGCGCATCCCACGACATCGCCTCCGTCCGCGCGCCCGCGTCCCCCGCCATCTGCCTCAGCAGCGCATCCATCGCCGGGTCCGCCTCCATCGCGCCGCCTGTGTTGAGCGTGCTCAAACCCGTCCCGCCCAAGCTTGCCTCCTCGCCCTTCCCCATCCCCACGCCCATCCCCAGCCCCATCCCCCCATCGAAGCCAAAACCACTGAAACCCATCGTGATGTCCCCGTCGCCGCCCGCGCCAGCACCGGGGACCGCCATGCCCACCATGCCGAAGGGCGTGTAGTCGGGCGACGCGGAGTACCCCTGCTGCCCGTACCCGAACATGGCGTCGAACCCGCTGCGCAGGGCGTTCGCGTTCGGTAGCTGTGATTGCCCGTCGGCGAGCGATGGCTGACCGTTGGCGAGCGGCGTCTGCCCGCTCGTCGTGGATGGCTGCCCACTCGCCGCCGGTGGCTGATCTGGATTAGTGAGCGGAATCTGCCCGCCGACCAAATCCCTCGCCCATCCTAATCCAACACCGTCCACATCGCCTCCCATAGGCGGGTACAGCGCCCACCTGTCGCCCCAGGCGCCGACGTCCGGGACCGGGCGGTCCCCGCTCGAGGCGGCGGCGGCGCTAGCGGCAGCAGCGGCCTGTTGTGCTCTTATGGCATCGGCGGAGACCGTCTGGGCAGTGGCTGCCTTCTTCAGGAACCACTTCTGCGGACAGGCGAGGAGGCAGATCTCGCGGTCCGTGCCGGTGATGCATTCGCCGCCTGGTGGGAGGTCGCCCTTCGCGCAGGCGCGGGACTGCCGCAAAAGACGTTCCAGAGAGGGCTGCGTGAAAGTGAGCATTGTGAAAGAGCAGTGAAGAGACGAATATACCATCGTTCCCGCATGTCGACACCGCCTCGACCCGCGCTCAAAGAACTCAACGGCCTCTTCGAGTTCTTGCAACGCCTCCTTCGTAAACGGGGTATCCCCGCCGTGTATACACGTCGCACCCAGCACGAGCTATATGTACACTATCAGTGTCCCTCTTTCTGAGACCCAGAGCAAAACCACCACTCACACACGCCGAGAACACACTCGTCCAAAAGTGCCACTGCCTCTCCGTCATCTCAGGATGCACCGCATGCACACTGCGCATCCCGCGCACGAGGCGCGTCGCGCTGCGGTACGTAGCGAGGAAAGATGGCGCGAACGGGCTCGCCATCACCTGCTCGGTGGAGGAAACGGGTATATGCGCGCCGTCGGGCTGCACGAAGGGCTTCCCGAAGTGTCGGCGGTGGAGGTACAGGAGATCTACGAGGATGGCGAGTATCAGTCACCCTTTTGAACGATGATCGAAGGCGAAATGACCACTCACTCGCTTCCTTCTCGTTCAGAATCGCCATCTGCTGCATCGCGATGCAGGGGTCCGGCGACCAACCCTCATTCCCGTCCGCGGCGCCGTTCGCACCGTTACCTGGCCCATTTAGACTCGAGCCGCTCGCGCCACTACCACTGCTCATCCCACTGCCACTGCTCACCCCACTGCGACTGCTCGACCCACTAGCACTGCTCCCCACACTCGCGGCCCCCGCACTCCCCATCGCCGGCTCCGGCGGCCTCAGCGCCTTCGGCACGGGGAACGTCCGAATCTTCCGATCGAGCTCGAGCAGCGTCTTGTACGTCGTCCCGCGCGTGCAGAATGCGTAGCGGACGACGGAGTTGAGGCAGCAGGAGGCGAAGCGCTGCATCCAGTCGTGGACTGGGGTGTGTATGTGTTAGTGTACATTGGATGTTCGAGGGTGTAAAGAGGGTCTGCAGGAAGAGGGAGGGGCGTGAAGGGAAAGGGGCAGTTGGGAAAGGGGAACGTACATGTCATCTTATCCCACTCATCTGGGCCATACTCAACTGGGAAGCGCGTGTCTGTCTGCTGCAGCATGAGCGATGGTGGCCGACCATTGGTGATGCTCTGGAGTTTCATCAGTCCACTCTATCTTATCCAGCTCACGGCCTGATTGTGGCAACTTACCGTGCACCCATCCAGGATATACAACTCCCAGAACAACCTCCGCCTTCGCTCGACCTCTTCATTGTCAAAGCCCCACGAGCCGCCATCGCGCTCTGCATTCGTAGACAATCAGCATATTGACTCTCGCAAGGTCGCTTTGACACTCACGCAATCCCAACACCGGCACGGCGCGCGCACACACGCCCACCAGCATCCACCGCTCCTCGTTACTCTTCCTATCATTCGCATCCAACAGGATAATGAGCAAGAACAGCGCCTGCACCGTCGCGCACGACACATCCCACAACACCGGCTCCAGCGCCAGCGCCGCGCGCCCCAGAGCCTGATACTGCGCAGACAGAAACTTGCTCTCCTGCGCTGTGGCAGTCGGGTGCGTCGGCGGTGAGGAGTGCGCTGGCTGCACATTCCAGCCAGTAGCCGTGTTCGGTGAACCGTTCGCGCCATTGGAATGGTTTGAGGCAGGAGAGGCGGACGGCTCATCGGGCTCGTGCAGCAGCCCGCAGCAGAGCATGAAGAAGAGAACGGAGAGCCGATGGGAGGAGACGGCGTCGACGTTGACAGTGTCGCTGCCAAGCGGGTTCGCGACGTTGCCCGTGTGCGGGTACAGCGGGTCAATGATGCTCGACATGAGGTCCTGGCGGGTGATGGGTTCGTAGCTGGGGGAATGGGGGGTCAGTAACATGTTCAGTCAACGAGACAAACTACAAGCAGCTACACGCGCACTCACAGCCATCCCAAGTGCTTGAAGTACAAGTCCGTGAGCTGCAGCGTGCGCTCGCGCGTGGGGATGTATGGCGCAAAGATAGCCTTAGTAAGCCTCGTCTTCTTCACACCGAAGGGGAATGCGTTGACAAGGGCGACGATCTCCGAGGGGAGACATAGTTCAGATGGATCTGGCTGGTCCCCGCCCTCTTGTCGTATGATCATGTCGAGGAGGTACTGAGGGGGGATAAGAAATGCACACTGTCAGCCTTGCCCTTCGATCTCAAACAATCCGCATACGCACCTCGCTCGCTGCGCCCTCGCCCTGATATCGTGTTCGGCCATCCTCACTGACAATGAGTGCGCCGATGCCCTCAGAGACCTCGTTAATGTCCTTTTCCGAGGAGGCTTGATCCTGGAGCAGGGGATGATCGGGGCTGCCGACGGCTTCGAGGAGAGCACCCTCGAGTTCCTTGACGCGCTCTTCTAGGCATTTGACGCGTGCTGAGAACTTTTCCGTTTGCGCCTTGAGAGTCCTAGTTCGGAGATGAGAGATGGGGAGGGATGCATGTATCGAAAGGAGTACTTGTTGGCTTTGGTAGCGGCCATCGTCCCTGTGCGTTTCACATGAGCAAGGGGATGAAAAGGCGTAGAATCAGTATACCATTGGGACAAACATTCGCGCATCCTCTCCTACGAGTATAGATGAGCACCATGTCCCGAAACACCAGCAGTCTATCTACTCACCTTACACACGACTGGCACGGAACGTTGCTAGATTATCATCGGTCTTAGTCACTCTGACCACAGCAAACTTTCGTACCGGTCACATTTTATCTTCGACCGCTTGCACTCCGCACAGGACATCATATTCATCCTCGCCGTCGTCTGAAAAGTCGAGCGGGACGACATGATGATGGTCGGGAACAAGTCCGTCCTGATCGTTAAGCGCCCATGTTTATTGTACCCCCATGGGGCGCACCGGTCCGAATATGCCGGCCACCTTTGATTCCCGGCCGATTTTTCGTCGATCGCGCACTATCCATCATGGCGCCGACGACCCTGGGCAAGCGCAAGGAGCGCGAGAGCACCGTCAAGACTGAGGAGGAGGGCGCGGGAGATGGTACAGATTCCAGTAAACAATGCACCGACAAGCACAGCAGCACGCTCTTCGTCTCGAACCTCCCTTACGCGGCAACCTCGACGGACCTGCAGACGCTCTTCTCCGACATCGCGCCCGTGCGGTCCGCATTCGTTGTGACGCAGCAAGGGACCGGTGTCTCCAAGGGTGTCGGCTATGTGTCTTTTGCGATCAAGGAGGACGCGCAGGGGGCGTATGACAAGATCGCGGCGGAGGGGATCAAGCTGAACGGTCGTGCACTACGTGTAGAATGGGCAGACACGAAGAAGGTGCGCGTCTAGCAACCCATACTACTACCATCTACTCATGCTTGCTCTCAGCATGTTCCTCGCGAGAAAGACGACAGCAAGCCCGCAACGGTCAAGCCCAAGGCGCCGCATACCCCCAAAGCCCCCCGCGCGCCTATCTCTCACGACCCCAATGCCATCCGCACTATAGTCATCTCTGGCCTCCCCTCAGGCATCGATCAGAAGACCCTATGGAAGAAAGTGCGCAAGTACGACGGCGCGGAGAGCGTCCAATGGCCTGCCAGTGTTGGCGGCGCTGAGGACAAGTCGACGGGTGCGTACTTCTTTTGACCGTCGCACAAATCAGTCCTCTTACCGCCCATCTCCTCCTACTTAGCCGAAGCGATCTTCAAAACCCCCGCCGCTGCCACGAACGCGGTCACCAAGCTCCACGCGCATGTCTTCAAGGGCGCCCTCCTCTCCGTTACCCTCAAAAAGCGGCTGGAATCTCTGCTCTCCAAGCCTGTGAAGGCCAAGACTGCGACCAGCGATGCAAAGGACAAACCCAGTGCCTCCACATCCACCGCCCCCTCCCACGCCAGCCGCCTCATCGTCCGCAACCTCCCCTTCGACATCACCGAGCAGGACCTGCGCGCGATCTTCCTTCCCTATGGGCCGATCTACTCCATCACCATCCCCTCGGCCTCCGCTCCCACCACCGGTGAGGACGCAGACGGCAGGCGCACCTCGGGCAAGAAGGGCTTCGCCTTCGTCTGGATGATGAGCAAGAAGGACGCCGAGCGCGCGCTGGCGGGGTGTAACGGCATGAAGGTTGCAGCCGGTATCGCGCGCGAGCTGGCGGAGAGGAAGCAGAAGCGGAAGAAGGAAATCAGACTGGAGAAGCAGAATCGGGCGTTGGCGAAGGGCAAGCCGGTTGATGGCGAGGACGCTGAGGCTGACGAGGAAGAGGTCGAGGAGGAGAAGGATGAGGAGGATAGTGATGAAGAGGACGAAGATGCCAAGTCTACGTCCTTGAAGAAGCGCGAGCGCATCATCGCAGTCGACTGGGCGCTTAGCAAGGACCGGTGGGAGGAAGAGAAAGCGAAGCTGGAGGAAGCTGGCGAATCCAGCGCGTCCGGCTCAGATTCAGACTCTGACGTCTCGGATGACTCGGACTCTGACGGCGAAAGCAGCGATTCCCATGTCGGCGTGCACGACGACGACAATGCGAGCGCGTCGGAGGACGATGGCAGTGACGCCGAGCGCGACGAGGACGAAGAGGCGCCCGTCAAGCCGACGCTCCCTGACACTGATGTTGGGACGACATTATTCATCCGCAACGTACCATACGATGCGACGGAGGACGAGCTACGAACTCTGTGAGGATCCATCTTCTCTCTCTCTCTCCTCGTACTCTAGCTAACATCCTTCCCAGGTTCCGCGCCTTCGGCCCCCTCCGCTATGCCCGCATCACCAAGGACCCCGAGACCGGTCGCGGTCGCGGTACCGGCTTCGCCTGCTACTGGAACAAAGAGGACGCCGACAAGGTCATCCTCCAATCCGACACCCTCCGCGCCGAAACCCAGGCACTCCCCATCACCCTCCCCAAGCCCAACCCATTCACGCTTCCCTCGCTCCTCACACCGGACCCATCCTCCTCCCTCGCCCAAAGCCTCGTCCTCCACGGCCGCACGCTCGATGTCGTGCGCGCCGTGACGCGCAGCACCGCAGACAAGCTGCGCGAGGACGGCCTGAAGCGCCGCGAGAAGGCCGACAAGCGGCACGCATACCTCCTTCGCGAGGGTGTCATCCTGCCCAGCATGCCCGCGGCGGCGAGCCTCGCCCCCGCAGACCTTGAGCGGCGCACGAACTCGTACAACGCGCGGCGCAAGCTGCTGCAGAGCAACCCCTCGCTGTACATCTCACGCACGCGGCTGAGCGTGCGGCAGCTGCCTTTGTTCGCCACGGAGCGCATGCTCAAGCGCCTCGCCATGCACGCTGTGCGCACGTTCGAGGACGAGGTCAAGGCCGGGCAGCGGGAAGCGCTCACCGCTGACGAGCTCGAGGAGCGGGACGAAGAAGCTGACGCAGCCGCCCTTAAAACCTCCGCTGACGCACACGCCAAGGACGCCCCTCCAAAGAAGCGCGGCAAATTCACCGGACGCCCCCAGCGCGTCAAGCAGACCAAGGTTATCCGCCAGGCCGAGCGCGTCGACGCCGTCACCGGCCGCGCGCGCTCTAAAGGCTACGGCTTCATCGAGATGTCCACGCACGCGGACGCCCTCCGCGTCCTACGCTGGGCGAACAACAACGGCGGGCTCGCTCCGCTCTGGCGCGAGTGGTGGCTCGACGAGGTGAAGGACCTCGCGGAGAAAGAGCGCAAGAAGCCCGCGGGGGAGAAGGACGAGACGCGGCTGAAACGCCTGGAGGACGAGCTGAAGACGGGCGCCGCGGCGCAGAAGGCAAGGGGGACGCTGATCGTCGAATTCTCGATCGAGAACGTTCAGGTGGTGAAGCGGAGGCAGGAGAAGGTGAGTTGGCTCTCGTATGTCGATGGGCGGGTGCTCAATCATCGATAGGTGTCCGGCGGCGGGAAGGACGGCGCTGAGGGCAAACGGGGTCATAAGAAGGATTCTGAAGACGCGGAGCGCCCGTCAAAACGTCGTAGAACCGATGACGAAGACGAGAGGCCCAGCAGGACCAAGCAAGGCAGCAGCGGCAAGCGCGACCGGAGAGAATCGACGGGCGACAAGAAATACGTCGATTCCAAGGTCAAGGCAAAACGATCCTCGACAAATGGCGACGACGATGCGCCCCGCAAAAAGGCGCGACTCGCTGACACAGGCTCAGAAGGTGGAAAAGACAGTGCAAAGATGAAAGAGGGTGGTAAGGCGCCCAATCCTCTTGGCTCGATCATTGGGCGTAAGCGCAAAGAGAGGAAGAAGAAGGGAGGCAAGGCGTAGATCAGCATGTACACCTCCATGCGAACTGCAAAATCATGCTAGTATGCGCTACGACAGCTTGCGATGTTGAACGTCATAAACGCCTTTTGGTTCGGCATGGTAAAAACAATACGCGCTTAACTGCAACCAGTTTGAGGTAAGTAGAATCAGGCTGCGTCCGCTTTCCGCCACTGGCGATCCCTCCATCATAATCCACAGCTCACGCTTGACTCTACAACCAAAGGTGCGAACTCAAGACGTTGTGTGTCTAGGGTGTGGTTGTCGAGCTTCTCAGAACACGCTGCTGACACGTGTGCAAGTTTTCCCTAACTTCGAACTCAGTTCACTTCGAAGGGCCTAAGGTCGAGTTCACCGTATGTAACCTGGGCCTTTCTGCCGTGACCTCTGACAGTCATTTTCTAGATCATGGACAGTCATCAAGACCAGGACAGTCCTGCCGAGCCTGACCCCCATGAGCCACAATACGAGGAATTTGACGCCGTGAACTTTCTCGTTCGTGGAGGGTACCCGATTGAGCGCGAGGAGCTGTTCGCTTTTACGAAGAAGCTAGCCTCGGATTGGATTGCCAAAGGCGTGCCGACCATTGTACCCTCCAGCAAGGACGATCCGCCCATAATGCTCAAGCTCATGGACGATCTCCTTCGCTATTTCCCGGATCTGGAGTGCTCTGCCATCGGCAACCCCGCCGACCCCAAGAAGTGGACATACTTTATTGCCACTGATCAGGGTCGTTACGTGGACGTCCCTTTAGCGGAGTATCGTGACATGGTACGGAGGCAAGACTTCTGGAATCCCGAGCCCAAGCTCCGACTACAGGAGACGATTGCTGACGCAGAGGTCAGAGACCTATTGCAGAAGATTGGTGCAATTGCTATCTCCCACCCTTGCCACTTGTGCTCACACCATACCTCAGGCGCGAGGTTGCATCCTTTCCGTACTGTTTTCTGGGATTGAAGCGTTGGCACTGCGATGTCTCCCCATGCGGGTACACGCAATTATGCCTGTTCACTGGCCAGCAGCAGGCTCGACTACAGCTTCAGAGCACTTTACGTAAATCTTGTCTAGTCCGCGCAGAAGAAAAAAGCATTTGCTTGACTGAGCCGCAGACGCGTTTGCCGCGCAGCCCTATGCAAACACGTTGATGACACGTGTACGAGTTTTCTTCGATTCTGAACAGGTTCGAAGTCGAGTCCACCGTGCGTAGCCTGGGCAGCCCTTGCAGTGACATCCGACTGTACACAGTCAATAGATCATGGAAGATCATCAGGACCAGGACACTTCTGCCCAGCCTGAACCTGATGGGCAACATCATGAGGAGTCCGCATCCGTCAGCATCCTCGTTCGTGGAGGATATCCCATTGAGCCAGAGAATTTATTCGCTCTCACGACGAGGCTAGCTTCCGACCGTCTTGCAAAAGGCGTGCCAACCACCACGCCCGCCAGCATGGAAGATCGACCCGTGATGCTAGAACTTATGGACGATCTCTTCCTCCATTTTCCGGACCTGGATTGTTCGGTCGTTGCGAACCCCGCCGTTCCCAGGAAATGGACATACTTCATAGCGACTGACCAAGGTCGCTATGTGTCGATCCCCTGCGGAGAGTATCGTGATATGGTACGGACGCAGGATTTTTGGAATCCCGCAGTCGAGTTGCATCTACAAGAGACGATTGCCGACTTGGAGATCAGAGACTTGCTGACAACGAAGATCGGTGGGATTATAGTCTCCTACGGATACCACGATTTCTGACAGCATGTCGCAGGCGCGAAGCTGCACCCTTTCCGTACTGTCTTTTGGGATTGAAGGTTGTAGCGCCGGCGCTTGAGTACAATTCGACTCGATCAAGGTGCATGTTCAACCTCGTGAACTGGCGTCGCTAGGCTCGTGTACACGATCGACATGTGCGAATCCAGTCCATACGACGAATGGTCATAAACCCAAGGCGCGCCACGGCAATTGCCGACGGTAAGCCAGTTCGAATCGCACTGATGAAAGATGTGCAATGCCGCCTGCGTTTCGCATGTTTCCTACACCGGTTTCTCAGTCGACGCGCAGCTAGCAAATGCATACTTGAGGCGGAAAGAATGCCAGTGCGTATGCATTCCCGCCAGAACAACATGGCTATAATCAGCGAGCTCAACTAATCATGCACGAAGCGAGGCCAGTTCCAATACTGAAGTACTGACGGGCTAGTCTGGTCCGCCAGAATGCAAGGATGGCCTAGGCCACATGTAAGATGAAAAGCTCTGTATTCTCAGAGCCAGAAAGAAAGTCTCGCTTTACAAGTAAGCAGCTCCGAATTATTTTTTCCTCCTCGTCCTGATCTAGCCCCTACAGCATACTGTACATTACATGTCGCTGAACATTGCAACGCAGGATGAAACGTGGGAGGCCAGCGCAGCGGCGCTGTTCATATCGGCGTTCACGAAAAGCCTGTGGACGCATGCGATTGCGACTGCGACCGGGTTATCGCGGTCGACCGCGATCACCACTTTGAGGGACGTATAGCTCGTGGAGACTTACTGAGTTACTCTCATGGGCAACAACCCCGCACTTAAGGAAGGAGACATGCTCTTGCCAGCGTAACCCTCGAGCATCTTGACTCTCTGCTGGCGACGTCAAACATGCATCTGCCTCGTGTAGCAGTTGCGACCCAACGATGGACTCAGTGGGGGATTAAAATGTATCTTGGCATCACACACTGGATGGCATGGGTCTGCGTCGTTGAATGCATAGCGATACATGACAACAATATGATACACGATAAATCAGTCGAACAGACCGAAGCCCATGTCGTCGTCGGACTCCTCCTGCATTGATGGTCAGAAAGGTGCCACTTGGGATAGAATGTGTACTCGCCTTCTCCTCCTCCTTCTCCTCCTTCTTTTCCTCGGCAGCAGCCGCAGGAGCAGCACCACCGGCGCCACCAGAGGGCGCAGCGGCAGCACCGCCAGACGGGACAGAGCCCAGCTTGGAGGTACCCTCAGCGATGAGCTATCAAGGAGTCAGTACACGCCAAGTTCGAGCGATCTGATTACGCACCTCGTTGATGTCCTTGCCAGACAACTCGCTGATCAACGACTCGACGCGCGAGTCATCGACCTCAACACCAACGGTGCCGAGGAGCTTGGAGATGTCGGCAGCCGAGGGGGAGCTGTTGCCACCGATCTGGAGGAGGAGGTACGCGGCGATGTAACGCATCTGCAGAGACGCGTCCCGATCAGTTTCCGCCCAAGTGCTCGCGAACTTCTCGAGCGCACTTTTGATTGTTTATTTAGCGGTTAGCCACAAATCACTGGGGAGCGGGTCAGCGGGGGATGTTGTGCACACTCTCGACGCGACACGCACGTTTTAATCCGCGAGGGACGACCTGTGGGTTCTGACCGTCGATGATGGGGAGCTCACACTGACTGCGCGCAAGTCAGATCGAGTCGGGAAACTGTACAGCCGCACGTGATCTAAGCCACCGCTTTGTGTCCGTTTCGGGTAGTGTATTCTCACGCTCTCAGGCCCGGGAGAAATCCAGCTCGCCTCGATAATCAACGACGACAAGACACCATGGTAAGCGTCGATGTGGACCGCTGCAAGATTGCCGTGCTGACGTTCCGCGTAGGCTGACGTTACCGACCCCGCCGTTGCGGCCGAGCTCAAGAAGAAGAGAACCTTCCGCACCTTCTCGTACCGCGGGGTTGAGCTTGACAAGCTCCTGGACTTGAGCAATGAGGAGGTGCGTAGCGTGCCAGATCATAACCTCACAAGATGCTGACTTTGATCCTTAGCTCGTCGACGTACGTTCCGTTACAGGGAAATGATCGAACGAGTGGCTGATCGCAATCCCTTCAGCTCGTCCACGCTCGCGCGCGCAGGCGGTTCCAGCGCGGTCTGAAGCGCCGCCCCATGGGTCTCATCAAGAAGCTTCGCAAGGCGAAGAAGGAGGCGCCCCCCAATGAGAAGCCTGCTGTCGTCAAGACTCACTTGCGCGACATGATCGTCGTCCCGGAGATGATTGGCAGTGTCATTGGCATCTACAACGGCAAGGTATGCACTCCCGACATATCTACTTTGTTGCTTGCCCCTAATCATCCTCCCCAGGTCTTTAACTCTGTCGAGATCAAGCCTGAGATGGTCGGTCACTACCTCGCCGAGTTCTCCATCTCGTACCGCCCCGTCAAGCACGGTCGTCCCGGTATCGGTGCCACGCACTGTGAGTATCCTCGACATCTATCGCTCGAGGAAATTGCTAAGATCGCATCTAGCTTCCCGTTTCATCCCTCTCAAGTAGAGGACTCTGGAGAGTGCTCGGTTTTTCTACCCGCTTTTCATCCCATGTACGACATACAAAAACTCCCCGTATGCACCTATGGCACTGTATGCATCACTTGACGACCTGCTCATGAGACTGCCTGCTGGGTCCATCGGGATCATGAACGCCCCAATTGCGTCTGAAGAGTGAAGTTGCTTGATCCTCAAGATTGTCGATTGAACAGCGACACACTTGATTGAGCTGTGCCCAGCACTATCCACGTACTGTAACCGAGTGTACATGTTTCCTCTCTCGACGACCTTTTCGTATTCTTCCAACTCGTCTCGAATTTCGCAAAGGACGCGTTGAATTGCGATCGATTCACACGTGACATTTCGCGCCTGGCGTGAACTTCCCCGCTTGCGAACTTCTCACTGTACCACCATCTGCGCGCCGCCTTCGGTCCCCAAAAGACGTGTCCCGTACCGGGAGACGCATACTCACGAAGGGACTGATAAGCCACGGTTCTACGATTCTACAACCCCAAGGCTGACGCGTCCTTCCCAATCCCTAAGTAGTACACTATGGCCTCTGCATCTGGCTCAAACGCCCCAGTACCCCCAGCTACTGGTCGCTCCTCTCGCATTGCTCCCCATTCCCACATCAAGGGCCTTGGTCTCAATGCCGAAGGCTACAGCCAGACCGATAGCTCAGGCTTCGTCGGCCAAACGCGCGCGCGCGAGGTATGTTTGCCCCTCCCCCCTCCCTGAATCGAGCATCCGACCTGGCTGAAAGGCGTGCGGCGTCATCGTAGACCTGATCAAGTCGCGCAAGTTCTCTGGGCGCGCTCTGTTGCTCGTTGGTGCGCCGGGGACAGGAAAGACGGCGCTCGCGTTGGCTGTGTCGCACGAACTGGGCGCGAAGGTGCCATTCTGCCCGATGGTGGGGTCCGAGGTGTACAGCACGGAGGTGAAGAAAACAGAAGTGCTCGCAGAGGTGTTTCGGAGGGCAATAGGTGCGTCGACATATTCTCCGCGCGTATAGCAGTCATTGATCGGTGAGCATAGGATTGAGGATCAAGGAGACGAAGGAGGTGTATGAAGGAGAAGTGACCGAGCTGACGCCGACGGAGAGCGAGAACCCGCTGAGTGGCTACGGGAAGACGGTCTCGCACGTCACCGTCGGTCTCAAGACGGTGAAGGGCACGAAGCAGTTGCGACTCGATCCTAGCATCTACGAAGCGATCCTGAAGGAGAAGATTGTTGTGGGGGACGTCATTTACATTGAGGCAAACACTGGCGCGGTCAAGGTAAGGTGTGCGGTACGCGGGGGATGTGTGGCTGACGCTCCCCTCAGCGTGTGGGCCGCTCGGACGCTTACGCGTCTTCATACGATCTCGAGTCAGAGACGTATGTCCCTCTCCCAAAGGGTGACGTGCACAAAAAGAAGGAGCTGGTGCAGGATGTGACGCTAGGCGACTTGGACGCGGCGAATGCACGCCCGCAGGGTGGGCAGGACATCATGAGTGTGATGGGCAGCCTGGTGAAGAGCGGCAGGACAGAGGTGACGGAGAAGTTGAGGAAGGAGGTCAACAAGGTGGTGAAGGGGTACGTGGATCAGGGCGTGGCGGAGGTGATACCGGGCGTGGTGTTCATTGATGAGGCATGTCTGCCTCTCACTCGTTCTTCGGTAGTTCACTGATGGCGCCCTAGGTCCACATGCTTGATATTGAGTGCTTCACCTTCCTCAACGCGTTGCTGGAGGACTCGATGGCGCCGACGGTCATCCTTGCCACAAATCGGGGTAACTCCACCGTCAGAGGAACGGACGACATCGTATCACCTCATGGCATCCCGGTGGACCTTTTGGACAGATGTATGATCGTGCGCACGGAGCAGTACACCATTCCTCAAATCATGAGAGTCATCGAGCTACGTGCTACCGTCGAAGGCTTGAAACTCGGCGAAAAGGTCACGGAGAAGCTGGCGACCTCAGGCGAACAGGCCTCATTGAGGTGAGCTCGCAACTGACGTTGCGTGCACTTGTGCTCAACTCCCTCACAGATATGCGCTCCAACTGCTGACACCGGCGTCCATCTTGGCGAAGCTCGCTGGGCGCGATACCATCGAGCTGGACGACATTGGCGAGATGGGCGAACTCTTCCTCGACGCAAAAACGAGTGCCGGCCTCATCTCCTCCTCAGGGAGACAGAGCGCCGATGTGACCATGGGTTGATTGACGGATAGTACCTATCTTGGGACGCGTATATTGTACTTTGGCTTGTACACCAGAATCCATTGCCCCCGTTTGGCCGGGTACCTGTACATCTGTGCATGCGTGGACTGTGCGGCGACGTAAATATACATGAAAATGAGAAAACTTCCGCACCAATACGGGTTTTGTGCCCTGTGGTGGTTACGTGGCGACACTATGCGTAAGGCCAGGGCAGTCCTGTGGGTGGTTTGTTGACGTCCCTGGAGCGAGTCCGAGGACTTGGGCGAGAAGGGTGTGACCAGATCTAGGCTGAACAAGGATATTCGTACACTCTTACGATAGTATTAAGGCCCTCGCCCTGTTCCATAGAAGGTGTACACACTGAGCACATGAATGTCGAGAGTGGTCGCCGACAAGCATGAGTTGCTGCTTCCAAGCTGCTTGAAGGTCTAGCAACAGTCACGCGTGACGGTGTCACGTCCGCCCGGAATTCCACCTTCTCCTCGTCGCCCATCTACTCCTGAAAGCTGATCGCTCCCGCGCTGGCCACAGGAGATTCCGGAAAATCCGGCGTGAAGATATTCGCAACATGAGCAGAGAACAGGACCCGGCGCGGGGGATGGCGTCTTGGTCGTCTAGCCAGCAATCTCTCAATGGCGCCCCCAGTGATGTGCCGGACCCGTCGCGGGCATACCAGCAACGACCCGGCCAGCAGCAGCCGTATGCGGCGCAACAGCCCGGCCCCTACTCAGCTCCCCCGGCAGGCTCTGCAGGTCGATTGCCGGAACGGTCCCAGGTGCCAACGAGGGCGCAGACGATGGGCGACAGCCAGAGCCAGCCAGATCGCACTGTGCCAATGGAGAAGCACGCGCGTAGCGAAGATCTCAACCACACGACCTCCTCATCTCCACTATCCATTCCCTCCAACACGACGCCGGCGCCCTCCAACGACGGCACCCGACCATCTTCGCCGACGAAGCGACGGCAACAGACGGGCGGCTCCAACCAAAGCGCCGAGGAGCAGAGCGCGGCGACCAGTCGCACGTCCCTCTCATCAGAGCGCTCTCGCTCGTCGTCGGAGCAGGACACTGGCGATGGAAGTAGCAGCATGAAGCCCCCTCCCACCGCACCGTCCTCCGTCGCTTCGAGCTCGCTCGCGTCGACGTAAGTGCTCGGCATCTCTCACCCAGCGCGTACTCAACGACTTCTTAGATCTTGCTCGGCATGTGGGAAGCCTATGCAGGGACCGTTCGTGCGTGCGCTGGGGACCGTGTTCCATCTGAATTGCTTCAAGTGCATGGTGCGTCGATTGCCAGTCATTATCTAGATCACTCGCCAACCAGTCGCAGGATTGCGGGGATGTCGTCGCATCGAAGTTCTTCCCCATAGAAGGGCCCGATGGGAAGCAGAGCCCTCTTTGCGAGCGCGATTACTTCAGGCGGCTCAATCTCATCTGCGCGAAGTGCGGAATGGCTTTGCGCGGGAGCTATATAACAGCATGCAGTGCGTCTCCTGCTATGCTATTCCTGCTATGTACTAACTACGATCAGACAAGAAGTTCCATGTTGAGCACTTCACATGCTCGCTATGCCCTACCCTCTTCGGACCGCAAGACTCGTATTACGAGCATGACAACGACGTTTACTGTCACTTCCACTACTCGACGCGTTTCGCCACCAAGTGCGTTGGCTGTAACAGCGCAATCCTCAAACAATTCGTCGAGATCAACCGGAACATGAAGGACGAATGCTGGCACCCAGAGTGCTACATGATCAACAAGGTCCGCATTGCCGATCGCGCATACTAGGCAGCCACAATTAACCATCGTATAGTTCTGGAATGTCAAGGTCGTATCTCGGCGACCGAACAGCACAGAAGAAGGCCAGGCTGAGCAACCTGCTTATCTGGAGGAGGAGGCTCGCGAGACCCCTGCGTCACTCAAGGAAAAGCAGGCGCGAATGGAACAGCAGGTGTACCGCATTTGGACGTAAGTGGCGCGTGTCCCCCGAGGTTGCAGCGTCCTCACGTGCCCGAACAGTGTCCTGTCGGCCTTCGAAGAATCAAGTGCTGCCTGCATTTCGGACATGCTACGCCAAGTCAGCAACGGGCAATACCTCGATGCCATTCGCATGGCAGAGAAGTTTATCCTGCATGTGGAGGTTCTGTTTGCGACGATAGATGACCTCGAATGGAACTTTGCGCAGTTGGGCATGAAGAGTGCGTCGCATTCTATGGTTTTGTTGATAGATTGCTGTTCTTATCGATAATGCAGGCATGTCCCATGTTCGAGAAGCGCGCATGCTATGCCGGAAGACGGTCGAGCTCTTCACGCTGCTTTCGCATACGCAAGAGACCGGTCAGCGCCGCATGGGCATGACGCAGGACCTCCTCGCTCTTGTCACGGGTCTTGCACACTACCTCAAGATCCTCATTCGCATTGCTCTCACTGGTGCCCTCAGGCTGGAGCGCGATCAGAGCGTGCCAGATGCTATGTCGTCCTTCCTCGATAAGCTGCACCTCCTCGCAGTACAGGGAGCCAACCCCTCCGCCCGACGTCTTATCAAGGGCCACAACGGCGAAGTAGTTGCCACCAGCCCGAACGGCAATTTCGGCACGCAGGGTGTAACATACGGCTTCCGCAGTTTGGCACCGGAGAACGCGGGCGAGTCTCCCTTCAGCCCAACATACAATGCGCAAACCTCGCGCATGCCGTCCGCGAATCCACCGAGCGACTTGTGCGTCAGGTGTGGGCTGACGGTGGAGGAGGACTGCGTTCGCCTTGGCACCTATCAGCGATGGCACTCGCACTGCATCCAATGTGCGGCGTGCGGAAAGGTCGCAGCTGTTCCTGTTCAGAAGGAGCAGAAGCAGTTGCCCTCAGCGCAGGGAGAAGACTCGAAGGACAGTACCGTGGACAACAAGGCCCCGGTGAAGCTGAGCACGGCACGGCGACCTCCCGCGAATGTGGGCATGTTCGTGTACGAGGTGCAGTCGATGAAGGAGACTTCATCGTTTGGCTTGGTACCGACACGCATACTATGCTCGGAGCATGCTCACGAAGGTTGTCGAGGAGGCTTCCAGGCGGTTCAGCGACTGGAGCAATACGCTTTCCTGTTAAACGTCGCACTTCGGCGACTGTACCTCTTGTTGCGGAAGGCTGGCGTCGTACCGCTATCTCCAGGTAATTTCCTACCCGATGTCTTCAGTCTAGTGCTCACCGTCGCTCAGACACGCCATCAACGAGTGACACACCAAACCCCTACCGAAACTCTAACGACATGGTCACAATGAAGTCGGCTCACTTGGACCGCAAGCTATCGGCGACCGCACGGCTCCCTAAACGGTCAACGATCGTCGAAAGCCCTACTGGAAGGTCGGTGCATCCACACGATGCAGGTTACACGCATCGGTCGCCCGATCCCTCGCAGCCGCCGATGCCTGCGCATCTGCAGCAGCGTACGCCTCCTCACCAGACGCCATCGCCGCAGATGTCACGACCTCAGCTTGGTCCTCTGCCCGGCGACAGCGGCGGTCAGATATTGAGACCATCGTTTGCTCGTGCCAACACGGAAGTCAAGATCGTGGACGAGAGCATGCCCAGCTCGCCCGCGGCTGGAATGGACGACCCTCAGCCCCGCCTACCCGTCGACGACTCTATCACGCTTGCGGATATTCCACAGATCGTGCAGGCCGCGCAAGCTCACAACGAGCGGCGGTCATTACCGCGGGAGAACGCCATACCCTACATCGCGGAGCTCAGCCCATTGGAGCTAGCGATCATCAAGCATGCAGCTGTACTAGCGCTAAGTCGGTCACCTCTACGGGATCAGTTCGATATGGACGAAATTCTGGAGCTGGTGGAGGTGAAGAAGAGCAACTTTTGGAACAAGTTGTTCAAGGGAGATAAGAAGAACATCAAGAAGAAAGGTTTGTGAGATGTACTAGATTTTGTGGATACATATCGATAACCTATTGCAGGCGTATTCGGTGTACCTCTTGAGCTTCTCGTCGAACGGGAAGGTGTCGACTCGCTCCTTGGTGCAACGAGAGCCGCGATGCGCGTGCCCAGCTTCGTGGACGATGTCATATCTGCCATGAGGCAAATGGGTGAGTATCAGGAATCGTCGTCATGACAGGGTGCTGAATTTATTCTAGATTTGTCCATCGAGGGTATATTCCGCAAGAACGGCAATATCAAGAGGCTACGCGACCTGACCGAAGCCATCGACCGTGATCCCTCTGCAGTTGATTTGACGCAGGAGAATGCGGTCCAGCTTGCCGCTTTGCTGAAGAAGTTCTTGCGAGACCTGCCGGAGCCATTGATGACCTTCAAGTTGCACCGCCTGTTCATTGCTACCCAGTGTATGTTTTAAATTCGTCACCATCGTTGTCTGCTCACGCTCGTCGCAGCTTTACCCAATGAGGCTGAACGTCGGCGATTACTCCACATGGTCGTCCTCCTCCTACCCAAGAGTCATCGCGACACGCTGGAGGTGCTATTCGTGTTCTTGAAGTGGGTGGCCTCCTTCGCGCATATGGACGAAGAGACAGGTAGCAAGATGGACTTGGGCAATCTGGCTACCGTCATCTGCCCGAGCATCCTGTACTCTCGGGGCCGCGATCCTGTGCGCGACGAGAGCTTCGGGGCAATTCGGGTGGTCACCACCTTGCTCGAGAACCAGGACGACTTCTTCGCAGTACCAGAGGAGTTCTTGCCTATGCTCCGGGACCAGGAACACTTCACGCCTTACATGGAGATGCCTAGCAAGGAGTTCCTGAAGAAGTGCGACAACTATGTCAGGGTCAAGTCCGGTAGGCCGCCCGCCGCTGTCCCTCAGTACGGCAGTCCTCCCAACGGAATGCAACCGCGCTACAACGGCATGAGCACCCCGACCATAGAACGCCAGCAACCGATTCCTCGTATGCCGCCTTCGGCTGCCAACTCTCCCTACACGTCACCGTCCTCGCCATCGGTTCCACCGAACGGGTTCAACCACCAACGAGAAGACTGGCCCGCCTCACCAAGGCTACCGAGCGTCGCACCACACGGCGCACCACCGTCTTCACGGCCATCGTCATACGTACAGCCCCGACCTCCACCGCCCGCACCGTCGTCGGACCAGAGCCACGGGGGACTGCAGGCATCCAACGGGTACACCGCTGTGCGGCAGCGTACGCAATGACGTTCCGATGTTCCCGTCTTCGTCTTCTAGCTGTACTATGCGCTTGGCTTGTTTAAATATTCTTGTCCTTCCTCCTCCTCACACTCACGAAGCTCTCATTTGACTCTGATTTCTCTTCATTAAATGTAGTTTACGCGCTCATTCATTTATCGGTAGGCACGGACAACATATCTCGCATAGTATTTACGATACCCAAGCATAGGATATGCAACGCTGGTGGGTGCGAACCAAACCCCATCGTTTGAAAAGCTATCCGGCTGCCTAGCCTTGCCCAATTCTGCCCACTAGGTGATTTTCGAGCATGTCAGAGCAATTGTCCTCTTCATTGCAAAGCATCGTAAGGTGAGTCTAGTGTGTCTTGAATCACTTGATCGAGGAGATGACCGTGAGGGTGAGCGGGCCGATGGCGGGATGGAAGCCCGGCTGCGCCACAGTTAGCGGGTCAACCTGTGTCTTGACTCCCACCATCATCTTGACTTCTGCCTTCACTGCTCAGCGCTTGTATCTGCTTGCTGTTGCTTCCGGCTTGTCATCAGACCTGACACTGGATGTCGAGCCGACCGCAGACGTCCAAGCCCCGAGGCGTGTGCGCCTACTATAAGGAGCCGCGCGGTTGCTTCGCGGGCTCGCGCTGCAAATTCTTACATGGAGAACCAGGGCAGGAAGGGGCACCGACGATAACACCCTACGATGCCGCGAAGACATGCCGCTTCTATGCGAATGGTGCGTCTCCCATCCCACGCGAAGGATGCATTCTGATCATCCAGCAGGTTATTGCAGACGCGGGGACAGTTGCTGGTTCAAGCATGTCAGGCCTGCCTCTTCGTCCAGCCAGGTGACCACGGAGGATGCGGTGGAGGACGATCCGTGCAGTATCTGCTTCGAGAAGCCCACAACGTACGGACTGCTAGGTGAGTGGCGAACATGGTCCTCGGTCTCACACTCTGATCACTCGTCAGGCGGTTGCAGTCACGTCTTCTGTCTGGAATGCCTTCGTCAGTGGCGGGACCCCACCGGCAAAACGGAGGACCTCGTAATGTCCCGCGCCCACAAGAAGTGCCCAATGTGCAGGGCGAAGTCGGCCTTCATAACGCCATCATCCGTGTTCATCAAGCACGGTGATCCCGCTAAGGACAAGGTCATCCAGGGGTACAAGGAGAGCATGGCGAAGAAGCCCTGTCGGTGCGTGCTGCCACTCATGTGCTGACCTCGATCCTGACACAGATATAGCCACTTCCAGGAGTCCAAGTCGAGGCCAGGTGGTCAACCCCATTGTCCTTTCGGCAGAGACTGCTTCTATCAGCATCTCAACGACGACGGCACACCTTACGTCTTCCCTGCTGGCTATCGGCCTCACCGTTCTAACCCTCGCATGGCGTTCGGCCACCCCGCATTCATGGATGGCACCTTGCTAACAAGCTCCTTGGACATCCTCGACGGCATCCTCTCAGACCCCGCTATCGGTTCGCTCGCCGACAATGCGCCAAGGGCTCTCGAAGCTTTGCGTGCCGGCGTCCAACGGTTGGGCAACGCTATGTTCGGCGGAGCCCTTCACAACTTGCCTCTTGAGATTACCAACACATTGTCTGCTGCTGAGTGGGATCTCAATGTCGCAGCTGCACCAGGCGAAGGGTATGATGTCGAGGTCGGGGACTTTATGCATGAGCTTGTAAGTCTGCTTGCTTCGTAAGTACACTCTTCACCCATCAGCTCACCTACGATAAGGTTACCAATGCTGCGCGCCGTAGAACCCAAGACAGACCACCCCGGCCCGTCGAAGCAACTACACCGCGACCAGCGCCGACAAGTAATCCCGTGGAGAACGATGGCGACGACGGCGATAACGACTCCATGCCTGAGCTTCAGAGCGTCTCAAACAGCAGCGCGTCTGAGGGCGAGGGCTCAGATGCGGAGACCGATGAGGAGCACTCTACAGATGGCTCCGAATACGAGCTGCCTTCTGTCGCCGTACCATTCCCGTCCCCGTGGGGCCAAGTTCGAGATGATGGCGCGCCAGAGCTCCCCCGAGATGCTGCAGCAGCGGAGGCTGTTGCCGCTCTGTTTGGCCCCGGGTCGCGATTCGCTACGACCGTTCTTCGAGGCCCCATCTCATCGCATGACGTCGGTCGCACTCCCGACAGCGAGTCTGAAGACGAGATGCCGCCACTGGAGCCTGTCGACCTTCCTGCCCCAACGACGACCAGTGCTGGGCCCAGCAGTGGACCGTCATCCTCACGTACATCTTCGTCTTCGTCCCCGCCGCTGCCGACCGAGTTCACCACAAACGGACAAGGGAGGGTAGTCTTTTCCGGGCCGGAGCCGAAGCCATCGTCGATCCCCTTCGCCGGGCTTGGTGACAGCGACTCCGAGGACGATGATATGCCGGTTCTCGAGCCCGCTATCGGTTCGAGTAGGCCGGACAGCCCGATACCCGCGTTGGAAGCCGTAACTTCCTCTACCGGCGGGCCGTCGACAGGAGGCGTCTCTGCACCGTCTTCGGAGTCCCTCCCTTCACTCTCGTCCTCGCCGCCACTGCCCACGGAGTTCGTCACTGACGGCCAGGGGCGGATCGTCTACTCCGGCTCGGAGGGGAGCGCGACGGCGAGAACGATCATAGGACGTATGTACAACACGCTGTTCCCGACCAGCAACCTCTGAGGTCCTTGTCCAGATAAAGAATAGGATAAATGAGATTGTCGGTTGTATCATAAGTAAAGCAATGGAAGTCAAGTATGTGTGGCTTTTGGGATCGACAGGGGGACGGGCCGTGAGCGCATGAGGAATGGAAGACTTCCCGGACTGAAGTAGCCGGAGAGCAAAGGTTCGTCCAGGGCGAGTCTCTTCCACTGCGCTCATAGCCAAGGATCGCCGTACCGGGGACTCCGCCCGACTCCGCGGCTGCAAACATATCCTCCTGACCTCTGCAGCGCGCGCTCCTTGTCGTCGTTCCTGGCAGCTGCTCACGCTTCTGATGACGCAGGCCTCGTGTTCCTTCCCCGGAGCGCGTTCGCGGTGAAGCGTCGGTCCGCTCGGGGGCTGTATATAAGGTGCGGTCCTTGGGTTGTCAAGTAGCGCGGTGCACCTTCCACTGACCTCAGCTCCGACCATGCTGTCCTCAGTGCTAACCTACCTCTTGCTGCATGCTTCGCTGTGCTTGGGCGCGCCCTCCGTCCTGGGAGGTCGTCCCTCCGCGTTCGATGTAGCGGCAGAGAAACGCGCGCCCCACGTCGACCCCTTCGACAATCTCGTCGTGTTCGACCCGCCCTCCGACTACATCGTCCCGCGTACGCTCTACGCACGCACCATGCTGCACTCCGACCAGCAGACCATCTATGCGACGTGGGAGAACTACAGCCCCGAGGGCGAGAACAATCCTCTGGTGTACTTCCCCATCTACAAGTCGACGGACCTGGGGAAGACTTGGGAGCATATCTCAAATGTCACAGATCAGGGTGAGCCGAATGCTCGTCATGTTGCCAACAGTAAGAAGCTGACGAGACGCATAGTCATGGGCTGGGGTTTGCGGTACCAGCCGTTCTTGTACGAGTTGAGGGAGGATATCGGGGATTATGAGGTACAGACTTGGAAGGTCACTTGATGTGTTTACTGACTGGCTTCCCTAGGCCGGCACAATCCTCCTTTCCGGCAGTGCGATCCCGACGAATCTGAGCAACACGCAAATCGAGTTGTACGCGAGTCGCGATCAGGGCTACACTTGGGAGTTTGTGAGCCATATAGCGGCTGGGGGTGTGGCGAAGCCCAACAATGGTGCGTCCGCTTGTCTTAACGGAATGGCTTGGCTGAGCGTCTCATCAGGCGAGACGCCGGTATGGGAGCCGTTCCTCCTCACATGGAACCACCAACTCGTGGTGTACTACTCGGACCAGAGGGATCCGGCGCACGGGCAGAAGATTGTGTAAGTAGACGCCCTCAAGGAACTCGTCATCACCACTGACTGTCAACAGTCACCAAGTCTCGTCTGACCTGGTCAATTGGGGCGACGTAGTCGACGATGTTGCCTACGACGTCTATGACGACCGTCCTGGCATGCCCATTATCGCGGCACTACCGAATGGCCAGTTCATCTACACGTACGAATGGTATGGCGCCCCCGAAGGAGGCTTCGCGGTGTACTACAAGCTCTCTGATGACCCGTACGCGCATAGCCTATTCACCGTGATGACTCCGCTCACCGCACCCCTTTCAGACTGAACTGGATAGACGCCAAGGAATACCTTGTTCACACCAGCGATGGTACTCATCCTACGGGCTCGCCTACTGTAACGTGGACACCTTACCCTGAGAACTCCAACGGCACCATCGTCGTGAGCGGCTCCAACTACAAGGGAGTTTTCCTGAACACCCAGCTGGGCGCCCCGGGGAGCAACTGGGAGTACCGAGATACGGCGAGCCCCAACCAGTACACTCGCTTCGTTATGGCAATGCCTGAGGCCGGGCAGATTATGATTGCGGGTGGTGGTGTTTTGAACGGCGAGAACAACGATGTGTCGGTGTCTGTCATTCAGTTGTAGATTACCGGCTACTCGTAGAAAGGAACAAGAAATATGTATATTGAGCCTGGCATCTTATGGTCACCGCCTTTCTGAACTGGTGAAGCTCCCGAGCCCTAAATTCGCCGACATTGACGACGGCGTGCCTTGTTTTTCTGTCAATGACGATCACTGTCGATGTGGTTAGGCTTGAGTGACGCGCGAGGCCACAAAGCCTTCCATAAAAGGCGCGTATGGAGCCATAAAAGGTAAAATGCGGGGCGGCCGACCGGGGAATTTGGCCTCCTTGACGTCAGACAAACACGATCACCAGGATCAGCGCTATATAATGTACGGGCCTGGATCGCGCGTCCTTCTTTCTTCTTCCCTCTTCTCCTCCCCGTCCTCAGCGAATACCCTCCCGGTCGTCGCGCTGCAGGATGCCCAACAAGACTCGCAAGAACGGCAAGGGCCCGACCGTGTCGATCCCGACCGCAAGGGCGACCCGGTCGACGTCGAACAGCCCAATCACGCCCAAGACGCCCAAGACGCCCAGGACGCCGAAGACACCCGCCGATGAGGGCTTGGAGTTCTTCCAGTCCGCCGTTGGCGCGAACGAGGCGCCTTTGCACGTCTATGAGCTCAAGCTCGATGTCGATGGCGGCCCCAGCAAGGATCGCTCGGTACGTCCTCAACCGCTATCTCGACGCGTCGCGTCTGCTCAAGGATGATCATTCAGTACATCCGCCTCCCGCCCGCTTATGTACCGTACATCCTGCGCGTGTCCATCGATGCCGGTATGCCCGCGTCGCGTAACGGCGTATTCAAGACCAACTTCCCGCTCGATGGAGGCAAGTTCGACAGGGATCGCTTTGCAGAGCGAAAGTGAGCGAAATGACCGCATATATGCGCATATAATCTCATTCAAATACTCCTCAGGCTTCCTACCGTGCTCTCCAAGCCTATCCAGATCGACTTGCCCATCTCGCACGCTGGCGCCTTCGTCTTCTGGGTCGAGTACGATGGTGCAGAGCAGGGCCAGCGCGTCAAGGGACCCGAGGGTTACTTTAACGTCGATCCCGTGCTACGCGCCAAGGGCCGCTCGTCCATCCTAACGAAGGACCTCGAGCCCTTGCCCCCCTCGAAGGGAGGTGTCATCCAGGCCAAACATGTGAACCTGCCGCTCGACGCCCTATCCATCCTTACGGTCGTGTCGAAGTGGATGGGACCCATGTCCGAATGGCGCAAGCACTTCGAAGAGGCAAAGGATCGTGGATACACGATGCTTCATTACACCCCTCTGCAAGCGCGCGGCGAAAGCAACAGCCCTTATTCCATCAAGGACCAGCTCTCGTACGACGCCGACCTCTTTCAAGGAGGAAAAGTACCTTCCGACGGCGGCAAGGCGAAGGTGGAGGAAGTGCTGAAGGTGGCCCGCGATGAATACGGTCTTCTCAGCCTCACCGACGTTGTTCTCAACCACACGGCCAACAACAGCCCGTGGCTCGCTGATCACCCCGAAGCCGGTCCGTACTTCTATACTTTCTCATGCGCGATTCTGACTTAGAGCATAGGCTTCAGCCCCGCGAACACCCCTCATCTCACTCCTGCGCTCGAGATCGACAGCGCCATGATTGAATTCTCTGCCACCCTTGAGTCTCGCAACCTGCCCACCCTTGTCAACTCCTCCCAGGACGTCGACGCTCTTATCAGCGGCTTCGATGGGGTCATGAAGGGACTAAACCTCTGGCAGTACTACGTTCTCGACGTCACGCGCGAACGCGAGGCTGTCAAGGCCGCACTCTCGAGCAAGAAGGTCGAGCCCTGGGCAGGTGCCGACATCGCTCGTAAATCTGTCGTCGAACTCGCAGAGATCGTCCGCTCGTCCGGCAAGGTCAAAGGCTTGGCTCAGTATGCTTCCCGGTTCGGTGTCTCCGTTGATGGCGCGGTCGCTGCAGGCATAGTCCAGGCAGCTTTCGTGGACCTCTCGGATGCGGATGCTCTGGCCGACGCATGGACGAAGGTTGTCGATGTGCTTAACGTCCCGCTGTACCAGGAGTGGGAGGCGGACGTTAAGGTCGCCCTCGACAACATCCGCAATCGCCTTAACTACACGAGGCTCGACGAGCATGGGCCGAAGATGGGCAAGATTACGAAAGAGTAGGCCAATTGCTGCTCCCTGCTGTTGTAGTGTCCTCACGAGTCGTATAGGTCGCCCTTGGTCGAGGTCTACTTCACCCGCATTGCGCCTCACGCTGATAAGGACCCACTGAAGTACTCGGTCGCAAACAATGGCTGGATCTGGAACGCGGACCCTCTACAGAACTTCGCGCTGCTGCCATCCAAGGCTTACCTTCGGCGCGAGGTCATTGTCTGGGGCGACTGCGTCAAGCTCCGCTACGGCGACGGACCGTCGTCCAACCCTTGGCTCTGGCAGCACATGACGACCTACGTTAGCTCGCTCGCAGCTACTTTTGAGGGCTTTAGGATCGACAACTGCCATTCGACACCCCTGCACGTTGGCACACACATGCTCGACGCCGCTCGCGTCGTCAACCCCGACCTTTACGTGTGCGCCGAGCTGTTCACGGGCAGCGAGGAGATGGACCTGTACTTCGTGAAGCGCCTCGGCGTGAACTCGCTTATCCGCGAGAGCTACAATGGGTGGGACCCAAAGGAGCTGAGCCGTCTTCTGTATCGCCATGGTGTCGGCAAGCCCATCGGTGAGTGCACTTCTTTACCCGTATAGCGCGACTTGCTGACACCCTCTCCTCAGGTTCCATGGACGGAGCCTGCATGACCAGCACCGAAGATGTGCCATCTCCTACCGGAAAGGGTCCTGTCCGCAAGGCTCTTGTCATCCCTCTTACCGGGTCCATGCCGCACGCGCTCTTGTATGATCTTACGCACGACAATGAGTCTCCGGCCGACAAGCGCTCCCCGGAGGACGCGCTGTCCACCGGCGCGTTGGTCACCTTCGCCCACTGCGCCATCGGCTCCGTGAAGGGCTTCGACGACCTCTACCCGAAGCTGCTCAACCTCGTGGGCGAGAACCGTAAGTACGAAGTGACGGGCCTTGGGCCGCACAGCGGCGCTGCTCGGGTGAAGAGGGTTCTGAACTCGCTGCACATGGAGATGATGCTCGGCGGGTACGTGGAGGGACATGTCCACCAGGAGAACGACGTAAGTGTTCTTTACGAATGTCTTGTTGTTAACGCTGATTCGTGTACAGTATATTGTACTGCATCGCGTGCACCCGGGTACCCAGAAGGGGTACTTGCTGGTGGCGCATACGGCCTTTAGCAAGGGCAACAAGGATAGAGGCCAGAGTAAGTTCGTCGCCAGGAGACCTCGCGCAATGTTGACGAACCCTGCTAGTCTCGCCCATCAAGCTTCGCCGCCAGCGTACGAAGTTCATCATGGGCGCCATCATCGAGGTCGAGGGCCACGACAACGCTGACCCCAATACGCTGCACGGTCTACCCAGCAAGCTCGTCGACCTTGACCCAGTTATTGTTCCCCAGGGGCTTGACCACGAAGGCCCGTACTCCGAAATCGTAGTCCCGGATTACTTCCCTCCGGGAAGCGTCATGGTCTTCGAGACGCAGATGCAAAATTACGACTCGACGCTCGACACGTTCTGCGCTTCGGGCGCCGCGGAGACCTTCGATGCGCTCAACCTCATCGAGCTCAACGTCATTCTTCACCGCGCGGCAGGCGAGGAGCGCGACGCGACAGACGGTGTCTTCGGCGCATACAACGTGCCCAACCTCGGTGACATGGTCTACTGCGGCTTGGAGGGATGGATGCACCCGCTCCGGCACGTTATGATGTACAACGACCTCGGGCATCCTCTCTGCGGTCATCTTCGCGAGGGCTCTTGGGCGCTTGACTATGTCAGCGATCGCCTCTTCAGGTGAGTGAATGTCAATGCTATCATAGTATGCCCTTGCTAACGACCCACTAGGCAGACGGAGCTGTTGCCCAACCTCGAGAAGGCGGCGAACTGGTTCAAGGAGCGCTTTGAGCGCGTCAAGGCTGGCGTCCCGCCGCACCTGCGCCCCAAATACTTCGCCCTCGTCATCTCTGCGGCTTACAAGGCCGCCCGTCGCTCGGTCATTGAACAATCCTCGGAGTTCGTCTCCTCAGGCCACGACCTTACCCACGACCTCAGCCTCTGCTCCATTCAAATGCATGGTCTCGTCAAGTCGGCGTCGCTGGACCCGGCCAAGCCAACACCGTCTCTCGCCGCTGGGCTGCCGCACTTTGCGGCGGGGTGGGCGAGGTGCTGGGGTCGGGATGTGTTCATTTCGCTCCGCGGGCTGTTCTTGACGACGGGCAACTTCGAGGGCGCGAGGAACCATATCCTGACGTTCGCGTCGACGTTGAAGCATGGCCTTATTCCGAACCTCCTGGACTCTGTGCGCACTCCGAGGTACGGCTGCGTCTTTCGTGGTGGTTCCTCATAGCTTATGCACTCACCCAGGTACAACTCGCGTGACTCACCTTGGTGGATGGTCCAGAACATCCAGGACTATGTCAACATGGCACCCGATGGCATCTCCCTGCTGTCCGAGCCCGTGAAGCGCCGCTTCCCAAAGGACGAGACTTGGGTGCCTTGGAACGACCCTCGCGCGTACGCGTACTCCAGCACCGTCGCCGAGATCATTCAAGAGATCCTGCAGCGCCACGCTGACGGCATCCACTTCCGCGAGTACAACGCCGGCCCGAACCTAGACATGCAGATGAAGGACCCGGGCTTCAATATTGACATCGACGTCGACTGGAACACGGGCATCATCTTCGGCGGCAACGAGTTCAACTGCGGTACCTGGATGGACAAGATGGGCGAGTCCGAGCGCGCGGGGACGAAGGGCAAGCCGGGGACGCCTCGAGATGGCGCGCCGGTGGAGATTACTGGCCTGCTGAAGAGCACTTTGCGCTGGCTGGCGAAGTTGTCGGCGAGTGGCAAGTTCCCTTTCAAGGGCGTTGATGCGACGAGTACGTGCTTTGTTCCTCGTGTTCTTATGCGCCATGACTCATGTGCATGCACAGTCAACGGCCAGAAGACGTTCGTCACGTATAAGGCATGGTCGGACCTCATCCAGGAGTCGTTCGAAAAGTGTTACTACGTTCCTACCGGTACGTCGCTCGCACTGCTGCTTCGAATCGACGCTCATCATATGCAGACCCGGCGCAGGACAGCCATTACAATATCAAGACGTCTCTGGTCAACCGTCGCGGCATCTACAAGGATGTGTATGGCTCGGGAGTTGGCCGCGACTGGTCCGATTACCAGCTTCGCTGCAACTTCCCAATTGCCATGACCGTCGCTCCTGAGCTTTTTGACCCTCACCACGCTCTCGGTGCGCTTAAGATCGCCGACAAGGTCTTGCGCGCGCCGCTTGGTATGAAGACGCTGGACCCGGCGGACTTGCAGTACAGGCCGAACTACGACAACTCAAACGACTCGACGGACCCGTCAGTCGCCAAGGGTCTCAACTATCACTGCGTAAGCACAGTCCGGTCTTCTGCTCAATACGACATGCTTACCTGTATGTCAGGGTCCCGAATGGGGTTGGCCTTTGGGCTACTTCCTGCGCGCGTACCTCGACTTCGACAGCCGTGTTGGTGCCGGCAAAGATGTGAGTCCTTCCGTTCTTTGTACAAGGGTCGTGCTCATCGCCGCCGCAGGACATCACTGTGACTCTGCACTACCTGTACAACGCGCTCTTGACAGTCCGCAAGCATATCAAGGACGACCCTTGGGCGGGTATCCCCGAATTGACAAACGAGAACGGATCGTATTGCCATGACTCGTGCCGGACGCAGGCGTGGTCTGCGTCCACCCTTCTGGACACTCTTCAGGCGGCTCGCGATGTTCAGAACCTGTAATAATAATATCGACGAAGACGTCGAGGAGCTTTGTGCATAGCTGGTTTGTTGTTGTAATAGTTGGACATTCGGACACGTATATCGAGATGCCAGTAGATTCGGAATCGCATACATATGTAGAGTTGCCTCAGCCCCAATAGACCGTGTGAAAGGGTCGGACGTGTATGCCTGCGAGAACTGTCAGGTCATGCTGCACCAGTGGGTGAGTGAGCCTGAGGGCAAGCCACACCTTTCGCCTCCAGCGTCCGCTTGACCTCCCTGTCGGCGCTGGTCTCCTGTAAGTTGTACTTGGCGGGAGGGTTCCAGAAATCTTGCGTCTCAATCAACTTGTCATACTCGGCGCGAGGCAGGTCAACGGTCCTCCCCGGAGACGTCGCTAAGAACCACGACCACTCCCTGGGATCTCTGGCGTTTCCCACACACGCGCACTGGATGTCCATGTACTCCTCGAAGAGGTCGTTGACGAGCAGTGCCATCCTGCCTACGTCGTTCTTGTCTCGCGGGGGATGGGCTTGAAAGCCAAGCGCGATGGAATGGGTGGCCGCGAGGTCCGCGAGGTTGAACATCTGCTCGTCGTCGATGGGATAGCCGCCGCGGAGGTCGACTTCCTCGAATGGTTCTTCGTCACCGAGGTTGGGTGGCGGGTAGCCGTCCATGCTGTACGTTGTCAGTCAATGTTCTGTTTTGAGTGAGCAGATACACATACTAGCACGCAGACGACAGGTTACGATATGAAGAAAGTGTCGCCGAGAAGTTGACGGCTAAGCGCAACGACCAAACAGGCGTGCGAGTACGTAAGGACGCCCACCGAGCCACATATTATGTGCAGCGGCACGGATTTGGTACAGAATCATCTGCATATTACAGGGGTGTGTTCATCTTTCTATATAAGGTATGCAATGAGAAATGAAGCGAGCCTGACAGACAGGACAAAATATTAGGCCCTGTTGGACTGAACATGTGGCAAACGGATGGTGAGAGACTGAGAGTGGATGCGAGGTAGTAGGCAGTTGGCGCCTGTTACAAGCACTGAGCACTAAGAGGCCTGGATAAAACCCCAAAAGCGCAGAGTTCGAGTCAACTCGCAAAGATGGCAAGCACGTGAAAGTCACTGGACTTCGAAGTTGAACGTTGAACTCGAGCAATTTTCCTGTCAATGCCTGTTGTGCAAATCGGCAGCGTACCTTCATTCTCTGGCTGTCTCAGGAAGCTAGAGCACGAGATGCCCGCTGCTCTGCGGAGGACACTGCTACCTTGAGGCCGTTTCCACCTCGCGCTTCTCAAATCTTCATCGCGGGATACGCTGACTACTGACGGTAACCCCCATCCGAAACGGATTTGCCGCGCCGCCGCTGCCACTCGAAATTCAAGCAGTCCGCGGCCGCTGAGTGATATATATTGTTGTATCACGTCGTATAGTATCTGTATGAATATTTTCAGACGAATCCGTGAAGGATTGAGCTCGAGAGAGGGGGGTCAGGCGTTGAGTGGGGAACCCACTTTGTACCCACCATCCGAAACACCGCGTTCGGGCCAATGCAGCGCCTGCGCCTTCGCTCGAAAACGACACCCAAGGTTCAATTACAATACGACAAAGATGCCCTCAGGGAGAAATGGGTACACCAGCGCTTGGAACACAAGAAATCCATCAAAAGGGGGTGATGGCAGCCCTCTCCCTATCATAAAGCTTCCACCGCGCCTATGGCTCATTATACGGTCGAATGGTCTGAAATTTTGTACATAACGCTTGTGATATACGGGCTAAATTATGGTGATTTTTCCTCGATTTTCTAAATGTGAACACTGTGGGAAAAGCGATGTTTCGGATGGTGGTTACCGTCAGTATCCCGAGTCCATCGATTGGGTGGGGCTATTGACTTTGGGTAGTTTCCAACCGTCTTTGAAAGCCTATTGTGTACTCTGACGGAGTCCGCGTCAAGAAAACATCGTCACCTGCTAAAAATCGTGTGCGCGAATTTTGCGGGCAGATCGACTGCTGGCTCGAGCACAGCTTGCCTGCCACAGATCACACTTAGATAGCGACGGGACAGGCGGAACACCCTTCGATGGATATCCGCGGCGCGGGCGTTCCTGTGTGGTGAAACGATCGTGTTGCAGGAACTTTCGGTCGAAGTTCCAGGCTGACAACTCTATCGCGTCGTTGCAGGGTCGGTGGCACTGCGCGCCATGGGCTGGGGGGGTTTTCCATCGATTATCGCTCGGTGGAGCGGACGGATGGAGCTTGCTGCCTGATGAGGCATATCGATATCGGCTGGCTCCATGCATGGGCGACGTTGAGGAGACTCGGGCAGGGCGGCGCGAATTGTTGGAGTGAGCGGGGTTACGCGACGAGAGAGGGACAGGGTCGAGGTTTGAGCGTTGTGAAGGCGCAGGACAAGCATCTCTCGCAAACAAAACACAGAGTCCTGACCCTGCAGCTCCCTGACGCTCGGCGCTCGCCATGCTCTGCCACGCTTCGGCAAGGCGCACGTGGTAGCCGACGGCACGCCCGACCACGCGACATTCGATGCCAATCAGCCATCAGAGATCTCGATCTCTCCGGCGCCTAAAATCAGAATTGGTTCCGCAGAAGCAGCGATGACATACCGAATTGTCGGGGCCCTGCTCCTGGTCGCCCAGCGGTCGCGCCCCGCCGCCGGGGGCCTGACTGGTGTTGCCACTCTGCGTGGAATGATGAGGGCGTCCAGGAGACCAGTCCGAGTGGAAACCGCGGCATGTGTGGGTGCTCCTGCCGAGTCAATAGTCGATTATTATTATTCGATTTAGACCATAGAAGTTGATGGATTCGAACGGCCTTTGTTCGGTTCCCAATCCCCCTTGTTTCCGCCTTACTCGGTTTCGGGAGAGGTTTACTCGTACGTCACACCATGTCACACTGCAGACCGCTCGGGTGTGCAGGACTCGTGGATTCGTGCTGGACCAATGGAGGGCCATTTCGAGCACATTGAGTATCTATAAAGCTCTAGAAATACCCATATGCATAAGCGATCACCTCAGGAGCCACAGCCAGGTGGTCTGTCTTTGAGGTCGGCGGAAGTTCAACATGTCACGTGCACAGGTTCGCAAAGGATACGCTGCGTCCTTCCGTCAGGCCTGATTCACCCAGATGGTGTAGTTGAAGATTGTCATTGGTGTATCGATGCGCTACCCGTGAGGCGCCTCGTTACTCTATTCAGCCTGGACATGGGCGAGAAAGGCTGACACGAAGAACGCCGATGTCACCTTGTGACATGATGCCGTCGACGTATCAATGGCTTGCCCAAGTCCGTACGCTCCTCTTCGTCGTGCTCGTTCCCTGGTCATTGTCTGTGAATAAGGCGGCTCGGCGATGACAGTCTCCTACGCGGAGGCTTTGGGCAATGGCACACGTGTTCTGCGGCAGCCGCGGACCTTCTGCGGCACGCTAGCTCGGGTCCCTCAGATCGGATCGAATAATAATAATCGACTCTCCCCTCTGCTCGTGCCGAACCCCGTAAGGAATCGGCAATCCGGGCGCCAAGCCGGGCCCGCTTCCCAAAGTTCAAACGCGCCGCTCTTTTCAGACAGAGCATCTTTCCATCCCTTTCTCCGCACCATCGCGTTTCCTTTCCCCCCTCTCCTTTTAGTCACTTCCAAGGCATAGAGCCGTCTTCGTCCGCGTCGTCCCGCCGCGTTTGCGGGGCTGCAGCCGCCGGGCTATGAACCAGGATTGGCGCGACGCGGGTCCCTCCAGCAGTGGCCACCGAGGCCGCAGCCCGACCACTATGCCGGACAACGTCCCGGCGGTCGACGATCAACCTTTTGCGAGCGAGAGGGCGGGGTCGAAGCGCAAACGGCTCACCAAGGTGCGTCGCTGTGTCCCCGCACATACGCCCGACGCTGACCGGTGCTCGACGACGAAGGCATGCGATGCATGTCATAGGTCGAAGCGCGTACGTCTCAGTGTTGCTCGAGTCATTCCTCATCTGACTTTTCTTTCAGAGATGCGATGGAACCGGTTCGTGTTCGAGTTTGTCCTTCCCCCCTCCATACTGAACGAGCTCGCCGTATAGCGCCCTGTAGCAACTGGTTCGCTCGTCGCTTCCTTTTAGAACTGCGCTTCCCCTCACACCCCCTCCCAGTTACTTTGCGTCCAAGACGTGCACCTACACGGACAGCCAAGGCCGTCCCGTTCCTGCACCTATAGTCACCAGAGACCAGTCCCCCTCCTCATCGCAACAAGGGCCATACAGATCAGCCTCTCTTGGTGATGCCCGGGCGCCTTTGAGCGACCCTCGAGCACCCTTGGGCGACCCTCGAGCACCCTCGGGCGACCCCCGAGCGCCGGCGCAGCCTCTCCCGACCTGGACTGCGCCTTCCATCGAGGACCCGTCTCCGCGCAAGCGCCTGCGCACCTCGGCGAGCGGGACGTCGCTCGGCTACCCCGTGGACTACCTCGCGTCGCAGTCGCAGAACGCGAACGCCATCGAGCCCGCGACCTCGGTGAAGCTGGACAACCGGCTCATAAGGGAGCTCGTGGGATGTGAGTGTTTGTTTTTTGTATCTTCTGTGGCGGGGGTCGAGCTCAGGACGGGGGGGACTCCGTGCGATGCTACCTGACGGGAATACAACTGACGGGAACATAACTAACGAACACGACTCCCCAGTATTCTTCACCCACTGCCACCCCGCGCGGCTCGTCTTCCACAAGCCGACCTTCACGGCCGCGCTCACGCACGGGCTCGTCCCGCCCTACCTCGTCTTCGCCATCTGCGCCCTCGCCGCGCCGCTCTCGAAGCAGCCGCGCCTGCGGACGCGCCCGGCGCGGTATGCGGGCCGCCCGTTCGCGCAGGAGGCGCTGAGCCTGATGTTCGACGGCGCGGGCCGGCTGGCGTGCGAGCCGAGCCTGGCGGTCGCGCAGGCGCTGTGTCTGCTGCAGATACACGACACGCGCGTGGGCGGCGCGACGGCGTGGAACATGCGCTATCATGGTGCGTTTACGTCCTTCCCAGCCTCACTGTCCCCTTGCACCCCTACTGTCACCATGCATCACTAGTACTGACGCCCACCCCCCACCCCCAGACCTCAACTTCCAAGTCTGCGACCGCCTCGGCGTGCACTCGAACGAGGACACCCCGCGGCCCGCGCTCGGCTCCGCGTCCGCGCACATCGAGGCCGCGATCAACAAGGAGTGCCTCCGGCGCGTGTACTGGCTCATGTACCTCCTCGACATCCTCGTCTCCGTGTACGTGAGGGGCCCGCGGCACTGGCTGACGGCGGACCCGCGCCTGCGGCTGCCGTGCGACGAGACGGCGTTTGAGATGGCGGTGGGGACGACGCCGGCGGGTGAGTGGTGTTGATGTTTTTTCTTTGTATCTTATCCTGTTTTGGGATGCTGGATGCTCTTGCTGGGGGTGATTGTCTTGTGGGCGCTTGCGTTGCGCTTCGTAGCGCTGTGTGGTTGATCGAACGCTGGCGCACATGCAGAACGATGCTAACATCTGCAGCAGAATATCTCTACCTCCCGCCCCCGCAAACGGAACACGTATCCGAGATCGGCCACCTTATCCGCATCGCGACGATCTGGGCGGAGCTGGAGTTTGCGCTAGAGGACGTGGAGTGTACGTGCACTGCAGGTCGTCCCCGCGAGGTAGTCTCAAGCAGCCTCTTTAGCGAACCCGCCGGGAAAGTCGCACGTCCGCAATCTCGAGATACGCTTGAACGTGAGAACCAGGTTCTTATGTTTGTTTCGAGTATACCCTCACTAACGCACGAATCAGGCCTGGGAGGCCAGCCTTCCGCCGCACCTTCAGTTCACCGACGAGGTGCTGGCGGTGCAGCAACTGATGCTCGAAACGAGCTCGAACAACGACGCTTGGTGCTGGGCGAATATGCACATGTACCGCGCGTCGTGCGCGCTTCTGCTGCACGAGGCGCGGTCGAGGGGCCTGATGGCGAGCCCTGTGACGGCTCAGGCGAGTCCGAATGCTATGCAGACCAGTCCGGGTGGAATGCAGTCGGACTCAGGCGCAGCTCCGCCCGCCATGGTTCCTGAGAGCCTGGAAGGGCAACCGGATGCAGGCCCGGAGGCCGAGGATCGCGACGCGCCTCCGACCTGGCCTGCGAAGACGCTACAGGCCATAGTGCGCATGTTCGGCGATCGCGCGAAGAATAGCTCCATACGTGAGTGTCAGGGTTTATCTTCTCTTTCTATTCAGTTTGGGTTTTCTGGCTTTTGGCTTCCGGAGTCAATGCCTTCTGGTTTCGTTCGCTTCCGTGCGACGTATGGTCGAAGGATTGCAATTCCACATCTCCGCCATGCCCCGTCACGCTCATGTACTGATCAACGGCTTCCGCATATCTCTTGTAACACATCTATGACTTGCAGTCGGCAACGTTATCTGGTTGCTCATCAAGCACTGCAGGCGCGACGACGAGGAGATCCTCAAGGGCATCCGCGAGCTGGAGGACCTGTGGGGCGCGTACACGGCGGCGCTCGCGCGCGACGTGGCAGTCAATGTGGCGGAGAGGTCATCCGCGAGTACGGAGAGCTCGATCACGCCAGCGCCGACGCTGCCGTCACAGGCCACCAACGACGACGATGAGGATACGCCGAGGCGGCCGGCGCGTCGAAGGGGCTCGATGGATTCGGCGATGCGTTCGGTGACGCCGCCCCCGCCGATGCCCCCGCCGTCGTCCCACATGAATACCGTGCAGCCGTCAGGGCTGCCTGGTTATATCAACCCTTTACACTCGACGCCTGACGAGAGGAAGCAGACGCAGGAATCCAACGAATATTTGGCGTCCCTGTTCTCCCACCCTATGGGCTCGCATGAGCGCAGCGAACGAGCCGACGCCGACAAGCGACCCGAGAGAACGCGCACGCCATACTCGCCGGTTTTTCCTCTGCCTTCATATCCGCACGACGCGACGAGAGATCGTTCGTCCTCGCATTCCTTCCCAGGGCTTTGGCCCGAACCTCGTCAACAGCCACTTGGTTCGCAGCGCCCGCTGTCACCGCTGAAGTTGCCCGACGATTGGGGTATCACGCATAGCGGTAGGCATGCACATCGCCCGACGCAGGCTCCCTTCTCTCGCGGCCAACCACCTGGTCCTTTTTACGACCCACCAACCCTCCCTGGTCCGCCATATGAGCCATCAGCCGAGCGCACCTACGAGCGAGAGCCTACGGCATATCTTCAGCGTCGGATGACGTACCCATCGGACGCATACTACAATGCCGAACCTCCCTATCCCGAGCGTCCGATGCTATCAAGGACACCGACCGACTCTCGTGCCCTACCTTCTCTACGGTCCAGCGGCCTCCTCAGCGGGTCTTGGGACCAGCCCGGCCCATCGCGCGGGCGCGATACTTACGGACGCGACGATTATCCTTTTGCCACAAATGTGGCTACTCGGTCCGACTTCCAGCAACCCCCACCCCACTTCCAACCACCCACGACCTTTCAACCACCACCACAACATGTTCAGCCCCCGCCGACCTTCACCGCTCCCTTCGCCCCGCGGTCTCCTTCGCCTCGCTCTTCTCGCCACGATCCTACGCTCTACCACCATAATCCTCTTTCTGGTCATCCCGGCGACGACGCCTCCTGGCGCGGCTCGGCGGGCTGGCACCCGGACGCACAGGCCCACCTGTCGGGGCCAGGCATGTATCCGCCTCAGACGGACTACAACACGCGCGCGTCTGCGCCCGACGTACGCGAGACGATGCCGCTGCCTCGCCGCGCATCGAATGCGCCGACAGGGCTGCCTTGGCTGTTTGAGGAGCAGCCACCGGCGGGATAATGGCATGGCCCGATCCCCCGCCGCACCGAATAACGCCTCTGCCGCAAGTACCGTTCCAATAATTTCTATAGCCCCGCGCGTCCCACCATAGATGTTCCCTATTTCTTCTTCACTGCCCTAGCCCATCGCTATCTTGTATCATTCTAGCGCCGTCCTACTAGTCCCGCGTACCCTCCGCCTCTTGCCTCGCGTACCTCACAGCTTCTTGCCCTACTGTTTTATAGTATCTTACCCTACTTTTCTTGTCAGTTCTTGCATCGCCTCCTTCGCAGGCCGACGTATCATATCTCGCCCATCTTCCTCTACGTACCCCGCAGTTTCCCGCCCGCGTGCCTTCCCGCCTCCTGCAGCTGCTCTTCGTTCTACCTAACAGCACCCATCTTCCTTGCTATCGCTTCGCCATGCTTTGATTTCTGGTGTATCTATTTATCTATCCTTCTCTTCTCTTCTCTGTTCAACGAACGACGCAGCTCTATTATTTTACGAGGCCTACCAATACGCATCACCCTACCTTATTCGTCATTTAGTGGTTCGACTACCAGTCCGTTGCAGCGGGGAATCTATATACTTACTGGCGTACGATGCAAGCCTTGTGTGTGGCCACCGTCGATGCTGGTGGTTCGACGCTGAGCGGGCACACCATGAGTCGAACGCTCGTGGTCATGGAAGGGACCGACAAGCTGCCACGGGAACAGTTGCATAGGTGCGGCTTTTACATAAGTGCTCGTCATCTCGCCCAACATGCCCATGGATCAGTCAACTATAGCATCGGTGAGCAAGCACCTTGCATTGCCTTCAGCGATGTATGATGATGAGCAGAGCGATACGGCCATTCCTCAGCCCGACCCAGACGATAGACTGGTAGACCTCTTCGTTCGCGGCGGCTACCCGGTCGACCGCGATGTGATGTTCTCCTTCGCGTGTAACATCTCTGAACACCTCAAGCAACGGAAGCCCAAAGATTGTGAGGAACGCGGCGTGATCTTCAATTGTGTCAACGACGTGCTCGGCTGTTACGAGGATGTGGATTGCACAGGCGTTGGCAACCCCGCCGACCCCGCCGGATACACGTGGATCATCGCTACGACGCCGTTCAAACGCGTGCAGGTCCGCCGGTCTGAGTTGGACAACTTCAGGAAGGACCCGTGGAGGCCGCCGTCGGCCTTCGAGCTCCAGGAGAGCCCACTGGATGTCGATTTCAAGGATTACTTGGCCCAAAACGGTACGTCCTTATTACAGCTCTCGCATCTCTACCGCCAATGGTATCATTCATGCAGGCGTCCAGACACAACCTTTTCGAACTACTTTTTGGAATAGGCGTATCTGGTGATTCAAAGCATGCAGGACTTGCTCGCAGTGCTGCATGGCCCGCTCGGGTTCGAGGAGAATTCCCCGTTAGCCACAAATTCTATGCGTAATATGGATTTCTACTGTCCTGTCTGTCTTTTACGGTTCAGTATCGGGCTTTCTTGCAATTCCAAGCTGAGTTTATAGTCCATCCCGTCCGGAACGTGGTTCTCTGCACGTCTGTCTTGGTAAGGAGAAGTTGGAGAACAACAACGCACCGTAATCCCGCTCGCGCTGCCACAGTCAACTAAGACTTGACTGCTTTACCATGAGACCCTTTCAGAAAGAGACCCTACTGCAGTAGACAGCACAAAGGGGGCATTGACGTGCCACATTTACAACTACGTTATACGGCACTAGATTCGTCAGATTCAAGACAGGTTTGACAGCCGAGCAGCACGCCGCCCACGCAGCGTTTGAGGCGACTCGTACTCAGTACGTACGAACATTCCAAAATGTCGTGTGAAAGGGCTGCGTCGGGACACCTGCGCAAGAGTAAGATCATCGGTGGTCATGGGACGAAATCCTTCAGAGCGCACCGTTTTGTGCCAGATATTGCTTGACGTCTATATCAGACTCGCTCTCCTGGATGTCAAAGGCCGACGGCGGTCTCCACGGGTCCCTCCTAAGGCTGTCTAAGTCACACCAGCGGACCTGCACGCGTTTGACCGGCGTCGTAGCGACGATCCACGTGGAGCCATTGGGGTCGGCGGGGTTGTCGATGGTTGTGCACCTTAGGTCCTCGTAGCGGCCGAGCACTTCGTTGACACGATTGTAAATCCCGCCACAGTCCTCACAATCAATTGGCTTTGCTTTCCTGTAGTGCTCGGCAATTCCGCTCGCAAAGGAAAACATCACGTCGCGGTCGACTGGATAGCCGCCACGAACGTAGACATCTACCAGCTCCAGGTCGGCGGCGTTGGGCTGCATACTGGTGTCCATGCGCTGCAACATATGAGATGTGACCGAAAGCTCTGAGCTGGACACGTACAGTCGCTCAAAAAAGTGCGAATACGAAAGTACACCGGTGAGCCTTCGCAAGACGGTGGAACCGATGGACAGTGCAAATGCATCTGCCGTTATCCTTATGTAAGTATGGAATATTTCAGTTAGCTAACACATCCACGCTCGTAATTCCAGACACCCATGAATGTATACTGTACTCATCGACATCATTGCATATATTGCCACCTCCCCTATGGGCTGACATCCCTCATACTGTAGTCAATTCGCAGGTGAGAGGCTTCCAAGCTCCCAGGGCATCGCACCCATTGCATATATATCATGCATATCTGACATCAAGAAGTTGACTCGACACCCTCCATCTGCGGCGTCATCGTCGGTGTAAGCGGCGTCAGAGGCACTGGGGTTCCCTCCGCCGTTGCAGACGCCGATGGTGTCCCGTTCGTAGACCCCACCAGCCCTGTTGGCGTCTCCGGTGGTCCGGCTGGCGTACTAGGCGTCGGCGGCCCGGACTGCACTAGATTCCCATTCCCACTCGTCACGCTCCCATTCCCATTCGCCGCAGACCCGCTTGAACCCTCAGACCCCTCCCCAAAGATATCCAAGAAACCCGCCACCCTCGCCTTATTCGTCGCCTTCTTCGTCACGTAGTCCCTGAGCCCGGCCTTCAAGCTCGGCTGCTTGCCCACAAGCTCGCGCAGCTGGTCCTTCGGCAGCTGCAGGAGCGCGCCAAAAGAGATAGGTGCAGTGACCTATTGGAGAAAATGATGTCAACTCTGGTAACCTGACGAGGAAGTGACCTCAATGAACTCACCTTCGCACACCTCACAAACCCCTCCCATAGCGGCGCATTCGTCCATATTTTCTTCGTAATCAGCCTGCTCAACAAAGTCGTCGCCACGAACGGGACCAAGGTCTTATACGTCGTCACCGCCTGGATAACGGTGCGCAGGAAGAGTACGGGCAGCACAGGCTCGTCCATAATTTGCTGGATGACGACCGCGAGGACCTCAGATCGGTAGATATCCGTCATAGAAAAGCAGATGGTGATGGCTGGGAGAGAGTACATCAGGGTGACAGCAGTACATGCGAGACCTCGCGCACCTTCTTTAGCACTCTGCAGCCCAATGTCCTTCTCGGAGTCGTGCAGCAGGACCATCAGCTCCGCGGGCGTGAGCATTTCGTTGTGGCGGACCTGAAACTTCTCATTAGTTCCCTGAGCATGTTGGGCGCGATTAGCAAGCCTCACCCTTGGTACATTCGACGACACCATCCCAAACGTCTGCGGCGGCTGGGCCACAATCGAGCTAAACACGGACTTCACCAGCGCCTTCGACTCCGCTTTGCCATCCAGCACGGACACGATCCGCGGGAGATAGCGTATGATCTCGGCCTAAGCAGCCACATCTCTCGTCAGCCTCTTCTTGCCTCAACCCAAAACAAATCGAAGTCATCACGCACCTTGTCCATCTCGCCAATGACCGGGATCAAGAAGCGCGCGGCCAGCGCGCCCTCGCGCAGATCCTGCCGCTCCGCAACGAGGCCCTTGACGATGGCCACCAGTTGCGGACTCGGCCGGCCGTTCTCGGTGAAGATCGACAGGACGCGAAGCGCGAGGCCCTCAGCGTGCGGCGGGAAGGTGCGCAGGAGCGTCAGCAGGCGCGAGTGCGAGGGCCCGAGGGAGCGGATGAGGGGGGTGATCAGCTCCTGGACGACGTTTTGGACGGCGGGGTCCATTTGGCCGTAGGCGTCGAAGATTCTGGGTGTGGGATCAGTTAGTGAGAGGGCAAGGGAGATGGGGAGAGAACGTACTCGTCGAGCAGCTCCGGTACCTTCACGGACAGCGCGAACAGGAGCTCAACGTGCTGCAGCACTTGCGGCTTCGCCTCTGGCCCCTCGCCTGTAACACGTTCTGGCAGATACGGCGTCTGCACGGGCTCCTCGTGTTCCTCTCCCTCCTCGACGCCGTCCATGTTGCTGTCCTGGGTGATCTCGCCCCCTTGAGCATCATCTCCTGCTCGGGTACCGGCTGGTGCCTGCTCTGAGGACGGTGCATCGGCTCGAAGCGCTCCCTCCGCGAACGAGGTGCCGTTGGTTTGCGTAGTGTCTGAAGACTGCATCTCAACATCGGCAGATGGTGTACCGTTGACCTTCGGCTCCTCCCGCCTCGTCAGCCTCCGCATGACCGCGAGCGCGAAGCTCTGAACGATGCTGTTCATAGGATGGACGGCGGGCACCCAGAGTTTCACGGTGTTGATGGCGGGACCGCGTGTCTTGCGTTCTAGGGAGCTTTAGTACCGGAGTCAAGGACTCAAGTAAAGAACGAGCGACTTACCTGGATGAGTGGTGAGCTCGAGCAGCACAGTCAGAGCCTCGGTTCGCAATGAGGGTCGCTGTATCACGAAGCCGCGCAATGTCTGGAAACCGACCGCCACGCGATTTGGGCTGCGCGTATGTTTAGTATGGCCCCATATTCAAGTGACATCCCGGCTCACCTTCCGCCTTCAATGCACAAGTCTCTGAGCAAGTCCATCACATCGGGTGGCACAGCAGGCAGGTCGAGGAGGAACTTGGCGAACGACCGCTCTGCAAATTAATCTAGTCGGCAACTATCACAAGGGCGGTGAGAGATGACTTACGCGTCCCTGCCTCCGGCCGACCATCGTCCAGCATGGTTTCGTACGCGGCCACAAGCTGAGCAAGCCATATGTCGTAGTTCGGCCGCCATCGCTCGTCCTTCATGAACTGCAAGTGTATCTGGTCGTTGTACCACTCCTCGTTCATCCATGTTGTCGCTAACGATAGTCTGCCTCACGTTCAGCATGCACGCGTTGTCTGCCACTTGCCCTCGAACGCACCTTCCGGAGAAGTCCGCCACAATGTAGTCTCTCAGGGTCTTCCGCAACGCGTCCTGCCGCTCGTAGAATTTCTCGACATCGGCAGCAGTCACTACCTGGCCGTTTGCAGCATCGCCCTCCGCCTTAGCCGCAGAATTCGCAGACTCTGATGCGTCCTCTGCGGCCGGTGGTTCCTCAGGCTCCTCTGACTTCCCCGTCGCCTCAGTATCTGCTTCATCAGCCTTCTTCACCTCCCCACTACCCGCATCCCCCACCGGGGGCGCCGCCACCCTCGTCACCATCCTCACCAGCAGCAACATCCACAGCTCCGGGCCCTCCAGCCCCGCCGTCCCGCCCACCAACCCATCCCCATCCCACACCCTCGCGACCGCGTCCCGCACCAGCGCCATCTTCTCTCCCTCACCCAGCCGTGGCGGCGCGGGGAGCGCTACCCCGCCTGGGCCCACTATGCTGCCGAAGTCGATGTCGGCGGCCTCCGCCTCCGCCTCATCTTCGCTGACCTCCATATTGACGTCCCCTGCATCTTCCTGGCTGCGCGCGCCGCGCCGGGGAGCCGCCGCGGCGACGTCATCTGTGAGCCTTGTGAGCACCGCGCACTTGACCCGAAACACTGCTCGTCTACTGACCTGCATCCCTCCCCGGCCCTAACTCCCTGTTTAGTGCATCGGGCTCAAACTCCAGTTCATTCTGGTCAAGGTCCATCGCCAGCGGGTCGACTGGCTCTGGCGGCGGGCGCGGCGCGTTAGCCTCTCCCTTCTCCTCTTTGTCCCGGCCATCCTCCTTCGCCCTGTCCTGGTCCTTCATCCGCTCCGCCCTCGGGCCTGTCGGTATCGGCGTCGACCCCTTCCTCGGCGGCTGCGACTGCGCGCGCACCTGCGCGTATGCCGCCTTCAGCGCAGGCGGCGGCGACCCCGGTGGCGTCGTCGAGCTACCAGCGGGCACGGCTTGCGGCGAGGCAATCGGCGGAGGCTATCATAACCCATCAGCATGCATCCTGCGATCACAACCACGCCGAAACCACTCACCCCACCCAGCCCCTTCTCCGCCCTATACTTCGCCACCAGCACCGCGAGCGCCTGGTCGCTGAACGCGCCCAAGTTCGCGATCACGAGTTCCGTGATCAACGATGCTGGCAGCGTCGTGAAGTCGAAGGCCGCGAGGAAGGACGCCGGCCCAGGGGCGCCATCCGCAGGAGGAACCGCGGCAGGTGCCGGCTCCAGCTTCGCCCTCTTCGCATCAGGGCGCCCGGCGTCGGTGGCGGGGCGCTTGCCCGCGCGGCGCATCTTCTCTTCCTGCGCGGCTTTTTCTATGCGAGAGGCTTGTGCGGAGAGCGCCTCCGAGACAGTGGTATGCAGGGCAGCGTAGGCAGGGTTTCTGTAGCGAGAATCAGTCGTGAATACTTATGACTAAGTGAAAGTAGAGAGACGTCACCTGTTGATATGGTTCAATAGTATTCTGACGCTCTTCTCCGCGCTTTTGATGGCGCCCGCGCTCGCATCCTGAAGCGACGCCGGCGTCCACGCCTTGAGCGCGCTCACGACCGTGTGCACGGACCCAGGGCGCAGCTTCACGAGCCCCGCATACGAGTTCACCAACGCCGTGAAGGTCGCCACGTCCCGAGTCTGCAATGCCAGTATCAGAACCTAGCGCTCTGAGCTCGCAGCCCGCATCCACTCACCTGGAATATCATGCCCAGCAGGAACTCGGCCATCCTCGCGCCCTCCTGTTCGAGTTTCGGCGGGCTGATGAACGGATGGTTCGTCGGGCATAGCACTAGGCTCGCGTCGCTTGGATCGGCCGACGCCGCTTGCTGCTGCCTGCGCCGCGGGTCCGCAGGGGCATTCGACGAGGTACCGCGCGACTGCAGGATGACAGCACGCTGGGCGAACTTGATCGCAGCGAGGCGCACTCCAGACGGGAGGATGCCTTCGGGAGTGCGGACGATATCGAGGATGCGGGACTTGGCGGAGGTCATGGTCTCCCATGCGGCGGGGTTGGACCGGGTTATGCATCTGAATGAAGTCGAGACCGAAGAGGTCCAAGGAGTACGCGAGGGAGAGAGGGGGCAGGCATGAGTAACATTCGAGGTGAGAATAGGCGCCCGACTCACAATTGCCTGAACACCAGCGGGTACGCGCCCGTCAGCGCCTGAATCGCCACCTTCACAATCGCCGGCGACGCATCGTCCAACAGCTGCGAGAGCGTCGACAGAGTCGAGAGCGCCACTGTCATACGTATACATGAGCATCCCTATTCCCCCTTCCACACACAGCACGGGCCACTCACACTGCGTCCGCTGATCCACATGCAAACTCGGCGTGCAGATCCCAAAGCACAGGAGGTCCACCACCCACGTCCGGAGCAGGCTGTCCCCCCAGCCCGACACATTGCTGATGAGCGTGGAGACGAGGATCGGGATCGGCGCGGGGGCCGCCTCGAGCGAGGTCCGAAGCTGGATGAGGATGTCCGCCTGCGCGGGCGAGTTGGCCTCCGCGGTCAGGGCGGCCTGCAGCATGTTGAGGGGGTCCGCCATAATGTCGCTCGTGAGGATGATTTGTTCTGAAAGTCACGATTCCCGTCCGTGAATGAGTTCGTCTTGTTATTGTCGGACGCGTCCAGGCGGTGTCCCCGAGGAGCGCGTCACCGACGTGTTTGCTGAGCTTAGATGACGGGAGGAGACAAGGAGCAAAGCAGTGATTCAGGAAGTACAGAAAACAGGAAAGTGAAGACTCTGAAGGGGACTTTGAGGAGGCGCCCACCACCGTCGCGGTCAGGTCCCGCTTGCCAGGTGGTCCACGCTCGATCGTCAACCGGAGAACGCCGGTGCTCCGCGCCGGTCAAAGAGGCAAATATTTGATGATATTTGTGCGTTTCTCAATCAAATGCTTATTGACGGCAAACTCGGAAGGAAGACATGGGAGGACGCAGCGACTCCGAGGACTACAAGCAGCAGACGCTGTATAATTGTAAGGCCCATTGCTGGCTCGAAGTCAGAAAGTATCCAGTCATTCGTCGATTCATGATGTCCGTGGTATACTTAAGTACATCCTCCTGAACAAGCTGTAGCGGTTACAAAACCCGCCCATCATGCCTCCACCTTCTTGATGTTACGGTGCAGCTCAGGCTTGACGAGGACGACACGGTCAAGGAGCTTCTTGACGACCTGAGTCAAGGGCGTTAGATCGCGACGTTGGAGAATGCGAGCAATGGAGTCGATGGAAGTGGCAAAGATGAGCAGCAATGGAAGTCACAAGGAAGGAAAGGCTCGGCGGGAGGAAAGTAGGACGAGCGACGCACCGCATCCTTGTGCTGGTTGTAGGTGTCCGTAATCGCCTGCAGCTTCTGCTCCGTCTCCTTGTCTACGGCGGCCTGCGTGCTGCTCGTTGTACCGGCGTGCTGTTGGATTGTCGCGAGAGCATGACGAAGGTGTATTGTAGGTGTTGATGCATGATATTCGGCAATGTAATGCGAGATTGGTGGAAGCAAGGAAGGGAAAGTAAGGGTCATCAGCTTCTCTAACATCCTCAGGAGGTACGTTGAACGCACCGATGCCTCGAACGACTTGAACTCGGCCTCCTTTGCCTTCTTGTACTCCTCAATCTCCTTCGCGGCCTCCGAGCGCGCGTCCTTCAGGCGCTGGGTGCGGTCTAGTACGCGTCAGGACGTGGCAGGATATAGCAGGTGAGCCGGCGAGGGGAAGATGTCATTGGCGCAGATGGCGTGCATGACGCAAGATACCGATGAGATGTAAACGCAGAGGAAGTGATCAAGGGAGGGATATAGCTGATCAGCCCACTGTCCCTTGATACGGTAGACGCAACTCACATTGCCGTGCTTGCTGCACGATCTTGGCCGCCTCCTTCTCGGCCTCGAGCAGAGTCTGGATACCTTGGGATTGTTGTGCGGCCTGCGGGAGTAGATCATCAGCATACAGCATACAAGAAAGCGCACTAATGATTCGAGGGCTGATTCCTTCGCTTCCTGCAAGCGGTATACGCGCGACACACTGGCCCAGAAGTACCGCAAGCGCCAAAGATCTTAGCGACAGCACCCCAATTCTACCCTCGCTCATGCACAGCACGCCGCCCCCGTGGGCGTGGGTATCGATAACGCAGGGTGATACGCACCATTGTAAACGGGAAGCGTAACGGGAGACGCTGACGGTGAAGAGGATAAGGCGGGGAATATGTGGCGTTGCGGTGGTATACGAGCGGACCCACAGACGTACAGTTGGGGACAGCCAAAGTCGACAATCCGTGTCGGAGCACAAAATAATTTATCCGACGGGAATCTGAGCTCAGAAATGAACTCAGAAGGGCTCAAAAGCCCCCAAAACGATTTTTTCGCGATTTTAGGACCACTTTTCGGGGGTGGCCAATTTTTGGGCCAGTTTCAACGGTGTTCGGCAAGTGCCGACAGCGCTGAAAGTAAGAATATCTCGTAGATATGGAGCGTGGACTATACCCATGCCGCGCCAGCTTGCTGAAGTTAGCTCGCGAGCAAGGTGCGGACCATCCCCAGCTACCATCACTGTAACGATGGTGTGACAGACATGCATAACGTCACGCATTCTTATTATTTTGAGCACTTTTCGGCATTGCTCCGGTGACTTTACGACCGCATGAACGGACGGACATGGGCGAAAGGCGTTCAAAAACCAATTTTTCTTGAATTTAGGGGCAGAAATGGGGGGTGGCCAATATTTTGGGCCCCCTCGACCAATAAATCGTGATTTGTGGGCCAACGGCAGAGCCGTTCGGTCTGAGATTTATTTAGGTTACTCCTCTCATCGAAAGGCATCGTTTTCCGCAAAGTCCGAAGTTTTCCGGCAGAGTACCCGAAATTGTCGACTTTGGCTGTCCACAACTGTACACAGAAATACCCGGCCCGGCGGGTCCGCATTAGCAAGCGCCCGCGCGCCACCACGATCGGATGGACCTTGGACTTGACTTCCACTGAGCACCTTGCACTCCAAGAAGCAAGTTGACGAACTGCTTGAACCGCACATCATTCTGCACAGATGATTGCGACACAAGTGTCGTCCCCGATCCCTGATCCCCTCGCTGGGGCTCAGGCCGCGTCGAGTACGGCCTCCGTACCCTCTAATGCGCCAGAACATTGTCCTGTGAGTACCGGACCCTACGCCCCATAAATCCTTTCCACATCTACTCCGCCTTTGTAGATATACTAACCTGGCTTCCAGGGCACCGAATCTGACCTCGCCGGCAAGTCTGCTGCCTGCGAGGGTTGCGCTAACCAGGACATCTGCGCGTCGAACGAGCCCAAGGGCCCCGACCCCGCTCTGCCCCTCATCAAGCAGCGCATGACGCCGGTGAAGCGCAAGATTCTCATACTGTCTGGCAAGGGCGGCGTGGGCAAGTCAACGTTCACCGCACAGCTTGCTTGGGCCTTCGCGGCGGACGAGGAGACACAGGTACGCTCACCTATCCGTGCCCCATCCTCCTCTACCCCTCAATCGCGTCTTCACCATTAATACTGACCTCTGTGCACAGACCGGCGTCATGGACGTCGACATCTGCGGCCCCTCCATCCCCACCATCCTCGGCATCGCCTCCGAGCAAGTCCACGCCTCCGCCTCCGGCTGGTCCCCCGTCTACGTCGCGCCCAACCTCGGCGCCATGTCCGTCGGCTTCATGCTCCCCTCCGCGCGCGACGCCGTCATGTGGCGCGGCCCCAAAAAGAACGGGCTCATCGCGCAGTTCCTCAAGGACGTCGACTGGGGCGCGCTCGACTACCTCCTCGTCGACACGCCCCCGGGCACGTCCGACGAGCACCTCTCCGTCGTGCAGTACCTCAAGGACTCGGGCATCGACGGCGCCGTGCTCGTCACCACCCCGCAGGAGGTCGCGCTGCAGGACGTGCGGCGCGAGATCAGCTTCTGTAGGAAGGTGGGCGTGCGGATCTTGGGCCTGGTGGAGAATATGGCGGGCTTTGTGTGCCCGAATTGCAAGACGGAGAGCAAGATCTTCCGTCCGACGACGGGTGGGGCGAAGGCGCTCGCGGAGCAGGAGGGCATTGAGCTGCTGGGCTCTGTCCCGCTGGATCCGCGAATAGGCAAGAGTGCGGACAGCGGCATCAGTTTCCTGGAGGAGTACCCGGATAGCCCGGCCACGACAGCATATCTGGACATCATCGACCGTGAGTGCCCTGCTCCCACTCGGCCGGACTTGAGCTGACAAGTTGGCAGGCATACGAGATATTTTGGATGATTGAGGGCTGTAGTAGAGAACAAACCACTGTAATTTATCACTCATATCGACAGCGCTGCGCTTTCTCTGCACTTGCGTGAATACACAGAGAGAACGCAGCGACTCTCGCACAAGGATGAAGAGAAGAGATGCCAAGTGGGCCATATTAATTTTATACAGCCTCCCTACACTTGTCTTTGCGCCCCCGCGCCCAACGGCGCATTCGGATAGAACAGCCTGTCTCTTAACTTCTCCACGTCCCGCATAATCGGGTGAATCTGCTTCATGAAGATATGCGGCAGGCTGAAGGTCTCGTCCACGAGCGTCGTCTGCGGCAGCTCGTGCCGGCCCGCGACAATCTGGTGCGCGCGGTCGCAGAACTCGCGCAGGATGGCGCGCGTGTGCGCGGAGAGCTCGATGGGGTCGGACGCGAGGGGGATGACGATGCGCCCGCCGTTGGCGACCTCTGGGGAAAGGGGGAGGGGAGCGAGTCAGTAACTTGGCTAGCGTGAACATGCGCCTAGGACTCACCCTCCCCAAGCACGACCTTCTCCGTCGGGTTCCAGGTGATGACGGCCTCCTTCTCCGTCCGCCACGCTTTCGCGTCCGCCAGGCGGGTCAGCGTGGCCAGGAAGCACAGCGTCTGGTACACGAGCAGCCGGTCGTCGTTCAGGTCGAGCGTCTCGAACTCGTCGTACTTCGCTGCCTCATCGAGGAGGGGCCCGATCTGCGCAGCGAGCTTGTCCATGCCGCGCGCGCCGAGCTCGTACCCGGCACCGACAGTGATCACTGAGCATAAGTGTCAGACTTCGGGGTGTGCATTATGAGAGTGATCGAGCGAGCAGGCGTGGCATGGGAGGGGAGCGGTTGCTTCCATTGTGCGCAGGACGTTGCCGATCGAGAGGTATGGAGTTGACGTACATATGAAGACCGACCAGAAGAAAGGGTTCCGAATCAGCTTCCTCCACCCCTTCTGCTCGTACTGTGCGCTTGTGCCAGCATTCCGCACTTGCGTGAACCGCGGGACGGTGCGTGCCGCGGGGGTAAGCGCCGTCGAACGAGTGAGGTTCCGCGAGGCCAACGCCCTCACCGACGAGGTAGTGGAGAGTTTCGCTACTCGGGGAATTTCAAGAGCAGCATTTCGGGCTGCTGAACGCAGGGCAAGGCGCGAAGTGATAAATAGCGAAGAAGACATTGCCAAGGCGCGTTCGTGACGCATTCCGCCGTGACAAGCGCGCGTCTCCGGCACGGCGGGCGTGTGAAGGAATCTCCTTATTCGTGAACAATACACTCGGGCTTGCCTCTTACCACCACCACTGCTCGCCAGCTTGCAGGTCTGGAGCGAAATGCGGCTGCCTGCCGCGCCCTCTACATCTCCTCAAGAATTCTCCGCCAACTATGCTTCTCGAGCGTATCCATCCAAAGGCGAATTCAGCACTCGACTTCGTGCCGTTCAGCGGCCACGCCCAGTACCCATCAGGCAGTCAAACAAGACCCATAGTCCTCCTCGACGCACACCACTTTCGCGAAAGTGTTTCCTCTTTTTTCTCGGCTTTTCACTAGGTATAATCCTCTACGTCGCGTTCCGCGTCCACCGCTTCGCTAGACGAACTGTTGCGGTCGATCGCGACACCGCTGCATCCTCGCTCTTCGCCGATCACATACCAGCAGCGCCAGACAAACTAAAGTCACTTGCCCACCTCGAAGACCTCACTCCGACAAGCAAAGAATTCACCATCGTCTTGCCCGTCCATCCTCACGATCTTGGCTTGCTACGCGGACGCCTCTTCGACATCCTGCATCTCGCGTCCTCCTACGGCCCTCGCTCGCAATACGAAGGTGACCTGCGCGAGGTACTCCTTATATGTCCTGAAGACTCGCTCGCGCCGACGAAGCAAACCGTCCAGCAAGCCCTCGTCCACTACGAAGCCTCGAACTCTCGCGATCACGCCTTGGAGATCTCCGTCTACAGCACGTCCTCAAGAAGCCGAACGGCATTCCCAGACATGCAGTTGCTCCGTATAGTCTCTGGTATGGTCAACACGCCTTGGGTCTACTTCGACGACATTCGGCCCTTACCCCAAATGGCGCACTTCAGCGACAGTCACAAACCCTCTGGACCTCGTGGATTCTCTGTCGCACTCAACGATCTCTCGCTTCTTCCGCACTGCGTGTCTCCGACCATGATCCCGACCAGCGTCTCCTACCTCACCCCACCCTTTGTGGTGCCCGCCTCACGCCTAGAGGCCGTGCTAGACGACATGATTCCGGCTCAAGAAGACCTCTGGCAGGAACTTGGAGAATCATTTGCGAAGGTCGATAAAGATGGTGTAGGTGGGCTTCTTGTCGGCACGGACGACGGCTATTGCAATTCCTACGTGCATGCTTCTGTCGAGTTGATCAATCCCGCACCCGCGAGCGGCTCCCTCGACACTAACGACACCGAAGCAGATGACATCTCAATACCGCCACAACAGTTTGACCTTTCATCTGTGTCGGAGATACCTCTGAAGCCGTTCGTTGTGTCGACTCGTCGTGGCATTCCACGAGCTGCTCCTGCAGATTACCTGCACGAACTCGAGCACTCATTCCTCATGCCAACTGCCACGCCCACTGGTACTATATATGCCATTCTTCCTACCGTCGACGACCTTCGCTCTTCGTCTTACTTGTTTTGCCGACTTGCAGAGGAACATCACGCTCGTATTGCAGTACTGGTCACTCGATACCACGACTCGATCGACGTCGATGGCGCACTCGCTTGCCAGCTGCCATATCGCATCGCAGGCGGTCACGATAACTCCAGCGACGGGATACATCTGTGGCTTGAGACGCTGCAAGAGGCGAAGCATAGGCCGGATATCATCCTCTTGACTAGCGACGTCGCCCCTGCGGAAGCGGATGAGCCGTCGGATGCTTGGGTACAATTACTTTTTCCCGACGCTGTCGTGATACGGTTGCCACGGGAGGACTTGCACGTTAGCGACTGGTTGGGGTCTTTGACGCTGGACGAATGGAAGAGTAAGTGCAAATTCTACTTGTGTCCATCAAGTGAATGTTGACCCAGCACAGACTGGCACAAGCCAGAGGTCGAGGCATCTATCATCACCCGCGACCGACCGCAATCGCTGCAGCGGCTGCTTACGTCTCTCGGCGAGGCCCACTTTTATGGCGACCATCTCAACGTACGCGTCAATCTCGAGCAGGATGCGGATAAGGACACGTTCGACGTCGTACAGCGCTTCGCCACTTCCTGGTCGCACGGCACCGTTTCTGTGCAGCATCGCGTCGTGCGCGGAGGCCTTCTGCCTGCTGTCGTCGAGTCATGGTACCCGCGCTCAGACGACAGCCACGGCCTCCTCCTCGAGGACGACGTCGAGCTGTCGCCCCTCTTCTACGCCTGGACCAAGATGGCCCTGCTGCGCTACCGCTACAGCGCACCCAACTCCTCGTCCGACCCCACCCGCCTCTTCGGCATCAGCCTCTACCAGCAGAAAAGCAACGAGCTGCACGCGGACGGCCGACGGGCCTTCGACGCGCGCGCCCTCTTCGCCGCGCACCCCGCCGTCGCGCACGCCGGCAGCCCCTACCTCTCGCAGGTGCCCTGCTCCTGGGGCGCCGTCTACTTCCCCCGCGCCTGGCGCGCCTTCCACGCCTACCTCGCCCTGCGCCTCTCCGGGCGGCTGCTCCCGCCGGGCGCGGCCGTCGCCCCCGGGCTGCGCTCGAACGCGTGGGCGCGCTCGTGGAAGAAGTTCTTCATCGAGATGGTCTACCTCGACGGCGGCGCGATGCTGTACCCGAACTACGCGGGGTGGGAGAGTCTGTCGACGAACCACCTGGAGCGGGGGAGTCACGTGAAGGTGCGGTCGAGGGAGAAGCGGGAGATGTTCCAGGTGCCGCTCATGCGCACGGAGGGCGGGGGAAGAGGGCTGCTGGCGGGGATGCCAGGCGAGGGGCTGCCAGGGCTGGCGGATTTGCCGGTGTTGAATCTGACGGGGAGCCTGACGAGTTTAGAGGAGATTGCGGAGGTGGGGAGGGCAAGACGTGGCGAGTTGCACGCGTGTTGGGAGGAGGGAGATCCTGGGTGCCGTATAGAGTCGGAGGGCCCAGCGAAAGCGAACGACACCTCCGTGTCCAAAGTCCTGTAGCTCCAGATTGTGACGCTCGCTCACTCATCGCGCCGAGCCGCGACGATAGAATACAACGTCGTACTTGCTCATACAACTACCAGGCCATTATGCGACAGAGGGAACAAGCCCCCTCGGGATTAAGTAGGTACGTCAATCCGGGCAAACAGCGGAGAGAATCAAGAGATTGAAAGCACGACATAAATGACGGGGAAGGAGGCAGGAGGCTACGACAAGACGCACGATGAGGTGGAACGAAAAGCGATAGAGGGAAACGTCAACTCGAGATGGGGCGTCATGAGGGAAAACGTGAGGGGAGGGAGCGATGGATGATTGGATGGGGGAGGAACGAAGAAAAGTGGTATGTACGTACAGAAAGAGAAGTGCATCGACGCTGAATAACACGGGAAAGAATAATTAAATAACCAGTCCGGGGTGACACAGTCCGAGGGTCAGACAGCCGCCTATCGACCTGGGAAAGCGCTCGACATGGGTGATATCTGCGGCTGCTGCGACGGCGTATCCTCGACCGAGATCGTCTGCTGCTGCTGTATCGCGCTGTTGCTCGTGTTCGGACCAGGAGTCTGCGGCGCCGTCGCCGCCTTCCCGATGTACCACGAGGGCACCCAACCGCGGTCACCCGTATCCTCCTTGACAGCGTACGACCAATGGTTGTAGCGCTTGAACACGCGGAGCGCGTCGTCCTTCGCCAGCTCGAGCTCCTCCTCGCCCTTCTTCGCGTAGTCCATGAGCGCGATGCCGGGGAAGCTTGTTGAGATGATGGATAGGGGCAGAATGGGCGTGCGCTGTTGTTGGCGAGAGGGCGTCGAGGGCTGGGAGCTGCCGTTTGGCTGCGTTGCGGCAGTGGCCTCTGCGATGGCAGACGCGACGGGCACGCTGGTCTCCAGGAGGCAGCCGGCTGGCACCCAGGCTTGCTTCTTGATATCCGGGTCGATGGCGCCAGAGCCCGTCGGGTCACGCTGGACGACCCACCAGCCACGAGAACGAGAGAGAATAACGAACGTGTCCCCGCTGCAGAGCCATTAGTACGCTGCTTTCAGGAGAAGTGAAGGTCACACGCACACAACCACGTCAAACTCGTCGTCCTGCTCCGCCATGTATGGATAGATGGCGACGGCGTACGAGACGTCGCGCGAAGACGTAGGAGGTATTTCGCGCCCGCTTGCGCTGCCACTCGATGCATGGCCGTCCGAGGTTCCTGGTGGGCTGCGACCACCGAGCGATGGGGTGTTAGCGCCACCAGGGCTGATCGCCTGATCGTCCGACGTGACATTAAGACGTGGGCCGACCTCAGTGTTCGGGGAGACACCGCCCTCGGTTGGCCAGGCACCCGGGCCAGCGCTCGTGCCAGTCAGAGGCGGCTGAGGTGTCGACAGGTCGTGCACCTCCAGCTTTGGCGGGCGATGGCGGGTTACGGAGGGCTGCTTGGTGGGCGTCGAAGTGCCTGCATGCGAGGGTCCGTTGTTCGTGGTAGGCGTGCCAGTAGACTCGTTTACGACCGATGAAGCCTTGCGCGCGGCGTGCTTCTGCTGAGCGACAGCGATAGGGGAGCGGATATCCTTGATGTGTTTGAGCATGAACACTGGATTCTTCTTCGCGTCCTTTAGCTTCTGGAACAGCAGCAGCGGCTTTTCGTCGTAGCTCAAACAGCGTTCGATGCGATTTCCTGCAAGACGTGTCAGCTACATCGGCGAGGGGACACAAGGCGGCACACGCACCCGGACTGCCGTAGCAGATGAACATGGCGTAGTTCTGCCAGTTGTCGTTGTTGATGCGGTATTTCTTGAGTGCTGCCGGCAACACCTTCCACGTCGGATCCTCCAAGCTGACCTTGAAACTCTTCAGATTGTCCGAGCTATCTTGGCGCGTGGGCCGAGGTGCTATGACAGGGTCGGGTGGAGGGGCGGTAGAGGCCGACGCGACCGCGGATGGACGCGCATTCTTGTCCGCGGTCGAAGGAGGGGAAGAGGACTGGGTGTTAGGTGGGCTGTGGTTGTAAGAGGGGGCTGCTTCGCGATCGAGCTGCGGGGATGGATGGGGTGAATCGAGAGCAGCGCCAGATCCAATTTTGACGGAAAGCCCTCTTCGAGGGGAGGCGTTTCCATCGTCCTGATGATATGAGCGGGGTCTTCGCGAGGATGGCAGGCCACTCACGGGTCGGACGTATAACGAATGTCTTAGGGCAACGAAGTCGGATTGGAATGAGTGTAGCTCTTCCCGAACCGCCTTGTTCTCTTCCTGTAGCCTTTCCAGCTTCTCCCCTGAGCGAAAGTGAGCTTTAGCTAGCCAGGGAGAATGCTTGACGCACCTTGCTCCTTGATGATCCTCTGCAACTTCTCCAGCGTGACCTCCCCTCGTTCCGCGGCCTCGGCTGTAGTGGCATTTAGCGCGCGCCGCCTTGCGCAGGTGAGTCTTACATGGTGGCACATAATCATCCGGCTCTATGGGGACGTTCTGCGCGATCTTGAGCTGGTATACAGCCTTCAGTATCGCGACTCGCTGGCCGATGGTGGCCACGCCGAACTCCTTCAAGCTCTCGGCATTGAGCATGACCAGCACATCCCCAGTGATATTGTTGTCTGTACACCTGTCAGCGGGCGCTTGCGGGCCATTCAAGCAGCGGCGCGAACCTCTGATCTGCTGCTCATACTGGGGAAACCCGATGGACTTGAGCCATGCCTGCACGTCGTTCTCGTCCCACTGCAGAATTTCCTTGTCGTGTTCAACGCCGTCCATTGTTCTTCTCGTCGTCGTCGGGGTCGTGGGCGTCGTGGTCGACGACGTGCTCGAATTCGAGATGAACGTCGTAAGTAAGAGCCACGTGCGGGTGTATGACCGGCGGGCCGGAACCGGCATTCAAATCGCGGTCAGGCAGTGGGAATTTCCTTCTCTTTGCTCCTTGCTTTGCTCTGCCATCACCAGTCCATACGAGCCAGAAGCCTTCGTCTTGTTCGCTGGAACGGTGCGCCCTTGTCGATAACAATAAGGAATCACCCACATCTACCCAGTACGCATGCTCAAGAACCATTTGTTGACCGCCGGATCTCCAGAACGGTACTCGGCGTCGTGCTATCAGACACCATCCCATCTTGTGCAATGGTACTCCCTCTGCACATCTACTTGCTTCTCCCTTGGCGAAGGATGTTCCAGACGAATAAAGTCCCTTCCCTTCAGATAACTCGGCCGCAACTATGAGTTGACGAACTTAATGCGATCTGCCCTAGTGCTCAGGTGGTCGAAGAATACGTTCTGCCCTTTCTTTCTTTGGACGCGCGGGCATGGGAGGTACACCCTCTGGCCCTTTAGGTGCTGCAACATTACAATCACTGCTCTTAAGAAACCCGTTGAACTTGCGGAGTGTTTGTGAGCCAGGTGCTGTTTCACTCCACCCCCCATCCTTCTACAAAGCACCAGCTTCCCGTTTGATACCCAGCTCAATTTTCCCCAGTTGTACCTCTCTGGTGTCTTCTGAACTCCTTCGACTTGTACAAACTTGTACAGACTTTGTGGCCACCCCGGGAATTCAAGTGAATCTCCGTCGTCCGATCACTGTGCAAGTCTGATTGCCGAACTTCAACCCGTCACAAATCAAGTCACAAAGCTTGCACTCGGATTCTCTGCTTGCTCGCCGATGCGACGTTCGTTGTGGCCTTGTTCGAGCTTCGACCATAAGGAGAACCGACAAGAGTTCTTTGTTAACTTCTATCAGCAGCAATCTTCTGAGAAGTAACCCACTTGATCGGCCGTTTCGCTACAATGAAACGCGTCCTATCCGCCAGCGGCAGGCAATCGCGCGCGCCCGTGAATCCAACGGAACGTCTCTTTCAGTACACCCCGGTCGAGCCGGCTGCACACAGGCTATCGAGCACTAGCCTTTCACTGACCCATGTCATACGCCGACCCGATGTCCGCTCGCTTAGCCAAACGCCACGCTTCCCTCTACTGCTGCTTTAATGCCTATTCACGGCACTCTCTCCCACCCGACCTCACTGCAGATGTACTAGACTCAATTGCTCGCCCCGTTAGACACTCTCAATGGCACTTCGCATCCCAGGGAACCGCGTGCCTCGCGCCGGCCGCTCCATCAGCGAACGCACGCAATAAAGATACGGATAGACGCCATGGTGCGTCAGCGCGAGAAAAGCTTCCACTGTTCATTGCGGGGAAGACACACTAGCGCCGCTCTCTATCCTGACCGCCATGGTCGCCGCGAAGACAGAGGAGACGACGTCGACTGGGAGCGGTGCGGGTTTGGATCGCAAGGGCAGCAAGGATAGCGCGCGCGCCGCGTCGTCGAAGCCGGGGGACGAGGAGTCGGTGACGGTGGAGGCGGCGGAGGAAGATGTGTTCGGAGGCGACTCGATCGACCCGGTATACCTTGCGAAGGCGCATGTTCTGAACCGTGCGCTGCAGGAGATCGGGATGGGGAGGTACAACTGGATGATCTTCGTGGTGACGGGCTTTGGGTGGCTAGCGTGAGTGCTGGATAAGCTCTTGAGCATCATGACATCTGACAATATTCGTTCATGCAGAGACAATCTTTGGCCGGTGAGTAGACTTTGTGTGGTCAATACGAAGGGGAACATATGCTGATGCAAGGGGATGCCTGCCAGATCGTCACCGGCCTCATCCTCACACCCGTTGTGAACGAGTTCGTCTTTGATGGGCCGTTCCTTAAGCTAGCCCAGAACATCGGGCTGCTCGTTGGTGCAGTGTTCTGGGGAGTCGGAGCCGATATCTGGGGAAGGAGGTGCGTGTCGTATACTGTTCGCTGTTGATCGCGAATGCTTATTCTGACTCTCACCCAATCGCTATCTGCTTCGTTCTTCTGTACTTGCGTCCCCTCAGAGTCTCCTTCAACATCACCCTCTTCATCACCGGCGCCTTCGCACTCGCAGCAGGCGGGTCAGCGAACTACATCGCACTCTGCTCCCTGACTGCAGTCTGGTCGGTCGGCGTCGGTGGCAACCTCCCTGTTGACTCAGCGATATTTTTGGGTGAGTATTCGTTCTCATAGTGTCATGCTCGGCTACTCGGGCGAGGCTGTGGGACTCGTCCGAAGCAAGCCATGGTACCCAAGCCTGACAAGCTGCGATACTCGAGCCAGTTGCCGCGATGTCATTGTGAGGCCATTCACACTAACCCCACCTGATCAGAATTCGTACCCGCCTCACACCAATACCTTCTCACCGTCCTGTCGATCTGGTGGGCCTTCGGGCAGCTCTTGGGATCTCTGGTGCGCCACTTTTTTTCCTCTCATTTTCTTCCTTCACATCCCTTCCGATTACCTCTCTCGTGCGCCTCCTAGAATGACCGCCAACTAATCCTCCCATCAGGTCGCCTGGCCCCTCATCGGCAACTACTCCTGCGAGGTCCCCGAGTCCGGGCCCGCCAACTGCCCCCGCAGCGCGAACATGGGCTGGCGGTACTTCCTCTTCGCCATGGGCGGGCTCATGATCGTCCTCTGGGCTATCCGCTTCTTCCTCTTCAAGCTCTATGAGAGCCCGAAGTGGCTGATGTCGCAGGGGGAGGTGAGTTGGGTCTGAGCATTGGCTGTCTTGCGCATCGGCTCTCTTGCCCATCGACCCTCTTGCCCATCGACTCTCTTGCCCATTCAGCTTGAACAAAGGACGAACACATCTGACAAACCCTCCTCCTATAGGACGAAAAAGCCGTTCGCGTCATCCACCAGGTCGCCGCGCACAGCGGCAAAACGTCCAATCTGACCCTCGAGGAGCTCCGCGCCGCGGGCGACCTCTACGCGGGCAAGGGGAGAGACCTCCACGCGGGCAGAGGCAAGGACGTCCCCTCCACACCGCGTCGGCCGACAGTCATGGGCGCGATCCAAGCCAACCTGGCGAAGTTCAAGGGCGCGAGGGTGAAACCGCTCTTCGCGACGCGCAAGCTGGCGTGGTCAACGGGGTTGTTGATATTTTTGTGGGGTGAGCTGACGGTGTTCGCGTCCGGTGTTGGACGTGCTCAAGGGTTTCCCTCACAGGTATCATTGGATTGGCGTTCCCGCTGTGAGTATTTTTGTTGAATTATTCTATCTCGCCCCTGACGGACCAACGCAGGTACAACTCCTTCGTCACGTACTAGTGAGTCAAGCGCCTTCCCGAGATAAGCGCCTTCCCGACGCTGACGTCCTCAGCCTCGCCACCCGCGGAGCGACTTTCGGTGATGGAAGCGTCTACATTACCTACCGGAACGTGCGTGTTATCTTCTGCAGGGTCTCAGAATCCATCATACTGACTGTGCCGCAGCAAGTGATACTCAGCGTGCTCGGAGTGCCCGGGGCGCTGCTCGCGGGCTGGATGGTCGAGCTTCCGCTACTTGGGAGGAGGGGGACGCTTTCCATTTCGACGCGTGAGTATCACTGCTTCTCTCACTTGAGATAATGTGCTGAGGGTATATTCCAGTCCTGACGGGAGTGTTCATCTTGGCGTCTACGACGGCACGCTCTTCGGACGTACTCCTTGCCTGGAACTGCCTCTACAGCTTCTTCAGCAACATGGTAAAGTATAATCTCAACAGGCCTGAAAGAGTGCTCACTTGCACGCAGATGTACGGAGTCCTGTACGCTCTCTCGCCCGAGCTCTTCCCCACGAAAGAGCGCGGCACCGGAAACGCGCTCACTGCTGCTGCGAACAGAGTCTTCGGAATCATGGTGAGCCCTGCATAAACCGCAAGAGACAGCGGATATTGACAAGATGAAAGGCGCCGATCATCGCACTCTACGCCGATCTTACGACGTCGGTGCCCATTTTCATCTCTGGCGCTCTCTTCCTCGTGGCCGGCTTCGTTGCGCTACTGCTGCCTTTTGAGTCCAGGGGCAAGGCATCCATATAAAACGAGCACCGCTTTATGTCAAAAAAGTCGGCTTCGAGCCGCTGCCGTTCAGACGCCGTCTCGTCCCCCCTATTTATTCTGCAGTACCCATGTCGATTCCGCTGTGTTTCTTGAGGTCCAAATGCTAATATTGTCGTGCTTTGTCCGTGCCCGAATTCGGCAGGATTCTGAGAGAACAAAACATCAACCGTGACATTCGCGTGACACGGCGATGCCGGGCCGATCACCCATGACGCGCGCGTCAATCGCGAGTCGCGCGGAACCAATTTCTGTCTCTCCTTCGTCCAGCCACCTCGTCGTTTTCTGTCATCAGGAGAACGGAGAAGGCGCCTTCTCGTATTTTGGCCGCATCAGAGCTCTAGAGTAGAGCCAAGGGCGTCTCCAACGACGCGCGCAGCATGACGGCCAGGAAAGAGGGGACACAACAGCCGACGCCGGCGGATACGCCGCCCCAGCGAGCGGGCAGCCGTGGGCGGCCCAAGAACCACGGGGAGGAGGACGAGAAGGGCGGCGCCGATATGCCCTCTGGAGGCTGGCCGGACCGTGGGCGCTCCAGGGTACGGCGCCCATCGAACCCGCTCTCGGAGGACAACCTGCGGCGGAGGTGCGTCTCAGTACTCATATGCCCGATGCAGATGGCTGACGATCACATCTCTGCAGAGGATACCATTCGCTCATGTCCTCCTTCGGCAAGGTCTTCCACGTCGAGCGCCGCTGGAAGCTCGTGCGCGAAATGGGATCGGGCGCGTATGGTGTGGTCATGTACGTCTCGGGTGCTGCTGCTATCTCCGCGAGTGTTCACAGCTCCCCCAGCTCAGCGGCCGACGAGATATCGGGCGAAACGGTGGCGATCAAGATGGTCACGCGTGTGTTTGAGAAGACCCAGCTGGCCAAGCGCGCTCTACGGGAGATCACTCTTCTACGACACTTCGCTGGACACGAGAACATTACGGGATTAATCGACGTCGACGCCATAACCCCCGACTTCAATGAGCTGTATGTTGTACTTCAAAGGAACCATGCACTCTCACTCACGAGCTTCGCGCAGCTACATCTTCATGGAGGTACTGATCCGCTTACCCTCTTGTGAACCCATATCTGACCGGGACGGTCACCTTCTAGCCCATGGAAGGTACGTAACCGATGGGTGAATGAAGTCTTGTGCCGCGTCCTGACAAGCATTCTCGCAGCTGATCTGCACCAGATCATCAAATCAGGGCAGACGCTCACCAATGAGCATGTCCAGTACTTCCTATACCAGGTTCTCCGCGGTTCGTGGTTATCTGATTTTATTCGGCGTCTCTGACCGATAACGATGCTCATCCAGGCATGAAGTACATCCACTCCGCGTCTGTTATCCACAGGGACCTCAAGCCAGGCAATCTGCTCGTCAACGCAGATTGCGAGCTCAAGATTTGTGACTTTGGCTTGAGTCGGGGGTAAGCTGGCCCAAAGCGTTTGCTTATTCTCTCATAATCACTGCCTTTAGATATGATGCGAACCCAGACGAGAACACGTCACATCATCTCACGGAATATGTGGCCACTCGGTGGTACCGAGCCCCCGAAATCATGTTGGCATTCCGGTGCGTCTCGATAACTACCACGTACGATTGACTGACTAATCTACCGTCCATAGTCGATATAATACAGCAAGTAGGTGCCCTGGGCGTTTAAAAATGTGCAGCCGGCTGATCATACTGTGCAGTCGACGTCTGGTCAATAGGCTGCATATTTGCCGAACTGCTTCTCGGAAAACCTTTGTTCAAGGGAAAAGAGTGGGCTGTTTTCTTACTGTCGCAACAACGCAACTAACTTTTTTCAAGTTACGGTCAGCCAGTCTCAGTCTCTTCGTGAAGACAAATCTCCTGATAGTATTCAGTTGACCAGCTCAACAAAATTCTGGACGTCCTGGGTCAGTGTTCTTAGTGATTTTATGCCCATCGGTAATTTGCTGACATCCCCCAAGGTAGCCCCGATGAGTTTGTCATCTCACGAATAGGCAGCGAAAAGGTGCGCAGCACTGCAAGTCAAGATGGGCGACCCGCTCACCTCATATAGGCCCAAGCATACGTCCGCTCTCTGCCCTACAAGCCTAGGGTACCCTTCAACAAAGTCATTCCCTCTGCAGACTCGCAAGGTAAGTCGTGTCGATCCTGCATCGCTGGCTCATCTCATCCTCGACGCAGCTGTGGACCTCCTGACAAAGATGCTGGCATTCGACCCCAGCGATCGCATTTCCGTCGTCGACTCGCTCGCCCACCCTTACCTCTCCGCCTACCACGACGTCACTGACGAACCAGACTGCCCTCGGGTCTTCGACCGCTGGCGAGAGGTGGAGGAACTCGAGACGATCGATGACTTCCGGGAAGCGCTCTGGAACGAGATCGAGGACTACCGGCGCGAGGTGCGCGGGATGCCGCGGCACGACCCGCTATCTGGCGTGCCACTACGACGCTCCACCTCGCGCACAGAGTCGAGCTCGCGCAGCGTGTACGAGGACGCGGAGGAGATCCTGGTGCCGGAGGTCGTGAAGGAGGAGGTGGCCGTCGATGAGACGACCGCGCCGCCCTCACCACAGCCGGCGGTGCGGACTGTGTCGGAGGACACGGAGTCCCAGCAGACGGTCACCACTGAGATCGTCGAGGAGCCCTCGCCACTGCCCGCCCCGCCACAAACAGCCCCGCAGATGTCGGAAGCCGCGCGCATCGCGGCGATGGACGCTGCGACCCTCGCGCCGGGCGTCGTCGCGCGCCGCCGGACGCGCTCGGCGACGACAGATCCTGTCGTCACCTACGCGCGGCGGTCGAGCATCTTACAACCACGGCAGTCCTCCATGTACGGGACGCAGTTCCCTGCCGCGATCGAGGGCCTGCCGTCCACTTCAGAGCCCGCCGGTATCGCCTTCCCCAGCCAGGGCTACGTCGTGCCCGCGCGGTCGCGGACGGGGTCGACCGTGGGCGGCGAGCCGTACACGCGCAAGTTGCTGCGCACGCTCAGTACGGTCAGCATCCACGAGCGGCTGCCGGCCGTGGCACTCGCCCGCGCGCAGGCGATACAGGAGGGCAAGGAGGCGGCTGAGAGCAAAAGTGCCGGCAAGGACAGCGGCGAAGACAAGGAAGGGAAGGTCGAGAGCGAGGACGTGGCGGACCCGAAGGCGCGGCTGGGGAGGTACATTGTGGAGAAGTCGGCGACAGGCGCGGACGCTCCGCCCAGCGAGATGCCGCGCGAGTTCGATGAGGTGGAGAAGCAGGAGTTCGAGTAATGGTGGGGGCTAGCGGGGGAGAGGTGTTGAGCAAGGTCGGTGATGGGCAGTCTAACGTGAAGGTCAGAGGAAGAAGCATAACATTTTTTTGGATGCGAGACGGATGGTTACGAGACACATGCTCTAGACTAACTTAGTTAAGGACCTCTACTACATGCTAGATACAGCCCAGGTCAGCTACGAAATGGGTGACCGGTCAGCTTTACTGTCGATGTGTCGACGTTGAGCAACGAAACGGGTCTGAGGTTGTGGGTGCGCCGACGGAGCGACACGTGAGGAAGCCGGCCATAGCCGACAAGTATCATTCGAGTGTTGAACCTGCACCAAGCTCGTACCTCTTTCTCTGTCCTGCCCATTCTCGGCCGACTTTGCATATGTTTCTCTTCTTGCCTTCTCAGCGTACATGCTTACTGCTAATTGTCTACCCATTTCTCTGATTTGTCCCTCTTCCGAGGACAGTTCGCTGCGTCTCTTGCAACTCAATCTGCAAGCCTACCCTCGACATCATGCATTGGCTGCCAAGCAACCCCCGTGACACATTGGTGGCAACGCAGCAGCATTGACGGACTATGCTATGGGAGAACGACGGCTCCGAACAACATCATCTCCTCTTCAGAAGGCCCTCGTCAATACTGAGGATGGCCCTTCCTCGGGACCTCGTGCCTAATCGCCCTAGAGATCAGTGGCTCTCCCTACGTCAGCACATTCCTTCTCTACGTACCCTCGCGTCTATATCAAATGCGCTGTGCCAGATGGAGAAAGCAGAAGTGCCTCCCCCTACCGCGCTCCCCGATCCTGGAGAAACCTCTGCCCCAGGATTCTCCGCCACTGAATACTTCGAAGACCCCACATCACCCTGCGCAATACAGTCCATGGCCTTGCTCTTACACTGCGGAGTTACTCGACGACCCCGCAATCCTCGTCTACTTTTCTCGTATGGTATATAGGCGGCGGCCGCTTCCACCAAGCTCGTCGACGATCCCCGCCTCTCAACATGGTCAGGCTTGCGTCTCTCGCTGTTCTCGGCTCCGTCATCGCCACTGCCTCTGCGCACACACGCGTCTGGGGCGTATATGTGAACGGCGAGTACCAGGGAGATGGGATCGGACAATATGTACGTGGCTGGGCAACTTTTGTCGATGTTTTTCTCTGACATTGCATAGGTCCGCTCGCCGCCCACGAACAATCCTGTAAGGACATGAACTATGTTTTCACAATCCGAATTTGCAGCTGACTTCTCACGCTTCAGGTGAAGGACTTGACGTCGGCTGCTATGAAGTGCAATGTCAATGACGCTCGTGAGTTTGGTACTGCTCTTTTACCAGAGATTCTGCACTCACGCTCGTTGCAGAGGTACCTAAGCGCGTCTCCGTCGCCGGCGGTGACGAGCTCAGCTTCGAGTGGTACCATGATTAGTGAGTAGTCGATGCCTGTCGTTGGTCTCATTGCTGAGTCGGCCTCAGTCGCAACGACGATATCATAGCCAGCTCGCACCACGGTCCGAGTGAGTGGCGACCTGATTGCCAACTTTGTGTTAGTATTGATCGTCCTGTCCTACAGTACAAGTGTACATGAGCGGCGACGACGGTGCTACATGGACCAAGATCGCCTCCGACGGCTACGACACTGGCAGTTCTACCTGGGCCGTCGACCGCCTCATCTCCGCCGGAGGCAAGCACAGCGTCATCATCCCCGACGTCCCTGCCGGGGACTACCTGCTGCGCGGTACGTCCTTCATCACCCTTTACCCCACTGAGATTCGGATGCATCCTGCCTCTATCCCCCCTTCCCCCTCTTCACCCTTCACCTCTTCACCCTCCCACTCACTCACTCACCCTTCCCCCCAGCCGAGATCGTCGCCCTCCACGAGGCCGACGTCGCCTACGACCAGAACCCCATCCGCGGCGCGCAGAACTACCCCAGCTGCACGCAGATCACGGTGACCAGCAACGGCTCGGACGCGCTGCCAGCCGACGGCGTCAAGTTCCCGGGCGCATACACGGACAGTACGCCGGGCATCATCTTCAACATCTGGCCGCCCAACGCGCAGGACCCGGCGACGTACCAAGTGCCGGGGCCTGCGGTTTGGGACAAGGCGCCGGGCGGAAGCGTCTGAGCTCTAAATTGTGTTTCTCGAACTGCTCGCATTGTACTATAGTTTCTGTGAGAGTGTTATGAATGATGAGGTCTGTTCCATGTCAGACAGGAGAGCGAATCAGAGCAAGTATGACGCGCGTGCCCAATTCGGCCAGCAGCATACATTCCGGCCAATGAGTGAAAGACATGCAATGGAATAAAGTAGTGAAAACGTTACAAACACAAAGTAAACAATGCAAAAAGGGCATCATCATAAGCCCTCAAAAAACGACAGATCCTGCGCCGACAACCCTCCCTTTGATGGTGGTCCCGAAGCCTTCGCTGGGGCGGGACTGCTCCCGAAAAGTCCAGCAAAAGGATCTGTTGCCGGTGGAGGAGGCGACGCGACCGATCGCGAAGGGGCAGCAGTAGAGGGTGCAGGCGGGAATGAGAAGCCAGAAGGCGGCGACAATACCGGCGCAACTGAGGGCGACTTGGACGGTGCTTGCGAGGGCAACGTGTTTGTCAGAGCTGCAGGCGCTTCCCAGAGGGTGGGCGGAGGCGCCAGGGTGGGTACAGTCGGCGTCGGCGGTGCGTCGAGCTTGGACTGCAGCGGTGTGCCAGATTGTATGAGCGGCGGCGGTCGCACGAACTTGCCTAACAGATCATCAGCACCTTCCTTGCATACAACTCCGTGCCAACACTCACTAGGCGGCTTCGCCATCGTCATAGGCTCTGACGACGACGATTTGAGATGCCCCGTCGCATGCACACCGCCCATCTCACTGCCACTACTACTCGCACCCATTATCCCACTTCCCTCCCCCAGCAGATCCTCATGCCCCGACGGCGGCGGTGGTATCGCCTCCGGCAACGGCGACGGCGGCGCAGGCGGCCACCGTCCCTGCCGATGCGCCGCCGCCTCCATCAGGCTCAGCGTCCGCATATGCGCCGCACCCGACACCTTCTTCGGCGGCGGCATCACCGAGGGCGAATAGAGCGGTGGCGGCGGCGAGAACACATCCGAGCCCCCGGGCACACTCAGCGTCTGCGCCTCCTGCGGCGTGTGCGGCGCGGGCTGCACGAAGCGCGGTGCAGCGAGCCCCAGTCCTAGTGGTGGGGGCCGGTTCTTCGCCGGCGGGCGCGGTGGCGAGGGCGTTTGGATTGCGGATGTCTGCTTGTGGTCGCCGTCACCGTCTGTGAGGCCCCAAAGGCTATCCACGGCTTTTGCATCCGTAGGCGACACGAAATCGTCAAAGTCGTCGAAGCTGTCGTTCGCGGGCGCCTGCGCCATCATTGCAGACGACGTCGACGCTGTACTCGGCAACGATGCCAGCGACGACCCACTCAAAAACCCACTCATCGTAGGCTTACCAAACGCCCCTGCGCCGCTACCAGCCGCAGGCTGGGCCGGCGGCGATGGGTCACCAAACAGCGCCGGGGACATGTCCCCTATCAACCCTTGCCTGGTTCCCTCCGGCGACAAGGCCCCATCGTTTGCGCGCCCTTGGTCGGGCAACGCCGAGGAGAAATCGCTGAAGTCGTCATCATCGTCATCGCCCAGCAGCGACGGCGGGATGACCGGCTGAGGCGGCGGCTGCCTCGATATCGATGACCCCGGTCGATGCCCAGGCCGCGAACTTGTAAGAGGTGCTGCTGAGGACGAAGGCGGCGGCGCGAGCGAGAACGCAGGCGCCAGCTTCGGCACAGCTGCCGCGGGGGCGGGGGTCGAGGACATGATCGCCACAGGCGTGCCTCTTCGCGCCCCGATCGCCGGTGACTCCGCACGCGTCGTGATCGACGGCGGACGCGACGCGATCGACGGCGCGCGCGACATCGCTGGCGCGCTCTGCTGCACTTGTGGTGGCGGTTGCGATCTTGGCTGCGGTGGCGGCACGAACGGCACCTGTTTTGGCAGCGGCGCAAACGGAGCCTGCTTCTGCACGGGCGGCGGCGCCGCGTCGAACGCGCCAAAATCCAGATCCAAAAAGTCGTTCTGCGGCGCTGTCGACGCCGTCCCCGAGGAGGTCATGGAAGTCATGGACGAGCCCGTCATCGTGGGCGACATCGGTTTCATGATCGGCGGGATATTACTGGTCGGCAGGGCACTGGTCGGTGACAGGACGGCGCTCGTTGGCATGCGCACGGTCGTCGTCGTCGGGTGTAGCGGTGGAGAGTTGAGAAGCGTCGCAGATGTGGTGGGCCTGACAGACGGCATGGACTGCGGCCTCGCCGCGCTCGAGCTCGATGACGATGGCGGCGGTGGCAGCGGAGCGATCTTCGGCCCCACAGGGGGAGGCTCAAGCCGCGGGGGCAGCGCCGCAGGGGAATGGAAGGCCATATCGAGGTTGAAGCTCGACGTCGCGCGATGCCCCGGCTTCGTCTCCGCGACGGGCTCGACGTCGTTCAAAAAGTCGAGATCGTCAGTCGAGAGCGCGAGTGATGCACGCTCTGAGGAGGACGACCGGCGGGAGAAGCGGCTAAGGAAGCGGGAGACGGCAGAGGGCGCAGGGGCAGGGGCGGGGAATATTTCGGGGGCATGGCTGTTGGATGGCAGAAGCTGGGGTGGGCTGGTGATTGGTGGAGTTGATGGCTTTGCAGCGGGTGGCGCGCTCTGCGTAGCTTGCATGATGGGGGGCGTAGAGGTCGTGGGCGACTTCACCGAAGCAGGTGAAGCGCGCGTGGGCGTACGAGGCGCGTCCATACTCGCTCGCGGTGTACCAGAGGTAGACGCTGCAGCCGACACAGGCGGCGTAGACGATCTCCTGCTGAACAGAGACGAGAACAGTCCGCCAGCCGGTTTCCTCTCCGTCGGTGACATCGGCTCCAGGCGCTCTTCCTTAGGCAAAATCTTCCAGCCTGTCGGTACCACAGCGTCTTCATTGTACTCTGGTCGAGCCTTAACGGATGCTTCCCAAGCAAGAGATCCCTTGGACGATCCGAGGTGATGCATGGGACTGAGACGCGCGAGGGTAGCATGTCTCGTCAGGCGAATGGTATCGGCCATCCGCTTAGCGGTGACGGATTTTGGGAAGGGAGTGAAGCCAGAGAAGGAGACATCTTTAGGGATTAGGCGGTCGACAAGTGCTTCCCTGTTTACAGTCAGACAACGCATGCGAGCACCTTATGACACGTACATTCCCTCCAACTCGTCGATGGCAGGGTGGCGCGAATGAGGTCGCCCGCGGTGCATCTCCATCGTCTCCTCCTCTTCCTCTTCTTGTTCATCCTCCGCTTGCTCGGAAAGGCTCTCGTCATTGTCCGCATTCCCTTCCTTCGCATCGGGGCTTTCGAGCTTGTCGGAGTGCTCATTCTCCTCCCTCTCCTCCGTTACGTCTGTAGATTTGTCCTGACCGCTCTCTTGACCATGTTTCGTTCCCTCGTCTTCCTTCTTCACGCGCTTGTTCTTCCCGCTTGGCCAGTAGTCGCGTGAGAAGTCCTCAAGCTGAGCGAGTATAGACGCGAGCAATTCTGGAGGCTGAGCTAAATCATTGAGCACCCCGGACGTATAGCGACGCAGACTACGCACCACATAGTGATCCTGCTTCGCCTTTGCCTGCTTCGCGGCCTCCCACTCGTCCACGGACTGCGCATCGTCGTCCCCCGCCGCCCACTCCGCTCCCCACGCTTCTGCGGGCGAGTCCAGCGCCGCCGCGACGCTCCCGTCCACGGGCGGTGCCCATGCATCCTCCGCGTCCGCCGCAAAGGCGTTGACGTCCGCTGCAAAGGCGTTCACGCCGTCCGGGCTGCCTGGCAGGGACGCGACGCGCGGTGGCGAAGGCGGCGGTGAAGGCGATCGCGGTGTCGGCGAGCGGTACACGTCCCGTCCATCCTCAGCCTCAGGCCGCGCCACCCCCTCGTCCTCCTCTTCATCCCCATCCGCGTCCTTCTCGTCCAGATCCTCCGGCGCCAGCGTCCGCCCAAGCGGGATATCCGCAAAGCTCGACTCCGTCGCCCAGCCGTTCGCATCGTCCGCCGCATTCAGCTTCCCCCACAGGTTCGTCCCCGAGTACGCCGCAGGGTCCGCCCACTCGATCCCAGGTCCAGCTGACCACGACGGAAGGGCGATGTCCGCTTCCTGCCCCTCCTCCGCCGGCGCGTCGAACTTCACATCGAGCTTGAGGTTCACTATCGGTGACCGCGGTCGGTCGTCGTTATTGTCCGCCCATGCGTTACCCCAAGGATCGTCCATAAAGCACTATTCACATCAAGAATAAGCAGTCACGGCAGTAAACAATGGGTGGGGAAGCTCAGAATCTAAGTAACTTCGAAGACGTGTGTGAAGCGGCTGATGCCGATCCACGTGCTCTCACGTGTGTTCGAATTCCAGTTCGCGGGGAGCAACGGGGAAGGCGAGGCTGCCGATTGCGTTTCTGCTCTGATCCACCATCATGAGTGTGTCGCAAGTTGTGAATCCATTTGAAGGGCTCTTGATTATGACCGATGGGACTGAGGTAATGCACCCTTCAATGATGGAATGGCGGTAACAATAATTGGCTCGTGCAGCTGGCCATTCAGAAGCTGTACGAGGACCATCGGCTCACTGGCTACGACAAGGGTCGCACTGAATTCCTCTTGCCTACCCTATTCCAGCATCTCCGCGTTGACCCCATCCTTACCGCCCTCGAAAAAGCTCGCACTCAGTCGGCCGTTGACCTCGACCAAATCGACACTCGCCAATGCCTCACCCTCATCGCCATCCCCGCACCTAGCGTGATTGCCCTCGGGCAGGGCATCCAATCACGGTTGAAGGACATTGCGCCGCATCTGTGGATCGCGCCAGCAAGCAATATGCACATCACGCTTCTCGAGCTCGTCGTGGCGAAGACGACAACGGATGTCGAAGAGACGATCCAAAAGCTCGGCAGTGATTTGATAGAGCAGCTCGTCGGCTACCCGAAGGCGCACCCGACGCGGCTTGCTCATCCTCGGCTAAACGCCGATCTTGGAGGCCTCGCGCTGAGTTTTTTGCCGGAGGCGAGAGGGACATGCCAGGATGCGGAAGATGCCCCATACACATATCTGCATATGCGACGCGACCTTTACGCGCTGGCGGGAGGAGCAGGGGTCACGCCGCAGGCGCGGTACGCGGCGCCCAGCGCACATATCACGCTCGCGCGGTTTGTGAGCGAAGAAGACTTCGTCGCGCTAGCTGGACCGGAGGCGGAGAGGGAGCCGGCGAAAGAGAAGGCTGCCAAATTCCTGCGCTTGGTGGACACCATCAACGAAGAGTTGCAAGCGTCGGATTTGGCATGGACCGTTGGAGAGGCGGGAGTCGAGCTGCGGCGCGGGAGAACGTGGTACGGTGGTGGAGACGTCGTCTGTCGAGCTTGAGGGATCAATATCTACTGATAGCGGCATTGTACGAGGAACATAAGAGGCTGACAGTGAGCAACGAACTTATAATCAGAAGCTCAAGATGCTGCGAATGCTTATAGTACCTTCGGAGGTCAGCAACTTCCACACCCTTGCCGCTGTCATCAGCTCGAAAGTCAGATATCGCAAGTACATTGAAAGATAACTTGAGTGGGATTACTACATGTGTTGCTGGTGGCCACGATAAAGCGGCAACCCAGCACAGTTCATAGTTCTTCTGCAAACCCTCAAGCTGCGATGCAAGAGCATCCCGACCAAGCATCACGGCGAGTTGCTGTACTAGAGCAAGGTGGACGCGCTGCAGACATTGCCGTCGGATCCCGGTTGGCCGTTTCTGATTGTGACAGACTGCTCGCCAAACGGAGACTCAGCCGTGTGGCACAGGAGAAGAGAATGGGTCTGGTGTTATTGCCCTGCAAATCGCATCGTCCGCTTCAAGCACCGCAAGTCCCCAAGGGGTGCCGTAGAAGGTGGCAGAGACACTGGCGACCGCTGAGATGCAAGGGACCAGGGATAAAAGCGAGGAGGCGCCTAAAGGCTCGCCAATCGCCTGTAGGTGACCTTGCGTTGCTCGACGCTCGGAGGGAGAATCGAACGCTTGCTGACTCCATGCATGTTAGACGCGCTGCACATTTCGAATCAAAGGTCAGGATTGAGATCCAGGTCGTCGAGGAAATCGAGGCTAATTTGGGAGGGCTGCGCATGCAGGTCCTGGCGGTAGGGATTGGCGCCATGGCCTGGTCTCCCTGCTTCCTGGCCGGGAGTACGGGCGTCTGGTGCTGTATATAGTGTCAGGCATTTGGTGAGAATACGAGAAGCGCCTGAGAACGTACGTCTTCCGACGGAGTGCGTCTCGCCGAGCGGACCCAGTGAGCCTTCCAGCCCCAGCCGACCCAAGCGCATTTTGACCTCGTTCGGGAACGGGGGGTTGAAGGTTTGCGTCGGCTTCGGAGGCGGACCTCCTGGCGCTGGCGGCGGGGGCTCTTCGAAGTTGGGAGGGGCGGAGGAGAAGGTGCTGATATGTTGGGCGTATGCGAGCAGCTCGGGGTACGGGATGGCACCTGCAGGACATGTTAGCACATGCACTTAGGTAGGAGGAAGCACTACGAGCCCTCTCGTGCCTGCTCTATGGCCTTGAGTCGTTCGTCGCCTTCGCGAAGGATGCCCTCGAGTGCGCGCTTGTCTTCCTCGAGCGTTACGCATACTTCGCGCCATCGCGCGTCCAGCTCCAGGATCTCGGCTGCGAGCGCTTCGATCTGGCGTTGCTTGACCTGGTGCGCGTATGCGACGCTGACTGCGCGTGATAAGCGCTCATTGCAGGCGACGAAGGCTTCGGCGGAGGGGGGAGGGGGAGGCTTGTTCTGTACGGGTGCGAGCGATGCGAAGAGCTTGTGGGCCAAGACTTGTAGCTCCTCCAAAGGTTGCAGCAGCTGCTCCGACATCGAGGACGGCTGCCTATTGATCTCGTTGGGATCGTTCATCATGGTTGGAAGCAAGAAATGTCGGGCGCGTCGCGTGCGAAACGCGTCTTGTTCTCAACGTCGACTACGACGGCTATGACGGCCCCGGAACAACCTGAGGGCGCCGGCTGGCGCGACGAGGAACTCTTTGAGCTCGACGCTGATGGACGTCTGCGCGATGTGCACGCTACCGCGCCGGCCAAGTACACCGATGGAAGCTCTATCGACTGGTTCGCGGAAGAGGCCCTCGCGCGCGCGCGCACTCAGATGCTGCACTCGCAACATGGGATTCGAGGATTCTTGCTCCCCGCGATGGATGCGGCGCGTATGTGGTTCGTGGTGATTCTGACTGGTGTGAGCATCGGCGTCGCGGGCGCTTGGCTGGATGTCCTAGTCAAATGGTGCGTCTATACGTGTTGTCCAGCCGAAGTGCTATGCTGACTGTACGGTAAGGCTGGCAGACCTGAGAGAAGGTCGCTGCACCTATGGCTTTTTCTACAACCAGCCGGCATGCTGTTCCGGCTTGGATCGTGCGTACGAACCATCTATGTGGCGCGCAAGTGCTTACCTCTGGGTCTACCCATGAAGCCGGCGAATTATGCACTGAGTGGAAGTCATGGAGCGCATTTCTGAACGTACGAATGATAGGCGCACAAGCTATCCTCCAGTCCACCATCTACGTCGCACTAGCTGTATGTGCAATCTACCTACGCTCGAACCTGCTTCTAACTCAGACGCAGATTCTCTTCGCGGCAAGTGCTGCCATTCTTGTGCAGAGCTATGCACCATAGTACGTTGTACGAAGTCATCGCTTGGTTTCGTGCTGACGCCTGGACAGTGCGTTCCACACAGGAAGTACGTTTGCCATTGTTCGCCCAGGTGACATACTCATGATGGGCTGAAGTCCCCGAAATCAAGGCTGTATGTCTTCTACGCTCCCTCATTTGCAGCATTCTCTGAAAGACGCCCCAGATACTTAGCGGATACGTTCTCGATGCCTTCCTGACTCCGTGGACGCTTCTCATCAAAGCGCTCGGTCTGGCACTATCTGTCGCCTCGGGATTGGTGTTGGGGAAAGAGGTAAGACCCTGTATACATGGTTTGCTCACTTCTGACCTATATGCAGGGGCCACTCGTACACGTCGCTTGTTGTATCGCAACTCTACTCTCTCGGTTGTTCAGTCAGTTCAAGAACAATGAAGGTATGCCGCGGTGCTAGCGGACGCCCTCCAGACGCTGAGGTTGGTAGCCGAAAAGCGAAAGATGTTAGCCGCCGCAGCTGCTGCGGGCGTTTCTGTCGCCTTCGGTAGCCCTCTGGGCGGTGTACTGTTTGGGTTGGAAGGTATGCGCACGATGCATTGCACTTTATCTACACTGTCTGAGTTGTACCAGAGCTGGACACTTTCGCCAAGGAGTTCGACGTTATGTGGCGAGGCTTTGTTGCCTCGGCCGTCGCCGCTGTCGCCCTGCAGTACATTGATCCATTCGGTACTTCGAAGTTGGTTTTGTTCCAGGTACGGGGCGGATAGATCGATCGACTTCCCGTGCTGAACCTTGATACAGGTCACCAGCGGCAGCGATACGTGGCAAGGCTTCGAAATGGTACGTTCGCCAGTAGCGTGTATGAGAATGATTTATGCTAAAAGAAGGCATTAACTTGCAGTTCCCTTGGCTTGCATTGGGTGTCATTGGCGTAAGCACCATAATTCTCGCGTGCGGCAAGCGTAATCTGACGACTCGTTCAGGGACTCTTAGGATCCCTCCTCATCAAGCTGAACGTGCAGGTAGCATTGTTGAGACGGTACAGCTTGATCCACGAATATCCGGTTTTGGAGGTAATTGGCGTGAGCGCCGTGACGGCCGCCGTCAGCTTTCTGGTGAGCCCCGCTGCAACGCAATGGAAAGGCTCAATTCTGACATTGGCCAGATTGTATTCTGCCGGTATGTCTCGCCACCACGTCGATGTTCACGAGATTGCTGATGCTCATATTTGTTGGTAGTGTGCAAATGGCGGAGTTGGTCGCGAACCTGTTCCAGGAATGTGATCCCAATCGAGGTGACTACCATGGGCTGTGCAAGTGAGTCTGGCAAGGTGGATGTAGGTGTCATCCTGAATAACATCTCAGCCCTACCGCGCTCTGGGAAAACGTGTTCTTGCTGTCGCTGACGGCGGGGATCAAGCTAGTGCTAACGTCGTGGACTTTTGGGATGATGGTATGTGAGAGTTCATCGCACAAGCCTCCCAGACTGATTAGGAATGTAATAGGTGCCGGCTGGCATATTCATGCCTACCATCGCCATTGGTGCATGCCTCGGGAGGGCGATGGGTCTGATAATGTAAGTCGTCTTAGGAATGTAGAGGTTCAAGGGGCAAGGGCTGATGATGCGCATTCAGGCAAGACGTTCAACGATGGTACCCCGACGCGTGGATGTTCACGTCATGTCCTCCGGATCCCAGCGTACGGTGTATCTCGCCAGGCTTCTATGCGGTGGTTGGAGCGGCGGCGATGCTCGGCGGGGTCACCAGAATGACGAGTGAGTGGGTTTTGCTGTGGAGGTCGCTTTCGCTAATTGAGTCAGTCTCCATTGTCGTCATCCTGTTCGAGGTACGCAACGCGCACAGTGTTCTTGCTTTCCTTTGACCATTGAACAGCTCACCGGCGCCCTCTCGCACGTCGTGCCCATCATGGTAGCCGTCATGACCGCGAAGATGGTCGGCGACGCGCTCGGGTCAGATGGTATCTACCCCGTTTGGATCGCGTTGAGACGATACCCATGGCTACCACCCGTGGACTACAAGGACAAAGGCGCTACTGGCGCAAGCTTCATGCGCAGTGCGGAGGATGTCGTATGTTTGGAAGATGGCGAGCGCACCATTGGACAGCTCGGCGAGTGCATGATCGGACAACTGACGCGATTGACGTTTGACCGAGCATTTGCAGAGCGTCTGGCTTTGGAGAAGTCCTTTAATGGCTTTCCCATCCTCGCGAAGGGAAGGCTTGTGGGATACGTGGAGCGAGAGAGGTTGCTGTCTGCCATCAGTGAGTGATAGCCAAGTCGGTTGCACACCCTAAAGTAACTCGCCCTCAGAACGTTTGGAAGGGGATACCTCTCGCAAAGCGTTGTTCTCTAATCCCAAACGCGAGGTGGAGGCAACCGAGAATGCGGTCGATCTGACCGCACTGCTCGAACCGTCCATGCTGTTCCTTCGCCAGGATACACCGCAGGAAGTTGTGATCAGCATGTTCCAAAAGCTGGTGAGCAGTCACTACGCGGAGTAGCGCCCTAGTTGTTCTTACGGGCCAACTCTCTCTTCCAGAACCTGCGCCGAATATTGTTCACGCATTCAGGTGGATTGTTTGCAGGGCTGGTGACGAAGTCGGATATCGTCGCACTTTTGAATAGGCATTTCCCGCATGCGGCAGCGCTCGCGGAGCATCCATAGTGTTTTGTGGCTTCCTTCTGTGTAATCTATGGTGTCTGAGTTGGGTCATCCGCGAGAGCTTCGATGTCACGTAAGTCTCGATCACGAGAAATGCATTCTGGTCGACGGGCATGAGGCATGCGCCACAAAAGATTAGGGTAGGATAAAAGCTCCCGGCGTATTCCCCTCATCATCGCTGGTCATCGTCTTCCACAGTGCGCTCGAACAAAGCGGGTTGATCGACGGCAGTACGTGTACCACCCTGAAAACTACCTCTTCGCTGACATGGAAATGTAGTTGACGTGGTGTTCGCCTGGCATGTACCTGTTCATCGTACTATATGCCTACAAGGTCGAAAACCAGCGGATTCAAGGGCTGTATCATTGGGCGCTGCTCCCGCATGCCACAGAGGATCTGGACGCACGCTCCCTGATCCCTGCGACGGTGTACCAGATCACGAATGAGGGAGATGGGAATTGGAAGACCGACCACAGACGCGTAAACGTCTTGAATACGGACCGCATGATTGGCTTCGTTCGCCTCCCGGAGGTGAAGACGATTACGGAGGAAACGATGTCACAGTTCATCTCCGAATTGCCAGCTACGCATGACAGGAAGTCGTACCCACGGGACGCTCAGCATTGGTCTTGTGCTTGGTGGGCGATTAGGGTCATACGGTCGTTTATCGACGCGGGCATCATGGACAACCCCTTCCCGTTCCGGATCAGTGGCGACGAGTGGTTCGAGAAGTTCAAGCAGCGCGTGCAGGCCCGTGGGATGACGCTTGAGGGTCGCAGCTTTCAGGTCATGGCGCGTCTTGATAGCGGGGGACGGGATATGTCGAGCGTCATTGTGGATCTCTAAACATTATAGCGTTGCCATTAGTTCCGTAATGGAGGTGTATCGTAAGTCGTGTACGCGTGAGAGTTCATCGAGCTAACTGTTGTTTCAGTCGTCAGCCACAGGATCGCGGACAAGCGTAGGGATACATACCAAGATAGATCTAGACTCGGGTGCTGGGTACCCATGTCTCCTGCCACAGCTGTAAATCGACGTCTGCTTCCTCCTGGAAGCGGGGTATAAACTGAGAAAAGTATGCAGACCAAGAAGAGTGATCGGGACCCCAAGACGCCCAATATGCCTTGCAGTATTCCCAGTGCGCGGGATACCACCCTGCGTTTTCCCAGTCCAAGAGAGCGGTCACTCTCGTACCCTTGACCATTATGTTGCGAGGGGCGATATCCCCGTGAGTGAATACAATCGGGTGACGCCTTCGATGCATGGAGGGCAGTGCGGGAAACCGCTGCGCAAAGTCCTCGATTGGGCGACCATTACGCAATTGCAGGTTCAAGTGGGCCTCGTCTGAGAATGGACCGCATTCGGGGCCTGTATACGCGCGTGAATCACGTATGGGACCACCGATGACCGAGCAGATACGACTCTCGTCCGGTGGTGGCAACGCGCGCATCTGTGTTACGAAGTCCGCCAGCTGTGCCACAATATCTTGACGCTGGGAATCCGATAGCTTGCTCCAGGCCCAGTCGAGAGGCACACCGCTGGCTCGAGTCATGACGAGATAGTCGACCGACCACCACGAGAAGTGCGCGAGCACCGAGGGAACCGGGATTGTCGTGTTCTCTTTGATGAAACGCAAGGTGGCGGCCTCGGTGCTGGAGGAGCGATACGTCGCTTTGATGTGCAACCAGTGGCCAGCAGTCACTAAATAATGAATTACAGCTATAATAAGCTTGGATAACATGATTGGGACTCACGATGCCACAACTGGTCGCCGACGGGGTATAATAGCATGGCAACCAACCTCTGCATGAGCCCGGAAGTCGCCGAGAATAGTCGGCCTATCCAGTATATAGGGGATCGTCTCTGTCGTTCGTTTCGTGCCTTGTCTTTCTCGATATTGGCTCTTAGGCGACTCATGGCATCAGCGTAAGATATGGGTGGCGACAATGAAGCTGTGAAGGCATGAGATATTTTGACCACCCAGTGGAATTGAGTGGACTCACCGAGGCCATTCTTCTCCTCTTCCGTCATTTAAATATGTTCGAGTCCTTCGTAGCTGGTCGTGTTTGACCTTGATGGACGTTTAGGTCAAGTTGCTCCAGGCGGTTACGCAGTGTGACTTCTCGTGACTTACGCGTGACCGTTTCTGATGAACAGCGGTCACGCTTCTCGAGCTCGCACAAACCCATGGCGAGTTTGTATGAAGATGCGAGATGTTAGGCATGCAAGAGATAGTCGCGAGAGGTAGGTCCCGAGGCACAGATGTAGAAATACCTACCGTCTCAAGAAATACACATAAATGTGGTGGGATATTTACGCATTGACTTGCAAACAGGTGGCATATTATTGAGTATAGGTCGATACAATGCTTGAGGGGATCGTAGTAAAAGGTCATACTGAGCGCAAGGTCAGCTATATCCTACTGGCGGAACTATTGCCTACTCACTTATATATATATACATCCAGCTCACGCCGTGAACCTGTCACAAGTTAGTATAGTTGCTTAGCGCTTTCCCTGGAATGAGGGCATACCATTTCGTTCTAGATGGGAGGTGACTTCAGCAATCGAAGGCTATTACGTAGAGCGTGACTGACCTTGTCGCGACTGCTTCTTTACGCACGGCCTTCTTCGGATCGTCCAGCGCTTTGGCGAGTTCTTTGACCACCGCTGACCGGTATCTTTGCAGTACCTCACGCATAAGGATTTTCGGTAGGATCCCCAAATATTGCAGGGCGGCTATCCGGACGCGCTGCACAAACGATGATTAACAAAATGCGAAGAGTTTGAAAGGAGAAAAGGCTATACCGTGGACGGCATAGTCGCCGCTATGCAATTTTTGAGCATGACCGAGACGAGCGTTGATGCGTGCTCGGAGGCTCTGCTGCTCTCTGGAGCGTCGTCGTTGTTAATGGCGAGCAGAGTCTCGATGACGTTGGCCCGAATGTTGTGGTCAGGTAAGTCGAGGGCGCGCAGGAGGAGTGGGTACAGCTGAAGAGAGGTGAGCAGCGCAGACAGCGTTTACGAATGTTTTTCTGACCGATTCTAGTTCTTGTGCATAAGTCGCTTTCGGCACCGTAGTTATCAACGCCGTGACAGCGACGAGGCTGGCAGTCTGCACAACTGCGTCTGAGAATATGCCATCAGCGAGGCATGCTTCAGTGTCGCTGATCCTCTTACTGTCATGTCCTGCGGCGTCTTTCATGAGGCCTGGCAAGACGTTGTTCACATATTTTTGTAAGTAGAGGATCTTCGAACGAGGGTCAGTCGCGTAGCCAGTTCGAGTGCGATGAGCTGACCCGAACGACGGCATGATTGCGCTTCGTCAAAATATCATCTGTCCTGCCAATCTGACCAATTGCTCGAGCAGCGTCCCAGCCAACGTTCTCGTCATTGAAAAGGGTGAAGAGACGCTCGATGAGTGGACCTGCAGCGGCGTGGTTACGAACGAGCAATGCCCTGCATATCTGAGAGGCCGTTAGCGCAACGTGATACGAAAGGAGGAAAGAGCCTACCCAGGCCCATGCCTGCAGAGCATCATGCCTCTGCGAGACCCCGACGCTTTGGTTTGCTACCACGGTCGTCCAGAAATCATTGAGGTCGGCCTCAAGAAACGACGACACGTCTGGGAGAAGTGGCGATCGTCAGTCCATATAATACAGGCAGAGCTCGGTATACGGGAAGAATCTAGATACTTACCCGCCGTGCGCTTGTTGACGATAGATGCGCAGATGTGCCATGCCGATGACCTTTGCAGCTCAGTCTCCGCGGATTTGAGACCCCACCAGAGTGTCTGTGCGACGAAGCTGGCGGGTTGCGGGGGAGGTGCCGCCACCTGGGGACATTGAGCACCTCACGCTGAAGACACGAATTCCCGAAGTAGCTTACCTCGGGACGTAAAGCAACTACTGAGGACGCTAGCAATGCTACTGTGCCCTTCTGTGGCGCGGGGGCGGAGTCCTGCGGTTTAACATCAGGAAGGAACGTTTATGACGTTCGTTCACTTACGATCAAAGGCTCAAATGGTGGCGAGGAAGGGATTTTCTGTTGGCCATCTGCGATGCCCTTGAGGTCGCCTCCGGCGTATGCTCCGAAGAGGGCATTCGCGAAGGTTTCTTGTCGGCTAGAAATACGTTTGAACAACTTAGCATCCTCAGGATACGATAGGACTCACGCCACAGGTAACGCCTGCACCACCATAGTAATGATGCCGCCCGCAACTGCGATCAAGCGCCAGTCGGTGCCGACAGTCAAGTTTGTCAGGGCGGAGTAGATGAAGAGGTTGAACAGAAGAGGAATCAGGCGGTCGATGTACTTGACGACGTCGACGTGTCCTGCGTCGACCTTGGCGGAGAGCGTCTGCGAGAGTGTGCGTAGCAGGGCGTGGGCGTATGCGATAGTAAGATCTGTCTCGCCTTCGGGGATGGACGCTGTGCAGACGAGGTCGAGCTTGGTCGTCACGCGCGAGACGAGGGTGCCGAAGAGGGCGGGCTGCTGGCAGAGGGCCTTCAGCGCGACGAGGGCGCGGAAGATTCGCACGCGCTCGGAGTCGGCGTCGCGCGGGGGCGCACGGTCAGGGAGGGCGGCGAAGAGCATAGGTAGGAGTTGTTCTTCGACGTGCCGGGGGGCAGTTTCGGAGATTTTGGCGAGGAGTGTGAGGACTTCGTCGCTATCGAGAGGGATGAATCAGAACATGTCATCACGACGGCGGAAGAAAGCGATGGTCGAAGAAAGCACATACCCTGCATCATCTTCCTCCGCCAACCCTGCTTGCACGAGCTCAGAGAGGTTGTGTACGATGAAGCCGACCTCGTCGTCCGTGATGAGGCCGGGGGTGGTCACTAAGCCAGTGAGGCCAGACAAAGCCGACGAGCGAGAGGAGGACAATTTGAGGCCGACTGTGAGGATGCCGAGTACTTCATCTTTGTAGGGCGCGAGAGCGACTTCTGCAATACCCTCGCTCTTGAGGCTAGAGTCCCTGCTAGCCGCGATTACCTCTGAAAGCAGCTGCAGGATGGCGGGCCGCGTCGACAGCTCATCGGGCGTGTTGAACAGCTTCAGGAGGTGTGGCACGACTTGCAAGAGGGTGAAGCGCGAGACGGAAGCTGTGGAGGTCAGATGAGTGAAGCTATGAAACATTATGGGAAAAAGAATTTGAGTAAAAACGCACGCGTCGTGGACATGAACGCGCACAGAACCTTGATCGCGTATTTCGCCTGGCTCTTTTCGGGCTCCTTGAGGATGCCGATGCACTCTTCGCAGGCATCGCGCGCGAGGCCCTGAATGTCGCTGTCGTCCGACGGTGATTCCTCGTAGATCGTCTTGACGAGCTCCTGGGTAGTCTTCAATGCCTCAGATTCGGTGACGTGGTCGGTCGGCTGGAAGATCTGGGGATGGGTGAGAAGGTGATGATTGTTCAGTCTGTAGACATGTTTGAGGTATGCGACTGTCAAGAAAAAGTCACCTCTAGCTTGAGCGCATTCCAAAGTTTGCGTGCGTTAGCGCGCGCGACGGCGGCGCCGTAGACCGGGATGCAGAGGGTCATCGTTTGCAGGACGTCGCGCTAGAGAGAAGGCAGTCAGTCACGAAGAGAGATAAACACGCGACGATTGAGATCAAGATGTATAATGCGATGCACCTTCGTCACCGGAGTACCAGCCATCAGCTTCTCCAGGAAGATAGGGATCGCCATTGGCCCGAAGGCGGGTGTGGCAGCTAGGCATTTTCTACATAATCGACGGATGAATATAATGCTCGCGATGGTCAAACGCGTTTCGCCGCGTATTGTAAGTACGTACCTCAACGCTGCGCGAAGGTCGTCTGTCGTTATCCCGTATGGATCGTTGGGCGGTGGGCGGAAGGTGATGGGGAAATAGCAGTACGTTATTTCGAACAGGCGCTGGTTGGCGGACGGTCAGACTGTATACGCTGATGCCTCGGAAGATGGTAGAGTATGACCTACCTCAACAAAAGGCGTGATGTCAAACTCGATGAGAATGACTCGCGCTATGGCGAAAGCGACGAGCAAGTTTCGCGGGTCCTTTTCGCCATCCGCGAGGCGGATGTAGCCGTCGAGGAATTCGTTGTTGATTGATCTGAGGTCTGAAGGTGTCGTGCGGTCAACTTAAGCAGGTTAGCGCAGAATAAATGACCAAGATGCTGACCCTCCCGATGCTTGGCCATGAGCGTGTCGATGATGGTGAAGACATTGTATCGTACAGACTGGACCAAAGCCTGCATCTTCACGTGCGAGTAAAGGCTTTTGGAAGTCAGTAAGACAGATTAGTATGCCACAGATGACTGCCTTACGCTCGGACGATAACCGGTGCCTCCGCGGCAGGAAGCGCACTAAGAGGAACAAGACCCTTCAATGCTGGAATGATGGTCTCCGTGTCTTCTAGCTTGCTATTCATGAACAAGATGAGTACCCGCGCTTATTTGTCCATGAGTAATGATGAATAGGCTGCTACTCTGTGCACGTACTCGACTGCACATTAAAGGAGCTTGGCGGTGCTTTGACGAGCACTGAAGCCAGAAAATCAACGCCTAAAAATCTGATAAGCTACGTAGAGGGGTAGTTGAAGTAAGTAAGCCCACCTTTCCTCCTTAGCTCATCGTCTTCCGAAGTCAAGTACTCTTCCAAGGCTTTCACAACACCCAGCCAGGTCAAGCGGCGATTAGAAATTTCTACGAGGGCCATATTGAGTAACTTGAGGCATCAAAAGCAAGCGACTTGTTCTACCCTCTACAGTGTGGTAGATTTCCTCGTCCTTCTGTGTTGCTACCCACGTTCGAGCGACGCGCTCGATGTCTGCCATTGTTCGAGATTCGTGATGATGGGGCAGATCAGAAGGCGTGGTCGGCTTCCGGGCCGATGAAAGGTTCGTCACGAATTCTCACGGTTATGTGATGTCACAGTTGAAGTTGCTTGGGCGGAGGATGTCTGCCCTGCCCACTTTTTGAACAAAGCGACCATACTTATTTTCTATGACTCTATATCTGTTCAGGTGCGTGATGATATCTGAGGAGATGTATGTGGTCCATGGTAAGTTGAGCGACACGAGAAAGAGAAGCGATACGGCAAAAAGCAGCGTAAGGACAAGGGGAACCAGGAATACAATCGATGATAGCTATGGATACAGTGGTAAGAAAAGAGACCGGTTCCTCCTCCCCTAAGCTTTGGAACAGACGATCTAGAGAACTCGAAGAAAGACTACCTGATGACAACCACACTTCCGGATGAAAACGACAAGAACTCCCCGACGCAAAAATTTCTACTGTTCATGAGCTCTGAGCGTGCTTATGCGCCGCATGGCCGTGGAATATCGACAACGCTTTGTCGATCCTGGAAGCGAGCTTGCGTTCAGATTCTGGTGCCGCATATTAATATCGATGCCCGGTAAGTATAAAGACAGAGGGCGGGGAAGGAAAAAGATGAGATGGAGATGGACGTAATAAGGAGTAAAAGGAAAAGAAGAAGATGCGGTAGATGAATAAAGAAGGATATCACACTCACCAGCCACGCCAGCCCTTGTGTGACTTGCTCGAGTGGGATTGGTTGTGTTGAGCCTGGTATTGGGGCTGGGGTGCACCATAGGGTTGCTGGGGCGCCCCGTACGCTGGCTGAGGTGCGCCGTACGGATGTTGAGGCGCGTTGAATTGGGGCTCGGGCGCGCCATACGGAGGCTGTGGCGCGCCGTACTGAGGTTGAGCGGAGTACTGAGGCTGAGCAGGGTATTCCCCTGGCCCAGGCTCGTACCCGGGCGGGCCGGAATGAAGGGGTGGCGGAGGCGGCATGCCGTAGGTGGTGTGGTGCGAGCTGCCGGGGTTCTTGTAGTGCTTGCGAGGTGTTTCGTCTGGAGGTGTGGTGAGTACCAAATCAGGCGGCAAAAATCCAGGATATCTACCATAGTAGTCTTTGGCAGCCCCTGAGTGACCGTGACGAGAGGACGTGCGGTGCGAGTGGTGCGAGGAGGACGAGGGGCGAGAGGAATAAGGCTCCGAGCTGCTCGAGGACTGCATGCTGTCGCCCCTAGCAGGCGGAGGCAGCGCGCTGCCATGCCCGCGCTCGCCGCCACTCCCCCGCTTCTTGCTACTCGATCCATCCTCCAGCGCCTTGCGCTTGCCCTCGCCACTGCCAATCTTCTTCTGCTCCACTCCATTAATCGTATACACCTCCCTTCCATCTGGATAGATCTTCGTACGGTGCACGTTTCCCTGCGCGTCCCGCTTCTCGCGCACGGTCGTAGTTACACCGTTCACAGTCGTCGTGGACACGCTCTCGCTCGTCCAGCCGCCACCCGACGAGCTGCCGAAGCCGGAGCTCATCATGGAGTACGAGCGGCTGCCCGAGCTCGAGCCCACGTTTCCGAACGCGGACGGGAGCGCGAGCATGCTGCTCCCCATCCCACCGAACAGGCCGCCGAACGCACCGAAGGGGTCCTGCCGGCCTCCGAACCCGCTGAAGGGGTCCGCCCTCGCGGACGCGCGCTCGCGCTCGTGCGGCACGCCGAAGAAGGCGTCGAAGAGCTCGAAGGGGTCGGTGAAAGTGAAGCCGCGGGTGCGCCGGCTGAAGAAGGGGTCGTGGGCGAAGGGGTCGGGGAAGAAGGAGCCGCTGCGCGAGCCGAAGGGGCCCTCGCGCGAGCCGAAGGCGCTGCCGCCGAAGAAGCCTGCGCCGGAGAAGAAGGGGTCGTCGAAGGGGTCGCGGGCTCCGCGACGAGAGCGAGACGAAGAGGAGGAGGAGGCGGACGGGTCGGGGCCTGGAGGAGGGAAGACGCCGTACTGGTCGTAGATCTGTAAAGGATGGTGATCAGTGTGATGTGGCGCGCGACTGGCTGGAGGACACACCTTCCGGTTCTCCTCGTTGCTTAGGATTTCGTAGGCGTTGTTGACCTGGATTGTGGCGAGGAGGTAAGTAATGCGGCCATCGATCCACGCACAGGCCACGCACCTTACGAAACTTGTCTTCTGCCGCTGCCTTGTCAGCCGACGTCGAGCCGGGAGGCAAGCGGTCAGGGTGTGTCTTGAGCGCCAGTCTCTTGTACGCCTTGCGCACTGAGAATAGGTATCAGTAGGCTGCTCGAGCTTTGACGACGGCACTAATGCTCGTGGCTACACACCTTCCTCCGGGGAAGCGTCCTGGCGGATCTCCAAGACCTCGTAGAGTTGCGTAGCCATGGCTATGGTGAGAGGAGTTGTCTACAGAATAGACACAGTGGGCCTCTCGGACGAACTGAAGATGATGGTGAAGAGCAAGTTGCAAGCAACTGGCGCGTCGGAAGCATCTGGAAAGATTCCGTCTAGAGTTGGATGATGTCACCGCAGGTCCCACGGCCGGGAAGGGCAGAACTGTGGCGAACTCCAAGTAGATGCTACTCTCTTCTTTCATGGATACGCTACAAGGAATCCCTCGCAGCGCTCAAGGTAACAAGAATGCAGGCAGTGAATTCATGTTGATTTAGAGAGGAGTTCAACATTGCTACATCGGGCCGAAATGCCGTCCACGTGCAGCGCGCGTGGGGGTCGCAGGCCGGGATTCGCTGGCGCATCGTCTCTAATTATCACCATCGACTGTGCGCCATATTGTCCGTCTGCTACGCCGCTTTTTTCTCTTCTTCTCAGACTATTTTCAGTGTAAAACTTACGCGAAACACCGCCTGGAATAGCCATGAAAACACCCTCTGCCGCCTCCCAGAACTGGCAGGTCGCGTACCGCGCCGCGACATCGCACATTTCCACCGATGGCGACGCGCGATTTGGGCGCACTGCGAGTCTAATAACTCCGCGTCTATACCTCTCTGACTACTTCACCGCTCGGGACGAGGACACGCTCGCACGCCTCGGTATCACACACGTTGTCTCCGTGCTCGATATGGAGCCCATGCTGCCGGCGACGATACCAGCGGAGCATAGGTTGCATGTGAAGCTGTTGGATAACAGTGGAGAAGACATCATCAGCCGGCTAGATGAGACGACGGACTACATCAGGAGGGCGTTGGCGGAGAACGAAGGCAGTAAGGTATTGGTGAGTGTTCATTTGTGGCTGACGCACTTGAAAGCTGGGTTCAATTCGTGAAACAGCCGGAATGATATGCACTCGCTGCAGAAACGCTTTCCCTAACGATACTGACTCCACCTATAGGTTCACTGCGTACAGGGCATCAGCCGGAGCGCCACAGTCGTCTGCGCGTACTTGCTTGCCACCTCGACGCCAAAACCCGGCATGCTATCCGAAGAAGTCATCGACTGGATCCGCGAGCGGCGCAATGTTGTATGCCCTAACCTGGGCTTCCGTCTTCAGCTAGAAGAATATGCCAAGAGGTTCAAGACGGTGCCAGCCTCGAAGCGACTGAGTGTCGCTCTAGCGCAGCGCATACGAGCACTACGAGGGAAGAGCAAAGTAGATGTGAAGGTTGAGAAGCTGGAGGAGGTTAGTCTGGTCGTCAAGCAAACATGACTCTGACTTCGAATCTGTACCTATATCGCTATACTAAGCGTTCGTCGGAAATGTTAGAAAGTAATCTACAGTAATGATTTCCTGGTCCCCTTTTGTTGCTGCTTGGGTCGAAAGTATACTCTCGCAGACTCTTCGCACCGTACATGTGAGCGTACTTGATACCACTTCAGGCACATGAGGTTTCTTCTGAGAAGAAATCCGCGGCCCGCTATCTCCGGCGGGCTCTTTCTTGCCTTCATTCCCCATCTCCTCCGCGTATAAACATGTCCAGAATTCCTCAGCCCTCATCTCGAGGGCAGAATCTGAAAGTGGATCCCCCAATCCGAGGAACTCCTGTCAGATCGCGCGTCCAGTCGAGTGTGGGGTCAACAACAACCCCCAGAACGCCCAGAAGCCCGGCGACACCACGAACACCAGCTACACCTGGAGCAACAGGGAAGCCCGCGACAGGCAATGGGCTGGTTGCACCCGCGAGCAGGGCTCGGACGAAGTCTCAGCCTGCCTCACCAGTACGGGCGACCAATCCGCGATCCCCGACGCCCGGAAAGAGCGCGACCCCCAAGCGCGTCGCCTCGCCCACAAAGCGGGGTCCGTCGCGCGGCCCATCGCCCCTGAAGCGCTCGGCATCGCCCCAGAAAGAAGCGTCAAGTAGCTCAAAGCCTCAGCTATCCATCCGCGAACAGATCGCCCTCAAGCGCGCCGAAGCCAAGAAGGCGCAACGCTCGGTGGCGGCATCTCCGTCCGAGAATCTTGAGGACGCGATTCCAGACGCGCCCCCACCTGCGGAAGAGGACATCCTCGGCCGCTTGTCCCTGCGCGAGACGATCGAGCGCGCGCGGAGCACAGGTAGATATACGCCCGCTCGCGCCCGCGTCGCTGCACTCAATAATGAAGCGTATCATTACAGGCTCGCTCAACATTGTCGCCCGATCTCTTCCCTGCATCCCCTCCGCGCTCTTTGAGATCCACCTTGGCCTCACGCCAGCGCCGCTCAAGAGCGTCCCGGAAGAACCCCCGCTGCCCCCCGCGCCCCCAAGAAAGGGAAAGCCCGCCGATCAGGAGACGGCGTGGTTTGAAGCCCAGGATCTGGAGGTCCTGAAGGCCTTCAACAACGACATTGTGGAGATCCAGCCAGAGTTGTCACTCTTTGGATCGCTCAAAGTACTCGACGTGCGTTATCACACCTTTTCCTTTTGAACCAATGCCCAATTTCTTGTCAGATCCATGCAAACAAAATCGCCGAGTTGCCTCTGGCCATTTGCGATCTCATGACGCTGTCCACCTTGGACGTCTCGCACAACTGCCTCACCAAACTCCCACCCGATCTCTTTTCCCTTCCCGAGCTCACCGTTCTGAACGTCTCACACAATGCGCTCACCTCGCTTCACTTCAACGAACCGTTCGCGCCCGGGTACCAACCAGCGCAGCGCCCGGACAACGATTCGGTCCTCATCTGCGATATACCCCGTGCGAGCGTTCCCCTCCCACGCCTCGTCACGCTCGTTGCCTCGCACAACAAGCTCACGGCGGCGGCCATCGACCTCCCGTTACCCAGCACGCTGATCAAGACTGACCTGTCGTTCAATCCCCTGGGCTCGGACTCGGCGTGCAAGGCTCTGCTATCCTCGGCAGCCCGGCTGAACAAACTCAAAGAACTGCACTTCGAGCAGGCCGATATCGGAGACGAAGTGTTTATCGACAATGCCTTCGCAGCCGGCTCGTTCCCCTCTCTTCAGCTTCTCGACTTCCGAGAGACTCGAGCTAGCCAAGCAGCCGTGAGGAACTCGCTGTCAAAGGTAGAGAAGGAGCTCTCGTTCGACTTCGTGAATGAGGATCCGCCGCCGGGCGTCATGCGCGTCCTCGTTGGCAAGCAGATCATCCGCGAGGCATGGGAGATCGAGGCCGAGCAGAGACGCAAGGCGCGCACGGCCCACCTCGCGAAACCGACGGACGGCGACGAGGAAGCACAGAAGAACGGCGCGAAGCCAGCACCCAAGCCCGAGATCGTCAAGGAGGTTTGGGAGTTCGAGGCGGAGCAAGGCTTGCTGACCGAGGGCGGGCGGCGGCGCGCTCGCGCGAAGGAGCTGGAGGAGAAAGAACGAGAGAGGCGCGAGCAGGAGGAGAGAGACAAGCCCGCACCGCCCGGCGCCTTCGCCCTCGACAAGTCGAAGTACTACGATGACCGCACGCATGCGCTCACGCTACCGCCATCTACTGCGCCGACCCATGCACGCGCCTTCTCCCTCGCCGCGCCCTCGCTTGCATCCGCGAACAGCGAGGACCTCAAGGTCCCCACTGCGACGCTTCCGCTCAGCGTCATCGCCGCACAGCCGTTCGCACCCACCCTGCGATCGCTCACGCTCGCCAGCCGGCGCAAAGACCGTGTCGTGACGCTGCCCGTGTGCGCGTCCGATACCGCGCTCCTGCCCGTCCTCGAGGAGCTTGATCTAGAGGGGTGCAACCTCGGAGACACCATCCCCGTCGCGCGACACGACCCCGCGTCGGGCGCGCCTGCATCACCCGGCGCCAGCGAGCCCCTTCTGCCGCTGCTCACGCGGCTCTTCCCCTCCCTGCGCGTGCTCAACCTGACATACAACCTCCTCACCAGCGCCGCGCTCACGACCCCCGTCCTCAGCGCACTCATCCTCGCCGACAGCGGGCGGGTAGGCCTGCGTGTCCTCGGCTTGCGGGGCAACCGTATCACCGGGCTCGAAGGGTTCGAGGGCCTCGCAGAAATGTTCAAGGGGCACAGGGAGGTGCCAGAGTGGAAGCTCGATGAGCTGGATCTGCGGGACAACGACATCGGCCGCCTACCACCCGAGATGGGACTCCTACCGTTGGATGTGTTCTTGGTTGAGGGGAATGCGTGAGTGCTTGCTTCTATATCTTCGTATGGTCCATCTGACGTGCCGCAGATTCCGTGCCCCACAGCGCCGCGTGTGGGAGCGAGAAGGGACGAAGGGTCTCTTGGCGTGGTTGCGGGGAGGAATCGAGTAGCGAAAGTCATAGGAAGTTCTGTTCTCTACTGTCAAACATTCTACATTCTACATACAAGACCAGCTTTGCAATTATGGGACTCTTCAGCAGACCATGAACTGTGAGTGTCACGGTTCGGTCACGTCACGTGCATAGTTGAAGTCGTGACCAATCACCGGGACACGCGAAACTCAACTTTACCCGGAGCGGCCACGCGCCCAACACATCGCGAACGCTTAGAAGGCAGCTATTATGCCGCTATGGCATTTCGGACAACCAGGAGAGGCCGTCACAAAGCTCTCGAGCGCTTTATACAAGGGCTCGTCGCCGTTATTCTGACGTGAGTTATCAGCCCGCGAAGACCCGACCTCGAAGCATCTTCGGCCGTTGCTCAATGCCATAGACAGGTATGGATGGTACCTTGCATTTGTGGAGGTCGGAGGTGGGTGGAGTGACGGCGTTATCTTTTTGTTAAGACAGGTGGTAAACTTTATTACCAACAGTGAACTGGATGATGCGTCTGCACGGTCGTGTTATTGCGGGAGGTACGTGAAGTCACGAAACCATGGCTCCTCTATCACTCTAAAACAAGCCTTTGGTTCAATCTCTTCAGCCCTCTACTCCATGTCAGTGACAATACTGCTGGGTACGACCGCCTACCTGTACGTCTCGCTTTGCCGATACAAGCACGTTCGCCTGCGTGTTCCTCCTCCTAATAAGGGAATTATCCCCGTGCCGTATGAGTGCGCCAACTCGGAGGGGGACTTAGAGGTCTGCACAAAAGACAAATGCGCGGGCGCATGGAAACCTCCACGAGCGCACCACTGCTCAATGTGCGGCGTATGCAGGCTTGACTTCGACCACCATTGTCCTTGGGTGAGTACACCGGGTCTCGCCAGAGGCACTTCAGACGCTTACTCAAACGAAGCTAGGAAACTGCGTTACAAAGCACTTGATGAAGCAGTTCTTGCTCTTCATCACACTTACCCCGGTTGCAGTCGGTGTCGCCGTGGCGCCCATACTTGGCGTGATGCTCAGACATGCTACTACCGCTATCGCAGTCTCACGACAGGACGCCTGGGCAAGGAGTGTCTGGTGGGACTGGTGGGGATCCTGGATTTTTCTCGGCGGCCCCGTCGGTCGATATGTTGTCGGGGGAATTCTAGGCGTTCGCGCTCAGCGCAGGCAAAACATCGCCTGGACGATAGCTTGCCACCCAGGCTGTCTCGTCGAGCAACCGCATCTGAGGCTCATGGTAACGGCTGGCTTCGGCGTGCTATTCGCGTTGTTTGCATGGGTGCGGCGGGCTTCTAACAATCAATTTCATCGTCGTATTCATGCTTACGGTCTCGATAGGGCTTGTCCATAATGGTCATTCGGAACATTCTACGGGGACGTAGTATGCTAGAGATGCTTCGAACTAAGTCAGTCCGGTATATATGTATCCCTGCCCCAAGAGGAGAACTACAGCCGGGCGTATACGCCATAGATCGTGCCGACAGCAACAGGCTTTATGATCTGGGCGCACGAAGGAATTGGATGAATATGATCAGCCGCAATTTTTCTACCAGAAATAGGTACGCAATCGTGGACTTTGCTATTTTTGCGACTCTTCTGATTGCCTTCCTGTCTAGTGCACAATTTCTATGGCCAGAAATCAGCCCGGACATCCTAGCTAAACTACAGAAGAGGGCTGACTAACAGGCCACTCGTCCGCCTGTATGATATATCGATCGCGATCTCTAGCCCATTACAGTAATCCTAATCTCTCAATGACAACCTAGCCTTCTATGTCCATTTATGGATATCATTGAGTGGACCCACAACGCGAACGTGACCGGGCGGCGTGACGTCACCGAATGCTTTGCCTCTCGCGATCACGAGATTGACTTGTCTCGAACCTTCATCTGCTGAAAAACGCGAAGTTAGGTTCTAGCATGAGGGCTACCTGAGATGCGAAGCTACCACATCATCATATCCGTTCAGCGGAAGATCGAAATATCTACTTCTTATCCTCACCCCGCGGACGTCTTTGTACCCACCAATCTCTTTCAGCATCTACCAGCGCATAAGCCGAAACTAACGAAGCGCAAGAACGCCCTATACAACTACGAAAAGAAGGACTACCGACTTGGACCCATCCGACTTGACTGGGTCGACTTTGAGACTATGAGCAATCCAGCTTCATCGGGGAAGGCGCGCAAGGAAAACAAAGGTTTGTGGCAAATTGTCAGTTGATTCACGGCTGACAAATACTCAGGGACAGCCTCTGCGTCCTTCGTACCGAATAGTCGTACGAAGGAGGGCTCGACCAATCTGCCAGAAGGCGTGGTGCATATCTTCCGCGACGCCGCCAAAGCTCGCACGACAGAGGAGATTGAGGCCGATCCTCACGCCTCGTCCGGGAAGGTGACTCTCAACGCAGATGGCGGCGTGACGCTCGCTATTTTGGCCGTTCCGGCCTGGATGACTCCTTCCGACTTCCTGACCTTTGTTGCCCCTGCTGGTGATGGCATATCCCATCTCAGGATGATCAGGTAAGGTATGATGTATTCGTTTGCCATAGACGAGCGTCCTAATATACTCGTCAGAGATACAGCGCCAAATAGGTCGATTGTCGTCATCAGATTTGCGAAGCCAACCGACGCTGCAGAGTTCATCGAAGCGTACAACGGGAAGCCCTTTAACTCTATCGAGGTCAGCGAGTTCAGTACGCGCATCACGACTTTTTACCCACGGAGCATCTCCAGCCCGAAATATCCCATGTCGTCCGCGTTTCGTCTATACAGATTGAAGCCGAGGACTCGATATCCCAAGCCATCGCTCGTCTCGGTACGGAGGCGTCGTCTGTCTACGAGCTTCCAACATGCCCAGTATGTCTAGAGCGGATGGACTCCGCCGTAACTGGCCTCATCACCGTCCCCTGCTCGCACACATTCCACTGCATGTGTCTCAGCAAATGGGGCGACAGCCGCTGTCCCGTCTGCCGCTACTCCCAGACGTTGCTCTCCTCACACCCCACGTCCTCTACCTCCTCCACCCGCCGCATCCCCTTCGCTCCTGCATCCGATACTCCCTCCCTTTCGCGATGCAGCGCGTGCTCCTCGACGAACAGCCTCTGGATATGCCTCATCTGCGGCAACATCGGCTGTGGGCGGTACGGCCGTGGCCACGCGCACGCGCACTACGAAACTACAACCCATCTGTACGCCCTCGAACTTGAGACGCAGCGCGTCTGGGACTACGCCGGCGACGGATACGTGCACCGGCTCATCCAGAACCGCGCGGACGGAAAGCTCGTCGAGCTCCCCAGTGCCGCTGCCTCCGTCGGTGGCTCGCGCGAGGGCGGGAGCGGCGGACCAAGCGCTGCAGACGCCCTCAGCGCAGAGAAGATCGAGGCGATCGGCATTGAGTACTCTTATCTACTCACGTCGCAGCTCGACTCGCAGCGGGAGTACTACGAGGAGCAGCAGGCCGAGCTGAAGAACCAGGTCAATCAGCTCAGCAAGCTCGTCGAGTCGCTGACTCGGGACTTCGAGAAGCAGCGGACAGAGGCTCGCGAGGAACAGGAAGCGCGGGCCCGTGCACAGAACGAGCAGGTCGCAGAGGCACTGCGTGACAAAGCCCGTGCGGAGACCCGCGCAGAGAAAATGGCCGAGCTGGCGCGCAAGCTCGACAAGGAATTGAAGGAGGAGCGCGCGGTCAGCGCGAACCTGATGAAGAACATGGGGAAGATGAAGGAGCGACAAGAAGAGGCCGAGCGGGAGAAGAAGGCGAGTGAGGAGAAAATTCGAGATTTGGAGGACCAGCTGCGAGATGTCATGTTTTTCCTCGAGGCGAAGACGAAAATCGAGCAGGGAGGCGGGGTGGAGGCAGAGGCAGCAGGCGGTTCTGTCGAGTTGCCACCACAGTCATCGAAGAAGAAAACGTCCAAGAAACGCTAGAAACCTGGTACCTATCCGATTGCTCGCTTCACTAGACATAGTCGACACCAAATTGTATACATTCATTGATTCGTACATCACTTGATTCCACTTCTTCTACGCCGGGATGATGGGGTACCAGCGGTTGAACACGAGCTCCGGGTCGTACCTCTTCTTGATCTGCTGCAGCTTCGGGTACGCATCCCCAAACGCCGCCTTCGCCTTCGCCTCGCGCAGGCCCCTATCGCTCGACGCCGCCTCATCGTCCGTATTCGCATACCCCGCCAGCTCCCACGCCTTCGGGTCCCCGTGCTCCGCGTACAGCTTCGTCGCCAACGCGTGCATCTCGTACACCTTCGCCCGCCCGGCGGCGAAGTTCTCCGGCGTGTCGCCCTCCCACGCGGCGATGAAGTTCACGTCCGGGTGCGGGTCGCGGCGGAAGGCGCACTCCGAGGCAGGGCTCAGGATCTTGCCGCGAGGGAAGAAGCCCATGGTAAAAGCGACATCCGGGCCGGGCTGCGCGGAGAGCGCGACGGCGCGCTCGACGAGCTGGGTGAGGACTTCCGGACTGCCTTGCGCGACGTGGGCGATACCCTTCTGGTACTCGCACATGCCGATGGTGAAGATGTGGTTCTGTGAGACGGTTAGCAGGGAACAAGGAATGATCAGAAGCCTCCATACGGTCATGGCGTTCGCCTCCTCGTAGGGGATCTCTTTCGTAGTGTCAATGATCGGCGCTGTGTGGCCATCAGCGACCGAGGCACGGATCGCAATAAAGACGAAGACATACAGCAATCGAGGAATTTCTTGAAGTGCGCGCGCCCCTCTGCCTCCGTTCCATTGTAGAAGAAGATGCAGATGATCTCGGGCTGAGATGTAATGAGCGAGCATCCGCTCATCCCAAAACACTGCCTACCTTGCCATGACCGGCGTGGTTGACACCCCAAATCTGCAGCATGCACGCCTTAGGATTTTGGACCTCCCAATAATCGGCGGTGGCAGCGACGATGCCCGTGAGCGCCTCCTGGGGGAACTTCACAACCCCACCGTAGATCATGGGGCGCTGCTCGTGCAGCTGGAAGACGAATTCGGTGACGACGCCAAAGTTGGACCCGCCGCCGCGAATGCCAAAGAAGAGGTCGGCGTTCTCAGTCGCGCTGGTGTAGATATGCTTGCCGTCAGCGAGAACCATACGAGCCTGTAAATATCATCAGATAGCCGTGGAGTGCGGGGGGATAGATACGTACACCCAGGAGATTGTCAAGAGCGAGGCCATGAAGGCCAGAAAGGTAGCCGAACCCGCCACCGAGAGTCAGCCCAGCGACGCCGGTCTGCAGGAGATGTCAGCCGCCAGCGCTACACGGGCGCCATATAGTTCAACTCACGTCGTTAACGGTCTACAAAACGGAAAACAGTCAGCAAAACAAGCGGGAGTGAGATTTTACAGAGCTTACCCCTCCGACAGTCGCCAAGCCGTATTTGTACGCAGTGCGGTCGACGGTCTCCCAGCGCGAGCCGCCGCCCACGTAGCCGATCTTCTTCTCCGCGTCGACGCGGCAGTAGTTCAGATAACGCGAGCAGTCCACAATGAGACCGTCCTCGACAGAAGACGCACCGGCGGCGCTGTGGCCGCCGCCCATGATGCCGATAGGGAGGTTATTCTCGCGTGCGTATGCGATAGCGAGGGAGGCGTCGTCCGCGTCCTTGATGTAGGCGACGACCTTCGCGCGGCGCTCAACGTTCTTGGTCCAGCGGCGGATGGCCTTGTCGTAGTCGGGATGGCTCTGGGTGACAACGTCGCCCTTGAAAGCAGAAGGGAAGGGAGGAAGCTCGGAAGACATGTTGTAGATGGTTTAGTTGGTTGTGGATACAGAGAAGAGGGCGTAGTAGAGTGCGCTGGGTAGCCAAGGAAGATGTCGACGGCCTTTTATACTACAGCAGCAAGTCGACGCTCCATCCCCTCTGCGTATGCGGTGGTAGGCGATCTCCGCGAAGCCAGCGCAGTATCGCGCGTACTCGGCCATTCGAAGCGTTTGCTTCACGGCTTCCTGTGCATCTCGTACGTGTATACCTAAGCCTTTCAAGCAGGATTGGTATGATGTGTAAAGAGCAATTAGTTGGTGTCGGTCCGATTCGAAAGTTTTGCGAAGAAACCCTAGCAAATCGTTGCTAGAAAGCGGGTCTGCGGGTAAATGACTGAACGTGCCGAGGGGAATCGTCAGTTGGGCCATCCTACCGTGAGCAACATGTTCGCAAGGTGGCCCGAGAGAAGAGCAGAATCCCTACGCATCGGGTCCAAGGGATGCTCGACCAGTCCAGTGTTCCTCGTTGACAAGTGTGGCACATGTGACATTATTCATCGGCTCGCGATGACTGAACCCATTGCTGAAAGATCGTTCGTCGGCCGAACCTCCATAGGTCATGAGACTTACAGGGTCATTTTCCCGGTGGGCGCCAATCCACCTTGAAGTAGACGCTTCTGAGTCATACGCACTTCGTCGCCAAGGAAAAATTGACCCTCGAGGTTTGTGAGCTCAACCCTCGACCGTGCATAGTCATGTCTCAGCAGAATTCTCGAGTTCACCTCGAACGACCGACGTCCACGATCACCTGGCACCGGACGGCTTTTCGAGAAACTGTTGTTGTGAAGATACGTGAATTTGTTTGTGCTTGCAACAGCGTTGCACGTGATACACGGCATATGCCGTACCATCTATGGTTTTTGGTAGGCCTATATCGCAGGAATTGCTGGAATCTGCAACGCCGGTCTGGCAGACGTACGGTCTCAGTCGTCGGGGCAGGAGACAAACGACTGTGTATTCACCTGGCAGACGTACGGTCTAGTCCAGTGAGTAAAGCGTAGGTACGGAGTGTACGAGTACTCACCTCAGTCGTCGGGGCAGGAGACAAACGACTGAGGTGATCGGAGCGAGCGAGCGGTATATAAAGGACTGGAAATGTATCACGTGGGGTCATCCGACACGCACATGGTTCAGCAGGAATTGGCATGCTTACGGGAATGCCCCAAATCACTAACTCCCTTACAGCATATAGCTGGTCAGGCCAAGGAGTCCATCAATTGACTGCACGGTAATAATTGTAAAGAACGTGAGTGCTAGAGATACAAGCAAGTAAGTGATACCCAGGTCGTATGGAATAGATAGATGTGAGTCCACACGGACAGGCAAGTCTGGCGTATCTAGTCCAGTGCATAAATAGCGCAAAGCGATAGCAATAGGATAGACAGGAACAGGACGGGGAAGACCAGAATGGTCACTACCAAGGCGAGCAGGATCTTATAAACCATGTGAGCAAAGCGATTTATAGCTCGCGCGCGGCCTTCCCCTGGGGCTGGTTGACGGCCGAGTCGTACGGGTTCGCAAAGGTTGGCTGATGAGCCGCCCAAGCAGGCTCCAAAGCGTCCGTTGCCTGGACACGCGAATACTTGCGCTGCTCGCGGTAGTTGCGGATGATCGACCAGCAGAGCGCACTCCCGAGGACCGCAGACAAGGAGCCGAATACGATGGTCATGATTCTGAACGTCTGCTTCGCCTTCTTCAATTCGTCAATGCTCTCGCCGTCTTCCGAGCCAGCGTCGCTGACAGCGCTGAGAACCGTGTCATCGAGGTCCACGCCTTCGGCGTCGGCGTCGATGCTGGTGTCGGAGACGGGGGAGCCTTCGCTGGACGAGGTATCGTTCCCGGTGCTGTTGGCGGGGAAGAGGACCTTGTTATCCTCTTCGACGAAGCAGTACGTCGAGTCGTTGCTTGGAGTCTGCGGTTTGATTAGAACTTTGTTGCAAAATGCAGCGCAAGGCGCTCACCTTGCCCGAGCCGTAGTAGTCCTTCAGAATCTCAGTCGTGCACTTGGAGAACTCGGCGATAGACGCATGCTATGGTGCGCGATGTCAGCTCTCGTTCGAATTCACACCAGTGCTGTACTGACCCCGTAGCCACTCTGCTCGATGAGGACAGCACTATCGCCCAGTTGGTCCGCGATCTGCTTCGCATTCTTGAAAGGCGTCACCGGGTCTGCCTGGACGAAGTCAGACATGGCTAGAAAAGACGACAACTCAAAAAGCAGACCTGGTTGCCGATGACCAGGATCGGGTTGCTTAGCTTGTTGTTCCACGGGCCAGCGTATCGCTCGACAGCGCGCACTGGCCAAGCGTAGCAGGAGGTCCTGTGGAACTCGGCGTCAGATACCTGATATCTGAACTTGTGAGACGACGCACCCTTGCGAAGAGAATGACGGTCCGAAGAGGGGTGAAACATTACGTGTCACAAACAAGATCTCGTCGAACGTGTTCTGGATGGTCGCATTGCCCGCGTCGACCGAGTCCCCGCAGCTGATGGCCATGAGACTGTCGCTAATGTCCGCGGGCTGCTGGTCGTCGTCATTGTCGTCGCGCTTTACGAAGCGCCGTGATGTGCTCGTGTCGTTGCCCTGCGCGATGTCGTAGATGGCCTTCAGCTGGGCGGCCAGATCCCCCCAGGTTTTCGGCTTATACAGGGCCTCTTGAATGAAGCGGGTGACGGCACTGGGGGTGAGAATACCCTCGGGCGTTTGGCCGGCCTCGTAAAGCTTGTACAGGTTCTTCAGAAAGAGTCAGCCAGTGTAGAGGGCTGCGAGGCGAACGTCGCTACCTTCACCAATCGGTAGACGCGATCGAGGATGTCGTCACCCGTGTCGGTCTCCTTGAGACGCAGGGCGCAGCGCTTGCCAGCCTTCGCGCACTCCTTGGCGAAGCCCGCGAGAGCGGCATCGCGAGACTCGACGGAGGCGGTCATGGTCTCGTACCCGGGCGCGCCGGCGTACAATTGAGGGTCTATCGAGTGCGTATGTGAGCGAAAGGGGCATCTTCGCAGTGATGGCAGCTCACCTACGACGCCGTCAATGACAACACGACCGACACGATCAGGGAACACTGCAAAGCGTAGGTCAGCATGCTTCCACATTATGCAGCGCTCAACGTACTGTTCACGAAGGTGGCCCCAATAATCGTGCCGTAGGAGGCACCGTAGTAGTTGATCTCCTTGCTGTCTGGCTCCAAGTAGTCCGCGATGGCGACCATGTCGCGCACGGTCGCCACAGTGCCGACATACTTGAGCACGTCGCCGGCGTTCTCCGTGCACAAGTCACCGTACTGCTTAAACCTCTTGTCTGTCTCGTCCATGCGGTCGTAAAACGCCTTCACATCCTTTGGGTGCAAAAGCGCGTTCGTCGGGTCAACACTGAAGTCCGTGATCAGGCTGCCGTTGTACACCGCCGCGTACTCCTCCTTGGTCTTGAAGCACGAAATGACGCCGGGCCTGACGCGATGTAAGTCGAGAATGCGGCTGGTGGAACGTTCAGGCATACGTGGAATAAGTCGTGCCACGGGGATCCCAGCCCACAAGGTCGTAGCCAGTGCCAACAAAAGGTATGAGGGCTTCCTCCGCGTGGGTGATGAGGAACTCGACGCCAGAGGCACCCGGTCCGCCTAGCGAGCGTGAATACTAGATAGGAATGGCGTATGACGGGCTCTCAACGACGCACCTGGATTGAAGAACACGGTGCCCTTCTTCTCCTTGTCCGCGGCGGGATACTTGACGACAGCTATGTGCGCCGTGCCGACGCTTTCGTCTGCCCAGTCAAGCGGCACGTCGAAGTACCCGCACTGGAAGGAGTCGCTGTAGTTCCCGAAAGCCTTGTTCCAGTCAGAGCACGAGGACCATTCGATGGTCGAGTTGGTCTTCGCGGCGGCAACGAAGCGAACGAAAGGGAGGGCGAGGGCTGCGCCCAGCGACGCGAAAAATAGTGTCTTCGCCATGAGAATGCAGGCGAAGGGAGGAATAAGGGTGATTCGTGCTTCGCGCGCTCACCTGCCTTTATGTGCATGGTGGGACGTGAGATAAAACATTCCCCACAGCACCGACCCCGCCCCCAACCTTTCTCGTATCAATAGGTAGTTGTTCTGAAGAACCCTGCTAGGAATCCGTGGAAGACGGACATTACATCTGGTATGAGGGCGCTGTGTCACAGCACAGGCCCTTTGTGGAGAGCGACTGACACCGAATGCACGTCTAGGATAACGGAGGCGGGCTTGGGAACGCCGGCGGTTCCCACTGCGCCGAGCACGCTGTACTCACGGCACCACTTTGCCAAGAGTTGGTCATTGAGAGCGCAGGACTGAAACGATAAAGCCGTGGAGCAGATACCCGACATGGACATGGCCCCGACAGACGAAGCTGATGTGGTCGAAAGCAAGATGGTTTGAAGATTCACGCATCGGAGATAAATACACGTGGGCAGTGACGGGCTTGCTTGTCACACAGTTCGACTCTCGCCGTGCTCCCTATTGTTACATATGCTGCCTCGGGATCTACTGTCCTTGAAGCACAGGACACTGCATGACAAACTAAACTACAGAGTCGCTCAATTTTAATAAGGGTCCAAACTACGCGAAAGCCACACACCAACTGGAGAGGTAATTAATCCCGGACAAATCGGCAAATGTGACCTTAGCAACATCTCTCAGCTTTCAAGGTATGTATACATGCGCAAGATACGTGCTTGATAAGTAAGTATAGGCAATATATTGTCCAGAAGATACTCACATATCAAAATGGAATGCTTGAAGCCAAGTTCGCCCTGAGAATATAGTAGACTGACGAAACTTGCTTCGGAAGGTCTCAAGGGACTTATTCAGTGCTATCAGTGGCTCATCCTATCGTCCAGCGCGTCTGAGTTGCTTCTGAAGGTCTGTTGAATGCGTATCGGGAATTGCCGTGCGCCTCCGATGCGCCCTCTAGGGGCGTTCGCGGCGGCGACAGCGCTCTGTGTAGTGGCGGACAGGCTTCGACAGAGCGCTGTACATGGTATCCACATCCTAGCAGTTGCTGACGAGCAGCCCTGAGAGGCAGAGAAGCGCGAACGCGTCGTCGCCTTAGGTCACCAAATGGCACGCATACTTGGCGGGAGGCGGGCTATGAGAAGCGGCGCCGACAACAAGCTGCCCACGTGCAGCAACGAGCAGCTCGTATACCATAGAGCAAGCGATAATCTATCAAAAAATTCTCTTGTTACTCTGTTCAAAGCTAGAAACCTATGCTCCTTCACATCAGCTAATACCTCGACATTCCAACTCGTTATGAACTCGTGGCTCGTGTGCTCTTTTGGCACTGAAGTGTAATGACCCGGAAGCACCGCATCTCTTCCTATCCATAGTGCAGGGGACGTCAGGTTCGGGTAAACAAGGGCAACAGCGCCCAGCCTCCGGCTCGTTTCTCGCACCTCGGCATTTGCCGAATTCACAAGCCTCGCCAGTCGACGAATCCGCGCCTTGATCCAAACCTCCATCAAGCCACTGGGCTTTCCATCTGTGACTCCAAATTCAGAGGATTGAATGGCAGCACCACCACCAGAAGGCATAGGTCTTCTCCCCCCAATCACTGGGCGACGCTCACCGCGGTTATAGAACTCCCTATACTGGAGGCATTCATCAGGTGTGTGCTGACAGATTCAGACTCAGCGAGCGCTACTGACGCACTGAAGCATCCGCAACCGATTGACTGCCCTCAAGAAAGACCGGGGAGAGTACATCAAGGCCTCCGATGTGAACGCGCTGTACCAGGCAGTAGTCAAGCAAGGCGTGTAGATGATCAGCCTTGGGCGCTTAGATCGACCCCGCTGACCTATCGCAGTGACGAGGCTAAACGAAATAAGGAACGACGAGACTGTATACAACAACCGCGTGGATGCTACATTGGCCGATGTCTTCAGCCTGCTCTCCCTCTTCTACCTCACGATCGGCAAGACGCGAGATGCGCCGGCCACGTACTCCCAGCTTGCCTCCATGAGGGTGTGTCCTTCCCCCCTCTCAACTCGCACTACTTACGCGACACGCAGCAAATACTGGAACACATGAACGAGTCCGCAGTATACAGCGAGAGCGATCTCGCACCCTTCAGGCGGCGATTGAAGGACGTCCGCCAAATCATCTCACAGCAAAGTTCCCGCAACGCGATCACCAAGCTCCTCGAGCGTCAAGCAAAGGAATGCGACAGCCTGCTCTGCTCTATGGAAGCCAACCTCTCCGTCCTCTCCGACGAGCTCGTGCCGATTCACGAACGTCTCGTCAAGCTACGGCGCGCGCTCGTGACCCTCGCCGCCAAGGAGGGCTCGCACAAGGCGGAGCTCAAGCCCATCGCGGAGGAGCTGCGCAAAATCGACGCGTGAGCCGCTTTCCATCACGCGCCACCTTGTCGTATCACTCACCAGCCCCCGCCGCAGTCAGCGCGTGGACGGCAAGTTCCTCACCCCGGGCGGCGTCGTCCCCGCATCGCAAGCCATCTGCTCCGCCACACTCGAGGAGTGCTTTGAGATCGTGCAGGAGATCAAGGCGCAAGACGAGAGCAAGAACGTTGCGACGTCGCTGCTGCCCATCTACGATCGCCTCACGCAGATCCGCCAAGAGCTTGAGGGCTTGGTCCTCACGCACCGGTGGAGCCTGCGCGAGACGGACCTGTGGAATTATTCGTTAAGCTTGCAAGAGATCGACAAGATGCGTGTCGATGGCAAGTTCGTCGATCAGGAGGGGAATCGACCGCCGGGCCAATACGTGCGTGGGGGTGCCACAAATGTCGTTGTGTTGACTGACCTTGCCTTAGGTCCTGCTGTATCTCCTTCGTCGCTGCTACGGCCTCATCTACCGCTTGTTGTCGTCCAGCGAACCGGTATCGGAGGAGCTGATGCCTGTCGCGAACAAGCTGAACACGGTCAAGAAGTGCTTGAACGAAGTCCTCAAATATGGCGGCCCGTTCAGCCCTCGCGATTTGTACCCCGTCAGTGCTTGTTCTATACCTAGTGGGTCTGCGCTTATGCGGATTACAGTATCAGCTAGCCCTCTTCCAGATCGACTCCATGCGAAAGGACGGCAAGTTCGTCGGCGAGGAGGGCAACATCCCCGAGGGCCAAGGCATCGTCATGGCCCACCTCAACGAGTGCCACGAGCTCATTGAGATGGTGCGCATCCTTCCTTCTCTCCAGCCTCTTCTCCATGCTCATACAACCGCTCATCACAGCTCAAAGAAGCCATGGACGAAGGTGACTACGAGGACGAAGAAGAGTACGACGAGTCCGGAGTCGAGGAGGAAGAGGAAGGCCCGCCTGACAGCTCCGCGGAGGACGAAGACGACGAGAACACGCCGCAGGCGGATGCCAAGTCTGGCTCGCTTCCCGCGAGCGGGGCGCGTACACCGTCCGCGGAGGATGCGTTGGCCAGCGGGCAGCAGACCCCGGCGAAGGAGCCGGTTGCGCAGGGAGCATAGAGCCCTGGTTTGCTTCGGTCTTCCAAGTTTGCGCAAGCTTCCTCTGGCCTGCTTGGTATGCTCTGCTCTGCGCAAAGATATACTCGTATGTTGCACGGACATCTTTACGATGACTTGATTTCCTTCTTGTTGCTGTTCTCCATTCCAACATCTTTCTTTCTTGAATTCGTTCGACCACTTTCCCAAAATTCGTCCGACCACCTTTCCTGAATTCGTTCGACCATCTTTTCCCGAATCTGTATGCACATCTGTATCGTAGGAGGCCATGCGCGAATGCGCGCGTAATGATTGTATCGTTAGCGATGCGAGAACCCAATGATTTCATTCCCCGTCTCTATGTTCAGCTGGCGATTGTTTGCAGTTGTGCTATTCGAGTGCCGCCGGATAATCTAAAGCGTTACCCAAAAACCCAAACCCACTCCGCCCAAGACCGACCAAACAACACTCCTCGATATCCGCAGACCACTGACCGCCCCATTCTCCGACGCCAATGTATAAAAAGGCGTGAGCGGGCCCGTATACGTCCTCTGCGTTCCCGGACCATCGATGCTGACTTCGCAGCTGCCGTCGCCAGCCGCGGTGTTGAGGTTGCAGCCTATGGAGTACCCTTCCAGGAGCCTAGTGCGCGTCGATGTCGCTGTTGGCTGGCCGTTCTCGTCTGATAGCGTCGTCGTCTCCTCGGGTGCGGTGAACGCGAGCGCGTAGGTGGATGCGCCCTGGATGAAGGTCCCTTGGGGTGACAAAGTTAGCCACACAACACAGAGAGGTCAAGAAGGGGTGAAGGCGGGAACACTTACGAGTAAAGGTAGTAGGCTCAGATACCAAAGTCGCGGTCTTTGTGCTGTAGATTGCTTGCTCGCGCGACATGACCTCCTCAGCAACATAGGTCGTCGCAGAACCATCCTCAGCGGTGCCGACCGCAGAGACGATGTAGCTTATGTCGATGCTGACAGTGGGAGCGTCTGGATCTGCATGTGACGCGCTGACTTGGTAGAGCGTCACGTCCGCATTGGCTATGAGGAGACAGCGTGAGTTTGGGCGCCCTCAATAAGTAGAGAACTAACTTACCGAACCCAGCAAAGATAAGTCCAGCAAGCAGCAAGGATGGGTATCGCAGCATCGCGGCAGCAGGTACTTACATCCAGACTTAGACTGTCCTTATATACGGCCAATCCGTCGTTTGATCAGCTTGTGATCCCAGGGGCGGGCGTGTCCGTTGCCATTCAACGAAGCACTAATCCCCCGCAATCTGCGGTGAATTTACGGGCGGCAGGGCAGAAGTTGAGTCAGGGCGGTCATATGAGAACAACGCCCTCGGCATCACTGGAGATCACTGGTCGCTCGGTCGTCCAGTGTATGCAGGCGTTGGAAGGAGGGTCTCGGTACACAGTGCTTTTCTTGCTTAGGTTGAGAGGACGAGCAGATATATAGAGTGCCTGCATGTGTCTCGACCTCTGTTGCTCAAAGAAAGCGAATGTCGGTGAGTGTAGAGTGCAGAGAGCATTTGTTGGTCATGGATATTGCCGAGCCAGTTCCACGTGGCTTGCATGTGCAAGTTCGATTTCGAATCGCGCGGTCCGTGAACGCAAATTACGCAAATCCCTTGGCCTTCGTTCGCTCGTCGTGCGCGGTGGTCGGGCCACTCCATGCTACGCGTCAATGGCCTGAAGAACTTACGCCCACCTCGAATAGCGGGCGTCCGATGGCGCTCGAATGGCCCGAAGAAAAACAAGGAGCCCGCGAAACAGCCAGCAGAATCTCCCCGGAAGCCCACTCTGCTCGAGCGGATCGCCGAGAGCGAGCGGAAGCGCGTAGCGAAGTACGAGATCAGCGACAAGTGGAACTACAACCGCGTCTCCTTCGACGATGCGGTACCCGAGGAGCACTTGAAGTACCCGACGGTCACCGCGACCGAGCTTGTGCAGGAGAAGGTTCCCCCACGAAAGGTCAAGATGCTCGTGCGGGACTTCATCGAAGACTCGCTGTACAACCCAAACTACGGTTACTTCCCGAACCAGGCTGCTATTCTGGACACGCGCAACCAGCCGTTCGAGTTCAACAAGATGCGGAACCTGGCCGAGTTCCAGGAGAGGATCGCGGAGAAGTACCTGGAGTACGGCGAGGAGAAGCCTGGGACGCTCGGGAGGCAGCTGTGGCATACGCCAACAGAGCTGTTTAGGGTGCGTGGCTGTCCTCCTCGCGCAAATATCGTTTCAACAGTGCATCTCTAGCCATGGTATGGTCAAGCGCTCGCCCGATGTCTGTCCGCAGAATACCTCCTCAAATACTTCCCCTACGACGACTTCAACATCTACGAAATAGGCGCAGGCAATGGCACCCTCGCGAAGGACATCCTCGACTACCTGCGCGACGTATACCCCGCCGTATACGAACGGACGCGGTACAACATCATCGAGATCAGCGGCAACCTCGCCGAGCTGCAGAAACGCCGGCTGCGCGACCACGACTGCGTGCACGTCCACAACAAGAGCGTCTTCCACTGGAACACGCACGACCCCGCGCCCTGCTTCTTCATCGCAACCGAGGTCGTCGACAACTTTGCCCACGACGCGATCCGCTGGGACCTGCAGACGCTCAAGCCTCACCAGGAGATGGTCGTCATCGACCACGAGGGCGAGTTCGATAGCCTCTACACGCCCGTCACGGACCCGCTCATCAAGGACTACCTCCGCCTGCGCGAGTACCTCAACCACCCGCCGCCCGTGAACCGCCTCCTGCGCGCGTCCGAGACCCTCCGCCGCGCGTTCGTCAACCTCCCCCTCGCGCCGAACATGTCCCAGGTCGAGTACATCCCCACGCGCCTCCTCTCCCTCATCCGCACCCTGCGCAACTACTTCCCCCGCCACCGCCTCCTGCTCACCGACTTCTCCGAGCTGCCCGACGCGATCCCGGGCATCAACGCGCCCGTCGTGCAGATGCGCTGGGAGAACTCGAGCATCACGACATCGACGCTGCTCGTCAAGCACGGCTACTTTGACATCTTCTTCCCCACGAACTTCGACGTGCTGCGCGATATGTACGAGTACACGCTCTCGCAGCCGCCCGCGCTGTCGCACAGTACGTCCGACGAGGGCCTGGAGGGCGCGGGTCTGCGCGCAAGCCCGCTGAGTGGCGTATCCACCCCGCTATCGTTCGCGCCGGACTTCTTCTCGTCCGGCGTACCCCGCGGCCGCCGCGCACCGCTCGATGGCGTCGTCTCTGCCACCGGCCTCCCCGTCGGCGAGCACAAGAGCCAGGTGTTCACACACGCAGAGTTCCTCGAGACCTACGCCGACCTCTCCAAGACGCGCATGCGCAACGGCGAGAACGCCATGCTCGAGTTCTACGGGAATGTCAAGTTCTTGTTCTAGTCGCATGCCAGCAGGCTCCCGTGTACAGGCCGCTTCTACTACTCTTGCTTGCGCAGGATGTACAGGTAGTAATTCCACGTGTCGCCGAGCTCGCGAACCTCGAGTGTCGTGCCCGGGCGCTGGGCGAGGTAGCGCTTCCGGAAATGCGGCTGGCCGAAGGTCAAGTAGATGAAGGTGCCACCTGGGCGAAGGACTCTGGGGCGGCGCATCAGGAGGGGTAAAAAGCGAGCGTGGACGGGTTGGAAGGTGCCGGCGGCTGATGCGAAAGGATGGGCGTCTTACCTGACGACCTCGTCGACCTCCCTCATGCAATCCTCGACAACGTTCTCTGGCGGGTTCTGGTATGGAAGGGTCAGTGCTTCACGACTGTCGAGCGCATGAACGCAATACATACCCAAGGATCTCCTTTGTACGTCAGCATCGCGTCCATAGTTGCTGCGCGCCAGTCAGCGACCCTCCCAGAGGCGAATACACACTTCAACTCACCCTTGTCTATCGCGATGTCGAAGGATGCGTCACGAAATTGCAAGTCACGGATGTCCATCTCGTGCCCTGTGGCGGAGCGGATGTCATCTCAAGAGCGCTGAAGATGGCGGGCGCGTCTTACACTCCATTTGAGGCCGTAGCTCGTTGTTTCTTCGTCGCATCTGCTCGATGACGACTGGGGAATACTGTGCATGAGGATCAGTTCCATGTCGTTCGGTGCGGAGTGAGGACGCTGACATCTATGTTAACAATGTTGTGGTACCCATCATCCCACATCTTACGTTACCGTCAGACACTGGTTGATTTTCTACATTTTTACATTCACTCACGTCCTCTGATAGCTTGCTGTTGCCACAGCCTAGCATGATGATTTTTGCTGATTTATTCGGTATCAATTCCCTCAAGGTGACCGCAACGTTCGCGTAGTTTTGACACCAGTCAAAGTTAGGCTCTTCTTCTTCTCTATGCACTCTGAGTACTTTGGTAGCCAGATGTATCATTTGACCTCACTTCGAATATCTAGCATCCCTGGCGAAATTTGAGTGTTGGACGACTGCTGGAAGGCGAGCTGACTACCAATATTCCCTGCTCCCGTATTCCTCATTCTTATCGGGTAGTATAGATCTCGACATGTTCCTCTAGGTCTTTGGGGGACAGTAGATGCTTGCAATGATCGTCTGCGATGGTCAGAAGCAAGAGTTCCGAAAGTTGAACTGCGTGACGATCAGCCGTGTCACCGCGCACGTGCCGGAGAAATAACGCGTGCAAATAACGTGGATAAAACAAATCAACTTGTCCTCGACCACAGCTCCCCCTGGCCGGGGCGTTTTCAATGCCGAATATCTGCTGCACTTCGTTTTGTTTCAGCACTACATATAAGCTGTCCGTGCGACACATCCCACCGAGGTGGGCGCTGGGCGCTCTGCCCAGCATTGGGCCTGATCGTCGTCCCCGGCTGCGCAAGCGGTGCTGATTAGCGCCCACAGCGGGATCGTAGCTCCCCGCCGGGATCTCGAGGGAACCTGTGGGACTTTCTCACCTCTATGCGCGATGCGGCACCGCTTCCCTTTTCCTAGACGGACATTCATCGTCGGCCGCTCGCCACGTTGTCTGTCCTGTAACACAGCGCCCTTACACGCAATGCAAATAATCAGTCATCCACGGATGGCATCCTTTGGTTCTTCAGAATAAGCGCCTATTGTTACGAAAAGGACGGGGCTGTCGTGCAGGGAGTCAGGGGTTTGTTTTACCGCACATTCCGCAACGCATATAAAGGCAAGCGAAACCGTCCTGCACGTCCCACCCCCTCCCCTCCCCTTTCCCTCTCTTCGCCTACGCTCTCATGGCGAAGACACTCCTCTCCGCATCGCTGGCCGCCGCTTTCATTGGCCTAGCCGGTGCCGCCAAGGTCAACTCGACCATCGAGTGGACTTCGTGCTCCGATTGGAATAAGGCTTTCGGCAACTACAGCGACTCTTTCCAGTGCGGGTACTTCGACGTGCCGCTCGACTGGGCGGACGAGAGCGTCGGCACGGCGCACATCGCTGTCGTCAAGTATCCTGCCGCCGACAAGGAGAAGAAGGGATCCGTGTTTTTCAACCCAGGTTCGTTAGTTCGTCGGGCTGCGACCTCCTGATTCTGATGCCCGCTAGGTGGACCGGGTGGTTCTGGCGTCGAGTTTCTCATCAGCGCCGCCGAGTCGACCCTCATCCCATTCATCGGTACCGGCTACGACCTTGTGAGCTGGGACCCACGCGGCACCACCTACTCCACGTAAGTTTATGGTGTGCGCCCCGCGCTGCTCTCGACTGACACTGCTCCAGGCCCGGCGTCATCTCGTGCTTCAAGACCACGAAGGAGTACAACGAGATCTACAACGGCAGCCTGATCCAGGACTTCAGCGTCGACCCGACCAATGCGCTTCTGCACGCGAAGGACGTCGACGCGTTTTACGCCCGCATGGACGAGACGGACAAGAGGTTCAAGCAGTATGGTGACCTTTGCGTGAAGAACGTCGGCGACGTGCTCAAGTACGTTGGCACCGTGGCCACTGTGCGCGATATGGTCGCCATCGCGGACTACTTGGAGCCAGACAGCAAGGAGATCAACTATTACGGCGCGTCCTATGGCACGATCATTGGTGCCACCTTCGTCAACAGTATGTTGAGCGCTCGATGCAAAGTAAGCTTACTGAAGTCGCCAACCCAGTGTTCCCTGATCGCGTCGGCCGTGTCGTTATAGACGGTGTCGTGGGTATGTGGGCATTCGCACAATGACTGCGCCTGGGCTAACGTACGGCAGACCCCCAGTTGTACGCTGGTGCTCCCGGATACGAGACCATGACCGCCTCTGTCGAGTCTCGCGATGCCGCCCTTGCAGGCTTCGCCAAAGAGTGCGCGAAGGCTGGCAAGCGCTGCGACATGTGGCTCAGGGAGACCGATACGGGTGACGACATCCTCGACCGCATCTACAAGATGCTGAAGGTGGGCTCACGCTGTTTAAACTCGACTATCCGCAAGGCTAACCGAGCCCGCAGGTCCTGTACAAGTACGACCAGGCTGGCGACCCGCTCGGAGGTATCACTCCCAGCAGCATCACGCGCTACATTCTGCAGGCCTTGTACAAGCCGACGACTTGGTCGGACCTGGCGAGCCAGCTGCGGGCTGTCTACGACGTTACGCAAGGCAACGGGGATGCCAGCGCTGCCCGCCGCTTCGTGAAGCGCGCCGACGACGACAGCGACGACGAGCAACTGCCCGCGGACACGGGCGACAACTTGCAGGCCATCAGCTGTGGCGACTCAATCGACGCGGGCAACGCGACCATCCAGAACACGTTCGACGAGATCTTGTTCGTGACGCGCAATGTCTCGCCCCTCTTTGGGCCGTCGTTCTCATCGCAAGGGTTTGTGGTCCTCGTACCTTATGCGCCTTGCATCTGACGCTTTGCCTGTGTAGCACTAACTGCTACGCCTGGCCTGTACGCGCGGTTGAGCGGTACTCTGGCCCGTGGAACAACAAGCTCAGCAACCCGATTTTGGTCATCGGCAACCAGGTGCGCTTTCAAACAGGTCGACATGTCCGTTCGTGTATCTGACTTTGTCCAGGCCGATCCGGTTACGCCTTTCAAGAACGCTAAGCAGATCGCCGACCAGCTCGGTGACAGTGCTGTCCTCATCGAGCAGAGCGGCTACGGGCACGCATCCATCGCTGAGTTCTCCGAGTGCACGACTGCGATCCTGCAGGACTACTACGACTCTGGAAAGGTGTGCGCTTTTCAGTCATCCTGATCATCAGTTTCTGATCGATTGGCAGACCCCGGGCAACGACTCGACGTACTGCTTCGTCGAGGAGGACAACAAGATCCTCTTCCCCGCCTCGGGCGGCTCCTCAAACTCGTCCAGCGGTGACTCCAGCGACCCCATCGCAGACAGCAGCGTCGACGCCAACGACACCGACGAGGACTTTGACAACAGCCTCTTGAGCGCCGTCAGCGACTCCGACTCTGACGAAGAGGACGTCGACGATCTGAAGAAGGCGAAGCAGACGCTCATGATCACGACGATCGTCTTCGGCGCACTGTCCGCGTTCCTCGGCAGCGCGCTCTGCTGGTCCATCATCCGCAACTACCGCGAGCGACGCAAGTACTCGCGCGTTCAGGCGACGGACGCCATGGAGCCCGCATGGGCCGCGCACCAGCCCGCCTTCGTCGACCCATACGACTCGTCCGTCAACCAGCCCATGCATACGGAGAAGGCAACGCGCGAGTTATAAACCCAATCCTTAACCATGGTTTACAAGATCCTCCTCGCGCTTGTAGTGACCATCCTGGTCTTTCCCGTCCTGTTCCTGTCCATCCTACTGCTATCGCTTTGTGTTATTTATGCTCTGGACTAACTATTCCAGACTTGCCTGTCGTTGTAGCCGGACTTTGCACTACTACCATCTATCTATTCTACACGACCCGGCTCTAACTTACTTGCCTGTATCTCTAGCACCCACGCTCGTTATGACCATCATCGTGCAATCAGTTCACGAGATACTCCACTTGACCTTGTAGTGATCAGAGAACTACATCTCAGGCTATCTCCAGCTGAGCCAGTGTTTGCTACGGGCGCACGTCGCTGTCGTGAGACGCCCTCTTCTTGATCCCGGAAACTGCCCGTCTGCATTGACGATCGAGAAGTCCAATCCAAGAAATCTCGAATGCATAGCTCAAAAGTGCACAATGAGTAGTGGTATGTAGATTAAGGTAAGGAAATCTAATCGATCCACAGTCAGGCGCCACCCTCATCTACATCAAGACATCCCATTTCCCAGCGACTGTATTAGTACCCAGATCATACGCGCTTCATTTCCAAGACTATCCCACAAGCTCACACATAGCATCATGCCCAGCCCCTTCAAGCCACCCGCGTCCAAGCCATAGTCTGCGAGGCTTGGATCAGCGACGTCGGCCACGAATCGAGAGCGTACATCAGAGCACCTTGACCTCAACCCTCAAGATCCCTCGCTGGTCGAACACCCCCATCCGATCCCGCACCGTCGACGCGATCGTCTGCGGGTCGCGGAAGCACGCGACGTCGACGTGCAGGTCGCGCAGCGCGCGGTACTGCCAGCCCGCGAGCGCCGCGTTGAGCGCGCCCCAGTCGAAGCGGTTGAGCTCAAGGGGCGAGGAGGCGCTCACGAGGAGCGTGAGCTGCGAGAGACACGAGCCGACGCAGGGGAGGAGGGCGAGGGCGGAGCTGCCGCGATGCTGGCCGAACTTGGGGAGGGAGACGAAGACCTGGAGGGACTGGAGCAGGGGCACTGCGGCGAAGTCGAGGCAGTCGGCGATGTCACCTATGAGAATCGGTCAGACACGGAAACGAAGAGATACTCACATGCATACCTGACGTGACAGTGTCCAGCAGCCGTATAGCAAGGTGGCGCAGTTCGCCGTCACTAGCGCGCATAAGCTTCGCTAAGTCGAGCAACCCAGTACGCGGTATTGGTCCAATATCTAGCCTCTCGAGCCGCGAGAGGTCAGACAGGGTGAACCACGACATGAGCCCGCACAAATCGCTGTAGTCTTGGGTAGTGTATGTCAAGCTTTCCAGTTGGAAGCTAGGCAGCGGAACATCCAGCGGTCGCGACGAAATGCCAGCAAACGACGCGCATAAACGCAGATGTCGCAGACCGACAAAGCCCGCGAGGAAGCGCGCTAGTGTCGCTGGACTTGCAAGTCTGACGTAGTCAAGCTTGAGGGTACCAATGTGGACAAAGGAGGAATGGAATAAGGATAGTGCAGCATCATCTAGTGTGCTAACATCGACGTGGGCGAGGTGCAACGTGCGAATTGCAGACATGGCGCTAAGCGTGCCGAGGGTATCGTGGAATTTAGCAGAGCCGGTCAACGTCGAATCGCCCACGATGCTGAGAGACTCGACGTGATCTGCAAATGTGGCGCGAGGGGACGAGAGCAGGTCCAGTAAAGTGGCGCGATCATGGTATAGGAGTGTAATCTTCTCGAATAGCGCACGTCTAGTCGGAGAGACCCATGTGCGGCATACTAGGCCGCATGTAGCCATAGCACGCTTGTCATCCTGTAGGTTCTCCAGGATGCAGAGTTGCAGTTCGAGGGGAAGTGTGGGGTCGTGTGACCTGTTCATCTGCGCACTACGAGGTCAGACGAGCCCATACATCGAGCCTAGCGACGCACCATGATGCAGAAGTACTCCCCAGGTGTCAACAATGTATGGAAGGCGCCCTTCAATGAGGTATCGCGGAGGTAGGAGGACGGGCGCCTAAGTAGTATCGCGGTCCGATGACCGACCGATCAGCCTAGTCGGTCGCGAGAGGTGGCGAGGACGACAGTCCAGCGCCTCCAACGTCTGTCGAGCTGTCGGATGCGAGCAGCAGCCGTCGTCGAGCTCCCCGTATCGTACGATAAGGCAGGAGGAGAGAACACGATAAGGGGAAGGACGATACGGCACCGCACACACCTTGCCTTTATATGCCCCGGCGCCGCTTCCCTGTTCTCGGACCCACCGTGCCGGCGGCGCGTCGGAAATTACTGATGCCGAGGGCGTGCAGGCGGGCGACTTCTGGTCGGCTGAACCCCAGCCTGCAGGAAAGGCGAAGTCGAAATGCGGCCGCGTTGCCGTCAACGGCGACTGGACCGCCACGAGGCATGCACCGAGGCTGTCCCAAGTATCCTAGAACCATTAGCGCTGGGCAGCTATGGTACGACGAGGGGATGCAGCGGTGAGCTCGAGATGTAGTCGGATTGTGGCGGAGATGTTCCGCACAATGCGGGGAAGACGCGTCGCGTACTGTGACCAAGCTGGATTGGTATGTCGCGAAGCAGCAATCTCACAGGCAATCTTGAAGGTTCAAGGAGGGAAGCTGCCTCGTGGGAGCCCGCTGACCGCCTCGAGGCAGCTCTGTATGAGATACATTGGTAATGAGTACATCCTAGTCCGCCGTCCAACGATCTGCGCACCATGGCTCGCGACTCCCTGACCATCCTCGACATCGAACAGTCACTTTTGGCTTGACATCAACATCTGGGCATATGGCCTCAGTCGAAGTTCACATCCGTCGACACGTCCTCCCAATCCGCCACCACCTGCAGCACCCGCGCAAACTTGTTGCGCACATCCGCGACCGCATCCTCCCCAAGGACCAGATATCGCGGGAGCGCGCGGCCGGCGGCCTTTCCCTCCCCGCGGACGACGTCGACAAGGGCGCGCATGGCCTTCGCCGGGTCCCCCTTCTCCGTGCCCGGTACCGACGCGAAGCGGGCGCGAGCCGTGGCGTGGATGTCGTTCCAGGCTGGAATCTGGTTCCCGTTGTAGAAGCCCTGGCCGTACATGCCTGCGTTGGTCAGCCTAATGGGACGATGCAAGATGATGCTGGGCGAACGAACCTTCGGTACGGAATGAGCCTGGTTGGACAAGCATCACCTTGACATTGAATAGTGCAGCTTCGTTGGCGAGGGATTCGGTCCACGCTGAAATATCTGGTAAGCTGCTGGACGTATCATACGTAACAGACGCTTACCGGTGACGGCGGCTTTTGAGGCACCATAGATACCTTCAAGAGGTGAGCTTACCGATGAAATAGAGGCTCTGTGTACTCACCTACGCCCTATACGACATAGCCATCTGCATAAGTCGCTTATGCATGATAGAAGAGGAGAAACATACGATAAGCTCTGTCTTATACGCGCTCCGGCTACCGACCACGACGATGGTGCCCGCTTTCCTCTCCCGCAAATGAGGAAGTACGGCAAGTGTCACATCCACGACGCCATACAGATTCGCCTCCATCTGCTTACGCAATAACGCAGAGCTGCACGTCGCGTGAGCAAGGGCCGCGGAACGCGCCAATACAGGATGAAGGATGAATGACTCACCCTGCCTCCTCAATCAGCGACGGATATCCGATGCCAGCGTTGTTCACCAGGACATCGATGCGTCCCCAGACGCTGAGCGCCTCCTGCACCTTCGCTGCGATCGGCTGCGGCCCCTCGGTGACATCGAGCTGCATCAGCTTCAGCTGGTCACTCTCCTCGTATTGCGCCTTCAGGTTGTCTATCGAGCGCCCCGTGGCGATGACTAGATCGCCTCGCGAGAGGACTTCGTTCACGAGCCTCTTCCCCAAGCCAGATGTCGTCCCTGCACGGCGAATGTATCAGAGATGTCCTCGCAAGCGCCTCAAGCCCCACTCACCGGTGATCAGCCATACTCTTGGTGCAGTGGCCATGTCTACACTTGACGTCCGACCGTGCTACTATAGGGCAGAAGAGGAATGGTATGACTCCACCGCGAGCGATCGCATGGTTATAACGCGAGCAACACTGTCCGCGTCATGCCTCGGGCATCATTAAACCCGGGTCACCGACATCCTCTTGCGCAGCGTCTATTAAGCGCCCATCATCCGGAGAGCTTGGCGAATGGCCGCTGTTCCTCCAGCCGCGGCGTGGAGCGAAGATAGGAGGGACAAAATAAAGGGATCAGCTCGCTCGCGATGGCGCGCTGATGAGAGTAAATGACAATGGACGTTTGCCTGCTCATTGCATTCAGATATGAAGGTAAAACTTGATGGGGAAGGCATTCAAGCCGATGAGTGTGTGAAGCAAGGCAGGTCATCGGACATGCCTCTTTCGTTATCCGTATTTGTCTGAGTTTGTGCTTGTTGGCCGGGGCGACCCAAAATGGCTTGAAGGCCTCCATGACATTTTTGGCGTCCTGAACTTCGGGAGAGATTCAGCTCTTCTCAGTGTGTCTTTGGATGATGAGGGTAAAAAGGAAGAAAGGCTGTAAGGGGCCATTGAAAAAGTTCAACAGCTGGCACGTGACCGTGAGCATATACACGTGAGATGTCACGATCCCACGCCACAGCGCTGACGATGAGAACTCGTTTAGACACAGCCTGTCTTATACATCCATCGTGGCCTTAAACATCATTAGCCGAGCGACAGGGTATAAAACCCTCAGAACAGCCATCCGTTTCCCCGCTCGCAGCGTCTCAACTCCCCGAATCTCTCTCAGAATGGCTTCAAGCGGAGCATCGTCGCCCAAGAAGTCCGAGAAAGAATGGCAAGCCATCCTTTCTCCTGCACAGGTGGGTTCTGCTCGAGTATGAGGAAATGGAGTGCTCACCCTCCCCTAAGTTCCGCATCTTGCGCGAGAAGGGTACCGAACGGCCCGGTACGGGCGAGTACGACAAGCACTACGAACCTGGTGTCTATCAGTGCGCGGGATGTGGCACGCCCCTTTACAAGAGCACGACGAAGTTCAAGGCAAGACCCGCTCATCGTCTGAATCAGGACACAAAGCTCACTTGTGCTCACACAGAGCGGGTGTGGCTGGCCCGCGTTCTTCGACGCTATCCCGGGTGCTGTGAACAGGCATGTCGACACGTCTATGGGAATGAAGCGCATTGAAATAACCTGCGCCGCGTGCGACGGTCGTAAGTGCTCGCATCTGTTGGTGCTATGCGGCCGTTGAGGCTTACACCATCATAGACCTGGGCCACGTCTTCGAGGGCGAGGGTTTCCCTACTCCCAGTGAGTCCGCTACATCGTGTCATACCTTGAATACTGATGACTTCTGTAGCCGATGAGCGCCATTGCGTGAACTCCATTTCCCTGAGGTTTTCGCCTGGTGACGAGTCTAAGGCATAGACGGAACCTCCCTTCAATCATGATAGATATTGCGTGAACAGGAATTCAATGAGATAGGTCGCTGATGAAGTCTTGGGAGATCTCGACGGTTCTGCTATAAGGTGCTTTAACAAGCTAATTGGTAGAGAAGAGGCGATCGAAGGGGGAGAGCGTGAAGAAGCCTCTGAGAGCCTTAATATCCCTGCTGATGGCCATCCTGTGTATCATTGACTGCATTGAAATATGACCGCCAACTGACGCGGAGGCAAAGTTCAACATGTCACGTCACGGTAGTGAACGTGACAAGCGCCGATCGCCGATTTTGGACGAATTCCCCCAAGTCCCCTCCCTCAATCATGGTCAGCAAGCGCTTCGAGCCTTCGCAAATCGGAAACAAGGCCAAGCGGGAAGATGTCGCGGCCAAGCAGCGCAAGGCGAAGACTCAGCAGAAGCTGAAGAAGCGTCTCGAGCGGGCGAAGGTGGAATCGCAGAATCCCGCGCTGAAGAAGGTGCGTGATGAGTTCCCTTCGTGCCGAACGCAAGCCAATACTGTTATATAGCAACGACTACAACAGAACGTGCCGAAGACCCTCGACAACCAGCGCGAATTTGACCCCTCCTTCCTCACCGCCGATCCCTCCACCTCGACTAGCGAAGACCGCCAGGAGACGGACGCCGACATCGCCAACGACCCCTTCGCCTCCTTCTTCTCCGACGCCGATCCGGACGTCCCGCCCAAAATCTTGATAACCACCGGGCCTCAGGCACATAAGCCGACGTACGAGTTCTGTGATGAGCTCGCGGGCGTGTTCCCCGGCGCGGAGTTCATCAGGCGGAAGAAGGGGAAGGGCTTTGAGATGGGGCGCATCGCGGGCTGGGCGGCGGATAGAGGGTACAAGCACATGCTGGTGGTGAACGAGGATCATAGACAACCGAGTGCGTGGCTCTGCTTCTGCTTGAAGGGGGCGCTCAGCTCACATTCTTCACAGATGCTATCACGCTCATCCATCTCCCTGCCGGTCCGACCGCGTACTTCAAGCTCTCCTCCATCCAGTTGACGAAGCAGATCTACGTACGTCTCTGCTCGCTTTACATCTTCAAACCGACCTAACAAGCGCTCAGGGTCACGCCCGCGCCACCGCCCACCACCCCGAGCTCGTTCTGAACGGCTTCGTCACCCGCCTCGGCCTCAGCGTCGGCCGCATGTTCCAGACCTGCTTCCCCCCACTACCCGAATTCCAAGGCCGGCAGGTCGTCACCCTTCACAACCAGCGCGACTTCCTCTTCTTTCGCCGGCACCGCTATGCGTTCCGATCGACCGAGAAGGTCGCACTGCAGGAGATCGGCCCGCGGTTCACGTTGAAGCTAAGGTGGTTGAAGAAGGGGATACCCGCGGTGCAGCAGTTCGGGGCGCCTCCGAAGCCTTTAGAATTCGATGCGGCCGAGCCATCGGAGGAGGGTGCACCGGAGAAGGAGGATTCATTCAAGGATGCGGAGGAGCAAGCTGAAGAAGCCATGGAAACCGACGAGCCTACACCCGATACCTCAAAGCCCCCACAAAAGACGGTACCGCCTACCCAAGACGAGTATGTCTGGGTCTGGAAAGTGAGTGCTGATGCCCGCCGTTATGTCACGCCTGACTCACGTCATCTTCCAGCCGGAACTCGAGACGACACGTCGTACTTTCTTCCTGTGATTCTTGCATCCTCGTCACCGTATACACTGCCTGTATCGCATGTATCGCGCATCGTCCTGCGCTTGCTTTGTTTGTTCGTTCGAATTCGGATATTTGCTCGCTTCCACGTGACCTTATGTTATTGGACCCACGTGTGTCCTTCGTTCTGCTTTAGACCGTCATCTCAACCGACTCCGGTAGTGGACTCTGGACATGGATCATTCACGAATACTCAATCTCGACATACTAGAGCAAGTGTTCTTGCATACTCTCCCCAACGAGCTCTTCGTGCATCCATCTTTGCGCGCAGGACCCCTCTTGGTCAGCCATGTCTGCTCGTCGTGGCGCCAACAAGTGCTAGCTACGCCCGCGCTATGGAGGTCATTAGACATACACGTAACCCGGAGAGGCGTGAAGCCGCCTCCCGAAGTCATCGCTGCTTGGCTGGGCCGCGCGCGGAATCGGCCGTTACGAATTCGCCTTTCGCTACCTGAGAAACCAGGCGTAGAAGGCTGGCAAAATTCGGAGAAGGCGTTCCGCGCCGTCCTACCCTTTCATACACAATGGGAAAGACTAGAGCTGCGACTAAGGATGTTCTTACCCATGGATGTCCTCGACGAAATACCATACGACGCTTTGGATAAGCTTCAGTCGCTCTACATCACCATCCCCGGAACTCTTCTCACAGCGTGGCCGCATCTCCGCCGCATCCTCGATAGCGCACCAAACATCGAGCGTCTCGGGCTGGAGGCTGACCTCAGTGAGCATCTGCCTCCAGGGTCGTTACCCTTCGCAGGCATCCGGATACTGGACGTGCATAACGTCGCGCTACCGGTTATCGACTGCCTCCGCCTCCTCGAAGCAGCACCAGCACTCGATAGCCTCATGATTCGCATCGCAGTCGCAGATGCTCCTCTATCACTACCATCCGTCACGCACACCACGCTCAAACTCCTCTCCGTCTACTCCATCGCCCTTGACGCCGACGCGCTCTTCGACGCGGTCACGCTTCCGCAGCTCATCGACCTTACCATCATCTGCGGCCACCGCATCCCGCCCGAGACGACCATATCCTTCTTCGCACGCTCGCGCTGCGCCCTGCGCCGCCTGCACCTCTGCACGCCCGTCGACGACGCGGAGACGCTCGTGCGCGTGTTGGAGCCCATATCCGCGACGCTCGAGATCTTCCACCTAGGCCTCCTATGCGACGACGCGATGTCGATGGACGCGCTTATCGAGCGGCTGATCATCCGGGATGATGCGCAGGAGGTCTTCTGCCCGCGGATACATAGCATCCTGCTCGGACCGGGGAGCAAAGTGAAAGAGGAGACGGCGAGCGCGTTGATGGATACCAGGACGCGCACGGTGCACGCGGGCGTGGTCAAGCTGGAAGCCGCGCTCGTGCATGTGCAGACTGTTCGCGACGCTCCGCCACGATAGCTGCCGATTGCTTTCGCTATGGCTTCCTCCCCTCGCCGCGAGCGCATCGCAGGCAGCGTCTTCTGTCAAACCCACTTGGTAGTCATGGGAATCGCCGCATGCACGACAAGTTCCCGACCGAGCACACGAAAGTGTACCATCTCTACCGGCTGGCGAAGAAGCGGATGACTGGGCAACGTCGAGGGAAAGGTGGGCAATATGTGCGAAGGCCTGCGCTTGAGGATGTGCACCACCCCGATGGTGCAACAGATCAAGACATACCTTAGGTCTCGAGCCTGTATAGTGGTACCGCGGGTTCCCCATTGTTTCCATGCAGAGCGCCCGACTGTATTGAGTGTGGTGAAGAATACGAAGTCATAGGCGAGGTGAAATATATTATAACAGGCAAGCGTAATGCAGAACGAAAATCGTTGAGGTCTGAAGCAGTAGAACGAAAGGCGAAAGGTGCGTAGGTAGCGAGGGGAAAGGCAGCCCTATCCGGTCTGGTAGAGTGAGCCGACGAAGATAACTCACCGGTTGCGCTCGCCGCACATTCGACACCCTCACTGTCGTGGTCCCATCGGCATTGGGAGGCAGATCCATTCCCCAGCGCCCCTATAGTCCGTCGCCGTGCGTCGCTGCACCGCGACCTCCTTCAGCACATCCTCCGGACGACCAGGCCCAATCTCATTGGCCTCCAGCGTTTTCAACTTCGAGAACCTCTCCAACACCTGATACGTCCCCGACCCGTTGAATGCCACAATCGGCATATCAACCAGCGCGAAGTTCCTAATTGTACACCCCGATCGCTCGAGGAACCTATCCAAGATATCAAGCGGCCAAAGCCACACCCGATAGTCCTCCAGATGGCCCATATGCAGCCGCAGGCTGCCGAGCCGCGGCGCGGTGAGGACCCAGAACATGTAGTAGATGATGTAGAGGTTGTCCGCCTTGAGCTCAAGGTTGCGAAGCCGGGGCAGGGATATGGGCGTCCGCTCGGGGAACGGGGTGCCCTCGGGGACCGTGAGCGATACATTCAGCTCGACGAGCGCGGGGCACGCCGTGAGCAGCGTCCGCGCGTGAGCGAGGGTGATCCAGGAGGACTCGGTCGCCAGGTGGGTGAGGTGCCAACAGGGTAGGGCCGGTATCGAGTTCATGTTATCGACAAGCTGCCGCCATCCATTTAGGACAGGCGCGTTCTTGAACATGGTGATCCCGTCCAGTGGGAATTCTGGCGGGTCGTCTGCCATGATGGTGACCTTCTCCAGGCGCGCGGGTTTTCGACTCTCATTTATGCCGAGGAAGTGCCCATCGAAGGCCCTCAGAGCGTCCGGGGACAGTGTGCAACAGTGCCAGCGATTGTACTCGCGCGCAAGGATTGCTATCACACCGCCAAAGCTCTTGAGGTGCTCCTCCCTAAGGAGAAGGTCAAAGCAGACCAAGTGCGACCAAGTGCGAGTCACTTCGAGGAGGAGTAACTTCTCATACGCGACCACGTCGCGCTCGTCATATTCCACAACTATGCGGCGCTCGTCGTCATCCTCTCCGACGTCGATGGATGTAGACTCGAGCACGCCAAGAACGTCGACCACGATCATGTAGCACCAGAACTTGTCGTGGCCCCGGACGAGAGACCGCCATCTGCGGCAGACCTGCGAGACCGCAAGATTCGGGGGTGTTTCGCGGATAGGAAAGCGGAAGTCAAAACCTCGGCAGACATCGAGCAGGATCATCACCAGAAGCTCATCCGAAAGACGACGTATAGGCGATACACGGCCTCGTTGTTGATCTATGAAGGCGACAAGAGCTCGTTGTTGCTGCTTCAGCTTCAACTTGGTGATTTTGAGTTGGAGCAGCTCTTTCTTAAATTCTCGTGCCTGTAGCTCTGCTTGCCCAAGTATTTGGGAGGGAGAGAGTCCTGGAGAGGAGGGAGCGAGGCTTGAGTTGAGGTTCGGCTTCTGAGTCTTCGGCGAGAAAGCCGGGTCGCGTGTTATTGCCCTGTCGCACGTTGAGCATAATGATACGCGATACGGTGTGTCCATCGTAGCTACGGAGGTGTGAGCTTGGGTCACGGAGCTATGTGCAACCACGTACCTGTGCTCGACGCTGGACTCATGGCAACTCGCGCGCCCGACGACAAGTCCCGTGTATCGTTGTGCCAAATAGTACACGATTGGCCGAGCTGTAGTCGTTTTCTCTGTATGAGAGCAGACGATATATTGAGCCGCAGAGCTGGATATCTCTAGAAGATGACGGGCTTTGTACGGACAAATCGTACCAGTCGAAGACGACTGACGCGAACCACGCGACGCGTTATTTGGGCTCGCTTGCTTCTATTGTCTTAGCTTTGCATCGTGACACCCACGAGCCCCTACGTCCTCTTTCACTTTTCTGGCTATATTGATCACGAAGGCAACGAGTTGTTGCAGATGGTGGTTCAGGAAGAGGAGGAAGAGCCTGTCGTTGAATTTCGGCAATCGCCGAATGATTCGTGAGCGTGACTCCTAGGACAGTCCATCCTCGTTGTTCCAAACCATCATCGGACTTTGCCCAGATGATGAGAGCAGAAAAAATTGCAGCGCAAGCGAAAGAGATACTGCCTTCGGTAATGCTCCAGTACCCGACCGACACACGGCAGGCCCGGATGCATCAGAGAACCATGCAAGACGCTCGCCGAAGGCACGGCGGGTCTGTGCACAATGTTTCATCAGGGCGACCTTACTTCCCAATTCTGGCACAAAGGCATCGCGCAGGTATATAGAGAGCCGCAGGCGGGCGTCTCACTAATACCAGAACTCCCCCTCTATCTCTCTCCTTTCTTTCTTCTTGACAACTATCCTCCTTCCTGCCTTCTCACGTCTCTGCACAACATGACCAAAACCAATGCAAGTCTTAGAGAGAAGGCCATCCCTCCCTTGGTCAGTTGGTAGATGTGGCGCTCGCGGAGACCATGCATGCTAACAGGTTGGGCAATAGCGAGAGACTGCCCAATCAGGGTCGGACAGCTCGCGTCTCGCCCGAGGTGGCTCACGCAGACCTTCAGCCGACTTACGAGGAATAGCAGTCGACTCGCGCGGGCCGCGGGTCGTCCCATGCAATCCACAAGAGGCCCCTCTCGACTCGCGCAGGACGCCAGTCAACGCACGTCCCATCCGGCCAATTCCGCGCCGAATGTCGCAACCGGACACAGCTGGACTCCCTCGAGAGCTCGCCGGACGGCTCTCCCCTCTTTCTCCCTGGGCACCTCCGCCTCCTTCCGGTGCACCACCACCTCCTCCGGATGCTCCTCCTCGTTCGAATAGTGCGCGTACCCCTCTGCCTAGATCATCTCTCCCTCCCTTCGGACCACCTATTCCCCCGCTCGGACCGCCGCCCCCTCTACCGAGAGCGCTGCAGTCTCACGAACCGCCTCCCCCTCCTCCTTACTCTGATCGAGCGTCGTATCACGGTCGGAAAAGGATCCCGCCCGGATTCAACGTAGGGCCTGACCAACCCTTTCGATATAACATGCCCATCCGACATGCGCCGCAGATGGCGCCGGGCCCGCGTCAGCCTCCAGCCCTTCCTCGACAGCCGTCAGCTCCTCCACAACGAGGATCGCTGAAATCCCGTCGTCGTGGCTCTCTCACGATTCCGCGCCGTGGTTCTCGCGACGCCCCGCATCGCGGTTCAGTTCCCTCCCAGGGTCGCGGCTCGCTAGTCTCCGCCCGTCCTGGTCCGACGGTTCCTCGCGACCAAACACCCCTTCTCGACGAGACGATTGCTTTCCCGTTGGCAGCGTCCTCCAGCTTGGTGCTCATGCCTGGTTCGGAGCCGTCTCGCGCGCCGCCCGCCTTCGAAGACAGTACGACGGAGTTCGCCAGGGCGGATCGGCTCGCCGCCTTCGAGCAGAACCCGTTCGATTTCTACGAAGTCGGGGCATACCTAGCCCGAAACGCGCCAAGACGAGGGGAGGCCAACGGGTACGACGAGTCCACCGGAAGGCGTAGCGGTGCGCAAGTCGAGGGACCGTCGGTCGAATCCTACGATGCGACAGTGAAGCGCGAGCCCGAGGAAGGGTCGATTCTGAATGCGTGGCGGGAGGAGCCGGGGTACGATGCAGGTGAGATGGAGGGGCAGGAAGATCTGGCCGTGGGGGAGGAAGGCGAGGATATCCTGAAAGAACACTCGCAGAATGAGGGCGAGCTTCCGTCCTCCGTGCCCATATGGGAGGACGAGCTCGACTACGCTGAGTCGGACTAACCATTGACTACTCCTTCCTTTGCGATTTTCTTCGCATCCACGATCCTTCCATTGCCTTATGACTTCATGACACCGACGACACGAGTTGCGACCTTAGGCACATCTCACAGTTTTTTAACTTACTTTCCTATAATACGATATATGTCTTCTTAATACACTTAGGTGCTCACTTTCTCTCTCTTTTCCGAAGAATAGGCAGATCATCCTTTCCGTACAATGTGCACCAAAAATCCAAACGAGGAAGATCCCGCGACTTCGGCATTTGCCGAATTACGGCCGTGACTGCTCGCCAGTCACACATTAAGTTTGAACGTCGTCCCGAACCACCATCATATACACATCGCTGCGTCTACATGAGCACAAGACCAGAAGTTATCGACAGAGTCGCAGGAAAGAGGGACTGGTATCTGCGAAGCCCAGTAATCGGACCACGCGTAGCAGGTGCAGCGAAAGAACCATGCAAGAGGCGCCAAGGCACGCGACGGCAAGCATAACGTTTCAAACCGGACCTCCCAATCCGGGCACAAAGGCATCGATCAAGGAGGTATATAGAGAGCCGTGCGCGGGCGTCTTTCGCAACCCAGAGCCCTCACTTACCACTTTTCCTTTTCTCCAACGACCACCCTTCTTCTCCCTTCCCTTTCACGCTATCGACATGTCAATTATAGTGAACGAAAGTAACGAAAGCGTCGCAAAACGAATCAAGAAGGTGAGTTGATGTAGTAAGCTTAACACACTTACTGTCATCTGTATTGACTCGACTGGCCACAGACAAGCCTGGATAAGCGCAGACTCCCATATGACAAATGGCCACAAGAGCTGAAGGACGAGGTCATGCTCAAGCCCGCGCACATTGATCTGGAACTAGAGGTGTACGATCTCAGGCCCTGGAATGATGGCTTAGTGGTCTTTCGCAATAATGCATGTTTTCATCCTAAATGCGACGGTAAACCGGTAGAGGACCGAACCGAGCACGTGCGGCAGCACTTCAGTCATCCTGAGACGCGGGCAGAATAGTGAGTGTCTGGTTTCTACACGATGAGGTGATACTAAGTTGATCAAGTCAGAAATATGAATGCCCGATATGCGCTCTTCAGTACAAGTCCTTGGGACCGTTGAAAAACCACATCAACGCCAACCAGTGAGACTCTTTGTCGTCCTTCGTCGTCAATGCATGCACATCCTCACGAATGCATTATTTAGTACGCACGAAGAAAGCTGGACGTGTCCGCGCCCGGGTTGCGATACCGTCGTGTACAGCAGCGCCCTTCTCAAGCTGCACGAACGTTTACAACATGCGTCCGATGCAAAGTCCGCATCGCATGCGGTGACTCAAGGGGAGGGAGCAGGCAACGGAGCGACCTCACAAGGTGACTCGTCTTCTGCAGTGCCCAAAATCACTTTGGGCAAGCGGCGCGAGAGGTCGATCGGGGCGGGCGAGCGCCAAGCCAAACTCAAATCGCGAAGGACAGAGGTCGACATGCTGGCCGACTCGCGCGAGGCTTCAGTTGAGTCTGATGGAGAACCAGTGGAATTTCAAGACATACCGCTTGCCTGGCAGGTCGTGGCGCAGTCACGCTCGAGGGAGGGGTCACAGGACGCGGGGCTCGGGGAGCTACCCGATAATGGCGGCGCGCCAACTGCTGCCATGCCTGCCCCGCCGTCCTCTCTGCCCGAGTCTTCGACTCCCTTGCAAGAGTGTCCGTATTTCGCGGATTTGACGCCGCTCGCACCGCCCGAGGCGCTCGTCGACACCATCAGCGATGTTGCCTCCTGGCCCGAACTCGACTGGGGGCAATTCGAGCCTCTTGTCCCCACCGAGCCGCCAACCGGCTTTCCAACTGCGCCCCCGTCGTCGGAAAATCCCTCCCAACCACCAGCACCTCCGCTCGTACACGATACTCCAGCCCCTCCGCCTATCGATTCCTTCATCACCCCCTGGGAAACCCACCCCATCGACCTTGGCGACATGTCGCTCGCTCTTCCCGCGGAATGCGCCCCGTCTTCGCATTCCGCGCCCGTTCCGTCTGCACCGCCCCGGGCTCTCGATGCCACCGTCGACGGCGAGCAGCCGACTCTCCCGGACGACGGCTCGTCGGTTCACCCTCTCGACGAATGGTGGGTCAACGCTCTTTGTGATCCGCTCATGTCCATATCAGAGTTGCCAAGCTCGATATTCTCCCTCGAGACGATGCAGCCGAGTTCGACAGGGAACGCTGCCTCGGGATCTTCGAGCATGACCCCCATCGGAACCTTCGACGTCTGCTCCCGAGCTGCTGCTCGACAAGATGCTGCTGCCCGAGGAGGGGCGAGCTGATTATAATCCGTGCGACGAAGAGTGGTGGAATCATGCAACTTTTCCGTCAAGAGCGCACTAAAGGCAAGGAGGAGTACGAACTGGACCCGCTCGAAGGGCGGAGATCGACGCCGAGCCGCGGGACGAGCTCGAGCCGTCTGACCCTCGGACTACCCTTCGAAACTGCTTTCTCAGGTTACAAATTTCTCGCAACTACGATTTTTCATGAAACTTTCCAAACAACAACGCCCAGCTACGATACGATTCGCGAGCCTATCGCACCTAGTAATGTCTACCTTCACCTGTAATCACCCCAGCTCTCTACCAGAGAATGACCTCGCACACTCTACTCCTTCCGTATCGCATGCATCTCGCTACATCTTACACTCCTTACACCCGTTCGCATCGATTGCAACACATTGATTTTTACGTTGAGGATTATCTGCCTTTGTGTTGGTATGTCTCGGCACATTAGGGGCCGACTCGTCATAGAAACTGGCATCTACAGTACCAAGAAGCTCACTCTTGCTGGTTTAGCCACGCTTCAAGGCCGCATCGGCGTACCACGCCGTGCCGCGGTGAAGTCGAACTTCATGAGCGCGGTCATCACGTGTATCTCACGGATAAGTCACGTGCTGCGTGTTCAACTTCGCATGCCCGAAGGGGAGCGCAACATAGAGGCACTGATCTTTCACGGCTTATGTAGAGTCCTTTATTGACACGGATTCACTACGCACGCTGACTTGCACTCTCTACCAGAGTATACCATCTCTTTCGAAGGAGTACCGTTCTTCGCATGCAGAAGGCCGGTGTTCGGTCGCGGACAAACTGATACTCCAAAGGGAGGCGGGCGCGCAGCTCCGTTGATATTACTTCTCGTAGATAAGAATAAATGCTAGCAAGAAAGGACGACTAAGAACGGACTTCCGAAATTCCATTTACAAACCTGCCAACTCAATACACCACCGTAGCATTCCCCGCCTCCGGCCACGGAATTGAGATTGAGCCCTCCAGCCCCGCTGCCCACCAGAGCGTCTTAATCGGCGAGCTCGGCAGCGCAGCGCTCCTCGGCCTCCCCGCGTCCGTCATCACGTCCATCAAGAACGGCACGCTGACGGAGAACCACAGCACCGTCCACGCGTACCCCAGCGCGCGCGTCGCCTTGCCCTCCTTCACACCCGCCTCCCGCGCGAGCGCAATGATGTGGTCCTCGAGCATAATCGCGATGACCTGCGCGAGGAAGAAGACGGTCGAGCGTCCGAAGGTCTGCCCGATCATGCGGTCGCCCCAGTTGTGGATCATGCCCGAGGCAAGGAAGCCGACAAAGAGCTGGGTGTAGCGCGAGGCGAAGGTCCCGGGCGCATATCCCAACGACCGTGCGGCGGTCTTGCCGAAGCATGAGACGAACTAGGCTGTCTTAGCTGGCGAGCGCAAGCAGACAAGGATCACTCACGCGACGGAATAGCTGATGCCAAACACGTCTGTTGTAAGCGAGGTCAGCGAATGCACTTGCTATCAGGTCAAATGGCGCACCCCCACGTCCGTCGAACAGTGTAGGCGTCGGCCCAGCTTCCACACATACGAGGCCAGAACCGCGGCTCCGACCACCCGGCGCCCACAAAGAGCATGGCAGCCAAACAATAGACAATCTGGAAATTCGACCACACGTTTATCGCCCAGAAGATCGCCGTCAAGCTTTGGAAGACGAAGCCCTGCGTGCGGATGGACAGCCCTTCCGCTGCGCGGGTCGACATGACCGGGTTGCTCGTCACATAGATATCGACGAGGTCGGCGAGGAAGAGGAAGAGGGCCATATCACGCAGCGCGCCGGCGAAGAACTCGCTGCGGGATCGGCTCTTTGGGATCGGCGGGAGGTTGGCAATCTTCCCAAGATCGTCAGCAGGGCCATCATACAATGTGCAGTGGGAGCGTACCTCGTAATTCCATCCTACCCCGCGTACGGCACTCGCGAGACAAGTCGCCCACCAGACGCGCTGCCAGAAAGGCATGTCTTTGGCGGCTTGCTTATCGTATACGTGCCGCGTCCCGTCCGTCAGCGCGTCGGTGAAGAAGTAGAAGTGCAGGCAGTGCATGAGAGGTAGAGAGTACAAGAAGCAAGCGATGGCGTAGTCCATCATAGGATCGCCAAGGGAGATTGTGTATGTGCCGGTTACCCACCAGGCCATCCATACCTGCGCGGCCAAAATGGCGGCGCGGATGGCAGCCGGCGGGTGCGTCGCGATAACGAACGGAAGGGGGACCAGTACCCCAAGGCAAGGGAGTATGAACATGACGGGGTTATTCTCTCGACCGTCCGACATGGCGAGATGGGTGAGAGAGGGATGTACGCGCCTTCGCCGAGACTCTACGAATTTATGAATCGAGAATTGCAAGCGAGGTCAGCCCCCATCGCGAGAACGGCCGACATGTGCTGTCGAAGGCGGCCTGGTACCCGACAAACAGGGTATAGGCGGGAAGCGCAATAGAGTACCCATGAGAACATCAGAGAGAAGGGTATATGATTTGGCTTGCTGTGGGCGCTCCCCGTCTGTTCTGATTACCAAATGTGTCCTAACCAGGTCCCGGTGGCCGCACTGCACATTGTCAAAGTGCAATCAACCAAGGTGGCAACCGCATCTAGATGTCAGTGGATGATGACACCCAAGCAGATTGCCCTGCGGTATTCCATGGGGGCTTGACTAGCGAGCTGCGTCGAAGAAAATGTCGCGCAGAGAGAGACGATGACTGCGAAGACGAACCTTGACGAACCTCCGAGTCGGGACTGCGCGAATGACCGCCGGGCGCGGCCGAATCCCGCGAGAAAATTCGCCATCTCGGCGTGTTGTAAGCTCGCCAGCTCATCCCATCTTCATCTTCGACTTACACCAATCTTCCTGGTTCTTCCGCGGTCCCCGCAAAGTTGTCCTCCTCGTCTTTTCAGTCGATAGCCAGAGGCCACCTTTCGGACTCTGTAACAACGCGGGCGGAACAAGTTCGGACTCCACGTATACGCAGCAAGCCATGGGGAAGAATGCCGTCTTGAATGACGAAGGCCCCTTGATTCAACCTGCTTTCACGCGCCGTCCCGTTGCGCATAGAATTTCTGGACGTCGATACAGAGTCGCCATGTGTACAACTGCGAGCAAGCAGCTGACCTTCACGCCGCTTTTCTCCAGCCCCACGAATATTTTCTGCGCTTTAGGCCGCCTTTCGAAGTGCCTGAGCAGGGTGAGCCATAGGCTCATTGCCCACTTACCAAACTGGGGACCCTTTAGGTGAATTCATTATGGACCCTGCACTTACCTCACGGAACCATGCGGTCCCGTGCGCACGCTCCGTCGTCCAGCCCGCGCGCGGCGCAGATGGGCGCGCCTCTATTCATAAACCCGATGCTTCTCACGCAAAGTATTCAACTCCGTCGCCCTGGGCTTCCCCATCGCCTCACCATTGACTCCACGCGCCGTATATCAACGAGCAGGCGGGCGAAGCTGGCACCCTCGGTCGCTTCTCTCCTTCTCCCTCACCTATGGCCGACCCAGCTCAGCAAGTCCCTCCTTCGCCAGATGCCATCGCGCAGACGTTCAAGGGCTAGTAAGTCTGCGGCTTACAATATTTCTGGGTACTATTCGCTGACCTTCGGCTCCCGTTATCTAGTAATGGGCCCTTTGTATGTCGGCCCTTCGGATTGCTGCAGTACGCGCACTGACAACCATCCTATTAGCTGGTGGCAGTACAGATCGGGTATCTGCTCTATGGCTTCTATCTCGCGCAGCTGAGTACGCGTCGCGTCTACGCTTCTCAGGATTGCGTCCCGCTCACACTTTTGTTCTAGATACCTACTTCAATGACCATGCCGCGTCAGACGCTTGGTACAAATGGCTAGGTGCGTCTACTTCCTTCTCTAAAGATAAATTTATTGATGCGCAATCCAGTCATTGCCGTCACTTGTATGTGCGGTCTGCACCTGGGCTTTGGAACGGGTGCATCATGGGGTGTACTCGTCGAGGGATGGGGAAACCCAGTAGTCTGGCAGAAAACTCCTTGGGAGGCGTCCATGCTCCCCTTCACGACCGGCCTTAGTGCGTTCGACCAGCATCTTTCCTATATCCTATTCGCTGAAATTTCCTTCAGCGGCCTTCCTCGTGCAGACCTTCTTCGCAGGGTACGAATAACATGAATTTGTAGGGCCTGAAATCTGACACACCGCAGCCGAATCGTCCTTATCCAACGAGATTTGATCGGCAAAGCCCTCGCTGTTGTGGTCGCTCTCGTAAGTCGCGCCATTGACCTAACCGCGCCTACCGCCTGACCCCGCCGCCAAGATCGCCCTCCTTGCTCTCGCTGGCGCCTTGGGCCAGATGATAGAGGTAAGCCAGCTAACAACGCCACCTCCGCTTCTCCGTATACTCGTCATGGCGCTAACCCCGACCCCCGCCAGTTCCTCACCGCCGGCTCGAATGCGTTGGACATCGCGCACCTCCAGCTCATCACCCGCGTACGTACATCCGCCTCTTCCTAACCGCCACATTCCTGATTATCGTCCTATAGATTTGGACCATATCGAGCGTGGCGTGCGACGTCCTGATCGCCGTCATCATGATTGGCATTGTAAGCTAGTCAAAGAAGCCATTCATGTCGGTTATAATGACTGACCGAGATCTCCAGCTGGCCCGCACCCGGCAGCGCACGGTCTTTCGCTCGACGCGGGACACCATCAAGCGGCTCATCTTCCAGTCCATTGAGACTGGCACGGTCACCGCCGTCTTCATGGTCCTCCTGCTCGTCTGCTACGAGACCATGCAGAAGGAGAACACGACCTACCTCGTCTGGTGCGTTCCGTCTTCCCTTTCCCGCCGATCCCGAAATCACCTTCGGCTGACGCGAGGCATCACAGGGAGTACTCGCTTCCGCCGCTATACGGGAACGTCATGCTCTTCGTGCTCAACGCGCGCCAGAGCTTCCGCAAGGACACCATCAAGTACGGTACTAGCATGGAGACGCCCACTATCGGCGGATCCGGGCGCACGCAGCCGGCGGTCAAGGTCGACACCGACGTCATCGCGCGCTACGACCTCGACCTTGAGAGCAACAACTTGGGCAGGGATGGTTATGCGGTGAGTACGTCTTTCGTCACCTGGTCTCCGTCGATGCTGATGCGCGCGCAGGATAACAAGAATATCCCGATGCATAGCATGTAGAGGTCGTCAAGCAGTTCCCTACGACCGCCTCAGGACGGGCGGTCTGTACTATAGAGGTTTGGATACGTTGGCTGTAATTATTGGTACAGGGTCGATCTTGCTTTGCATCGTCGCGTCGTCGGCTAACAAAATATGATCAGGCTCTTTGCCCACACTCGTTAACTACCTTCATGGCGAAGCTGCCGGGCGCCCTGTCAGCGGCACGTACTACATTTCGTCAGCGTCCTCGTTGATGAAGAAAAAATGATAAGAGCTTGTACCTGCACTGGCATGACTTGGCTCTGTGTGACCTTTCCATTCTCATCCTTGTCGACGTGCATGATGTACTGCGCGTCCACGCCCACCGGGATGAACATGCGCCCAGGCGAGGCAAGCTGATCGACCAGCGGCTGTGGAAGCTCGGGTGCTGCCGCGCCGACATGGATAGCGTTGTACGGCCCGCCTGCTGCGTAGCCTGCATACGTTCAGGACTCGACTTTTTCACGAGCGCAGAATATATTTTACCCTGTCTGCCATCCCCCGCGATCATCTCGATAGCCTTGCTCTCCAAAGCGTCTCCGAGCCCGTCCTTCTTCAGGTTTTCTATAGAGAACTGGACGAGCTCGGGTACGTGCTCGATGCCGACGACCTTCCCGGGTCGAGATGGATCCTCGCTTGCGAGGTGGTACAGAACAGCGGTCAGATAGCCAGAGCCGCTACCGACGTCGAGAATGCGCGCGCCGGGCTTGATGTATGGCAAGAGGTGCTCCGATGCGTATGCGTGCTGTGGGTCAGGCGGTCAGCAATGCAAGCCGAAGCGAATGACAACTTTCTTACCATATGGGGCGCGCTGATTGTTGCATCGTACCTGATGGACCTACCGCGCGACGGCATTAGCATGTTAACCAGGCATGAGGCGGCGAAGCGCACTGAGGCCTGTCTTCGTAAGCCTTACTCTTATCCAAGACATAATTTGCGCGATCCACTTTCTTCATCGCCTGAATGAGAACATCAGGACTTGTGTGCGTCCCGCCTCCACAACCATACTCAAGCAGCCTACTAACATTGATGACGCGGTCGGCCTCGATAATTCCATTGCGTGCCATGTTCGAGATCAACTCGACGTTAGTTTTGCCGTGACTTCGCCAAGCCATGCCGTCAGGAGACACAGGGACAGGGGGTAATGATGGCGGTAGGAAGCAAGCAAGATATGCAGCGTTCCATTTGCGGACAAGGACTTACAGACCAGTGACGCAATCGATTCGGCAATTTGCGAGGTCACGCACTCCCCGAAGACGGCCTTTCTTCCAGTCTTTCAACAGCATATTGTATACGATGAACCCAACATATGTCGATATAAGTCGATAAACATGTCGTGGGGTGGTGAGAGAGAAAAGCTTCCGCGATGGCCAAAGCCGCTGATTGCCGGCGGCTGAGCACGTGGTAAAGTTCAATTTCTGTGACTTGCTCCCCGAAGTGACTCAGCACTTTGCGACTTTCCGTCCACCATCATGACCTCCTCCGCAGAAACCATAGCAAAAGATGCCAAGGCAGCCTTCTCTGCCTCGCAGATGCTGCCTACCAGCGAGCGCATTCTGGCTTTGGACGCTATCAAGGTCGAGCTTGAGGCTAGGAAGGAAAGCATCCTGACGGCTAATCAAGAGGATTTAAAGGTCAAATATCCACTTTTTTCCCTATTTTCTCAGACTCAAACTAAAAACCATACTTCTGTAGGCTGCTCAGGCTGAAGTTGACGCAGGGCGCATGTCCGACGCCCTCCTCAAGCGCCTCGACCTGGGCAAAGGCGATAAATGGGACTCCATGCTCCAGGGTATATCGGATGTTGCTTCGCTTCCGGATCCGACTGGCAATGTCTCATATGCTCGCGAACTCGATGACGGATTGGATCTCTACCGCGTATCGTGCCCTATCGGCGTTCTGCTCGTCATCTTTGAGGCACGGCCAGAAGTGGTAGTCAATATCGCCGCATTAGCCATAAAATCAGGTAAGCTGAACCTTCCACGTTTCACTTATTTACCATTTACCTAAAGTTTTCCCTGTGATCCATACGCTCTGTTCACTGACGACTTCAATCTGTAAACCCAGGAAACGCTGCTATCCTGAAGGGTGGCAAGGAGTCCAACAGGACCGCCGAGTTGCTCGCGCAAGCCATCTCTGCCGGTCTCGCCAAAACACAACTACCGGCGACGTACATCCAGACCATACAGACGCGGGCGGAAGTGTCTTCCTTGCTCGCTCTGGATACCTACATCGACCTGGTCATTCCGCGCGGTAGCAACGCGCTGGTGCGCAACATCCAGAACAACACTCGCATCCCCGTCATGGGTCACGCGGATGGCATCTGCTCCGCGTTCCTCGACGAATCGGCGGACCCCGAAAAGGCGGTCAAGGTCGTCTTGGACTCCAAGGTGAATAGGTCAATTCCTCTTATACACTGAGAACAGACACCGACCGTACCACTCAGACAAACTACCCCGCCGCCTGCAACGCCCTCGAGACGCTCATCGTCCACGAATCCCTCCTACCAACCCTCTGGCCCGTGGTCGCCCACGCCCTCCTCGCCGCCAACGTCCACCTCCAATGCGATCCCTTGACCCTCGCCGCCCTCACTTCCCTCCGCTCCCCGCCCCCCAACCTCGCCACACACGTCACCCCCGCCACCCCCGCCTCCTTCACCACCGAGCACCTCGCGCTCACGCTCTCCGTGCTCGCGCTCCCCTCCCTCCCCGCCGCCATCGCGCACATCAACGCGCACGGGTCGCACCACACGGACGTGATCGTGACCGAGGACCAGGAATCGGCGCGCGCATTCTGCCGGGGCGTGGACAGCGCGGGCGTGTTCGTGAACGCGAGCTCGCGGTTCGCGGACGGGTTTCGGTATGGGTTCGGGACGGAGGTCGGGATCAGCACGGGGAAGATGCACGCGAGGGGCCCGGTCGGGCTGGAAGGGCTCGTAACGTACAAGTACGTGCTGAAGGGGAAGGGAGATGTAGTCGGCGACTATGGCGCGGGGAAGAAGGCGTTCACGCACAAAAAGATTGAGGGCGCGACTGCGCCTTACTGAGTTCACAGCGCCTCATACGACTACATAAATGTATCAGTACGAATTGTAGCACATCTCGTCAATTCGCAACAACCTATGCGACACAAACAACGTAACTGACTTACAAGTACATCAAGATCCCGTAGCCCAAAGCACAAGTGGTAGCCCGACCCCCTATCGTTCACGCCTTCTGCCCAGCCCCATACTGCCCGTTATCATACCTCACACTCGCAGGCCTGGAGTCGACGACTTCGGTCTCGCCCACTCTCCCTCCCTTCTCCGTATCGCCCTCACTGGCACTTTCCACGTCTCCCGCCCCAGCCTTGGCACCCTCCTCCACATAGACCTCCGGCTTCTCAAAGTGCGACCCATGGTTCTCGGGACCAATCTGGAAGAGCACATCAGTTACCTGTTCGCCACTCGCTCCATACAAAGCGACGCATCCCAATCCACTCACAATCGTCACCAGAATCACAAACGCCGCGACCACGCCGATCAGGATCCCCTGCACCTTCGCATAGTCAGGAATATCGACCGGCTGCCCGTCCTTGATGACGGGCGTGCCGTCGGGGTTCTTGAGCGTGGTGCGCTGGTGGTCGCCGCCAGTGGCCTCGATTTGGGCAGAAGCAGAGGAAACCATCTGTAGGCGACGTGTCAAAATATCGAGCGGGAGACGTGTGAGGATCAGGAGGTGAAGATGTGTGAGGATTGGGAGGTAAAGATGAAGAACGGACAGATACGCACGTTGCCGAGCTGGTACGCCACCCCCGGGAACGTCGCCCTAAAAGCCGGCGGCGACATCTCCGCCAGCTGGATTGGGATCTGTGGCACGGTCAGTCGGTTCACCATATCGACATCTTCAATGACCAAAACTCACCACACCCCACGCCCCCTGCACGCCAAACTGCACGCAGAACGCGCCAGCAGCGAGGGCGCTGAAACCGCTGGGCAGGATCCATAGTGGGATGAAGGCTGCGAGAAGGCAGACGAAGGCAACGATGGTGAGGCGACGGCCGAGATACTGGGAGAGGAAACCGGCGAGGACACCGCCGGCGATGGCACCCTGAGAGTGCTTCAGTGGGGATGCTATGCACTCTGGTTGAAGCTCATGCTCACGCAGTTGCCAATGATAGTCGCTACCGAGGCCTGGTGGTCTGTAAAGCCCTTAGACACTTGCAAATAGGTCGGATACAGGTCCTGGCTGCCGTGCGAAAGGAAGTTGAAGCCTGTCGAGACCATCAGCGTCCGGCAGGCCTCGCGCAGATACAAGGTGCTCACCGCTCATCAACAAGACCGCGTAGATGCACAGGAGCCAATGTTTTCTCAGCATTTGCCGCGTCTCCCGTAGGAACACCTTCGTCTTGCTCTCTCCCGCACCACCCGCCATCCCCGCCGCCCTCTTCGCCTCCCTCACTCGGATGAACACTTCGCTTTCCGGTAGTACCAGCCTTACTCCCGCCGCGAAGAACGAGATCCCGGCCGCCGTCCAAAACAACGTGCGCCACGACTCACTCGTGCTCGGGACAAGCTTCAGGTTGATGACCGCGGCGAGAAGGTAGCCCACCGCGTAGCCCTGCTGCAGGATCCCGCTCGCCAGCCCGCGCACCTCGACGGGCAAGTTCTCGAGCGCGGTCGCGGCGGCGAGGCCCCAGATGCCGCCCATGCCGATACCAAACAGCGACCGCAGGGCGAGGAATTGGGCGAAGGTCTGCATGAAGCCGGCTCCCAGTTCGAGGACGGCGATGATGAGGAGGTTGATGACGAGAGGCCATTTGCGGCCGAAGCGGTCAGAGATGATGCCTGTGGAAATGAGTTGGTGGTGCGCATAAGATGGAAAGAGACAGGACGTACCGAAGAGGATGGCGCAAACGGAGCGGAAAAGGAGGGTGAGTGTAATGGATTGCGTCTGTGGGATGGCGTAAGTGAGGGATGGACAAGTGGGAGAAGGATGTGCTCGTACAATGTCGTGTATCGGACGGTCACCAAACTGAACGGAGAGGCGCTTAACGGAGAGCGATACGGAGAAGAAGTCTGTCGTCCTATCAATGCGTGGCCCCAACGAGGTCGCCCAAGCACGTACCGATCGCATCGCACGTCCATGCTAGCCATCTGGCAGGGTCAGTCAGCTGCTCGCTTTCGACTGCACACGAATTCGGCACTCACCCCGAGAAGAACAACGCCCACTGCACCAAGGTCAAGGTCCCCAGCACCTGCAGGATCGGTCGACGGTCCTCCCGCTTCTCCCTCTTGGGTATCAGGTTGCGCAAAAAGTACGGCATCCTTGCTGTCTTCCTCGGCTCGCCGTAGTCCTCTGTCGACGCGGGATAGCAGCGACGATAGCAGGTGGTTCGCGTGACGGTCACCTCTCTGTGCAGACTCGTCGCGATGAGTGGCTTTGGATAGTCCGATCGCGGGGGAGGAAAGGAGCAGCCCCGCCCTCGCAGACGACTACGCCTTTATAGACGTCCTCCCGCCACCCGACGCGTCAAACGTCCGCTCTGTTTCCGCTGTCGTCCCTGTGGCGGGGCGGAAATTAGGCCTATTCTTGGTTCGGGGAGAGAGCATGGAGCTGTAAACGTCGAGGATCCTTCTCCGTTGTACACGGCGCTAGCCCTCGCCTCGGGCTCGTCCAGGTGCCGACCTGAAGGAAGCAGCTCGCAACACAGGCGTTGCGGGCAAATCAGACGCGGTCGAAACTGACTAGCGTGCCCAGCCCACAGGTTGATCTCGATAATCCTAGTGAACGATAAGCTCAGTCTAGCGAACCCGTTAGTGATAATCATACGTGCGGGCAGATGGCCTCGAAATCAGCCTTTGAATGAAGAGCAGCTGCACTGACAGCTGCTTCCCTCAGGCCCGCTATCAACCTAGAGAGAGATCCGGATACAGTCTTGCTCACGGGTCGTAATCAGTCTTCTTCGTGGGTGGTGGACAAGAGTACTCGGAAGTCATGCCCTAGTCATGGGTAGATGGTTGATCTGACGGCGCTCATGGGTGTCGTTAGATCGTGGGCGAGACACGCCATCTCAATCCTTCGTTCGCAAGCGCAGATATTCCATTTGGAGAGAGTAAAAGTCAGATTGAGCTAAGTATGAGCTACTGAGGGTGAGCGAGCTCAATTGACGGACAGGATCACGGATTGCTTGTCGCGGAATCGACGCCGGTCGCTCCGCACTGGCATGGTTGGCCGGAAGTGATGACCAGTATCTTGGTTCACAGCTTCTCGAGAAGGCGAACATGAGGAAGTTCTACTACGAAAGCTGCTGAGAAGCGTGCACTGAGCCATGATGAATGCAAGAGACAAGAGCAGCGGCCCGGGTAACTGTGACCGCTTGATCATCACGTTACTTCTTTCGGCTTCTGCCGATGTCACAATTCGACTTCAGACCTATCGCATTTGCGCTGCCACTCCAGCTTGCAATCCGACCAGACAGCTGAGAACACACAAGCTGCAGTATACTGTCTTGGTTCGTGAAGGATTTGCCGTTTGAAGCGGGAGAGTATCGTACGGTATGGGTGATTAGTGAGGTGTTCTGTAAAGACAGTGGGGCGTAGGTAAAGTGCAGGCTTGTACGGTAAAAATAAAACGAGAGTACATAGACTGATTATAGGGAGAGCTTATCGGAGTCACAAGCAAGCATTGAGTATCGGTAACCAAGTAGCGGTTCAAGGCGGTCGGCAGAAAATATCGTAATGATAACTTAGAAAAGATCAGTGAAGCGAATTAGCGCCCTAAAAGTCATCCTTGGACTCGGGCCCATCAGTTTTCTCCTCCGCCAGATCCTCCTCGCCGTGATCCGAGTCCAGCTCGTCCACCTCTTCCTTGTCTTCCTCGTCGCAGTCGTCGTGATCTTCATCGTAATCGTAATCGTAGTCCTCGTCCTCAGTATCCTCCGCATCGTCATCGCCATCGTACGGCGCAGAGTTGTAAGCGCGCTCCTCCACCAACTCAAAGTCCCCCGACCCGCCAGGGAGCTTGAACGGCGTCCCCTCACCATGCACGGTGCCCTCGTCGTCGGTGTGGTCGTTATGACGCCTGTAGAAATCGTCGAGGTAGTCCTCGCCATAGGTCGCTACAGCGTTAGCGACAGCCTCCTGGAACACACGGTCCCCCGCGTCCGATCCCTCGTCGGTTGCGGCGAGCGAGGCAAAGGATGCCCGCCTGGACATCCCTTCCACCGGTGTATAGGGAGGCGGGGTGGCCAGCGAGTCGCGACGAGAAAGGCGGGTCGACGCGTTGGAGAATGTGGATCGTTCGCGCATAAAGGCATGACGTGGGGGTACCGACGATTCGCGCGGTACGAGCGTCTCGACGGACCCCTCGCGCGTGGGAGTCGACGAGCCGAGCCTGGAGAAAGACGCTCTACGAAGAGTCAATGGATCCCCGCGCATAGCGGCTGGCGCGACGGAAGCCCGCCGCTGAGTATCGATGGAGTCCCGATGACGAGCTTCAGCGGGCCTGGTAGGTGTATCGGCAGGCTTGCCGATCACGCCATTCTGCACGTCTCGCAGCGCCTGCTCGAGCTCGCGGATGCGCGTCTTCTGCCGGTCAATCTCATCGTGAAGCTCCTCGGTGTTCGCGAGGAAGAATCTGGGGAAGGGTCGCGGGAGCGGCATACGAGTCGGTAGAGGAGAGATCGCGCGTGCGATTGTTGGTGCTTCTGGCGGGGCGACCGGCCGTCCCTGTGACTCGTCCCGCCTCCTGGGCGCGTCAGCCGACGTCTTGCGCGACTTGACTGGCACATCGCGCGGCCCCGAGATTGACCGCTCGCGCTTGCGCGCAGCTCGCTTAGGCGTCTCCGCGCGGGGGGCCACGGGAGAATCTGCCTTTGTCGTGTTCCTGCATGCGCCTTTCGCCACCGTCCCGCTCGTGCTCGTAGCGTTTGTACTCGACCCTGTTTCTCCGCACTCGCGCACAACCGTGGAGTTCGCGCCCGTGTGGTCGTCCTGTTGCGCCTCGTCCTTCCTCTTGGGGCATTTCGGCTGATGCCTACTCTTCGCGTCCGGGCGTCTGTACGCTTCGCCACAGAAGTCGCAGAGATGTAGTGCTAATTTGAGACTATGAGCATGGAAAAGATGATAAGTTCCACCAGACTGTTTGGGAAATAATCAGGGTACTGACTGCACTGCCACGTAGTGCGTCTTCACACCGCTCTTCTGGAGCGCTGTGAAAGTGCACCCCGCGAAAGAGCATCGATATTTGCTTTCGTGCGTGAGTAACTCACTTCAGGGTAGATCACTGAACGCACTTACAGCGATGTCTGCAGTCACTGGAGTCGACGAAGTACGCGAATTTCACGATAGAAGTCACGCTGTTTATCAGTGACAGTCCATCACCACGCGAGAGACATGTCTCTGTCAAGCAGAGACTTTCAACACGCGAATTTCACGTAGCGCATGTCCGATGTCTCGTACTGAATTCACCATACTTTTCTGAGAAATGGACCGTATGCGTCGGGTGCCAGCAATGGCCTGCATAGGTATAAAGAGGGTTTCGTCGTACTTATTGAGATTATTCATCCTCTTTTCTCGCGAAAGTTCACTCTGAAGCGCTGGAAGATACAAGCAATAATACAATTATATATACAAATAACAATACATTTATTCTGTACTTTGGGCACTTTGGCCCCGGGTCACTTTAATCAGCAGTCTCGTCGTCGTCGTCGATATCAGAGAGCTCGGAATCAGACCCGTTCTTCTCCTCATACGACAGGCCACTCGAACCTTCCATGCGATCATCCTCATCGATGTCCATGCTTGCAGGACCCTCTGCGCGAGGGAAAGGATCGTCCGGCGGCGATGGCGCACGCAACACATCTTGAGCATTGGCCCGCCGCTGGGCCAGATGACGTTGAGCGCGAGCGCGAGCCACCTTCGCCCGATACGACTTCGGGTTCTTGATGCACGACTTGTACGTCTTGTGGGTCTGGAAGAACTCCTTCACTAGCAACTCCGTGCCCCACTGATTGTGGAAGCGACGCAGCGCCGGAACATTCTCCTCGACCTGGATACAACGTTGAGACGAAGTTAGAAAGTGTGTAAAGGTCACGCACCGCATCATAGATCTTGCCCAGCTTCTTGCTCTTCTGAGAGCGCCAATTCAGTGTCCAGTCAATGAACCCGGCCGTAGTCATATCACGGATGACTTGCTGTATAAGAGTCAGTACAGACAAGCAAAGAAAGACAACATCAGGACGTACACGAAGATCGAGCCACTCAGGCTTGTTCTCATCCCCCGCCAGGTCGAGCTTCTCACGCACATCCGAGATCTTGACCTTGTTCATGTTCTTCGGGCGTGGGATGGAATCGGGCGCAGGATCGTTAGTGGTAACTTTGGAGGCGGTACTCTGCTGTTCCGCGGCGTGGACAGCGGCATCGCGCTCAATGCGCATGCGCGCAAGCTCCTCTATGCTCGGATGAGCACATCTAGCATTGGAATGGTTTATCATAACGCACCTTCCAAGTGGCGGACTTTCTCCGACTCATCATCCTGCTCGACCACGAGCGCCCGCTGCTCAGCCTCGTCACGCTGCTCCTTGCGCTTCTCCTTGCGCCGCTGCTCACGAGCACGGTCGGCCGCATCGCGTTGAGCGGCGTCGTCGGCCGCAGCGCGACGTTCGGCGGGCTGCCGATTGCGGGCGGATTGGCGTGTTGGCTCGGTCGCCTTGTCAGATCGCTGGCGTGTGTTCCTAGAGGGACCCATGCTGGTCGTTAACGGGGCAGATGGAGGGGCGCCTGGGTCTTTATAGCAGGTGGCGAACGGATCATGGTGGTGGGCAAGACGAAGGCGCTCAACGCCGATCGCGTCATCAAGTGGCGCAAGTGTACACAAGGCCACACAATGGCCGCCCCAAGCCCCGCGCGCGACCCTGCTTGCTCCAAAAACACGAGAAATTCCCCGCTACTTATGACGATATTCCATTCCATTGAATCCTTACTCAAGGTCAGATGGTGGGCATGTGTACGAATTTGCGTGATTTTCGTGGAGTCCTGGCAGAGCTGGCACGACATCTCGGGCGTCGCAGGTGAAGGTCACCCAGTGACTGCCTTGTATTCACTATCCCCCCTACCTCTCGCCAATAGAACGAAGTTACCGCCATGCCCGCGAGCCGCACTCAGCGCTGCACATGCGGCTGCAACGAAGAGCTACGCCGCAGGCAAATCATCCGCCATCTCAATGGCGAGTCGGTCCCGAAACGCTCTCTCATCGAGCGAGCGCGGAACAAGTGCGCGAAGACACTCTTCCCGGGCAAGCGAAGGAGAAAGCATCTGGATGCTACATCTGTAGAGGATGCGCCGACCTCTTCGCCCCAACCACCATCTCCCGACGACATGCAGTCGGTTTACTTCACGTCAACCCAACCAGACGCTGAAGCTACCACTACTGCAAGTAGCAACATCCTGGTTCAAGACACAAAATTGTAACGACCACATTGCGTTGTTTCTCAGTAATTTGTGAGGGCTCTCTCACTAGTTTGGCCCTAGGATTAGTTATGATTGATCAGTAAATTTGACTCTATAACTAGATCAGGCCTTCAATGAGATTGGTGTAGCAACTAGTTTTGACCCTCAATCAGGTTGGCTGTAAGGAGAGATCTTGAGCTCATACTGGTAGCTCAGTAAAACATCCATTAGAACAAGTTCCATCTCATTAGTCAGTATAGGTGAAGAACTAGTTGCAAATAGATCAATATATCAAAGTATACCAAACACACATAAAGCAGTAATCTACAACTAATTGTGTACCACAATAAGATCAAGTCTACAAATAGTTGTTGACCAAATAAGATCAAGTCTACAACTAGATGTGTACCACAATAAAATCAAGTCTACAACTAGATATTGCCTCTTGGACCCCCCTCCTTCTCAACAAAACTCTGCCACATGCCTTTGTCAGTAACTCTGCTTAGTCAGCATTTGCTGCGATCCTCGCACACATGAGATCTTGGACAAATACCAAAAAGGAAGGCTATTATTGCCTATTCTGGGTGTTGCTGCGTATCGTACAACCAAAAATCCTCTCCATCCTTCAGATCCCTTCCGATGTCTCTAGCAATGGACTCTTCACTCGCCAGCTCGCCCAAGATATTCCCCTCAGCATCCATAGTCCGAAGATGAGCACGTGCAGCCCGGGAACATTGTTCCCACGTCCTTGACATCTTCTCCGCGAGTGCCTCCCAGACGCTACTCTGCTCTGCAGCATATGCAGCAAGACCTTCCTTCAACTCCGCGGTCGTGGCAGTAGTCCGCTTACTGCCCCTATGCCCCCATTGGCCAGACACCCAGTGGCAGTGAACAACTGAGCGTCTCATCTCCTCCTCCAGTAAAACAACCTCCTCATACCACCGTCGAGCTCGAGCCTTGGCACGGCAGTACTCAACACCCAAAGCTGCACAATAAGTAAGCTCCTGATACTGAATGAAAGATATCATGACAACGAAGTACCTACCTTCGACAACGGTCTGGTCAGCACCAGGAAGCGCAGTTGCCTCGATGTCTGCACCGGCATGAAGCCATATCCAGGACAGAGTGCGCCTGCTCTCTCCCGCAGCCACACCACCAGGCAGTGGGACCGACGAAGGAGCTAACGTCAGTAAGAGTCCCTGACGCCGATGCTGATCCTCTTCCTCCCGCTCCTTGCTCGACAAAGTTCGCTCGTTCAAGAAACGCACATCATCGTCTCTCAATTCCTTCAAATCGGACTCCCATGACCCGGTACCCTTCAAGGTAAGGTATGCAGAGCGGTGACGGCGGTAGCGCTCTACGGCAAGATGGATCTTGAGATCAATCTCACGCAGTACTGTTTGGCCGCGTGTGTTGGCCTTGTTGCCGACCAGGTTCTTGTTCTTGAAGGCATGAGTGGCAGATCGCGCCCGTAGACCATGGCGTACGTCCTCCAATGCATCACCAGCTGCCGCGTGAGAGACACGGGCTTCGATATGGTCAAGCCCGGCAACGCAGACTCTGTCGCGAAGAGACTGTGGTGTCAGGTGGGACGGCAGTAAGACCTTGACGTCTTCAGGCTGAGATGAGCCGTTAACCGCCATTGAGCGTCGGACGGGCTCCGGGAACCTCTGCCTCCAGATGGGGCATGTAGATCTCTTGTATCGCACGTAGCTGGATGATGAGCTTGAGTATCGAGGCGCGCTGATTTTCGATCTCGATAGATTGTGTTGGTGTAATCGTTGTCGTAGTCTGGATCCTGGAGCGAAGTTTAGCCCTGGAAGAGCGTCAGAGGTCATCATCAAGTGAACATCATCGGGAAGGACTCACTGCATGTCTTCGATCTGGACGCCCAATAGCACCAGCGTACTGGGTGTCCGGTCTTGGGGAACTTCTGTTCTACTTGCTGTCTCCATCCGTTCCTCGTGAGCTAACTGAAGCTTGACGTCTTTGAGGGTCTCCTCTGCAAATGAATCAGACTGCAGCTCAGGAGGTAGCGTAGTATGGGCTTACTTTGTCCGTGCATCTGATAGGGCGACGGGTGAGAATCATCCTCCTCCCACTTGGCGATGTTCTGGTCCCATCTCTCCACATCTTGAGGTCGCAGCGCAAACATAGCCGCACGGAACTCGCGGAATCCCTCGCCATGACGAGGAGCTTCCTGAACGGCCTCCCAAGTTCGACGACGTTGTATCGTTGCTGTGGATGGGTGTCAATGATCAGGAGGTAGACGTTCAAGATACAGGCATACCTAGTGCACATACTTTCCTCCAGTTTGCATATGAGAGCGTGGTCTCAAGGAGAAGGCGGAAGCCGCCAGGGCCCATATGACGCGCCTGATAGGCGACACCATTCGTCACAACCCAGTTCTGTTCAATTCCTTCGCCATTGCCATTGCCGCCACCGTTCAGATAATGATAGGAGTAGCGAGAGTGGCACGAGTCGCGATGAGCAGGAAGATGAAAGTTGGGAACAATCGTCGCGATCTCAACGTCCTCATCTATATGGAGATGAGCAGGAAGTTGTTCCATGCGTCGTGCGAGATTCTTATCGAACTGGCAGGCAATGTCGTACGAAAGGACAACGGTCATCACGTTCACTGCAAGAAGAGCACTGAACAGTATAAACGTCATGTTAGAGTACCTTCACAGCGCATCAGCGGGGCATGAGTTCATGCGAATATCGCTTACCTCTCCCCCTTCTGCAGCTCTCCCATGCCCTGCGCCCTCCACATGTTGTGACGAGCGCAGCAAACACCGCCAATTCCCGTCGAGCGCAAGCCTTTACTCCGCTTCAAGTTGGCCAAGACGAGCGCAGCAAAACTGGAACAGCTACTAATCTGGTGCACAATTAGAACCCTTTGCCCGAGCGACTGCAATAAATCTCACCTCGTCGATGTCAAGGGATGACTTCAGGAAGTTATAATATTCATCCTTCTTCACCATATATCCCCAACCATCACCAAGGATGGGGTCCCGTTGCTCGTTGGATACGAAGCGATTACGCATGCGGAAGTTTGCGTCCTCGGCCAAGTACAACCAGTACTTATAACTAAACCATGTGTCAGAGAAGGGACTGCATCAAAGTACGAGCGCCTTGCCTGAGCTCAGGATCGATCTCACGCCAGTCGCTCGGCAGATTGATGCCAGGGTGAGGGCAGGCAACGCAAGGAAGCGCAAGTTCACCGGGCTTTGTGCCATCTACGCCGCTATCATCGTGGCCACGGCCTCCGCGTTTCACCAGCGTAGAATGTCGGTATTGCTTAACATGTACAGAGAAGCTCTGTCGTCGATCCTGAAATGAAAATTGAGACCAGGCGCGTCGTGCTTGACGATCAGGACTTACGGGTATGCTACCTGTACCAGAGTTGTCTGATAATGCTCCAAGGGATCGGACAAAATCGTATGATGAAAGATGTCCAAGGGCATTTAAGAGCACAAAATGACGAAGGCACGAGATTGTCGAGCAGGTTTGAGGATCGATCGTAGTCCCAGGCCACCAGCCTGCACGCAGAACTTGGCGGCGGTAGTCAAATGATGAATCGCAGCCACAGAAGTCTACTGCGACTCGGTGTATACCGTTGGTATGGATGACCACAAAGTCCTTATTTGCGGGCCGGGGAAAGGTGCAGCGAGATCGAGGGGGGTGACCAAGCTGGATGCGAAGTCCAAGCTCTTGCAATGATGTACGCCGGAAGTAATGATCAGGCAGCCATTCCTAGCGAGAGCGTAAGCAAAGATAGGAGCTGATGAACGTAGATACGCACCTCAATCCAATGCAGCAGCTGGTACTGATGGTTGGAAAGCGTACACGCCTTGCAAAACATCTGGTACCCCTGGCACTCCTGCCCCTTGCACCGATAAGCCACGCCATCTTTAGTGCCGCATGAACCACAGCTCGAATAATGAGCTTCATCTCCTCGGCCTTCAAGACGCAGGAGTTCATCCAGATACTCGTCGCGATGCTTGAGCCAAGCTTGCATAGGGTGATCCTACAGGACCATGAGAAGCCTGTTGGCGGGCTGCAGATGAGATCTCACCGAGCTTTCGTACCGCTTCCTTTTCTTTTGCGGTTCGTCAGGCTCTTCTGTATGTGCGGGCTCGGAAGTCTCGTGCGCTTGCTCGTTGGTTGGAGGCTCCTCTGGAGCTGATAGTTGTGAAAGGAAAGGATTGGGTATTGGGAGGGGAAGGTTGGAGATAGAAGCATTGGATGCCTGCTGCGTTGTGGCGCGCCGATTGATTCTGGTGTGGATCCGCCGACCGTCTTGGGACATTGTGTATGTCTCCGATATATGTGGGAGATGAACATAAAGCTGAGGTGAATCATTGGAGGAGGCCTGGCGTCGGTGAGATGGCTTGCGCTTTGATGGTGAAGCGGACGCAGACATGATGGTTGGGTGCGGGTGCCGGTTGTCACGCTTCCTTTGTGACATGCGCCACTTGTCACAATTTCCGTACCGCAAACATGAACGTCACAACGGAATGGGTGGCCATACATTATGCCAGATATCATGGTCACTACGTACGATAGTGATCTCGTCTAAGATATGAAGTAGGGAATGTAGATCACGGGAGTGCTAGTTGGGGCGACCATCTACAGGAGGGTATGTATTCTGAACCTCATGTAGACGGCTCAGGAAGATTGTTGTAGCTAGGTCAGGTTTGGGATAACCACGCCCGATAACTTGGCGGCAGCAGGGGCACACCTTGTCCTTGATCCCCTTGATGCACCTCCCACAAAAGATGTGGCCGCATGCGCTTGTGGCCCTTGATGTTCATGAGATCGAGTAGAGGAAAAGAAAAGAGGGACGCACCGATGAGGGTCAGAGAGTTCATCATAACATATGATGCACTCAAATATTGACGCGATCTCTGTCTAGTTACATGTCAGTCCAACGTCTGATGGATACAGATCTAACGCGCACCTTATATGCCTCTGCGTCGTTGGCAGCACCTTCGAGCTTTGAGGTCTTATCCGCCTGGGCAGCAAGTATGGCCTCGAGCTCCTCCTTCTCCTTGAAAATAACATGAGCGAACAGATAGGAGAGAGATAGGATGTAAAGACGCACCTTACGCTCCTTCTTCCACTGAAGTCTGTGCTTCGCAGACTCCTCTATATAGTGCTTGATACCGCGTTGCTCGACCGCGGACACCAGGACGATGGGCTCTTGTGGATCGAAGAACTCGTAGATGTCGCGTGGTGACCGTACCTTTGTGGGCTTGGACACCTTGCGCGCTGGAGCTATGGAAGGCTTCGAGATTCCTCCCGAAACTACCGTGTGCCTCCGAGCAAAGGGATTGTCGGTGATTTGGACGCGAGGTCGAGGCTTGCATTGTTTGGACCGGGACTGAGAGGACATGGTCTATGTTCAGGTGTCACCGAAGAACAAGTCGGTCGCTGTCCTCAATGGCGGTGTGTGGAAGAAAGAGGAGAAAGTCGGAGCGCTTGCCCGTACACTGGATAGGGGCCAGCGGGTCACCGCGCCGATGAGGCCTCGTGGCCCCTCGGGTCCCCGAGAAGGGCAGAGGGCATAATTGGGGTTACAATGTTACCGACGCTAGAGGAAGTGGTCAGCTTGAGCAGCACAGAATACATAAAACTGCATATGGAGTTCTGTTAAAAGTCCTGAACAGCGGTGCACGAAAGTCCTTGTTTACTCGAGGGCACACATTGTTGGCGACGGTGAGATATAGTATGGACCTTACGGATATCTATGCTGAGGAATATCAATGGAACTTGTAATATCTTGAAGAGAATGCAAGGCATCCTCAATGAGACGACCTACCCTTCAACAGTAGTAAGGTGAGCTGGCCATGAGGAGGTGTGGGAACAAAGCGGAAGCAGACTGCTGTGATCCGTGCGGCGTATCCATCAAAGAAGGCTAACCGCGTTAGGATTAATAGCACGCGCTGATTGACTCTGATCGACTGATATCATACTTGATCATGTTACGCCACATATCATGTGGTCTCTTGACACGCGCGCTTGCCTCAAGTAAACCACATGCACTCTTACTTGACGACTTGCCTTCCGCTCTCACCTGATGAGCAAACCGGCAGCCAAGTCGACCGAGGTCTTTCTCCCCAAGGTTCCTCGTGTCTGGCCTTCTGGTGACGCTGATCAAGGGGAGGAGGGAGATGAAGTTTACTATCCCGTTGGTGAGACGATGATCTGACCATCCTCCATCTGTCCTGTGCTTATGCACCCTTCAGAAGCAATTCAGTCAGTATTCCGCTATCGTACCTCCAAGGGAAGGCGCGATTTCATTCTCTATGGCACCTGGGTGAGCTGTTCTAGTGGCAGAGCTCAGCGTTGTACTGATCTGATTTGATAGTGGTATGGATTCTGTGAGGCCTCTTGGGAGACGCTAGAGGATGCGGATGAGCATACTCAGGAGCTAATTAAGAACGTCTGGGAGGCAATTGGTATACAGGGCCTGGACGACCTGCCGCCAATGAAGGAAGTTCGCTGTCCCGAGGAGTTCGTCAGTATGTTGACTTCCCCAATTCACAGGATGTTCAATTAACATGACATGTAGTTCAAACCTCCCAGAACTCACGCCGCTTCTTCAAAGCCAATGGTATTGAGCCGCCCAAAGGATCTGATCGCCTTTACCTTTAGGCAGGAGTAAATAGTCGCTCTTTCAACACTTCTCCTTTGCTTGAGATCACGATGTGGGAAGGGGCAGGTGTCTGAAGCATTTCCCCTGGCAAGGTCTCCTCTCGGGTACCCGAGGGTGCCGGGGGTGGCCGGTCTGGCGTGTCGCAAATATGTTGCTCTCATGGCCGGTTTTCTGCTCTCCCCCAACCCTGCCCCGGCTTCAGCGCATCTGACAACGACCCAGCCGAACCTGTTGCGTGCTAATGGCCCACTCGCAGGGCCGTCGCCGTCGCCGATACATCAGCCTCGAATCCCTTCAACGCCGTCCCCAAATGCACGTCAGGTGTGGACTACGTCGATGACTAGCCTGACAATGCACGGTCTCACGCGCCAATTCCCCTCTACACCAAATATGACTGCGCACGAGGTACATGCTGCTCCCCGATTCTCGAAGCGTGCATTGCATTTCCGGGTCCGTAAGCGCACACCAACGGTGTTGCGTCATATAGCGACTTCTCCTCACCCGTGGACTACACGCCTATCGCCGTTCGGAGTCATCGCCCAAGCGACCGCCAGAGCAGCCGGCGCATACTGTGGTGCACTGGATGTATCGGGACCGTGCTCGCTGGCGCGAGGAGGTTGGAGAAGCTCGAGAAGTGCGTGTTGGATCACTCTATTTGTCTACACGTCGCTAACCTAGACTGCCAGATGGACCGTCAACCACGTCGGCGCACTTGAGCGGCGCATGGTCACTCTTGAGGAGCACCTCGTCGGGCAACGCTGTGTGAATCCGTTCGATGACCATCCCTTCATTACTGCCAAGCGCAATACCACTCACGGAGAAGACGACATGACGCTCTCCCCCACTGTCGCTTCACCCTGACCGCAAGCTGTCGTTCATCCGCCACGAGCTCGAGGAGCTACAAGTTTGCGTTGGCGAGATGGCGGAAGTTGGGAAGGAGATGTGCAACTGAACGCGCTGCTGCTCGAGGGAAGGTGCAGGTACAAGCTCCCTCGCAGGTCGCCGAGGACGTCAGCGCCATCCGACGCGAGGTCGCCAGGGGCCGCGGTGAGATTGGGCAGGTCAGAGGGGAAGTCGGGCAGGTCCACGGCAGCGTGCAGAGCGTCTCGCGCGAGGTCGACCGGCTCGGGCGGAGGATGGTAGCATGTCCTGCCAGTGAAGCAAGATGAGCAATAACTTGGGCTCTTCGAGAACTGAGATGGTGTGCGTGCCGCCGATGGAGTAGGTGAACGCCTGCGACCTGGGAGACATGGCGACCGAGATCGGGTCTTGAGAAGGGGAGGCGCGCTTGATCTCGGCGAGGAGGGACGAGCTGCCGGAGGTGTTCTGCTTCAGGCGGTTGACGAAGGAGATGAGCGGAGGGGAAATGTCAAGTAAGTAGCTAGCGAGGAGCTGCGACGTCGTGCCCGCCGTCGACTGCACCCACGCCACGTCGCCGGTGCGCTTCATGTAGAGCTTGTCCAGGATAGAGGACGTCTTGGATGACATGGTCAGCCTGCCGCGGCATTGTTTGCGTGAGGAGGGGAGGGAGGGAGCAGTCGTTGACGCGGGCCTCCAGGTTCTCCTCTCAGGTGCCATTGCAGAGTTTGTACCTACAAGATCAGTCAGTACCACTAAATTGCATATAATCCTATGCTGTTCCACTTGGTGGGATGCTCCGGCTTCAGATGAAGCAGCATTCATTGTGTGAGCAAGGGGAGGACGGCCGGGGGGCTATTGCACGTGCATACCTTATCTCTCCCCGAACCGCTCCTTCCCCTTCCAATACTCCTCTCTCCGCCCGCGATGTTCATCTTCGGTCGTCAGCCACCGCCCGGGCCGCCGCGCCTCGCCATTCCCGAGCTGCTGTTCGAGATCTTCCGCGGATGCCTGGACGATGGTGAATTCAGCCGTATGCGCGTCGGGATGAGGACTGACGCAAGCAATCAGACCCCGTCGAAGAGGAGGATGGAGAAACAGACATTCGTACGTGGCTCCTCTAACCTCATCGTTCGCTGCTAACTCTTCCAGACCTTCCGCCGTGCACTGCGCGCCTCCGACTGAGCGTCATGCTCCGTCCGGCGGCTTACCCTGTTCGGCGCCCCACCAGGATCCATCCAGCGCGCCATCGATGTCTGCCCACCACCCGCGAACCTGCTTCCCAAGCTGCAGACGCTCACCCTCACCCAGCTCGTGGCCCGGCTCAGGAACGGGGACACGTTCGCCACCACGCTCGCCTGCGCCTTCCTCCACATGCTCCTCAGCAGCGGCGCGGGCAGCCCCTGCTCCTCGCCCCGCCACCTGCGCCTCCGCGACTGCGCACCTGAGCTCTCGCTGCACCTCCTCGCGCACCCGCTCGCCGCCCGCTTCGAGGACGCTGCGCTCGACGTGCGCCTCGCCGACCTTGCGCGTCTCCCCGCGCCGACCTTGCGCGTCTCCCCGCGCCGACCTTGCGCGCCTCCCCGCGCCGACCTTGCGCGCCTCCCCGCGCCGACCTCGCGCGCCTCCCGTGCTGCCCACCCTCCGCCGCTTTCGCGTGCACGCGCTCGACGACGCGCACCACGCCCTCCCGCTCCCGCGCACCCTCCGCGACATCCTCCCCGCCCACCGCGTGCTCGCCCGCCTCGCGCACGTCGAGATCACCTGCCCCGTGCAGTTTTTCTACGCGAACGTCGCCGCCGTCGCGCGCGTGCCTAGCCCTGCAGACGCTCGTGCTCACCCCGCACCCGACGGGCGCGCAGCGCCTGACGCTCGGCGCGCTCGTCCCGCTCGCGCGCTACTGCCCGAAGCTCGATTTCATCACGCTGCCGCTGTGCACGCTGGACGTGCCGAGCGGGGGCGCGGGGGACACTACTACTTCGGCGGTCGCTCTGCTGCCTCCCTCGGCTGTCGCTCGGTTGACTCCGTCGACGCTGCCGCCCTCATCATCCTCTTGTGGCGCGCCCTAGGACGCTCAGACAGGAACCACGACGAGCATGTGCCCGCCGACGATCCCGTTCTCCTCGCCAAGTTCCTCGTTTCACTGTTAAACGGGCTCAAGTGCGTGTGGACGACTTGGCGGCGGAACGCGTGGCAAAGGGACTCGACAAGGAGAAGGTCGAGGACTACTGCGACACGCCAGTAGATTAAGGTATCTGGAATGACCTCGAGCCCGCTATGCCTATGGTGCGTCTGCGCTAGCGAAGGGATTGTACAAGTATGCCCGTATTGTAACATACCAATGCGATGCTTCAACTCCCTTTGTACGACGCAGATCCGAATGAGACAGCCAAAATCCGTGCCACCTGCTGATCCCTCGGGTACCCGAGGGCCTCGAGGAACGTTGACGTACTCAACCCCACGCCACCGCGATGTGTCAACCCCCTATCCAAATTTTGTGGGGCCGAGCGTGCTGCCCCCAGGCTTCCACCACCATTGTCGGTTGGGTCCGTGCTTCTCCGAGGGTCTTGCTTCTTCTTCTTCCCGACCACCACCGTCCCATTCCTTCCGCTCCCTTCCTAGAGTCGGCTACTCAGCTGGTACATTCCGGCGTTGTTGCGAGTACGTCGTCTTCTACCATCTTGTTGCGGGCTGTACTGATCTCTCTTGAAGATATACGATGCTTAGCTTACCCGCTGAGGATGGCGCCCTCATCGAGGCCGCGCTTGCGGAATACATCGACCGTCGGCGGGATATTGCGCCCGAGTTTCAGACAGCTCTTCACCGGGTGCAGGTTGAGCGTGCTCGGGCCGTCTCTCAAGCCATCGAAGACCTCGGCGAGGTGGTGGATGAACATGCCATCGAAGTGCGTCTTGCCATGATCACTTTCATAATAGATCTGACTGTCTCCTAGACTGCCCATCCCACCACTCCATCGTCATCTTCAACCCCGCCACGTTTGTCAGCCGGGTCACCGTCGCCGATGTCTTCCTCCTCGTCTTCTTCCTCGTTTCCGGAGATCTCATGGCCAACTGCTATCACTCCCATGCCTATCCCTCCATGCCCGACGTGCAATCCAGAGGCCTACCGGCAACGCCCAGAAGGCGTGTACAATGACCAGCCAGCCCCGTCATCATCGCTCCTTCTGAAGGTCCCATTCCCGGGCGATATCCGCCAACGTCTTCTTGATGGTGATCTGGATGGTCCCAGCCAACCTCAGTCTGCCCGTCAACAAGACGAAGATGACGACGCATTGGAACTGGAGGAGCTCAACCACTACGACCTCGATATCACGTACTTTGGTGCTGGAGGTGGTGACGTTCCTCCGGGCGATCCTCCTGGCGGCAATGGCGGTGGCGGCGGGCCGGTCGTAGTCCACTGGGACAACTGTCCAAACCGCAACGCGGTAGCAGCGCAGTCCTCGAGTCATGCTGACCGCCGCTACATCGCGTCGGAGGATCTTCCCAACTTGCCACCCGATGAGGGTCGCTTTATCCATACCGTGGTCCATCGGCTCAGCATCCCCATGACCGAGGAGGTGGAGGAGCGGTTCCGTGGCCTGGTTGACATGGTACGCGGGCAGGACTTCCAATCTAGCGCCAACTGGGCGGACGCCTCATTGCAAGATCTTTTCATTCGCTGTCACCACATCGGACGAAATCAGTACGGTCATCTCTTCATCGACATGATCAACCTCATCCAGCTCGTCGCTCGCTTCTCAAGGTATGTGGACTCCATTGCTATCATATGCTTGTACTCATCCATATGTAGTGTTCAATACCAGTACGCCGCCGCCAACAACAAGCACATGTCGTACATGCGAGTTGTTGAGAATTATCTGGCCTACGACGATGCGAATGACGACAAGGGTGTCTTGCTCTCAACCGCCTCACCTCAAGTGCGCAAGAACATCCTCAACAAGCGACGTGCCCGGCTGGAGAAGGCTGTCGGATATGGTCGACGCTATGTGCAACTTGCGTCAGGAGGTACTTGCATTCCTACACGGTGCTTTCCTGTTTTGACAGTGTTCCTAGGAACAGTGTACCTGCTCATCCTCATCGCCATCAAGCATCTGAAGACCGACATCCAGGAGTCTACTCGAGAAGGAGAGATCTTCTGGCTGGCGAATATCCTGCGACGACCGTATACTAAGGTCTCATGTGGTGAGTAGTGTGTGCTGTCATCTCCGCCTCTCCCCTCCCTTGACGCTCATGTTGCTTAGTAAGTGCTCGAACTCGTGATACGATTGAGCGTATACGCCGTGGCATCATTCCAACCCTCAACTATCTGCGGCGGATGCTCCCTCTGGAGTTTGGCGCCATGGTCTCATCCGAATTTCGTGCCAAGTTCAACGTCGCGGAGCGAGTCCGATGTGATGACATCCTTGCTTCCGATGCGTTCTTTGACAGTATACCCACCAAGTATGTATGTGTTGACTTCTGTTGATAGCACGGACGCTGACCCTTTTGAATAGAACATTGCAAAATGTTCCTCGAAACTACGTCGTTTGGTCTGCTCTTATGCAACCAGTGGCCTCCGATGTTGGCGTCGTCGACATGGATCAAGTTACTAAACGCACCATGCTTGACAATCCGAACCAGTCCAACCCGTCCACGGTAACCGTACTCCCTTCCACATCTGTTCAGGAGGAGAGCTCAAGACTGGTCGTTGAGCACGTCCCAGACGAGCCCGACCTGGAGGGAGTTGAGGTATACAAGGTGCCCATCAACATGTCTGCGCCCGCCAACCTGCGTCAGCCCTACCCTACTCGGGACCGCGCTGCCCGAGACGATTGGAATTCTCAAGAGAGGAAGAAGGCCTATCAGCGTGTCATCGTTCCCACCGTCGACGACCTTGTCGCCCATGTATGTGTTGTTGTTTTATTAAGTTCCTTTGCTGACTTGACCTTTAGATGAATGATCACTTCAGAGATGGCGTGCGCAAGCCTGATGCCCCATATGTTGAGGTTGAACGGGCGGCCTTTGACAAGTGAGCAGGATGAATACGTCGATTCTCCTCGTACTCAGTCTTTTCACAGTGCGGAGGTGCTCCTCAAGAGTATCGATGACTCGCTAGTGGCAATGTTGGTCGGCAACATGCCTGATGACATCCGGTCGTCACTCCGAGACAACCTCAAGGCCGCCCTTGCTATTGTCGGATTTCATAACTTGGAGTCTTACGACGTGAGTATCTGCGTACCTGATTATCTTGTGATGATATTGACGCTCAAGCAGTCCGTCTTGGACGCGCTGAAGCCGTTCATATGTATGCATTTCTCGACATTCAATCGATGTGGCTCGAGGGTATGTTGTGCCATTCTTTTGATGTTTGTTAACTCACTGGTTATAGGGAGATGACGCACCCACTGACATCCATCCCTTGTTGTTGAGAAGGGAGGGTGGTCGAGTCAACCATCACCAGTTTGTGCCGTATGTCGCCAAGGAGCTCAAAGAGAACTATCCCGTGTATAGATCTCTCTGCGAGTCTCTGGAGCGCATGTTCCAATGGATATCGATGAAGGTGAGTTCTCATCACGCGCTCTAGTATTTGTTCTTATGTGCTGTATAGATCCGCCAGCGCCTGCCCGACATGCATAAGGAGCTGGTCATGATGGCAGAGGTCATGCCCCAGTCCAATCCTGCATACCCTTTCACCGGCTTTGTCGTCAACATCAATGTTGCAACAAAAGCCCATCGAGACGCCAACGACTTCCACGGCTGTGCGTTGATAGTCCTCGGAGAGCATCAGGGTGGTGAGCTATGTCTGTACGAGCCAGGTCTCGTGCTTCCGCTTCGAGAGGGTGATCTGTTCGTCTTTCCCTCTGGGCGAATCACTCATTTCAACCTCCTCTACAAAGGGGAGCGCGGATCTATTGTTTGTCATTCTGACAGAGCGGGTACTTCATGGATGCGTAGCCAGAATGGCTGGAATGGTAATGTCTATTGCCCTCGTACTTAGTATCATAAATATCTGCATCTTCTACTTGAACCCTGAAAGATTCGTAGTAACCATGCTCTATATGACTTGCCTTGTGTGCCGCTCTCACGTGATAATAAAACATGTCACGCTGATGTCACAAAATTATCTCACCACGGTGATTGCCGTGCCATCCGTGTTCCGTCCATTGCGGTTTGCAACGCTCCTTGCCTCCGCCCTTGATCACGAACCGTGCTCAACGCCGCCAGCCATCCCGTCTTTTACCATGGCCCCGGCGCCCAAGCAAGCAAAGCGCAAGGGCAAAGGAAAGGGCAAGGCGAAGGCGAAAGGCGTGCCGGGACCAAAGTCCTGGGCGGATGGGCCTCCAGAGAAGCTTCTGAGAAGCCACTATCCAGACTGGCAGCACGCAAGGCAGAAGGGCAAGCCGGCCGTCGGGCGTTTCTACTATCACATGACCTCTCTTATCTTCTTTCTCTGGGGCGATGGTCCTAACGTGACGCGACGCCTGCCTCTCCTCAGCAAGGACGAGAGCGATGACAACGACGACAAGAACTCCATAAGCGATGACGAGGACGACAACATCCATGAGCCAGACCTGAAGGAGCTTGAAGAGTGGGAGCGCAAGCTGATCTTGGGCCTCGACGATGGACAGGCGGAGAAGCGCCGGGCTAAACGCGAGCAGGTGAAAGAGGTGTGTTGGCTGCTCTCTGCATACGTATCTGTCATTCTGATGTACTGTCCAGAAAGTATCCAAGTTCTATCAAACGAAGATGAAGCAGCTCGACGACGGCGGCATTGTCCGTGCTCTCAAAGAGGCTATGTCTTCCGACACTGTCCCCCGCCCTCGCCGTCAACGCCTCGACAACTTCATTCAAAGGAACTACTATCAAGCGTTCATTCGGGAGCTTTGGGAGAAAGAGTGGGCAGGCAAGGTCGACACCATCGCACCTGAAGACCAGAAGGGCGAGCAACTGCGTCTACGGAACAAGTTCTGCTGGGACTGGTTCCAAGCTCAACCCGAGTCGTTCAAAGCTCAAGCACAAGGCGCTCTTGACATGGCAGCTGACGCCGAGGCGGCCGTATACGAGAAGAAGGTTGAGGATAGGCTGGCGCAGGAGCAGGAGGAAAGTGCGGTGGACTATGCTGAGTGCGTATCTTATCTGTTTGTTGCCGTCTAGCATTTCTAACTTATGAGCTGCAGAAGGCTCTCGAACGCTGGCGCCATTATCATCCCGATCACCAACTTCCTCCATTCATACTTCAAGACGAACATCGACCTATGGCTTACCGGGCCCAATCCGCAGAGTGACGGCCAAATGTCTTGTCGAAGGTAGCATCTCTGATTGTGCCCATTAGCAAAGCGATGACTTACATCCAATGTAGCGCACACGCTGGTCATACATATGACATGAAGGGGCTACAGCTTGGCGAGGCGGATCCGGTGGGCACATCCAAGATCGAAGATGTGTTGCTTCGACACGCGGAGAACTGCTATTGTGAGTCCTTTGGCATGCTCTACAAGCATATCTTGACTTCTCGCTAGCACAGAAACGGCGCAAAGAACTAGCTCTACCGCCTTCAACAGCAGCTGCATATCCGAGCAAGATGACGTTCCGCGAGCGCCATGTACCAACGTCCAAGTGCTACCCTCCCGTGGCACCGGAATCAGTATGTTCCTGCGACGACATAGAGGTCGATGCAGAGATGGATCAGCAGTCCGACGAGCACATGGTCTTCGCGAGCGAGGCCAGCACTAGTACCAGTCCACCGCAAGGCAGCTCAAGTGGCAAGGGCCATGTTGCTCGTAGTGCGCCCGGACCAATTGATGCTGGCAGCTCTGAAAGCGCCGCTCATTCCGGTGGTCCTGCTCAACAAGATGTGCGTGTCCAAGACGCTTCTGATAGCAGCGGGCCAGCCCATCATACGGTTCAGGCATCCCCATCCTCCACTTCCTCTCGATCTTCAGACCTCGCTGCCCCGTCAACGCCGGGCCCTCTGGCACTGCGCGAGGTCGAGGTGCTGTCTCCTGCAGTCAGGCATGTACCTGCTCCCCGGCGTCCATCCAATCGGGTGACATTTCGGGCTGGCGCGGGGGCAACGTCAACTGCAGAACCAACTCCGCCAGCTTCGCTCAATCCGCCGATCAATCCGCCGATCAATGACCTTCCCGTCACCCCGCCACCCCTCCCCCTCTCTGGACCGCCCACAAGTACAAGTACAGAGGTGGCTTCGACGGCAAAGGCCCCTCCCCCACCTACCCGAGCACGCTCTCAGTCATTCTGGACATCCTCTCGTGATAGGTCGACCTCTTTGCCGCCTTACCTGAACTCTGCCTTCAACGGCCTTACTCAGGGACGGAAATGGGGCAAGACCTTTGAGCAATGCTGTTCGTCGCTCTTCCGGCTAGAGGAGCAAGCAGGATACCCTCTATCATCTGTCCATCCTGCAAAGGGGAAGCGTGCGCCTCCCGCCCTAGGCAAGTGGATGAAGGGGGCTCGCAGTTGGACCGACGCTCAGGACGCCATTGATCCATCCTCTTACCCAACATTCTTCTCCGCATACTGGCGTAATATCAACCCTAGCGACCGAAGCTGGGATCCAGAGACGAGCACATTCCAACCTGGACCCCTTCCGCCATCTATCGAGTCGTTGCGCAACAGGACGGGGCCTGACGGGCTTGTACTGGTGCTTCTTCTTCTGCTGTGGTGGAGACGGTCGACGCAGGGGAAGGAGGACTTGCTGAAGTGGCACGCTGCGGTGAATGACGTTGCTGCTGTCTTCAGTCATCTACTGGGTGATGCGAAGAGCACAAGGTATGTCTTTGAACAGTCGCTCCACAACTATCGACTCACATTGGCTTAGAAAGAAACGAAAGGCATCTGGACAGCCTGAGGAGGCTACCGGCGTCAGCTCTCCCTCTACATCTCAGCCCGCAGCAAAGCGGCAGCGTTCAGAGAGACCACCTAGTGAGGCAAGGCAGAGCTCTCGTGTTCGTACTGCAACAACCAAAGCTACCACCTCCACAGACCCTATCGTACGAGGACTTCATTCTTCTCGACGCAAGAAGCCAGCGCTCTAGACTGTTCCTCTCATCTATAGCCCTTACGCTCTTTATGACCTCTGATGCCTTGCCTGCTACGTTACTGACGACTCTTGACTCTACTGTTTTTGTGACTGGCACCGCGCTAGACATACGGTGCATCTGGTTGGTAATACACATCCAGTTCTAACACTCTTTTAACTGTCACCATAGATCTAATTCTAGTAGCTATTTTACTGTACAGTTCGTATTTAGAGAATCCCAATTGGCCATTTTGCAACTAGTTGCTGTGCTTTATTTGTGTGAATAAGCCTGGTATCAAAGTAACTAGTTCTGACGCCGCTATTACTGAGCGTGGAAGTTGAATCTAATTAAGACTACTGCAATATTTACTGAGAAATCTATCTGTTTGTCCTGGTATAGGACTTGGGTGGCATCTAGTTATACCACTAATTTTACTGAAGAGTGAATCTAGTTTCTCTGCTAATCTTACTGATGGAAAACATCTAGTTGTATGGCTAATATTACTGAGGAAAGCATCTAGTAGCACCCATAATCTTATTGGGGAAAGCCACTAATGACAGAATCTACTATCAGGCCCTTCATCCAGGTTCTGAGCCAAAGCTAGTGAGGGACTACAACAAGTTCCAGCCCCAAGTTTGTGGAAAGGCCCTCACAAACTAGTGAGAAGCAACGCAATGTGGCCTTCACAGTTTTGTGTCCCGCATCCAGTTTTTTTTACCTTTTCAGCAGAAGCTACGCCCGACACGGAGATGGCGAATCCCTCAGAGGTCCCCTTTCCAGGCATCTCTCAGCCTGATGTGGGTGTTGGCTCGTCCGGTCCCTTTCTCGAAGGAGCTGCAGACATGGGCGAGAGAGCTGGTGTCTGGCGTACTCGCGTTCGATGCGAGACCATCGGTAGTACGAGCAGTCGGGGCTCAGATTGTAGCTCCGATGCAGGCTCCGACTCAGCAGACGCCTTCGGCTTCTGGGGAGAAGAGTCGGATGAGGAAGAGGCTGGATTTGAGCTCGGAGAGGACGATATAGCGCCCTGGCTGCGTGGTCTATCCAAGATCGATATCCTGCGCGAGGAGTTCGAAGTAGACAGGACGAAGCATGGTACGTCGACTATGCTCAGGAGTGACTCCTTATACTGAGATCCTTCGTCTAGGGCATTGTATGTCAGCTGATGACATGGAGAACATCCGCGCGTTCAACTACAAGGTTGAAGCTGACCTGAGCGCGCAGAACTACACGAAATTGCGCCGTGCATTCCCTTCCCTCAAAGACCTTCTCACACACAATCGACTCCAGACCCGTATGGCCTTCCTATCCGGTCTCTCGCCGTCCCGCTTCGATTGCTGCGTCAACTCATGCTGCTGCTTCACGGGGCCATACACGGCGCTCGAGCAGTGTCCGTTCTGCCACGCGAGCCGCTATTCTGGCAGCTCCAGGCGCCCTCGCAACACCTTCAACTATCTACCCCTCGCTCCTCGCCTATCCAACATGTTTCTCAATGATGACCTGGCAGACAGGATGCGGTATCGCCACGATTACAAGACACGCGCAGGACGCACTGCTGATGTCTTCGACTCGAAGCTCTACAAGGATCTGTGCCGTCACCACGTCACCATTGGTGGTGAGGAGCTGCCGCACAAGTTCTTTCAGTACGGCACGGACATCGCGCTCGGCATCTCAACTGACGGCTTTGCCCCCTTCAAGCGCCGCAAGCAGACTTGCTGGCCTCTCATCGTGTTCAATTACAATCTGCCCCCCACCATCCGATTCCGCCTCGAGAACATCATCTGCCTCGGTGTAATTCCGGGCCCAAACAAGCCAAAGGATATCGACTCGTATCTCGTTCCGCTCGTGGACGAGCTCATCCAATTGAAGCGAGGGGTCCCTGCAATCGACAGGAAGAACCAGCGCATGTTCGCTCTCCATGCGTACCTGGTTATCCTCTTCGGGGACATGCCAGCCGTTGCGATGCTCATGAAGATGAAGGGCCACAACGGCCAGTCACCGTGCCGCGCTTGTCGTATCCGAGGAGTCCACGCACCAGGCGGCAAAACATTGTACACACCCCTTCATCGTCCCCCCGCGCCACTCGACCCGCTCAATCTCCCCCTTCGCACCCACGATACGATGATGCAGCAGGCACTCCAGGTGTCCGACCCCACCGTGTCTGCAGCCGAGGGAAACGCGCGCGCGAAGCGCTTCGGTATCAACGGTGTCTCAATTCTCTCGACCCTGTCCAGCATCTCGTTTCCTGCGTCATTTCCACACGACTTCATGCACCTTCTCGAGAACATCATTCCTGCCCTCGTCTCTCTATGGACAGGAACATATAAAGACATCCACGGCGGCCGCGCTGACTACGTCTTCTCGGGCTCGGCACTGGAGGCATTGGGCGAGGCGTGTGCGGCATCGTCTCGTACAATCCCTGCCGTCTTTGGGGCACGCATCCCCAACATTGCCACGCAGCGCTACCAGTTCATTGCCGAGACCTGGATCCTCTTCGCGACGTTGCTTGGGCCGGCTCTTCTCCACCGCCACTTCTCGAAGAAGGAATACTACCATCATTTCGTCAACCTCGTCTCTCTAGTCAACTTATGCTTGCAGCTCGAGTTGAGTGACGAAGACATCCTCGCCATTGAGCACGGATTTGCGGCATGGGTGAAGGAGTACGAGGAGTAAGTGTTTTTTGCTCTGGCTGATGCTTTCGTTCTACTTATTACACGTGCAGGCTATACTACCAGCAGTGTTCGGGGCGCCTTCCAGTATGCACGTTACCCGTACACGCTCTCCTCCACGTCGCAGACGACATCCGGAACGCTGGCCCCGTATGGTGCTACTGGGCCTTTCCCATGGAGCGCTTCTGTGGTGTACTTGGTCGCGCGGTCAAGAATCGGAAGCACCCGTATATCAGCCTCTCCCACCGAGTCCGCGATGTCGCTCAGCTCAATCAAATCAAGCTGATCTATGGGCTATCCGAGGAGTTGGACCTCTCCGACGGCAAGGAGATGGAAATCAACGGACAGAAGTATCCTTCGTGTACGTGCATCTGTTGGTTCAATGCTATCAGCCTATCAATCATTTCCCAACAGACCCAGACATTGCTCTTGTACGCCCATCGTCGACCCTTCCTATCTCGAATGATCTTCGCAACAAGATCGCGTCCCACCTTGCAACTATATACGAATCGCAGCGCAAGCACATGCTTCACTTCGTGCCGACGCAGCTGAAGCATTGGACTAAGCTCAAGATAATTGATGGCGACCTTATTCACGCATCCAGTCTGGTGCCCAACAACGACAGCTCGGCTTATAGTCGGGACGCAACCTATGCACGGGTGCGTGTCATGCCGTTTTTCATCTCCTGGTGCTCGTGCTCACGAAGGGATTGCAGTATACCCTGGATATTGACAAGTTTCGCGAGCAGCCAGCTCGTGAGCCGGAGTTCGAGCGTCGAGTATACTTTGGGCAGGTGCTAAAGTTCTTCGAGCTCAACTTACCAGTGAACTTCCCACACACCTCCGGCGATATGCCAACGACACACGTTCTGGCCCAAGTCCTGTGTCACCATGTCGAGTCTGACGACGACAAGGTCTGGTACTACGACTCAACTTGCCCCGCCCCATCTCTCGAGATCATCGACGTAGATCAAATCGACTGCCTTATCGGCCGCGTGAAGGATGACCGGCGCTGGGTCATTCTCGAGAGACCAGCTATCGCGGAGAAGGTCGACTTCGCCACGGAGCTGCGCGAGATCGCCGTCGAGACCCGTCATTGAAGCGCCGCTCGCGCTATTCAACAGTTCGCTCGTGACGGCCGGGTTCTTGACAAGCTCCTGAGCTTAAAGCGACGGAATGGGCAGCCTCCGTCACCGTCGATCTGCACGCGCGTACCGCGCGCATTGCTTTCGGCGACCCCAACTGCGCACCCGCTGTTGCCATACGTGGCTTCCCACAGAGCGGTGGCTCGCGCCACGCCCGGCCCTCCGTCTGTGACGCCCCAAAGAAGAGCACGAAATGCCAAAGACGAGATCCTCCCTCGCGACTGCCAGACGGTGCAGCAGCAGGAGATGATGCATGGGCTTGCGCCGCTGCACTGCAAACCGGCGCCTCTCATGAGGAAGCGGCCGACGCGCACGCGTCAGCCTCTGCGACTCGCTCTTCTGCCCCATCTCCGCCGTCTGCGTGTCCGTCATCGCGCAGCACGTTCTCGCCGACCCGTGTGCCGCCCGCTTTCCCCATTCTGCCATTTTCCGCTCCCCGCTACTAAGGCGATGGAACGTTGTCGTGTTCACAACAAGCGCTCGACGTCGATGAACACCTACGTACGCCCGATGCGCCTGCGCACATGCACGGATGAACGATGGGCCAAGTCGCATGGGACTTGCAGAGCGGGGCTCGCCACCGCCTTCCCCTGCACCAACTACGCTTTTCGGGCCCCGCTATATCTCACCTCGACCCGCGCATGCCCCGCCCGCATTGACGTCGGGCTGCACCGCTCCGCCGCGCGCTAGGACGCGTTCATGCCCGTCGAGGATGAGGTTTGCCGGCGCACGCTCTGATGCGTCTAGGCATGGGACAAGCAAATCGCGGCGCATCTCGGGCGCCCGCCCGTTTTGCGCTTGCGCGACTGCGACGAGGGCGAGCCGGCGCCGATGGACGACGGGTACGTGACGAGCTAGGTCTATGCGAGGCGGGATGCCATGGTCTCTGAAACTATGTCTCGAAGGGAGGCAAGGGCGACTTCACGGTACCGAGAAGGCTCACGCGCGTCACCGCGCCTGCTACAGCGTCATGCAGCAGTCGGCGAGGGAGCACGACACGAGGCAGAGGATCTACCCAGCGATCACATCGACGGACTCTACGAACCGTCCAAGCTCGTGAGGGCCTGGTCGTACCATCCGTGATACAACGTCGACTACATGTGAGACTGCTTGTAGTGGAAGTTAGTCACTCGTCAATTCGAGACATTTCACGATGAGATGGTGATCTTATTTCTCTCAAAAAGCGCCGAGTAGGGATTTCGCTACTGGGGTACGTGAATTTCGCGTACTTCTCCTCCTCCAGTGAGTTCCTTCGCCAAATGCTTCCCACAGTGCCTTATCCAGTCACCTTTGCGGTCGAATGATGTCTTCTTCTTGCAGACCTCTCCACCCCTGCCTTCGAAGATGCAGCGGCCGTCCACGAACTTAGCCACATTACCATGCCCACAGTCCACCGTGAACGTTTTGTTAGCGCCCGGAATGGCCTCTAGCGTCCGCTCGGGCTCAATGGCATAGTCCTGAGGGAGTCCTGGGATGTCTACCGTGCGCTTGCGTGGATCCTTTTTGATGCGTTGCTCGGAGTTTGCGTTCTTCTTGGCCATAGTATTGAAAGAGCGAGGGCGAGCAAGATTGACCGGTCGCAGTGCAGAGGGTCAGAGTAAAGCGTTCTGTAATGGGAGTAAGAGCCACCTGCAATCTTCTACTATATACCTGCGCAATGCCTTTGTGCCCGAAATGGTAAGGCGCCGTCACCATGTCGACGAGACATGGTGCATGGACGCGCCGGCGCGGGGCTGAAAGACTCATAGGAGCTGTTCTCTCAATGGCAGGAGATATCGTTCGTCTTTGAGAGGCGTCTGCTAGCATTGACAGGAGCATGGGATATGCGTGACAAATGAAGTGTGACAGCGCCAGTAGCGTTTTCTAAATGCGAGAAGACATGTCCTCCATCCTGAAAGCACTGATTAATCCTCTTGGCATTCTCGACACCTTGAAGACCTGCGGCTGCTGAATGGACTCAATGGAGAGAGGAAGAAAGCAACGGCGTGACTGTGACGCATGCTCACGTGCAACGACGAGCAGCTTCCGGCAAGTGCCGGTCCGCTCTTGCCTCCTTCGCTCGCGAAGTATCCCTGAAATATGTTCAAGTGGACGATCTGTGGTCAATCACGTCGGCCTTCGTATGGACTCGTCCTGCCCTCATGGCAGGGCAGCGACTAAATGCTAGACTTTCGCAGTGGGATCATGGATAGCGAGCCGGGACATCGACTATATGATGAAACGAGGGACAACTGAAAGGAAATCGGGGCTGATATATCGACCAGACCAGGGTAGCGCTAAACACCCTTGGCTTGCGCTTCAGGAGATCTCACCGTGGGAGAACGGCCTACCTTCTGCTTCCCGCGGAAACCTTCCATCCTGCCGACATCCCGCCATCGCACCTTCGCGCGTCAGATTGCGCAGACGTCCTTCTCCTCGACCAACACCGTCTTCTGCTCGACCCCGACAGGTCCTTACGCTCGAACTGCTGCTTGACCATGGCCGTGTATGTCTGTTCCTGATTTGATCAGCGCTGATATGACGCGGGGCGGGGGCGCGCATGACCCGCCTGAGACTTTCCGTATACGGGCTGTGGACAAGGGCAATCGCGCCCCGCGCCGCTGATCCCTGGAGGGAAACCTCAAGGCGAAGCACGATCGGGGGAGGGAATGTGAGCGCACGCCCAATCAGCAGCGGCGGCGAAGGATCTAGGGCGACGGCGCAGATGGATCCCTCTCACGCACACCAAGCCTATCCCCTTCACCCTGTATCGGAGCTCGTGTGTCTGATATAAACCCGGATCGCGCTGGGGCATGTATTCACGCTTGCTTCCCCCCTCCACCTCGCGACGCGACACACAGAAATGGTCGAGGTTCAGGCGTGCTCGATGAGCGATATGCATGGGAACGCACTCCCCACCTCAATGGAGATCGGACTCGGCGACGTCAGGGGGACGTTGAGTGGATCCCTTACTCTCAAGGGCAAGCGGCAGGCAGACTACGCGCCCATCCTTCCCTTCGAGCTGTTATACGACGTACTCGACGTCGTCGACGCACGATTGGATCATGATACGCTCAAAGCACTCGCTCTCACCTGCCGTACCCTCCGCGCGCCCAGCCAGCGCCGCCTCTTCCGCCGCATCCACCTCTCGCGCAGCCGCCCTCGCCGCCTCAAGAAGGGCTCTCAAGACTGGGAGCTGATCCCCTGCCGCCGACTGCGCGAGGCCCTCGAATCGTCCCCCATCCTCGGCACGTACGTCGAAGAGCTCTACCTCGCCGGCGGCGGCCTCCTCTGCCTCGAGCGCAACGTACCCGCGATTATGCACGCGTGCACGCACGTCCAGACGCTCTCCGTCGAGTTCTTCGTCTGCAACGACAAGGAGTACGCGATGGTCGAGTGGCCAGACGTCCCGCCGCCGTTCAGGCGCGGGCTCGTCGCGCTGCTCGCATTGGAGACGCTCACCGCGCTCGAGCTCAGCGTCGCGACGTTCCCGATGGCGCTCTTACGCGTGTGCCAGAGCCTGCACGACGTGGTGTGGCGCGCGATACCGGGGAAGCGCGAGCCGACGCTGCTGTTCGGCTTCCCAGAAGAGCTGGAGGGAATGCCGCTGTATCAGTGCAAGGTGAAGAGTATCTTGCTGCAAAACCTCAGCCACGAGTTCCAGGCGATTGAGGACTTCACCATCACGGAGGCGCCGCCGTTCGATATCTCGATGGTGGAGGTCATGAAGCTGCACATCGACCGGTATTCGGCGCCGGTAGTAACGATGATTGGCCCAGTCTCGCACTCACTGCGCGAGCTTGAGCTCGTACTATCGTCAGGAGGTGAGCTCGACCAGCTGATGTAAGAGGCGACACACTGACAAGTCCAACAGCCATGAAGTACGACCTCGAGCAGGTGTGCTTCCGTCTGCGTGACTACCCTGTCCTTGAGAGCCTCCTTGTCTCCATCAGCATCGACAGCGCCGCCTACACCTCCACGCGGCCTATCCCCTGGCTCTCTTACATCTTCTCCGGCGCCCCGCACCACACGGCGCTCCGCCAGGTCGTCATCCACACCTACCTCACCGTGCGCACCGCATCGTCGATGTGGCCCGGGCTCGCCATGCCGCTCAACCTCCTCGAATTTCCAACGGAGGAGTACGAGATCCTGGACGAAGCGCTGCAGTCGGTGGCGAGCGCGTCGTTGGAAACGGTTCGGTTCTTGACGGCGGTGGAGAGGCGGGATTCGACGGGTGTGGCGAGGAGGGATTGGATGCCGGCGGAGCAGGTGGAGAACCTGGTGAGGACGAAGATGCCGAAGGCGTATTCGAGAGGGGTGATTGTGTTCGATAGTCTCAGTGGACAGTGATATTGGAGGCATCAATCGATATAATTGTACTGTTATCCTATCTCGTTCGGTATCTATTCATGCTGAATGCTACACGGCGAAGTTTCTGGCCAAAGACCTCAAGGTACAAGCTTCAGGGACATTCAGGCCGGCGCCTGCAAGTGTTCGTAGTTGACTTTCGGCATCCACCGGACTACTGTGACGGTGACTGTTCATTGGTCACATTATTCGCGGCGTGTTGTCCCGAACCATCATCAGGCAGCGCCGTAGACATGCATCCTGGAAGATATCCCCCTGTGTCAGACGATTCAACCTCTGGAAGGCTCTCAACCATGCATGGTACGTGCAGCTGCAGAACCATGCAAGACTAGCCGAGGCACGCGCCGGCGGGTCCCCACGCAGTCTGAGGGCACCTCACTGGCATGGTGACCAGCTGGTCATACTTCCCATCTTGGCACAAAGGCATCAGACAGGTATATATCAGGAGCATTATGGGCGCTCCTCAGCATCCCCCACGACCGTCTTTTCTTCTTTCTCTAGCACCCATTTTCCTTCCCCCCACACGCACTACTGCTATGACCGACCCGCTCGAGAAACTCATCACGAAGGTGCCCCATTTCATGAATGCAGCTTAGTTTTTTCTGACACTTCTGGCTCCAGACATTCCTCCCCATTCCCGAGACTCCGTACAAGGAATGGCCCGAAGATCTCAGGAGAGAAGCGAGGCTGGCGCCGGAGGACTCTGACCTGGTGTTAGAGGTCTTCAATCTCGGTGAGAACGGCACGCTGGTTCTTCGTAATGGTATCTGTGGTCACCCTGGATGTCTCGGCGCCAGACCGGTGAGAGACTCACAGCAACACGCGCGACAGCATATGACAGCAACGATGCAACGAGAGTTGTAAGTCCGTCTCGACTTATATAGTATGCGGCATGATTGTTGAGTATGGCACTAACCACAACAAGGGAGCGACTGCAGTGCCCAATTTGTGACAAGACCTACATATACATGCAAAGTTTGAAGAACCACATCAACGCCAACCAGTGAGTTGCTCCATCAATTCAATCCACTGCAGATGCTCTTGCTGATGCACATCTTGTGAAGCACGGACGAGCATGAATACTTGTGTCTGCTTCCGCACTGCAGCGTCGTCAGCAAAAACCAGGTACAAGCACTGCTGCACGGATTTGAGCATACGTTGGCTGCAACTTCCGCATCGCCAACGACGATCAAACCAGAAGAGGAGGGAACGGTCGCTGCTCAGTCTGTTTCGGACAAGACGCCTGGCGCGACGTCTCTCCCTGTATCCTCTCGGTCTATGTCGCACGCGCCAAACCTTCCTTCAACGCTCGCCATATCCGGCGCGGCCGCTCCGCAACCCTCTCCCCTCCCCTCAACTGCGCCGACGGGCAAAAATAGCGACAAAGCGGCGCATCGTCCCAGCGTGTATCGTATCCAGCCCACGACGCATTCGTCCTATATGCCCATTCCCGCCATTTCGAAACCGGCCAATCAATCGAACCCGCCCAAGGCCAACCCACCCGCCATTGCGCCTCCAGACCCAGCAAACTCCGCAGGGACGTTGCAACGCCCCGTCGAGGATCACCTCCCTGCCAACTGGCTGCTTGAGCCTGCAGTTCGGATCAGGCCAGGCGAGCCGATCGATTGTGGAGATGGCGTGCTCGCCCGCCACGTCGATTGCCTTTGCACTCTTGAAGCGGAGAATGACGAGGTCTGCGGCAAGAGGTGCGCGCACGGACACATACAATGGGTGATGCACTGCTTCGCAAACCATATGACGAAGGAAAAGCAGGAGATAATGTGAGCGAGCTTTCCGGATGCGTCTTCAACAATCAGCTGACGCCGCGATAGGGGTTGGCGGTGCGGATTTGCAGGGTGCACTACCAAGGCCAAGAGCAGGAGAGACCAGGTGCGGAATCACTACCTCAATAAACAGTCAGTACACATCTCTTGTACTCGTGGTCCACAGGACGAGCTGACGATCATCTCTGCCTTCACATTCAGCCACCCCGACAAGTTGTACGCGTGCCAAGCTTGCGGTGAACGGTTCAAGTCCGCTGACGATCTACGATCTCACGAGAGAAAAACGCACGGAGGCGAGGATGCGGCGGGGAGTACTTCTGCCTCAGTATGCGCCTCTGCTTCAAAGACGCCGGCGATTGCTACGCGCAAGCGCGATAGGTCAGTCTCAGGCGCGCATGCGCCAGAGAAACTGCGCAAGACGTCCAGCACGCGCAGGATGCCTATGAAAGCGGGCGGGACGCCGGTCGATCCGCAGCCGTGCGTGGCGCCATCTCGTGCACGCCCCATATCGCCGCTGCCGGGCTGGACGCCGCTTCCTGAAGCCACCGAACACCCCCAGCAGGCGCCTACCGCAGATAGCTCCAGGGAGTGTGCTCAAGTCCAGCCGCGGCAAGGCGCCCCACCTCGCGCCGCGCCAGCTGCCGCGCGCGTGTCATCGTCTACCACACGCCGGTCGCCGCCACCTACCATAGGCTGGCCAACATCGTACGAACGGTCCGCCGTCAATCGCGGCTTGCAATTGTCTACCACGCGCGAGTCGTCCGTCGTCTCGCTCGAGTCGTGGGCCACCCCGCCGCCCATCACACCTCTCGAGAGCACGTCCAAGCGCTCGTCATACCATTCTCTGGCCGTTATGCAGGAGGCCGAAGCCTCTGAAGCTACCTGCAATGAAGCCACTGGTGTTCACGGGGAGAACGAACACCTCGACGACGAGCCAGTCCAAGACCCTGCTGGACGCCGCGAGGCTGACGACGACAATCTCGACACGGAGGACGATGAGGAGGACCAACTGCTCTCGAGCGAGGGTCACGAGGACTTGGCAGAGGGCGAATACGCGTCGGATGTCGAGTTCGAGCTGAAGTATCTCACGGTGGTTCAGCAGTCCGAAGAGGTGTTAGAGCCGTTCGATGAGGATGACCGCCGTTCCGCCAGGCTCGAGGACGACCCCGACCACACCGACGACCTTGACCACGCCGACGACCTCGACTACGCCGACGACCTTGAGTACGCCGACGACTAGCCTTCCCGTCCGCACATCTATTTTACGGACTTTATTCCTTCCACGCTCATTTCCATCTCACCATCTACGAAACATCACGACTCGATCCAACTCGGGCGCTGGTCGCTCGTCTACTTACTCACCTACTAATGCGTACTTGCACCTTATGATTCCCTACTTGCACCTTATAATTCCCCACCTGCATTCTATAATCCTCTGATTCCTCTACACTCCCTAATACACGTATGTATACACACTCTCCCGTCGGATTGCTCTCTGCCTTGTATCTTAGCCACACCTCACGCGCCTTACGCCGCTCATACAGTAGCCTATTGATAACAACACACTCGTTTCACGACCAGTCCCATGCGCCAAGTCTAGCATCGTGGCCGGTCTATCGACAAGCCCAAGTTGGGAACACACCGAAGGTGACAGGCTTCCACTAACGAGACCAGGCTTCCACTCTCACGCTTGCCTCCCTTTGCCTACCGCCAGGTTACTGACCCTCCTCTTACCTTGCCTTACTACCCTTCACTCGAGCCCAACCGCAAACGAAAGAAAAGAAGAATCTCATTCCATGCAGCCATTCTTCATTTTTGTAACGAGTAGCCAAAAGCCGCCGGCGCAAGAAGTGTATGTAAAAGCAGCCCCGATAGAGACCCGCCAGCCGAGGCGCGCAGGGGAAACGTCAACAGAAGAGTCTACCGAACGTCAACAGGTCTATACGCTCGCCAGTCGATACAGCAGTCAACAGTCCACCATACACGACCGCTCCACCGAACGCGCCTGATCCACGACCAACGAAGCCCCCGCTACCCGCCAACGGTCCTCGCCAGCACGACCGAGCGACGACCCGCTCATGCCGAGGTGAACGACGAGACGTGGTCCTCGACGACCTTCTTGATCTTGCCCTCCAGCTCCGGCGTGATCTGGCCAGTCGCAATCTCCTCAAGGAGCGGGCCCTGCGTCGACGTCAGGTGCTGGCGGAACTCGCCCTCCCACTTCGTGATCTGGTCGACAGGGATGGAGTCGAGCTGTGCAGTGGGTAAGCATGATTTCGCGACGCATATACCCCATGGTATAGGGCAAGGGAGAAGGAAACAGTACTCACCAGACCGTTGACACCCGCGTAGATGATGGGCACCTGGATCTCCGTCGGCAGCGGCTGGTACTGGCCCTGCTTGAGGAGCTCCGTCAAGCGCGCACCACGCGAGAGCAGGAAGCGCGTCGACGCGTCGAGGTCAGAGCCGAACTGCGCGAACGCCGCGACCTCACGGTACTGGGCGAGGTACAGCTTGAGCGAACCGGCAAACTTCTTCATGATCTTGCTATAGCAGGCATGTTAGCATAACCATCCCCTTCACATGGGCATGACGGTACGCACGTCTGGGCCGCAGAGCCGACACGAGACACAGAGAGACCGACGTTGATAGCCGGGCGGACACCACGGAAGAAGAGCTCAGCCTCCAAGAAGATCTGGCCGTCAGTGATGGAAATGACCTACGAGCGCCGTCAGTAAAGCGACATTCGGGAAGTATCGGGATCAGCCCACATTGGTCGGGATGTACGCGGACACATCACCACCCTGGGTCTCAATGATGGGGAGGGCAGTGAGCGAACCGCCACCGAACTTGTCGTTCATCTTCGCTGCACGCTCGAGGAGACGAGAGTGGAGGTAGAAGACGTCACCGGGGTAAGCCTCACGACCGGGGGGACGACGGAGGAGCAGGGACATCTGGCGGTAAGCGACGGCCTGCTTGGACAAGTCGTCGTAGATGATGAGAGCTGAGGAAGTATGAGCGACATGACCGGGAAGTATGACATAGTCGACGCACCGTGCTTGCCATTGTCACGGAACCACTCGCCCATGGCACAGCCAGAAAAGGGAGCAAGGTACTGGAGAGGCGCAGCCTCGGAGGCCGTGGCGGCGACGATGATGGTGTACTTCATCGCGTCGTTCTCCTCAAGGGTCTTGACGAGCTGGGCGACGGTCGAGCGCTTCTGGCCAACAGCGACATAGACACAGTAGAGCTTCTGCGACTCGTCCTTGCCGTCGTTCCACCGCTTCTGGTTGAGAATGGTGTCGATGGCGACGGCGGTCTTGCCGGTCTGACGGTCACCGATGATCAGCTCACGCTGGCCACGACCAATGGGCACCATGGCGTCGATGGGCTTGATACCGGTCATCATGGGCTGGTTGACAGAGCGACGGGGCAGAATGCCCGGGGCCTTGACGGAGGCACGGCGGCGCTCCGCGGCCTCAATGGGGCCCTTGCCGTCCACGGGGTTGCCGAGGGCGTCGACGACGCGGCCGAGCAGCTTCGGGCCGACGGGAACGTCGACGATCTGGCCAGTACGCTTGACGGTGTCGCCCTCCTTGATGAGACGGTCGGAACCGAAGATGGAGACACCGACGTGGTCAGCGTCCAAGTTGAGGCACATGCCGCGGATGCCAGAGGAGAACTCCACCATCTCCTCGGCTGGGTTTGGGTGAGTGACGGGTGCGGAGGGAACGTGGGAAAGGCGCGCGTACCCTGCACGTTTTTCAAGCCCCAGACACGGGAGATACCGTCACCGACGCCTACGCGTATCGTCAGCTGGTGAAATAGTTGCACGAAGCGCGCAACTCACTGAGGACGCGACCGGTTTCCTCAACATTTCCGCCGACAGAAGTACCTGCTATCCGCGACTCGAGAATGGAGGAGACCTCAGAAGCAGCTGTAGACGACACGCGTAGCGAGAAGGGAGAGCGATAGTAAGCAGGTGTATGGCGCGAGAGCTGGGGAGCGACTAACCAGACTTCGCGGTCGCGTAGTTGCGCGAAGCCGGAGCGGCCTATATAGACGAAAACTGGTCAGAAAACGCCCGGAAAAGCCGCAGAACGCGCGCGCTGGGCGACGCACCTTGCCAGCGGCGGCGAGGACACGGGCCCGGGTGGTGTTTCTGAGGGCGATGCGGTGCATGGGGGGCTGCAATGAGCGACGGTAGGAAGCAAGGTTAAATCTGACGACGAGGTCCGAAAGTGCCCGGCTTTGATTTAAAACTCAGCTCCGTCACGTGCACATGACGCCCAGTCACACGCGTCCGTGACACCGCGCACGTCCTCTCCTGCAGGTCGATTGCTACGGTTTCCGGCGATGGCGGCACTCCTCCAAGGTGCGTGGCGGCAGAAACATAGACGCTGTCTCAGGACCTCATGTTCTCGCAGCGGCTCGCGCGGCGCCCCGGACGTCGTCCGCCGCCCTCGACCTCATACGCGCCCAGCCAAACCAGTACATCATCGCGACACTCGGCGGCAGGAAGCACATTCTCGCCCCGCGCGACCTCCTCACCATTCCGCGCATGCCCGACGTCAAGGTTGGCGACGTCGTCCTGCTCGATCACATCCACGAGCTCGGCTCGCGCGACTTCACCATCCGCGGCAAGCCGACCATCCCGACCACGAAGGTCCAGGTCCAGGCGACCGTCGTCGAGCACACGAAGGGCAAGATGGAGAGCATCTTCAAGAAGAAGCGGAGAAAGGGCTACCGCAAGACGATCACGCACAAGCAGCCGTATACGCGCTTGCGCATCGGCGACATCGAGATCCCGTCCCCCTTTGCGTCCACCGGCTCACAGGTTGCTGCATCTGCAACATCAGCCAGCGCAGCACCATGACACTCCTTCTGTATGCCCTTGGTCGTATATCATCCTCTAATATAGGTCCTCACATCTCCTGCTCGTCTGAACCACTGGCCGATCATACTTCCCTCAACTTTGCCGGACCATGGACTGCCGAAGACTTCTTCATGCATGCACCCTTCTCAGCACAGCTTCTCTTCTCGTGTTTGCTATCTTCTAGCCTTGGGACACCCATCCTGTCCTGCTTTTTGGCTTTTGGCTTATTACTTTGCAAAGTTTGTGCTCGGTCCCCAGAGCGCCCGCGCTTCATCCAAATCCTTCACTGAAGTCATCCTCCCACCCGACGTATATTTATACTGCGCTTTAACAGTCCAGGCGAACACTTCGGACGCCAACTCCTTTCTTTTCTCCCGTCGTTTACTCTCCCCTCAGCCGGATTGATTGACAATGCTCGCTCGTGGCGGGCTGCTCGCCATCCTAATCAGTATGTATAGCTCTCAAGTTCATCATCACGTACGTCCTTCGATATTGACGTGGCCTATCCAGCCTCCACCGCCACAAAGGACATCACCCGCGCTGGATACGAGGGCCTCGCGTCCACGCAGAGCCCTGCGATCGAAGCTACACCGCCTCGGACGATCTGGAGCAACCCCTTTGGCCCGGGATCAGAGGTTCTGCCTTCGACTCTCAGCGCCTCGGCGTCCAGTACGGCAACACTACCCAATAGCATACTTTCCGGGGCAACAGGCTCATCTGGCACGTCCGCCCCACCGCCTACCACGATCATCACCTCTACGCGTGTGCACACGAATGCGCAAGGCGGGCTCTCCACGCAGGCCAACCTACCTCCTGGGCGACCTGAGCAAGGGCCGCATCCGCAGATGTGTGGCTCCGTGTCAGAATGTGGGACGGAGTCGAGCACCGCCAGCTCGGCGTCAGGAAAGCGACGATGGGTGTGGCGGAGGGAGGGAGCTGAATGTTGAGCGTTGGGGGTTGGTCTTCAAGTGTATGCATGTTACGGTAACAATTATGTCTGCCCTGCAGTAGTCTCGTTTGTGCCAGCAGCCCCCCTCTCCGTGTATCTCGAACCTTGCTTCGTAATATATGCCAGTGTAGTGTCTATACCTTGCTTTTCAAGCCGTCGATTTACTCCCTGTTGCCACAAGCACTGCCACCGACAGCGCTTTTGACATTCGGCATCTTCCGAGGCATTGTGCTGTGACGGGCGGTCACATCCATCGACCGTCTCTTGTCCCAAACCACCACGCAGAACCTACCACAGGCACTTCTATCATCTACATACCTCCCTTCACCCATCTTATATCCCAATCACCCCGCGGGACGCTCCAAAGACACAAATCAGACCGCCCGGCGGTCAATGCACAATAAGCGCTGTGACCCTCCTTCCTAAATAGGGCACAATAGCATCGCCGCACGATATAGCAGACACCGCCCCGACGGGCGCCTCTCTGTCCTAAACACCCATCATCGCATCCTCTATCTCTCCGCTCACAAACACCATGTCCGACAATGCCACCCTATTCGCCGCTATCATCCCACCTGTGAGTCCGTTTTATGACTTCGAAGTCGCAGCGCCAGAAAGCTGTGGCAAATAAGCGCCGGGGTGCTAACGACATTTTGCGCGCGCCAGAAACCCTTCCGCCCCATAGCGTACGACCAGTGGCCTCCAGAGCTCAAGCAGGAGCTCCGCGGCGTGCCGAAGGTCGAGGTGTACGACCTCGCCGAGAACGGCTTCCTCGTCGTCCGCAACAACGAATGTGGCATTTGCCACGAACTTGTTAAAGGGCAGCGCAACCTGCAGCAGCACGCCCGGAACCATATGCCGAGCCACATGACTCCCGACAAGTGAGCTCTTTCTTCTTTCTGACTCGAGATCACGAAGCATGAATGGTACGTTACTGACCGTGCTTCGCAGCTCGTGGAGATGTCCGGTGTGCATGGGCACCTTCGCGCAGAAGGTCGGCGCCCAGACGCATATCAACTCGATGCAGTCAGTCACTTCGTTGGCTGTGTGTGTCTGTAATGTCCGCCTACTAACGCGAATACTTCCCAGCACGCACGAGACTCGCTGGGCCTGCAGGCACGCGAAATGCAAGTTCGTCTGCTTGGACAGAGCTACGCTCAATAGGCACGAAAGTCGGTGCCAGCACCGTCCTAGTGCTGTCATGGAGCCGGCGGGGGTGGTGAAGAAGAAAGCCGAGCCCAAGTGTCGTGCTCTTCAGGTTCAGCCTCCGGTCAAGCCTCGTCCTCTCGAAGCACCGTCGGTTGGGTCGAAGCCGTGTCCGCTGGCAGCACCGTCCGTCGACCTTAAGCCGCGTCCTCTTGAACTGCCGAAACTCGAGCCCAAGCAACGACCTCTCGACCCACCCAGGCCGTCCGTCGAGCACAAGCAGCGTGTGTTCGAGTTACCGCCCGTCCAGCTACCGTCTGCCGAGTTGAAGCCTCCGCTTGGGCTCCCGCCTATGCAGTTGCCACCTGCCAAATCACCGTCCAACGAGCAACCAGCCGTCGAGCCGCCTCTCATGGACCTTTCCGTCCCGTCGCTGTTCCCGAAGCCAGGATCTTCGCGCTCGCTGCTGAACCCCAAGAGTCCCTCTCCGCCACCCAGCGCCCAGCGTACCGAACCTGCCGCGGAGCCAGTCGAGCCGCCTGCGAGGTCTGCGCAACCTTTTGTGCAGAATGTACGACCTCCCACGGAGCCAGTACAACCTTCTTTGAGGCCCGCGCAACCCTCCGGGCAGCCAGAGCAACCTCCGGCGCCGCCAGCACCACTTGCGATGCCTGCACGGCCGCCCGTCACTCCACCGCCGGTCATCTGGAACGTCGGGCCTCCTGCGCTGCCTATACATGTCCCAGCTCATCCGTCTATACAACCCACTGCACCTCCTCAAGTGCCTCTCCATCCTCCTCGACCGTCTGCCAGACACTCTCGCCCGTCCCTAAGTATTCCTCGCGAACTCCTCAACCGTTCTCGACTGCCTCGCGAGCCTCCCGAGTTCTCGTTCAAGACCGACGACGATCCCGTGTTTCCAAGCTTACGCGGTCCCCAGCCGTGGCGCGTCCCGCGGCCCAGTGCCCCCTCACTACTTAAGCCGTTCTCGGTTTGGTACGAGGGTCTCGCCCAGGCGTCCGCCCCAGTCAAGTCGGAGCCGCCAAAGGCGCGGGCCAACCCGCCGCCTACCGTCCGCAACGACCTCACCTTTGTCAACATTGCGTTCCACAATCTTCCGCCCGCCTCCGTCATGACCCCAGTCAAATCCGAACCGTCGAATAACCCTCCACTGCCAGATACCAAGTCCTCCGTCCCGCCCGACGACACGTCCGTTCAAGACTCCCCCTTGGGCTTCGACAAGCCCGAGGAGCGCCTGACCGAGGAGCTCCTCCCACCCGGCTCGCTCATCCCGCCCAAAGCGACCCTCAGATGCAATGACGATAACACAGTGGACCTCGGAGACGGTACTAAGCTCGCATTCGTCAATGGCGTGTGCACCTACCCCGATTGCGGCCTCAAGTTTAGCCGGTGCAAGAGGGACTGGACCCGACATGCCATGGTGCATATGAAGTATGAGAACAAGAAGGATCTGTGAGTTGTCATGCCATTTTCCTTGGTCCCCAGTCATGAAGTAGGTCGCTGACCAATCATTGGTGAACAGGTCCTGGCGCTGCGGGGCGGAGGGGTGCGGCAAGCTCTACTCAACAAAGCATGGCGCGAAGGAGCATTTCTTCTCGATGCAGTGAGTCCTTTTCCCGATCTCGTATCCCTCTTCATGCTGTACGGACTGCCGCTGATCGCTGACCCTTCCACTCTCTGATAGCACCAACGCTAGACCGTACACCTGCCAGATCTGCCACCACACCTTCTCGCGCGTCGACGCGGTTCGCAAGCACATGCGTGGCATCCACGGGCAGATCAAGCGCAAGACGCAGCAGCTCTACCGCCCGTCGAGCATGGCGGGGGCGCGAGCGCGCGCTGCGAACAATGCAATCTCTGCCGGCTTACGCAAGACCTCAACGTGCGCTTCCTCGAGCGACCGCGGGTCCTCAGTAGACTCATCCGTCGACGACGCTTCATCTGGCGGACCATCCCGCAAGTCGTCTGTCGCGTCCCGTACGCCGTCAACCGAGTCGCTCGCAGCCCCAGTCGCATCGCGCAGGGGGTCAGCCACCTCGCGCTCGTCAACCCCGGCGGTAGACGCGCCGCAGTGCCCTTCGCCAAGTCATCCTCGTCCCACCGACGATGCGATGGCGACTGACGACGAGGGCACCGTCCAAGGGGAGGAGCCTCCTCCCAAGTACCACTGGCAGGAGATGCCTTCTTCCAGTCTACGTCCCGTCAAGCTCGAACCGACCGACGACGACCTGGTCTCTGTCGTTGAATTCGACGTCGACTCCGGGGACGAGTCTGATATCCCGATCGAAATCGAGTACGACGACGAGTCGATGGACATGGACTAGCACACGACTTCCCTCGAGACGTCTTTTCTCAGGACTTGTTCCGCATTTATGACTTTTTCATGATCACGACCACCACACTAACATTGTATCCCACATTGACCTCCATCCACTGTCCTTACTTACCCACGAACCAACTGTAGCACCTTCTTTCAGCCACTATGTAGTTTTCGGCGCTCAGATCTTACGTCTGGGTGCCAGTGTACTATCGAACCCTGTTCCTACAGATTCCGCCATCACGAGGCACTATATCTACTATTGTACCTACTGCTTTGCTCTCTACTGCAATGGAGGCTGTAGTTGAGCTGCATCAGGCAAGGTCCGCTTCAGCGTCCACGCAGTTCAACAACGGCAAATGCCGGCCAACTGTAGGTCCACATCACGTGGATCATCCGGCTGTTCGTCGTCACGAAACCTTGTCACACTTTCCCTTCTTGACCAGAACCACAATCATAGTGCATATATATCGAAGCGAACGCATTTTTCTCCTCTCCTGGCCCCAATTTTGACTTGTTTCCGACCTAAAAATGATAGGTAATCCCGTATCTTAGCCTTGGTCCGTCTAATGGCCGTCAACTGCTGATACAACGACTCGTGGTCCCTTGAGCTATACGTGCTTCCTGGGACTCACACTGTCTAAATCCTGCTGCTCCCTTGCTCTAAACTCTGCTAAGCCTCTCTCTTCTGTAAGAGCGGTCGCGCTCGGTCGCTTTGCGCAGTGTTGCAAACCATCTCACTTTTATGAGGCCGTTTCATCACCTCGTACTTATAGCGTTCGCTTTCAGCTACGAGGACCAGGTTCTCGCCTTTTCACTCCCTTCATTGCGCTCTCCTGAACTCGGACTCTTCGACATGTTCTCCAAGCTTATCTTCCTCTTCGCGGTGCCCTTCTCCGTCAGCGGTGAGGCCTCTCGCTCTACTGTGATTCCATCAGCCGCAGACCTGATACCATTCTTTGACCCATAGGCGCCTCTCAGGTCACCGCTTCCGCGGCCGGCGGCTCAGTCATCCCTATACTCCCGACCTCTTTCCCCTCTGCGTCTGGTTCTGCCTGGCCTTCTGCATCCGCGCCAACCTCCGACGATCCATACGTTCCGCCGCCCGACGACGCCACCGACATCGACGTTGGCACGCTGAGCGCTTCTGCGACCTCCGACGGCCCCGACTTCCCCTTGGGTACCACGACTCAGAGCGTCGCGATGCCCTCCGCGTCGACGATCAGCCCGGAGTGCCGCACTATGTACACGGTCATAGAGGGTGATCTGTGCCAGGTCAGTGTCAAAGTCATCGCGGGTTGCTCTCAGAGAAGGTCACTCTTGTACCCGCCGCTAACATTCTTTCCAGGTCATCGCCGACGAATACACGGTACCGCTGCCGCAGCTTCTCGCCGCGAACCCGGGGCTGGACTCTGACTGTGATAACTTGGAGGTGGGCGAGGTGAGTAGATAATTTTGCTGACAAAAATATACATTTCCGGTCATATTGACGCTTCATCCACAGCAACTCTGCATCCCCGGCGTTCCGGGGCGTCGCCGCTCACGCTTCTTCCGCTTCTGAGCGATCACTTCATAACCAGCTCAGCGATGACATGAAAAGCGTTAGTCGGAGACATACACGGAGAAGTGAACGGCGAGCGGATTACCCAAAAGAAAGCAAGTGGGCTGATAGCTCGCGTATATACGAAAGATACCCATTGTCACAAGCGACGACCATACCCATATCAGCAGCAGTAGTTACCCACAGATACACTGGCTCAGTAACGCAGATACCCCTCTTATTTACCCACTGTCTTTCATGCTCACATCTGCCCGGCCTGTCCAACTCACTCCTTATTTATGATAGTTGTAGCACAGGCATGTTTCCATTCTGTCAAGGCTACAATTACATTTTCCACCTTTTGACCGCTGCCCCAAGTCACGCTCCTCGTGGCGGACCGTCAATGCGCTATGGTAGCCGAGCAGGGATTGCCAGGACTTAATGGCGGTAAAAGCAAGCGCAAGATCATGGCAGCATGAGCGCATGGCGAGACACCCTCGCCAGTGGAGGTCCGACGGCGACCCCCTTCTCAGACAAGGCGTGCACCGTGATACAGGCCGGTCAGTACCCATCTTCTCGTCCAGCTTGTCAGGCTGAACTCCCTCGGACATATCCAGGCTCCTGGTACGACTTTGTCGACCGTCCCTCACCCTCAATCCTACAAGTCGCACTATACTGTATAATATCACGATTCAAATCGAATACACCTATATAATTACAGAACATGCATCGCACAAGTTGTCCCAGGAGAGAGTGGATAAGAAGACGTCCTTGAAGGTATGTAATCGTACTGAAGATTGTCCATAATATTAGTGATAGCGCGAACTGACGTGGGATTCAAAAGGGCGACCAGACGCGGCGGTACGGGATAGGTTGCGCGACCATCTCGAAGTCGTCTTCGTACGGGATGCACAACGTCTATCGCCACACATCGTCAGTCATCCTTCATGCGGTCGACAGCGACGAGAAGGTGCATACCATGCCCGGCGTCAGGTTACTACAACTCGAGTTCACCACCTCACGGTTCTTCACGATGAGGTCCACAAACGACGCGCGATACGAGTCCGCAATGCGCCGACAGCTATCGCCAAATTCGACGACGTGGCGCGCCTTGCAGCTGCTGTAGAAGCCCTTGATGTAGATTGGGGCGCACTGCACCAGCGACGCGTCTGAAGATCGGTCAGAAAACATGTAGCAGGACGAATCTGCGGACGCACGGAAAATGAAAAGGGTAACGATCCAAACTGCAGGCGCGCGCATGGTGGGCGAAACAACGTCGCAGCTTGGCCCTTCGCCTTGCGAACCTTAAGTAGTGGCAGCAAAAATGCGCTGGCCGGAGAAACGAGTCCGGCGCATGCCACGTCGGTCAAACTAATGTTTGACCTATCGGAAGTCGCGTTCGAAGGGATGGCTAACACCAGTCTAATGGCATCGCTAACGACGTGTCGACTCACACGACATGCGACCACCAATGGCAGGGCCTGATCTAGGTGGCAAGCCTTGCCAGGGCATCAAGTACGAAACATGACGGTTGAATACCCACTACCAAATGATGCCGTGGCCAGAACACCGGCATCGCAGAACGAACGACCGTGGTTGACAGGTACTGCAGTCGAGTACAAAGTACCTGGGTCCTGCGTCATCCTGTTTGATGTCAGTGGTGTGCACAAGCAGACGAACTCGCCTAAAAGACGGCCTGTCGCCTGGATTGGCATGCCTACGTCCTGGGAACAATGTTTGAGGGTGCCCGTTAACTAACTCAGTAGACACATGGCAAGCGTTGTCCATACAACCATTGCACGTGAGAATGCATGATTAGTGGTCACATTCGAAAGCACGTCAAAGTGGGATACAGAGTTGAACGCACTGGTCAGAAGTAGGAGCATGATGGAGTAGATCAAGTCGCCTGACATCGTGCTTGTTGAATACCTGTGAAAGAGAAACCACGGCCAAGATAGACGAAGTGGAATCGCACTGTGTCACTAACTTCCTCCCAGGCCACCAATGCCACAACCTTTTTATGGGCGCGAGAAAGCTCGGGTCTCGAAACTGAGAAGGCTGAAAGTGTTTCGATAGCAGTAAGAGAGAAATAAGTACGCAAATACCGGCATTCTTCAGTCCTCAGATCTCGCCTTCCTCCGGCGTATCCTCCCTTGGCCGTGGCGGCACGATCGTCTCCTCGCGCTCGTACTTGATGCGCTGAGTGCACGTTAGCAAAAGTCTATTACATCAGGAGAACAGCAACATACCTTGTCCGCACGCTCATCCAGCTCATACTTGATCGGCGGTTCATCTCGCGGTACCGACACGCGGTCGATCTCCTCACGCTTCGGCTCATCCCAATCACGACTGTAGCCGCGCGACCGACGATCTCGTCTGTCGTCACGATGGCCGCCATGTCTCGAGCGATAATCACGGTCGTAGCGCCGATCGTAGCCGTCATCTGCTTGCCGATACCGACCCCCGCGCTCGCGGTCCCTATAGCCAGCATCGCGAGGCTTGACGTCCCGGTCGTAATCGCGGTCGCGCATGGGCTCCTTGCGTTTGCGTCCGTTTTGAGACCCGTCTTCCGACCCGGCATCGCGGAGGCGTTCCTGCTGTAGTGTCAGCGGAGGAGCTTAGTGACCATCGAATAGGCTTACCCTTTGTCGCTTGACGAACTTGGCGAACGCAGCGCGGCGTCCCTCGTCGTCGGCGATGGCAGAGTACTCGGGCAGGTGTTGCATAAGCGGGACCGCCTGCAGCCGCGTTAATCAATTACGCGACGTAAAGGGACGGCAGCGTAGGACATACCTCTTCGAAGGTCATGTTGATGTCAATGGGCTCTGGCAGCTTCTTGAGTGCGTAGCGGAAGTCATCTTGCAGATGCCTCTGCTTCCGCTCCCATCGCCGCTTCTCATCTGCCTGCCTCTTGACAGCCGCCGCATGCATCTACATGCAAAATTAGCAGTGTCGCATGACTCAAGGCTTACTACTCACCGTCCTGAAGATTTCCTTCAAATCCTCCTCAGAAAGCTTCTCCTTCACGTCCGCATCGTCCTTGACCATGCTCAGGAACTCCTCCTCCGTCGTCTCCGGCGTAATCTCCTGGCGCTTGTCATGCTCGGCGACGTCCTCCATCTTCACGTCCTCGTCCTCCTTCTTCATCTCCTGCTCTCCTTCCTTCGCCTCTTTCTCCTTGCCCGTTTGCGCCGCATGCCGCTTGAGCGCTGCGTCGGTCACCTCCATCTTCTTGTCGAGCACCTGGTCCAGCTCGTCCACCCGGTCCCAGAAGAGCTCGAGCGGGTTCGAACCCGGGTTGCCGAGCATGTTGAGATAGCGCTCGTCGTCCTTGAACAGCGGGTACACCTCCTTCCACTTCGAGCGCGCCTTGATCGTGCCGTTGTCGACGAGCTCCTGGAGCAAGGCCTTGAATGCCTCGCGTGCCTTGCGCTCCTTCCGTGTCTTCTCGACCTGCGCACGCCGCGTCTGCTCCTCGAACTCACGCTCAGTCACCCGTGCGTAGTCCTCAAAAGCAAGGAGAATGTCGAGACTGGGAAGCTTCTGAAGCTCAGGGTCCTCCTTCCACGCATCGGAGTCCAAGAGAAGCTTGTGGGCGGTACGCCAGCGCGTCAAAACGTCGATGTCCAATTGCTTGAACAAAGCGACGACTTTTTGGGTGGCACGGGTGCGCGCGGCCCGGGTCTCTTGCTATGAAGAATGAGAGAGTGTGATGACTGCAGATGGACGTTACTCACGATCTCCCGTTCCTTCAACTCGTCAACGTACTCCTCGAATATCTGCCGCCTTTCGGCCTCGATCCGCGCCTGCTGCCAGATTGGATGCTGCGCAAAGAGTTTGTTCGCCGTTGAGAAAGTCGTGTAGTGGAAGACGTTCGGGTTGCCTTTGAGCATGTTGCGCAGCGCCGGACGCAACTTCGCCATCCGCGCCTCCTTCTCTTCCTGCTCCTTCGCCCTGAGCTGCGCAGTGAACTTCTCGAACGCGGCCTTCTTCTCCGCGAGCGAGTTCAAAGCGCGATAGAGCGGGTCGGTAATGATCGCGCGCATGGTGCGCTCCCATGTCCACGTCGGGTCGACGCCGGCCTTGCGCAGGAGGTGCATGAACGCTTTCTCGCCCTCCTCGAACGTCTGGAAGCCGTTGTGCGGGATGATCGGGTCGTCACCGATGCTCGGGCGCGCAGGCAGGACGCCAGCGGAGAGGGGAAGGCCATTGGGAGAGGTCTGCCCGCCCGTATGCGGGCCCACTGCGAGAGGGTTGGCATTGGGGACCTGTCCGTTCGTGATACTCGCGGGGGTTGCTGAGCCTGGGGCCGCTGCGATCTGGTTAGGTCTGGGCAGTATTAGCGAGAATGTCGAGGAAGAACTGCTGCACGCACGTCGTCGGCGTTGCAGCTGCGCCAGGCCCTCCTTTCTCCACCTTCTCCAAGAGCAGCAATAGCTCTTCGGGCATGTCCCATTTCGACTCTTTCGTCTCGGTCTGCGAAGCTTGTCAGAGTGGCTTTACTTGCATTGCAGAGCACGCACATGGTAGTAGTACTTTCTGCCACCCGAGAAGTATTCCTTCCATTTCGTGGTCGACAAAGCTTTCTGTATCACGATCAGCGTCTGTTCTCCTGAGAACCGGTGTTCGCACCTCAAAAGGGGTTTTAAGGTCTAGCCTTGTAAGTAAGCATTGCACGCAAGCTCAGATGCAAGAACACACCGTCAGGCTTCTCCCAGACGCTTTCCCGCGTCCCGGTGTTAAACCAGTACGTGCGCCCCTCGGGGTTCCGATGCTCAGTCTGTAGTATATCAGCGAAGTTTTGACGACGCACACAATCTAACATACCCAGACGTTCATCCTGACTTTTCGTGCCTGCCGACGTCGACTCTGCGGCGAGATGGAAGTTGCGAACCAGTCGAGGGGAATATGTGGCGTCGCCCGCGCTCGACATAAATTGAGGTGTGCAGCTTGTAACGGACTCTCATTGACATTGATCGTCGAGGTACTCCAAGGTGCGTTTTCACTGGCTCCATTGTACATGTCGCAAGCTGAAAGATATCCTAAGCATGTCTCCGTAATCTGTATGATGCGACCAATCCCCGTGGAAGAGCATCCATCCCAGCTGGGAGACCAGCCCGATGCGCTCGACGAAATTGTCGACGAGGAATCAGATTCGTCTGCTGCCGAGCTGACCACCACCGACGAGGATGAGGAATGTATCGAGCTCTGTCCGCACTGCGAAGAGTCCATCTACTACAACACGTTTTTCGAACCGACATCTCGCTCTCGTGAACAGCTACGAAGCGGATACGCACCGTCTGCGCACTCATGCCGTCGGCTCAACGAGAGGGCTGACGCAGCGGAGGAGCAGGCTGCCCAGCTCTATGATGAGACGAAGAGGCTGGAATCCACGTTGAAGGAGCTACGCCATCGTCGACGCCTGCTCGTGCGTTTTTCTAAGGAGCAACGTGCTCTCGCATCTCCTATCCGGCGGCTTCCTTTCGAGCTACTGCTAGAGATCTTCCGACATGCTTGCATTGACTCCAACCTGCTTTTTCCTGTGCACGTACGCGGGCTTACCGCCGCCTCGCTCAGCTGCATCTGCCATCGGTGGCGACGAATTTTACTCGAGAACAGCATCTTGTGGACTTTCCAGATCGTCTTAGACGACCGAGTCTACTTCTACCAAGATTGGCATGACCTAACTAGCCGCGATGTGCAGCGGTTTGGACAGGTGCTGAAGCTGTATCTTGACCATCTAGGCTCCCATACCTACGCATTGAAGCTCTGTGGGCCTTGGCGCACCAGAGTGGACGATGTTATATGCGATTTCGATCTCGGACGCGAAGTTGATATCCTTCCGGCGTTCATCTTCAGAAACCTCTCGCGCTGTCGAAGCATTGAGGCACCTGATACGGCGATACGATATCTCGGCGCATATGCACCCTCGGATATGATCATGGAACACCTCGAGGATGTCATCGTCCTCTACAATGACGAGGACACAGGGCACGCAGGTGTCCACCCATTATTCCGCCACGCCCCTCGTCTCAAATTCTGGAAGCAGCAGGAAGAGGATTACTGCGCGACACCTGCCGCTCTGTCGCAGCTTGTGCATCTCGAGATGAAATGGATGAACGCTGCCAGGGTTCATACCATTATCTCTCATTGCCTCCGCCTACAATATTGCAACGTCTCGCTTTATACTCTTAGCGACACCGTCGACCCTGCAACCTATGGATCTTCATTCACCCTTCCTCACCTCGAAACTCTCCAAGTATCTGTAAACCCATCGCGGACGACCCTCGAACGCCTCTTCAGCGCGCTGTCTGCCCCGAGGCTGAAGCATGCTAGGTTCTTCTACGCCCCGGACGACCGCACCGACGACGACCTTCTGATGGAAAACGGCCCGCATTGGCCGCAACAAGCGTTCGACGCACTTCTTCAGCGCTCGAAGTGCCGCTTGATGTCTCTCGAGCTCCTGGGTATCAGCCTCTCGCAGCCGGAGGTCGGTCGCCTTCGGGTAGTGCTGCCGATGTCCGGTTCAGAACTTCGGTTCGAACCCGAACCGCCTGAACCGAACACGAAGTTCAGTTCAGGTTCAAGTTCAGTTCGACCTCTGCCGTCGAGGTTCAGGTTCAGGTTCGGGCACCGCTGGATTTGTTCGAACCTGTTCGAACCTGAACCACCACCAAGGGCTTTCAAGCCCTGATACACTGTTTTTCCTGTATGTTTAGCGTAGTATTAGCTTTGATACTGGAGTCGAAGCCTCATACCTGCATCTAGAGGCTCTCATAAAGCGACGGCAGCTTGTAGGCTGCCTGTCACCGACACTCGGGGATATCCGAGTTCAACATGTCACGTATCAGTCACACTCACGCGCCAGCCTCTTGCCTATATTGTTTCCTTTCCTTACCCGAGTGAAAGAAAATGGGCCGATTACCATTATATTGTAACTATTACTTTCAAAGACAGCTAAGAAGGGTGCGTACAGCACATCTTATTCTTAATAGGCTCGAACAAGTTCGAACTCGGTTCGAACCTATCTGAACTCGTTCGAGGTGTTCAGTTCAGGTTCAGTTCAGGTTCACCGTCTCGCCGTCGGTTCAGGTTCAGGTTCAGCCCGAGGAGGTGCTGAACCGGACTGAACTGAACTTCGGCAGCACTACCTTCGGGAGCAGTTGCCGATCACGACGAAGCTCATCGTCGCCGTGGGGACATACCTAGGCTCTGCTGAGTATCGCCCTTTCCCGTATCCCTCCGAAGGCGACCTCTTTCAGAATTTTGATCCCGACGAGGTCGAGGAGGATTGACACTGGACGAACTCCCGCATGACACTCTCTTACAGCACAAGCTTCAGCTGTTATACTCGTCGTAAGTCCTACCTTTCAGTCAGCATCATTGTATCATTGACGCTTCCGATAGTTCACACTTTATATACTTGATCGATGCTAGCCCATATTGGAGAGAGCGGTTGCGGAAAGGGTCATTACCGCAAAGTCAGACGCTACGACGTAGACATGCACGAATGTACTGCAGTACAATTATCTACGTTGATGGTGCAGATGTGGTATGCTAGATTGTATCGCGCGGACGTAGCGCCTTGGAGTTGAAATAGCCTGGTAATCAATCCGACAGCGGCGCTGCTGGGTCAATCCAAGATGTGACCAACACCGTCACATATTTGTGGCGCTATACCCACGCCAGTAGAGCTGCAACTTCAACTCAACCATATCGAAGTCGTCCAAGCAGCTCTCGATTTGTATCCTGGAAACGGGTCCCCCGAAAGACTCGATTGTCAGTTGCCATTTGCTGCTTGAGTACTCCGCGCTGAATTTGTCACTGATCTCTGGGCTTTGAAGTTCGCTGCGACTCGAACATGCTGGTTGTAGAAGGGTCGCACGCGCATTTGGGCGCCAGTGCTAGCGATGAAGGTTATTGACGATATTCTTGACCTTACGCCGTCTGACTTCTGCTCGCATCTAGACCCCGCTGACTCTCACGGACTGCTATTGGACACTGTCAGCGCACACCAAGCATTCGAAGTATCTCTCTGCGCTTCTTGCACCCAGGCGAAGGTCTCTATCAATGGCAGCTTCTCACCCTCTGAAAGTGACTTCACCGATCTACGCAGCGGAAACCTACCTCATCCCCGTCATCGCTCTCGGCACGACGCCAACGCGCGAGCCGCGGAAAAGCAGGCCCACGATCTCGAGGGTCACATCCAACGCTTGCAGGCCTTGACGAAGGTTCTGCAGAAGCATCAACGCGCATCGCTTGACTTTGCTGAGCTACAGCGCGGTCTCGTCGCCCCAATCCGCTGTCTCCCCAATGAATTACTGCTGGAGATCTTTTACCTTGCTTGTGACGGCACCGTCTTGACGTGTCCCCTAAAAGAGGATGCCCTCACCGCGGTCAACCTCAGTCGTGTGTGTCACTGGTGGCGAGTGGTCGCTCTGGGTGATGCTCGCATGTGGGCGATGGGTATCGACATCGATACACATGACCGCAGCGACAGCAAAATTGTCAGAGACGTGCCGGTCATGCAATTCAGCGCAACGGTGGGACTTCATTTGGCCCGTTCCGGAAACTCGCCCTTGTCTCTGAAGCACATCGGTGCTAACATTATCACCATCGACTCGGGCGAAGTCACCGAGCGACAGCGTCCCGTGTTCTACGCGGACGATTTCCAAGCCATGACTACCCGCTGCCGCCACGCTGTGTTCGACTGCACGTCGTTCCGGTTGTATCTAGGCTCGCGTTCTAAATACCCTATGCCGCAACTGGAAACACTGGAGCTTACAAATGACGAGCCGACACGGCCATGCGAACTGCTGCAGGACACGCCCCGTCTGAAGTCTTGGAAGCAGACCATACCCTCGTATCGCATGGCCAAATGGACCTGCCTGCCGCAGCTCACGCGCCTCGAGATGACCTGGATGGACTGGACCCTCGCCCGTGGTATCCTCCTTGACTGTAGTTGTATCGAGCACCTGATCATCGATGTCTACACCGACCCTCCTAACCTCGACTCTCCCGGCGCACACGGCATCGCCACCCTGCCCCACCTGCAAACCATCCGAGCCCGCGTCGACCCGCCCTGTACCACCATCGGCAACCTCCTCGGCATCCTCTCCGCGCCCTGCCTGCAACACGCCAGGTTCATCTACCGCGTCAACGCGCTCGGCCAACGCGTCGTCGAGGAGGGCCCTGGCGACTGGCCGGACGCCCAATTTCGTGATTTCCTACAGCGCTCGGGATGCACGATGGCATCTTTGGAGTTGGAAAACCTTCTTCTGTCGAAGGCAGAGCGGGATTCCCTGCGTAAGCGGCTGCCCGCCGCGACGCGGATGGTCATCACCAACATCCGCACCGTCTTCCCCCATCCTGGCGCAGACGACCTCTACGAGTGGGAAGGTGGTGCGGAGTATCAATCGAGGAGCGACGGGGAGGAGGAAATATAAGAGCGCGAGGATCTATCGATGCACGATATAGGTGCAGAAGACGAACACAGTGACAGGCAGTATAGGCTATAGCGAAGAGAATGGTGAAGACCCCGGAGAGAACAATTTTTTAGCACGTCGAAAGCTAAATGTCTGCTTTCGAATGTCACACCTACATACAACTCCTCTACACACACACATTAGAATCTATGGTCATACTTCAGTCATCATCAAGCACCCTCTTTCTCCACATCAGCGGACGTGCTGCAGCCCACGACTCCCTTCGTCGCGTCAACCGTGTCCTTTTCCGACTCATGCCCTGTTCGCGCGAATTCCCCATCTCTCGCCACCGGTGTGCTGTCACCGACAGAGCCTTCTAGTGTACGCCCCTCGTTCTCTTCCACCACCCGCCCCGCCCTCTCCTCCTGATCGCGCTCTGCTTGCAGTCTCCTCCTCTTCCGGCGCGCGAGCGGATTGAGGATGAGCGCCGCCAGGATCACGAGGCCATCGAGAACCTGTTACGATGGAGAGCGCGTCGTCAGCAAGACGAGCGAGCACGTCATGAACGAGTAGTCGGAGTCGGAGGGAAAAGAGGGGTATAAAAGGAGGGGTTGGTTATACAGGGAGTAAGGAAAGGTAGAAGAAGCGGATGAAGGCAAAAAAAGTAGCTGAAGGTAAAAGACGTAGGCGAAGCGGGTAGAGCCATGCTGCGCAAACGTACCACAACCAGACTATACGTGATTGCCGCGATCACGTCAAACTCCTCCGCAAAGGCGAGCGAGAGGTCCGAGAACACGCCTAGGACGATTCACACAAGACATCAGCCGTCCGCGCGTTGGCCCCTGCCAAAAAAAAAACACTCACCCCCCAGCAGATCAATCAACATGAACGGGATCGAGATCCCAATGACCTCCCCATGCCTGTATATCTCCCAATACTGCGGCAGCAGCGCCACCGATATAAGCACGCTGCTCATGATGCCGAAAAAGCGCACGGGCTTCATGTTCCCCCCCTCGTACGCGGGGCGGATGGCGTAGACCATGCCCGCCTCGAAACCCGCCATGACGGCGAGGAGGCCGAAGGTGGTGAGGAGGGTACGTGTGCGGCTGTAAGTGCCGGGTGTGTAATAGAGGCACTAAAGCGGGTACCGCGTCAGTGGCGGGATCGTGGCGGAAAAGAAGGGGGAGGCAGATGAAGAAGGGGCAGGAGATGAGCGCACCTGGCCCCAGGAGATGCAGCAGAGAAAGCCGAAGAGCTGCGGCTGGAGGATGAGGGGAATGTTGAGCTTCTGCACGACGCAGTACGTGCCGAGGAAGGGCGCGGAGATCGTCCAGAGGAAGCTGGAAGACGCGTTCAGTGAAAAGTGTAGAGGGCAGGGTAGGACGTACGTTAACCAAGGAGACAGTCCCTTCGTCGACTTCTCTCTGTAGCTCTTCCAGATCTGGGGTATGAGCTGGATGCACCAGCACACGACACCTGCGAGGGGGAAGGCGTCAGCTCTTGTACACCGATCGACGCTATATACGACGCACCCATCGTCCCGAGAGCATTCTCGGCGGCTGCGTTGGGCATTGTAGCACACTACTGCTTCGGCGCTTATGTAGGGACTTCGCCTCTGAGGTATGCTAAGCGTCGGACGGACGCGATTGATCGAGATTTTAGGTCAAGAAAAGGACAGGCAAGCGTAAGGGAAGGTCGTCGCAGCAGAACCCAGCCATGAAGGAGAAGACCAAGGTACGTCTTCGGGTCTTGAGGCCATCCGGACGGATGGTGCCATGAGTAAGATCGGGGTCATTGTCCACCCATTTGTCGTCTGTCCCACTTCGCCTCGGCCTACAAATTTCGACACGGTCATGTGAGTTTGTGGTTGAAGTTCGCGTCGCGGTCGATTCTGAGGCTGCAGCAGGTCAAGGCGGAGCGAGAAAAGGGTCGCAATGCATAGTTTATTGGAGAGGATCAGGGGCTGTTTCGAGTGGGGACTATGAAGTACTACTTAGCGTGCCTGATTTGTTGACTGTCATGAACTTCTGCATCCCTTCCAGCGGTGAAACGGTAGGGCAGCGTCCTCGGGAGGAGAGGGATGGCCCAAGGCGTGCATCTGAAGCTCATGGAAGAAGGAGACAACTTCGAAGCTGTTGATAGCTACTGATCAATTTCGGGCCACTGATGGTATATCAACATGTCCAAACAAGCCATGGTTTCATCTTGAACTCGTCGAACGAGAATATGGCTTGTCAGACGCCAGCTTGCTGATTTACACTACAAAACGCAAAAACAGCGATGAATGGCCATCTTCAACACGTCGCACCACGACCGTTCGACGTTGACAGCAACTTGACTTTCTCGGTTACCTCGTTCCGCGGAGCGCAGGACGCTCAAGTTGCGACTCGACGTCCATTCTTCCCAATCCGATACCTACCACCTCTTTGTTCTCACCCCGCGGTACACGGGCTGTCCTGAGATGCCCAACAGCCCCGAGTCCCACGTCTCGTAAATCCCGCGCCCTATCATATGGCCGCGCACCCTCCAAATGTTCGAGGACGCTGATGGAAACCAGCGAGCGAATTGCCCGTCGCCCACCCCCTTCCCCGCCGCCGCAACGCCTGCGGTCTCCATTCACTGCGAGACGCACCATCTGCTTGAGGAGCCTCGACGCTCGGATTAGTTGAAGTGAGTCGACCTCGGAACGGAATGCCCGCACCTCATATGCCTGAATCCCTTATAAGAAGCGCCCAACGACGGCCTCGGCGCTCAGCTTCTGCATACCCTCTCACTCTCTTACCTGTCCCCTCCTTTCTTTGTACAGCCTGCCCCGCACGATGTACGCCTCCACATTCGCCCTCGCCGCCGCGTCCGCGCTCCTGCCCAGCGTCCTCGGCACGGACTGGACGGGCCCCAGCTGGTATCTCCCCGTGGGTACTCACATCACGAGTACGTGAGATCCTTTGCGCTGCAGACCAGATCCTGACTCTCCTTGCTAGAGCTCGCGACCACGATGAAGGTCCCCGCGATCCCGCCCAACGACCTCGACGGCCAGACCCTCTTCGTCTGGCCCGGCATCCAGCCCGGTAACGCGCTGCAAGAGGAGGGCAGCGACCCCGCAGCCGTGGGCAACGGTGTATGCACCGACTGCAGGGCTTCGCGAGAATACGTTCGCTGACCGACCCATTGCCCGTCAGGTCCTCCAACCCGTCTTGACGTACGGCCCTTCGTGAGTATAGACTCAGCGTGCTGCTCTTCCCTGGATCGGGCGCTTACAACCACCTAGCTGCGTCCCCGGCGACCACCCCGAGGATCAGTGGTACATCTCGGGCGTGTATGTCGGCGGTGGCGGTAACCCTGACTTCGATGTAAGCCCCTTCTTCCTTCGGCCTCGCGCTTCCTTCCTTCGTTCTCGCGCTTTCCTTCTGCGCCCCAACCCACCAAACTCCCTTTTCGCACTCCCCTCGCTTCCCCCCACTCGTGCTTGACCGCCCCCTCCTTCACCCACAACCATGCTCACCATCCCCAGGGCTGCTTCGGCGGCGACGTCATGCAGGTCGCGCCCGAGGACCTCGTCGCGTGCACCATGGAGCTCAAGCAGGGGACCGCGTCGACCTGGGACCAGACGTGTATCAACCTGTCAAACAATAACCAGACCGTTAGTGCGTATCCGCCTTCCTCTTTGTTGTGTATTCGCCTTCCCCTTTGTTGCGTATCCGCTTTCCGCTTTGTTGTGTACCTGCCTTCCTCTTCGTCGTCACCTTCTTATTCTCCATGTCTTCGCCATCCTCCTCGATCGTCATTGACCGCGCACACCTCCTCGATATTAATTGTCTGCGCATCCCTCTAATCACCCATCCCAGCCTACGAACTGGACCTCGCCGGCCAGCTGCAGAGCTCTGGCGAGCTGATGGTCGAGAACCCGACGGACCAGTCGAATGCGGATTGGAACTTCCCTGTAAGCGGCCCTCCTCTTCGTCCCATACCTCTCCTTCTCCTCCCCCTATTCTTCCGCTCATCCCCCCACCTTTCCCCCCTTCTCGCGCGTCGCCCTCCTCTCACTCACCCATCCCGCAACTCACCTCCCCCTCCCAGTGCTTCTTCTACAACACCGTCGTCGTCACCGACAAGCCCATGGACGCCTCCGTCTGCGTCCTCCCCGAGACCGACAAGGCGTACAAGAGCAAGAACTCCGCGCTCAGCGAGGACGGCCTGACGTGCACGCTCGGCGGTATCGCGATCTTCAACCCGGACAAGTGCGTTGCCGCGTTCCCTCTGTTCTGTGTGCAGAGGGCTGTTCTGTGTGCAGAGGGCTATTCTGTGTGCAGAGGGCTATTCTGTGTGCAGAGGGCTGCTCTGTGTGCAGAGGGGCTGCTTTTGTTCTGTGTGAAGAGTGGCCTACTGACCTTCGCGTTTGCAGGCCCGCGCCCGAGATCAACGACGCCGACCTGAGCATTTGAGCGAGCGGAACGGCCTGTCGAGTGCTTATATTTTTAATGAGGTCAATGGTCTAATCGCCACGCTCGCGCAACGGCGATGACTACGAGATGCATTGGGTATCACGCGCGATGAGTGCATACACAGCGCGCGCACAAAGGGTAGATAAGACTGGAGTCGAGGCTGAGAGAAGGTAGGTAGGAATGATGTAAGTCCCCAAACTACGAGCGCGACGTGGGATAGATGCATTTGTCGCGCACGAATATACAAGACACGGTATAACAGCTCGATCTTCCACAAAGGATAACGGACCCCGCGTATGGAAGCGTTCGCGACGGGGCCCTGGTTGATTGTGGGGTTGGGTGTGTGCATAGGGATGGTGATCGAAGGGAAGGAGAAATCGGTATAGGGATGTTGGGAAGGGGAGGAGGTTGTGGGTAGGTATGACGGTCCAGAGCCGGCGCGTGCGAGTGATCATTGATGTCGAGTTCTTGCGAGACGTTGAAGCGCAAGGGTGCGAACAGAAAGGTCTTGCATTCATGGAGAGTACTCAACGTCTATCGCTTCCAAAGGTCCGAACCAACGAGAGGGATGGTGGAGGTAGAGAGCAAGTTGGAAAATTTCCGACTATTCCTTTTAGGGGCGTGACATATGCCCTGTCACGGTTCGTCATCGACGTGTCACGACGTGCCGCTACTTGCCGGAGACCGCCGTGCGGATTGCACGTTGGTCTGCTTTTGCCATCATCTGCTCTTGTACGAGCTGGCGCTTTTTCCGTTTCCCGGCGAACAACAATTGCGTCTTGTTGGCTTTCTCCAGGATGAACGACACCTGTCATATCGCGCTCTGCCCAAACTGCTCTCGTTCTATATCCCGCACCATTTCGCGCGCTCCCTCTCAGATCGACCTTGTTACCCTGAGAAATGGAGACCTGCCACCGGAAAACATCCCGAGTCGCGATTATATCTCGAAGGCAGAGGAGGCAGAACGCGAGATCCTCGCGTTCGATGCTGAGATCCGCCGCCTTCAGGCGCTGACCCAGGACCTCCAAGCCCACCGCCAAAGCCTTGCCGACTATGCGGCACAGCAGCGCTCCCTTGTCGCTCCAGTGCGACACATCCCTACGGAAGTCCTGGAGGCCATCTTCCTCCTCGCGTGCCGGACCCCCGAGTTCGCCTTCCCGCTGCAAGAGTCGATGACGACCGCGCGCACCCTCAGCCACGTCTGCCATACGTGGCGGAAACTGTTGGCGACCAGCAAGCAGCTCTGGCTAATTCCTTGCATCAAAGTCAACATAACGGCCATCGATAGCCCAAAGTTCAGAGAGGAGCAGGTGAACGAGTACCGTAGGGCGCTCATATTCTACCTTGCGCGATCAGATCCGCTCCCCTTCTCCGTCGATTTGCGCGGGGACGGTTGTGTGAACATCGCGCACAGGAGCGGGTTGCATCCAGTCCTCCCTGAGGGACAATTTATTGCGTACTTCATCCGACGCTGTCAGCACGCGGACTTCGACTGCACGTACCCGCTACACCTGGACGAAATCTTTTCGGCTTTCGCGAGGTCGGTACGCAAGCATGGAGGGCGAAGGGTTCTGATAGAAAGGCTCGACAGCATCGTCTGCCACGAGAGCAGTGACCTTGAGCACCTACAGCTCTATGCTAACTTTTTGCGCGAAAGCGCCCCGCACCTCAAGCGTTGGTCGCAGACATTCACAGAGCTAGGTGGCAGCGAACACTTGCGATTCCACGCACCCATGTCGCAGCTTACCCATCTTGACGTAATGTGGATGTCGGCGATATCCGCCTACGACGCGCTTGCGGACTGTACAGTGGCGGCCAGATCAATTGCGCGGTTCCTTTTTGGGAAAGATCGCCGAGGTGAGGGTTAGCGGTGCTCAACGGGTCTCGGCGACCTCACAGAACGGAAGAGCGCCGTCGAAAACCCCGGTCTGCATATGAACTTTGCTGGCAGACACTCCCCCTGGTCATGCAACGTGTGAAAGGTGCCTACATGGCCTCACCTACTGTACTACCCATTCATCACGCATGGTTTGGTCTTCCCGCACAAAATCTTGTATACGGGGGTTTCAAACGGCGCTCTACCGTTCTGTGAGGTCGCCGAGACCCGTCGAGCACCGCTAACCCTCACCTCGGCGATCTTTCCCAAAAAGGAACCGCGCAATTGATCTGGCCGCCACTGTAGGGCCTTGGAAGACCTCAGCATCTCCCTCTTTATAGCCACCAGAGGTAGGCATGATGGCACCTACACCCCTCCGCCCAAGCCCGTGGTTCTGCCCTCTCTCGTATCCCTTCGTCTCGTCGCGCGACCGGCGCGCACCATCTTAGGCGACTTTCTCGCCTCGCTCACCGCCCCGCCCTTAATGCACGCGCGCCTTCGCCATGGGAGCAACAAGTATCTCACTGACTATACCGCGGTGCTATGCTGCGAGGGCGCTCCAGAGGACCGGCCTGACTTCCCTCATGCCGAATTCGCGCAGTTCCTTGCGCAGTCGGACTGCAAGATGAACTCGCTGGAGATCGAAGGGGTGTGCACTGGGGCAGGCGACGTCGCCCTTCTGCGCGCGCGGCTTCCCGACGTCACAAATCTTGTCGTAACTGATTCGGAGGAGCTCAACGACCCATAAAACAAAGTCTGTGCACATCTTTCCTGTTCTCTGACCGTTGACACTAACGGATTGTGCAGCATCAGGCATACCTATATTTTCGGGGCTTATTCGGGATTGCGTCGAGCTTCTACTTCTTGTACTCCAACCCTTGTTCATAAGTCCTTCCCGGATGTAATATGGCTTGGCTCGCGTATCGATGCAACAAAACAACAGCGACAATCATATGGCGCTCCGTTCTGTTGTGAAACTCTGTACTATCATGCAGGAAGCAACGGAACGAGGGAAAAGCTAAGCAGCTCGCAAATTGAGACACGCCGAAGTTCAACTAGTCACCTGACGATCGGCACCGACAGCGCGCCGGCAAAGGCCGATATCTTGACCGCAGTTTGCCTCCGACCATCAAGATGAAGTACGTGTTTTCGCTCTGACCTCTCTCGGACCTATGCTCAACTCTGATAGACCTGAAGACGTGATATCGATATCGCTCTGCCCCAGCTGTCCACGAAGCATCACTTGTACCGGCAGTCCTTTCTCGCCATCTCAAGACGCCGTCGTCGCGATCAGGGGCAACGATGCGTCCCTCGAAACCATCGCCGACAATGACCGTCTGAATAAGGCGATGAGCGCGGAACAACAAGCGCATATCCTTACACTCGAGATCGACCGGCTGCTCGCTATGGCCGGAGAGGTTCAGGCTCACCGTCAGCGCCTCCTGGACTTTGCCGCTGAACAACGCGCGATCGCCGCACCCATTCGTAAAGTCCCCGACGAGGTCTTGGAGCAAATATTCCGCTTCGCGTGCGCGGACGTTGTCTTCACGTATCCGCTATCAAAGTCGATGCTTGCGACGGCAACGATCAGCCACGTCTGTCATCGCTGGCGCACTATTGCGGAAAACGACAAGCAGCTTTGGACGCCCGTCTGTGTCAAGCTAGATACGTACGAGATTGAGGAGCGAGAAGTGAAACCCACGCCCGAGCGTCTTTTGCCGTTCCAAAACGCGCTGATCGCATACCTCGAAAAGTCGGATCCGCGGCCCTTCGCCGTCGACCTGCACGGACCCTGCGTCGCCTTCGCATATGGGCCGAAGCGGACGCTCCCTCTCTTGCCAGCCTCCGAATTCTTCGAACACTTCGCCCGCCGCTGCCACCACGCCCGCCTGTGCACCACCTCCTTCGCGTACTTGGACTATCTCTATGGCATCGAGTTTCGCGCGAGGATGCCCGAACACATCGAGATAGAGCGCCTCGCGAGCTTCGAGCTCGTCGAGGACCGCACGCACCGCGAACCGGACAGGATCATGCCCTATCACGCGGTCCTCTTCACCGAGCGTGCGCCGCGTCTGCGCTCCTGGACGCAGAACATTGTCGATTCCACGAGCCCCAGCTTCGATGGGGTGATACTGCACGCACCGCGAAACAATCTGGTACGTCTCGAGGTGTCGTGGATGGAGTGGCCCCTAGCAGGCTGGGCGCTGGCTCCCTGCGTCAACCTAAAGGAGCTTATCATCGGCGTGTTTGCTCCCCCTAACACATGGAATAATGCCGAACCCAATCCCCTAACGCTACCAAACCTCGAGTCCCTGACGGTCGCTACAGTCCCTGTGTGGGCTACGCTTAGCCGTCTTCTGAGCATTCTTACCGCCCCGCGTCTGCGACACGCGCGGCTCCGCTGCGCGAAGCCAGACGAGGTACGACGAGTCGGCAGATACTTCATTCCGGAGACAGCACAATTTCCATACGACGCCTTGAGAGGCTTTCTTGACCGCTCGTCATGCGCTCTGAAATCACTGTGTCTGCAGGGCGTGGTCGCCGCGCCCGAGGACGTTTCTCTTATGCGAAGAAATCTGGCGGGATCCACAGAGCTTTTGGGGGAGGATATCGAAGATATGTAATGCACATATCTTCGAAAGTATCTAAATCGTATGCATTTAATCAAGTGGTCGGCCTTCTGTAGCATCAATGCAATTGACCACAGCTACCTCCTAGCACCTCGTCTTCTCAAAAGTAGTAGGACTATCGATGCTCCTGCATCAGCCGTTGAGAAAGAGTGGCCAAGATTGCAGCCGCGCCCTACCGTCCAGTGCATTCTCAGACTTCAAATTCACAATTGTTCCCAGCTGCTGCAGATCCCCCGCCAACACATCTGTTCTCTCATCCACCAGCCTTTCGAAATTCTATGCAACCGACCGGCAAAGTCGAACACGTATCACGTGATGTCCGCACATTGCCGAAGAATTTGATGGTCCTTTGGTCTGCGCCTTGACCTTCGACCACCAACATCATCCCTACATAACATCGCTCCTTGTGTTATGCGTCGCTCGGCAAGGATACAGAATCAGACAGTCAAGTCTGCTCCGAACAACGCCTCTGAATCCTCTGGCGTCGCAAGCTCAGCTGCTGTCCGACGTCGAAACAGCAAGCCAGTTGCGCGCAAACGAACGAGGGGAGACGTCGACGGCCCGGTGCAGCAGAAGGAAAGTAGCGCTGCAGAAATTGTCTTGAAGCCTCGGACTTCGACTCACAGGAAGAGCAAGGTGTGTATGTAGATCGCTGGTTCTGGATACGTTCTAATCTATGCCCCTCCCAAAGCGTGCTCGCAACGATACCCAAGACGATGCACTCCCCTCTCTCCGACGATCTGCCAGAATTCTTGCTCGTTCCCATTGTCCCATCCATTGGCTGCCCTCCGAACTACTGTCCGAAATATTCCTCCACTTCCTCGAGTTGATCAACGGCGGCTTCTTCTTTGTCAACCCCATCCCAAGGCTCGATACCACTATCACGCGCGTCTGCAGAAAATGGCGTAACGTCGCGTACGGAACTCCTCGACTCTGGCGACATCTCGTCCCTCCGAAAGGTGGATGTGATCAGTACCTGCGTCGTTATATTCCCCTTACAGGGCAATGTCCGCTCGATGTCAGTGGCTTCGAAGCGCAGCTCGGGGCCGATCGCTTATTGAGAAAGCTTCGACCTCATAGCCACCGCTTACGCGCTCTGATCCTGTCGGGCGCCTGTGACCAATTCCGCATGCCGACGCCCATCGCCGCGCTCAATCTCGAGGACGCATACCTTCTAATGTTCGCAGAAGGCCCATTGGACACGATCACACCCTTAGCATTCCTCGAGGACGCGTCTCGGCTGTCCAGTCTGCACATGCACCTCGAACGCGTATATACCCAGGTGATCTCGCTCCCGCCGATGAAGTGCTTAACGGAACTCACATTGTTCTTCTCTCGCTGCGTCATCCTGAGCGTCCGTGGCCCGCTAGAACAGTGTAGTCAAACGCTCAGGAAGCTCAAGATAACTATCGCATTGTGCGAAGCGCGTCCCGCGCCGGCCGATGCTTTGGCTCTCCCCGCGCTGAGAAGCCTTGACCTCGAGTACAATGCTGCCGGGGTCCTGGAGTTGATCTCCGCGCCCAACCTCGAGAAACTCAAGATCGACGGACCCGCGCCCGACAGTCCCGCTCTTCTCCTGGCCTACCTCGCCCGCGTACCTTCAACCGCGACTAACCTCCGTTGGCTCGACTTCGCGACCATGCACACGGAGGAGTGGGACAAAGATACGGTCCCAGCGATACTCATCGAGTGTTTCGCTAAGCTAAAGGCACTCGAGACGATACGCTTCAACTCTTTCCCAGAGGCGTTCCAAATCTTCGGCTGCCTGACCGTCGACTTGGAGAGAAGCGCGCCGCTGCTCTTACCGAACCTTAGGGTGGGGGTGTTTGGCAGAGATCACTATCACTGGCCCAGGCCTGTCATACCTTCGGAGGCGTATCGAGCGTTTGTGGAATCTCGGGCGAGGGCACAATCTGTCGGTGGGATCGTGGTTAAAGCGGCGCAGATCTCGCAGGAATATTGTATCATCCGTTTCTAGGTATTATCTAGACTGGAGACGTAGGGTTGAGCATTGTGGGATCGACGTCGCGACTTGGGCTCATAACGAGGGTGTTCCTCTACTTATTCTCGTGCTGTGCATCATGTATAGACCTGGGAAAATATGTAACTTGAGCTCATTGTGTGTGAGAGTGGATTGGGAGCAGAGCATGGTGATTTATGTGAGGCATTGCGTGGATGGAAGTTGAATTGTGTTCGGCACTTGCCGTGCACGTGTTTCGAGACATGCATATCGCGCGGGCACAACGTTGCCTTCTGACCATGAACTGTGACTGAAATCCTCGTTAACAGCAGCAATATGAGGTGCGTATATATGCTCGGAACCTCTTTCTGACAGCTCATACTCTAGATAGTGCCAACATATTGACATCGCTCTGCCCGGGGTGCCAACGTTGCGTCTCGTGCACCGGCTACCTTTTCTCGCCGTCTCAAGAGATTGTCGACGCCATTGGGAGCAGTGATGCCGACAGCCACTGCCGGTCCAGAGCCATAGACACAGATCTACCAGAGGAAACCGTCGGGTTCGACCGGCTGCCCGACGAGATTCTGGAACAGATCTTTTGCCTTGCGCATGCGGGCGTCGTGTTCATGCATCCGTTGTCGCGACTGATGCTGACGACGGCGTCTATCAGCCACGTCTGTCGCCGGTGGCGCGCCATCGCTGAATACGACAAGCAGCTTTGGGCGCCCGTCTGCATTAAGCTCGACTACTACGACATCATGGCGCTGTCAGAACCACTCACGTCCAAGCGGTTGTTGCCCTTCAAGAATGCGGTGAGAGCGTACCTCGCCAAGTCGGACCCTTTGCCCTTTGCAATCGATCTGCAGGGCCCCTGCCTTGCCCTCGACTCTCACGGTCAAAGAAAGCTCTGCATCCTCCCGGAAGGGGACTTCTTCGACCATCTCGCGCGCCGCTGCCACCGTGCTCGCCTCTGCACCACCTCCATCAACCACCTCAATCATCTCTTCCGCGTTGCCAGGCGGGGTTTGTCTGCACGCGTCGAGATGGAGAGCCTCGAAAGCCTCGAGCTCGTAGAGAACCGCAAACATCCGAACGAGATGTACCTGCACAAGGCGGACTTCTTCACCAGGGAGGCGCCGCGTCTGCGCTCGTGGAAGCAGCATGTCATTGATCTGACAAGCGCTGGACATCGCGGGGCAATTGTGCACGCGCCAGGGCGCACTCTGGAGTGCCTCGAGGCGTCGTGGACGGAGTGGCGCCTGGCAGGTGTTGCGCTTCCGAGATGGGTCAATCTCAAGGGCCTTGTCATTGCGATATGCCAGCCATACGACCCATGGTGGGACTTCAATCTCAAGCGCATGACGTTGTTGCAGCTGGAATCCTTGACCGTCGCTGCGACCCTCGCACGTACAATTATCGGCCGTCTACTTGGAGCTCTGACAGCCCCGCGCCTGCGGCAGGCGCGATTTCGCTGTGCGACGCCAGAGGAAGAGTGTCGCATCAACAAGAATCTCACGCCAGATAGGACCAACTTCCCACACGCTGAACTCGCGGGCTTCCTCGAGCGCTCGAAATGCGCGCTAGGCTTGTTAGTGATGCGGGGCGTGTGCGCCACGCCAGAGGACGCCATCCTTATTCGAGAGAGATTGCCGGAAACAAGGGAGCTTCTTGTAGAGGAATTGGAAATCGCGTAGCTTGTACGCTGTATATGCATTATCGTTTGGTCAGTCAGTCTCCAGGATACAGTCGGCGGCCCGGGAAAGACCAGTTCACTGATGTTGGATTTTCGGATTTTGTAAGGTCGGTGGTCAGAGTCAGGTCCAACATCGCGTATAGTCGCCCGGCCTCTGTTTGCTTGGTTTTACACACTCGAGCTCGATTGGACGTGGATACTGATCGCGTGGCCGTCATGTGATGCACGCATTTAGCCGATGGATACATGCTCCGTGCCTTGTCTTGAACCATCATCACCACCGCCGGCATGCGCCGCTCGACAAGAATCCAGGCTCGCACATACGAAAATGCTTCAGATGGCGCCTCTGGAGACACTGGCGTCGCAAGACCGGCTGGCTCTCGAGGCCGAGTCAGCAAGGCGACTGCGCGAAAGCGGACGGGGGGCCAGGCTGAATCGGAAGCCATCGCCCATAATAAAAACGACGCTGGTCGCAAGTCTACCGAGCGTAACACATCGAGTGACCTGAAAGGCAAGGTGTGTGATTGTGCTACTCATTCTGTATGAACACTCATCTTTTTTCCGCAGCGCGCTCGGGCCAACCGAAAAGACAAGCACCTCGAACCATCCCGGAGATCAGCTAGGATTTTCGCTCGCACAAACGGTCCTATACACCGCCTGCCCGCCGAGCTCCTCTCCGAGATCTTCTTCCACCTCCGCGAGCTGCTCATCCCCGACTACAGATATCCCAATCCCACACCGGCGCTGGATAGCACCATCACGCGCGTCTGCAGGTCCTGGCGGAACGTTGCGCATGGGACGCCACTACTGTGGCAGTACATCGCTCCTAAAAGCAGGGAGCCCACCGAATACCTGCGCCGGTACCTGCCTCTCACGGGAACGTGTCCACTACACGTCGACTTGTGCCGCACCATGTCTAGCAGGGACCTGTCCGGGATAGAGCAGCTTCGGGATCATTCTCATCGCATGCGTTCCTTGGAGGTGACGGCCTCGTTCGAGGAGTTCAGCGCTATGCAGCCCTTCGCCTCGCCAAATCTCCAGAGCGCGTTCATCATGACGCTTTCAGAGATGCCGCTCGGCACGGTCACACCCTTGGCGTTCCTCGACGACGTCTCTCGGTTATCCGACCTATGCCTGAACTTCCAATTCGTCAAAGTGCAGGCAATCTCGGTGCCGCCGTTGGAATCCCTCACGGAGCTCACCCTGTACCTGTGCTTCGGCGTCTCGAACGTCCGCGGCGTATTGCAGCGGTGCTGCAGGACGCTCAGGAAGCTCAAAGTCAGCGTTGGCGTATGCGACACGCGGCCGGCACCAGCCGAGGCTCTGGACCTTCCCTGCCTCGTGAGCCTTGACCTCGATTGCAATGACGGTCCGGTCCTTCAGATGATCTCGGCACCTAACCTCGAGAAAATGAAGCTCTACGGACCCGCGGGGGACATCCCCGCTCTGCTTCTGGCCTACCTCACCCGCGTACCTGCCTCTGCCGCGAATCTCCGCCTGCTCCACATCGACACCGTGCATACGGAGGATTGGGACGAGGCCACGGTACCAGGGATCCTCCTCGAGTGCTTCGCCAAGATGGAAGGGCTCCAGGTCATTGGCTTCAACGTGTTCCCGGAGGAGATGGAGATGGAGATTTTCGGCCCTCTGACCAGAAATTCGGAGGAAGGCGCTCTACCACTGCTGCCGAACCTGAAGGTCGCCATGTTCGGTAGCCGAAGTTTTAGCTGGAACATGGTATACACCGAGGCGTACACAGCGTTTGTGGAATCACGGAAGAGCGCTCAGCTTATAGGCGGGGCCGTGGTTCCGGCGGCGCAGATCTCGCGGGAGCACCGGGATATTTGGGAGATTGACATCGGTCAGATTCAAATCCATTAGTAGTCTACAGATATCCTTGTGTCCATGTTATGCACACTTGAGGACACGTAGAACTAGGAGGGAATTGTGCTCATTGTTTGTGTGTGAGGGTGCATTGAAAGCAGAGCTCTTGTGAGGCAATTTGACAAATATGCTCGGCACTCGCCGTGCGCGTGTTTCGAGACATGCATGTTGCGCGAGGAGGACATTTACTTCCTACCGTCAACTGCGATTGAAGCTTGCTTCGACAACAAGGCGATGAGGTGCGCCTCCTTGCTCAGCACTTCTTTTTAACCCTTACTTAGTCTCAGTAGGACCGAGATATCGACACTACTCTGCCCTAGTTGTCACCGTTGCATCTCATGTACCGGTCACCCTTTCTAGCCCTCTCAAGACATCGTGGAAGCGATCAGGAATAGCGATGAATCCTTGGGCGCCATTTCTGACAACCAATACCGAGACCGAGCGATGGACGCAGAGCGACAAGCTCACACCCTTGCTTCCGAGATCGACCGGCTGCTCAGCCTGGCACAAGAGCTTTCAGCGCACCTTCAGCGCCTTTCGGACTTCGCTACTCAGCAGCGCGCGATAGCCGCACCCGTGCGGCGACTACCCGACGAGCTTCTAGAGCAGATATTCCGGCTCGCGTGCGCGGGGGTCGTATTCTCGTATCCCTTGTCGAAACCGATGCTAACAGCGGTGACCATCAGCCACGTCTGTCACCGGTGGCGCACCATCGCCGAGCACGACAAACAGCTCTGGGCACCAGCTCTCATCAAGCTGCACGAAGATGACATCAACGCGCTCCCGAAAAAACCTACAGTCGAGCAGCTACGGCTCTTCAAGGCGGCCTTACTCGCCTACCTCACGAGGTCCGATCCACTTCCCTTCGCCATCGATTTGCGAGGGTCCTGCACCATCCGCGAGGATCATGGATCGAAGGAATTCTCTATCCTGCCCAAAATGGATTTTATTGACGCTGTCACCCGCCGCTGCCACCACGCGCGCTTTTGCCGCACCTCCGTCCGGTACTTCTCGTTGATGCTCCATTTCTACATGCAGAAAAGGGACCGAGCGGCGGGGTGCGTGGTATCGATCATGTTGGAGGTCCTCGAGACTTTTGAGCTCGTAGACGATCCACGCGCATGGCTAAGGGCAGGCGTCTCCGCTTCGTACCATCTGGACTTTCTGAAGAATTACGCGCCTCGTCTGCGCTTTTGGAAGCAGGACATCATCGACCTTGGCCATGATTTCTATGATACTGCGATGCAGCACGTTGCGGCGCACACGGTGGTGCGCCTCGAGGCGTCGTGGACCGACTCCGAACTTGCCATTAATGCACTTTCCTCCTGCGCGAGCTTGAAGGAGCTCATAATTGGACTCTGCCATACCACCGACACATGGAGCAACCCCAACCGCGAAGTGATGATGCTACCGGAGCTGGAGTCCCTCACCGTCGCTGCAGTTCCCGTGCGCTCGGTACTCGGGCGTCTGCTGAGCGGCCTCACTGCGCCGCGTCTGCGACATGCGCGATTTCGCCGTGCACTGCCAGACGAAGAGCGTCGCATCGACAGGGAACTTGCACCAGATAGGACTGATTTCCCGCACGTAGACTTTGCGGGTTTCCTTGAGCGCTCGGGATGCGCGCTGGAGTCGTTAGCTCTGCAGGGCGTATGCGCCACGCTAGAGGACGCCGTCCTTCTTCGAGAGAGAATGTCGAGCATGACAGAGCTTTTGATAGAGGACGCTAAGATCGCGTAGCTTGTACGTCCTGTGTACATCCCATTCCGGTTCTCGGCCTTATGTAGTAGGGAGGACGCATGGAAGTACTATTCGAGAAGTATTCTTCCTGCGGCGCTACAAATCGATTATGCGTGTTTGATTTCCGGAGTTCCCTCGTTTGAGACATGCATAGCAAGACCAGCAACCAGAACAACACACAGCCGCGCCCTCGATACGCCCTACCGTCGACCCAAAAGTTGAACTTAGTCACCTGACCGCGTCCACCGCGTCTCGGAACGCTCCCGGCGGTAAAACACCCGGATCCGGTCCCCAACCCCCAGTGCGCTCCGTCATCCACCCCCAGTTCGGGACGATGACGCGCTCCTCGGCAGCGGCTATAGCGGTTGCTTATGAAGGGGTTCAATTGACTACGGCTTGTTTCCAGCCCTCACCTCGATTACCTCGCTTTCATCCTCGCTTGCTTTCTACACGCATCGTCCTCCACTTGCTTTGGCACGAACACTTCCTCGAACAGCTACTAAATCAACATGGTCTCTACCCCCGTCGCCCTCACCTCTCTATCCCCCACGCCCGCGTACGTGACGGGCGCGCTCTGCGTGGTCGGCGGACTCATTGGCTTCGCCCGTCGGCGGTCGGTCATGTCATTAGTCGGCGGCGCAGGGTGAGTGCGGACTTTCTAGGACGTGTCCCCCTCGCATTCCTACCGGGAAGGGGACGAGGGAGACGTGCTGGAACGTGTCCCAACGCGATCACCTGTCTCCCGATCGGTTCTTCGCACCCGACTGCTTACGCACGTTCACGCGCGCTCGTGCTTCGACCCCTTCGCAATGATTAGACTGACACGCCTTCCTCCCCAGCGTCGGCGCCCTCTACCTCTACGCGGCTAACCTCCTCGACAGCGGCGCGGCGAACGGTCTCGAGACCGCCTTGGGTGCGTAGACTGCTTCTCAGAGCCACTCCATTCCCACTGCGTATGCCGCATCCTTCACTCAGTATGCCGCCCCCTTCACACTGTATGCCGCATCCTTCACACTGTATGCCGCCCCCTTCTCACACTCATCATCCCCTTTCCGCCTGATGCATCGTGTATATCTTTTTAGCGTGCTCTCCTTCCTCTTACAACACACCCACTAACCCATCCTCGCAGGCGCCTCCGCCCTCCTCCTGCTCTCCTCCCTCCCTCGCGTCGCCAAAGGCCCCGTCCCCCTCGGCCTCACGCTCACAAGTCTCGCGGTCGGCGGGTACTATGGGCGGGTGTACTTCTAGGGAGTGGAGAAGGAAGCCGAGGAGATACATACAGAGAAACAATCCGGAAGACAGGTGCAGAAGCAACTCGAAGACAGGGGCAATCCTGGACCATGGTCATAGTGTACAATGCCATGTACACATGCGGTGAATGGACGATAAGAGTACCGTACGTGAACCACTGCTTAGCAGTTGTGAATTGCAGTTCGGCAGCTGTGAACCAACGTTCAGCAGCTTGGCACGAAACCTGTCGAAGCTCGGCGGAACCTGTCGATGGGAATCGAATTGGATCGATCGTGAAGACTCCCGTGCACGTACGACTAAGCTCAGCCTGAAGAGATAGTTCGTGTCAGTAAGGCAGCAACGATAATTCGGGGGGCTAGCAGCGACAATGGTCTGTGAGGCTGCTACTACTAGCAACGGCGATGGCCCGTGTGCTAGCAGCGATAATGGATCACGCGACTGGCAGCGACGACGCTTCGCGAGACTAGGGCCCGTGGAGTACATTGAGTGCAGCGAACATACACCGTGCACGTTGAGCGCTAGTCAGCGCCGGCGTTTTGCGACATCCAAATGTTCGTGTGCGGTGTTTCCGAGCCGCGTCGCGCACGTCGTCAGGCTTCCGAATCGCGTCGTGAGCGTCGTTAGGTTTCCGAATCGCGCCGCGCACGTCGCGAGATTTCCGAACCGCAAGCTCACGTACATTGTACAACAGGCGGCAGCGCGCGTATAAATGGGTGCCGCGGCTAGTACAACAAGGGCCATTACATAGCAATAAATCGATCGCCTCGACGGCTGTTTCGAAGATGACCCGGCGATGGCCTCGCGCAGGCTGAAGACCAGCTATGAGACTGCAGACCTGCTATGAGAGTGGTGTTCGGTCGATGGCTGAGTTCCGGAAGGAGGACTTGTCCTGCATGGAGTCTGCGAGGGGTGTCAGTGGACTGGGTAAGAGAGGGAGACTGAAGAAGAGAGGGAGACTGGAGAAGAGAGGGAGACTGGAGAAGAGAGGAAGACTGAAGAAGAGAGGGAAACTGGAGAAGAGAGGGAGAGGGAGCGAAGATGTCGTCGACGAGAATTCGATTTCCAGAGTGTGGTGTAGATATACGAAAGCGATGGTGAGAAGGAACAGTGGATGGTGAGAAAGAACAGTCGCGGCTCTGTTGAGCGCGCATATAGACCCAAAGGCTTAGGGATGGAAAAGGTGAAGGAAGCGATGGGAATCAGAAGATGGAAGGAGAGGAAGGTGAATTGTACGGAACCACGATCGAGAAGACAACTGGGATTAGAGTACAAAGGGAAGACGTATGAAGAGGTTGCACACACCGTTGTTGGATTTATACTCCATAATCGTGGTGGCTGGAAGATTGAGAACCCTCCGCATGGTATCCCTGCGCGGACGTAAGATGAGGGAAGGCAGTAGAAGACGCGCCACGCACCTGATCTTTTCCCTGAGCTTGAGATCGCCATCCGTCTTGTTCCAAAGGCTGATGATGTCTTCACTTTGTCGGACGCTAATCGTGCACCCACAGATCTCTGGCGCATCGCGCAGCTCCTCCTCCACCGCGCTCTCCGCCGCCTGACACGCGTCGAACTGGTCGCCCACGATCGCGAGAATGAGGTCCTCCCATATCCTGTCCGCGACGCCCTTCTTCAGCCGCACGATCCACTTCCCGCCGCGTATATTCAGCGGGTCCTCCCACACGGGGCGCCGGATGCCCTGGTGGAAGAGCAGGTAGTCGGTCGTCGGCTGCAGCTTGCTCGGCGGCTCGAGGTGCGTCCAGAGGCCCCAGAAGGACTCGGCGGAGGAGAAGGCGGCTATGCGCTTGATGCCCTCCTCGTAGGAGGTGATCTTGTCGCCGGGCGCGCGGCGCATGCGGAAGAAGAAGACCCATCTGGGGGGGCGCAATGGCCGGAGCTGGGGCGATCAGGCCGGAGGGGGGCGGCGGGCGGGCAGACATACGTGGTGCGGAGCGGGTGCACGGGCGCGCCGTTTGCGCTCGTGGCGCTGGTGGCGGTCGGGGAGGCGGAGGCGGTCCCGTCGGCGGCGACGGAGGTGGAGAAGTGCTTGGAGGGGACGCGGACGGGTGGGCGCTGCCCCGGGGGCGGGACGCCGCTGACTGATGATGCTGGCGGCGTGCCGGGTGTCGGTGCGCCGGGCTGCGCGGCGTTGGAGAGGAAGCGGGACTGGGAGTGGTTGGAGAAGTAGCTGCTCATCGTGGTCGTCGTCATCGGCGGTGATGAGAAGATGCGAGTAATCAAAATTTACGGCAAGCGCGCGCGTCGGGCCGGGCGCCCGCCTCCCCTCGTGCGCGTCGCCCTCGCCGTCGTCGGCGCCCATTTCGCCTTGCCTCCGCCCGTCATGAAGCTTACGCTGCGCCCAGAGTGGCGGATGTACCCCCTCTCCTCTTTCCTTGGTGTCCTCGATCTGAAGACCGGGGTCATCGTCGCCCTGCTCTTTGCGCTCCTCAACAAGGTCGCCGGCGTGTACGGCCTCATCGCTGCCCTCACAGGCGCCGGCGGCTCCTTCGCGCAGATCAGCCTCTACCTCTACTCTACTCTCGCCCTCGTCGCCATCGCCCTCGGGCTCAAAGCCGTCAAGCGGGTGCGTCTCCCCTCCCCGTTTTCATCGCCATCACATGCACTAACCGCCTTCACTGCACAGGAAGACGCTAAGCAGACGCTCTACTTCGCGCATTTCTTCTTCTTCGACCATGCCCTCTCCACCGCCTGGGTCATCTGGTTCGCCATTGTCTGGTGGGTCAAGACGCCGCATGACGGGCGGCGCCAGGCGCACTCCGCCGCGCAGGAGGCCATGATGCACGCCGCGCCGCCGCACGAGCCGATGACCGACGCGCAGCGCGTCGCCGCCGCGATGGCGATCTGGGAGCAGGAGAAGGGCTTCGCGGCAGCCATCATCGCGGTCAGCTGGCTCTCGAAGGTGCGTGGGGCTACGAGTCTTACTCCCAGTGGTCTGATCATCGCGCGCAACTCCTAGCTCTACTTCGCCCTCCTCATCTACTCCTATGCCTCCCACCTCCGCAAGGGCTCGTATCGCGCGCTGCCCCTCTCCCGGAGCACGCCCGTGCTGTCTGCGCAGGTACCCTCGCACTACGAGAACGGCGCGGCGCCGTACGACGACACGGCCCTCGGCCTCGGGGAAGACGAGGACGGCGTGGACGACTTCTACCGCGTGCCCTTGAGAACGCCTGTCAGCCGCGGGGGCAATGGCACCCCCAACGGCCGCGCAAGTACACCCCTCAGCCGCAACGTCACGCCCAATGGACACAAGCCCGGGCAGGGCTCCGCATCCAGCCTGGCCGACTTCGTGAGCGCGCCCCGCGGGAAGTCGGGGTTGGGGAACGGGAATGGGGAGGTCGTGTTCGACGTGGAGGAGGTGAGTCGCGGTACAATCATCCCTTGCCACCGCCTCTCGTCTTCCCATCTCGGTGTAGCCCACCACAACAATTACTGACTCGTCTCCAGCGCCGATAGCAACTCGGGCTTTGATAGCTTGCTGACTTTGTGTGTGCTCTCGTCGTACCCTGCCTAATGATACCGGCATACCTCTTCCTTCGCTGTCTTCGCGTGCTTGCCTTGCGGGACATGGTATCTTGTTCTGGGGAACACGGTATCCGTCCCCAAGCATTTTCAGCCACCCGGCTCCTTGCTGGTCCCCGTTGACTTCCATACTCACCCTCCGCTCCCTTCCCTCCGCTCCCGCCTGTTTGCTGTATGGGATAATAGAACACTCGTTGTACGTAGACTCGGCTCTCCTTAGGAATACGTAGACTAAACTCTAGGAGTATATTATACTAGTGCCCTACGGCATTGTCAATCCCCTGGATATGTGCTCAGTATCCCTGTCATGAGCTGTGCCGTGTACGTTTTTCCAGCGCTGAAGGGACTGGTGTTATGCATGGCCGCGGTAAGTACGATGACCAGGTATGTTACAGTACTTGCAAAACTCAAGTAGGGGTCGATGTATTTGCTCCCGCTTTCAAGGCTTACAGATGTCGCAACGGAGCACTGTACACCAAGTACGATACCTGCTACGCAATGGTGACACCCTCCACCTGAAGTACTGTCATGCTCGGCAATCTCTCTCGAACAAGGACGGCGTCCTCTGGCGTGGCGCATACGCCCTTCAGAGCCATCGACTCCAATGCACATCCCGAGCGCTCGAGGAAGACACCCAAGTCGGCGTGCGGGAAATCGGTCGTGTCTGGCGCGAGTTCTCTGTCAAGGCGACGTACCTCGTCTGGCGTTGCACAGCGGAAATGCGCATGTTGCAGACGCGGCGCGATGAGAACGCGCAGCAGACGACCGAGTACAGTGCGCGCGGGAACAGCAACTACGGTGAGGTACTCCAGCTGCCGCAGCGTTGTTGTCTCGGGACCGGGACCGCTCCGTGTGTCGGTGGCATCGCAGAGTCCGATTATGAGCACCTTCAGACTTGCGCAGGAAGAAAGTGCCCGTTGGGCAAGGTCCAAAGCGGTCCACGACGCCTCAAGGCGTACCAGAGTGCGCCCCGGAACGTGCTGCATCGCAGTACCATAGAGATAATATCCCAGGTCGACGATGTCCTGCTTCCAATAGCGCAGATGCGGCGCATAATCTCTGAGAAACTCCAGATGGTAATCGGAGGCGGCTACTATCGCCCCTGCGTGTGGATCGTCTACGAGTTCAGCAGTCTGGAGGGCCTCCAACGTGGGTATAACCACGCACTCCGCCGAGCGGTCGATGGTCTGCATACGGAACTGGAACAAACTTGAGAAGTACCGGGTGGAAGTACAACAAAAGCGCGCGCGGTGGCAGCGGCGGGTGACAGCGTCAATGAAAGCCACTTCGGGCAGAACGGAAAATGCCTTCGATCCATAATCCTCGGAGATGGTGCAGGGGCCTCGCAAATCGATGGCGAAGGGTAATGGATGGGATCTCGTGAGGTAGGCGACCAAGGCCACCTTGAAGAGCAGTAGCTGCTCGACTGTGGGTTTCTTTGGGAGCATGTTGATGTCATCTGTATGCAGTTTGATGAGAGCTGGTGCCCAGAGCTGCTTGTCGTGCTCAGCAATGACGCGCCACCGGTGGCAGACGTGGCTGATCGCCACCGCCGTCAGCATCGGTTTTGACAGTGGATACGTGAACACGACCCCCGCGCACGCAAGGCGGAAGATCTTTTCCAGAAGCTCATCGGGTAGCAGCCTCACGGGTGCGGCTATCGCGCGCTGCTGAGTAGCGAAGTCCAAAAGGCGCTGACGGTGCGCTGAGAGCTCTTGAGCCAGGCTGAGCAGCCGGTCAATCTCGGAAGTAAGGGCGTGCGCTTGTTGCTCTGCATCTACCGCTCGCGCCTGGTAGTGATCGTCAGGAAAGTCGCCCAAGGATGCATTGCTTTTCCTGATGGCTTCGATGGTGTCTTGAGAGGGCGAGAAAGGGTGGCCGGTGCACGAGACGCAACGTTGGCACCCTGGGCAGAGCGACGTCAACATTTCGGTCCTATTGAGTGTGAGCAGTCAGAAGAAAGCGTCTAACATGGATACGCACCTCATCTTGCTGTTGTAGAAGAGAAAGATAATCGTAGTTCGTGGTCGGGAGTCAACGTTGTGCTCGTGCGACGTACATGTCTCGAATCACGCGCATGGCAAGCGCCGAGCACATTTGTCAACTTCCATGCGCACATTGCCTCATAACTGCTCTGCTCCCAATCCGCCCTCCCTCACATACGATGAGTCCAACTTCCCCTAGTTTTTGTCTGTTCTCTATCTATATTGTACATGACGGGGGGCGCAATGATATCCGTGAAAAACCATTGAACCTAAATACTACCGGCGTCGAGCTCCCAGTGCTCGAGCCTACCTCTCGATCCCATAGTACGCTCAGAAGCGAATGTGCCGATACTGCCGGGAGATTTGCGCCACCGGAACCATGACCCCGCCTATAAGCTGGGCGCTTTTCCGTGATTCCACAAACACGTTGTACGCCTCGGGGTATCCAACGAGCCAGTCAAAACTGCTGCTACCAAACATCCCGACCTTCAGGTTCGGCAGCAGAGGCAATGCACCTTCCTCCGGGTTCCTGGTCAGAGGGCCAAAAATCTCGATCTCCTCTGGAAACACATTGAAGCCTATAGTCTCGAGCCCCTCCAGGTTGGCGAAACACTCGAGGAGTATCCCTGGGACCGTGGCCACGTCCCAATCCTCCGTATGCACTGTATCGATGTAGAGCAGGCGGAGGTTCGTGGCGGAGGAAGGCACACGAGTGAGGTAGGCCAGAAGCAGAGCGGGGATGTCCTCGGCGGGTCCGTAGAGCTTCATTTTCTCGAGGTTAGGTGCGGAGATCATCTGAAGGACCGGACCGTCATTGCCATCGAGCTCAAGGCTCAAGAGCGAGGGGAGCTCCAGAGCCTCGGCTGGTGCCGGAAGCGGGTCACATACGCCAGCGCTGACTTTGAGCTTTCTCAGCGTCCTGCAGCACTGTTGCAATACACCACGGACGCTCGAGATGCCGCAACACAGGTACAGGGTGAGCTCCGTCAGGGATTCCAATGGCGGCACCGAAATCGCCTGCACGTTGATGGTTTGGAAGTTTAAAGACAGATCGGACAGCAGGGAGACATCGTCAAATATTGCCAAGGGTGTGACCATGTCCAGCGAGTTCTTTGACAGCCGCAGCGTGCTGATCGAAGCACTCCGAAGGTTGGGCGTGGCGAGGGGCTGCATCGCGCTGAACTCCTCGTACGAGCCCATCAGCTGCAAGGAGCGCATGCGGTGGGAATGGTCCCGAAGCTGCTCTATCCCGGACGGGTCACTGTTATACATGGTGCGGCACAAGTCGACGTGCAGTGGACACGTCCCCGTGAGAGGTAGATACCGGCGCAGATATTCGGCGAGGTCCCTGCTTTGGGGGACGATGCATTGCCACAGTAGTGGCGTTCCACGCGCAACGTTTCGCCAGGACCTGCAGACGCGCGTGATGGTGGCATCCAGCGCCGATGTGGGATTAGGATTTCCCCAGCCGGCGGATTGGATCAGCTCGCGGAGGTGCAGAAATATTTCGGAGAGGAGCTCTGCAGGCAGGCGGTGTATGGGACCGTTAGTGCGAGCGAAAATTCTGGCAGATCTTCGGGATGGTTCGACATGCTTGTCTTTGCGATCGGTCCGAGCACGCTGCAGGTCACAAATTAGAGCTCATACAGAAGCAGTAGCATGATGACACACCTTGCTTTTGCCGTCAGGCAATGTGTTGCACACAGAAGACTTTCGACCAGCGTCTGTATGACGAGAAATGACCTGCGATTCAGTCTGACCCCTCGTCCGCTTCCGCGCAGTCGGCTTGCTAACTCGGCCTCGAGAGCCAGCTGAGCTTGCGATGCCAGTCTCTCCAGAGGCGCCAATCGAAGCGTCTTTGGATGTACGAGCCAATATTCTTGTCGAGCGCCGCATGAAGGTGGTAATGATGGCGGTGGTGATGGTTCAAGGTCAAGGTACTTACGGAGCGCGATCCGTCGGCAAAACGCGAGCGTCATGTGACTGCCACGCTGTCAGTGTTCGAAATTGTTGACGCCAGCTGCTTCGAGTGAGTATAGCCATCTCCACTAAGTCAACGCTTCCTTATTCATGGAGTATACTGCGAATTACAACAACGAGATTGAGAACGAGACCTGAGCACAATAACGGGGCACGACAATAGAAGAACATTGCTTCATCGAATGGATCGCTTTTAAGCCTGCGTCCAATTCTTGCACGTCAATATCCATAGCGAGAAGGCCTAAGATTATTATTGGTTTGACACTGAAGGGCTCTGAGCTTGTTCCCGTACTGTCACCTCTGACGTCCTCGCTCGCCACATCGTATTTGGTATAAACGCGCTCGCGACGACCTCGTGCGTGCCACACAAGCTAGCAGACGTGAGCGAAAGCTGTAAAAATTTCTCTCAATGGTCCTAGAAGTACGACGGTCGCCTATTGCAATTATGACAAATGATATAAGTGTTTCTGAGTGATTGACCACAAATAACAAAAGCGGTTCCGGAAGCCAGCGCGGAGTACAAGGGGTATTCCCCGCGCATCAGATCGGCCAAGCCTTCGTGATGCTTTCACGCACAGTCAAAGCCCTTCCAACTAACTTGCTACAAATTTCGTCAGAGAAACGCGATTCACCAATAGAAATGGACCACCTTACATAGTTTGCTCTCACCCAGAAGCCTGACTACTCTGGCCCTGCACCGAAAGCCCTTGAGTATGCATGGCGACAAGCTGAGTAGCGCTAGGCAATCGCTCCCGGAGTCGCCAGAGAGTGACCTCCGATATGCGTACATAGTTGAGCTCGAACTTTCGAAGATTGCAGCCCGAGCGCGTGAGGAAGTCGTGACACTCCTGCTCCGGCCAATCCCAGGCATCATCGATCGCCGGATATTCCTCTCCGGGCCAGTTGGCTCTGTTGAGACACAAGTCCTCCAGCAGCGGCACATCGAGTACCGGAAAGAGGTCGCTGATCGAATACGGATCGTCTGCGGTCATGACGAGGCGCTTGAGCCGCGGGAGGGAAAACTTCGGCAGTCTCCAGCGCTCGACCGACGGTTCGATGTACACAGACAAGCGCAGCTCTTCCAGCCCGCGACAACGCTGGAGTATCTCCCATACAGTTAGAGACGACAGCCACGACGTGTGCAGGTACGTGAGTTGCGCGTACGGCAGCCGGAAACGACAGTGGTCGATGTGCTGCGTCCATGATCTAAGGCGTGTGGCGTTGGCGAAGACCTTGACCCGACACCGCGACGTCGGTGCTGCACGCGCCACTTCTACGGCCTCCAGCATTTCTGGTCGCCGCTTGATCCGGTTCGCTTTCAGATACGTATGCAGGTAGTCCACCATATGTTTAGATAGAATGGCGGTCCTCCATCTTGGAAGGAAGCGAAATATCACTTCCAGTGCTGCACGAAGGTTGTCGTTAAGGCATGATGCCCATATGTCTCTAGGGTCGCCAAGGAGTTCGACAGATAGTGGACCAGGCGCAGATTGCCGACAGTAACGGCCTAAGACGCGCCTGAAGAGTCTCGCATCGCGATCCTGACGGTCGTCGGCAAACGGCCGGAATCCGTCTATCCTGATTTTGGCCGACCAAAGCAGGCCGCTATCCTGAATTATTGAGCGCCATAGGTGGCACACGCCATTGATCGCATGCGCAGAGACAGTGCGCGGGCTGAAGGGAAATTCGACAATGTCGTCCACGCATGCGCAGCGCAGGATAATTTCGAGAAGCTCGACAGGAAGCCGCCGGATAGGTGTCATGAGCCCGTGCTGTTGTGCCGAGAACTGCGAAAGTTCTCGTTGGCGCATTCGTAAGGTCTCAGCGAGAGCCTCAAGGCGCTCAAGCTCTTGCCCAATCTCGTCCGCTTGTTGCTCCGCATCCTTGGCTCGAGCTATACGGTCCAGAAGGGAATCATCTGCAGGAACACAGCCGCGTCTCAGCGCTTCGTTGAGTTGCGGGCTCGGCGTGTACGACGGGTTGTGCTGTATCGAGCGCGTGCAGGACGAGCAGAGGGGCAGACTACACGTAGATGCCAATGTCATCTGGCGATGATGTATAGAAGTGAGTGATCAGAGACAGGTGCTGACGGCGGAGACTCACTTCAGCTCGATAATGTAGAGATATGTTTGTCCAAGAACGTTACTTCGGTGGTGTATAACCCCTCCGGCGGCGGAACGGCGCGTATGACGCTGTACAGGGTTGACGTCAGGCATCGTTTCCAGTCCGTAGCAGTATGCCTACCTCGGTAGAGCTGGGGGTGCCGATGATATCAACAACAGAGACGATGATGGTCAAGGTCAAGGTGGCCGAAGCATTTGCTGTCACGTCGTCACAGACATTCAGCCATCCACGTGTCACGCTTAACTTGCGCTGCGGCATCCCCTCCTCACACTTTGGTAACGAGCGCCGAGTTCACCACCACAGGCATATAACCAATCCATTGAAGGCAGAGTCAGACGGCACCGTATACTTGCACAACGCGCCGCGGAGGTCTGACGCACCACACCGCAACGCACAAAACGAGGTAGCTATAGGATAACGGACAGATACAAGGAGCGTGGCGCGCGCCCTAACGGACGCGCACGGTCGGGCGGAATAATGGTAAGTAGTAAAAGCACAAGGTATCAATCGAAACGGGCCGGAGGCGAGGTAACGGAGAACGTGTGTACGGTAGCCGCGAGTGCACGGTATCGGCGAGCATATGCATGTCAACGAGCCAGGGTCCATGCGCGTCCGCCCTACCCTATCATCGTCAGTGCAGATCCATCCATCCCCGGGCGTGCCATGGGGCGGCAGGCAGGCATAGGTCACGTAGCAGAGAGCAGAGACTGTCGTGCGTTCGCCATCATATCAGCGACGCCGTCGGTGGCTGGTTGGTCTGTTGTTGCTGCTGGTTCTGCTGCTGCCCAAAGAGCGACTGTCCGAACGAGGACTGCGCCGTGAAGCCCGTCGGCTGCGAGCTGAGGCCGCCAAAGGCCCCTGTAGGTTGAGACCCCAGAGCCCCGAACGCGCCTGTCGGCTGCGAGCTCAGGCCGCCGAAAGCCCCCGTCGGCTGGGAGCCCAACCCGCCACCGTTGAACGCTGGCATAGGCGGCGCACCATTCCCGCCCAGCGCGAACATCGTCTGCGGCCGGAAGGGGTTCGCGCCCCCCGTCATCTGTGGTCGAAGGCCTACGCCGGTCGTCGCACCCGACCCTGGTCCCGATGACGTGCCCCCAAGACTCCCGCTGCTCGCATGCAACGAGAACTGCGACGAACCGTTCCCGACCTGCCCATTCGCCTGCCCGTTAGGCTGAGACCCAGTCACCGCGGGTGTCGCAGGTGACGACCCCGGGATCGGCGGCAGCGACTCCAGCAAACTCGCCCCGAACGACGACGAGGGTTTGAACGGCTTGAGCGACGACTGGAAACCTGTCGTCTGTGGTCGTAAGCCGCCCGACGCGCCCGTGGGTTGCGAGGTCAGGCCTGTCGGTTGCGATGAGATGCCCGTCGCGTGCGAAAACAGGGATGCCGAGGTCGTGGTTATCGTCGTCGACGTATTCTGCGGGTTCAACGAAGAAGTGTTGCCGAACAGTGAGGATGAAGGGCCGGAACCGTTATTGTTCTGCCCATTGCCCTGGTCACTCTTCGCAAACGACGACGCAACGCTGCTCATATCCGTCGGGCCCGCGCCCAGCGCACTCGAGTTGAGCCCAAGTCCCGACGAGCCGGCGCCCGTCTGCTGGGACTGCTGCTGCTGCTGCGATGCCCCGCTAAACAACGAGCTCCCCATCCCGCCCGTCTGACTCCCACTCCCGAATAACGACGCGCCAAAGCCCGTCGTCTGCAGCTGCAACGGGCCGTTCTGGCCATTTTGCTGCTGCTGCTGTTGACCGTTTGGCTGCTGCTGCCCATTCTGCTGCTTCCCATACCCCATCGCCAGCTCCATCAGCGTTGGTACCTTCGGCACCGGCGGTGGCGGCTGCACTACGGGTCCGAACGGGTTCTTCGTCCCCGTCTGGTGCGTCTTCACTGGCTGCGGCGGCGGGCTCGCGCTCTTCATCGCGCCCAACGGCGCCGACGCGGGTCGAGCGGGCGCCTCCGGTTGCTGCTGCTGTCCGCCTGCGCCAAACAACGATGCACCAAACGACGGCGTCGGCTGGAAAGGCTGTTGCTGGCCAAGTTGTTGCTGAGATCCGAAAGGCGAGGACTGGAAGGGCTGCTGCTGTTGCTGCCCAAATGGCGACGCCTGGAAGCCCGTCGTCTGCGGCAGCACCGAGCTTGCGCGGAAAGGGTTCGACCCCGTCATCTGCGGTGTCAGCGCATTCGCGCGCAGCGTCGTCCCCGGGAACTGCGGCAGCTGCACCCCCGCCGTATTCGACAGCTGCTGCTGCTGCTGCCCATTCGGGAACGACCCATTGACCTGCAGAGACGGCATCCCCGTCATCTGCGGCTGCTGCGGCATTGCGCCCATCGACGCCGACCCCGAGATGCCATTGAGGCTCGGGTTAAGCCCGTTGAATTGCGGTTGTGAATGTGAATCGGGAAGGAAAGACGAGAAGGGGCGGTGGCCCGTGGCTTGGGGCTGGAGGAGCTGTTGTGGTTGCTGCTGCTGCTGCATGCCGAAGGGGTTGAAGCCGGTCTGTTGCGGCGCGACGAAGGGCTGCTGCATGGGCATGCCTGTTTGTTGGGGCATCATACCGGGTTGTTGCATAGGCATGCCGGTAATTTGGCGTTGAACGAAAGGATTGGCGATCTGGTTTTGCTGGAAGTAGGCAGAGTTGGGACTGTGAGTTCGAACATTAGTTACCGACACAAGCGATCCAATGAAAGACTGACCTGTTGGTCTGGGGGTTGAACATGGTGGGTTGCTCCTCCTCGATTGCCGCGAAGAAGTCGATGACATTCTTGTTCGTGGACGTTGAGGGTGTGGTCGCATTTGATGGTGTAGAGGACGAGGTAGAGGGTTTGTCTGCAAGGTTGCCGAGATTAGTCCAGAGGACGACATTCACGTAGCCAGCGAACGTACCTTCGGGTTTCGACCTCCGTGCGTCAGTCTCCTTCACGATACCCTTATCGACGGCCTCTTTGTTGGCGCGGTATTCGATGCGATTTTGCTCAAAGTTGGGGTCGTCGAGGTACTCTTGCAAAGCGCTGGCGAGGGACACCGGCGCCTATGCGGATCATTAGCACTGCATCACAAACAGTTATGATATACACACATGCTTGAGGTTGGGTATGGAGACGTTGAGGAGGTTCTGCAATTTCCGTGCAACACCGAGGAACTCGACGACCTTCTCAGTCTGCTTGCAGAAGTGCTTGTAGATCCTGAGCGCTGCCTCTGCGTCGACATGGGACATCTCGAAGTAGTGCTCTGGATTCTGGTCAGTTAACCACAAGTGATATTGCGCATAGCGACGCACCGAGTAGGTTGATAACACCCTCATTACCGGCTTGGAAAAGGATAAGGAGATCCTTCACAAGCATTCGCAGTGCAGTGATCGTGAGCTCGTCCTCCAAATCGTCGAGATAGAACTGACGACCGGTTAGGGACGATAGCGATAACAAAGCAAGCGACGCACCCTGCACTCGACGAGCGCGTCAATCATTCGGTGTACCGCTTTCGTCTCCCTCAAGAGGCCCTTCTCCACCGTCATGACCCGCAGCTTCCGACCCATGACCGTCTTGCTTCGCGACACACCCGCACTCGCTGACTTGCTCCGCTCGCTCTTCGCCTTGTACTTGCTAACGTTGATCCCAAGCTCGTCGTCGACAACGTGCGAGTTGCGCATATCGCGGTTGTTCTCCGCCTGCACACGTATCGCATCGTGCTTGAGCTCGCTGAAGGCGCGTATTCGCGAGTCGAGGTAGATGGCGTAGTGCTGGAGGTTCTGCGGGGCCTGGTAGCCTGCGAGAGGAGGTCAGCGGATCCGCACCCCGCACGATCAGCGGCGCCACGCACCTTCCCAATTCCCCGCCGAGACGTTCCGTAGGCGTAGGACGTCGTGGGAGCAGAGGAAGCCGAGCACATTATCCGTCGCGCCGCTGCGCATCATGGTATGGAGGACGATGAGGGCCTTGAACACGACCTGCTGGGCGTGAGCTGTCGGCTTCTGTGCGCGCGAAGTAACACGCACTATGGCGTTCGGCTCGCGGAACCTGGGGGCAAGGGCCTTGCAGACATCGCCCACGGCGCCCTCCTCGGACCATGTCGCGGCGATGATGGGCTCGAGGTACTGCACGGCATCAGCGGGCGCGCCCCTCGTCGCCGACGTGGCGTACCTTCGACTTTGGCGGGTTTGCCTTGGGCTTGCAGGCGAGCTTGACGACCTTGTCGAAGCTAGACATGACGGGCGGAGACAAGGATGCCCTCGACGTCGCCGACGACGACGGCGAACTCAAACAACTGGTATTCCGCCGCTGAACGAAGTTACTCATTTGGGCCCTGTCATGACATACCGGCCAACACCGGAATACTCCCACGGTTCATCTTCCTCAACATCGTTGTGCGCTCGCATCTCAGGCAGGCATATTCTGCCGAGGGTGCTTGACGCGAGGATGTAAAGAGGCAGGAAGGGTCGCCTCGCTGGCTAAAAGGCGTCAGAATTCTACGTCTCCTTTGAACGACCCGCCACGGCGACAGCTTGTCCAGGCACTCAAATGTCCGCGAGGGGACGGCAGACTTTCCGTCGCATAATAGGAGCATTTGGATCTGTCATACGAATGCTGTCTAGCTATACTACGAACAGATTTGAGGCCTAGAAGGGGAAGCGAATATTTGAAGATCTGGCGGCCGGCCGAAAGGGCAGCGAATAATCCCGCTGCGTAATCATCCAGTCCACAAGTACATATACTGCTGCTTCAGTCCTAAGTTTCGTGGGACATGGTAGGGATTGGCAGGGAGGTGTTCGGCTCATACCCTCGGCCTGAAGGTATCAGGGGGAAGACCCGACACGTACATTGGCACGGGGTGTGTCGACAAAGTCCATGGCGGAAACCTACGCCCACATAGCTGACCGATTGTATCTTCGCAGCCGGTAGGTGTCAGCCTCAATCTTGCAACTAGGGAGAGGTCATGGTCCCAAACATGGTGCGTTCGTAGCGCAGCACCTGTAGGCATACACGATCAAATTGCATACGTGCACGTCCGTCGAGTACGCCCGGCAAAGGTTCCCCTGCTAGATCTCATTGAGGTCGTAAGGTCTGCATTGGGGAGCTAAGATGAGACTCTATTCCGGTCGAAGCCCGTCGCCATTCCAAGCGGAAACTCGAGGTTGAAGTTGAAATCGTTCAGGTAGGCAGGTCACGTGACGTCTTCCAGCGCAGGAAGACCTCACGCGAACAGGTGCTCAACTGGAGCCCAGCACTTGAGAAGACAGAGAGAAATTGCGATAGGATGAGCTTGACGGTGAGTCAACCAAGCCAGGCGAGAGGGAAGGAGGAGCGACCAGAGGTTGGATCACGCTGCGCGTAAATGTTGAGGTGAAATCGGAGCATAACTTCGAGATGCGAGACGGGAAGGAGCGTTCTGGGCTGGACCGAGAATGAGATACGTATGACATTGAGAGACAGTGAGCACACCTTCGATACCACACGATTGACTCCGGTGATGAGCACGGAGGTACGCCTGTCGAACACAAATCGACGAAAGCTTCAGAACCTCTTTTGCCGCCGGATAACTTCGTCATACGGCCAGAGAATGATGAACTAGAGAGAGAGAGCGGAAGGCCGCTGCCTGAGGGGGAACTGAGCTACCGGAGAGCGGTGGCGCAGGAGATGATGGTGGTGGGAAGCAAGTTATTTGATCGCCATTTTCGACCCGATCTCGTCGCTCCCCGTCGTCGTCTGCGGTGTCGAGGCCACTGTTGAGCGTCTACAAGGACGATAAACCTTTCTAAGTATAGAGAGGCCGTCGGAAAGCATACGGGGGCTTATCTGCGCGCTAAGACGCTCCCTTCGGGCGCCTACCGCCTCCCTGTCCTCAGACGCCGCTGCGGCGGAGTTGTATATCTGGGCGAGTTCTCTAAAGCATCTAGTTGAACCGTAGCTCATGAATCCTTAGATACATAGCATAGAACTCTATGGCATCGTGCCAAATGTGAACAAGAAACGACCTTGTTGCGATCTGAGCTGCTTGTCCACGCATCGGGCGTCTGCTGGGCTCGTCTGTCGCGCCGTCTACCTGGCCGCCCTTGCATATTTAGGAAGCGCACTCCTCTTTACGAAGGTAGGATTTGGGATGGAGATGTTGGTAGGTGCCGAGGGGGAAAGTGTGACGCATGCGCATGCCGTGCATCTGCGAACTTGCAGCGCTAAAAGCTCAAGACTCGCTGGAACTTGGAGGCTGCAGATGTCGAAGGGCGACACATATATGCGACACTAAGGCTGCAGTCTACGCGCTATGAATAATCCGATAAGGTGAGCTATGGGCGGTCGAACACAGCGGTTGAGCGTACGTGAGGTGCGTTTACTGAAGCCAGCTCAGAACCCGGGCGCTAATCGGCCTTTTACATAGAAAAGGTGGCTTAGAACGCACATATTTCGGGCCAAGAGCCTTGAGTGGCGGCTGCTGTCGCGAAGCACAGACGCAGGGCGCCAGTCTCAGTACGAGAGGCGAAGTGCTCAATAGCGTTGCATGAGTGAGCGAATGCCTGCGAGGCCGGGCTACGCAACTCTTCAGTGTCTTTGCCATTCGTGCGGTTACCTGAGCTGCATTGCGAGGGCAGCCAATCGGTGCTGGGCTTCCAGAAGGTCAGCGAGCGCAATGCAGGTGTCGAGGGCAGGTGCGCGCTGACTACAAGACGACGGGCTTGGGATTTCCGCCCTATCCACCCAGCTTGAGTCCATGGGCATCTCTCCGTCAAGCGAAGTATGCTGACTACTTCAGGCTCAGCGCAACTGTTGAGGGCCGAAATGGAAAGACGACTCACACACGCTGCAATCGAGCTTCGCTATCCAGCGCGAGGTGACAAGGGCCGTGAGGCGATGAAGAAGCCTCGAGCCTTGGGAAGACTCCAAGCTGTCGAATTAGGTGCGTTGAAGAGTATCTCGACATCCTAGGAGGCGGGACGGGAGGAAGACGGCAGTTCGCGCTGGCCCAAGGCTGGAAGGTCTTCACTGCTTTGTCGCAAGTCCTGCACCCAGTCATCGTATTTGGATGATCACGCAGAGTCTCGGGTACGTGCTTACCCTAAACTCTTGAGAAGCTCAGAAGCTCACCAAAGTCGCAGAACCTCTTCGGGATAGAATACGCGCCAGGATGCGCAGATTTTCGCGGTTTCATTCGGTATCAGCCAGTCCAGGACAATGTCAGGCCTTAGCGAGACCTGGTGACAACGGTGGCGGCGATGGATATCATGCCTTTCGACGGCTTCGCCGTGGCAATGCGCGAGGCGAGGCCATTATGGACTTCAATGACGGATAGACGGGTTCCTGGTCTGCGGGTAAGCAGTCTATTCATCCCAATAGAGACATAATTGACGAACCTTATACCTAGTAGGCATTTCACGGCGCGAAACGAGTTCCTGCGCCTGCGAATAATATGGTCTAGAAACCCACCGGCCTCGCCCTCAAGTTGAACCTCATCCAACGCGTTGACCTCGAGGCTGGGTGGCAGAGATTGTTGATGCATGTGTGACAATGGCGGCTCGGGCTTGATCAGCAGAGGCGACTGTTTTGGAAGCGTCATCGCGACCGCTGCCTTTTCACGCGCATTTCCATCTCTTCCCAACTACCTTTCTCTCTCTCTCTCCCGTCGCCTTCGCGTGTTGAGAGCCTCGCTCGACATTCGAGCACCTCACAGCCTACCGCATCCGCATAATCCACCGTACAATCAACAAACCCGAACCCGAACGACATAGACGGCCGACAAACCCAAGCCTCGATCGTCGCTCACGAACATACGCACACAACAACCTCGACCAACGACAAAGCGACACCACCCCAATCCATCCTCACGAACATAGCGCACGGTATGCCGGCGAGGACGAAGAGGGCAGCGACGGGCAAGAAAGGTCGCCGCGCGACAGCCAACAAAGGCCAGCAAGCCACCCGACGGTCTACACCCGATCCTGCTTCAGACGCGCCCGCCGTCACTTCTACCTCGACGCCCGACACCTTCTACGAGCCCCTCGGTCCTCCACCCCATCGTAGGACCTCCCAAGACGGCGCTGGCGCCTTCTCAGACCCATTCCCGAATATTCCCAGCACGCCTCCGCGCAGACCTCGCGTCTTCGACGAGAACTCGCCGCCTGTCGTCGTCTTCAACACATTCGAAAGGAATAGTCCGCTATCCAGCCGCCTCTCTCCCTCTTCCCGCACCCCATGGGCATCGGACGCGGGCCTCGAACGCTTCTCCCATGATGGGTCGCCCGTCATTCGTCAGGGTCGCTACGAGCCGCCTTCTCCGTTGCAGGACCTTCCCCTATATCGCACACCCGAGAACATGGACACGGGTGCCTTGCTGGAAGCCTTCTACGGCGGGCCTTCGACGCCCACCAGAGCATCGCATAAGAAGTCGCCGGGAATCCTGGAGAGTCGCGGTGATCGGCGTACTCAGAAAGCCAGCGAAGAGGCCGCAGTCGGGCCTCCGAATGACGACCCCTTCGTTATCGCGTCCCAGGATGCAGCGCATCTTGACGTCTCCGTCACTGTTGAAGCATCAGATGCTCCAGTCGACGATGTAGAAGAGAAACTGATCAACGGCGAGGAGAAAGAGTGAGTTCCTCTATAATATCTGCTTAAAATTCACTGACCAGCGCACTCCAGTCACAATGAAGCAGCGGGAGAAAGCCATGAAGACGATGTCGATGCGGGCGCTCCGGCGCACGGGACGAAGGAAGATGCTACAGACATCATTGTGCTTCCTACAACCGCTCCGGTCACAGACGCTTCAAGCCTCACGACGGTGATAGAGCCTACTGAAGTGCGCGGAGCTTCACCCTTACCTGGTTCGCTGCCTGCGCTTGAACCTGGTCCCTCGAAAGCGCGCGCGACGCCCAAGCCCGTTGAGATCAAGCTACTTGCACCTCGTCCGGCCGAGGGACACGTTCTCGAAGGCGAACTCGATGGCACTGTCCAACACACCGACTACCAGCAGGAGTCGAGCGACCGCAGCGACCATCGAAAGGATGAGTTGCCGACGAGGTATGCAGTTTATTACGACTCATGAATCGACTGGCTAACCATGTACTTGAAGGCGCGATGAGGTTGTGGTCCCCTATGATCAAGCGCGAAGCAGGCGCAAGCGTACACGTTCTCGATCGAAAGACGGAGAGCGCGACGATCAAGCGTCCTTGAACGAGGACGACAAGCGTCGCAGGGTGCAGAAGCGCCTCCGCAAGGAGCAGGATGGGCATGTTCAGGCTGGGCCTGTAGCGCCGGGCACATTGAGGTATGGGCATTCCGCGCCAAGATCCAACATTCGCTCATTCGCATATAGATCACCTCGGGCATATAGTATGGCCGCTGCGGAGCAGCAGCAACCGGAGGATGTGCAGGATGCTCGTGATGATGCTCATGCGAGCGCCCCTCGGTTACGTACGACGACACGACCTCCTCTTCACGACGACGAAGCTCAGCATCGACTTGTCTCGGCGCACGCTCCAGCGCCAGTTCAGCTTCCGCCGCCGCCGCCGCATCATCAACAACAACATCAGCAGCAGCAGTCAAATTACGGACCAGCGCCTTTCGCCCAAGCGCCAGCTCAATGCCAGCTGCAACAGGCGCCTGGTTTTGTCTACAACCCACACCCCTTCGAAGTGTACTATCCCCAGCTCGGTTATGGGGTCTACTACCCCCCGGGATGGTACGATTCTTGTATTCTGCCGAATTCGCCATTCCCCGTCCCTCAACCACAAGGCTACGGCGTCCAGAACGCTCCACTACGACAGTGGGCGCCCCAGCACCAGCTGCATGCACACCATAGCGCGCACACGCACTCAGTCGGTGCTCACCAGATGCCCCTTGCGGACCAGGTCGTGCAAGGCGCTCAGCTCAGTGTCGCTGCTCCGCAGCAGCCTCAGCTGGCGTCGACCACCCAGCCCGCGGCTCCCGCGGCCGCTCAGCCTACTCCAGCAGCGCCCGCGACCCTGTCCTTCGCGAACGGCGCGCCTCCTGCCGTCCATCCACCGCCCGCTGGAATACTCTGCAAGTGGCACGCCCGCTGCACATACGTGTTCGATACCTCACTCTCGGACGACGACCTAAAAGCGGCCGTCCAAAAGCACTTCGAAACCGAGATCAAGGGCAAATGGGTGGAGGTGCAGGAACCCGGCAGGCGCAGGCGCAGGGAGCAAGTCGAGGTTGGTGAGTGGGAGACACCGACTGTCTGCGCTTGGGGTGGTGTGGGGACCTCGTCTTGTTTCATGAACAGTCAGGATCCGCAAAGGGGCGGGGCGAGGAAGGCAACGGCCATGGTCAAACACATTGGTCGCTATCACCTTGGTAGGCCGCATTGGCGTTAGCGTATTGGTCGCGCTTGCCTCGGACCCTTCTCGACCTTGCTCATGCTCTCCACTTTCATCCTTTCAGGTCTGCGCTCGTACGTATCTATCGTAGCCGGCTCTACCTATTTATTCTCCGCTTCTATCATGTCCATCCGATCATCCACTTACCTACCTTAGGTACCCCACCATTATATGAAATGCTCCCGTATCATAACCATCTGTAGCATACCTCCTTTCAATATTTCGAATCGTTCGTACTATTTACTGTGCTCCGTTATAATTATATTTCATATCAATGTCTATCGTCAACGACTGCAGGCCGTCCAATCTATAAGGGGATCAATCCATCCCCTCCAGTATCGTCGAAGGATGGTCTGCCATACTAGTCTCCTCGTAGCAAAGGAACTCGAACCTCCTCGTTGTCGCTGACTGCGTCTCCGCGCTCATTTGTAACTTTGGAGTTTCTCGCGTCCCCGATGATCGGCCGCCCGTCGCCGCGCTCGACCTGTCCCGTTTGAAGTGGAACGTACTCCTTCCCCATCGCTCCTTCGCTCTTGGACGCTCTCTCCTGTGCGAACTGGCGCGGGAGGAGGCAGAAGCCGACGACGTAAAGCAGGACGCAGAGCTGCAGCGAAGAGTCGATGAGCCGCGAAGCATAGGGGAAATCAGCGCGATTCAGAACATACCGCGGCCCACGCTCCGTGCATCGGGTATGCCCAGTCCGAGACCATCATATTGGGCATATGCGAGTCCCACTCGTGCAACCCACTTCGTACCTGGTACGCTCCCGTGTCAGAATGATTACTCTTTCTTCTCTCCGAGTAATGACCTCACCTGCGCTAGTCCCAACCCCACCGCGCTCAAGCCAAGCGCAACGTGCGCAATATTCCGCACCGGATGCGCCACCACCTTCGGCCGTCCATGGATATACACTCCGAGCCCGACCTGCACGACATAGAGCGTCACCAGCAACACCCCGACCGCCTGATGCGAATCGTGAACATGCCGCGCGCCGCGTCCGCCGACGCCTCCAATCGCAGCGGTCAAGCCGAGGACAACCGCAGGAGCGCCAGCGTACATTTGTAGTGCTTTGTGCGCGACGATCCAGCTTCGTGTGTACGTGCGAGTCAGACGGGCGACGAGGGCGCCCATAGGGAGGAGTATGCCGAATGCGAGCGTCATGAGCGCGCCGTGTAGCACGAGCAGTCGGCTAGTGGAGGCGCGGTCGGCGACGTGGGCTTTCGCAGGAGTATCCTCAATAGAATCCAGGTCCCCATCGGCATCTTCTGCGGCTTCGCCGTCTTCTTTGAAAATGAGATGTACGTGACCTGTTCCTGTATGCGCGAGAATGTGCGCGCCGGGGTCCGCGCTCGCGGGAGGGAAGGGCGAGAAGGCGATGATGCCAGGGGTCAGAGGTGCGGTGGAGTTCTCGAGCTCAGCATCTTGCTCCCGGGGAACAGTGAAAGAAAGCGTTGTCGTCCCGATCCACTGCAATGGATGCGGTCGATTTTCGTTGAAATATGATTTAAGATGTGCTTACTGATGATTTTAAGTCCGGCATACTCGCTATTCGTGGTGGACTATCCTCCAGACGTGGCTCCATATGCCCTCGCGCAAAGCGCTGGGAAAGAGTCACGGTGCCGTCTGGGTTTGGCCAGACAACAGCCCTTCGGGTGCGTTAGAGATCGTGAATCATGACCAGACTGGACTTAGGTCGATACGGTTAAGAGCAGTAAGTAGGCTGACGCACATATGAGTCTGTGGCATTCTATCACCCCAGCCGACTGCCATCCATCCCAACGGTTCTTCGAGGTTGGTCAGAGCATACTGAGTCAGATATAGTTGTCATGAAGAGTCATTACTCTGTAGGAAATAGCCTCGTTACCTCGATCGTATTATCCTTCAACGTTGCGTTGAGGCACATCCACGGATTGCACGATCCAGCGGTCTTTTGCGCTATAGACGTCGCGCTAAAGGCGACGAGCCAAGCTAGCCACCTTGCAGGTCTGTACCGATAGCTCATGACGGAGAATGTCAAGGGCGGTTACCGTCAGTGCAGTGCGTGTCGAGAGCGTGCGTGGATCGTGGGCATCTCCGATGGTCGCGCTGCCAGCCTGGCAATCTGACAGCGTGACCTGACAAAAGCCGTAAGGCACTGTTCAAGCCGGGATGCCAGCGCAGCTCTTGTCTCAGACAGCGAAGGTCGGCACCGCGAAATCCATTGTATCCATGCTTGTGATGAGAGAATGAGTGGGAAGGAGGCAAGGGGCCATGAAATCAACTTGTTATCAGGACGGCAATTCCCGAGATCACGTGAAAAGCAAAGTTGAACATGGCACGTGGTCGGTAAAAGCAGTGAGCTCCGAGCATCGTTAACGCTACGAGGGCCCGTTACAGCGGCAGCCCGTGGCCTTTCCCTCAAATTCAACCTTGACTGGCGGCTACAAGTCATCAAAAACAGGTTCAAACGTTTAGTGATCTGTACAGAGGGCATACTTGGCAGTCGGCCAACTATCGACGCTAGCAACCCCTGTCGCGCCGTCAGTAAGCTAGGAGTCGACACCAAACGGAGAATGCTCACGAAGACAAAGCGGTCTTGTCTTGCTGGGCTCTGCTCAAGCTACGCGTCAGATTCACTCTTTGGTATGCTGACAACCTCGCCGATGGACGAATGGGCGCGCAGTCTACTCTCTTGTTCATCCGTAATCCCGATATTGACCAGGCCAAGGCGAGACAGCGTGCACGACGAGCGCTCCAGGTACTGGCCGAAATCCGCGTCCGGCCATGCCCACTCGCCTGCCGCAGGACCTCCCCTCAGGCTGTTTTTGGAGTCAAGCTCGAGCGTGAGGTTCTCCAGCCGAGGCGTGGCAAGAGCTTGGAGAAGGCTGATCAGGAATCGAAGATCAGTGAAGACGAGGGAGAAGTGGCGAAGGCGTGGAAGCAGCGCGACCTCTGGCAGGTTGGGGAGGAAGCCCTCACTGTAGACGTCGAGATGTACCATGTCGAGAGATTCCAATGTCTTCGACTCGGTGAAGATGTCGTATATGAAGTTGGTGTCCTCAAAATGATCAGTCTTCAAGTACGTGAGCTGCGATAAGATCTGCGAGCTAGGGTATACGGAGGTGCCCTTCCCGTGATGGACCCATTCGGTCAGAAGCGGGGCTTTCTCGAAGGTAAAATCGGCGCCGGGGCTGATGATTTCGGTGACGGTGAGGCTCTCCAGGGCTTCACACGAGTCATACCCTTTCTTTACCACATGGTGCAAGAGGAAGTCTGGAATGACGCAATTACGCCAGCGCGACACGCTACTAGTGATCGCCTTGAGGAGTGACTCGTACACTTCGTCTTCCAATAGCCAGTCGTTTGCTATGTCCAGACTCGTGCAATCCAGCTCCATCGAAAAAGGGGTTTCCGCAGATCGTTGAAGGACTTGCACAACGACAGAGCGGAATTCGCGTGCCTGCTCGACCAATTCCAACCACTGAACACGATACGATATCGAATCGAGGTCGACATAGACGTCTTCTACTTTCCACAGTTGCGCCTCGTAGTTCGCCACGACGGATCGCCATTGGCTGCATACGCCCCGGAGCCGGTTGACTTGGAAGATGTTCGGAGCTCATCGGATACTCGAGACAAACATTTGTGCAGACGTGCATGAAGATGTCCTCGAGTATCTCGACTGGAAGTCGTCGAATGGGGGCCGCAAGTGCTCGCTTTTGACGGGCAAACCCAAGAAGCCGCTCCCGATGAGCCTGAAGGCCCCGAGACAGCGCGCGCAGCCGCTTGATCTCGCGGTCCAGGTCGGCAGCCTGCAGCTCGGCTTCGTGAGCGGCGCGGTTAAGCTCGACGCACGAATCTTCGGAAGGAGTATTGCCGTCTCTGATAAGTTCAAGCGCGTCTTGAGTCGCGCTCGCGGTACCGTCGATCTCGAGGTGCCGGTCGCAGCCGGGGCAGAGAGCAAGCTGCAGGTCTTTCATTGAGATCGTATGCTTAGACATATAGGTCAGACCACGCGTTCTAGGGCAAAGGATCTTGTCACGTACTATGTGTCGTCGTGAAGGCACTTGGACAAACTCGTCGCGAATATAGTTCAGGAAAAGGACGTGGACCGCCCCTCAAGCGCACGGAAGCCACGTGTTGAAAGTCACGGCGCCGGCAATCGCCTCATATTGTTCAACTCAGCCTCATTCAGTCGTCAGCTTCATTGTATCGCTTACAGCTCACGTCTCTGTCGACGACACGAATCTTCCCCCTGGTTGCTGGAAGGAAGACATGGTCAGTAGCGGATAACATGAGGTTGCCTCGAGATACGAGACCTCAGCATCGCCCACACACTGCACGCAGCTCTTGCACCACTCAAGCACTACCCGCAGTACGGACCACATTTTGTTTCGACATAGCTTCATGAATGAAGGTGCGTCTGGGTTTCTCGGCCGCGGATAAGCGAGCAGCGGCGCAGTATCCCAGCACTGCACGATGGAGTTAACACTCCACCGTCCTCCTATATAATGCGCACTTTCGCGCGACTTCTGCATCTTACAACGAACCTCCTTCATCTCGCAAACCCTTGAAGTGAGAGAGCCTCGGCGACCGCAGCCCCCCACCATCCGCCATGCAATTTGTTACCTTCCTCACCCTCGCCCTCGCCGGCGTCGCGCACGCAGCACCAGCGGCCATCGACTCTACCGAGCCTTTCAGCAGCACGACTGCCTCAAGCGCCATTGCCAGTAGCTCAGGCTACTCCGGATCCATTCCCGCTTTCAGCTATCCCGCTGCTCCCTCTGGGTCGGGAGGTCCCTCGAGGTCCACCTTGGGCTATTCTTCATCCCGAACGTTCGGGCCCTACAGCTCGGCGTCCAGCTCTGGGTCTGCGTCGAGCGGCCCTGGCGGAGGAGCATCGCTAAGCTCATCGCTGAGTGGTCCCCTCGTCTCGGCATCCAGCGTACCCTTCGGTTCGCCTTCCGATGCGCCCTCCGGCAACTTTGCGTCGGGATTCCCCTTCAGCTCCGCGCCGAGCTTACCCACCCCCTCGGGATCAAGTGGTCCATTCGCATCCGCTTCCGGAGGATATGGTGGTCCTGCGTCGAGTAGCTCTGGCGTCCGGGCGGAGCCGGCGTCCAGCAAATCTTTCGACTATACGGCGAGCGGTATTGCCACCTCCGCAGTCGGTCCCAGCACCGCAACTGCGTCGAGCGGGCCGTTCTCATCCAGCCGCGAGCACTCGTCCCGCCTTCATAGCACGTCTGCAGTCTAATACAGCCGTAACTATCTTTGATCCTGGTGACTAGGACGATGGACAAGGACGGAGCAGGGACTCAAATGTTTATATAACGGACTCGGACAACTCGAACATTTAATCAATCTCTGTATTGTATTGCGTACGATCCGTGTTCCTTCAGTCGCACCTACGTGCATTATTTATGACAGTATGATGCCTCAGACATCGCATAGACACGCCTTCAGCCTTGATGGATGCATGAGTCGACTTGTTGACCCGGGAGAGTCCTTGCGCAAAGAGCACTCGCCACATAACATTGTGGCAGATAGGGTAGCCTTTCCGCCACCATAGCCGTTCAAGATTACGTCTCTGGAGAAGCTCAAGATGAGTGCGCATTAGCATCCATAGTGCCAATAGAGATATCCCGGGTTTGACGCAAGATGGCAAGCGCTCGTGAACAAATTGGCCCGCGCGTTACGATCACGTGACAAAATGGTCTTGCCACCCGTGTGGTCACAGCGCAGCCACTGCACTCTCCAAGCTTCCTTTCACCCACCATCATCTCCAGCGAGCAAAAAGCCAGCAAAGCGTCAAGCTTCTCTCACACCCGAACGTACCCCATTCACACAAGACAAAATGGCCGCCAACAACACCAAGCCACTCCAGAACGCACAGAAAGCGCCTAATTACGACTGTGAGTGGCAAACCCGTGCAACGCGTCAGACTTCCTCATTGTCCACAGTTGCGTACGCGGCGTACCTTGTTGCAATAAGCAGGATCAAGCTTCCACCGAGTTTCTACACCAGTCGCGACCCCAACGCTCTGCGTCGGCTGGCCGAACAGGTTGCCCCGGGCGCGCTTGATCGCGCCGCAAATGCACCCATGGATGATACTCTTCGAGAAACCGCGAACGCGTGCTTGAGAGTACTCTTCGCCTGCAGGCCGGGACCTAATGGGTCGTACACGTTCGGAGGACATGTCGTGGACTTCCACGACCCGGCGTTCTTTGTCAAGCGCGGCTTTCCCGTCGGACCCAGCGACGTCAAGCAAGTATTGGATTTGTGGCAAAGGCCAGAGATTCAAAGCAGCAGCTCTTCCGCCGTTCACCAGCCACTACAACGCACCGCTTCGGCCCAAGCTGCCCCCACGGTCCACACCACCCCCACACCGCGACCATCGCCACAAAATACCATCTCCCTCGAGGAACATCCCACGCCGTCCCACAATTTCCCAGCTACCCAAGCTTCTCAGAAGACCATCAATCATCCCCGAGATGATGATGCCGACGAAGAACGACCCGCGAAGCGCGCTAGGCACCAGGCGCCTGATGCTGTTGTTGCACCCTCCCCCAACCCCAGGCGCCCTCAAGCCCACTCCGCCACCAAGCCCCGCACGCCTCCTGTGAAGCCACGTCGGTGAGTACATTGTCAATGCCACACTATAGATGGCTCACCTCCATGTGTAGCGCGCACCCGCCACAAAGACCCATCCCATCCCAACCTCCCCACCACGCGAACCCGAACAACAACGCCGGGTGCGTTAAGCTCAGAAAAGCCCTTCTGAGCGTAGCTAACGATAAACCGCGTAGTATGATGCCTGCTCACGCCGGCCCTGCCCCCTACCCGAGCCCACCTCAGGCCGACCTTCCCCCACATGGGCCATTCTTCGATCCAAGGTGCCCCGATCATGTGTACTTCGTACATCCACAGGACGGCCGTAGACACTGGGTTCCGCGCAATGCTCTCCCGCCCGCCCAACGACACATCCCCCACCCTTCGCAAGCCGGCGGACCATCTGTACAGCGGTAAGCGCCTTGTATACTTCTACGCCGCCAATCTCTGACATACCTTCAGCCCCGCCGTCGTGAACAGACTCGCCGCTGGCCCTCGCGCGCAGCTGCCCACTCCTCCCCTCACCGTCTCTCCTGCCGAATCCTACACCGCCAACCCCCAACCACCCATCACCAGCGTCAGCAACAGCAACGCCGCGCCCACGCCCACAGCCCCGCCCCGCCTCATCCCCTGCCGCTGGGGCTTCTGCACGCATACCTTTTCCACCGACCAGACGCCTGCAAGCATCGGCATGCACCTCAAGACCGTCCACAGCATCCATCCCGAGGAAGTTCCTCCCGACGTACGGCGGAAACGCGGGAGGCAAGCGGCGGACGGCAAGCAATACATCTGCCACTGGATCACGAAAGATGGGCACGAGTGCCGCAATCCGTTGGGTAAAGATGGGCCGGATGTCGGCCCCATCGCGAGGCATGTGCGTGGGCAGCATCTTGAGAAGGACACGTAAGGGCTCCGGGAGCTCGTCGTCAAGGCGTCAAGAGACCGTCGTATAGGCGCGAAGAGCTCGTCCCCAAGGTGCAAAGTGACCATCGTAGAGGCCAGCCAACAGCGACGGCTGGAGATTCGGGACGTGGCATGTCAGCAACGCACTACTCGCCAACTTGCCACGATTCCGCGCACCTCGTCGCTCGCATGCTCCTCGCCGAATTTGTCCTTGCCTCAACGTACGCGCAGCTCGGACCCCGTCTTGCTTCCATCTGGAAAACCTGTCTTGCTCCGCCGCGGAGAGTCCGTCTTGCTTTCCCTGGAGCGCTTGTCTTGAATCACTCTGGGGTGCCTCGCCGAACACCACTGCAAGGCCTAGAATCAGCTGGTCTACGATGGTCAGCTCACGATCGCCGCGACGGTGCTCATCGGAGCGAGGGGCACCTACGCTTCGTCTTCGCCGGCATCGGTATGCAGGCCGCAGGGATTCATTCCGCAAGACGGGCAGGGTGACCTCGGCCAAAAGGGAGAAACACATCAAGTCCATTCGTGGCACGCGCACACCGCCTAATGTAGACGTAGATACCAGTACCATACTAACGCGTGCAAACCTGGCATTGTCATTAGTCGAACATAGAGTTAGCAGCATCTTTGGAATCGTACCTCGTTCTATCTTCCGAATCTCGTCGTGTGCTGAGCCCCCTCCCTGCCTGAAATTCATCATTGTAAGCACAGTCATAGATCCCGAGAAAGCAAGAAGCGTACCAAGAAGATGGTCATATCGCAAGATCGACGACCGTAGTTCAAGACGATTCCAGCAGTTCGTACACCCTATCGTCCTCAAGATCGTCGACGCTCAGAGAGAAGCCCGGCGTGCGGTCCTCGAAAGACCGGAAATCCTCACTGTCAAACAGCGACTTCCAGACCGACTCCTCAAAGCCTACAAAGCGATGTATGGACCCCAGCATCAGATGCGATAAGGCGGGGGCTTCAAGCCTGCGCAGAACGGTGCTGAGAACGAGAGTGTTATGGCCAGCCAAAGAAAGCTCTTGCAGCCGCGGGATCACAACGTGCGAAGGCAGATCGAGTCGGGCTTGGTCAATTTCTATGATGGAGATGTCCAAGACTTCGAGCGCCTCGCAGGAAGAGAGGATACGGGCCACGAAGGAAGAATGAACTCTGCCCGTCTTGACATGGGTGAGCTGCGAAAAAGGCAATTCCGGCGCGAATCCCACGTATTCCTGCGTCCAGCGCGTCAGGCGGGGGGCATTCATAAATAATTCCTCAATGAGGTCCTGCTCGCGCATCCAGCCCACGATAGAGCAGGACTCCAGGAGGTCGGGGATACGAAAATATAAGTCGTGGTAAATCATGTAGTCCAGAGCGCTCCCTGCGATGGAGCAATCCTTCCACCGCGTGAAGCTGTCGGCTAGCATCATGAGCAGGAGGTGTACGTCCTCCAAGTATTCCTCCAGCTTGTCCGGGATTTTGCCATCGCATTCCCATATCACATCGAAGGAGAACGGTTCAGCGCGAGAACGGTTGAGGTGGAAGGCCGCGGCTAAGCGATATTCATGCACTTCTTTCCCGTTCCGTCCCTTCGTGACATCCTTCAGCATCCGTCCCACGTCGAACTTCAGGCGAGGAGCCCAAAGCCCAGCGCCATGCCGCGCGATGGCCCACCACGCGCGACAAACATGGCTTAGGGAAAGCGCGGTGAGCATATGAGGTTTCAGCGGACACGCGAGGGTCGTTCCTGCGCAGGCATAGAGGAAGATCTGCTGCCAGAGCTCGGTGGGAATGCGCCGGACGGGAGCTGTGACGGCGCGCTGCTGCTCTGCGAAGTCGGAGAGCCGATCTCGGTGCGCCTTCACTTCCTCGGTCAGGGCGTTCAGCCGCTTCAGGACACGATCGAGGTTGCAGATTTGCGACTCGGCAGCATCTGCGGCCGCGGTGTGCGTGCGGGAGGAGGAATCGGAGGGGATTTGGCCTTCACGGATATACTGGATGATGTCCTCGGTTGCGCGAAGGGAGGCGTCGACGGAGACGGAGAGGTCGCAGTTCGAGCAGAGAGGGATGCAGGTTCTTGCCATTGCGACGCGATCGACTACACGTTGACACTGGTGGACCGCATGAGCTGAGTATTCCAGAAGGCAGAGGCGACGGACGCACCACGAGGTAGGATTCTGAGAGTTATAAGGTGTAGGCTGCGCGTAGGGGTCTCAGCTTGAGAGAGGGACGAGACGTAGCGACGTACATGCGCGCCGAGAAGTACCTTTGTAAAGCACAAAGCCTTCGTCAACCTTGATAGAGATGAGATGGAGATGAGATCCAGTGCAGACGATCTACAGCTTCGACGAAAAAGCGGCAGAGGTCGAAGAGAAACGCGTGAGATGACAGTCGGGGACAAGGATGGAAGGGAATCCGCCGCACGCCCGCTTTGTCCCGGACCATCACGATACTGCCTGCGCTGCTCATGCGTTGCCACTTGCTGCGGCCAGATCTTTGCAGAGCGAATCCAACTCTAGCTTCCATGTACGACGCCCTCTGAAGGCTCCCTGTACGAAGTTCGTGAAGGGCGACCAACTTTGGCTCGCATACCCGGGATCAACGATGATTGCGCATTCAAGTTGGAGACCTCTCCCCGCACTTTTGTCCGTACGCTCCCCTCTCGCACCCCTTCTTCTTGTCCGCTTACTGCCATCGACTTTCAGACGTCGCGGCGTCCCCTTCCACTTTGTGGGTCCATGATGGTCTTCGGCCTCTGCGGTCCGATGCGCACGGCGCGATCACGTGCTCTGCCGGATCCGAACCGTGGGTACGGGTCACGTGAATACTCATAGCCACCCGCTCGTCGCTTTGCTCTTGCACTTGCACTCCACAACCAACCCCCACGATGGCTGACTACACCCCAAACTCTCAGAGCTTCTCGTTCTACACCATTCCTCAGGATATCCTGCAGGGCACCCAAACCCACAACATGAACATGCCAGACGGCTATGCGCCGGATATGAACGCGAATGGATGGTATCTGCCCGATGCCGGTGCGTGGCAAAGACATAGATCGCTACTCCAATGCTAAATTTATTTTTCAGAGACACTGGACACATTCCAGTATACAAACACAGGCTCCAACGAGTACCAGATGTCGTTTGACGTGCCCGGTTTCGTCGCCGTGGTGCCAGACCAGCCACCGAGCCCAGTCGATAACGCACCGACACTCTCGAACGACAGTGCTCCTCAGACTCTCGAGCTCATGGACTCAGACCCTACGCGGTCCCTCCAACGCGACCTTGAGCGCATGACAGATGGTTTGTCCAAGGTTGAGGACTGTTTCCTGTTCAAGGGCGAAGTCATCGACTTCGATAACGATACGTGGTTCATGGAGCGGGGCCTGTGTATCTGGGCGAGGATCCTCCAGCCGGTCATTGAGAAGTTCTACCAGAACAAGATCAACCGCTCGGTCGGGCAGCTGCCTGTGCACACCGCAGGCGTTTGTGATCCTAGCGCACCGATCACGCAGGAACACAGCGACGCGCCGGGCGACGCGCGTGCCACCGATGATTCAGCTATTCCATACGGTCTTCCGACCCCTCCTCTCATCCTCGACGCCCCACTCGACATCCCTGACACCAACCCCTCGACGGACGTCGCGGCCACCGAACAAAGCACGCAGGTGGCGGTCACTGCCCCTTTCTACAGCTACCCTGAGACCATTGTCATCCCCGATGCAGAGAACATAGCCCCCGAACAAAGCACCACCGTCGGTGAACAAAGCCTCGCCTCTCTCGACGACCGTCGTGATTTCCTCGAACCCTCCGAGCGCCCCACCAAGCGCACGAGGCTCGACACCGCGGCACCCTCTACCGTCGACCACACCAACTCGGCAGTGACCGCCCATCACTCCTCCCGCCGCCAGCCTCGAGCGAATATCCGCCGGTATGTCAGATAATCGCATTCAGCCCATGAAATAATCCTGATTCATTTTCTAGTGCTCGCAAGCCCCTCCAACCACTTCGTCAGAACACCCCCCAGCTTCCCGCGGTCGATGCCACTAGTCGAACCAACCACAACGCCGTCGAGGCTGCGCCTCTGGACGGTGCTGCCTCTACCTCGCTCAACGCTGCCGAACCTACCCCCATCAACGCCACCGATCCTACCCCTCTTGGCGCTGAACTGTCTACCCCGAACGCAGGCCTCGTACTCGGCTGGAATGGGTACGTTGACCCTATCTCTTCGTCTAGGAAACGAAACTGATGACGAATGTAGGGAGGAGTTCCCTCACGACCCGGCCGTAGTCGCGCAGATCGTGCAAGCATACGCTTCCCTACCTACTGAGGGAGACGCGCTCCCACCTGCGGAAGGCGATGCGCCTCTACCTGCAGAGGACTTCGCGCCTGAGCAACCGCAGGACTATGCGCCTGTGCCTGAGCACCAGCAGGACTATGCGCCTGCGCCTACGCAGAGCATCGCGCAGGTGCCCCAGCAAACCTACGTGGACCCCGGCTTCTTCCCGCAGGTCCCGTACTATGGCCCCCAGGCGTACGGAGGCTACACATACGGCTTCGCACCTGCACCCATTCCTGGCAGCTTCGCGCCTGCGCCCGTCTACGAGGGTGCACCGATGACCGCTTACAATGGCCTGTACATGGACGCGTACGGCAACGCCTATGTACCGCAGATGGACCCACACGCGCACCAGCCCTTCACCTACGCTGGCCAGCCCATCGCCTACGACAACCAGCCCGTTGCCTCCACTACGAACACCCAACTCCCCACGCCGCCGTCGACGATGTACAGCTCGTCAAACGATTCTTCGTCGTCGCTTAACAGCAACGCTTCGGCCTCTGCGTCCTCGGGCTCTCCCGGCTCTTCGTCATCCAGCTCACCTGCATCGGGGTCCTCCCCAGCCGGACCGTCGTCCAGCGGCAGCTCTTGCGCTAGCTCGTCGTCCTCCACCCCCGCCCCCGCGGACGTCGACGCCTCCGGCTTCAAGGACGGTGCTCTCGAAGCCATCTTCGGCCCTTCCAGGCGCACCGAGTGTCGCTGGGTTGGGTGCGCGCGTGACCACGACTCGGACGACAACTCTGCGTCTTCTCCCTGCGAGTCCTCGTCCTCCTCTACATGCACCGTCACCTTCACCCCGTACGACGCCGCGCACGCGCACACCGTCGTGCTCCCGCACATCCTCTACCACCACGGCGCGCGCACCAAGCCTCTGCCCGAGGACAGCCGGCGCGCGCAAAATCGCAAAAGTGCGGAGGCGTACATGTGCCAGTGGATGGTAAAAGACCTCGAGGCCGGTCTGGATGCGGATGGCAGGCCGCAGATGCGCATCTGCGGCGCCCCGGCGGGCAGCCCGTCAGACAAAAAGGGTCTCTCGAGGCATATCGCGGAGACCCATTTGGGGAGGACGAGAAACGGGGCGAAGCCGAAGCCGACGACCACGCGCGCGAGGAAGGCGAAGAAGACGGCGGCCGCCACAGAGGGCTAAATGTATGATGCCCAGGAGGCCTCAATGAGGAGTTGAACTAGTGAGTTATCAGCGTTCGTCTTCAAGGAAGTGGTAGATGCTGATCGAATCTTCAGCCTGATTAACGGCGTCTATAGCATGCCAGCTCTATGGCTTACAGCAAGGCGCCTGCTGAGGTCCATGTCTCTGATAGCATTGGGCACGCCGACGCGCAACCCGCCGACACATAGCACGCCCGGAAAGTGCACAGTGGCGCATCTAACGATGCGTACGATAGCGCGCCCGGCATCGCAACCTCTGCATTTCCCTTTGACGCGCTCGGCGGTCGATTATCGGGTTACGCCGATTACACCCCCCTACCGTGGACGCGAATGGGCCACCGCGACACTCCGCGCAATACCTTCCGCGACGGGGCCCCAAAGCTGAAGGCCACTCGCACGACGGGTGGCCAAGAAGAAGACGGGGAATGGCTGATGGATAGCCGAAGGAGAGGAGGGAAGGGAAGAAGCGCGACGAAGGCCCTTCATTTTGTATATATACCCGGAAGGAAGACAAAGCCAACCATGACGCGAAGAATGTATATTTGTACTTGTACTGATCGATACTGAAGTAAAAGACAATGGAATCGAGACGAAGGAACAGACAAAGCTGAACAAGAGTGGGAAATGACGGTTGGGTGTCAGGTCCTTGTGTTATCAAAACAGAACGGGTATCCATTGACAAAAGACAAAACACAGCGTCCTTCGCTGTACGTATACGTCACCTCTGTTGAGCCAAAAGTCCGAGGCCGACAGTGCGAACGGCGCACTCAAAACAATCATCCTAATTTCTATCCCCACATCCGGCGCCATCAGCATCAGTGCACGTTGTACCGAAGGAGAAGGCTAGAGCATGCAGCACCAGCTATGTCAGTACTTAATATGGGCACATACTCAGCATGTAGCCATTGACCGACCCGATGCGTGGATGCCTCAGGAATTCGCGAAGTCTGTCGCCAGAAAGAGTCATGCTGATGCTCAAAGAGATTTTCCCCGAGGTTCGCTCCAAGAGCGAGTACGACTCTGCCGCAAGGGACTCCCTCCACGGCTGACCGAATCTCAAATCCAGCATCAGATACTCCAAAATGGGCGCACTGAGGAGGCAGAGGACGGTATGCACGAGGGAGCTGGATGCTCTTTTGAGCGCGAGTACTTTCAGATGCGGGAGCGAGGCGCGCGAAGGGAAATCGCTGAGATGCGAGTCACTCCCAGCGGCTACGTAGACGTCAAGGTATTCGAGAGCTTTGCAGGACCGCAGTATTTGCCCCAGATATTCAACAGAAGTCCATTCCGCATCGAAATACGTGATTTGCGAGAATGGAAGATTCGGTTCGTAGAGCCCGCGGCCTGAATGTGACCAGCGCGTGAGGCGCGGTGCGTCCGCAAATAAAGGAACGATCCGGCGATGACTTCCCTTTGGGTCAATGACGGAGCAGTACTCCAGCGAGCTCGGCACCCTGATGCGTGGTTCGTGCTCGAGCATATATTCCAACACGTCAGCGGCAATGGTACACTTCCTCCATCTCCAGAAATGTGCGAATACGTTGCGGAGCAGGTGGTGCGCGTCCTCCGAGAAAGCTTGCAGTTCTTGTGGCATCTCTTTGAGCCCACGCCACATTATGTGAAGGCGGAGCGGCTCGATGCGGGAACGTTCGAGATAGCAAGCCACGACCGCACGAAAGTCGCGCACTTCGTCCCCAAGGATTTTTGCCGCAAGATCCGAGTCAAACATGAGCGCACAGACGTTAAATCGCAGGTAAGGCGCCCAAAGCCGGGTATCGCGTCGAGCGATAGCACGCCACCTCTGACAGACGAGGCCGAGAGAGAGTGCGGTGAGCATGTCGCGCTTGAGGAGGTATTCGAGGGTCGTTTCCGCGCATGCACATCGGAAGATCGCGATCGTCTCCCAGAGCTCGGCTGGTACAAGTCGAACAGGAGCCGCCAGAGCGCAGAATATTCAATGAGTCGATCGCGGTGTTCCTCCACTTCCTCGGTCAAGGTCTGCAGCCGCTCAATGAGCCGCTCCAGCTCGTCAATTTTCGACTGGACCGCATCCGCTGCCGCGTTGTGCGCACGGCATGAGGATTCGGAGGGTATGTGCCCGTCGCGGATAGCTTGAAGCACCTCCTCTTCTGGAGCGAGCGAGAGGTCGATAGAGACGGAGTGGCCGCAGTTGGTGCAGAGAGTGATGTGATGGTTTCCTGACATTGCGAGATGTTTTTCTAGCTTGCTCTGGATGACTGCGTCAGCTGCTTGTGTCGACCATGGTGATAGCTCCCCGACGCACTGAAAATATTCAAGATGCAAGGAGATTCTGGTGAAGCAGGTGGAAGGTTGACCGAAGAGAATTTGAGCAACGAGGAAGACAGGATGTGATATCTGCACGTGTGCTCCGTTTGGCAGCCACGTTGGATTTACGCACTCTAAATGACAAGCTATATCTTGAGGTTAGATTAAAGATCACTCCTATGTCTGCGCGGTCAAATGCATAAGGGAAACCCGCGCACCTCGCCTCAGTCGAGTGTCGCTGCGTATCGAGATGAGACCCAGAGTCAAGTTGTGGGTCCACTGTCGCTGATGACATCACCTCCGGCGCGACGGACGGAGGCAAAGGCACGTGCTGCTGCGTATCCGCGGTCATTGATCTTGCCTGCGCGCCCAAGTCGCCTTGTCTTCCCCCACCATCTCCCCATCCTCCCCATGGACCCTTAGATTCCACCAGCTTGCCATAGAAAGCAGCCCATGCAAGCTGACACCGACATGTACCGCCATCAGATCCACAGGACATGGCTCGCGCTGCGCCATCGCCCACAGCTGCGGAACTGGGTCTACGGCTCCGTCTTGCTGTCCTCGCTATACCTTCTCTATCAGTTCATTACCCCCGCTGGCGTGCGACAGTCATCCGTTGTTGAAGTCCATGTCGAACCCGAGATCCTGCCGCAGTCCGTCTGGGACAACCGCGCCGAACGGGTGAAGAAGGCGTTCCGTCATGCATACCATGGCTGGGAGCAGTACGCCGCCCCGCACGACGAGTTGAAACCGATCTCGAATACCTACATAGACAAGTGCGTGACTATACTGTTACCTTCTGTAATTGAGCTGACGATCGGTAGCTTCAATGGCTGGGGCGTCACCGTGTTCGATGGCCTCGACACCATGATCCTCATGGGTCTCGATCACGAGTACAAGCGCGCGCTCAAGCATGTAGAGGACATCGAATTCAACATGGAAGAGGTACGTCTGTGCGCCTACTTGTCAGCGAGTGCGCTCGTCCGCTTCCATGTCCTTTTCTTGTAACATATTGTCGCAACCTCCATCCCCTTCATAATCCTCCAGCCTTGCAATTCTCGATTGTTAACAAAGAAAGAAATACCATTACACGTCTTCTGCCAGGGATCAGGTCTTGGACAAGCGGCTGCATGTAGCCTCTGGCTTTCGCGGCTGGGACTGGAGTCTCGTTCATGCGCATGAAGTCTCGGGTCATCGTGTTCTGTATTCCATGATTCTCATCCTCTGCAGGGCCGCTTCGCACCGTACTTCGAGACCGTCATTCGCTACCTGGGCGGCATGCTCTCCGCGTACGCCATCTCACCCAATAAGGAACCAATATTGCTGCGGAAGGCCGATGAGCTGGCGCGCAAGCTGGATCCGGTCTTCAACACGCTGAGCGGCCTACCGTACTATGGCGTGAATCCCCAGACGTGAGTATACGATTGATGAACATGTAGCTTGCGGAGGTTGACGTTGGTAGAGGTGCGACGCAAGGCCCTGACATCGGTATCCTCGCCGAGATCGCCAGCTTGCAGCTCGAGTACACCTACCTCGCGAAGGCGACTGGTAAGAAGGAGTATTTTGATAGAGTGCGCATTCCGTGTCTTTCCTCCCCGTATGGCACTCATCTAACAACCAATGACAGGCGCAGAACGTCATCAACATCATCAACCGCGCCAACTACGACGAGACGGGTGGTATGATGCCTATAGGGTGGAATACTACAGACGGGACGCCGCATGATCGTGAGCTATGGCCCGTCATCCAATGAGCTCCTCGACTGACGATGTCACAGAAAGCGTATCAGCGGGCGCCCAGGCAGACAGCGCGCACGAGTACCTATTGAAGCAATATCTCTTGACCGCAAAGCGAGATCAGGAGAGCTTGCAACTCTGTACGAACCCTCTTCATCTTGGTCGCCTGCATTTTACTCACCATTCCCCTCCCTTCCCCTCTCCTTCCAGACATCCGCACCGCCACGCACATCATTACCGAGCTCATGTACATCTCGCCCACCCGGCACCTCCTATACGTGACCGACAAGATGCCGTCGCGCACGAGCCACGACGCGCAGGTCTCCCACCGCTTCGAACACCTCTCGTGCTTCCTTCCCGGTCTTCTGGCGCTCGGCGTCGACCAACTCCCGCTGGATGACGTCGATTTCGCGGACGCGTTTGACAGAGGTGAGCGCCTCTTCCCCAACTCCATCTACATCGTCGAGCCAATGCTCATTTCAATGCAACTATACTCATCCACACACCTCCCAGACCACCCCACCCAACGCGCCGAATGGGAAAAGCTGCGCGGCTTCTCCCTCCGCGACGTCCACCTCTGGGCCGCCGAGGGCCTCGCGCAGACCTGCTGGCTTACCTACGCAGACATGCCCACCGGCCTCGGCCCCGACGAGATGATCTTCTACACCTCCATGCCCGAGGAGGGCGCTGGAATCGGCGGCGGGTGGTTCGCGCCCAAGACCGCTGGAGGAGGTGGCACCGAAAGTAACCGACCCAAGACGCAAACCTTCGGCGGCACGCTCTGGATCGACGCGCTGCGGTCGTGGAAGAGGGCGGGCGCGCGGGGCGTGCCGCCGGGGGTGGGGGATAAGGCGCCGGTGGTGTATTCGCAGGAGGATAGGGTGCGAGGCGCGTATGGGAGGGACTACGCGCTGAAGAAGAATGAGTATTTGTTGAGGCCGGAGGTGAGTTATTTGCCTCGTACATCCACCGTTTGAGTTTGTGGGAGGCACGTGAACTCATGCTAATCCCCCACCCCTTGCACAGACACTCGAATCCCTCTACCTCCTGTGGAAGATCACGGGCGAGCCGCGGTGGCGCGAGCGCGCGTGGAAGATCTTCGAGTCCATCGAGATCCACACGAAGACGACGTCGGGGTATGCGAGCCTGCGCTCCGTGGAGTCGACCCCGGGGGTGAAGCAGGATGATATGCCCAGGTACGTCACCTTTTCCTCTTCCTCTCACCCAGATCTCACGCCACTGACCGCTACCCACCATCAGCTACTTCTTCGCAGAGACGTATGTGGCGCGTTTCTTCATCTGACTATATGCTCCGCCTCCCAGGGTCGTGTTTGTGCACGGATGCTGACGAGCATTCTGTTTCTTGCTTTCGCAGGCTGAAGTACCTCTACCTGACTTTCATTGGCGACACGCCGCTCCCGCTCGACAAGTGGGTGTTGAACACGGAGGCGCATCCCTTCCCCGTGATCGAGTGGACGCCGGAGGAGAGGGCGCGCTTCGGAGTGGGGTACTGATGAGGCGAGATCGGGGCGCGGCGATGGGTGATTGGGGATGCGATTGAGACGTAGAGAGAAGCGATGAGGGGGATGATTAGGGACGCGGCACGAGAAATTTGAGACGCAGCGAGGGAAGTTCGTCGAGTGTAGAAGGCAGCCGTCGAGCGTAGAAGCAGCCACCGTGCTGCGCAAGAAGCAGGCCTCTGGTGCGTCGCGGTCTGATCTGTTCGCCCGGTGGTTCGGGTGTGCATTGTTGACGGTGGCTCACGAGTACTTCAGCGCAGGACGATATATCATCTATCTATCAATATTATTCGCTTATTATTGCCATCGGATCCCTCGAGTTCGAAACTGAAGATGCTGGTATTTCAAGTCTCAGGTTCTGGAGGGTCGCCCTCAGCAAGCACTTCGACGCCATCCAACGCCAGCACCGACACGACCTACGCCCCACACGCTTTGAATGGCGCACTCGGTAGCGCGCATGACAACAGCCGGGCGGAGACAAAGGTTGCCCGATCCGGATACAATGCGCAAGCGCGCGTGACGTGCCACAAAGCCGCGCCGTCAAATTCGCTGAAGAGGACGCGGTCAAATTCTTCCAACAGAGTACACGGTCAAATGGTTCAAAGGAGAACATGAGGCCCAAGATCGGCGGGATCGGTTCGATGGCAATGGTCAAGGCGGTGCGTCCTGTTCCGCCTTGTTCGCGCGGTCACCTGCTCGACGCGTCTCGCGTTCAGAATCAGGGTTTTTTAGAGCGCCACACCCAATAGTTGTCGTGGAAATTCTATCACTGACTTTCCAGCTCTACCGCTCTACTGCAGCAGTGACAGATACCGTCCGTCCAGGGTAAGCATGCCGTTACGCGCAAGGTCGCTGGTATGCTCGATTGCCTCACTGGGCGGCCTTCCTTGACCTTTATCCAAGAAAATGGGGTGTTTGCGATAGCGACCTTCATCTGGGTCCGCGCGGCCGTCCTGCTCAGGTGGCACGAATAAAGGGGAGCAAGGCTGAGGCTCCCCAATCGTTCACCATCTGATAGCACTAGCAGGTACGCGTCGTCTTTCTCTTATCTGGACGCGGCGATGCCTTTTTTTGCAGGAAGGGGAAGGACGCGGGAAGAAGGGAGAAGTATGGCCACTCCTATCGCCTCCCTCGATTCGGGATCCTCCAGGAGGCGATTATATCGCCGCGGCTGCGCGCACCTTCATGTCGATTGACGAGCAGCTGGAGGGGCTAGAGGACGCCATCGGACCCCGCGTATATCCCTCACGCGGATTGAGGGTCAAGCCGTCGCGTGGGGTTGAGCCCGCGTGAGGGTCGACCCCCAGTCGTGCGCGCCACCCATCTGCGAGGTCATTTGGGAAGCGAAAAGGTCCCCGTCTCGCGCAGGCGGCAGGAAGTACGCACCCGCGTGCAGGCAGCCCACACCCGGGCCCCGCCTCCCGCATGCGGCGAGTCTGTCCCCAACGCCGGCGACCAGGCGGCGACCCCATTCCGCAAGATGCGGGGCGATCTGTGCGCAGGGAGGGCAAGTGCTGCCCATTCAAGGGGCAAGCCCTGCGCGCCGCGCCGCCGGAGGCTTTTCATCTCATCATCTCGCGCGGCGGGGATCAAATGCGCCGGGCGTGGGGGTGTCGATCGTGAGTGGGGGGGAAGGACGTGCGCGCGCTTCGACGGTATCGCGCGCGTCGATAGGCGACGATAGTGGGCGGGGCAGCTGACGTGTTATTTGACGGGGCTGGGTGGTGGCTGACGTGCGAGGCCCGCGTTCGCGCCTTCGCGGGGGGCTGCGCGCGGGCCGCGCTTCTTCCTCGCGCTCGGCGATAGACGCGGGTGAGGATGGCGCGCCTGATATGGGAAGTAGCGCGTACGTGTACGCGCGGGGGTGTTTGCGCGGGGAGGGTGGGTAAAAGGCAGACTTTAACTCTGTTGCGCGCCCTCCCATCGATATTCTTTTCCTGTCAGCTGGCATGCCCGATTCGAGGGCGCGGGACGGGGTGATAGATTGGACGCGGAGGTCGCTGAAGTCGAACCCTGATCACGCGGAAGTTGATGTCGGCGAATCGAGCAAACAGGTCCAAAGTCCTCCGCGCCGCACGTTCGCCCGTGTCGCGCCTGCTCCAGCCGCGGTGGGCTCGGGCGGGGCTGCATTATGTGCTGTATGGCGATATGATCTCGGAATGGAGTATTCGTGCCCAGTGACCGCCGGGCACGGGCGGCTCCTATTCGTATGCGTTCATCGATATCGATTTCGGTTCTGTCGTCCATTGTTGTGCAGATCGAAATCTGGCGTCCATCCGTATCGATGATGCCAAATCCAAGCATGCTCGCCTTTATAAAACCGGGCGCGCGCCGCGCCGGCTATCTCTCCCTTACCCCACCCCGTATCCATCCGTCTTGAGTACAATGGTGCGTGGCCCCCCGCGCGCCACCGATATTCGCGTCAGCATACTCACCGGCCCCCCAGGGCGTCACGGTCGAAGTTATCCAGCCCGGCGACGGCAAGACGTTCCCGCAGAAAGGCCGTGAGCACCGCCGCCCCCGCGCGCCGCGCGATCTGTGCTGATCTGTTCGCAGAGGTGGTCAGTATCCACTATGTCGGTACGCTGCAGGATGGGACCAAGTTCGACTCGAGCCGGGACCGGTGCGTGCCGTGTATCATCTGTACGCGCGCTGTGGCTGATCGCGCGGGATCGCGTTGCAGGGGAACGCCGTTCGAGACGGCCATCGGCGTGGGGCGGGTCATCAAGGGCTGGGACGAGGGTGCGTCGCGAGTTCTTGTGTTGTTGTCTTCACGCGCTGATCTACGCCCATCGCAGGTGTCCCGCAGCTCTCTGTCGGCACCACCGCGCGCCTGATCTGCACCCCGGACTACGTGCGTCAACCTGCTTCTCTCTCCTTCCACCGATGCGAAGCTGATCTCTGGCTCCTTCAGGCGTACGGCTCGCGCGGCTTCCCCCCGGTCATCCCGCCAAATGCGACCCTCACGTTTGAGGTCGAGCTTCTGTCGCTGCAGTAGTCTCTTGTTCTTTCTGGGCATCGCTCTTCCTGTGCGGGCATCGCTCCGGGGTTTTACCTTCGTCGCTTCGTGTTTTAATATGGACCTTGTGCATTGTTGTACCCGTCTTGTACTTTTTGGCGAATCATTAATCATCTCCATGCTCGAGGGGACCGAGAGGGGCGCAGACGCCGTGATATCGAAGAGAACAGTCTCGCCTGTACTCAACCGCTGAAGGTCGGTTCCAATGAAATCGCGCTTGTTACGACGACAAGAACAAAGGCTCAGCTGAAGTCAGTAAGTACGTCATTGTACCTGCCACGTGCCAGCTTTATGGCCATTCTTCAGACGAGTCATATACGTCCAATACTGCTCTCACTTTCAGCAGCATGGCGCAGTGGAAGCGCGCGGGGCTCATAACCCCGAGGTCACTTGATCGAAACAAGTTGCTGCTATTGAAGACTGGCTTGGCCCCGTCCTTTTTTGTTCCACTGTTTGTACGGAGACTGACACTATTTCGTCCCTATGTCCTCAATCAGAGGCTTTTGACCTCGACTCGCGTTCAGTGCGTCTGAGATTTGATGACTACGACTCACGCAGCTGATGCGAACTATAGGGCGAGCGAAGAATCTTGTCTCCATGGAAGGAGAGAATCACATTGCTCTCTGTACTCAGTGCGGCCACTCTGTCTCTGTCGACCCATCCCATCTCCTCACAGAACTTGACGCGCTTCAATCCATCCGCGACGGTCAGATACCCTCCGAGTCCTCATGCCGCGCGCACAACGCGGCCGCGAGTGTAGTCGAGTCACAAATCGAGGAGCTAGATAGCGTTCTCGAGCGGCTTAGAGCGCTGACCGAGAAGGTGCAAGGATACCGCGACCGGCTCGCTGAATTCTCTGAGCAGCAGCGTGCGCTCGCGGCGCCGGTTCGACGTGTTCCGCCCGAGCTCTGGGAGAACATTTTCCGATACGCCTGCGCTCAAACGACCCTCTCATATCCCCTAGAGAGCGAAATGCTCACCGCGCTCTCCCTCAGTCGCGTCTGCAGCAGGTGGCGAACCATGGCGCAATCCGATCCTCAGCTATGGGCACCTCACTTGCTATTCGACGTGGACGACCTGGTGACGGATGTTGCGGCGGGCGTGCTGGGGCCCCAAGTGCGCGACTTCCGTTTGGCTGTGTTTTCCTACCTTGCGCAGTCTCGCTCTTTCCCTCTCACCCTCGAGGTCACGTGGGAGTCCCCGGGGCGTACCCCGCTGAATCTCGAGAGGCACTCGAAGGATGCACATCTCCTCCTCATGGTGCTCTACAAAAACTTCTGGAGGTGGGGGGAGTGCATCATCGCGGGCAATGCCTTGATGTATATGCTCAGAAATCGCGAGCCATGGCCTGACACACCCGAACTTCTGGTATCCTGCTGCATACTTGGCCAGATGCGCGATGACGACAGACTCTACAATCTTTTCTCAGATGCCCCGAATCTTACACGCTGGACGCAGGACTTTATGGCACTCGAGATCGCTTTGCCGCTCTCGCAGCTCACCCACCTGAGAGCGGATTCCATTCGGTACCGCTTCATGGCAGAGATCCTTCGTTCCTGCGAGTCCCTCGAGGTGCTTGACGTCTCCATAGTCGATTATGAAAAGTACACCTGCTATATCCCTGCGCAAGCCACGCTCCTCCACCTGCGGGCATTCTCTCTCGCCGGTGCCACCTCTCTTGCGCTTAATCGGATCCTGCGCAGTCTCAGCGCGCCTACCTTGTCGCGATTGACGCTGGGTCCGGGACCGTACGGTCATCCGCACTTCACCAAGTCGGACTGGGATGCTCTCGCTCCAAGCATGCATTCGTTCTTAGAACGTACCTCGGGTGGCGTATCACTATATGTCAGCCCCTACGACGACAGAATTGGGGAACTATTGAAGAACCCATGTGTCGTCGAGCTCGATGGTCGTAGATCAATTGAGGTCGCCTGAAAATTCTACTGGTATGCTCCGATTCTCTTTCCTAGGCGCGACGTATGCTGACAACGCTGAAGGTGCAGACTCGGTTTTGAGAGGCGCGCGTGGCGAGGTTCGCAATTGTCAAACGAGGTGAAATTTAGATGCTGTGGTGATTGTAATGGAAAACAGTCGCAGCCATTATAAAGAAAGTCAGTTGGAATATGGCAAGGTCGTTCGCAAATCGACGGGCTTCCTACTATGTTCACTGATCAGATGCCCGGAAACGGGTCAGAAACATATATGCCTTCGTATTGTTTCAAGAGAGGCGCGCAAGCAGCGAGCGTAGACAATGAACATGATGGTAACGGACAAGGCACATGTCACATGGCGGGCGACGTATTTCCCTTCCTTCCTTGTCTCCAACGGTCATCTCGCGCCCTTTCATTCGAAATTTTCCCGCGATTCCGTCAAGTCCATAAATTGTTCTCCTTTAGTTCACTTTGAGGTCGAAGACGTCTTTGGTCCGAGGGTACTTCCTGAGCTTGTACGAGGCCATGCATCCTCCCCTCTCGGAAGCTGAACATGACTAATTCGTGCAGCTCGAGTGACTACCTTGCATCGCTCAGCCTGTTCCTCCCACGATACCTGAAGCTCTTACTTCTTGGCGATCATCCGGGGCTAACGTACTGCTCAGGCACAAACGAGGACGTGTATCAGATCGCGTCGCAGTGACAATGATTTCCATCCTTCTCTGCTCGAATTGCGACCTTCACATCTCGGTGGACGCTTTCATCCATCCAGATGAAGACACGCTCCAGTCCATCCGCGATAGTCACGTACCCTCCTCCTCATCGCGCACTGCGCACACCCATGCCCCCGACGCAGTCGAGCCACAGATTCAGGACCTCGATCGCGCCCTCGCACAGCTCGCAGCCCTAACCGCCGAAGTCCAAACCCACCGTGACCGCCTAGCCGCCTTTTCTGCCCAACAGCGCCCCGCGTCCCCACCGAGCTTTGGGGCGATATCTCCACCACGCCTGTGCAGACACGACAATCGCCTATCCGATGCGCAGCTCGATGCTCACCGCCCTCACCCTGACGCACGTTTGCCAGCGCTGGGCCGCCATCGCACAGCATGACACGCGACTCTGGACACCGTCTCTGCTCGTTAGCGTCGGCGATTTGCTGGCATATGCCGCGCGGGCGGCGCTTGGAGACGGCGTACGCCACTTTCGCCTGGTCATGTCCCTCTACCTTGACCGGTCCCGCTTGGAGCCGCTCTTCGCCGACCTCTCTTGGTGGACACCGGAAAGCGCCGCGGACGCCGTTGAGCGCGCCGAAGAGCTCGAACGCTCCGAGAACGTGTGCCTGCTGTGCATCTAGCTCGCGCAGAGCTTCCCGCCCTGGGAGACCTGCATCGTCTCTGCCGACCTCATGACATACATGCTCGACAGTATTGGCCTGGGCCGATACCAGCCTGCTCTCGTGGAGTGCGTCGACCTCCGCGACCCATGAGGCCCGCGAATGAGCACGCATCTGTTCAGTCAGTACAGTGCGGCAAAACTGTGGCGCTGGACGCACGTCGCGAACAGATTTTGGCCGCATCTGCCGCTCGAGCAGTTCACCAGCTTGTCTACGGGGGCCATCGTGCCCAATTTTTCCGCCGACATTCTCCGTGGGGGCGACGAGCTCAGGTATATTGGCGTCAAGATGAGCTCTATGGAGGACACGACTGGCCGGGGTCGGAGAACAAGCTGGCGCCTTTGAGTGCCGACGACGTGAATCTCTCTCGGCTTGAAACTCTCGTCTTTGAGACGCGCGTTATTTCTGCGTTCACCTGTCTCTTCCGCGTGCTCCGCGCACCATCCTTGTCGCGAATGGACTTGCAAGGATGGGGTGATAAGTATCGCGTATATGGAAGTGTATCAGGCGTCATTTTCCCGAGCGTTGTGGCAATATCTGTAACGCGTATCGAGCATCTCGCGGACGAGAACACTGTTGAAGCATCCATCTGTTGTAACCGTCATCGATAGGAAGTCCGAAGCCACGGCGTAAAAACTAGCTTGTGTGCAATAAATTTCCTGCAGGCTACGACGTGCAGTGGCAGCTCAGCATGGAGCATGTAGCGGGGTACACGTACTGTACTCAGTATGTTGAAAAGAGGAGTTGTCGGGTACACCGATGTTGCTCGCGAGTGGACCGACCCAGTATCAGACTGCCCTCAATTCTTCCAAAGCCATCGCTACGCAAGGGTAGCACGTAACTCAATCCCCCACGACGAGCATGCGAGGGTAGGTGATGAGCAAACTTGAATGTGACTTGATCGTGACCGTAACGGTTCCGAACAAACCACGCGCAGCACACGTGCCTTCGGCTCCCTTCCTTCCTTGTCCGCTACAGTCATCTCGCTCGTCCGAGGTTTTATTCGTGTTCGTGCTGAGATTTGACGTGGCTCTGATTTACGCCAAGTCATATACTGCCTCAAAAGTGTGTGCGCTTCCTAACCTTTGCCCAAGTCGCGGTCGATCGCTCACCTTCCGAGTCAAAGCACATTGCCGTTGCCCAGATTACTCTTTCTTCCTCGACCTCCTTTTCTGGATTTTCGTGACGTGCGCTCCTCCTTTCTTGAAGGCCTGACTGTCTTCGCTGATCTAATTACTACCAAGGACGTGTACTAGGGCTTGATCGCGTTGCGTTGACATTTGACCGCCTATCTCTCCCGGATTTTCACCACATCTCTGTCAACGCATCCTTCCCTCCAAGGGGGCATCACTGTAGACATGCTTAGCGCCGGTGCTTCTTCTAGCACCGGCGACACACATGCGGACGCTTGGAACACAGTCGACTGGGCTCTTGCGCGTCTCGAAGTACGCGACGGACAGGACAGCTCCTCCAAGCCACAGCCCGAGCTCCCCGCGCCAGTCTACCGCGTCCCCACTGAGCTTTGGGAGGATATCTTCTCCTACGCCTGCGCAGACAAGACCCTCGCATACCCACTGCGTGCGGATATGGTCACCGCGCGCTCGCTGGGCCGAGTGTGCCAGCGGTGGCGGGAGATCGCGCTCTATGATACCCGGCTTTGGGTAGCGTTCATCAGCATCGACATGGAGAGACTGATGACGCCTGAAAACGACGTGCGCGACTTCTGCATAGTCATGTCCCTCTATCTCGCGCGCTCTGGCGACAATTGTCTGTCCGTCGAGATGTATTGGGGCGGTATCAATAGGTACTGGAGTTCCTTTCCGGATGTTCTGGAAGACGAGTGCTACGGCGATCTTCGTCGCCTCCTTCGCGCACTATCACAGAGCTTTTGGCGGTGGGAAGACTGCACCATTTCCGGCAACATCCTGGAGTACATCAGTGACGGCCAGTACCCCGAGCGCCTCGTAAGGGGCTGTGTGCTCGACGCGACAGCCGAAAGAAAGGGACCGGATGTCCTTCCGGTATGCGCCTTGCCTTCAATCTTGGACGCAGGAAGATCAAGGCATCTTGCCGAGCCTGCCCTTCGAGCAACTCACTCATATGAAGCTGGGAGCTATTGCCTATAGCTGCATGGCGGAGATACTCGCGCACTGCGACGCGCTGGAGGACCTTGAGGTCGAGGTGGATGAAGGTGATCGTTGGGCTCGTCAATTTCCAGCCAACGCCTGGCTGCCAAATCTTTGGAACTGTGTCTTCAAAGCCGCCTCTCTTTCCGTCCTCAAGAGCTTTTTGCACTGCCTTCACGCGCCGTCTTTGGAGTTCTTGGAACTCGATAGACCCAAGCATACGTCCGGGTGGACCTGGCCGTCTGAGGAATTTTCGAGGTTCCTGGAGTGCGACGGGCATCCGACGAGCCTCATACTTTACGTTGGGTACGATATATCGGACGACGCTTATCATGCGCTACGGAGTCATCCTTGCATCTCCCAAGTCGATGTTTGTGGGCGTGTATCCGTCACGTAGTGATGTGTATCGCTCGTTCGTAGCCTTCAGATCTCTTCAATATAACACACTGACGCCAAACATGCAGGAAGTTGGGGAAAGCGGCGTCGCCTGGAAGCGTGATAGCAGGTATGATCTGACAATGGCATTGGTTTATCGCGAGATTGACGCTCATCACAGGTACTCGATGTACTCGCACGCACACTGAACGCTACCAGCACATTCTATATCAGAACTCATCGACATGGTGATCAAAACGTCTTCATTGAGTTACGATATGTTCTGTGACGGGGAAAAAGTGACTTCGAGGCAACGCATCCGGTCGCGCATTCCATGCTCCTGTATAAGGTGTCAGCGCGAGGCCAGGTACGAAGTTTGCCTCCCTCTCACCTATGGACCGTGCGCGTCGTTTCTGCTCCTTAGGCAGATACCTTCTTGGCCGCCGTACTGGTCGGGCACGGCACTTCCGTGAAGCAGTCCGAGGTAACGCCCGGGGTGGTGGTCGCGCATGTCACCGTCGACAAGCACAGCGGGCTGGTGGAAGTCGCGCTAGCGCTCAGCGGTGTCGGTATCACGCTCGAGATGGGAGGATTCTCCGGTACCGGGACCGCAGCCGTAGCTTCTGCGTGGCTCCAAGCCGCGGCAGCAGTGTTCGCTGTTACTGCAAGTGCCGCTAGGCAGATAGTGATGCTGGGCGTCTTCATTTATGAGTGGCGAGCTTGGGCTGGGGACTTTGACTTGACTGAGCTTTTTCGTCGCCGCTTTATATATGCTGTCCTTTTTCATGAATCTACTCAAGCATTCGGACTGCTGACTGTCCCGGAACAGGGGAAAGCGCGCGACTCAATGAATCGGCTGAAGCTCGAGGGCAGGGATTGCCGCAGGCATGCGGCCCTGCATAGCTTACAGGGCTACCTCTTTATACAATCCTGTACAGTCCACTACTCAGGGTATATATGCTGTGTGCATCATATACCGAGTCGGAAGCGGCGTGCAAGGAGAGGGAGAATATCAACTATCGGAATTCGGCAGTCTCCGATGGCGTGGGACACCGTGACGCGCTCACTCCTGTTGCTTTTTCCAAACACTCATGAGCTCGTCTCCTGGTGTGTACACGATACCTCACCGTGGGGGTCCCTCTGATGAAAGTCTGTAGCTCGATACAAGAATGAATGAGACTCGCACAACCGTAAGCTATACACGGTTTCATATTCTCGTCCTGATCTTATAACTCAGAACTCGCCTATTGCGCGCATTCCGAACGGATTGCTTTGCAAGATATTTGCGTACGCATGCGCAAGGAACGAACTCGCCTTCACTCTATATGCATACGGAGATTCAGCGTCTTACTTCCCTGCCTTCTGCATCAATCAGGTCTGCCAGCGCTGGAGGAACATCGCACGCGCAGATCCCAAACTCTGGGCGGGCGAGATCAACGTCGATCTCACCGTCATTGAGCGTGCATATGCGCAGACAGGTGCTTCGAGGCGCTTTGTGCGCAGGTTCAGGAAGATCCTCTCGCTCTACCTGCACTTATCTAATCCCGAGCTCCTCGCTCTGACCATCACCGGCGGGGACGTGGGTCTGCTTCCGAGACCAAACGGAGGGTCGGGAAACGAAGGTCTTTCTGCGTTCACCGAAATCCTCGATCACCTCCATCGTGTTCGACTTCTGTCTGTCTCGATCCCGGCTCTCAGATGGATTGAATCCAACGCGCCGCCGATGCAGGACCCTGCTTTGGAGTCCGTCAAGATCATGGGCAGTTCACGGACCGGCTGCTCGACTAGGTTCTTCAGCCAGATGCCCCGCCTGCGTACGTGGAAGCAGGTAGTCGACGACTTCATCCCGACACACCTTCCCTATGCGCAGCTCACGAAGTTCGTGACCGGCTGGATCGAGTGGGACACGGCGCTTCGCGCGCTCGTGCAGTGCCCCGCGCTGAAGCGTCTCGACGTCTCGTTATACACAGCGGACAGCAACACACAAGTCTTCTATCCTTCCACCCTCTCCTTCCCGCAGCTCACCTCGTTCCGCCTCAGCATCGACGATCCAACGGACTTCGCTTACATCTTTGGCTTACTGGAGACACCGCGCCTCTCGAAGCTGAAAGTGTCTTGGGAGATGGTCAGCGGCATGGATGCGGTGAGGACGGACGACTGGCCCGAATGGCACTGGCCGCACCAGGAGTTCTATGCCTTTCTCGCGCGCTCGAAGTGCAGATTGAGCACACTCAGGGTGGTGGATCTATGCCTATCTTCCAAGGACCGGAAAGCGCATCAAGAAGCTCCTCCCAGAGCAGGCGCAGTTCATTGTAGAGGAACCCGCCAAGGACGACAATATGGACGATGAATTTGTGTTCAACGAGGACGGGAAGATCATTCTGAGCGAGCTGTCGTCTTCGGGATCGGAGGCCGAGGATGGCCACGAAGGAAAGACTCACTGAAGGGCTCGAGGAGGTAAGTCAGAATTTCATGCCGAAACGCTGCGTGAACGCTGATCAATGACAATGTAACAGCGGAAAGATGTTGGCGTGTAAAGTGAGTGTTCATGTGCTTGGTATCGATATTCTATGTCTAACGAGTGATGTTCTTAGGTAGTGAATGGGGTCGTAAGGTAGAAGGGGAGATTGCGAGCAAGGTAGTCAGCATTATCTAACGACGGTATGATCGACGACACGATGCGTTCAGTAAGCACCGCCAGTCGGGTGGTTGAGCGGATCCCTACGCGTGAAGTAATCCAATGGCTCACGACGCGTGAAATGGTTCAGCGGCTCGCGGCGCGTGAAGTGGTTCAGCGGCTCACGACGCGCCGGAGGGGTCGCCGCCGCAGAACCCGTTGGGTGGTTGAGCCTGACATCGCCCCCACCAGGAGTGGACACCGCCGGCGGCGACGTCGGATGATTGAGACGCACGGGAGGCGTTGACACCGCGGTCGGGCTCGTGAAATGGTCGAGACGACGCTCGAGCGCGGTCGACGCCGCAGCGGTGCCCGTCGGATGGTTGAGCTTGACCTCGCCGCCACCAGGCGTGGACACCGCGGGAGGCGACGTCGGATGGTTGAGACGCGCAGGAGGCGTGGCCGCTGTCCCCGTGGGGTGGTTGAGCCGACGCTCCAGTGGCGTGGACGCCGAGGGCGGGCTCGTAGGGTGGTTGAGCCTAACATCGCCGCCGCCTAGCGTCGATGCCCCTGACCCCGTCGGGTGGTTCAGCGCGACATTCGTAGGCTGGACAGCCGCAGTAGCCGGCGACGGGCTCGTGAAGTAATTCAGCGGGACCGCCGCGACAGCGGTGGCGAGAGTGACGAGGGCGATGAGCTGCATGATGCGATGTGGGTGCTGGCTGGCGGCTGAAAGTTGAAACTGGATATGTGCTGAAGCGACTGGGCGACGACGAGGTAGAGCGGATCGGTCGAAAGAGTGCGACTGGAGTGCTGAAAGAGGACTCCACTCTGAAGGGGCCTTTATAGACGAGATGCCCGGGCATAAACGGACTAGCAAAACGAACACGAACTCGGGATTCGGAGAGGTGCCAGAACTGCAGCTGCGGCAAGAAAACATCTTGCCTGGAGGGAGAAGGAAGTCGACGAGACCCTACGAGAGAAGCGAGAGGGAGAAGTAAGGGAGTTGGAGTCTTGGGTGGAGCACCAGTGCCCGAGCCCCGAGGTGCTGAGAGCACGGCGAACAAGGTGGAGTGAAACGCATTACGTGCTTTCGAGTGTGCAGGCTGTTGATTCGGGGAATGACTCGTTTTCTTCTGCAAAAATAAGGAAACAATAGCTGAGGCGCATTAGATAGAGTGAGGTAAGGTAGCGACAAGAAGAATGACGCAAAAATACTTTGATCACCATTTCAAGCTCGAGCGCAAACCCACTCGCGGGATCCAAGAAAGTCCATGCCTGGCGTCGCGTAGCTTAATCCCCTTATTTAGCAGCTCTTCGGCAAGTGGGACCCAGAAATCCTTCTTGGTATCGAATCTGCGCGCGGTCAGACTTCCATAACCACACAATTGAGTGAAATGGCGAACTCACTCTCCAGACGGCCACCGAATCCTCATATAAACCGATTCGAGCGCAGGCAATTTACCCGCGTCCAAGTCAAGCAGGATAGGCATCCACGGACGATTCGACGGCTTCAGTTGCCTGTAGTAAGCGTCAGGAGAATGCGAACGACAATCAAACACAGTCTCACGATAGTTCAGAGACGAAAAAGACGCTTTCCAGTGTCGAAGACGCCCAGCCCTTTGTGGAATACCCAGGAGGCTTTGACGATCATGTTAGCGTCTAAAACATCCTGCAAGAACGCCCTACGTACCGGCTTCTTCTCCTCGACGCGCAACTTCTTCACCTTCTCGCAAGTCTTGAAGATATCGTCCGAGGGGAAGGATTTGAGGTTGAGTTCCTCGATGTTCTTCCCGTGTTTCTTCAAAAAGTCCCCCGCATCCCGACACGCTAGCGCGCGACCGTACATGCCCAAGATGCGAAGATGAGGCATTCTGCCAAACATACAGAGGTTAGTGCCGGGCGATGAGATCCGCTATGAGTCGACTTACTCGCAGAGAATCAACAGCTTCAGAAGAGACGTGTGGCAAGAATACAGCTGCAGCTCCTCCAGCGCCAAGAACATATCCTTCGGTACGGTCGAGCCCGTGAAAGCAAGCTTGACGGGGGCATCGAAGCGCAGAACGCGCAGCGAGCGGAAGGGGGTCAGGGGGCCAACCGACACCGTCAACTCCTTCCCATGAGCTTGCATGCGCTTGCCCTTCCCAGCCGCGGGCGGGGCAGCGGGATTCGGCGACTCTATATACTCCTTACCGACCCTAAGATCCCGTATTGCCTCCAGATTAGGCGCCGCACGCGCGAGGGCCGCAAACTCGGCCCACTGAAGCGTAAGGACGCCCGGGTCGCCAACGCGCTGACCGTCGTCAGTGACGTGGTCATGGTCGGAGGCGCTGAGCACGCGCAAATTTGGCACGTTCTCTATGATGCCGCCGAGTGGTATGTAGGTTTTCTCGAACGTTTCGTTGCGTAGGGTGAGCACCCGGACGAGAGCGCCGAGGTCTGGCCGATCTGGGAAGAGCTCTGCGAGGCCTTTGGTTTGTGTCGCCTTCGTACAGATGATGTGGCCGTACACATGTGGGAGTAGGACGCGCTGTCTAGAACTATCAGCGCCGACAACCGGACTGACGTTCCTGACCTACCCTCCAGAGTTTGCAGACCAACATCAGACGCGTGGGATGTGTCGGCTGCTCGTTTGGGTAAGGCCATTCGATATAATCGGTCGCAGTATACAATGTGAACACGAGCGCCCATATTTTCTCCTGGATGTCCACCCTTTGGCCCGCCATAGGATATAAGCGGGCCGGCGCCGCGTATTGAGGACTTGCGGGCTCAGAACAAGTCACCTGTTGCAAATCGGCCCTTTCCATCTGTCCGCTGACACGATATATGAGCATGCTAGACAGTCTTCCCATATTCGAACTCACTCGTGCGTCTCATAGATACAAAGTGCATGCAGACGCTCGTCCGCCGCAATAGCTTCGTCCAGGGAGTAGTCGTAGGTGACACCATCGGGGTTGTGAGATGGCTTGCCGTTATGCTCCTCTAGAAAGTGTATCATTTCGAGTGATCGACTTTGGGCGAGGGCGCGGAGTGCTCGAATGTACACGACATCGGTGATTCCGCTCATGTGAACACGCCGCAAGCTGCGGCACGACGCCATAGCACAGAACAGTGATATCCTATCTTGGTCTTCTCCCGAGCTCCATTCATATTGAAAGAGGAGATGTACGGATTGCTAGCATCGCGGGTAAGTCAGACGTGCGACGAAGACGAGATTGAGGCTCACGAGATTTGTCCATTTGCCAATGACCCCCACTAGGGTCTCCATGCACTTCGTGCGAAACTTCGTTTGCAAACCTCCTTCCGTCAAAAAGAGGTGCCGAGGATTGACTTGCGGAAGCTGAAGTCCGGAGACGAGGCCGGAGATATTGTCGACTGAGCGAAGACAAAACTGGAGGAATAGAAGGGAGAGTTGCGTGGCTTTCCTCAAAATTGCATGAGTGCTATGGCCATAGGCGCCATGCAGCCGGAGACGCTTGATATTTGGGCCAAGGTCGGATCGACGAGCGAGGGTCGCTGCGAGCGCGTCGGCCTGTCCCGTTTGGCGGAGTATGACAGTTCGGTAAAGGATGGGCGTGCATATGCGTTGCCATGCTTTGCAGACCAGGAGAAGGGACGGTGGGCGACGACTCTCATTTCGCTCGTCCTCTTTCGTAGTCTGCCACCTTGCGCCCCAATTATGTTCGTCCGAACGTTCGTCAAAAAGCTCTTCATCGGTCGGAATGTCGATAAGTTGGGTGAAGATATTGTGCCATAGCTCCTCAGGGAAGAGCATTGCAGATACGGCAACTTTGGGCAGCGCAGGTGGTGGTTCGAGAGAAGACGCGCTGAACCCTGCGCCACAAAATCCCAGTGAAATCAATCTCCGATCAGGCCATCAACTCGAACTTCGTTCTGAACTTCATGGCATTCTCTGAGGCAGTCGGATATCGTGTCCGGTTTCTAGACGTCTGCGGAGACGCTCGTTAAGCGCTTTGGTGCCATACCGCCTGTCGAAGGCCTGTAATCTATCGTTCAACCGTGACCTAAAGCGATTGCCACGACCTCCCCACCTCATGCGGCCTCACGCGGCCATACAACCCTTGTCGAGGCCCACGTCTACGGGGAATGCCACCAGCCACAGTCACATCAAAGGAGGGGCAGCGGCGTGCTGAAACCTTGGCGATAGGTGTACTGTGCCTTGCGCCGTATCGCTTTCGGCGTACCACAGATGAACGCGGGACGCTCCCGCCTGCGAACTGTTCATATTTGCTCGAAGCATTACGGCTACCCACTGTCCTGGCTCTCCCTCGACAACACTCAACCCACTTCCGGTCTCTGGGCGTATTCAGCCACGGAGCCCGGTGAACACGGCGTCTGTTGCCAGTACCGCACCAGACACATCACGGCCTACGTCGGGCGTGTATCAGGCCCGCTCGCCAATATGCCATTCCTGTCGTCCTTGCTTCGCTCCTCTAAATGGTTGGCTTGCGTTCATTTATATACCGTGCCGCTGATATCACGACTCCGCCTGCAGTATAAAAGCTCGACCGCATCCTTCACTTCGACCAAACACTCTCCAGCAAAATGACTTCGACCTCTCCTCAGAAGTTGCGCATTGCTATCGTGCAAGTACTCCATGCCTTCAACACCGAGGATATCACTGATTTTGCTACAGCGGCGGTGGAATTGGCGGCTTATGCTTCGCCATTGCCCTCCAGCGTCACTGCGACATGTCTCGCCTGGACGTCCACATCTACGAGGCAGCGCATGAACTCAACCAGGCCGGTGCTGGTATCGTATTCTATTCGCGCACGCTCGGCCTCCTCCATGACCTTGGCTTCGGCGACGTCCTACACAAGTTCGAAACCATCGAGCCCCGTGGGTCGCTGGTCTTCAGCCTGCGCAAGAGCGACCAACCCGAGGGTACCTGTATCCACGATATGTTCCTCCCAGGTACGTATGCTCCCTACCCTCGCCCCCCAGTCTCAACCGATGCACCCTAGGCCCGATGTGCACCCTCCATCGCGCAGGCTTCCAGCAGATGATCCTCGACGCACTCTCGCCCGAGATCCACGTCCACCTCGCGCACCGCCTCCTCGCCGTCGACACGCCCACGGACACCGAGGTCGTGCTCAAGTTCATGAACGGCACGACGGAGACGTGCGACATCGTCGTCGGCGCGGATGGGCTACGCTCGAACGTGCGGCCCGCGCTGCTCGAGCGGCTCGTGCAGGCGAGAGTGCTCACCGAGGCCGAGCGCGACGACAAGACCGACCCTGTGTGGACGGGGACGTATGTATACCGCGGGCTGATCCCCTCCGAGGAGCTGCAGGCCAAGTACCCCGGGCACCCATCTCTGACGAAGCCTGTGCAGTACATCGGACGGGATAAGGTGTGTGCCTCGATATAGACTTGCCCATCTCCTCCCCACCTCCTCTACCCCCGCCCTATCCGCTCGGCGAGCCCATGATACGTCGCCCGCTGATGATGCTCCTGCCCCTCCTGATGCTGCTCCCGCCCCCCTGATCCCGCATGCTACCTATAGCCTCGCGCCGTCGACTAATCTTCCCCAACAGCACATCACGAGCTACCCCATCGCGCAGGGCCGCTACGTCAACGTCGTGCCCACCTACTCCGACTTCACCCAGGACCGCACGCACATCGCGTCCTGCGGCGCGGGCTCCAAAGCCACCAACGACGAGATCCTGCCGTACTTCGAGGGGTGGGAGGAGCTCGCGACGGTCCTCGTCGAGAACTTCAAGTGCATCGGCAAGTGGCCGATCATGCAGCTCAGCCCGCTGCCCAAGTACGCGGATGGAAGGATCATCCTGCTAGGCGACTCGGTGAGTAATGGGTTCTTGCAGCTGGCTAGTGGCCTATCTGCCTAAGTAGCTATCACTCATCACCGAATCGCAGGCGCACGCCATGTCCCAGCACCTCGGCGCGGGCGCCGGGCAGAGCATCGAGGTACGTATCCTGCTTCGCTCTATGACCCCCCTTCCCTACACCACCACCCCCACCCACAGTGCTAACACACCCCCAGGACGGCATCATCCTCGCTCGCTGCCTCAACCGCGCCCTATCAAAGGACGCCGGCCCACCCTCGCCCGCCGCCATCGCCGCCATCGTCTCCACCTACAACACCCTGCGCGTGCCCATCGGGAACTACGTGCAGGAGCGCGCGCGGCTGCAGGGCAAGGTGTACGAGCTCGCCTTCCTCGACGAGCCGGCGCTCAGGCCCGAGGTGTGCCTCTGTGCGGGGGAGTCGACGTTGGCGTTCCCGGGCGAGGTGAAGGGCGCGCTCCCGGACGAGGCGAAGAGCGCGTTTCCAGGCGAGTCCGCGTTCCCGAGCGAGCTGCAGGACACGGACGTGAAGGACACCGTCCTCGGCGGCGTGGCGGAGAATGCAAGCGCGGCAGTGCCGGCGAAGTCTGAGTCCAAGGCCGAAGAGCAGGCCACCGCCAAGTCCGAGGCCGAAGAGGAGGCAAAGGTAGAAGAGCAAGACAAAGTCGAGGCGAACACCCCCAAGGTCAAGACCGAGGAACAGGCCGCCTCCAAGGTCAAGCAAATGACCAACATCTACGACCTACCTCCCCACTACGGCGCGCTCAGCGAGCTCGGCAAGGTCTCCTGCCTCACGACGGAGAACTACAGCTGGCCGAGCAGCCGGTTCGTGCGCCGCTGGGACGAGGAGGCGGAGAGGTTGCTGGCGGAGTGAAGGGCATGTTGGCGGAGTGAAGAGCAAGTGGTGGGACTGTCGACGACAACTCACGGGACTTGAAGCGACTAGGTAACTCTATATGAGCGGATTTGAAATTTTATGTACCCTTGTGTGGACCCGTGTTATATATTAGTCCTTTCTGATACAGCGATACTTGAAGCAAAGCAAAAGATGAAAGCGTCATGAACATAGCTGTCGTGAATATACGAACAGAAACCTCGTCAAACAGAAATCAATAGAAACCCCGTCTATACACCCAACTTTACTTTCTTCTCCGCCGACACTTCCTCCGCGCTGGGCTCGTCCTCCGCCTTCCGCTTCCCTGGCGGTGACTGGCCCGGTTGTGAGTCGGCAGGCGCAGGCGTGGAGGAAGCGGAGGGTTCGACAGCGGCGGGCTTCTTCTTCTTCTTGACCATGCCTGATAGGTCGTTGACCTGCGTATACCAGTCAGCATTGGAGACATGATGAAGTGGGGAGAGATACGTACTGGCATATTTGACGATAGCCCAGGGGTGGCCGAGCCATTCAGCTCCTTCTCGAGTGCTGCTTGTGCAAGCTCGGGTGCTGAGCCATGGAGGGTTTCGTTCGGCGAGGTCTTCAACTCATCAACCTAAGTGGACGAGGTCAGCTTTATGCACAAACACACGATTGCAACCCGACCGACCTTCAGACCCAAATCCTCCAACAAACTATCCAGGTCCTTGATCTCTGCCTCGATAGCGCTCTTCGACAGCGTCGACACAGGATCCGCGCCAAAGACCGCACCCGACGCCTTCCCCTTGCCCTTCACATCTTCCGCTGGCGGCGGCGCCGGCTTCCCATACTCTCCCTTCTCCAACGCCTCCCCCAGCTCCGCCTTCCTCAACTCCAAGCTCTTCAGCGCGAGCTCCGCATGCCGGATCGCGTCCGACAACCGCCCGCTCGTCATATCCAGCACCATGCTGAGCTTATAGTGCGCCTCCGCCAGCTGGCGCGACGACAGCGGCAGCAGCGCATCCTTCAGCTTCGTCCCCTCCTCATAATCGAGGATCGCCTGCTCGAACTTCTCCGTCTCGAGCGAGACGTCGCCGAGGGAGATGTAGGCCTCGGCGAGCTTGAGCTTGAGCGCGTCCGGTGCGCCCTCGGATGCGCTGCCCGCGTGCTTGTCGTAGATGCTGCGCGCGACCTCGAGGACCTCCCAGGCGGCGTTGAAGTCGTCTTCGGGCTCCGCGTCGTCCTCGTCGTCTTCCTCCCCGGCGCCCTCCGCCTGAGCGGCGTCGGCTGCGGCGACTTCCTTCGCTGCTTGCGCGAAGAGGTCCACGGCGCCATCTTCGTCCTCGCCGTCGCCGGAGAACGAGAGGAAGGGGCCGCCTTTCCTGGTGGCGGGGGCTAAGGAGGGATCGGGTTAGCTGAGCGCAGCGGGGGTCTTATGGGGAGCGCACCTTCATCTTCGTTCTCCCCCTCGGGCTCTGCTTTGCCCAAGACGCCACTGTTAGCGATGGCGTTCTCCAACAGTGCCTTGCCGTAGGTAAAGTGTAGGTCCGCCAATTCGATCGAGTCTTCGGGGAACTTCTCTATTCTGTGGTGCGCGTTAGACGTTACAATCAGTGCATAGATGTTAGGCCACGCACGCAATCTCGAGCGCAGTCGCATAGTGGTCGACGGCTTCCTCGAATTTCTTGAGCGCGAACGCGCGCTTGCCATTGTCCACCGCAGATTCTAGGGTAGGTTTCTCCTGCGTGCTGCTGCTGAAGTGAATTTAGCACGCATCAATTCAGTTGGGCGCCACTCACGTCGACATGATTGCGGTGATGGGATGATGGTGGTCGAGGGAAGAGATGCGTTCGCGAACACAGGTCGCGAGACGCGTTTGTGCGCGACGTGATATTTGTCGGCGCCTTTTCGCGCAAACAAATCCACGTGCGCGGCGCCTTGTTCTCCTCCTTCCCCCACCATCGTCTTAATCGTTTCCCTGAGCTCGACGCCAGGATCCTCCGCCTATCATGGTGAGCATATGTCCCACGAAAGCACTACAAAAATGCTTACCCTGCCCCCCAGCCTCCCCCCAAATCCAAAGGCGGCAAAATGCTCGCGCTCATCAACTGGCGCATCAAGGTCACGATCAACGATGGGCGGCAGCTTGTTGGCCAGATGCTGGCCTTTGACAGGCATATGAACCTCGTGCTTGCAGAATGCGAAGAGTTCCGCAGGATACGGCCGAAGAAGAAGCCCGGCCAGGAGACTCAGCCGGAGCAGGAGGTCAAGCGCGCTCTCGGGCTCGTCATCCTTCGCGGAGAGACAGTGGTTAGCTTGAGCGTGGAGTCGCCGCCCCCGGTGCAGGAGGATGATAAGAAGAGCGCGGTACGTAGCAGTGAACGATGGGAATGTGCACGATGGCTGATCGTGGTCTTTGCAGCTGCCTGTCGGTCCTGGACGCGGTATGCCCGCGGGTCGTGGGATGGGGATGATGCCGCCGAGTGCGTACTCAGTCGAGTTCCGTACGCGCAGATGACTAACACGATCGCAGTGGGCGCCCCGCCATTCCAAGGAGCGCCGATGAACTTCCCGCCGCCCGGTATGCCAGGTCCTCCCCCTGGCTTTGCAGGCCGTCCGCCTGGCTTCCCGCCAGGCATGCCCTTCCCTCCGCCAGGTTTCGGTGGGCCAGGAGGCCCTCCCCCTCCAGGGTGCGTCGAATCCTTCTTGATTCGCCGCGTCGTACTGACTTGGATCTTCCCAGTTTCCAGCCGCAATAGTCTGGTCCATCTCTGGTCCGTGCACCCCCCTGATGAAGATCTTGTCGCAAAAAGCGGAGGAAGGATTCCCGAGCTGTACTTACGCGCGTCTATTGTTCTTTGTACTCAAGTATCATCCTGTTCAACTGTATCTCATTGTTTTCTGACAGTTTGCTATGCTCTTGGCCATTTTGTGGCGTAATGACCTACCGGCTGCAATTTGCGCACTGGCGTTTTGCATGTTCAGCGTTGTCGACTGGCTTGCTTTCGTGCAAGGACGTTGCTTCGTCCTCGCTGACTGCAGCGAGTGTATCTGTGCTGGCGGGTTATGGAACCTCTTGTTTGTCGGTAGCGAGTCCAGCATCAGAACCAAGTCCACCATCGTCATATCTAGCGTTGCGGATGATACCCTAGGAAACTTACCAACACCCATTGTTACCGGTTCGAAACCGGTTTCGTACTGGTATCATACCAGACCCCCTTCAAGGGCTGAGCGGGGTCGGTACCATACGCAATATGTGGCGTCGATGCTCAGTGCGACGCTGAGGCGGCTGGCAGGCTTCGTTGGGCAGTGGAGGTCTTTCCGTGACGTGTGCTTTCAGTTTGTCATCCTCCCTTGTAGGTAGCTGCGATGTAGACGGTTTTCCTGCAGTTCTTAATCATTTGATGGTCAATTCGAGCCCCGGCGCGTGTCCCTGATCTGCTTGAGCCGCTTGCGCACGGAAAGCTCGGCGGATTCCTTTCTGCTCGGGTCTTCTGACGCACAAGCTGGCATGAAGGTAAGATCAAATATGTGGAGCATGATATTGTACTGTGCGCTTCAGGGCGAAAGGAGTGTTCATGAAGGCCCACACTACCGCTCGCGAATTCGAAGACACAACCGCGCGCTCGGCGCGCGAGCGAAAAATCACGTGATGACGCCGCGCAGCGCCACAAAATGGTAAGAAACCGGTTCCAAACCTCGTCTGAGAGGGGTCCCGCACCGCTCATGGTATGGTACCGGTCACAAAGGTCCCGGGAGGTATCATCCGCAACGCTAGTCATATCCGCATCGCGACATCCCAAATATTCTGCTGCTGCGCAAGGAGGAGCACACTCGCGCGGAAGGGTGACGCGGTGACGATCGAAGGACTTGAAGACCCCAGGCAGACCCTTGCAGTCTTGTCAAGAAAATGCCTTTGTGGTGCGGGGCTGATGCATGTTCACTTTTCCGCGTAGCCGCCAGCTTCACCCCTGCGCCTTACTGACCTGTCCACCGAACTAATCTCCGCGCATGACTTTCGTATACCGATGCTCCATCCCACTGGCGAGAGCCCTGCCATTCCTTAAGGATCGCCAGCAACTAAACGGACAAACACGCGCAAATAATCATCATTGATCCATTTGTGGCGCTACGCTGACTTCGACTCCACTCTCGCAGCGCCTCGACACATAGCGTTTTACAACATCGTCGTGAAGTCGTCACGACAAGCGAGCACATCGTCAACAAGAGGCGAACGTGTCGCCCCGATGTCGCCAACACCCTGCTGCGGGACGGCTGACGTGCTTCCCAGCGTCGCAACCCTGCCTTGGGCGTTGGAGTAAACGGCGAGCGTGCCCCCCGTTTTTTACTCCACTGCACCTCGCCGTGGGCAGCGCGCATATATAAGGTGGGCGTTGCAAGCTCTTTTTCCTCAGCATTCCAGTCGCCTTCACTCTCAGACCGACCAGCTCACCGACGTCGCTCAGTCCAGCAGCACTCATAAACTCAGCTTTACTTCTCTAATTCACGCCAACGAGCGCCCACTGCACTTTTCTTTGCCAACCAGCCCAATAAACACACAGCAACCATGCAGCTCCTCGCCTTCGTCACCCTCGCCACCGTCGCCGCCGCGGTCCCCTTGAACGGCGCATCGTCCTCGGGTGTCGTGAACGTCCCGTCCAGCGCCGCCGCAGTCGCCTCCTCGAGCGCTGCTGCTGCCGCTGTGTCCTCTGGATCCGCCGCCGCCGTTCCCTCGTCGGCTGCCGCTGCCGCTGTGTCCTCGGGTGCCGCCGTGGCGCCTTCGAGCGCGGCTGCGTTCGCCTCGTCGAGCGCCGCCGCCGTCGAGAGCGCGTCCAGCGTCGCGCGCCGCCAGGCTGAGACGTCGTCCACCGCGGGCTTTGCGCCGGCGTCCTCGGGCTCCGTCCCCGCTGCCGCGGTGTCTTCTGGCGCCGCCAACGCCGTGTCGTCGAACGCGGCCGCTGCGTCGTCGGTGCCGCCCACCGCCGCCGCTGCCGTGTCCTCCAACGCGGCTGCCGCGTCTTCGCAGCCGCCCGCCGCTGCTGTCTCGGGCTCCTCTGCCCCGGCCGCTGCCGCCGCCGCGTCCTCGTCTGCGCCCGCCAAGCGCCAGGCTGAGTCGTCCGCTGCCGCTGCCGCGGTTTCCTCCGGCGCCGCGTTCGCGTCCTCCAGCGGCCCGGCTGCCGCTGCTGTCTCGTCGGGTGCCTCCCAGCCCGCGGCCGCGGTCTCTTCCTCTCAGGCTGCTGCGGTGTCTTCGCAGGCTGCTGTCGCCTCTTCGCAGGCCGCCGTCGCATCGTCCTCCGCCCCCGCTAAGCGCCAGGCTGCGGCCTCGTCCGCGCCCGTGAGCTCCGGGGCGGCTGTCGCGTCCTCGTCTACCGCTGCCGCGGCGGTTTCCTCTGGCGCTGCTGCTGCTGTGTCTTCGGGCCAGGCTGGTGCCGTGTCCTCTGGCAACGCCGCCGCCGTGTCCTCCGGCGCTGCTGCCGCTGCCACTTCGTCGGGCGCGGCGTTCGCGCCGGCTTCTTCTGGCGCGGCGGCTGCCGTCTCTGCGTCGTCTGCCCCCGCGTTCGCGGCCTCTTCCTCCGTCCCGGCGGCGGCGGTCTCTTCTGCCTAAGCGCCATTAATGCATCCATCTTGATCCAGAGTGGTGGCATAGGCTTTCTACCTACCACCTGAGCGCGTCTTGACTGGCCTAGTCAGTCCCGAAGGCGACTAGAATTTCGGACAACACAAAACGGACTACTACTAATACCCACATCCATCCACTTACCCAACGTAGCAGCGACGTCTTACGAACTACCTATTACAACCGTTCATTAGAATAGAAACTCCAATCCTAGATGACTTGACTTCACCTGTGCGACAGTGAATTTCCTCCAGCCTGGCCCTTGTCGAATTTGGTGATTGGGGTATGCGCTTCTTTCAATGAGGGACAGCAATTCTTCATTTTTTGGAGTAGTTTCTGCTCAGTCAAATTCAGTGTACTATGGCGGCCATGTTTTTGTCCGGCAACTTCCGCAGTATAGCTTCCGCTTCCCACCCTGCAGCTGTTTCCCGCCTACCTTCCGTCAAGGCAGATGCTTGCGTCGGATGTTCATTGCGGAAAGTAGACGATGGAAGCAAGGTCACAGAATTCATTCCTGGAGAGATTGCACGACGACGAATCCGCGCATGCGAATGCGGCTCGTACCCGACCAATTCCCGGCAACCACCTGCGCGTCTCACAGGCAGCTTCCGAAACACGGCGGACTTGAGAACTGAGTGAGCATGAATACTGAATCATCGATGTAGCACTCTCCACCTTCCTATGCCGAGAACGTCTCGCATCCGCGTCTCCTCGCGGCAGAGCCGCTTGAGCCCCCGAAGCTGAACGTACAAAAGCCCAGGTGAGTGCCACTCATCTCGACCCATCCACCGCCTACTCAGCAAAAACCAACTGCTCTCCATCCTCGCCATGTCCTCCAGCTTCAAATCCTTCGCCGTCGCAGGCGCCAACAGCGCCATCGGGAAGGCCACAGTCGAGGCGCTCGCCAAGGTCCCCGCCGCCTCCACCCTCGTCCTCACCCGCCAGTCCACCCCGCGGCCCGCCTGGCTGCCCGCCCACGTCGCGCACGCGGGCATCGACTACGCCGACATCGCGGGCACGGCCGCCGTCCTGCGCGCGCACAACGTCGAGGTCGTGATCGCGCCGGTCGGCCACTTCGCGGTCCCGCAGCAGGTGCCGCTGGCGAGCGCGGCGAAGCAGGCGGGCGTGCAGCTCTTCGTGCCGAGCGAGTTTGGCACGCCGACGAAGGGGTGGAGGAAGGGGGAGGCGCCGCCGTACTTGTTGCCGAAGATCGAGGTCGCAGGTGAGATTGCGGGTTCTGCCCTCGCAGCAGTACGGCGAGCTGAAAGTGGCGCGCAGACCATCTCGAGTCCATCGGGCTCCCTTCCCTGCGGATCTTCGTAAGTGGAGTCGCGTCGTAGATGGTCTGCATGGCGCTGACTGAACCTCTTTTAGCCCGGCTGCTTCGCCGAGTTCATCGCCATACTCGTCGGGTACAACGCCAACAAGAAGGTCAACATCCTCAACTCACTCACGGGCGAGAAGCCGTTCTCCGTCACCACCAACCCCGACATTGGAGGTAAGCTGCCACACCCAGCTCCGTTCTGGTTTTCCACCCCTTTTGCGCCATGTACTGACCCTCCCCCAGCCTTTGTCGCCCACCTCGTCACGCACTACCCGCTCTCCGCGCTCGCCAACAAGGCCTTCCGCATCGAGGGCGACCGCATCACACTGAAGAGCCTGGCCGCCATCTTCGATGCGCCCATCGAGCGCGTCGACGTGATCCCGGTGGCGCCAGAGATTCCCTTGCCCTCCGAGTTCGTCGAGGAGCTGCAGCGCGTTACAGAGCGGGGACTGCTGAGCATCGATACCGTAATTGGAGAAGGCGATGGCGCGGGCGGGGCAAACGATCTTTGGGAGGGGCATCACTGGACGACAGTCAAGGAGTACCTGAAGGGTGATTCCAAGTAATGTAGAGCCTTGCACACTCGCGGTCAACATCGTGTAGCGTGCGTGCTTTGCAGACGCAGAGCCCCTATGGGTCAGAGGGACCCCAATAAATATCAAAGAGTGAGTGTACAAATCAATAATAAGGAGTTGAACTTCGAGCCCCCCAATCACAGCGGAACCATCGAAATTTCCCGCACATCCCACTCCTGCGCGTCGCTCTCGGAGACAGGAAGGCCTTCGATGTTCGTCCGGCCGACCCAGGAGTCGCCGAAGCGGATGAAGATGCCTTTGTCGCCCGCCTCGGCCGTGGCCGCGCGGTCTTCGCTCTGGTAGGTGTCGAACTGGTTCATCGAGGGATTCTGCCCCTCCGCGAGGCCGACGAAGTGGTCGTTGTGCGCCTCGCAGACGATCTTGCCTGGAGGAGGGGTCAGCGCTGAGAGACATGGTTGAATAAGAGACGAAACGCACCTGGGAGACCGTCCGGGAAGCGGAAGCGCACGCCCTTGTCCCCGCCGTTGTTCAGGTCGTCGAAGCTGCGGCGGAGTCAACTAGGGAAGCGGTTAAGGCACTGGAGGATACTCGTACTTGTTGTGCTGCTGGATCATGAGGACGCCCTTCGTGGAGTCGAGGTACTGCATGCCATCCCAGGAGAGCGTGTACCACTGCAGGCGCGTCAGTCTCAGTATCATGCTATGTCCCGCAATCCCAGAGGGACGGTGTACCTTGGCAGGGTCAACGGAAACCCCACGTCGGGCGAGAGGCGACGCGTTGGCGAACGTCGCGAGGGCAAGCGTAGCGATGCCGAAGACCTTGGAGAACATTTTGACGAGGCGAACGAAGGCGTTGAGCAGAGAAGAATGAGAAATAGAACTGATGACGATGCTGAACTTGCTGCTCGAGTTCACTCTTTATAACAGCGGCGCATCCATCGACATCGAAAGGCCAGGCAACATTGCTAGCCCCCTCCGACATAGAAGGGCATATGGCGGTGGTGCGTCGCTCCAGTTCTGACAGCGTCGCATACCTGATACTTCAAGGCCATTGATCTATACGGGGAGGGTACTCAATTGCGCAATCATATATTGCACAACGTCATTGATGGACTTACGCAAGAGATCCCCGTTCAATAACGGGACAGGGACGACGGCCCGACCAGAGGCTTGAGGACAACCTGACGGGGGAACGTCCCCGTCGTTCACGATGTCCATCAGCGTCCCCTGGACGAGAATGTTACAGCTGGCGCAAGCCATCACCCTCAAACTTGTCTTCAGAAAAAGACGCGAACCTGGACCAGCTTAGGGGCTGGTCAGCGAGACCAGATGAAGGGACGCGAGGATGCCCTTCAACAATCCACAATCCCTGGACGAGAACGAAGTTACGACAAGTCACATGCGGCGTGACGGCGGAGCCGGTGCACGTGACGACAGTTGAACTCCAGCCAGGAATCACATGAAAGTCCCAAGCTGGACGCCCCCCATCCCGTATGCATACAGACAATCATACCTAATATATGCAGAATACAGATAACCCCCTATCACCGCCCAAACTTCCTCAACGGATCCGACTTGCGTTTGCCCGCGCCTCCACCGCGGCCCCCACGCCCTCCTCTGCCTCCCCCGCCCCGCCCGCGGCCACGTCCCCTGCCGTTGTCCTTCTTGAAGGGTACAAAGCCGACGTCTCCAGGGCCCTTGCTGCCCTCTCCGGTGGCTTGCGCGGTTTCTGAGGGCGAATAAGTGTGATTCAACGGAGCGCAGAGGGAAGGCAAAACATACCTGCAGCAACACCGCCAGGTATCAAGTACTTTGGCACAAACTTCATATGCGGCTGCACGCGCTGCGGATGCAGCGCGCGGTCGTGCTTGAGGAATTCGAGGTCGAGTGGGTTGTCCTCAAAATGCGCCTATGAGATCAGGACTGTCAGTACCCGGCTCACTTGCACAGATGACGCATCCCCCGAATCCACACGCACCTTCAACTTCTCGCTCCCCAACACCTCCGCCTTCAGCTCCCGCACCCTCGCCTCTCTCACCGCCACGCGCGTCACGCTCCGCAGCGCATCCTCCATCCGATACCTAAACGCCTCCACCTGCCGCATGTCGAACCTGTACTCCTTCACCGCTCCCGCGCCCTGCTCGCGCTCGATCCGCGCGAACACCTCCTCGTCCCGCCGCCCCAGCGTCCGGTTCACCGGGTCCTTGTCACTCAGATCGGGCCTCGACACGAACGACAGCGCCATCCCCGCCCGCCCGGCCCGCGCGGTGCGCCCGACGCGGTGCGTGTACGCGCGCGCGGAGCCGGGGAGGTCGAAGTTGAGCACGGCGGCGACGTCGAGGAAGTCGACGCCCCGGGTGACGCCGTACTCGCGGTCGGAGGCGCGGGGTCTTTTGGCCTTGGTCGGGGGCGAGGCGGCAGAGGAGGCGGAAGGGGGGTCGGGCTTGGCCTTTTTGCGCGAGGCCGGTGGCGGGGTCGCGGCGCGCTTGCGCTTCTTGGGGGCGGGGGAGGTGGTGCGTTGGGCGGAGGTGACTGGGCGGAGGTCAGGGTGTGATGCGTTATGCGGTAGTCGATAGGGCGGGACTCACAGCCATCGTCTTCCTCGGCGTCCTCGGCCGCTTCGTCGCCGTTCTCCACGGCTTCGTCTTCGCTCGATTCTGCCTCCTCTTCACCGGCTGCCTCTGCCTCCGTCTCGCGCTCGATATCTTCCTCGTCCCGCTCGCCCAAACCGCTCTCGTCCGTCGCGATGATGTAGTCGTACACGCCCTTATTGAACTCTTGCACGGTGTGATACCTGTAGCAAATCATTAGCACATTCGTTCCCCTCACGCTGCACGAACAAGAACCACAACGAACGACCACGATCCAAAAGACACAAAACAGCCCACTCACCGACTGTTCAACGGCAGCTCGCTATTCAGCACGCAGCTCTTGATCGAGAACTGCTCCAGAAAGAGCTTCAACCGATAACACCGATCCACATCGTTTACGAAGATGATGCACTTCCCGTGGATGAGCTTCAGCTTGAGGATCACGTAGGTGAGGAGGAACTTGTCCCGCTGGGTGCAGCGGACGGCGTATTGGGTGAGGTTCGCCGCTGCGGGGTCTTCTTCGAGTTTGAGGATGGCCTGGGGAGTAAAAGGTAGCACGTCAGCCACGGCATGGGAGATGAATGCGACGTGTGTTATGAGGGTATGCGGCAGGAGAGCACTCACCGGGTTCCTCAGCGCGAGCCCCTTGAGCATCTCGACGTCCTCGGTCATGGTCGCGCTCATGAGGAAGGACTGGTAGACCTTCGGGAGGTAGCCGCCGTTGAAGATCCCGCGCACGTCTTCATCGTGGCCGTACGAAAGGATAAGATCGGCCTCGTCGATCACGAGGGAGTCGAGGGCAGAGAGGGAGAGGGCTTTGGACTGGAGGAAGGCGAGCGCACGCGAGGGCGTCGCAATCACGATGTGGTGGGTGTCGGAGATGAGGGTCCTGGAGGTGCAGGTTGAGAAGATATATTCGACGAGAAGTAGGCAGTCGGCGCACCTCTGCAACCCCGCCGTATTCCCCGACGCAACATTGATCACCGACACCTCGCCCTCGCAATACGCCAACAGCTTCCTCAGGTGCCCATTCACCTGCTCGGCAAGCTCCCTTGTCGGCACCAGGATCAGCGCGCGCGTCGCCGGTGCTTCCTATGCCGATCCCCCGTCTCATCAGCACCTCTCCCCGATCACCGCCCGGCGAGACGTACCTACACTTTTGGCGTTCAGGTTGAGGATCTTCTGCACCAGTGGTACGCAGTACGCGGCGGTCTTCCCGCTCCCCGTGCGCGCCCGAGCGAGTATATCGCGGCTCTCCAGCGCGAGGGGAATCGCCTTCGCCTGCACGAGCGTCGGGCGGGCGAACCCAAGATCGGCAAGCGCGCGGAGGACGCGCTGATCGAGGATATTCGCAAACGACGCAAACGTCGTCTGCGTGTCGACTAGTCGTTCGTCGGACATCGTGTTCCCGTCCCGTTATCCTTCCTGCTCGGAGGGATATGATGAAAATTGAAAATCAAAACAACCCGAGAACAATGGCCAAGTGGCTGTGCAAAATTTGGGAGGCACGTGGCGTGGCGTAACCGTGGGAACCCGGCAGGCAGTGCACGTGATCGCGCGCTTAGAATGCCGTGGAAACTTTTTGAGCTACCCGGGCTTGTCCTTAAATTCGCACCTTTGCCCTCCTCGTTCTTCCGACTTCTTAGCTGAAGTTTCTCCTGCTTGCTTTCGTCGCTTTCAAGTCTCTCTTGTCCGTTGCAATGGTGAGGATGGGTTGCTTGTTGTGTCGCAGGAGAGGGCGCGCGCAAAAACGCAGGACGGAGGAGCCGGAGCGGGCGGGAGAGGTGCAGCGAGCACGGCGCAAGCTCTTGAGAACACCTGGCGCGTCCTATGATGCGCTCTCTACTGCTGGGGCTTTCTTTGCACTGCAGTCATTGCTTCCTGCCCTCCGACACGCGCCTCCTGCCTTACCAAGCCGCGCGCGCGCTTGCCTCCTCCCCGACTGGCATACGCATTGCAACCATGCTAACATCCTTCCCAGGCCGCTCAAGCTACCTTCAAGTCCATCAAGGCCGTCGTCCCTCTTCTGGACCGCGTCCTCGTGCAGCGCTTCAAGCCCGACACCGTGCGTTACTGCCCATACTCCCCATTCCCCTTCACCTCTGCTTCCAAACACCACTTCCACATTCCTCCTCCTTACTTACTTCCATTTTCCACCGTTTGCCTTCCGTCGTCATCACACTTCTTAACACCCACTAACCCCCAACCCAGAAAACCGCCTCCGGCATCTTCATCCCCTCCTCCGCGACGACCACCCCGCTCCCCGAGGCGACCGTCATCGCCGTCGGCCCCGGCGCGCCGACGAAGGACGGCAAGATCGTGCCGACGCAGGTGAAGGCCGGCGACCGCGTCCTGCTCCCGGGCTGGGGCGGGAACTCGATTAAGGTTGGCGAGGAGGTGAGTATCCGGTTTGCTGTGGTGCCACGGAATCGGAACGCTGACGACGGCGCGCAGGAGTACTACCTCTACAAGGACTCGGACATCCTTGCCAAGATCCAGGAGTAGGCGTCGCGCACGCTTCTAGGCGACGTCACGCGGACGGACCCGGCGGCGGGCGATGCTACCCTTTCGCAGGACGACCTCTAGTTGACGGATCGGTACCGCTCGTGCTGAAGGTGTCTAGTGGTTGCTTATGCTCAAGTCATGGTCGCCTGTGCGAGGTGGTCCTCGGTGGCGGGAGTCGAAAACAGCAAACTAATAATCTACTTACGGCCTCTAATGATTGTGCTGGGTTATGGCTTACGAATCACTACTCAGTATATGGGACATGTGCTGCCGACTGGCGTGTTGTGGGGCGCGAGTGGGAAGTGAGACGTGAGGCGCAAGGTGGAGATCATTTTTGTTGAGCGCGGGCCTTGCTTGCAGGTGCGTGTCCGCCCTTCTTCGCGTCTGTTGTGACGGTCATTGTTTGCGCCTGTTGCCCGCGTCATGGCTTGCTCCCGACCATCATGTTCGCCTTCCATGTCGCGGCTGCTCTTCGTACCTCACTCACATCGCATAAGAAGGGTATCGTATATGCGTCTGTAGCGCTTTGTATGACGAATGTCCGTCCGATATCACCGTGACGACGAAGTCCGTCCATGGGTTGAAGACCGCCGCGGCTTCTGCCGATCCTCTAGGCGTCCTCAGCCAACCCTTCAGGCGTCCTCGGCCTATCCTTCAGGCGTCCTCGGCCAGCCCTTCAGGCGTCCTCGACCAACCCCCTACTCAGGTGCTCTCCCGCTGCTCCTGCTTCCCTCTCTTGCTTCCCTGCTCACACCCTTTGGACTTCTCACCAGCCACTCGGCGGCTCAAAGGGCATGCGACTGATCGTCGAACTTGAGCCGGTCGCTGATTCGGTAGCGCTTGTGACTCCCGGTGCACTCGCGCTTGTGACTCCCAGTGCACTCGCGCTTGTGACTCCCGGTGCACTCGTGCTCGTTACGCCCGGTGCACTCGCGCCCGTTACTCTAAGTGCACTCGCGCTTGCGCTGACACTGGCGCTACTGGCGAAGGTGAGCATACTATCTCCTCAAAAAGATATTTGACCAGAGACGCACCCCGAGGTCTCTGTCGCCGTCGCGGTCTCTGTGACGAAGATGGTGAAGGTCGGTGCGATGTCTACGCGAGTGAGGACGGCATCGTCGCGCGGAAGGACTGCATCGTCGCGCGGGATGAGGCCCGAGGGTAGGATGCCCGATGGCACCACACCCGAGGGTAAGATACCCGAAGGCAGCACACCCGACGGCAGCATACCCGACGGCAGTATGCCTGGAAGAAGAAGACCATCCGGATTCGCGAACGACGCGAGCGCGGCGGTCGGGAGGGCCCCTCCTGCGGCGCTCACGACTGACGCGAGGGCGCTTTGTACGGGCGCGAGGGCGCTTTCGATGGGTGCGAGAGCGCTATGCACGGGCTCGAGGGCGCTATGCACGGGCTCGAGGGCGCTTTCGATGGGATCGAGCGCACTCTCGATGGGTGCAAGTGCGCTTTGGATCGGCGCGAGCGCACTCTCGACGGGCCCACCGAGCGCACTCTCGACGGGGCCACCGAGGGCGCTTTGCACGGGACCCAGCAAGCTGGTGACCGGCGCGAGAGGCCCAAGCAGGCCCGACACGGGCGCGAGCGCGCTTTCCACTGGCCCAAGGGCACTGTCGATTGGGCCACCTAGGATCGGCGACGCGATCGGGTTTGCGACGTTTTCGATTGGACCGAGGACGCTGTCGGCCGGATCGAGGAGGTCCGAAGGGATGATGCCGTCGACGCTGAGCGGGGCGGGGAGGGGTGCGGCGAAGGTTTGAAGGATTGCAGGCGCGACGAAGATGAGGTAGCTGGTGAACGAGCGTGCGTGCATAGTGTTTTCCAGCGAAATGGAACGAGAAGGAGTGGTGCAAATAGTATACAGTTCCGCCTGTGCCCATGGCTTTTATCGACAGACCCGGAAGAGCGCAAGGAGCGGAAACGCAACTATCTGTTTTCTGGTCCGGGTTATTGGCTTGAAGCGCTACAGTATATTGGCGTGAAGCACGAGGGGTAACTACCGCGGGTGGAGCACTATCCCTGCGGATATGGTAGCGCTTGAGTTCATTGTTGGGCCTCAGATCGTCGCGCTGGTTTACGGCCGAGAGAAGCGTCATGTAGCGAGTCAGAGCCTTCGGAGAAGGACCGACCACCAAAGAATTGCGGCAGAAGTCTACGGCCGCGCATGCACTCGTCGAGTAGTCTCTGAACTGTCCCACCATCACCGTCAGGCGGTGGCGAAATATAGATTGCTGCAACTCAGTTCAAGCCACAGCCCCAGGAGTCCCCTATTATGCGTGCTCCATTCACGTACCAGAACCAGAGGTCTGAGAGTCATTCAGGAGGACATGAATGAAAACGGACATCCCCACACTCCCCCAAAGTCCATAAAGAGTTAACAAAGGGCACCATACGGGGTTAGACCAATATTCAGACCCGGCTTTCCCCGGGCCGGCAACTTCGGCTTTCAACACGAAGTCATGGGGTTGCGACTATTCTCCCCTGGGGCCCTGACGCGTCCACCACTGCGAGGCGGAATACCTGCGCTCTTCTCTGCGGCTGCAGCGCTCAGGAGCAGGCCCGCTTTGTATCTGGCGGAAGGGCGTGCACAAACAGGGAATCCAGGAGAAAGGAGACGGTGAGTAAGATGGAATTTCTGTGGAATCTTCGAGACGAGCGCGTTCTGGACGAGGAGGTTGAGCGTGATAGAGTGGGACGCGCACAGCGTTATCTTGGCCTAGACCTCGCCTTGCGGGGGACTTGTGTGCTGCGAATCCCTCGCGTCTGAACTCTCCTTGCTAGTTAGCACTAACTTGGGTCTTACAATCTTAGACCCCACTGCACGACTCCTTGGCGTCATCATTCGCCACTGCAGTGCCCTTCTTGGCAGTCAATAGCATCCTTCTCTTGCTTCACGCCTTCACGAATACCCTCCTCGAGACGTTTACACTCGACCATGGGCGCCAAATCAAGAACTTCGGTGCGTCTCAATGATCCTCGGCCAACCTCTGTTCTCGAGCCTACACTGAACCAGGGAATAGGACGCGCGAGACGGTCTACTCAAAACCCTTCTCAAGCATCCGGACCCCTCTTTAGATAAGCGTCGGATTGGGAACTGGCTAAGTCGAACGCTCAGTCGGTTGTACCTCCTGCCCCATTGTGAGTTCTCTCATAATTCCGCCGCATTATGTGCAAAGTATCACTTTCCCTTGCACGACGTCGTAAATATTCTGACTGTCCTCGTTTCGCCACGTGTGTCCACCCCAAAGCGGCCAGAGCGGGCGTGCGGGGCTCCGTGGGGTTCCGCGCATAACACGAGCTACAACCGTTTGCACATCAGTTTGCAGTCTCGTGCGCGTGGATTTTGAGCACGTGTGCCTTGATTGTGATGTCCGTCACGGTTGAGAATTAGGTCCTCACTGCGTATACTAGCGCAAGTACTTGAAGAGAGCAGATTCACTAATCCATCAAGAAAATGTATGGTAAAAGGGTTCGTGAACCGCATTATCGAACGTCGTAGAGCCCGACAGCGGCTCTAGACGGGTTGAACACGGGTCACGGTTAGCTTAGTCAGCGTAAATCCGCAGGCACGGAACTGCAAACTGATGTGCAAACGGTTGTATTCGCATTCGCAGCTTGGATGTTAACGGTCCCGTACAGACCTCTTTCCTCGACCGTCTATACCAGCGCCGACAATCCATCTCCGAGCCGGCGAGTTCGTTGGCTCGCTGGATTGTGGCACAACGTAAGCTTCCTTTCCTTCGCTGAGGCGTGTCCGCTTCCTTCCTGGGGCTTACACAAGGCAGTTCCGTCCGCTTCATTGTCTTCAACAAGTACGCCGAGATTGTGGCGCAGCACCAGCTGGAATTTCCGCAATACTTTCCGAACCCTGGGTATGCGCCGTTCATGCGGCGACGATGGCAGCGTACTAACACATATGGGACAGGTGGCACGACCACGACCCAGAAGAAATACTTCATGCCGCGGAAAAGTGCATCGAGGAGGCGACTGCCGCGCTGGAAAGGGCAGGCTGGACTAGGGACAGTATTAAGGCTATAGGTCAGCGCGTCTACGGCGGGCCCTTCAATTATGAAGCTGACTTCATCGACAGGAATTACTAATCAGCGCGAGACAACCGTCGCATGGAGCCGCTCATCGGGAAGGCCCCTCTGCCGCGCCATCGTTTGGACAGACTCGCGGACGCGGAATACTGCGACGCATTATGAACGGCTGATGGACAGTGTGGGCATCGAGGCCAGCCCGGGCGTATACAGGAAGGGCGAGGATGGCAGGGAGTATCTGAAGGAGCTGTACGTCTATTCCCTTTGGACGCAATTGGGGGACGCTAACCGAGTCCTGCTCATTTTAGCACCGGCTTACCATTGTCTACCTACTTCTCGGCGATCAAGCTGCGATGGATGATCGACCACTACCCGCGGGTACATGTCGCCCACGAGACGGATGATCTCCTGTTCGGTACCCTGGAGTCATGGTTGGTCTACGTACGCGAGCTCTCGCTAATTCCTCCAGCACCATAACTGAGCACATTCCACAGAAACTCACCGCGCCCCGTATACACATCAGCGACGTGTCGAACGCAGCACGGACACTTCTGCTCGACATTCAGAAGCTCCAATGGTCGCCCGCGCTCCTGTCCTTCTTCCGCATCCGCCCCTCCGTGCTGCCCAAGCTCGTCTCTTCCTCAGAGGTGTATGGCACCATCTCGTCAGGACCACTCGCTGGCGTGCCCATCGCTGGGCTCATCGGCGACCAGCAGGGTGCGCTCGTAGGCAATCAGTGCTTGACGCGAGGGCAGGCGAAGTGCACGTACGGCACGGGCGCGTTCCTGCTGTTCTGCACGGGCGAGGAATGCATCACAAAGGGGACTGGCGGGCTTGTGAGCACTATCGCCTACCAAGCTGGGCCGGACGCGAAGCCAGTCTATGCCCTCGAGGGCAGCAGTAAGTGTCAGATATCTACCTTTCGTCAAGCCGTCGATCTGACCCCTCTGCCGCAGTCGCCGTCGCCGGCAGTGCCATCAAGTGGCTTCGCGACTCCATGGGGCTCATCCAGTCCTCCGAAGAGGTCAACGCCCTCGCCGCGCGCGTCCCCGACACCGGCGGCCTCTACTTCGTCACCGCCTTCTCCGGGCTGCTCGCGCCGTACTGGGACCCGACCGCCGCCGGGCTCCTCATCGGCCTCTCGCAATGCACCACGCCCGCCCACATCGCCCGCGCCGCGCTCGAGGCCATCGCCTTCCAGACGCGCGCCATCCTCGACACCATGCGCGCGCGCTCGGGCATGACGCTCGCGCGCGCGCTCCGCGTCGACGGCGGCGTGACGAACGGGGACTCGGCGATGCAGGTGCTGGGCGATATCGGCGGCTTCGCGGTCGAGCGCCCGGAGATGCGCGAGAGCACGGCGCTGGGCGCGGCGCTGCTGGCGGGGGCGGCGGTGAGGCTGTGGGGGTGGGATTTGGGGCGGCCGGAGACGCTGAAGGAGGTGAATACGGCGGGGAGCAGGGTGTTTGAGCCGAAGATGCGGAAGCATGTGCGCGAGGCGAAGTGGGCGGGGTGGAATAGGGCGGTGGAGAGGAGTAAGGGTTGGGAAGAGACAAAGGATGAGGAGTAATACTGGGATTTGGGCATTGGGAATTTACTATACCTCGGGTAATTTGGAACGAATAATGGGGATACTACAGTAGACACTGCATACCTTCATACGTAGCTCACCACTGCAATACTTCAGACACTCTTATGCGCAGATATACGAGCGTCTTCATGAATGACATTCAGAAGGCGGAGTAATACAACATTGTCATGAGGGGCATCCCGATGTCCCGAATAGTCATAACTTGGCCTCTCGCACAACCTTTAGTCGCCCTCGCAGGAGACGAAGTTGTTGCCGGAGGCGCCGGTGTGGGTGACAACGCTGATGAAGGAGTGAGCAACAGTAGGATGTGGCCAGAACTTGGGATCACGTACGCGCAGTAGTCACCGTTGTCGGCGAAGATGACGCGGTCCGCGCCAGGCGAGTCGCCATCATAGTCGCCCGACTTCAGGATGGGGAACTCGCTGTAGTCCGAGTCGCCGCTGCAGTACAAGTCCAGGCCCTCGTAGTTGTGAAAACTGGGGGATAGTAGGGGTACGTGTCAGACGAAAGGCCGGCGCTAGAACGAAGAAGAGCAGGCTACTAACGCATGCGGGTACGAGTTGTCGCCGATCGGGTTGTCCAAGTGGTCGACGCCGTTCTGCACGGCGGCCTTCACCTCGTCGACCGAGTAGGTGTTGCTGCCGCAGGTGACGTCGCCCGAGGGATACGCGCGCTGGTGCACGACGGCAGCGGACGCGACCGCGGCGAGGGAGAGGAGGGTGGCAGCGAGCATGACGAAGAACGAGTCGAGGGAAGGACAAGGCCGAGCGAGGGCGAGTGCGGGGAGAGCGCTGAACTTCGACGTCGTCAGGTGGGGGTTATATACCTTCGCGGTGGTCGCTGTCGGCGTGACCGCGTGCGCGGGGCCCACGCGCACGTTGCTGGTGGCTTATCGCCCGGCGGCGGCGCACATGAGAGCGTGTCGGGGACGCACATGAGGGCTGCAAGAGAGCATGTCGGCAGCACGCGGGGGTGCAGGCTTGAGGGGCACGCGGAGGGAGGCGTTGCATCGTGAAACGGAAGCCCGAGCGCAGCGTCGTGCCCGCGCTCCGCAGAGGCGTGATCACCGGTATGGTTCAATTGGGACGGCGGAAGGCGAGAGCTTCGCCAGTCGGACTTGCTATGGAGGTCTGTCCGAGAACTCGGAAGTCTAATCGAAGGAAGGTGGCAAAGTGAGCCCAACGAGAGATCGCCTTTAGGGAGAATTAGGGAGAATTAGCAGCGTTGCTGCCTCCATGGTCTGCGAATACATCGGCTGACCGTGATCGCTGTGCCCAAATTAGCAAGATTCGAATGGAATTCCATTCTTGGGACAATACCAGCTTCCCGCCGATGTGGTCTGGCATGCGGGGAAGTATGGGACCGTTATTAATGTTCTTTCGATCCGGTACTTGACAAGGTAATCTGTGACGCTGAAGCCCGAAGAAATGAGAGAGCAGATGGCGATAACACTTCGGAGACGTGAACTGCTGCTGCGGGTTAGGTTGAGCATGCGGTAGAGTCAATATGCTTCACGAGATTGGAAGCGGTTGACGTATCGGCTGGCTGACGACAGGTTCGACACCCTTCTGGTATATGAAGTGATCCCAAGCGGCTGGGTGATTTTCTTTTGCCTTTGATATTGGGATCACTATATGACTTTTCAGACTGCGATGGATGGAAGACATGAGGGCCAGAGGCAAGGCAAGGTCGGTCAGTCGTCCCGTGCCACTAATAACCAAATCGGGACAATTTCGCACGGTTCTCCGAGGCGAGCAAGCGCGACAAGACGTACGCCAGAAAAACTACGAAGAGCGTACAGTGAAACTTCTGAGTCGCCCTCAAGGCAACTAAGGAGCGATACAGGACATTAGACCATCTGCGGAGGGAGGTTATGCCCAGGAACGCTCTCAGAAGTCACGATCTCAGCCCGACGCTGAGGCTGGTCTTCGCGACTATGCCGAGCGTATAGATACTAGGTAAGCGCCTTCCTGAGCTGCATCAAGAGCTATCTTGACACTCACGACAATGAAGACACTGTGGGCTGTATTAGTGAACATAAGATGGAGTGAACTTCGCGGTCCTCCTCCACTGGCAAGGACGCGACCCAAGGTCCGCGCGTACAGCATCGCACTGCAGAAAGCTTCCTCTTTCAGTCTTTTACAGATGTAGGCGACAAGGTGCGCCTATTCATGGTACTTGTGCTTCGAAGTCGTGCGCGTGGATCATTCAAACTCCCCCGCTATCGAGCCTTTTGATGGGTATCCTGAGCGCTGGCAAGGCGCTCTGGTATGTTAAGACCTGCCATAGCGAAGGCGATGTCGGTAGGTGCAGTGCCACACACAGGTCAAGAAGGCGGCTCCCTTGTATTCTGGAGACCGAACGCCTGGACCGTTGTCACGCAGGCCGTTGCTGGCAGATTTCGCATACAGCTTCGCGTCCGAGACGATCGGCGATGTTCGAAAGAGACCCATCATGAAAGACTGACGCAGGCGCCGGTGAGCCTTTATCTCTATGTGCTGGCTTCATATCTCTGACAGGCTAAGCATAGAGACCCGCGGTTGCAGAATATAGATGCGAGCTATTGTGACGATTCTGGAAAGGTGGACAGCCTTCGTGCGCAGCGGAATCACAGGACTTGTGTTTTCCCACCTCAGCAGCTTTGTGACCGTGCCGATCGACAGATATGACATCTGCTGTCGAAGGGCAACGACAGCACTGGATTAGTGACTGTGGCAATTCACCGAGTGCGAATCTTGTCTGTCGCGAAAAACCTTGCACTTATGGGTGTCTTCGATGGACCTTAGGTCGTAGGCAAGCTACTCTGCCATGGCTCCCTCGATGCGCGGGTGTGAAAAAGACCGCAAGCACAGCCGAACGACATAAACAAGAATACGACGCCACATGAAATGGGGAATGCGCCCGAGACCAGCGCCAGGGCCGCTTCAGAATATTCGGCACGTGAGGGCCCGACGCGACTTGCCACCGCCCGCTTTGTCGCGTCCCACGCTTGAACCGCCACTCTCATCTTGACCCAACCGCCCACATATCGACCAACCCATACTCACTTCATATCCGCTCTTCCCGCGAGTCGAAGGAATCTAGAGCCTATCCGAGAGATACAGGCGTGTATTTGACGCACATAGAGCGCTGTGGACAGACAATACAACGTGCGTGTTCCGTTTGTCTGGTGTTGGCATTTTGTTCATCTCCGTTCTTCATTAAACACAGATGTATACGCGGGGATACTTTGCTCCCCAGCCGTACTGGACACGTCCAGCGCGTTCGCCACCCGCTGTTGCACCCCGCCGTCAGGCGACACCCACAATTCCCAACAGAGGGATTGTTGCCACTCAACATACACCTGTCCCAGCCACTTCCAAAACCGCCCAGACCTCTCGTCGGTACGATGATGACGACGATTCCTCTGACAGCGATTCCTCCGAGGACGAGGACGGAGGCTGCGATGCGAATGGCCGGCCCGACCAGAACGGCGAGGCGACGAATGACGCTGCTGAAGCTGACAGCGAGCGTGAGGAAGATAGTGATGATGAAGACGAGGACGAGGCCGCGCAGGCTCTCGACGGCGACGAAGCGTCGAGGGCCGCCGATGCCACGGGGCCCGCGCTGCAAGCCACCGAGGATGCTATGCCCGATGATGACCTCGAAGCCGTGCTCGAGCGCGAGCTCAGCCAATCTCTTGATCGTGCTGAAGACGAGTCCGATGAAGGCGAATGGGAAGAAGCGACCATTCCCGAAACTACGTGCTTGACTCTGACCTCCGCTGATTCGCAATCCTCGCCGTGCAATCTAAATGTTCCTACACCCGACACGAATGGTCCTGTGTCGGTCTCCAGTCCTTTGTCGACGAGCGACCAAACACAATGTCCTGGAGGGTGTCCCTCTCTTGCACCTGGGAAGTCAAGCGCTTCACCGGCATCGAACAGCATACACTCGTCGCCTATCACTCCGCCAAAAGAGACTACTACCGCGGAAAAGCATCGATCCGAGAAGCCAGAAGGCCAGAGCAGACGCGTCAAGGTCCTTGCTGAGAGGAAGCGGCGGCGTCAGACACCTACTGCCTCAGCATCTACCTCCGAAGCAGAGTCGTCTTCGCCATCTACGCCGCCGACCGGCAACTTGACTCCACTCTGCCCCTACGGCGACTACCCCTCTTGCGGCGGACGATGCAGCAAAGACCTCACCCCCGCAGAAGCCGGCCCTATTCATGGAACCATGCGAAGGGTCAAGAACTTTTCACATCTCAAATTTTATCGAGTCGTGGAAGTCACCTACGACTGGCAGAAGAGACCAACTCATTCGTATATCCACGTTCATGATCCCAAAGGAGACCGTTATACGGCGAATGACATCAAGGAATGGGGATTCACGGCCGGTGCCGACCCTGAACTGATAGCGAAGCTCAAGGGCGAAGCGGAGGAGCAGGCGAAGAAGTCGAGGTGAGTCTTATAGCTCGCTCTCGATCTTCACGGACTGACTTGACGGTCTGCAGCAGCCCTCCCGCTGTGGCGATCGAGGTCGTATGCCACAGCACGCCGACATGCACCTCATCAACGGGGTCTGTACTCGGAAGCTCAGCCACCGATGTCATCGATCTCACGTGTGACGGGGAGGACAATGCACCAAGCGTACCTACGCGGCAATCCTCGCCGCGCAAAACGAGGAGACCGCGCGTACAAGCTTCGTCTTTGACGTCCTCAGACGCAGGGCCCTCGGGAGCAACTGCCGCATCCCAAACTCGCAATGCCCCTCGGCAATCCTCTTTCGCGAAGCCCCGAAATGGCAATAGCTCTACGCCGGCGCCTGCTCAATCATACTCGCCTTACGCCCCGTCGTTTCCCAACACCACTCAGGCTACTCAGCTTGCGCCTACCTCACTCATCAACCTTGTGGCTGCTTCGGCTATCTCTTACGCGCCACCGCGACTTCGGGGCGCATATGGCTCGCTCATGTCTACCGAAACTTTGGTGCATAAAGCGTTCGCAACGGACTCGAAGTCTGCTACCACCCACTCGCCTGTAGCCACTGCGTCGGGTACTCAGGCAAACCCCTGGACGTCGAGCCTTTGGCTCCCACCAACTCAAGCTCAGACCAGCAGTCAGCCTCATCTCCCGCCTGTGCCGCCGCCATCCGTCGTGCCTCAGATTCAGAGTCCGGTGCCCGATTATCAAGTCGGACGATCACATCAGAAGCAGAGCTCTTCGCAATCGCATCCTGGTCATCTGGCGAGCGGGCAATTGACTACAGACAGCCGCCGCCCTCAGACGACGCGGTCCGCTTCCGCTGAACAGACCTCTCAGCCGATCAAGGCGAGGGTGAGTGCGAACATGGCAGCGCAAGTACGCACAGCTCCGGCGTCGCGCTGTGGCACCCCTCGACTGAAGGCGCAGCACTCGTTTACCCTTTCTGGTGTCGGACCTCTGACATCTGCTGGCCAACCACTTCCTGCGCTAACGAGCGAGCCTTCGTCGTCTGCGCCCCAGTACTACCAGCCGCAATGGAGTGCATATCAACAGCGACAATTTACCACCGAAGCGCCCACGCCCATTTCGAGATGGGGGCAAGCACGCGGCCCTGGTTATCACTCGAGTGCTGCCCCACCCGCGACGTGTTCCGCGGCTGCCTACGGCTACAGCCACTATGCTGTCGCGCCAATTTCTGGTCAGAAGCGCAAGAACGAGGACGCGCACGCGCGCAATTCCAGGCGGACGAAGTGGTGATTGCTACAGTCCTGAAGACATCGTCGAATGGTCCGGCGGAACTCTCAAGTATCGTTCGTCTTATCACCCTCATCATTGTACTTATACCCATGACATTTGCAACCTCAACTAATTACAATTGTGGAAAGTCAGCATCTGTTACCTTTTGACTGTGATCCTGTTCTATCGTCGACACCCAGTGTGAATTCTCTGACGACCTCGCAACAGCATACGTATGCAAGGTAAGACGATGCAGTACTTGACGCGTCTCCTCCATAAAGTCAACGCGCCTGAACAATGAGCGTTCGAGCTTCGATTTCCGGTCATAGCCTCTCAGTGCGGAGGACTCGATCTCGTGCCAGTCATTGAACCATTTCATCACACGCAGAGCATCGCGCAGAACAAAATTCGACAGCAAATATACTCCATCGATCGCCGGACTATACAAAGTCTGTCCAGAGTCTAATGATACAGGATGCTCGGGGCACGTATGGAAATCGGAATTAACTCTGTTGGTGGACTTCGTATGCGCCGTTGCGATGTTAACTTGGCCGCGTAAGTCTAGCTGAGATTTAGCTTCAGCATATGCTTACATAGTGACTCGAGAGGAAAATGTACTAGCATATAGATTTCATTGAGTATGACCGGCGAACGCAGCTCGCGTGGACCCTTGAGAAATTTCCGTCACCTGTATTGCACGGGCACGGACATGCCTAGATGCGAGCGTGCGATATGCGCGGCGAGCTGGAATTCGCCCGGCTGCCCAGCCGTTATAGGCGTCGAGCACCGGCGAGCGCTTCGGGACTTGTCCAGTAGAGCACGGCACCTATACCTTGCTGTGGGATTGGCAGTCAGCTCCGTGGGCGGGGCGTGCGCGTGCAAGATGTGCGACTGGAGGCGACAGAGAAACTCGCGGAGGTCGTTGCCGGAGATCTCTGCATTGCACGCCCTCTTGTACTGTGTGTCCGCCCATGGGCATTCTCTCTTGATTTCGGCGACGCCGTTCGCCTGACTGAGCGCATCTGCTTCGACGCAGTATGCTTCAGGCGGATACAATGGAGGAAGGAGTGGCGACGGTCCAGCACTCTTCTTCGTTGGACGTTTCCCAATTTTGAAGCCACCACTCTTGTAACCTAGCGGAGGAGCAGGCGCAGCATCGAGCAGAATGGGGCGATAAGATGCCTGTGTGTAGTTCCAAGGGCTCGAAGGACTTCCGGCTCTGGCGAGAAAGCGGTTGGAGGGACTCTGCTCCACTATAGGAGCAGGAGCCGGCACTGGAGGTACGCGAGAAGGACCTGGATACGCGGAGAAACTACCGAGGGGAGGAGGTGCGTCGAGGTCGGATGAGAGCGAGCGCTTGTCGTCGTCTACAGGATACGACTCCCCGGAAACGACTGACCAGGAGACTTGGGGGGCACGCGCAGGTGGATGGTCGTCTTCGTTCTCGCTCTCGAGCACGGTAGCAGCATCATCGACGTCGGATGCGGGAGGGCATACCGTCGCAGTGTATTCCGAGTCGCTGAAATCGCCCGCATCGCTTTGCGATCCAAACTTCTCCCCCGAGATAGAGCTCGCGACATCGAGGGAGCCGTAGGCGTCGATGGACCAGTCCATGTCGGGGTCGTCGTCTGAGTCCGTCGAGTGGCCCATGTCGCTGGGTCCGTCCGGCTCCGATGCTAAGTTTTCCGAAACACTCACTTGAGGACCTGAGAGCCGAGCCCTCTGCGTATGGGTGCCAGTCGTCAATCCCTGCGCGTTCACTTCGAAGCCTGAGTCTTCACCACTCCCAGGCCCGACGGCTTCCTTGGCACAGGCAGTGACCATCAGCCGCTGAGGAGACATCTGTCTAAATTCCCTATCCACCGCCCTTCTCTTGCGAACAGGCGATGATTGCGACGGACTCAATCGTGAGTTCGAGCCATCCTCTGAGTGCGACGAGGGTCGTGCCCGCTTCTGCACTGCGTGGATCACTGATGGCGGAGCTTGAGGATTTGTGGGCGGTTCCCCGGTAGGGGCAGAGGATTGCGTTAAGCTGCACACTGAAGTGGTGGCGCGCCGTTCTCGAACGACAATTTGCGGCGGGTGTTCAGTGGCGGCACTGCGAAGGAATGCGCGTCGCAGCAGAGCGTCAAAAGAGCGGTCAGCCTCAGAGGGCGAAGTCGCGTGATATCCACCTGCGTCGTTCATGGTGGGCTATGGCAAGGATCAGTCTGCCACTTTTTCAGCGTCACGCCAGGTTTATAAGACGTGAGCGAACCGTCGCTAGTCCCAGGTTCATTGAGCGCTAAAAGGAGCGCGTTGAGAGCTATACAGTGAATGAGTATAGCACAAAGAATGGTGAGACAGAGCCACAGTCGAACACGATGCTCGTCAAAGGTGACCGTAGCGGCAACAGCCGAACAACCGGGAGTAATTCTGCGTCGGCAAACTCCGACATCATTTCCCGCGGCTCTGCGGCGTTGCCCTCCTCATCCGCGCCGCCATCTCAGCGCTCAAGATCTCTGTTTTCAGCTGACTATCTCGCCTGGAATGTACTCCTCGTGCTGAATCCGACTTAGTTGTCCCACCTATGAGAGGCAGCATCTGGAATTGTCTAGGTTCAGGCTTACCTTTGGGCGAGGAAGTCAAGCATCGGGCTTCGTCGTTTGGCCGACATTCATTAAGGAGCGGAACAAGGTAAATGGAAAGAAGCGACACTGAATACAAGACGATCTCGCCGATTTCACTTTCCCTTGTTCCTGGAAGCAAGCGCTCACAATCACAGCATGCGCGCACCCTAGACTGAAGGCGCAACATTTCTCTGACGCTGGACCTCTGACTTCTGCCGGCCAACCGCTTCCCGCGCTACCGAGCGAATCATCGCCCTCTGCGACCCGGTATCAGCCGCAATGGAGTACTTCTCAACAGCGACCTAGCGCGACCGCAGCGGCTCCGCCAACCTCGCAATGGCCGCAAGCACGCGGTCCTGCGTACTCGAATGCTGCCCCGACGGCGTCCTCTTCCGCTGCTGTCTATGGCAACTACCCCTACGCCATCACGTCTACCGCTGGCCAAAAGCGCAAGAACGAGGACGCGCACGAGCGCAATCCCAGGCGGGCGAGGTGGTAATGTGTTTACGGTCCTGAATGGTATACCCAAGTGAAGGCCGAGGAGTGTTCTGGCGGATTTCTCATGATTCATCATTGCATAACCGTGACCTATCTACCTTGACTAATTATCATTGTGGTGCTCTTCAGAGCTCAATGTCTGTTCATATTCGAATGCGATACTGTTCCGTTGCCTATACTCAGTTTGGGTTCTCAATGCTCATGACATCGCAACAGCATATGGATATTGCATGGTAAGAGGATACAGTTCTTGACGCACCTCCTTCGTAAGTTACATTTCACGCACCTGAACAATGGACTTCTGAACTCAAAACTTTTGGTCATGGTCACGCAGGTAACCGTTTTACCATACGCAGAGCATCGCGCATCGCAGAATCCGACAGCAAATATACTCCATCGATCGCCGTACTATACAAAGTCTGTCCGGAGCCGTATGCTAGATCGAGAGGGCGCACATAATCGGTATCAGAACTCACACCTACCAGTGGCATACGCTAGACATCCAGGACCATGAGTGTCAACACAACCACCCCACGCATGCTAGGACTCGTCCACCTCCATGCTCGAATCCGCCTCGCGCTCCTCGCCACTCCCTGAGTCTCCCGACAACGGCGACCGCCCGTTTGGTGCGCTGTCCAGAGACGCGCGGCCGCGATGTCTGAGCTCGCTCTGCTCCGAGCTGCGTTGGCGGAGATTGCCATCGGAGACAACTGGTCTGGGCGTGGGGTACAGGACCTTGCCTACGGGCGTGCCGTTCGCGCGACCCTCCTTCTTGGCGCGCCGCGATGCGTTGAAGTGACCACACCTCGGGCAGAGGTATTCTGGAGGAGCAAGGTCAGCACGACACGCGATGACAAGACAGCAGAAGTGCACGCACGAGCTTCGTCAAACATGCTCTCCTTCACAAGGCCGTTGTGCGCGAAGCACTTCTCGCAGATGAGGGCGTAGCGCGACGCGGCGCCGGTGGGGTCGCCGTCTTCGCCGAGGATCGCGTCCGCGAGCTTGTCATACCACATCTTCCTGGGTGGGCCGGTGGGCATGGGTGGGGGCATGGCGAGCTGCGAGCGCAGCGCAGGGGACGGGGGAGCGCCGACCGGCGTCATGCCTGGGCTCGGGCCTAGCGGTCCGGGACGGCGCTGGGGAGTTTGAGGCAGGGAGGGTGGCGCGGCGCGCGCTGGGGTGCCCTGCGGCGTCTGGTTGCTCTCGTCGTACTTCTGGATGAGGTCGCGCGTGGAGTAGTAGTTCGTCTTCTTCTTGACCTCCTCGATTTTCGCGCGCTGCTGCTTCAAAAGCGCCTGCAGCTGCTTCTCTGCGCGTCCGATCAGCTGTGGCGCGCGTCATAAGGTCGAGCCACGCACCCTCCTTCGCCTCCTTGGTCTCGTATCTCCAGATCATTATGCGCCGGATGAGGAGGATGCTGTGCAGGAGCGTCAGTCGCGCCTCATGCCCACAGCAAGGCGATCACGCACAGCAGCGGCCCCAGGAGCACTGGCACGGACTCGAGCCCGCGTTCCCACTTGCTGTTTGGCCCCCTCCCGCTGAAGCTGGGCAGAAGCGCCATGTACCACGCGCTCACGTAGGCTGCCCAGCCCGCGAGCGTCCACATTGTCACCAGCAGTGTTGTTCGCCGCTCGCGCAGGCGGATCTCGGAGAGCTTGACCTGGCGCTTCTGGATGTCATTCGCTAGATTAGAGAGGATAGTTTCGTAGTCTTCTTCCTTGGTCTGAATGACATTGTGTTAGCTCTGATGTTCGGTGTGCATAGGTAAGTAGAGCTCACCGAGCCGAAGAGACGCGTCCAGAGCGCCATTTCCGGTCGAGATAATATACAGCTGCACTCCCGAGATGGAGTACTGGAAATACGCGTGGGTAGGTGCAAATGAGTGGCGGTCGAGGACAAGATGTGTGACACTGACGTCACGTTCAGCCACCACGTCACGTCGGCAATTGCCGAAAGCTGGACACACAGGGACCTACAAAAGCAATGTTCGGGTCGTTCCTGATGCTCGGATAATTTGGCCTTGCGTGCACTAGAGCGCGTCTGCCTAGGATTTTACACAAAAGTTACAGAAAAAGCAATGTTCTTTCACGAAAATCCTGTACGAAGCACAATGATATCCACGATGATCTCATTGTTTTTGGAGAATGTTATAGTGACGAAGTCAGCGGGGGACTGGCTCTATAGCGTCTCGTATCTCTTATGCGCCTCCAGAGCGTGGCGGGATGGGTCCTCACAGGGGCCGCTGACCTCCCTGAGCGATCTGGAGGGCAAGAGCGCAACTCTCGTTGCGGGGCGCGAGCGGGAGAGACTCACCGTGGGTCTCGATGTCATTTCGAGGTGGAAATTCTTTGGGGCCTTCGAAAGATTTCACGCGTTCTCAAAGACTTTATGGACAATCCTACTCGGCGTTGAATTTGAAATAGCGCCTAAAAATCCTGGCAGACGCGCTCTACTGTCGCGAAAGAGTATCCACACCTCTGTGGCTTATATGCTTTATTTGATGTTTGGTCTGCTCAAGCAAAGACGCCGGCATATACCGAGGCCATGTGTTGTCTGACTTCACACTGCCGACACCACGCGTCACCCTCCTCTTCCGACTCTCACCGCCTTCCCGTTTAAAGGCCGCGAGGCGAAGGTATATATCTCTCAGAACTCAGTCAGAAGACCCGCTGATACGGCTAAACGCCGATAAGAACGTCTGCTTTCATGGCGAGCATCGTCACCCGCCTTGGCGCACCCACCGCCGCCGCCCTCGGGTTGGGCCTCACGGCCTCGGGCTACTTCACCTTCGCCAACTACGGCACCGCAAGCTTTGGTGTCATGCCCGCCATTACGCCTGGGCGGGACAGCGTGCGTGTGGAAGCAGGCAAGGCCGTCGAACTGTGGGCTTTTTTCTACGAGAGGGCCGCCGTGAGCAGTATTCGATGATGATACGCTTCTCATCTCTGATGCATTCTTCGTAATCAGGTTCACTTTGTATCCTCCATCCTCGCCGCGGGGACGTCTTACCTCGCGGCCGGCTACCTTTACGCGGGTCCCGCGCGCCACGTGAAGGGCATGCTTGTCGGCGCAGGCGCCGTCATCTTCAGTGTTCTACCTTACACGCTCAAACTCAGTGAGTAGTATTTAAATATTCCGCCTCACGCTTTTCGATTTATTCGGCTTTACTGACCACGCGCACTCAGTGCTGCCCATCAACAATGAGCTGCTTGCGACGCGGGACAGCGTGCGCGCAACGAATCGCGAGCTCACCATCGACGAGGCGGAGGCGAGCTGGGGCCGCCTCGGAACGTGGAATCGCCTGCATGTGTACCGCATGATCGCCGGTGCGACTTCGTATGCCTTGGGTCTTGCAGCAGTGCTGCAGATCTGAGGAGCTCCTTCGTCGGGAACCCTCGCCCTCCTCGAGTAGAATCTCATTGTTGTATTTATATCACGGCATGTTTGCACGAACTTTGACTCCAATCCATACTTGTATTTCACGTACACGATCCACAATGCATTGCAGTTACATCACCTTGATACAAAACATTTACCTGTGCACATAGTGAAGACAGTCAAGCGCATCACACAGGCGAATCCCCCGGCACGCTCAGCGTCGTGCTCGTCCCCTCCGAGCTCCCATTCGACGCCGCCACGACATGCGACCCGCGCTTGAGGTCTCTCCCCGACGGCGCCCTAATAGATATGGGGCTCAACCCCGGCGTGTCGCTTATCGGGCTCTTGCTCGACGATGTCTCTCCCTGGGTCTCAACGCCGTCGTACTTGCTCATCGTCGGCACATAGCCGCTTGTCGTGATACCGGTCGTCGTCTCGTCGCGCTTCTCCCGCGTCGCAGCCTTGAAGTGCAGCGACTCGTCGACCTCGGGAGCGATCCAGTTCGTGCGCTCGCGCTGCACGAGGTAGACTATGCTCGTCGGGTAGAGGCCCTGATTATAGATTATTAATCAGTATCAGGAGGGAGATACGCGCGAACACCCTTGGGCGGCAGCTTACCACGACCTGATAGCGGATCGAATTGAAGATGTTCGTCATGAAGTACGAAGGAGAGGCCAAGCCCTGCACGAAGGGGAAGTAGGTGAAGCTGCATGCGGCCTACAATCCTTACATGAGCGTGCAGCTCAGTGCCCTGTCAAGACGCAGGCTCACTCACCCAGAATATGAGGTATACGAAGCCGGACTCGATGAGCAGAAGCATGACCTTCTGCGCGGCCGTGCGACGTGGCTTCCCAGAACCTGACATCGACGTCGGTCGCGCTCTAAAGGCGCCGCGGTGTTGCCTGATGAGGCGATCAGTATGCTACTTTCTTTGGTCGGCGTGACGGCCAATGCGCACCATGCCTTCGCCGCGATAAAGCCGGTTGCAATGAGATTGGTCGAGAAGGAGAGCAGGAACATCGCGCGCTGCGACTCGTTGCAGCTAAATTCATATCAACTTGCATTCGCGATGGAGAACACGCTGCTACGCACTGCTTAGCCTGTGTCCCAGCGATATACCACCACTCTGATTGGCCTTCGCATCCCAAAAAGTATAAGTAGACGGCTGGAGAGATGCGAAATCAGCAGAAGCTCGGTCGTCTTTTGAGCTAGGAACTCACCCAAGTCTCCGAGAAGCGGGAGTAACATGATCGCCATACATATCCAGCTGTACCCCCACAGTGCCGCTCCGCGCCAAACTACGACGCCGTCGCCGATCATGAACTGGATTCACACAATCAGCAGAGGCATAAATGAGTGATGAGGCTGAGGACACACTTCGAAGGAGAATATCGCAGCTTGCGCCAGTGTGCGGTCGTTCGCGCCCTTGAAGCTATACCACGCGGTCGGGTCTTGGAAGGCGCCGCGCGTCTCGAGGAGGATTCCCTCGAACTGACATATTGTTAGTACTGTAGATAAAGGGGAGGGTCCGGAAGGACGTACGAGACCCATGGTGTTGATGACTTCGAGCAGCAAACATACGCTCGACATGATAAACATCATAATCGTGGTCACCATGAGCGCGATCCATGGCCGGCTGCGCGGACGGCGCTCTCTGGAGAGGCGTGGTTAGTGTATCCGTTCAACCAACGAGTACTGGAGCGTGCGCGCTCACAAGATCGCACGAATTGTTGGAGGGAATAGTAGCGCATATACGCCTACCATCCGAGATCAGGTCAGACTCGCTTAGAAATAAAATCGATTTACTCACCGTACAAGATACATTGCAAGACCAGCCCTGTCGTCGAGGGCTCTGTCTCTTGTGCCAGCACCGCCAGGTTCTGACTGACCGTTACGTTCGTGCTCATCTCGTACAGTGTCGTGTCAACAATACACCCCCGCAGAGAGGGACAGAGCTAGGGCGCCGCAAGCCCGGCGTCCGGTCCTTTAAAAGCAGCAGCCAGAAGCCTGAGACGTTCCTGCGAGCGCCCGAGGCGCAAGGACATCAACATACACAGTGCGTATGCATGCAGCTGATACGGCGATATGGCAAGCCAGAGGGGAAAGGCCCTCCCTCCGGCGCGTTCGAGATCTGCCCGATAACCGGCACGCCCGCCCGGCAGGCGTCCTTCGAAAACACGATGGGCAGGCGAAGACACCTCCGGCGAGAAAAGGAAGGAGATGAGTTGCACGGAGCGCGTGCAGTCTGTCACCCGCGGCTTCGGGGTGAGAGTTGGGGGTAGTGGCACGGGCGCTAGAGGTGATCAGCGGGTGTGCGCATGCTGTGATTGTGAGCGCTTGCTTCCAGGAACGAGGGAAAGTGGAATCGGCGAGATCGTCTTGTATTTAGTGTCGCTTCTTTCCATTTACCTTGTTCCGCTCCTTAATGAATGACGGCCAACCGACGAAGCTCAATGCTTGACTTCCTCGCCCAAAGGTAAGCTTGAACCTGAACCATTCCAGATGCTGCCTCTTGACGGTGGGAGAGTTGAATCGAGTTGACCACAAGGCATACATTCTAGGCGAAAGAGCCTGCTGAATTCAGAGATCTTGAGCGCTGAGATGGCGGCGCGGATGAAGAGGGCAACGCCGCATAGCCGTGGGAAATGATTACGGAGTTTGCCGAATTGAAAATTACTCCCGGTTGTTCGGCTTTTGCCGCTGCAGGCCGCCTTTGACCACCATAACCCAGTTGAATCGTGCATTTACCGTCGACGGTGCTTATCGTCATTCTTGCAGGTCTCTCTGTATCCCTGCCATTGAGCTCGCTATCTCCGTATCCCACTTTTCGAGGATCCCTATAACCCTCGCCTGCTGTTCAGTAAGTGGCAAGCTGCCCCTTGCTGCACAACATGAGCGACTTCACTGCCGAGAATCAAAGAGCACCCTCTACTTCGGCTGACCGCACCTTCGATGCTTTGATTCAACGCGCGTCTCTTCGCATCGGACGCAATCTCGGCGTCGTCCAGCATGCTAGTGATACCGAACGGCTCGGCAATCCAGCTTCAGGCGACACCGCTCCTCCCCGATCCTTCACTCTATCCGAGGAGCAGGCTGCGTCTCAGTCTGCGTCGCCTATATGCGTGCCCCAAAAGCGAGAGTCAACATCATCGCTCTCGGTGGACGGCCCAAACTCGAAGCGGTGTCCCTCGCGTTCGCCACCGCCCTTGCAGAAATCATACAGTGCCAAAGACACTCAGCGAGCTGAGGGGCCCGGAAAGGGGCTGCACTCTGACTTGTGTCCCTTTATGGATGTGACGGAATCGCCAACTGGCGTCCGCAAACCGAAGGCTCAACGTGATCAACGCATGGGACTTCCACTGGGGTCTTTGAGCGACTCGGCGTCGACGATGACCCGACATGAGGAGAAGTCCGTTTCGCATGACTCGGAAGAGGACTCAGATATGGACTGGTCGATCGATGCCTATGGTTCTACCTCCATCGAGGACTCCTCGATCGTGGATGACTCGGAAACACAAAGCGACGGGGTCGACTTCAGGGACCGAGACTCCACCGGGGCGGAAGGTTGCGAGACTACTGCGCTCATGAGCGATGCAGGGATCGACTCGTCCTCCAATGATGTTTCTCGCGACGTCGCAGGCCCCTCGCACGTTCTTCTCTATCCCAACCTCGCAATCTTTCCTTATGCCTACGGCCCCTACACCTTCATCCCACTCACGGTCTCTCCGGCAAATGTCGTACATTCGAACGATGCTACTGTTATTAGGAAACTCTGCCCTTGGGCTCTGGACAACGGTCATCGGGGGAAAGGACAGTGTTGCAACGTAGAGGTCTCTGGCGACGGCCTTCGCGACTTCATGCAGCGGCTTCAGGGCCATATACAGACAGCGCACAATCCACCGATAGGAGAGAAAGATGGTGCGCAGCGCTACCTGTGCCGTGCGATCCTCGAAACTCCAGGCAAGACTTTGTGCCGTTCGCGAATAACGACCGGATTTCCTTACCAGTGCCGACTCGCTGGGCACATTGCTCGCGAGCATCTTGGAATGCAGGTGCCTCGGGATTTTAATCCTTACGCGGCGGAGTGCTCCTCTGTCTGAGTGACACGCGAGCTGCACGATAGTCATAGGCCCTCGACATGATTGATACACTGGTACGTGCACGTCCAGATTAGTCTGTCTATCAGTGCTGATCTCCTTTGACGAATTTCAGGCTAGCGACGGGCCTCATTTGCCCCTTCGCAGTATGTGTAGACCGCTGTATGTTCTCTTCCCACAGTCAGCTTCGTACTGCATCCAGAGCATAGCAAATTCAGAGAAGCACAGCTCTCTTTGGCATACGCACTTGATACGCACCCTTTGACTAAACAAACCGCTTGATCATGGCCAAAGTGAGGCAAGCTCCCATTATGTACCAATCCTACGACGGATGTGAGCTACACAAATAGATACGGTTAATTAGTTTTATGGATCCAGTGTGTGCGGTGTGCAGTCCGTGTGATCAACGGAGACAAGTACAAAGCAAATCGAACAGCAAAGAGGTAGCGAAGGAAGACCAAGTCTGATGAAGAGAGCCGGGAACCACAGTCAAAGAAGTTAACGAACGAAGTGAACGCGTGGTAAGTGCGAATGGGTCAGTGCAAAGTGAGGGCGAGCGCCCCAGTCACAATAAGGTAAGGATAAAGTGCAGCATGCGGGTTAGTATTTTGGTATGATGTGTAAGATCCAATGCAGTCCTCCCAACAGATCCTGCATGTAGTCGTCAGCATGGGCCCTCCGAACTATGAATAACTGGCTCACCATGAAACAGAGCACTGGACATGCTCAAAACTCCTCGTCAACGACGTCCAGCTCGACCCGCCCCGCACTCAGGTCGAAGCTCTCCATATCCCGCAGGTGCTGCTCATCCTCGGGGCGCAAGAAGAGACTCCCAGGACTGCCGTCACGCGGCGACGGGCTACAGCTCGCACTCGACCCAGTTGACGCCCGCGAGCGTCCCCGACCTCGAGCGTCCTGGACATCCTGGGCATCCGCCTCCGCAGTCCACTTCTGTGCGGTAGGCGATGGGCTCCGGGTTGGGTACCCCTGCACCCACGGGAGCGGAACAGCGATCGTCGGCGAGCCCTCGCGCTCAGTATCCTCGAACGTGCCGCGTCGGTTGGGCGACGGCTCCAGCGAGGGCACACTATGCCCCTGCGAGCTGCCCGCCCACGCTCCATCGTCCTCGGAAAATATCATCGACATGTTGTTCGGCAAGGTGGGGAAGACCGAGGACGCGCCACTTAGCCGACGCGATGCGCGCAAGCGACCGTTTGAGGACGAACCTGAGCGGGAATGAGAGTTGGTGATGCTGCCACGTCGGCCGTCGTTGAACCTCCGCGTGCGCTCGCCAACATCCGACTCACCCTCCCAGTCGACGGAGCCGGCGCGTAGATGTAAGGGGGAAGTGTCACGCAAGGGAGAGCCACCACCACCCATCAAGAGTAATGGCGACGAATGCAGACTATCATTGGCCTCGCTTCCGAAGCCCTTGACACTGCCGTTGAGGAGCGTCAGTGACGTGGCATGCGAAAGCCCGTGCGCTGTCAATGTGGTGTTCCCTGCGCTCTCTGACCCTCCCGACGAGTTTAGCCGTGCGCGCACCTCCGCCATGCGTAGGGCAACGCTGGTCTCAGCGAGTTTCTTCCGCAGGCGCTCGCGCTCCCGCGTGTCCTCGTCGCGTTCGCGCATCCAAGCCTCTCCCTCGTTGCGCATGCGCTCCATCTCCGCAGCCATCTCCTCGACCGCGGCGCGCATGTCGTCCCGCTCCTTCTGCACGAACTCGAGCTGCTCCTCAAGCCGCGCAACGAGCTCCGTATTCCGGGAGCGCTCAGCCTGAAGGCGCTCGACCTCGTCGGCCATCTCGTCGGCGCGCTCGCGCAGCTCGCCGTTCTCGCTACGAAGGAGACGTGCTGACCGCTGGGCATCGCCAAGCGCACCGAGCAGCGCAGCCATCTCGTCCGCGTGCTTCGCCTGCAGCTCGCGAAGTTCGTCGTCGTGCGAGCCGCCGCTGACGCTTGTCGGCGCCGTCGACGCGCTTCGTGGCGTGCTGAACGTAAAGGTAGGACTGTCCGCCAGATGTGTCGGCCCAGGACTGGTCGGGCCTGCCGAGGTCCAGCTTGCCTTGCGAGCGCTGACCCGCCGCTCGCCCAGCTCAGACGGACCACGCATTCCCTGCGGGTACTTGCCCCGCACACTGCCCAAGACCGATCCGCTGCGCGTGAGCGAGATACTCGGACTGCGTGTGCGGTCGAGCACATTCGCGCTTCGCTCGAGCGCAGTGCGACTTTTCTCCAGCACGTCTTCTGAGCTCCTGCTCTTCGCGCTAGCCAGCGGGTCGTCCTCGTCGAACACGCCGGCCGCGCGGAACGCATTCAGCGTGCGCGGTCCTGGGCCGGGCGTACGCAGCGGATCTGTGATCCGCCGGCTCGTCGAGCTCGCCGCGCTCCGTCCACTGACGCTTGTCGCACCGCTCAAGCTGGTGTCAGGCCGTCGGAAGGTGCCGCTGTCGAGGCGATGGCCGAGGGACGCGCTGTCCAGGCGGCGGCCCACGGAGCCACCCATAGCAGTGCTCGGGCGCGTCGACGAGCTCACGCGGATCGGCGTCTGCAGCTGGTTGCCCTGATCGACGGACAGGCTACGCTTGCGCATGCGCACGTAGCTCGGCGTCGCGTCGCTCGCGTCGGCAGGGGACGGGCTGGTGTCGAAATCCATACCGAGTCGGGCGCGTGGGCGGTCGAGAAGGCTTCCGTGAGGCCGGTCCAGCGATGTTTCGCTGCGGCGCGCAACGTCCAGTGAGGTTCTCCCAAGCCCATACGAGGGCCCGCGGCCCGCGTACGGTGTCCTATTGAGATCCAGGGAGGGTCTCGCTGACCGGTCAAGCGAGGGCCTCGCCGAAGAGAAGCGACTAGACTCTAATGACGCCCGCGGGGTATACTGCCCACTCGACTCATTCGACGACTGCGACTTGTGCCGCGATGTGACCTCGTCCCAGAACACATTGTGCACCGAGGGTCTGAGCCTGGGTGACGAGGAGCCCAGTCGCGGAGACGAATTGCCCAGCCGGGGTGAGGACGACCCCAACTGGTCGGATGAGGAGCCCCGCCTCGAGAGCGCGCCCGTCTGCGACGACGCTAAAGGGGATGGCTGCAAAGGCGACGGCTGCAACCTGGGTGATGACCTCGCCGACTGCAATGTAGGTGACGGCTGCCCCGTGAAGTACGACATGCGCGAGGGCGAGGGGTTCCTCGATGGTGGCATCGCGCGAGGTGATGGGAGTCCCGGCGATGGGGAGGGCGAGGGGCGCGCAGAGGGCGGCAAGGATGCCGACACCAGCGGGCGCTCACCAAAGGGGGTGGGCTTCTCGGACAGTGGTAATGGCGGAGGTGGTCCTCGACGCGCATAGTACTCGACCGTACTCGTAGCCGGCGAGAAGTCGCTGGTGGTCACCGTGCGCGGCGAGAGACCGAGATCAAGAGTTTCGGTGTCTCGCTGTAAGGGCGTCCGTGGCGGGGAGATGATGGAGTTCGGGCGTGACCTCGACTCGTACTGAGGCCGAGGCGACGCGATCTTGAGTTCCATAGGGTTGTGCATACTGATATTCTGGGCGTGGGGTTCATCCGGCGGTTCGTCAACGACTACAGGAGGGTGCCCAGCGCCAGTAAAGCTGCAACTCGTCCTCCTAAGAGCGTCCATAACTTGGCTGTGAACATCCGACGTCGACAACTCAAGAGGAGAGTTTTCGTCGCCATGCGTATCTGACATATCGGCGTTATGCCCATCCGAGGAGGGCGGGACCGAATTGGCTTCGCTAGCTCGTGAGGAAGGCAGGAGGGATGACGCCTGTCGTGATATGGGTGAATGAGACGCAGAGGACAAATGCGGCGGCGGAGAGTGAAGGAGGGATTCCTTCAGGTAAGGTGAATCCGGGGAAGTCGGCGCGGACTCTGCAGGGATATGCTTCGAGATGGATACGGCAGAGCTGTCAGGATCGATCGCGCCTGAGGTCTCCGCTTCCATAATGGTGGATAAATCCATGGGTGCGGTGGGTGAGGGTGTCCGTAGAACGGGTGGTTGCTCGTTCATAAGAGGAGCTAGAGTGTCTGAGAAGAGAGGTTAGGCGTCGTCAATGCAGGGGTAATTGCAGACACACCTGCGCCGCTGTCCAGCTCTAGTTGTTGTGTGGAAGGGGCGGGGCTGAGCCCGCCCGGTTCCAATGGTAACGGCTTATCCAGCCTTGATATCGAGGAAGAGGTCCGGCTCCCAAGATCGCGCTGCGGACCAGGCCGGCGCGTGTTGAGCTCCTTCTCCAACTCGTTGACCCCGCCCGCCGCCTCTGAGAAATTTCGGTGTATCGAAATCACAGGGAGCGCGGAGAAGGCGGTATTCCTATCGCGCGAGGGCAGCGACTTGGCCATGTTCGGGTCCCACGCAAAAGAAGTGCGCGTCGGCGTCTCCTTGCTCAGGGATCCCTTGCGGTCCCTTCCGAGGGAGGCGGTCGCGGATGCCTTGCGCGTGAAGGACGAAAGTGCACCGCGGACGGGCGTCGAGGTGTGCGCGGGCTGGGGTGAGGCGCCGATCGACATGGACATGGACTTGCCATGGTAGAAGCTGCCGTCCTTCGTTGGAGACTTGGTTGCAGCTTTGGAGGGTGTGCGTGCGGGGGTGGAGTTCTTGGAAGGACCGAAGGGAAGTAGGGAGCGAAGGGAGCGTAAGGAGGGGATGCCGGAAGGACCAGCGTTCGAGTTTGAGCCAGAGCGGCGTCTGGAGGTGTTGCCTTGGGACAAGCCGAGGGATTCAGAGGACATGGCGGGATAGGCGCGCGTGAGTGTGGATAGGTGTGTTCGCGAGGCAAAGTGTGCGCCGTCGGGCTTTCAGCTCAGCTGGGCTCGACTCAAGCAAAAAGTAGGTTGTGCCGCGTCTTGCCGCGTCCTACGTCTGCGTGAGTGCTTGCAGTATCAGAGCACGTAAGCCACATACTGTGATAGTCTGCTAGAGTTTGACGTCGGTTATGAGCAGCGGGGGGCGTGGAGAGGTCGCGGGGAAGAGCTGGACACGCGGGTACGCAAGCGGGCCAGTTCGCGCGCTCGGTGATGGTAATAGGTTGATAACCCGCGCAAAGGCGTCAATGTCAAGCGTCCTGTGGGCACCGGAGGCGACGAGGAGCTCAGCGCAGGGCTCAACGACGACCGCGATAGTCAAGCGCGGGGCGGCCGAATTCCCGCTGAACTCCATCAAATTCACGTGAGTTGCACCCACAAGGACCCACATTATGGACATCGGAGGGTTGATAAAGTGTGTAAATTTGACTGCCTTCCTGCCATATATCTGGAGGTAAGGTGCAAGCGATCCCCAAGTTTATCGTCGACTTAGGTTTCGAAAACATGACATACACTAGCCGAAGCGGGAGAGAAAATGCCGTTATCATGTAGAAGTATCATAACGTGTTAGTACGCGCCGGACAACCTTCCACTATCAATAATATGGCCTAATCAACCGAGTTCCATATGTTCGGATTACCCAGGATTGCCACGGAACTCTGCGAATCCCCAATCGCTGGAGTTCCGTGGTAATCCTGGGTATTCCACTGATGTCCGATCATTTCAGAGTTTGCCTCCGATTGTGATCGTTCGACTCGCGCGGAACCAGTTTACAAGTCTCCCGTGCGCCAAGTCTAGACGGGCGACTTGCTTTCTCCGGGCCTTCGAAGTCAGACGGTGCGCAGGTGAGGCCCTTTGGACCTGCCTTCGACGCGGTTTCTATTGACTACTCAGTGACCAATCGCCCGCTGTGCTAGGGCAACTAGACAATGCACAGCGCACCGACGTGTGATAGACGGACACAAAGTCCGTTGCGCGAGCTTCCGAGTCCCAGACCGATTCGGACGACAAGTAGGAGTTGAACGAATGTCTGTAATATATGCGTATAGCAGCAGCACGATGTACAAGCAATAATAACAAGAAGCGCCAAACAGTGATGGAGCAAGGCTGAGTATATCCCGGAAGAGGCTACTTGGTAGCCCACGGGGATCAATAGGCTTTACAAGGCGGCACAACAAGACAAGTGGCGGAAGGAGACTGCATCCGAGCAGACCTAGCCACGGAGAGAGCGGCAACCGCGTACGCAGAGGGCGCAGTAAGGCCTGGCAACTGGCAGGTCGAGTCGGATGGAGTCAACAGGGCCTAAACTAGGCCAGACGCGTAGGGGAGTTGGGATCGAACATGCTGTGGCCGACGCTGCTCCGGGCCTTCATCATGTACTGCTCGCCGTGCCCCTGGACCGCAGACGATGCACCTGCAGCAGAGGTTAGTCTTCCTTCCCCGCGTAACCAGCGCCGCTGCCGACGACTCACCCACCGAGTACGGCCTCAGCTCGCTCTCCACTCCCACGTAATCATACGCAAACTCGCCCATCTCGCTCTCGTCGATGCCGAGCAGCTCCGTCGACTCGCCGACGCGCAGGCGCAGGCCGGGGATATAATGCATGATCCAGCAGATGAGCGTGGTCATGGCGAAGGCGTAGCCAAAACCTGCGACGGAGTCCGCGACGTGGTATCCGAGCTGGATGTAGTGGTGGTCGAGCCAGCCGCCGGGAATATCGGTGAAGCCGTCAAAGCCGGCGACGCTTGCCTGCGCGAAGAGCGCGGTGAGGATGTTGCCGACGACGCCTCCGACGGCGTGCGAGGCGAAGACCTGAGTAGACGTCGTTAGCCTGGGCAGTAAGGAGGAAACTAAAGTCGCGCACGTCAAGCGAGTCGTCGTAGCCCGCAAAGAACTTGATCTGTGTGGCAAAGTTGCAGACCGTGCCGGCCATGAAGCCAAACAGGACAGCGGCGGGAGCGCCAACGAAGCCGCTGCCCGGCGTGATGGCGACGAGACCCGCGATAGCGCCAGAGCAGAAACCAACGGCCGACCATTTGCGCTCGATGCGGTAGTCCTGGTCGTGACCATGTCAGTACGGCGTGCAGAAGCTTGGCGTGGCACACTTACCCAAAGCATCCACGTCAACCCACCCACGCTGGCAGCAAGATTGGTGACGATGCACGCCTGAGCCGCGCGCAGATTCGCGGACAGCGCGGAGCCACCATTGAACCCGAACCAGCCGAACCAGAGAAACACCGTTCCAAGCACGACGTACGTCGTGTTGTGCGGCTTGTACGCGAGGGCCTCCGTGCCATACCCCCTGCGCTTGCCCAGGTAAATCGAGACCGCGAGCGCTGTCGTGCCCGAGGAGATATGCACCGGCGTGCCACCAGCGAAGTCGTACCCGCCCAGGACGAACGTCCACCCGTTCGAGTTCCACGTCCAGCACGCGATGGGATCGTACACGAGCGTCGACCACACGAATACGAACACCAGCAGCGGTCCCAGGTGCGCGCGCTCCGCAAAGCCGCCCAGCGCAAGCATCGGCCTGCGGTTGGAAGCGAAAAGTTCAACACCACACGTGATTGGATTCCGAAACTCAACACGCACGTTATGGCTGCGAACATCAGCTGGTAAACGCAAAAGACGATGGAGGGTATGCGCGTGCTGCCGATGGAGGGTTTCTCGAGGACGCCCTTCAGGCCGAAGTATTCTGGGTTAAAAGACCTGGTCAGTGGCGATAAGGAGGTGCTTTTGGGCTCGCACGCACTGAGGTTACCGATAAACGCGCTTCCTGTCTCGCTGAACGTGAGAGAGAAGCCCCAGAAGAACCACTGCCGAGGATGAGCATGATTTTGCGGTAAAGGAGGAGGTATAGCAATCACCTGGAAGGACACCACAGCGAGTGTCATGAGGCTCATGTAGATCATGGAAAGCGCGTTCTTCCGCCTACAGAAAGGTGAGAAATGTGTTTTTAGGGCAGGGGAACTAGCAAGAACCTTAGCAAACCGCTATAAAAGAAACCCACGCCCGGTACCATGATCCATACGAGGGCCGTGCAGCATAGTACCCATGCGATATCACCCAGATTATAGACGACCGTATCCCCCGTGTCTGGGTCTTGCCAGGTGAGGTCGCCCGCTGTGCTTTTTGTGAGCTGCCAGTATCGCGGCTGCAGATTTTGGCCCACTCACACTCGTCGTAGCCGACGTTGACCATGGCTGGGGCAGATAAGGAGCTCCGGGGCGAAACGCGCCTCTATCTGACGCGGGAGACTAGCCATAAATACAGCTGGCGCATCAAGTGATCTCGGCTTGGATAAACCGGCTCGCGACCGGGACTCCGGAAACTATTGAGCGCAAGTAGAGCGCCACGTCGCTCGGAGCGCTCGAAGAAAATTCAGTCAGTCCGTCATGAAGGGGTAGAGCCCTTCCAGTCGTCAGAAGGTGATTCCGCGCATGGGAGAAGGATGCAAGAGCCTTGGAAAAATGACTTGCGGGATTTGCCGAAGTCATTTCTCACGCCTAGCCGTCGAAACGATGACTCGTCCGTCCCTTCCATCTGCTTCTCTTTGTTCAACTGTCCTGCATCCGATGAATGCATCGTATACAATATCAACTCGCTCCATAACGAGACACAACAGCTGTTTGCTGTATACGCTGAGCATGACGCCCTGAATTTACTCGACGGCTCGACGGGCGTTTCGACCACGACCACTTCTTCCATGAACTGTGCTTGACAACACGGATGCAGGTCACCTCAGATACCGGATGCTACGCAAGTTCTATACGTAGGTTTGCGTGCAGTCGTGTGCTCTCAATTCGATGAGAAAGAACAACGTGGCGAGCCATGCGCCAAGCAGCTGCTCTCGGCCTTCCCAAGGTGCGCAGTGGGTTCTGCGCCACAACGAGCCTTCTATCGCCTCAATACCATGCTATGCTCCCTCAATACCACGCTCTGTATACTCACGTACACGCAGGGTCGAGCACACGGAAAGGGACGCTGCGCGCGCGGATGGTGTCTCTGACCACCGGATTTCTGATCGTGGTTCGGAGCTTTCCTGGCTGTTCGTCGCTGCATGCTGCACGCTCATCAGCTCGACCTACGTCTTACCGCTGGCTAGATGCTACCATCTATCAGGAATGCTGGGTATTATGGAGCTGTGACGGACATAAGACGCTCTGAGGCGATGAAGGATCAGCTGGCTCGACGCGTATGAACGACGCGGCTATACGTCAGTCATCAGCGCATGCCCTCCGTCGAAGGCGAACCTTCCAAGTCCTCCTTCACGTTGTGATCGAGCTCGTCCATAGAACGATGGACGCGCTGTAGAACTGATATATCATCTCGCCTCGACCACGCGGCAGCCCGCGATAACGAGGCCAGGCGCGCCGCCCCTATATTCATGGCCGCGGGCGCGCGATAACATGGACCAACAGCGCCAATCAACATAACTCCCTCGGTGTCTTCTCCCGCCCCAGGTGGCCGTGGCCTCGAGAATAGGAACTGGGCCTGAAGCTGCTTACTGGACGCGGAAAGGCTACCCCGGGGCCTGACGATAAACGTTTTCTCCTGCCCGCGGACATATCACAGTGCAGAAGGAACGAATCACAGCACACATCAAGCACTATCAGCGGCGCGGAAGTCCTGGCAATCTTATCTGTGCTCCCGTCATTTCAAAATTGGCCCCCCATGCCGAAGTGCCTGCACCGCGCTGCGCCCCTTCGTACACTTGTCCTTGCATATAGCCATCCTGGATCGCACTTCTTGCGTTGCGACCACCATCTCAGTACGCCTCGCTCCCTATCCCCTCCTCCATGTCGTCGAGGACTGCTGCTGGGCGAAGACGCCTCCAAAGCGGGCAAGTGCAGACGATCTCACCTACGCTACTTTCTCCGAAGGCCCTGTTCGGATTTCGATCAAAGTCGAAGGATCAGAGGCGCACTCCGAGGTCCTCGCCAACACCGTACGCATGCCTCTTGCTCTCAAAAGCTCACTCGCTGACGAAATAGCTGCAGGCCTTCCCCACAACGCCCATCGGTGCACTTCACGCCGTCTACGGATGATCCGCCGTCTATTCGTCAGCGTCGGGCCTCGGGTCCACCCCAATCCGATGAACAGCGCAACCCATCCCATCCTCGTCCACCTCCTTCCCCGATACGCACCGCACCTCTCTCCCCACTTCCTCCGTCCTCGCCCCGATCAAGAAGCACCATGCAACTACCTCCGAGTGCCGAATCAGCATCTTCCGCCTGGCGCGCGGAGGATGCGCCAGCTCAGGAAGGCCGTGCGCCTATCTCTCCCACGACACGAGGTGGGCACCTCCGCGATAAGGCCCCCGGCTCCCCCGCCCCGCGCGCGCCGCTGTCCCCAGGCGCACGAAACGCGCTCTACTTTGACGACTCTATATCCCTCTCACCCGTCTCCTCCCCCGAGCGCACGCCCTCCGAGTTCCTCGCTCCCGGTCCCTACGGCGGCGAGAACGCACCCTCGCCCGCGACTTCCATTTATAGCCTCGCCAAGGTCCCCAGCGCTACCTCGTCTTCCTCCTCGAAGAGAAGCATCGACTCGAAGCGCTCAATGGACTCGGACTTTGTCACGAGCCCGGATTCGCCAACAAAGTTCGTCTTCCCCTCCGGCCGCTCGGTGGTGAAGCCTAAAGGGCCTGGGCCCAAATTCGGTCGGAAAACGCCGAAGACCGGTACGCGTGTTGAGTCACCCACCCTCACGCCGGTTGGGTCGCGCACATCGGCTGAGACCGTCGCCGCCGACCTTAGGCGCACTCGCGCGTTGTCGACCTCTACGGCTACCTCCTCCGGCACTGCGATGTCTGCAAGAACCTCGCGCTCAGGATCCAGCACGGACACTACATCACCCGCGTTCGTATTCCCGACTTCTCGAACTCGAGCGAATCCCGCCTTTCGACCCGCTGTACGATTGACGCCGAAGATTCCAGTGCGACGGGGACGAGCACGGGATCTAGCCGCAGGCTCAGAAGAACGTGATTACTCTCCGATGGAGAACACCCTGTCTTCTGCCGCAGGCAATCGGGAATCGGTGGCAACGGCAACTGAGCGTCGAGCACGAGCTCGATGCATTCATCTCCGCGTTGGCGAGTACCCCTTCGACCAGTACAGTGCAGAAGTGCAGAAGTGGTGCGTTGCTTTTTCGTGCCAATGGATTGTTCGCTGATGGCCCGTATAGGGAGAGGAGTACGCATGAACTGCTTCGTTCACTCAAGCCGCCAGATAGTCCAAGCTTTCACGATTATGGTCATCTACCGCCGATGACTCTGCTCGACCTCGGCTGTGGACAAGGCTGGTGGATGCTCGAAGCCGCGCATGCGTGGCGGGGACACGGCACACAGGTCATTGGCTTCGACCTCGTCGATACGACGTCGGAAATGTGCGCGCAAGCGGTACGGCTAGGTCTCTCAGATAACATGCGCGTGATAGTAGGGAATTTGTGAGTTTGGGGCTTCTTCATTGCCGCTCCGCCTCCTAACGTCGACTGTAGTCTGACACAGCCGCTGCCCTTCGAAGACGAGACCTTCGACCTCGTTCGCATGGCCGACCTCACGTACGCAATCCCTTTTGACCAGTGGGAACAAGTTCTTCGAGAAGTGAAGCGTGTGCTTGCTGTCGGTGGTCGTCTCGAGCTCATCGACGACGACGTGTTCTTCCCCTATAGTGACACCACGCTTCTTCCCGCGCAACGCTGGTCCTACAGTATCAGTTCCCCTTCGCGCTCACACTCTCCGCAATCGCGACGCACGACAACGTCTTCCTACGTATCCAGCTCACATAGCGGCTTCGATAGCGCCAGTGAGGCTGAGTCCAATACGCTCTACACCGACTCGTTCATCACCACCGCCGATACCGAGACCATTAGCAGCCCTCGAGAACCTCCAGATGCGCGCACCACGGCTCTACGAACTGCCTCCGAGGAAGTCGAGGCGCTCTTCGGGTACATGGTCAACCACAAGCTGGGTTTGAACCTACGACTGCACGCCTTCCTCTTTGACGCGCTGCAGCGCATCTTCGGCGGGCTGGCGCGTGAGGTTGACACCATGCGCCTCGGCGTCGAAGGTTTCCCTAGCGCGGCGTCGGGTCTGGTCCTTTGGCCATCGACGTGCATACCGATGCGCGCTGCGGATGTTGAGCAGCATGCGATGCGCCATTGTCGGACGGTGCTCATGTGCAAGGAGCTTATGACCGAGTACGCGCTCGAGGTTTCGAACGAGGAGGACATCGACGATGAGACGATCTCGGAGGCGCTTTGGGACTACGCTGAGTACGTTTCGACCTCGGTCTCTCTGGTGTATGCTGACCGAATCGTCGCAGGTTTCTGCCCCAACGCTTCGGCATCGCGTCGTCGAAGCGCGAGAGCGTATGCACAATCAAGCGCGAGACTGTTGTATCCAGAGCGACGCGCCGCGACTCAACTGCATCATTGGAATCCAGCCTGGACGCACTCATGGAGTACCAATCGTACGTCGAAGTCCTATCACTGCAGCGCTCGTATCTGACGCCTTTATCAGGGAGTTCCGTGGCATGTTCGCGACATCGTCATCCGATGATGAGGATGACTCTCAGGAAGCCGGCTGTCCTGCTCCTGAGGCCAGCGAAACAAACCGCAAGCCGTACGAGCCAGTCGCCGATCTCACGCACATACGCACAATACGTGTTTTTGAAGCTGTGAAGACGTCTCCTTGATGTTTTCATTCGCCCCGTCCGGTCTTTACCCTAAACTACACTCGACCCGTCCTGTTAACCCGCTCGTTGGACTGTGGCTTCCCCATCTTGGTTTACCACTCTTCGCCTTGGCTCACTATGTACTACTCATCGCTTGTTTCTGCCTTTCTGATTACCTATATGTAATGATTATCTATAATGGGTGTACGTCTGTTGTAGTCTTCCCTCGTCTCGTGCATGCTTGTGCTGTAGGATTGAAACTCACTTGTATAACACTTGTTTATGGCGTATTCCCGGGATATTATGGCCGTTCGTCGCTTCAAGGTCAGGGCACGGCGCCATACGCGGTTAGATAGCATGCTCTTGACTTTAGGTCGCTTTTGATCTTCTTTCCGTGCAGCATGATGAGGCATCGAGATAGATTCAGGATGGACACAAAGTGGGTAAGTGTGCGGGCGATACGAGTCAGTAATTAGAGCGAAGTGAGTACAGGACAACAAATAGATGAGATGAGCGGACTGGCGAAGATGAGGAAAAAAAGGAAGCGTAAAGCGACGATGCACGATGCACTACGCTATCGAAACGGAATAGACAAGGGCCCGTCAGGTGAGAGTTCGAAGTGTGAGCTGAGTACGGTCTTGATTCAGAAAGAAGTGTACTGGAAGACCACTTTAGCATATGCAGACATGCAGATTCTGGCACACACATACCGACATGTCGATTGGCTCGAGCGTATATTGCACCAGTCATCGCATTTCTTCCTCAAGCAGAGCCTGGCGCGTTCGGGTTGTAATTCTTGGGCACGTCTATGTCCAGATGTTCGCGCGCGATATGCGTGGCGAGTCGGCACTGATACGGTACCCCAGTCGTTATGCGCGAAGGACACAGGGCCTTTCCGGCAGTATCAAGAAGTGCACGGCAGAGGTATCGCTGCCTGGTATTTTGCTCTCCCAGGGGAGGGTTGTGCGCGATGAAGATATGGTTCTGGAGGTTCTTGATGAAGTCATTGAGGCCGTTGCCGGAGATCTCCGCGTTGCAAGGCTCTCGCTTCTCTGCATTGCGAGCGTCGAGGACCCAAGGGCAATCCTTCTTGATCATTTTGTGTCCGATTGATTGACCGTCGCTCGTCTGAGAGAGCGCGGTCGCGTTGGCGTCGATACCATACGCTTCAGGCGGTTTCAAGGCCACAGCATTGACCGGGAATTGGATGAGCGAGGATCCAGCGGCTTCCATATCCTTTGCGTAGTCCTGGCTCGCCCGGCGCTTTCGGCGCCTTGCGGGTTCCACGCTATCGGCGAGACCTTGTTCTTCGCCTCCCGCAGACCTGGCAAATTATGTGAGCATTGAGACTGACGGGTACAGGGCGCAAACACATACCTCTTTCGCTTGATTGTCTTTTTCGGTCGGACAGTCCCGAGCTTATGATTGTGATCACCGTCCTCATCTGAGGTCGGACCAGAGGTGAGCTCTGGCGGAGTCGAAGGTGGCGAATTGTCCAGGGATCGCTGAGCATCGTGAAACTCAGGCGCTAGCGCCGCGGCAAGCGGACGTGCAGAGGTTTTAAGTGGGTCATGGGGTATATCGACGGTAGGTGGCGACCTGGAGATCGGCTGGCTGACCGTCTCAGAGGATGTCTGGAAACCCAAGGCATGGCCTTCTTCCTGCGGACCTGCCGTATCTTGAAGACGGACCTGGGGGACTTCTTGCTGCCGATATATTTGAAAGATTTGAGGTAGTGGGTGATCGGCGTCCTCAACCACTTTGTTGCTGTCGACAGGCGTTTGTTCGAACTCTGTGCTGTTCGTTGATAGATAAATTTGGTCAACCCAGGCTGATGCATCGGGGAGCAAGTCCCATATGTTGAGGCCATCGTCGACTGGCGCTATGATGCATATGAGTTCTGACGTCCTATTCGCTTCGCACTTTGACCCACCGAGCTCTGTATTCTGAACTTCCGTCTGCAGAGGAGAGATTTCCGCGGCGCCGTAGATGAAAAATCCTTGCGCGGCGCTGTGCTCAGACTGAAACGTCGTTCTCGATTGATCACGACTTGTCGCGGTCACATGCTCCATGGGGAATCCTGCAGCACCTTGAGATCAGTACCCTGCAGATCGGTGAACGACAGCGAACGCACCAGTGGCAGTCTTCAGGCCTCCCATAGACTCAACTACTGACCGGAGTTCTGACGGTCCCGCGCCATCGTACAGCGACCCTGTGCACACGGTTAGAGTCATCGAGACGATGTTTTGAATACTGCGCGGCGTACCGCTCGCCGCGTCGGCATCCTCCATAATCTGCCTCCATGCAGTTGGAGGCGGGGGCGGACCGCGTTGCAGAATAGTGAGGGTGACAGCCTGCTGGACTTCGAACCTTGCTGTCACTTCGTGCGCTTCGGTCGGCGACTTCAGCTGGATTTCTGGCTTGTCGCCTTGGATTTCCTTGAGCAGGGCTATCGCTGCCTCGGGCGTCATGTTGTCGCAAAAGGCATCCAGCCGCGCCCCAAAGCCCCCGTCGGCAGAGGAGACAACATCCAGGCCACCCGACATTGTTCGTCGACTGTCCTGCAAGAACGCCAAAGACGTGAACGATATTGCCCTTCTAGCGATGTCAGCAATGACGAGTGCGACGCGGATCGCCGACGCAACGGTTCGGAAGAGCGAAGGAGGGAGGAGCGCGAGAGGGTGGCAGTCGAACGAGAGCAGGAGTGATCGTCACGCACGAGCAAACGGGGGCGGGCAGTGATGCGATCGCCGAAGTTCGTAATTCGGTCGACGCGTGCTTGGACAGTCGCGTCGCCATCTTGCAAGGCCACTCGACCATCTGCACCGTCGCTCACCAGTAAAAGAAATCTCGCGTGAGGTGCCAGAGTTATCGACTTCGATACCGATGATGATGCCCAAAAGCTGTCTACCCGGCGTGCAAACCGGCGACATGCAAAAGCCCTGTGAGTATAGGTCAGCTAATAGGGTATCGAGGCGTACATTTCATGCTTGAATTGCGCGCAGGAGCATTAGGCCCGCGTCGAAAAAGTCGGACAAGGGTGTTTTCGCCATGCTCCAACTGCGCCACCACGCTCTGCTACTGACATAGTCCTCGCGACGAGCGGGCAAACTGTCGCTAGTGAAATTGACCTTTCATTTCCTTGTCTCGCAGAACTCGGTTGGAATGCAGGACTGCGCTAGCTAACCTGTCTGGTCATCAGCGACTGATCTATCGGCACCCCAACGTACTTGTACTCCGCGGACAGCGAAGCCGCTATGACTTGCGATCTATTGGACCATCGACTATGGCATGGAAGCTGCAGACCACTGCGTAGCCCGGTCTAAAGTTATGTGCTCTTCGTAGACGCTATCCGAAGACATGACTTCATGATTCTTCTGTGTCATCAGCAACGTCGAGGTCGTGATTGTCTTCCTACTGATACTTGCTACTGTTCGTTGTTCTGCGTCCACTTGGTGAGAGTCAGCCTTTGCGCAGCAGAATTTGAATGTGGTTCTCACCTCCCCCCTTCGATCCAAAGCAAAAACGCGCACCGTAGCCAGATGGTTGGAATTCCTCGACGACGTCGCAAACTCGCAAGTCATCTTCATCTCTTCGTCTCGCGACTGCTTCAGCGCCTCACCCAAGCTAGCCGACCGCCGCATCAAGAGGAAGCCCGTCACTCTTGCACGGCGCAAAGGCTTGCGGGGGCCCGCAGTTTGCGTGCCACACCTCCTTCGACTCAGCCTGTCTCGCGTCTCAGCCCATTCAAAGCTTCAGGACAACTAAGAGGGTTCCAATATCTTCAATCTGTTCGACGGGTGTACGTGGAATTGCCTTGAGGGATGCATCGTTGCTTGTTCGAGGGAGCGCAAAGCAATTGCGAGGAATCATTTGCAAACGCTCATACGGTGTCTCAACATCTCCTATTCATCTGCGCGAGAGGAGCGTCAGCTATCATCGATAGCAAGCTCTCAAGTCCACTCACCTAGCTAGAAGGCCCTCCGAGGATACGGATGAGGTGCGCGATGCGCTAGGCTCCCTCCAAGCTCACTGCCTTCGCAATCGCTCAGTTCCCTACCTCGAAAGCCAGCTGGAAAGAGCCTCGGAGTCGCCTCCCGGAGCACAAAGTGACCGAATACTTCGCTCGCGGCTCTGCGAGGGACTTGTCCGTTGTAAAAGCCGGCTGTATGCGACCGAAGGCCGTGAGACGCGCCGATCGCCTCTTCTTGTTTCCAACCATCACCATCATTTCGCGCCACATAGCCCTCCAGCGCCTATCCTTCCTGCTCGCTCAGCACAGTCCTCACGACTCTGTATCTCGAGATATGCATTGAATGACACACATCTCGGCGGGACCAGCAATACCTTAGCTAAACTTGACACCAACACTGGACCTCAAGGTTCGATCGCGTGCGCACGGGCTACAGACGACAGAGGTGCGTCTGAACGGTACATCCTGCCAACGACCTCCGCTAAATCTGCCTAGAGCCGTCATTGCTCGATGCTCGCTACGCCTTGACCGCTCTAAACCTTGCGCATGCGCTGATCCCAACCCGCACACCCGCTGTGCCTTCCTTCTCCTATCCGCTTTCCCCACTCGATTTCAAACCTCCTCGTCCTCCTATCATCAAACCCCATACTTACCATTCTCATACAGTCCTGCACTTGCTTTATGTGTTGGATTTCGGCCTGCGGCGTCTGGCTCGCATAGGCGGTTGAGTCACGTGATGGAGCCGGCATGAACGCCTCTCAGATTGCAGGTGCTATGTAAGGCCTAGCGTTCTCATACTTGAACGCTAAATTCGTCCTCGAGCAATGGTATGGGACCCCAGAGCTAGCCGTGCGGAAAATTCCGACTCATGGAGGAGGAAGGGCCGATGTCAACGGCTTGCTTCCTCTTCTTCCGACCCGCGCTCCGGAGCCATTCATGCCATCTCTTCTCATGATAGATTGCCGAGAGTACACGGTCAACTAAGCATGCGTGGATATAGAACCTTCCGCGTCTGCCCTTTTACCAACTCGGTTTGCTGTCCTATATTGCCTCTCGAACACAGCGCCACCCGGCGTTTCGTTGTACTTAGCCAAGGTATTTTACATCGTGCCCCGAACTCGAACAAAGGCTAATGAAGCACAGCTCGCAATAGCCTACCCATACGTATGCAAGTAGAAGACTCGCAACATGGACTTCTCCGCGCAATGTGGGAGTCTACTGGGCGCTCACGGCAGCGCCGCAGGGGCGTAGTCCTTATCTACCTTGAGTCCAGCTTCCACCTACTCTTCCTTGTACCTTTCGTACTGCGCCCTGTTGGGGTCTACAGCTGCCTCGGCGTCGACCTCATCTATCGCCTTGCGGCCAGTCGTGTATGTTCTTGGCTAGGTACGCCCTCAGTCCATCGCCTAATGGCAACTTAGTACTCATCAACATCGGCGCAGACCGACCTCCGCCCGAGCACGATCCTCCGACAGCGGCGCTCCTGCATCACCTCCATTCAACTCCTTAGGCTGGCCGCTGGACTTATCGGAGCCGCGTGTCCTTGGGCTGGCAGCTGTCGGCGTGGTGTCGGCGTCTTTGAGCAGCTGTGCCCCTGCTCTTGACAAGGTAAGTCAATACTCCCTAGCGTCGTCCCTAATCCTCATTTATGCCCCCGCCTTCCCAGCACATCCTCACCGCTTGCGAGTCAATCCGCATCGCGCACGTCCAATCGGCCCTCACCTCCGTGCTATCATAGCTCCACCCTACGCTTCCAATCTCACCCAAACCTCGATTCCCCGCCGCATTAAGCGCCCGACGCGCAGGCGCCTAATGAGCCGCCCCTGCTCCCCTCTCGCGCGTGACGCCAATAGCCGGAGTCTACCTTTCGTCCGACCGTCATCATCGCTTTCCTTCCGGAGTGATATATCCTCGTCATCAGGGCACCCTGCGTTCTCGAGATACTTGCCTTGAACGATCATGCAAAGGATGCCTGCGATGTGTGAGTGGGTCGTCGACACGATGCGGAGGAGGACGAAGGCTGATTGCATCGTCGTCAAGCTCCCAATACCCGCGTAGCTTTTGATCCCAAAGCAGCTTCAGGACCCCATGCGACGTCGAGCTCGTCGCTGCCGCGACTGGACACGCAATCACACTCACGACCTCAGCCCTTCATCCTCCCAGGGGGTGGTCGATCGCGCGCCGTCGCCGCCCCGATCTCTGGCCCTCCCTCATGGAAGAAGCTGAAGACGAAATTCAAGAAGGGGAAAAGCAAGGGTCGTATGGATGTGCGTGCCGTTTGCTCACCCTCCTCATGCACACTGGGCCCTTCGTCCTGCTCTCTCCGCTGTGAATAAGCGCGCTCACCATGCCTATAGCAAGGCATATCTTCCGAGTCCATTCTGCCCGCCCTCGGTGCCTCATACGCCCCGCTGTACCCCTCCGCGCAATCGCCGCCGTTGTCACCCGCGCCTCTCACACACGAGGCCATAGCTACGCTGTCTGCGCCAAACCTCCGCACCTCAAACGACTTCGATATTCGCGCCGCACAGGGGCACGTCTATCCATCGGACGTGCGCTCCATGCACTCCTCGTCGACGACGTCCTCGCACCACGTTTCACAACAGCCACAACACATCCCGCGCCACCATTATCCTTCGTCATCCGCCAGCGACTCCGGGTTCTTCTCTTCGAACCAGTCTGGCCTCGCCTCTCCGAGCCAATCAGGTTTTATCTACCCTGGCTCGCGCTCGCGGAGTCGGCCGAGCCACCCGCCCCCCACTTTGACGTTCAGCAGACGTCCGCGGACGGCGAACTCGGCGGACCGGTGGGACCTTACAGAGGGAGAGCAGATGATGCACGTTACCGAAGAGATGCGGTCGATGGGTGTGGAGGATGAAAGAGCGCAGGCATGGGATGGCGGAGATGGCATAGTGAATGGACGCTGTGGTGCAGTTGACCCAGTGGAGAAGGCGAATAGTTCGACTGGTCTGCCGCCACCGCCGCCACCACGTGCCACGAGGCCGCCTCTTCCTCCAGTGCCGCGTCACTCCGCGTACACGATCACGCCGTCGCCGTATATGATGGCATCGCCGACGTATACGGTCGACGACGAGACGCCTTCGCCGCGATTGGACTACGGAGGCCAACGCACGGAGTTCATACCCACGTCGCCGCGCCAGAAGTTGCGAGTCATGAACCTGGCGCAGAATGAGGAGCCTGCTGCGCGACCACGTTTGGACAGTCGTGCGCCGCCTGCTGGCCCTCTGCCGCAGCCTCCTACGGGCGAGTCGACGCGGCTCCCACGCCGACAACCTCTTCACGATCCTTACAACATGTCGATGCTCGAAGCGTAAGTCTCCTTCCGTCTTCGTTCCTTGCTCGTGTCATAGCAGGCTGAGCTTGCGCGCTGACCACTCCTCAGTGACCGCGTCAATCATACCCTGTTGCGACGCCTTTCACCTCCCAATTCGCCGACTTTCTACGACTACGACACCGCTCCTCCCACCGCCGCGCTCGACCTGGGATGCGGAGCCGGTCACTGGCTCCTCGACGTCGCTCAGGCGTGGCAAGGATACGGAACGCGGCTGACTGGTATGGACATCGTCGACCTGACGCGTGGAACCGGTCTAGAGAAGCAGGCAACGTTCGTGAGAGGCGATTTGTGAGTAGCGATCTTTCGTTCGTGGCCAGCTTCAAAAAGACCAGTAAAGACTAACACGTATCCACAGCCTTCGCACACCCCTCCCCTTCCCCGATGGCAGCTTCGACCTCGTCCGGATGGCCAACCTTACTCTTGCAATACCCCGCGACGCCTGGGAAAGCTTACTCCACGAAGTGTCGCGCGTCCTCGCCCTCGGCGGGCGCCTGGAGCTCATCGAGGACCGCGTGCGCTTTCCGCCGAGGTCAACGATGGACAACGGCTCCTACCATAGCAATGGCATCAACGACAACCTGCTCGAGCTCGAGCGCGCGTACGTGGACATGCTCGATACCGAGTACGGTGTCGACGCAAACCCAAGGGCACACCTGCAGGGTTTGATGGAGGACATCTTCGGGCATCAGAGGGTGGTGTGCGCTCTGCATCTGGCGACGGCGAACGAGGAGGATATTACCAGGCGCCCGGTCGCGATAGTCGGCGATGCGAAGCGTCTGCCCGTGGAAGCGGGGCTCGTGCTTTTGCCGTCATCCGTCGGTGCCACGTCTGGATCGTTCATCCCGATGTCGCAAGAGGAGGCCGACGCGGTGGCTGCGCGACAGTCTCGTGGGCTGCTGGCGGCGCGGGATAGGCTCATTGAGTATATCGTGAGCGTCGCGGACGCGGAGGATGCGGAGGACGCGCGGCAGGCGGCGGCGGAGGCGCTATGGGAATATGAGAGGTAGGTCCGCGATGATCGACTTTGTAAAGGGTCGCTGACGATGTGGTTCTATAGGCAACTGCAAGGAGAGCATGCGGGGAAGCCCGGTACGACCGTCCAAACGAATGTGAGCCCAAGGAGGAGACTAGCCGAGCCGGCGCTCCCCGAATCGCCCACGGTATTGCCGCCGCCACCGTTCCAGAGCCACGCGTGCGTATACTCAGCTATCCCTTATGCTCAATACGCTCACATCGTCCTTCGTCACACAGCCCCCTCTCCCCCGTCGACTCGCCCACGACGCCGGCCTTGAGTCCCTCGACGACGCATGCTTCCGCGCTTAGCGTGCGCTCGCCTACAGTAGACGACGCTCCCCCGTATTCGAGCGTTGAGGAAACGGCTGTGCGCTCGTTCTACGTGTACGAGGCAATCAAGGTGAAGGGAGCGATCTTATAGAATAACTTCCCCTGTATTGCGGATGCGAAGATGGCGTGCAGTAGCGAATGATGATACCCGTACTTCCACTTACCTATCCCTTATATGCGACAAAAAGTCTGATTGCGCTTGCTGAACCGATTTTCCGGGTTATGCACGTCAAATATTACACCGCTAGTAGGTAGGACAGGGAGATACTGATAAATAGGGTCAAGATATACGGAGTACCAGTGGAGATGCGACTGTGAAGGAGCCTGTCCCTCTGATGTCGCTGCCTTTGTACGATGGCATAAATATGTCGATTCGCCGAAGGATGGTGAAGAGCTCACTGAGCGTCTCTCGAGGCGCCGCTGCTGCGGTCTACAGTCAATGTCGAAGGCGTGGTGGGTCTTCAGGCTCTTGATGACCTGCCGAATCATCAAGGAAGTTGTTGAGGTCGCTGGTAGAGTCGTTGACGGGGTTATCGGCAGGGTCGTTGGCGGGGTCGTGGGCGGGGTCCTTGGTGGGGTCCTTGGTGGGGTTGTTGACGGGGTCATCGGCGGGTTTAGATTGCTTCCTGCGCTTTTTGCACGTCTCGCAGTGCCAATCTGTGGCTGATTCTCTCGAAGGAGTCCATCCTTTGGCGCAACCGCGGTGGTACTGTAGGTCGCGGAGTCAGCGAGGTTTCTCGAAAAAGGGGGAAGAGCTCACATAGACAACGGTGCACTGGGGATCGCTGCACCTGATAATTTGCGTTCTCATAAACTCTTCCCTGGAATTCTTGCCTCGAGCGGCCGTCATAGTATTCGTCGCCACATTGCCGGTCGCGAGTTGGTTTGGGGCAATTTCCGAGCCAGATTGGTCCGCAGGCTCATCGGCTGTGGTCGAACTATCCGTCGCCGTATCGATGACCGGGCGTGAACATACAGGAGGCTCTGAATTGGGCTGCTCCGTGGGCTGATTCTCCGAAGCGGATGCGCCGGAAGGTCTGGCATGACCGTTGAGATTATCCTGAACGCAGAGTTAGAAAAGCATTTCATCTGAATGACACGGAACATACGTTGATCAAAGCTGCGCCGAGCATGTTCGGCGAAGCGGGTGGCTCCTCCGCTTCCTGCTCGTTTTCATCGCTCGGGAACTCCGGGTCATCTCCGTCGCTGGAAACTTCACCGTCCTGACCATCGTCATCTCCATCACCCTCTGGCGCCACGCGATCGACTTCCTGTGAGAGGATATCCTCAGCATGCCGCTGTAAGATCTCGATAAACTCGTCATGAGTAGCCTCGGAGTCTTGATTCATGACAAGTCTGCGAAGTTCGCATATGCATGGCTTGAGAGGGTTGAAGTAAGGGGCGAACGCTTCGTCGATGAAGTTTCCGAAGGTGTCCGCTTTTGGTCGCTTGAGGCTCAGAACGCCCCATTTGTTGGAACCGGCCTGATACATATTGGAGTTCATCCAGCCGGCCACGATAGGTACTTTCTTCAGGAAGTCGGTATCGCGATGCTTCTCATTAGCGTCCTCGTAGAAGATGCACTGGCAAAGCAGGAGGTTGAAGAACGATTCCAAGTCATGGTAAGGTTCAGGCCCCAGATATCGGCCACCCATGAGAATTTCGCAGGCCGTGTACGTCGGGACGCACTGCAAACCACATGTCAACCGAGTAGTTTTGCACCAGAAGTTCGACTCACACTTTTGAGACCCGTCGCAGCCGTACGCACTTCTGAGTCGGAGCCTTCAGACCGCTGAATAAATCGAGCGTCATTGAAGTCCTGGAGTACACCCCGACGGAAATCTGGGGAAGACTCAGAGTTTCTGCTAAGTCGGACGCTTCTGTCATTGATATTGGTATGAAGGATTCCCACGTCGTCGAGCTCGCAGAGGGCTTTGTGAGCTATAATGAAGGATTACAGGTTAGAGCTGGCTATGTTGCATGGGAAGCAGAGGTAATCTTTCACCTTTGACGGAGTCCAATAAGCCAAAAAGGAGTTCGGGTAGCGTCCGGAAGGAAGACAGAGGTTCAGTCGACTCCTTCTGAATCAGGTAGGTGAGGTCCCTGATCTCGTATGGGATCTTCTTGAGCTGCTTCGAGGTGAGGACTTTTTTGCGAATGGTTTCAGTGGAGACTTGTTCATCTTTGCGAGCACCTGCCGGGCCAGGTCCTCGGTGCTTGACGTATACGAGCTCGACAACGGTAGGAACACCTTGGACTTTACTCTCGTTGGCGCGCTTGAGGTAAACGTCTTCCGTGTGCTCGCGGCTTCGGTCGACCCAAGAGCTCTTCACATCAACTATCTCCAGCTTCTTGTCCCCTTGTATACGCTGACAGCGCCAACGGACAGATCCCGGACCGCGGATGCCGGCATCCTTGTCGACTCGCTCCAGGATCTGATACGAGGAGCGGCCGATTTTGATGATGCGGTCGCCTGTGGGCGTTGTCTTGAAGTCGGGATCACATCCAATGTACTCTTCGGACAAGAATATCAAGCCGAGGACGATGCGAAGGAATAAGACCGGGTTCGCGTTCAAGTCGAAGACCTCCGATCGCAAGCATCCTGAACGGTCTTGTAACAGCACAAAGACTCCAGTCCCAGCGACCCCCATCCCGATGTGGAAGCGTCTATCATCCCGAGCAGCAAGGACGTTTAGTCCGCCGTCTCGAAGCTGCTTCGTCACGGCTTCCAGCTCTCCCGGGCTGACCTTAATCTGCACGTCGGACCCAACATCTTCCCAGGTAGGCTCCTTCACGGCCGGGTCGACAGAGACAATGTCGGGTTTCCGAGGAACGAAACCCCCAGGGAGAGTCTGATTGCGATACGCAGCAGTCCATACGCGCGTCTTGGCCTTTATCTTGGTCTTGCTGACTTTCTTCGCCTTCAGTAGCTCTCCATAGGCATCGCACATGCGCTGCATGTAGTCCGCGACGGCCACTTCCGAGCCCTCTTGAAGCCACTGAGGAGGTCTCTGTTGCCATTGACCGTCCTTGTGCCATGTGGATATCTTGTTCATCGCGGCGAGCGCGGGCTTAGGGGCAATAGGAAAGGCATCGTTGGGAAATAAGGCTTCAATGAGGCCGGGGACTCCCTTGATGGTGGCACCACTGCCGACCTCGTTGTCGAGTAGGGTGTCCATATGGTCGTGTTTTCCGATCGAAGGATGCGCGGTGAGCTTGATATCTCCTTTCTTGGTAGACGAGGTGAAGGCGTTGGGATGGGAGGCGGCTGTGACATGCTGTGGGGTATTCTCCCTCAGGTCAAGGGCCTGCATACTTGCGGCGACGTTTGGGTGATAGCGCGGTGCGACGACGACGAGTGGCGGAGTTTGTCTGTTGGCTCGCGCCGGCACTGGCAGACTGTCAGTCTATTGTCCTGCATCATCTGGCAGACCACGCACGAAGTAGGAAGAGGAGTGAGTATAACAGTAGGCTAGTGAGCGCTCTGTCACCGACAGTCGGGTGGTTGGTTGGAGGTCAAGAGTCAAAAAGATCCCAGCTGCCATGCCACCGCTGTGACATGTTGACTTTGCCTGTGACCGCCAGGGTATGATCGCCACGTGCCAGGGTTGGCAAATCAACGGAAGGCACGTCACGTGTATCAGTGGTGGTGTCACTAGGGCGCCGATCACACAGACTACGCGTAATATCCTGCGGCAATATTCCAATAATTCATGGGATCCATGGGTGGATATATGTTGAGTGGAAACATAAGCAAGATCATATTCGATGTTTGATGGCAAGCCTGACGTGACTTCTCGCGACGTCACGCTGTCACAGCAACAACGTTGCAATCAACTTCCATCATCTCTCCGCCACCCGTCAGCGTGGTTGGCTACCGCTGAACGTGTAGTGTTAGACCTGAAGCTCTGAGGGATACGGTACGCTGCAAAGCAGACTCTGTAGCCCTTTCTCATCTTCGGAATAGCGTAACGGCGACAATGGCGTCCTCACGGCAACAAGCAGCTCAACCTTGCGCGTTCGAAAGCCCGAACTCCACATCGCATCTGGATTACCCCAGCAAACCAGTTCCGACTTTGCCAGTCCAACGACTCGGGCTCACCGTCACGCTCAGTAAACAAGTCATAGCCGATACAGAACAATCCTCCATGCTGGAATCCAATCTCGGAACCAGCGTATTCCCGATGTCCCTCTTCCCCATAACCCCACTCTCTGTGATCAAACTCACCAACAAGGCCTTCTACGACGTATCGAACCGGAGATGGCTTTGCTACCCCGACTTCTCTAGTGTCCCAGACCGCATCGAGCGCATGTGCGCGATCGCCAGCTTCTTCAACAGATTCACGCGCTTCGCATGGCTCCTGTACAACGACAGGGGACACTCTCTGCCGAGCACTCCACGGCGGTGGTATGTCCTCGAGAGCCCTCGGCTCCTTGCCGATGGGAGCACAGTCTCGTCGTACGGGATGGCGCTCTCCGAAGAGGTTTCGGGAGACCTGCAGTGGCAAGATATACTCTGCGACGTGCAGGTCGAAGAGGACGCGGCGAACATGTCGGACGCTCTCCAGCGACTTACTACAGGCGCCGCTCATGTTTTCGCCACCCAAGAACACCGTCTATATCACCTTGGTGTGGCCCTTGCAGGAGATACGTACCAGCTGGCGTACTACGACCGCGCCGGCCGCGTCCTGTCTGGCGCATTCGACGTGCACAAGCACTCCGTGCTCTTTGCTCGGATCATCATGGGCTTGGCAATTCCCGACAAATCGTACGCAGGCCTTGACCCTAGCATCATTATCCGCGACGGCCGACGTTTCCTCGAGGTCTGCGGTCGCGAATACGAGATCTTGAGGACCATCTGCATCAACACGAACATGTTCGGTCGCGGAACTGTCAGCTGGCGCTGCCGTCGCGCAGATAGTGACGAGGACTTCGTCATCAAGAATGTGTGGGTAGACGAGCAGGATGGTGACAGCGAGGGATGGTTTTTGAAGAGGGCGCGATGGATCGAAGGAATACCGAAATTGGTCGACGAGGAACTCGTGTTGCGTCGCGATGGAGAACCATGTAGTACGACGAGGGTGCGCGCCTTTCGCCATGGCAAGAAGTCTACAGTCGTTCCCCCTTCCATCGCCCGTCTTGTGCTACGCCGGCTGGTTCTCCACCCATACGCGCGACCGCTCAGAGATTTCGCATCGAATGACGAGCTGCTGGAGCTATTGCATGATGCCATCCAAGGTGCGTGATACGCTTTGCTTGCATGAGCCCTGGACTTACACTTGCGTAGCGCACCAAGACCTCTACTTATATGCGGACGCACTTCACTGCGACATCAGCGAGAACAACATCATGGCGCATGACCCGCCGAACTCGTCGCGTCGCCGAGGGCTTCTCATCGACCTGGACAGTGCTGTCGTTGTCAGCGGGACCCCCAAAACAGGACCGGTGTGTGGTCTAAGGGTACGCCAGTCGATTGTAATAGCATGTTGTCTGTACTGACTTATTCCAGGGTACTTTGCCATATCTGGCCATTGATGTTTTGCAATACCCGACCCTCGTCGAGCGTGCACCGTGGCACGATCTCGAGTCCTTCCTCTATGTCCTCATGATCTTCTGCGCTAGCTACTCCGGACCCTCGAACACTCCCCGTCATGGGTTCAAAATCCACGAGTCGCCCTTGGGCCCTTGGCTCGCCGGCGATGGCAACTACAAAGCTCAGGTCATGCAGTGCTACGACGACGCCAAGTTTCGAGCCTTCCTCGACGAGGTCTTTGACCCCTACTTCGACGACCTGAAGGACGTGGTATGCGACCTGCGCAATATTATCACGCGCCCCAAGGACGCGCGCCCCTCGCACGTCGATGTCATGATTGTCATCGACAGGCATATTCGGGCTCTGCGAGCTAGTCAGAAGCGCACGGCAGCCGCTGCAAAGTGTCCCCCGGCCGTCGTGGGCACGAAGCGCAGTGGGAAGACGAAGAGGAAGCAGGTGACCGCCGCCGCCCACGCGCCTCCTGCGCCTCGTTCTGCTGCATCTCGGAAGCCTCGCCGTACGACGACGAGGTCGAAAGCGCGGGCGGCGCCGCCGCCGCGAACGCCGTCTGCCGCCAGCGACGAATCCGAGCGTACAGTCGTTCTCACACCTCCGCGGCGCCAGACACAAGCGGCGACCAAGCGTGCCCCTTCTAGCAAGCAGGCGATGACGGAAACGGGGATGGCGGGAGCAACCCGTGCAGCGAAGCGACGGAGGATGGAATGAGTTTCGACTCAACGTTATGGTATATTGTCTTTCCTCTTTCCATCCCTTCATTCTACTCACAAGATCATCGTAACGTGTTTCCACGGACCGAGCGATTTCTGCCCCCAACGTCGCGGTGTAGTCGAGGGACGAATGGGCAACACCGACCCCGGCTGAGCGCTTTGCCTCTCGCGAGTTCAGTCCAAACCGACAATCTCTGATAATTCACTCTGGCTAGATCTACCTCACATAGAGAGCTACGTATGCACTTCATACCTGTAAAACATTTCAACTGCTGAGCTTCACCGTGTTTTCTGGGACTGTCGGATGCTTTACGACGCCACAAATTTCCATTGACACACTAAACTCCCACGCTCTGCCTCACTCATGGTTTGATCGCAACTGCCGCTCCTAAACTCGGATTCTACTACCAGCCGACTGTCTCTGTGGTGAGCAGCTGAGCTTTCTAGCGCAGTAAGCCTAGCTTTGAAGCACTTCATGAGCCCTCATTCTGATTGCTGACAGCACGATGCTTGGAGCCAATCCCGCGAAGTGGAAAACCGGCAAGGCGTACGGAAAACGGCCAGATGCCATAGCCAGCGAAGACTCTCAGCCTAATGAGCGCTTGTCATCACGGAGGAATGGACTCCCTCCGCCCGTATTCCAGACAGGCAGAGCACCCAAGGCTGGTGATCACGTGTTGCCACCTTCATCCATGCGCCCAGCAAATGCGCTCCTTGCGCATAGCTCTCGCGAGAGTCCAGCGGGAGGGCTTTCTGTAGGATCGCATCAGCGACTCTCGATGAAAGCTAACAGCTCGCACTCGCAGCAGCCGAGGGCTCGCCCTCTTCCGGTACATGTGGCGACTTCGGCCACCTCCAACGGGAAGTCAGGTCATGACAGCCATGACCTTTCCTTCGACAGCAGAAAGCCCACAAATCTTCGCCAGCGCTCACCCTCCGAGGAGTCGGACGAGATTCAAATCATCGAGCCGCCTCCTAAACGTGTGAAGGTGGCCGAACCGGCTGTGGCTACGAATCCCATTCCACCCCTAGCCGGCCCTTCCCGCGACGTTCAGCACACCGCGAGAATCGATGACCCGGGGAGCGTGAAGGTCATAAAGCAGGAATCTATCAGCGCACCCCTCGACACGCGTACCATAATGGCGATAAAGGAGGAGCAGCGCAGCCCTTCACCCCTGGAGCCTCAGCCGCGCGCCGCAACGTCGGGGACTATTCGTTTCCACCCTCTTCCTCCTAGCTGTACCCATGCGGACACTAATTACAAGCGCAACCGTTCCTATTGGGCTCGCGATCAGTGGAACACCGTCCTTAAGCGGAATCCGGGCTTGCAAAAGAGGCATGCGATGATTCGGTATGGTTTATCGCAAGCCTTGATCGTACACGAGGCTCACCCCTTTTTACAGAGACGATGGGTTAGCCATCGACTGGTAAGCCTGCGCTGCCTGAAGAGGGAGTGTCTGACCTTTGGCGTGTAGGACGAGTCCTGTACCCGTTTGGACAGATACGCTAGAACCTGTCACTCTCGACCCGCGCGAACACTCGGATGATGAGGAGGATGCTGAAGACTCCCAGCAAGAAGACGATGACGTCCCAATCCTGCCGCCTCCGTCGAAGCCGGCAAAACCGCCGACTCCCGAAATCATTGACGTCGATGCACTCCCTTCGGACGTCGACGACAACGACGGAGGAGAGAATGACGAGGAGGAGGATGAATCGGCTTACAACTATGAAGAGGGAGGGGCATACGGCATCGAGGATGATGTCGAGTATCGGGACGAAGCACAGGGCGACTCAGAGAGCGACGACCAGGAGGACGCCATCACGGAGCTCGAAGAAGAATGCGACGTTGAAGGCTTTCGCGAACCGCCGTCTTCTCCAATCAATGACCTACCCACGGAAGAAGATGCCTTCGCCAGCATGCTTGCGTCTACTAGCCGCACGCAGGAGGAGCCTACTGCGAACCACGCTGCCGACTCTCTGGCGAAATTGCGTGCCCAACGGAGACGCGAGATGCAGCAGCTCACAGAGGGCTTTATATCACGGTATGATCTTCACGTTGGCGCTCTTCCTATCTGTCACTCAACCCGCAGCTATAGGTATATTCAAACATTCGAACGAGACCGCGAGCTTTTGGCCGGAGCCTACGCCTCTTACGCGCAGTTCTCCGTCCGAACTCACGCCCGGGATGCATCTGGCGCAGCCCTCGTTGAGCAATTCAGTCGCTCGAGTCCCGCGAAGCCTGGTAAGTGCCTTACCGTGCCACATTACTCTGTAACCTAACACACCTTCTACAGGGTCTGTACTCACAGCAATGGATATCCCACGAGTCATCGGACGTGCTGAGGTCATGGACGCTATCCGGGAGCTAGGTCCACACACCTACTTCCCTCGCGGGAAGAAGTTCGACCTCGACTGCGACCACGTCTTCCTTGCGAATGTGGACGGCTCGGGCGATGTCCTTTTGTCGTTCTACGGCGAGGTTGTCTTGCTCAACGAAAAGGGCATCCCGACCGAGGACCGTCTTTCCATCGACCAGACGATGCTGCTGCGCGAGGTCAGCGGGGAACAGGACGACGACGAGTAAGTTCATCCCTCCAAGGTTCAGGCGAGTCTAATAGCGATCTCGCAAAGATCCTGGCCGATGGTGATCGTCTCACACCAGATGATCGTGAAAGACGTCCCGTGGCGGAGGGACCTGGACGACTGGTGATGTCTTTCATTTATAACGCGCTTTTTGGGTTTCTTGTATGCGCTCGTTCTTGCAATTGTCTATACCCTCGCCCCGAATCTGGATCCCCCTTGCGCTTGAATCATAGCACGAAGGACACCCGATTTACCCGATAGCTTGGCCTCACCCACCATGGTCCTATAGTCGAGCACTTTCCAGCGTCCGACAACTGAATAGGACCACCGCGGCCGCATCCCAAGCCTCGGATATTGGATCCTTGCCTTCGACCCAGCCTTCTCCGACTCCGTGGCGGGCGCCTCGCATCGACGAGTGCCACGCAGATCGTCGAGGGCCTGACAGGCACTGAAGGTCAGTCACCTACCAGATGCGGAAGAAAGACGAATGCGCGTGCCCGCAGACCTCGGTGCATTGCGTGCCCGGAGACGGTCTGAATGGTTTCTCTCCAGTGGCTCTGTGCAGCCAGCGCAAGATAGCTCGTGGCGAGGTAGAACGACCTCCTACGGCCCTGCGGGCCCCTCAACGACGCAGACCTGAAGTGAAGAAGTGTACCTGATCTCTGGAACACCAAGGGTATAAAAGCCCCATCGTGGATCCATTCTCATTACCAGCCTTGGGTGCCGTCATCTCCTGCTGCTAACCTCAGTAGTCCACATCGGTCTTTACCTACCCTTCCTGTACACGCCATGCAGTTCACTCTTTCCTCTGCCATCGCCCTCGTTCTCGCCGGCGCCGTTACCGCGATGCCCATCGTCGAGACCAACAACAGCACCTCCCTCCTCGACGAGCGCGCTGCCAACCTCATCACCGGCGGCCCCTACGAGGCCACGAGTGAGTTCCGAATATCATCTGGATGGCAAGTATCCGGTACTGACGAACTGTGTCTTTCCCCCAGTGACCTACTACGCCCCGAACGGCGGGTACGGCGCGTGCGGGACGCCGATCGCGAACACGGACTTTGCGATCGCGATGAAGCAGTCTCTGTTTGAGAGCTACAACACGTACGCGTTGTTGCCCCTCGTCCCGATCTCGCGCATGCTCACAAAATCCCCAGCGAGCACCCCGGCAATCAGAACCTCAACCCGCTTTGCGGCACGCCCGTCCGCATCACCTGTACGTGGGAACCTGCCTTCGCCACCTCTTACTGACCGCACCCCACCCCACCCCAGCACTCGAAACCCCCAACGCGCAGGGCGTCGTCGCCTACATCCGCGACTCCTGCCCGGGCTGCCAGGGCGACAAGGGCATCGACGCGACGCCCGCGCTCTGCACGGCGGTGACCGGACAGGCGGACTGCATGCTCCAGGGCACGTTCCGCGTGAAGTGGAAGTTTGGGCCCAACCCGGCGCCGGATTATTAGATGGGGCTGAGTGAGGTGGTACTGGTGAGTGAGGTGGTATTGGTGAGTGAGGCGTTGGTGGCTGTTCGCATGCCGAGCGAGCGCTGATTGAGAATGACAGTGTCGTACGCAATTAATGCGGTCGGAAGTCGCAAGAGAAATCATTCGTTCAGTTGATTTATGGGAATATTTATTATGGGTCTGTTGTAGGTTGTACAAGGCGTCGGATGAGATATCTATCGAAATCGTCAGAACGAGGTTTGAGGTGTGCTTTTGACGAGACGAACCTTTAAGCATGATAGTTATCACTTAGACCTCGCGCGCGACAGTTCCGGTGATCGACGGCTGCGTTTCTGCGCATTGCTATTAGCAGAAGGACGTAGAAAAGCCGGAACACGTCTTACCTGACAGGACATGAAGTATGTCCCGCGCACCCAACAGCGGCAGACATCCCCTCACATGCCTTGCAATCGCGTTCTCCTCCGCCTGATAGCGCGACATGTAGTCCAGCACATGCGCTATGTGTACGCGCACTCGCGACAGCCGAGGGGCCGACTCCGTCAGCAAGCGGTCGAGCGCTCGCCACTCTTTGTCCCAGACCGCGCCGTCATCGGCGGTGCGCAGGGAGACAAAGAAGTGAAGGTCGAGCGTCTCGATGAGGGGGAGGTGGCTGAGTTGGGAGGAGAGCCAGGCGAAGCAGTGCCGGCCGCGGGTGGTTTGGAAGAGGCGCTCGAGGAAGAGGGAGCGCAGGGTGAGGTGGCGCAGGTGGGGGAACGCGGCGCCGAGGATGAAGCCGAAGGGCTCTGAGGTCGATTCACCGGTGGTAGCTGGAATGATGCGCGTGAGAAAGCGCAAGAAAGCGATTAATGGCCCGGTACTGACCTTCCGGGTACAGCGCAAAATCCAAGGATTGAATGCTGGAGAGGATCGGAGCGATCTTCAGGAAGCACATGAGCATCGCCTTGTCCTTCATGAGCCCGGTCTTGAGATGGCGTAGATTGTGCAGATCAAGCCCGCAGGCCGGGGCCAGGAGTTCCTCCGAAAACTGCGCGAACGATATACTAGATAGACGCAGCTCGATGGACGATAGATTGTTATGGCGTTCCACTGAGCCGGCGGGGATCGTCCAAGACCGGAAGTAGACTTCAGTGAGTTGCAGCCTGCGAAGAGTCGGCATGGATGATAGCATCCGCGGTGGGAAATTCCAAGCGTCGGCAGCGCGGAAGCACTGGAAGGTAGGGAGGTGGAAGACGAAGTCGAGCGCGGCGAGGAGTGCACTACATCGCTCGTAGGACTCCTTCCAGCTGGCGTGCATTCCATCCAGGTTCGTGAAGCGACGCAGCAGAGTCGGTAGAGCGGTGTCGTCTGCGATCCACAAGCTCCACGGTTCCTCCAATAGATGGACGCAGCGCACGTACAAAGCGATATGGGGAGACTTGTCTAGAATGTCAAGTATCTGGGCGGTCTTTGGCGGTCTATTGTGCGATTCTCCAGACGTGAACCTCAGTTCGCGGAAGAGGCATGCTTGACTGGAATCCAGGAACGAGCGATGGGCGAGGGCGCAGGACTTGAGGGAGCTGATGTCCGAGTCCAAGTCTATGAGACGGACAACTTCGTCGACGATTTCTTGGGGAAGATGTGGGTAATCTTCTAGCTTGGTCATGTTTTCCATATTCGTGGGTGATGATGACCGTCAAGTTCAACCTTGGGCGGGGATTGCCGGAGAAGAACGCGGCAGGTTCGGCCCGTGTATGCGCACGTGGTGTGATGACGCAAGCGCTGCTCATTGTACTTTGTGCTCATTGTTCCTTTTCTGGCTTTGGCGGTGACTGCTTACTTCTTGCCTCTTACCCCCATCATCGGACGCGCGTACCAGCGATGCAGCCAGCACTATTCGGCGACGAGCGTAGGCGACAAATCAACCTCGGAGGCGCATCTGGCGCGTACTCTCAGTCAGCATTACTCAACCAGGCGAAGGCGCGGCGGCAGGAGCGACATGCGCTCAAGCAGAAGCAGGAGAGCGCAGTGAAGATACAGGCGTGGTGGAGAGGTGTGCGCGAGGCACAATACGTCCGTCGCGACATGCGGCAGGCTCTCGATCGCGACATCACTAGCCTCAATGCTCTCCGATGCTTGGTTCTCGTAGGACAAGATGAGGAAGCACTGGGAAAGTGGTCGCAGTCATTAGACAGCGCAGGGGCAGGTGCGCCGCATATATATCGATACCGACATCGATGCTGACGCGTCGCTTCAGGCGCTGTATTCGCGCCGGCACGCGACGGTTCTGCTGCAAGCTGGCTGGTGCTGATCCGTAAGGCGAGCCTCATGTTATGCCAGTCTCTATCACGAAATTTTCAGTGAGTACAGCCTCAGCTAGATGGATCGCTCGTCTACCCCATCTCCAGACGGCGTTCCAGCAACTGCGATGGCTGACAGCGTGCAGGTCACCTTACGCAATACACCACGTCAATATATTATCTACCTTACTCTCTCCTGACGCTGGCCGTTGCGCGCTAGGCCTCGACGGCAGTCAAGCAGCTACCGAAATATCACGATATCTAGTCGAACACGATTACCAGCAATATCTTGCTCAAGCACTCCGCCAAGTGGTACGTACCATCACCTCCGCAAGTGCTGCCACATTGACGCACGTCCTAGTCTCTCGAACGCAAGACACAATATGCTGCACTCCCAACACTTGTACAACTCCTCATTGCCCCCTTCTCCCTCTGGCAACCTGCGACACCCACCTTTGACCGCGCATTCCTCGGCTTCTTCACGCGTATCCTCACCATCCCCCTCCTCCCAAATAGACTGCCGCTAGAATCACTTGCCCGGCTTTCATCAAGTCTCCCATACTCATCACTCCCCGCCCTTGCATCTCATCTACCAGATCTAATTGCCCTGGACATGGACAGCAAGGTCCATCTCATCGCAAACCTTGTCACCTTTACCGCTCCACGATATGCCGCATTACCCACCACCGCACTCGCAACGTACTTGCGCATCCTCACTGCGCTTATAAACACCCTACCTATCAATGCACTTGACCCGCCGTCAGCGCAGAAGGCTCCGAAAGCGAACGTCACCCCATGGCGGCACGACGACTCGGACGACTCAGACTCCGACGAGCCGGCGACACAGGTGACCGTCGTGTCGACATTTGCGCCGCCGCCCCAATTACCAGATGTCGACAATCGGACTGCCAAGCGCTTGCAAACATTGCAAGATGGAAAGCACCTCGCCTCGCTCTTGGCCGCGACGAAGGCGCACTCTGGCGCGCGTTCATGGCTCGTGACATACTTGCTTGCGCTCACTACCGTGTGGCCCGCGACGCGAGAGCACGTTCTGAGCACGATTCTCGCGCATACAGGCGGCACGCTGGTCCGCGAACTGTACCGAGGATATGTCCGCGGCAGTCCACTTGGGCGAGAGGGCAGCCCGGGTGCGGTGCTGGATCCCGCGCACGCGGAGGCTTGGCCACCGCTGCTGCTGCTCGCGGACCTGTACACGCAGGCGCTCCTGACGATGGGCGACGACGAGTTTTTCGGTGCCGGGCGCAATCCGCTGACGCTGGACGAGGTTGCGTCTTTCGGGCGGCAGCTACTGGTCATCGCCTACACGCTGTACACGCGGGAGGATCAGGGCGGTATGGTGCGTGCCGACGGGTCCGTCCTGCGCTGTTCCTACGACGGCGCGCGCGAGAAGATAACGCGCTGCCTAACGGCAATCCACGCACGAGAGTGAGCCCCTCATTCTTCTTCGTGCACGCACACGCTGAACCCTCCCCCTTCCAGCTCCCGCAAGCCCTTCGTGCGCCGCGACCACTGGCTCGTCACCGCGCAGGTCGACATGCAGGCCTTCGTCGAGGCCGCCATCTACGAAGAGCAGAAGCTCTCCCACGCCGACGCCGACCTGCCGCCCCGCGCGCTCTCCAAGCGGCAGATCGCCGCCATGTCCCCGCGCCTCGGCGTGCTCAACAACATCCCGTTCGCGATCCCGTTCGAGGTGCGCGTGAGCATCTTCCGGCACTTTGTCGCGAACGATATGATGGCGCGCGGCCGGAGCGCGAGCCGGTATGCGTATGGGCCGGGGCAGAGGACGCGGGCGGAGATCAGGAGGGGGCGGGTGGCGGAGGATGGGTTCGATAGGCTGGGGGATGCGGACTTGAAGGCGCCGTTGGAGATCACGTTCATTGATCAGTTTGGGGAGCCGGAGTGAGTGGTTTTTCATGGGTTGTTGATGTTGAAAAGGGCTCGGGCTGACGGCGGTTGACAGAGCGGGCATCGATGGTGGGGGGCTGTTCAAGGAGTTCTTCACGTCGCTGTGCAAGGAGGTCTTCGACACGGATCGCGGGCTCTGGTTGGCGAACAAGAAAAACGAGCTGTATCCGAACCCGCATGCGTATGCGACGGAGTGTGAGTGCGGTGCCCCTGCTTACCGGGTCGGGCGCTGACTTGTATGAATACAGCGCACAGCCTGAACTGGTACCGCTTCATCGGCCGCATCCTCGGCAAGGCGATGTACGAGGGCATCCTCGTTGACGTAGCTTTCGCGGGCTTTTTCTTGGCGAAGGTAAGCTCGGAGTATAGTATCGCTCGACGGCTGGCTCACGCGGATGTAGTGGCTCGGACGTCAAAGCTTCCTCGACGACCTCGCGTCGCTCGACCCCGACCTTTACAACGGCCTCATCTTCCTCAAGAACTACGATGGCGACTTTGAGGCGCTCACGTTGAACTTTACTGTCGCTGTCGAAGGTGCGTGTGGCCTGACGTTGATCTCATTTCTGTCGGCTGGGGAAGTGCTGAAATCGACCTCCACTCCACAGAATTTGGCGAGGCAAAGAGCGTAGATCTGATCCCCAACGGGAGTAACATCCCCGTGACGAAGGAGAACCGGCTGCAGTACATTCACCTCGTGTCGCACTTCAAGCTCACGCGGCAGATCAAGCTGCAGTCCGAGGCGTTCTTCGAGGGCTTGTCGCAGATGATCGATCCGAAGTGGTTGAGGTGCGTGTGGTCTTGTTATTCATAAGTTCCCCTTCGTCCACCATTCCCGACATCACTTCGTCGACTGCGACTAACACCACCCTTGCGCAGGATGTTCAACCAGCAAGAAGTCCAGATCCTCATCGGCGGCGCGCACACACCCATCGACCTCGACGACCTGCGCGCGCACACGAACTACGGCGGCCTGTACGACGACAACGAGCTCACGATCCAGATCTTTTGGAAGGTGGTCAATGGGTTCAACCAAGAGCAGCGCCAATTGCTGCTGCGTTTTGTGACCAGCTGCAGTCGGCCGCCCTTGCTGTGAGTTTACTCTTTTTTGCTGCTCCTGCACTTTCGTCACTTCCGCCTGCGCAAGTGCTAATGTAACCCTGCAGGGGCTTCAAGGAACTCGTCCCGAACTTCGCCATCCGCGACGCTGGGTCGGACGAGAACCGACTGCCCACGGCCAGCACGTGTGTCAACCTATTGAAGCTGCCTAGGTATCGCAGCGAGCGGGTCCTGCGCGATAAGCTGCTGCAGGCGATCAACTCGAACGCGGGCTTCGACTTGTCGTGAGCAGGGGAATCTGCAACTCGTGAACGCGGGTCGCAATCCTGAAGGGGCGGAAGGCAACTTCTTGCGCCATCCCTACCTCAGTTGGCGTTGGTGTCTTATCTGAAGGAGAAAAGATACGGTATGCACACTTGGATCTGTTGTACTAATATGGGACGTCTATCTTAGAATGAGATGCGCTCTTGCGTTCGTTCGTTGCGGCAGAGGCCGCGTGGACTTTGGCTCTATTCGTGCATGAGGCATAATCAACAAAATCGTCCTTGGCGATGCTACTGATCACAATGATACACTAACGCGCTTGCTAACGATGTTCCCACTTCAAAACTTCAAGAATTCCTTCAGCGTCGTCCAGTGATGACCCTCCCATAGGTGGTTGGCCCCTCCGGCACCATCACCCTCCTCGAACTTCTTGTTCTTGTTCAGGAGCCCTTGCTCGATGACGGTCTGCAGCGCCGTAAGGATGTACGCGGGTAGGCCGCCCTCAGGTACCGGGACTTCGTCAACTTTCTCGACCGGCGCGTTGAGGATGGCGCCGAGTCCGTTGAGGGTGAGCTCCTCGCCCTCGATCCGAAGGGCCTTGTTGGCAAGCTCGGGCAGAGGGTAGTGGGTCACGACGTGTGCAACGTAACCTGAGGAGAGGTGAGTATTAGTTCATCGACGCCGAAGTGTACGCACTAACCTCCGATATCAGAGGTAGTAGTGGCGGAGAAGGGCGTGTTTCCGGAGAGCGTCTTTATGACGTTGACCTTCTTGTTGACGTTGTAGCCGACGAGCGTCGTAATGAACTCGATGAAGCTGCCCGTCTGTAGCAAGGTTAGTCTAACCCAACATGCAAGAATATCCTTTAGACTTACGAAGATGCGCAAGGACGGCAGTCTGATGGACTCGAGATGGTCTTTGCGAGCTAGGTCAGCATCGGCCCCCGCCAGCAAGGTCCGTGAACTCACCAGCAACCTCAACCTTCGGCGCCAGGTACGGAGGCACCTCGCCCTTCTTCCAACCCTTGGTGATCGTCCCGAACTCGCTTGGCACAAACAGCTGCACCCCAGCCGCCTTCGCCGCGTTGGCGAGCGGAATCTGCTGTGGCACGGCGGTCGTGGTCACCGCAGAGACGACCACCTCGACCTTGTACTCGCGGAGGACCTTGGCGGTTCCGTCGACGTCATCGTAGTTTATGCCAGCGTGGGCGACGCCTTGGGGAAGCCAGTCCGGGCGCGGCGTGGTCTTGCGGGTGAGGACAAGCACGGAGACACCAGGGGTGGTTGCGAGGGCGTTGACGGCGGCCTTGCCGATGCTGCTCTGTGCTCCTGCGACAGCAATGGATTCGAATCCTGCGGGCATGTTGTATGGTCAAGCGATCGCTACGAGAGGTTGTGGCAGTGAGAAAGGTGAAGGAACCTTGACATTCGGTCCGTACTTATACGCCCAGGTTCGTCAATGACGCTACCTTCGCGAGCTCGAGCTTCGGCAGCCGCGCCATGCGGAAGCACGGAGTGCAACCTGCTCAATATGTGAGGGCGAAGGCGTATGCATACCAGTGCGTTCAATGCAGCTGACGTTCATGGTCACGGCTGGCCTCATTCTGCGTCAGTCGTGATGACCAATCTCTGCAACCATATAGTATTGGTCGGGTAGCCGGCTAGGCGCTCTCCGTAGCCCGTTGCTGATTCTGCTGAACTGTGAACAATAGAGTCTTCAGCTTGACGACTGCGACATGAAAGGCAGGAATTCGCTGTATCAGAAGGTGCGCTTGTTGGCGCCATTCTGATCTGAACCTGAAAGGTTGAGATAGAAAGAAAGAGACTTGCAGAATCTAGCCACTTCACTATGGTATAGATAGTATTCGAAGAGGACGACGATGCATCTCGGGTGACAACTCGCACTTCACGAATTTACAACGATGTAATCAAACCACCAAAGTACACTGGTTCCCTTCTCACTGGATTCCTCTCGTGGCGGGCGCTCAACGTCGTTTTCAGGGTATTGTCCTGGTCTTCAAGATGTCCTCAGGCGGCGGATTCTCTGTTGGCTGACTAGCCGAGTATCTACACGCAAAAACGGAATCACAGCGACAACCGATACTTCCACTCAACGGTTTCAGTCGTCCAGGAAGCAAGAGGCAAAAGTTGAGAATGGAGATAAAGGATTGAGGGCAACATTGCATCGACGCGTGACATCAGAAGTTGCATATACAAGTCAAACCTCCTCGCAGAACTGCCGATGGCTCTTTCTCAATTTGAAGCATAATGATGGTAGTCAAGGTCTGCTTCGAGCTATGATACAAAATGTAGATTAAATGATGATGGCGTAACTATGCCACCTTTCGCCTCTTCGAGCGCCTCAACGGCTGAGTCTCGACCTTCTCCGCGTCTGCGTCAGCGTCCTTGCCGCCCGCTACGCCTCTGTCCCGACGTCCCCGTGCCGTGGTCGTAGCTGCCCCATCGCTTCCAGAGGTCTCAGACGACCGCGGCGATACTGTCGGGGTCTTCGGAGACGCAGGGACATACGAGTCGCTGGTTGTCTCCGACGAGGGTGAAGAGCGCTGCCGCTTCGTTCCCCGCGTACTTGGCGGCTTTGCGGACACGGGCCGAGTGGCGCAATTCGCGACTGCCTCCTCGCGCTCGTCTTCGTGATTCTCCAGATACTCGTCAAGGTAGACTGTAAAGCACGAGTGCGATGGCTCCCAGCCCTGCGGTCGTAGGACTGCGTTCCGCACTTTACATACCATATCCTTGAGGTCGTCGAAGTACGGATCGAAGATGCTGTCGAGGAACGCGCGGAACTCATCGTCCTCGTAACGGAACATGACCTTCTCCTTGTGCGCGACATCGCCGTCAAACCAGGGCCCCAGAGGCGAGCTTCGGATGTCGAACTCTTTGCGCGGGGAGTGCGATGGGCCGGAATACTTGGTGCAGATGAACATGATGACATAGAGGAAGGACTCCAGGTCGTGTCGGACACCGTGTGCTTCGAAGCGGGGAACTTGGAGCATGTCGCAGGCCGTGAAAGGAATAGAGCTCTGCAAGGTCCATGAGTTGCGAGACGCGCAGAGGTACCTACCACGTACCTTGGGGCGTTCCAGGACCACCGGATGACTTTCGCTTGCACAGTCTGCGCGGTCGAAGTTGACGAGAAGGCCGCGTCGTCGCGGGAGACTTCCATGCAACATGATATTGTCCTCCTTGATGTCGCAGTGAAGAATGCCGTATTTCGGATATAGCGCTTCGTGTGCTGCCGGCGGTGTCAGCAGATCGTTGGTCATAACACTGGCGACTCACCTACGACTGCATCGCGAAGGCTGCTCACAAGCTCCACTTTCGACGAAAAGTACGACAGTGGTACGGCGCATGGCCGCATCACGAGACGACGTAGTTCGAGCTGGGGGAGGTTGCTCACGATGGACCAGCGCTCCGGGCCAGCCGCCAGAGAGCGCACCGAAGTTGTTGTCCATGCTTGACCATCAGGACGAAGGACGCGCTCTTCGCATACCAGCTTGGGGATATTCGCAACGCCCATGGCTCTGGTGAGCAGGTCTCCTTCGGTATGATCGAGTGTCTTCTCAGCCCACGTGTTCTTGACAAAGAAATCCTCGTCGCTGCCAGATCGACGGCAGCGCCAGCAGATCGTGCCAGATCCACAAACACCGTGACTGGAGGAAAGCGTCTCGAGGATCTCGTAGTCGAAGCCACCTATGGTCACGAAGCGTCGGCCGTCCCGGGTTACAATTGAAGTGTCCTTGCCATCGTAAGGTTTCCCGACGAGCGTCAAACCCATGATGACGCGGATGAAGAGGTCTGGGTTCTCGTGTATACCGTGCACGCCGGAGAGGACACATCCAGCGCGATCGTAGTATGCCACCTGGAATGCGTCGCCGGCGATAGCGAGGCCGACGTGGTGCAGCCGGTCCTGCTGCTCGTCGAACACGTGGGTAGCGCCGGTCGCGAGTCGGTCGATGGCCTCCGCCATGCGATCAGCCGTCGGAACCATCTGCACGTCACACAGTACATCGCCCCAGGATGCCTCAGCGCCTGCTTCTACTAGTGCGAGCCCGGGCACTTCGGCGACGACTCCATCCGAGACCAAGCGCGAGCTCTTGGTCGCGACCCACTGGCGTGGAGTATTGGGAGTGGGTTTCCTTCGATGGGCATGAGCGAGCCAACAGTGTCGGGTGAGGTGATTGAGGAAGGTCGCCATAGAGCGCGCTCTGCGCGATGGGGCCAGATTGAGGGCAGGATAGCCAAGCATCCACCTGTTTTTCGAGAGAGAGTACGCGATACCGTCGAGTATGTCGACCATCGCGCTGGGCTCAATGGCGAATACATTGCAAGGGAAGAGCGCCGACTCGAAGACGCCACTGATCTCCACAGAGGTCTTCGACAAAGACAGGATGTCGGACTTATCAACGCGTGTGGGGAGGACGCATGGCTTGGAGCGTTCAGGTAGATGGGTGACGGGATACGCTTCAACGGTGCTGCTAGTCTTCCGGCTGGTGCGTGTGGCGGACACCGTAGCGTCCTTCGTGCGCCTATCTTTCCTGAGGCGGCGGCGAGGTGCAGATTTTGCAGGAGGCATGCCTTCTGGACTACGCGTAAGTCTCGAGACGTCTTAACAAAAGACCAGGCGTACCGACTTTCGTAAACTGTTGTGGGTGGCGCTTCGTTCAAGTGAAGGTTGAAAAAGAGGCGGACACGACCGTTGGGAATATGCGGGGGATAAGCTCCAGATGAGGTGCCGGTTTTCTCAGGGAAAGAGGTCTCGGGATGGTGGTAGTCCAGGTCAACCGCTGTTTGTTGGGGTCCGGGCCTTCCGCGTGTTTCCCATCAGCGCACAAACAGAAACAATCAATGGAGTCACATGATTGCCTCGTGCCTCCGTTTTCTCCCGCCGGTCATGCTTGAAGTGATGAGAGCCTATACGCCATATGTGAGTGCTTGTACAGACTTCAACACTCTGTTGTAAATCTAGCGCCGAACATACTACTATCATCTGAGGTCTAGGATACAGATCATCTCATGAATTCAATGTGAGAGGCTTAACTTGCGATATGTGATGCCGCTACCGCCAACACTTCAGCGCTGTGCATCACAACGTACGACTGTTTCTGATCTTCCGAAGTGGTCACAAGGGCAGTGACGTGGAGTCTTCAAACGGAAGAAGCTCATCTGGACTCATAGATAGACACTCGCCGGCCCAAAACCCGCGACATCATATGCTCTCTGGTTTGCGGCAAGTGGATCCTGTCGTGACCTGACGGTGTGGGATCCAGGGGGATTATGATGGATAGAGATCGTCCAGAGGTGGGAGGTCAGGTCCAAGGATTTTCAGTGACTTATTGAGCATTGGCGGCTAGCTTGCGAGAGGCGCGTGTATACGCGCAGCATATAAAATTCGATCTATAGGTGAGTGACATCGATAGAGCTTATCTTGAAGAGATGTACAGTCAGAACCATCGAGCAGGGCGTGTAAAAGTCGACTTTCAATGCGCCGACTGGCCTGAACCCGCGTCCTCGTGTCGCTCACGTGAGGTCAACGCGGCTCATTGTTGTCATGTGTTGATGGCCTGCCCAAAATGCTTATTTGCTCGCGTCGCAATTCGAGCTTGATTCTCATCACCTTTTTTCTGCCACTCATCTCATCCACTCGGCCACTCTCGAAAGGTCGCTCTCGGAGTCTGCCTGTCGCGTTCCTCATGGGTGATGTCTCGGTGCGTGACTATCTCTCTCTCTCATACCATCGTATCAACGTTCACCACAGTCAGGCGTGTCCATGGGCGAGCCACCGGATCTCGAAATCGACAGCGACAGCGACAGCGAGCCCATAATCCCTATTCAACCCGAAATTCCCTCTTCACCGCGCAAGAATAAGCTATCATGTTTGCCCAATGCTCTTGTCTCCTCAAAAGAGCAGGGTCACCGGCTCGGCACCGACGCCCTGTTCCACCACAAGAATATAGATGCTCTATTACTCAAGGAGCTCGAGGATGCTCACGTCCATGACTCCAAGGATCTGCCCGAAGCTCTGTTTCCCGAAGACGCCTTTCCTATCACCTTGGACGACACCCTCGATCATCTGTTGCCCCTCGACAAAAGAGCAGATGGGTGGCCGGGTTGCCCTAATCTTTTAGAGCAGAAATGTGAGAGGGAACTTGCGGCTTTCTTCGAGGCGACCTGCGAAACCGTTCGCGAGTTCTACCTGGAAAATGGGGAAGCTTGGGACGAGGACAGGAGCTGGACAGCGGACTACTGCAACACGCCTCTGCCCGGAGGGTTCGTACCCCGCAAACCGGACATCGCTGCCCTTGTACTTCGTCGCGCGCTGGACTGGCTGAGTCTGCGATGTGATGGCCAGCACAAATGCAACGAGACTCTGATAGACGATATCACAGCCCAGCTCCACGATGGCGCCCTGAACTGCCTCACTGCTCAGGACGATAGGTTCTTCCACGTCGGTCTCGGTATGGCCGGGAGGAGGCTCTTCTTGGAATATTACGACCGATCTGGCTATATCCGCTCTCCTGCGTACAACATCCACATAAGCCTGATCTTCTTCCTACGGGTGTTGCTCGGCTTCACGATGTTGTCCAAACGGTTCCTGGGATATGATCCTACAATCACGCACCGCAATGGAAGGCGATACGTCACCATCGCCGGCAAGGAATATCGGATCATGGAAAGAATCAACAAGACACAGGGAATTCGGGGTCTAGGAACTGTCGTCTGGCGCTGCTCTTGCGACAACGAAGAATTCATCATCAAGAGTATCTGGGCCGATCGCACTCGAGCTCATACGGAAGACGAATATCTGAAGGCGGCTGCCGCAGCTGACGTTCCCGGCATCCCTACCCTAGTGGCGTTCGAGAAAGTCTGCATCGACGGTGTTCAAGTTTCGACGGCGACTATCCGGGAGAAAATCGGCGTGCCGGCTTCAGATTATGAAGCGCGAGACCTCGTTCGGCTCGTTATCAAGGAGCGCGGCATACCGATCTACTGCTTCTCGACGAGGACAGAGCTGCTATCGGGGCTGAGGGATATCGTGTACAGTGCGTTACGTTTCTTCTGACCCTCGAAGATTTGACTAACACGGCAATACAGCGCTATGGAAGCTTTGCGTCGATGCCAAAATTCTGCACGCGGACATCAACGATCAGAATGTGATGCTTAAGGCCAGCGCTACGCCGGGTCAGCGCCCTGGGCTACTCGTCGACTATAATTATGCGCGATTCCTGAACGAGGCGGCGCATGCCGCATCTGCCTGGAGGAGTGTAAGCACCTTGCTCGCCTTCGTAAGCGCATTGGCTGACATCTTGTTCTTCCACCAGTTGAAAGCCGTATTTGCGGCGTCGGACTTGCTCACCAAAGGCAAATATCGCGCGTTTAAGGCGCAGTACGACCTGCAATCGGTCCTGTACCTCCTTATTTGGATTTGCTGCTGTTATAGTGGCCCAAACGGCCAGCTGCGCAAGTTCAAGATCATGAAAACGGAGCTGGCTGATTGGCTGGCCATCGATGAGTACTCCGTCGGTTCAAACAAGAGCACCGTCATGAGCCTCAGCAACGTTACTTTTGGCAACTTCATGCGGGACACCTTCGACGAGTACTTCAACATGCTACAGACCTGTGTCTGGGAGCTTCGCCAGGTCATCATGGCCGACAGCGTCGATGCTCCGTTTGCCGAGGTGATTCGCATCTTCAACAAATATATCCCCAAGATACGGAAGAAGGAGAACTTGGGACCGCTTCCGGCTCCAGCGGTCAACCGGGAGACGGCACCTCGACGGCTTGCCGGCCGGAATGCAGAGGCACGAGCCTCTCGGGCTGGTCAGGATCCTGCACCGCCAGCAACCCCTCCTACCCAAGGCGACGAGTCGGCGGAGGGTCGCAACGGTGCGTCTACACTCTATCCACTGATTTCAGCATACTGACAATGAGCAGATGGATCCTCTACCGCTCAAGCGCGCGCGGAAGGCGACCGTGGCGAGGAGCAGCCCAAATCCCGCAAACATGGAGGAAATTGCGTAAGTACCGAAATCGTCTCTGAAGTCGCTGTACTGACGTCGATCGATTCCAGTATCATGACGCCTGCTTAGAGGCCCGTAGCAGGGAGCCTGGCAAGCCGTGCCTTCGCGCCGAGGCCGGGGCAAAGAAGCAGTCAAAGAAGAGTGCAGGTTCGAGCCGCTGACCTGGGGGCCTTCACTGGATGTATCGTGGTTATATAAATTATTACTTACTCCATTGTTCAACTGCGTCCGATACGAGGACCTGCGCATAGTGGTCATGAGTGAATCAGTCAACAGCTTGCCTTCTGACATGAGCAGAGCTGCAAGTCGGCCGCGAGGAGAACAAACTTCGCCCAATATCCGCCTCTTTCACGACCGTCAGCGGACAAGTAGTGACGACGGTGCTTGTTAGCGGGGTGAATCTGAATGGGTATGTTTAGACTGCTCAATACTTATAGTCACGAGAGCTCTTCGGAATCGCAAGTTCGACGACAGTCGACGCAGCGCGTGACATTCCACGAGACATGCAACAGGAAGAAGTCATATATATCGCGCTCAATGGTATGTATGTTCCCATTGAATCAGTTGACAATAAGTACAGTTTGGAACAGGCCGCGCTTGCGCCTAGCTGAATCGGTGATAATCCTTCGTGGCCAGGGTTCTGGGCTGCAGCGAGCGTCCAAGGCGGCTGACCCCGACGTGGAGACGCTGAAAAAAGCAGTACACTACACCATTTTTCGTCGTTTCGCAGCACGAGTCGCTGTCGCCATCCCCGCCTGATCGAACTGGGCGTGCTCCGTCGACGCGCGCGTCTTGCGCCGCGAGGGTGTCAGAATCCGAGTAAGGTTTGGTTTGTTGCTGGCGAGGGATGGCCCCCGAGGCGGCGCTGCGCGCGACTTCGCCCTCGTCGTCATGCCATGAGTTGGACCCGCCGGGGCGTCGAGGGCAGGTGAGGACGAGGGAGAAGGGTCTGTGCGCCTCTTCCTGCAGTTACGTTTCTTGCTGGCGACCGGGGAAGCCTGCTTGGACGCGATCGCCGCGTGCGCCTGAATCGCCCGCCGGGCCCGAATGTGGTTGTCGAAGACCGTCATGACATCGAGGTGCGTGATCTGCCTGTATTTCCTGAACATGATGAGGGTGCGCAGCTCGCAGACGATGTCTTTCAAGTCGTCGAAGTAGGGGTCGAAGGTGCGGTTGAGGAAGGCGCGGAATTTGGCGTCGCTGTAGAGGTACATGATGTCGGCCTTGCGGTTGCCGTCGCTGGTGTACCAAGGCGCCATCGGCGACTTTCGGATGTCGAAGCCCTGGCGAGGGGTGCTCGAGGGACCGGAGCAGGTGGCGCAGATGATCATAAGGACATAGAGAAATGATTCGAAATCGTGCCATGGTCCATGCTCGCTCTGGCGCGGAAAAAGCAGTATATCGCAAGCTGTGAACGGTAATGTTCCCTGTAAAATGTCAGCGATATTGATGAATCAGTGAGACTGTACAGCGTACCCCTCCCTCGTTGGCCGATCCGGTAGCGGGCTGCCCGCTTACGGAGACGGCGCTGGCGAAGTCAATGAGCATCCCTCGCGGCCTCGACGAACCCGGTTCAGTGTAGGCCCTGATGTTATCGTCGTTGATGTTGCCATGAAGAAAGTGCAGATCCTCGTAGACCGCTTCGTGCTCTGATGCAAAAGTCAGAATCGTCGTTTCCCAACGAAGACATAGAACTGCGTACCTTGCAGCGCATCAAGCATCCACTCAAGTAACTCTTCCTTCGACGAGAAATCCCTGGGTGGTCGTGCGTACGGCTGAAAAACAATGCGGCGAAGCACCAGGCGAGGGACATAATAGGGGACAATGGAGCGCTTCTTTCCCTGACGCGATTCACGCACGCGCACTGTCGTGTACGGCTCGCCGTCCGGACGCAGGACGAGCTCGTCGGATTCAGTCCTCAGCTGCGCGACCATCTGTACGCCCATCAGGAGCTCCCCTTCTTCGGCACCCTCTCTTTCGTCCACCCACACGCTTTTGATGACAAAGTCTTCGTCATCATCCGGGCACCGGCAGCGCCAGCAGACAGTCCCGCGTCCTAGCATAGTCGTCTTGATGTGTATTGTCTCCAAAATCTCGTATTCCTGTTGGCTAACCTTGAGGAAGCGCCGACCTTCTCGCAGGATGACATTGGGGTCAAAACCCAGAAAGGATTTATCAAGGACTGTCAAGCCCATGATGACCCGCGCAAAGAGTACACAGTGCTTATGCACGTTGAACTTGGGGGAGAGAACACGACCAGCACGATCGAAGTACGCCAATTGACAGGTGTCGCCTGCAAGAGCGAGCCCGAGATGAAATAGACGGTGTTCTTGCGTGGCGAAGATGTGCGCGGCACCAGTAGTGAGCTTCTGGACAGCTCTCGAGATGCCCTTCAAGGTAGACTCAATCTGCACGTCGCAGAGTATATGGCTCCACTGCAGATCGGCGGAACCTGCGTCGACCAACGCAAGCCCACATGACGCGACTTTGCTCCCGTCCACAAGCAGTCGAGAACTTTGAGTTACAGACCACCGACGTGGGACGCTAGGCAGAGGGTGTCGATTGTCTCCGTACAGAAGCCAGCTGATGCGTGTGAGCTTGTTCAGGAAGCTGGCCGTCGCGGAGGCGCGCTCGATGCGGTCTGCGCTATTCGAAAAATCGGGGTAGTATAGCCATTTCCAGTTGGTGAGATCGTAGAAATACTTTTCGCAGAGTTTGACTACGGCGTTGGGGGTGATAGCGAACGACGCCTTCGGGAAAAGGTCATTCGCCAGATTGGGTACGAAGGCGGATGATCGGTGAGTATCGGATACGACTTGTTTGTCTAGCGCGAGCGAGAGCGGGAGTTGCTGTATAGGTGAAGGAGGGAACGGAATGTCAGGATATCTCAACTCTTGCGTGGTATCGTGGCCTTCAGGCCCACCGGAGTGTGGCACTTGTTGCTGCGAGCGCACCATCTTCGGTGACTTGACTGCCTGGAAGACGAGAGATGCAAACTCGACAGTGCCGCGGCACTGTGCTGAATACTGGCTCGGGACGAAGAGCAGGGGCGATGGTTCTGGTCAAGCGACATCGTGACGCGGTGACAGTGACATGATCAATCGGAAGGCCGGGCCGCGAACGCCGCCTCGAAGACGCCTCGTTCCCAACACCGTTGGACAGGTCGCGTCTCTCCAAAGCCCTCTATACGTCGACCACGACTTGCTCTTTTCCAGGCACTTGACGCGGAGAGGACTCGTTTAGGATGGCTCTTCCCACCCACGGCCGCGTCGTACTCGAGACCACGGCTGGCGACATCGAGATCGAGCTCTGGTCGAAGGAGACGCCGAAGGCATGCCGCAACTTTATCACTCTGGCGCTCGAGGGTCTGTGAGTCTGTGACTCTGCAGGGAGGGGGGGACTGACTGGAAGCACGACAGGATACTATGACGGCGTGATCTTTCATCGGTGAGTGCGTGTTCGTGCGCAAATAGCCTAGGTGCATTCCGCACACTCCGGGGGTTCCACAGAGGGAGCTTGCTGGTGTGCTCTTGGGGAGGGCGGACACGCAAGGGACGCGAGACAAGATAACGTGAATGCTGAACTCGACCTAGGATCGTACCCGGCTTCCTGGTCCAGACGGGCGACAAGACAGGAACGGGAGCAGGCGGAGAATCTATCTATGGAGGTGCGCATGCTACGCTTGCAGTCTTTAGCATGTTCTGACCTTCCCATTCACCCTCCTCGCCACCAACCTTACTGCCGATCGCACCTTGGAACCTCAATGCACTCTACACCACACGACCTTCGATACCTTCCTCCATGCGTACCTGACACCCTTGCCACTCTGACCTTCACAACCTTTTTACCCCTCAGAACCCTTCGAGGACGAAATCCACCCCCGCCTCCGCTTCGCGCACCGCGGCCTCGTCGCAATGGCGAACAACGGCACCAAGAACACCAACGACTCCCAGTTCGTCATCACCCTCGACCGCGCGGATGAGCTGCACGGGAAGCACACGCTTTTTGGCCGCTGCGTCGGCGACACGGTGTACAACGTCATGAAGATTGGAGAGATGGGTAAGTGGGATCCCTTGGACTCGCGTACATCAAAGCTTACAACGCGTTCCCCTCCAGAAACGGACAAGAACGAGCGACCGCTATAGTGCGTACCTCTCTTGTCATTTGCATGGTGCAGGCCATTAATCTCCCTCGCAGCCCGCCGAAGATCCGGCGAGTCCGTGTCGTCGACAACCCGTTCGACGACATTGTCCCCCGCATCACTGCCGAGGAGAAGCGTGCGCAGCAGAGAGCGAGGGAGCAAGCGCAGCGTGAGCGCGAGGAGGAACAGAAGCGGCGGGGTGCGAAGAAGTGCGTCTTTCGTATCAGCTTCACTTTGGTGTCTCAGCTTCACTCTGGCTGCATACGTGCTGACATACCGCTCGCCCAGAAACGTCAAGTTGCTCAGCTTCGACGACGATCCCGGGGAAGAACCGGCAGTGCCGATTAAGAAGAAGGCGGTGGTGCGACCTGACCGTAAGTGTAACATCGCCCACACAGAATGTTTGCTGACACATTCCTCTTCTTGCGCGTGCCCCTCTGTTCCTGCTGATGCAACTACAACTACAACACTTCCTTCTACCACCAACACATTTCTCCCGGCCAGTTGTCGACCCCGCACCTGTGGCTCCTATACCCGACTTCGTCACACAACCGGGGAAGCCAACGAGGGTACTCAAGGCCAAGGAGGAAGAGGTCAAGCGACCCTCGGAAGAGCCTAAGGCGAAGAAGCGGGATAAAGAAAAGGATAAAGCGGAAGACATCGCCTCCATCCGCGCAAAGCATGCAGCCGAGCAGAGTGCATCACAGTACGCCTATATTATGGAAGTCGCCATTGCGCAAGACTAACGACCCTTTGCAGATCAGCGCGAGCGGCCGAGATCGCCCGCATGGAGGCCGATATCGCGAAGTTGTCCAAGAAGCGGGAGGGGTTAGTCGATCATCCGTTTCTCGTTTTCACTCTTCTACCATTTGCGCTCTTCTCACATTCACGCTCTTCTAACCACCCTATCGCAGCTACGACTCGGACGACGAGCCCGCGAAGAAGAAGCAGAAGCGCTCCTACCTCTCGGAGGAGCTCGCCAAGTACGCGAAGGGCCGCGGCGTGCACAAGAAGGGCAAGCGGAAGGACGAGAGCGACGTGCTCGCCGCGCTCGACAGCTTCCGCGGGAAGCTGCAGGGCGCGATGGCGGTGGTCGACGACGAGGGCGAGAAGGGCGGGAGAGATGCAGGGGTGGGAGGTGTGGGAGTGGGAGGTACGGGAGTGGGAGGTGTGGGGGCAGAGGGCATGGAAGAGGGCGAGACGCGCCCCGCGGGCGAGGAGCCGGGTGTGGAGGTGGACGACGATACGGACTTCCTCGGGCATGAGTTGCGGTTCCCGAAGGACAACGCGGAGGAGGTGGGGAAGGCGGAGAGGGACTACGAGGTCATTGACCCGCGAGCGCGGGGGGCGCAGGCGAGGGCGGAGGAGAAGGAGCGCAAGGCGCGGTCGATGAAGGCGCGCGGCGGGGGTGGAGGGCGCCGGCGGTGACGTTGTGGGCAGGATTACTCGATCGTACTGATGTGCTTGCTTTGTAATCTGACCCCTCTGCTATGTGCGCAGAGTCTGTAGTCAGTTTGAGAAGTCCTTTAAGTCATATTCGGTTTTGGCCTTTCACCTGCAGCGACTGGAGGACAGCGGATCGCGGCCACGAGGCTATCACGTGTCAGTCACTGGCCTGTGATGGCGATCAACAACGGCTTGATCCCAACTACCACCACCTCTGCGTTTTTGCGAGCGAAGCGGAAAGCCCTTACCATCACACACTATACTCCTTCTCATTGGCGTCAACGTCAAAAATTATTCAGCCTCGCTCGCCGTGATATTCAGGTGCGAATGCCCGCTGCGTCGTCGCCTGATGCACTCTGACTGTTCACCCAGATACCTATGGAACCTGCGAATTCCGCCGTCCATCCCTGCAATGCGGTCCCCTCGCAGGATCTGGAACCCTCACGCGTCTCTGACGAAGCAGACGACGGCCCTCGCGAGTACCCCGACGTGGGCCTTCCCGTGTGTCCCGACCCGTATATCCTACGAACGCGCATAAACCGAAATGCGATGTTTGGTGTCGAGAAGACTACCGCGCGAAGTGGAGTCATCATTAGCCGAGGACTCTTTCCCGATCATGCATTTCCGATTGCTCCCTCCGAGTTCATTTACGGCCTCGACAACTTCGCGTACAGCCTCGATGACCTTCGATGGCTCCTCGATTACCCATCTCTTGACCTCGCATCTGGAGACAGGGAGCGCAAGATGGCGGCTTTTCTGAATCGCCTAGTACAAATCTGCTGGATCGCGCACGAGGACCTCGGCGAACCCGTTCCAGACACCCCTCGCCAGTGGATCACAACGCAGACCTCTCGGCTCACACCAGAAGGAGAGGTCGAACACTTCCCTGGAATTGCTCTCGTCGAGGCGGGCGTTGAGCCGCAGTGGCGTGATGTCCTATGCGACGTTCAGATGGCTCCGACGGAGGATGAGCTGCCGGACGCATTGTATCGACTGTCCTGCGGGGCCTACAATATGTTCGCTTCCCAGGAGGATCGCCTATTCTCCGTCGGCCTTGCCATCGCTGGAGACACCTTCCAGCTGGTTTACCATGATCGGGCCGGCCGAGTCCTGTCGGATACATTCGGAACACATATCGATCCCATTTTCTTCCTTCGTACCATTCTGGGCGTGTCCCTCCTCGACAAATCCTTCGGAGGCAAAGACACGAGCATCGTCACCTGTGACGGACGACGCTTCGTGTCCGTGGGCGGGCTGGAGTACGAAATACTCGAGACGCTCTCGCTGAGCCAGGATCTTCACGGGAGTGGTACCATCTGCTGGCGGTGTCGTCGCGATGATAGTAGCGAGAACTTCGTCGTCAAGAGCGTCTGGGCGGATATGGAACGCAAGCACTCGGAAGGCGACTTACTCAAGCTCGCTAGCGCGGTAGATGGAGTACCGGAGCTGGTCTGCGAGACAGCTGTCTCTCGAAGTGACGGTACCCCATGCACGACAAGGTGGTGCGAAGTCCTCCATCCGTCGAATCGCTGGGCCCGGAGGTATCTTCCCCAGCTTGCGCTGCGTCGCCTAGTTCTGAGGCCTTATGCAAAACCGCTGGAGGACTTCGCATCCAAGGAGGAGTTCCTTGGCGCGTTCCGAGACGCAGTAGCAGGTGCGCACTACTGATGACACGGCGTATCGATGGCTGATAGCCTTACAGCGCATCAGAAGCTCTACGAGGACTATAACCTTCTCCACTGCGACATCAGCGACAACAATATTATGCTTCGCGAGTGCCCTGGCTCGCCCATGCGTCGCGGCCTCCTTATTGACTTCGACTGTGCTGCCCATGTCACGGGTGCCCGTCATATGAGGACGGCGTTCACGGGGTATCGAACAGTACGTCGTACTAACACGTTCAACGGATATGATACTTGGATACTCACTCTTTGTCAGGGCACTCTTCGTTTCAAGGCATTCGACCTCCTTCTTCATCAAGGTCGTATGCATGGGCTGTGGCATGACCTCGAATCGTTCCTGCACGTCCTCATAATCGCATGCGCAAGCTACGTGGGGCCGTCCTGCACGCCCCGACAAGATGTCGACTTGTGCGCCATCCCTCTGGAGCCATGGCTAGTGAGTGACGGCGCTCGCAAGGCGCACATCATGCGCAAACTTGGAAACGAGGAGTTCCGCGCTTTTCTGGACAGCGTGGTTCACCCGTACTTCGACGACTTCAAGGTCATCGTTTGCGAGCTGCGATCCGTCATCATGGGCCCTCGAGAGCAAGTCTTGCACCATCTGGATGTGCTGGACGTCCTTGATCGCCACATCGAGACTCAACGGCTTGCACGGCAAGGCGACGCGACATTCACCGCTTCCCATTCCCCGCAGGCCTTGCTCGAGACGAATTCGAGGTGCCCGAAGAGAAGGCGACAAGACAATGAAGAAGGTGTCTTGTCGCCAACAAGCCATCCGAGCTCCCAGAGCCATTGCGTCAGTCAGGAATTGGAACAGCCTTTGGCCTGCAAGTATTCTGCAGCGTTGTATCGATCCAAGGATAAGCCGGACCATCTTGACTGTCAGGACCGCCAAAAGCGACCAAAGTTTGCATAGATCGATGGGCATGCGGTGACTAGTACAAAGATTGGCGAGTCCGAAAGGGTGCAGGAAATCTGTGTATGTGGCCAGCCGCGCAGTCTAGGATCACAGTGGTAGGGCTCAATGTACTTGCTCAGGCTGCGTTGCTCGAGCACTATGGTCATTGCGCAGTTGAAAAAAAAGCCCTTTCATGTCCTTTAATCTTTCTTTGTATCCGGGAAAGCTTGAATCAGACATATTTCCTCACTGCCCAGAACTGTGTTAAACTTTCTGCGTCCACGAGGCAATCACGTGAAATGCGTGTTCGCGCCAACATCTCAGCCCGCGCTTGTCCCTAATCACCACCATCTGTTATAGAAAATATTCCTTCACACGAGCGCACTCAACTCTTTATTCGTTTCCCCGACGATAGAATATCCCTCGCGCACTCACGCAACTCAGGTGCGAATCCACGCTGCTCCGCTCGAAAAACGCTAATCTTCCATGCAGGATCTAATGTCGTCTTCAAGCATCTCGCTCTATCCTTGCGACATGGAAAGGCATTCGCCGGACACTCAATCCCCATCCCTCGATGCTGCATACGACGACTCAGAGGATGAATCGGATGATGAAGTCTTGATATATCCCGACGATCCCCTTCCCGAGTGCTCCGAGCCGTACAACCTACGAACTCGCGTAGACAAGGACGCCATAGACGGTGTCGAGAAGACGACAGCCACCATTAAAGGCATCATCAGTCGTGGACTCTTCCCCGACGATGTCTTTCCCGTCGATCCCTCCGAATTTACCCATGTTCTCGACGATATCTCATACAGTGTCAGTGATTCGCACTGGCTGCTCGATTACCCACCTCTTGACCTGGATCCTGGGGAGCGAGCCCGCGCTATGGCTCACTTCCTCAATCAGTTCGTCCAACTTGCCTGGCAAGCGCACAACTCACTCCACGAGCCCGTACCGGATACTCCTCGTCAATGGATCGTTACTAAGTCCCCACGTGTCATGCTCAACGGAGAAATCGAGCACTGTTATGGACTCGCGCTCGTTGACGCCGACATCGAGTCTCAGTGGCGGGACGTCCTCTGCGACGTCCAGATGGCACCGACGGAAGATCTTATGGCGGAGGCTGTGCATAGGATCTCCACCGGATCTGCGAACATGTTCGCCTCGCAGGAGGATCGCCTGTTCCATGTCGGACTCGCGGTGGCGGGGGACAACTTCCAGCTGGTCTATCAGGACCGTGCGGGACGTGTCCTCTCCGAAGTGCTCGATATCCACGCCGACGCCATCCTCTTCGCTCGCATTATTCTAGGCCTGGCGCTTCTCCCTAAGTCCCTCGGCGGAAAGGACGAGAGCATTGCCTCGCGAGACGGTCGACGCTTCGTGACCGTTGGCGACGTGGAATACGAGATTTGCGAGACCCTCTCCGTCAGTCGAAAGTTGTGCGGGAGCGGCACTATCTGCTGGCGATGCCGCAGACAGGGCTGTTCCGAGGACTTCGTTATCAAACATATCTGGGCAGACTTGGAGCTCAGTCACTCCGAAGGCGACCTCCTCAAGCGAATCAGTCATCTAGATGGAGTTCCTGATCTCATCTGCGAGGAGAAGGTCTTGCGCGGTGACGGTTCACCGTGCACGACGATGTGGTGCGCGATGCTTCACCCTATGAAGCGGTTCGGCAATCGGGTAGCCGTCCCCCAGCTTGAGCTGCGGCGTCTGGTGCTTCAGCCGTGTGCGCGCCCGCTGGCGGACTTTGCTTCCAAAGAAGAGTTCCTCGTCGCCTTCCGCGATGCCGTTGAAGGTAGGATTTCTTGCTTCCGATCCGAGTACAGCCGCTTACGCACGTCGCAGTGCATCAAGTACTCTACTATATGCACGACCTCCTCCATTGCAATATCAGCGACAACACCATTATGCTCCGAGGGCAGGGCGGCTCGTCTCCGCGTCGGGGACTCCTCATCGCCTTCGACAGCGCGGTCCTCGTGACGGATCAAGCCGAGAAGACTGCGTACATGGGCTATAGAGCGGTACGTGTCCTGATGCGAAGTCATGGTGCTCACTCATCCCATCCCACAGGGTACCCTTCCGTTCATGTCATACGAACTCCTACGGTACAGGCGCGTCAGACACGGTCCATGGCACGACCTCGAATCCTTTCTCTACGTCCTCATCTTCGTCTGCGCAACCTGCGCCGGCCCGCACGGGACGCGACGCAAGGAATTTGAGCTCTCGAATTCTCCGTTGGCGCCTTGGCTCGTCGGAAACGGAGAGTACAAGGAGGAGGTCATTCGCACATACGATGACAATGCCTTCAGCGCGTTCCTGGACAGCGTCTTCGATCCCTACTTCGATGACCTGAAAAACCTGGTTTGCGAGCTTCGAATCGCTATTATGCGCAGGAGTAAGACAAAGGTTTGTCATGAGGACGTTCTAGACATTCTCGACCAGTGTATTGAGCTTAGACGGCCAGCGGCAGGGGTATATACTTTTTGATCTAATGACTTCGATATATTGTCACTGGAGTGTATATTGAGACAGAAAGGCATCTGATACGACCTTCCTGCCCTCGACCAGCCGCATACAATAGTGTATAACATGCCAGCGGGCTGCAACCACGAGGCCGTCACGTGATAACTCTGTTTGTCGCTGATTGTGCTGATGGCAATATCACCACGCGGCGAACGGCGACGGCTTGACCTGAACCATCACCGTCCTCGATTTTCTTGCCAATTCAGTGCATCCACTTTCACCGGAACATCCTGCGACCTCTTTGATCACCCTCGAGAACAGTCTTGGCTCGCGCGCATCGCCACTCAGGTTCGAATAATCCCTGCGCGCTCGTTCGATGAACACATGCTTACCATTCAGCCAGGAAGTCATGTCTCCCACGAAGCCTCCCCCTCATCCTTGCAGTCCTGGCTCGGCAGATGCCACAGCCTCCCCTATCTCTGACGAGATCGCCAGTGGCAAATTGCGTTATCCCGATGCGCGCCTTCCCGAAGCCCCCTACCCCTACCTCCTACGGACTCGCGTCAACAAGGAGGCTCTTTCCGATGTAGAGCGAACAACTGTTCGAAGCTGCTCCATTATCAGCCGTGGTCTCTTCCCCGATGATATCTTTCCCGTCGAGCCCGCCGAGTTGGTCGTAGACCTTGACAAGATCACCTACGACCTCGATAATCAGCGCTGGTTGCTGGACTATCCGTCCGTGCAGCTGCCTCCAGGAGATAGGGAGCGCGAGATGGCGGCGTTCCTCAACCGGTTCGTTCGACTTGCTTGGCAGGCGCATGTCGAACTCGGAGAGCCCGTCCCGGACACGCCCCGTCAATGGGTTCCGACGAGAAGTCCGCGTCCCTTTCTCGATGGGAAGGTTGATCGCGTCCCCGGAATTGCGCTCATCGATGCCGACGTCGACCCGGAATGGTCGGACGTCCTATGCGATATCCAGATGGTGCCGACAGAGGACGATATGCCGGAAGCTCTCCATCGCCTTGCCACCGGAGCTTTCAACCTCTTCGCATCTCAGGAGGACCGCCTATACTGCGTGGGCGTCGCCATTGCCGGGGACAGCTTCCAGCTGGTGTACCACGATCGGGCAGGCCGCGTGCTGTCGGATGCGACCAGTATCAACGAGGATCCCATCCTATTCGCCCGCATCATCCTAGGTCTGTCGCTCCTCGACGAGTCTGTCGGGGGGAGGGACACGAGCATTGTGTACCGGGATGATCAGCGCTTCGTAACCGTAGGAGGAGTGGAGTACGAGCTATTGGAGACGATCTCCTTCCGCAGGGAAATCGAAGGAAGTGGGACCACCTGCTGGCGTTGTCGTCGAGAAGATAGCAGCGAGGACTTCGTCATCAAGAGCGTTTGGGCCGACATGGAGCGCGTGCACACCGAAGGCGATCTCCTCCGGCGGGTCAGCAGCCTGGACGGGATACCGGATCTGGTCTGCGAGGAGCCTGTTTCCAGAGGGCCTGGGAAGCTGTGTACGACAAGCTGGTGCGAAGCTCTTCACCCGATGTATCGTTTCGCCACCAAGGCGACCGTACCTCAGCTCATTCTTCGTCGTCTGGTCTTACAACCCTACGCGCGCCCGCTGCATGATTTTGCGTCCAAGGAAGAGTTGCTTGGCGCGTTTCATGATACCATCGGGAGTGAGTTTTCTTTTTCCAGTCATACAAGTGTTGTTAATTGACTGTCTTCGCAGCGCATCAGAAACTCTACGACGTGTACGATCTGCTCCATTGCGACATCAGCGACAACAACATCATGCTTCGCGCGCGCCCGGGATCGGCTCTACGCCAGGGGCTTCTCATAGACCTGGACTTTGCCATCCGCGTCGAACGACTTGGACAATGGAAGATGGCTCCCATGGGCTATAAGGCTGTATGTTGCTCTGTTTGGTATTGTACTTCGCAGGCTAATTGAATGCCGCCTCTAGGGTACTCTTCCGTTTATGGCTTGCGACATTCTCCGATACAAGCGCATCACGCAAGGACCACGGCACGACCTCGAGTCCTTCCTACATGTTCTCATGTTCATCTGCGCGAGCTACGCAGGACCGTCCAACACGCCACGCAGGGATCTCGATCTGCATGATACTCCGATGCAGCCCTGGTTGGTAGGAGACGGCGCCGCTAAGGACAAGATCATGCGTGTCTACTCGGACGACGAATTCCGAGCTTTCCTCGATGCTATCTTTCATCCGTACTTCGACGATCTCAAGGACGTCGTTTGCGATATGCGGAAGATCGTCATGTGCCGCGACGAAACTCCCCGTCACGAGGAAATGCTCGACGTCCTCGACCGGCACATCAAGGCGAGGCGATTTGTCCTCTCAAACCGTCCCATCTCGCCCCCAACCTCTCCTCGTACCTCGCCCATCCCGTCATCGTCGGAAACCCAGGCATCACCGAAGCGGAAGCGGCCTTCCGCGGAGAATCGACCATCGTCACAGTCAACATCGCACGGCAGTGCTGGGGGTCCTCTGCCGACGCCTAGCCGAACGCCGAGGTCGACGAACTCATGCGCCACCGAGGTCTCCGAAAGAACACTGTTTGACTCGAGCTGTGGGGTGACGGAGCAGCTATCGGGAAAGATGTTTGAATGTAGTAGTAGCGCACCTCACTCGCCGAAGCGACAAAAAATGGTGTAGCGCGTTGGCTATTGGGTCGTATCTATAACAGAGATAATAAATTCCGACGATGTCTCCTTAGTTGCGTGACCAGCTGAACTGCTATCCCGTTCTCGCTCGATCCGTAAGATATGTGAAATGCGATGTGATAGACAACCGAAGTATTCAATCGATCCACAGCGGACGCATTCCACCGTCTTGTGTAATTCGACTACTTTCGCACGTCGGGGAGATCCAATACATGCCAATATACTTTCGAGAGGAACATCGGTAGGTAGTATGTAGGGCAGTGATATACCCAAGACAGTGCAGTACTGCGACCGCACGGTTCTTCATGACGGTGCAGGTGCTTTAGCCTTCTGCTTCTTCGGAAGCTTAAACCCAGAGTCTACGCACTTCCAGCATAGCCAAGTGGTGTAGCTCTGCCCTTCTTTCAATGGCGCGCAACGTTCGTGGTACTAGGACGGAAAGTCAGCAGAATTGCGTCAAATTGGAACGGAGACCTCTTACTAAGACTCGACATTTCGGATTCCTGCACTCCACGACGCGCTCGCCTTTCAAAGCCTTCTTGCCACACGGGGTGCAGTCCTCTTCAAAGTATGGCGAGTTGCTGCCTTCACTCACCCGCGCGCGTTTCCTTCCTGTCTTACGTAGCTCCGAGGCCTCTTCCGCGCCTACATTGAACAATGTTCAGTCAGAAGTTCAAGGATGATGGGTTCATCACTCACCGTCCGCCTGACTGCCAGAGGCCCCTCCGACGCCACGTATTCGACCGCGCTTCTTAGCCGCCGTTGCAGGATGGTGCGCCTCGGGGGCTTTCTCTTCACGAAGCTTGATTCTGGGGATATGCTTGTCGAGCACCTTGATGACCTCCATATGTGTTGGCGGAGGGTCGTCGCGCATGATTACCCGCCGAAGGTCATAGACACACTTCTGGACATCGTCCCAGTATGGATGGAATGTCTCCTTCATGAAATCGCGGAACATGTCTTTGTCCTTCGGCCTCAGATTGAGCACTGCGGCCTTGTTTGCGCCAGCGTAGGACTCCTCCATCTGTAGCCATCCGTATATCTTTGACTCCTTCATATCGGACACGCGTAGACGACCGCTTGGGCCGGCAAAGCAAACGCATGTCCAAATGACGAGGCATAAGAGCGATTCCAGGTCATGTCGAAGTTCCGGCGCGAAGCGGTCAGGCCACATGAGTATGTCTGAAGCAGCGAATAGCGGGCCACACTGATGAGCCCTGGTCAGCTAGCGGAGGGATCATGGAAAACGAGCACTCACGCTGCGAAGTGCACTCGACGCTCCTTCGCGTTTCTCGTCGAGTGCAGTACTGTAATTCTCATCAATGAGTAGCCCCCTACGAAGCGTTTCGGGTGCGGCGCCGGCGATGACCCTCAGCAACACATTCTTGTCATTGATGTCGCAGTGCAGCGTATTCGCCTTATTGTAAAGTCCATCATGCGCTGTCAACGAAAAATGCATCAGCTCGAGGCTAAGGTTAATGGAAAACGACAATCACGCACCGTAGACGATATCGCGGATGGCGGACAAGAACTCGGTCTTGCTTGCGAACTGGTGGAGAGGGACACCTATCTCCTTCACGACCAAGCGTGTGAGGTCACGTACTTCGAAGACGACTTTGCAGTCTTTGCCGTACGTCAAGCCCTCTCGGATGGTCTCCGTCGACAACAAGTGGCCGTTGTGGCGAACACGCTCGTATCCCACAAGCGTCGGAACACCCTCCACGCCAGCTTTGTTCGCTCGGTCGAGGAAGAAATCCTCACTGTGCGCGCGAGTACGGTCGGCCCAAGCGCTCTTGATCGCGACGGACTCGCGTTCCTGTTTGGCGTCGTCCTTTGCACCCTCTCCGCCGCCCTGTCCACCCCCTCCTTCGCCGTCTCCGCCATCTCCTCCGCCCCTTTCCCCACCATCCTTCTCCGATTCCTTGACCTCGACGCCTTGCCAAACTACCGTCCCAAGCCCCCGAATGCCGGCCGCCTGAGTCAAGTTCTTGACAAGCTCGTATTTCTTCCCGTCGATGACAACGTAGCGCTTGCCGCCATCATGGATGATGGTAGGATCGAAACCCAGCCTCCCTCGATCAGCAATCGTGAGCCCCATGAAGATCCGCAGAAACCCTTCCGGGTCAGCATGTATATCGAGCGGCAGCGATTGAATGCAGCCAGCACGGTCGCAGTAGCTGATGAAGCAGAGTTCGCCGATGAACGCGACGCCGATGTGATGGTGTCGCTCGTCCTGCGCGGAGAGCGTGTTCAACGCGCCATCGAACAGCTGAGCGGAGGCGTCGCTCTTGTCTCGCACGTTGCTCTTCAGCTGACCGTCGGCGATGTGGTTCGTCCAGTCCGCCTCCCGTCCCTCGGGGACGAGTGAAAGGTCGGGCTTCCTGGAGGCGACTCCTCCGTTCAGAGGTGTATCGCAGAAGTCGGCCGACCACCTTCGCTTTTCAGCCGGAAGCGGCTTCTCGTGCTCGGCGTAGATAGCCCTGATCTCGTCGCCCAGGTTGTCGAGGAAGGTGGCGAATGGGCGCTCCTGATGCTGCTTCTTGAGGTTCGGGCAGTCCCATCGGTCGTTCGCATACATCGGCGTCGGACCAGCTTTCAGCGCGTCGAGCACAACGTCGGGCGCGACGGCAAAGGCATCACTGGGGAACACTTTCTCCGTGAGGCCTTCGACGTCTGTCGCGATGGCGTCCTTGAGCTCTTTATTCAGGAACGCATCCATGTTGGGGTGATACCCGAACGACTGCACGCCCAGTGACTTGCCGGTTTTGTTGCGATCGTCATGTAGAGCAGCGAGTATCGCGTGGGGCTGATTCGATATCTTGTTACGACGCAAGGAGGCGGCGACGTAAGGCCTTGTTGGTATGTCGAGTTCACTGTCACTGTCCGGGTCCGGTGGCAGGCTCCAGCCGCTCTTCTGCAGTCATGATCAGGGCAATATCGGGTAGCAGGGCAGACCACGCACCTGAATGTCGCTCATAGCGAACAAAGCCCTGTTCTTATCCCGCAAAAAGATCTGGAGGTGCTAAAGACTCCGAAGATTGCGTCTGGTGAGGCGACGAGAGAGAGTGGACGAAGACTAGGTCAAGCTGAGAGGAAGAGAGAAGAAAAATGTACGAAGGCAACAGGGTGAGTGGCCGAGGAGAAGAGAGCCAAGTTTGGGAGCCCAAGCGCACGCCGCGACGCGGCCAAATACCTTTTCGGGCCTGCCTGAAAACAATGGGGCGCATGGCAATCACGTGATGGACACGAGGACTGGGCGCGGGCAAATGTCAGATCGTCCCTTACCGACGGTCCCGAAGGCCCGACTGCAGTTCAGCCCGAGTGCGTCGCCGACAACGAGCTGGTCAAGTTTCTGACGCTCTCGTTGTGCACCGCTGGTGTCAACCGCGTTCATGAGGTAATTCTGAACGACTTTTTCCTGGAACCAGAATTTGTGCGTCAGGTTCATTGCTATAAGTCAGCGCGAGTTACTTACCTTTCAGCTGAGCCTTATATGCTGGCAACCTGCTCATGCCGAGCCCCTAAACTTGACAAGTCCACCCCGACGGCACCAGACTAAACTCACAAGAGGCTGACACTGGTCCATCGCCTTTGCTACCAACGGACTCTTATCTTCTCCGCTAGTCGTCCGTTGATGCACCACGCCCAGCGGCTCACGACTTTTGCTACACCCGTGCTCGACCCCTGCGACCTGGACATGAACTTGCCACATGCTCTCGACATCAGCATCGATGCGACGCACCTCCTATGGACAACATCCACCACGGCGCAACTGCCAATATTAGCCTCTCCCTAGACGCCCGAGGATCTGCTCGGACCGACTTCCCCGTGCTCGATGACAGCGGCAGCGCTCTACGGAAGGGTTCTTTCCCGGTACGATGCAAGCTCGCGATATCGAGCGCGCTGAAAGCCAGGCGCCGTGTCATCACCGCGGCTGACCAGCTATTCAAGATCGAGCCCTAGCGATTGTTCAGCCCCAGCGACGAGCCCAACACGACTGATGAGACCTACTGGGCAGTGCTCGCCGTACCTAACCATCGAAGATATTAGACTATTCAAACGCGAATCCGCTGGCCGGCCTGACCTCAACGGCCATGCGAGTCAGGCAGAACTGCAAGTCGAACGACGCCGTCTGAGGCCCAACTCTGCGCCTATCTCATGAGCGAACCGTCCTCGACCGAGGACGCGAGGATGCTCTCCGAGCAGAGAAGGCTGCGTCGGGCGGTCAGCATGTCATTGCAACGCTCGACGAATCACACTCCGCATCTGCGACCTGCGTCCGAGCTCTTTTCAACAAGGCCTTCGCCCCGCTGTGGCCACGCACCTCTGGGATGATATTGCGCTCCTCGGAAAGCAAACTTGCGCAGTAAACACGGTCGCTTTTCAACTTGAAGCCCGCGTCAGTCTCTCTTCCATTGAACCTCCGGATGACTCGCCCACATTCAGCCACACTACAGCGCCAGCGCTCTGCTCTAGCAATCGTCCCCGTCGCTGAGAGGCTGACCACCGCTGCCGATTGTGCTGCTTCTGGCCTGAAGAATATATTATCCCCGGCTCCTCGCAGCGAACATAACTTGAAGATCCGACGCGCACATACGGCGGGTCTATCGACGAAGTCAGCAGATTGGAGGAGACAAGACAGCTATCCAAAGTGCGAACCTCAACGACGTTGCAGCCGGACTATCGCACGCTCCAAGTCGACGAGTCTTCGAGAAAGCCGTCGGCGGGCTCCCTTTGCGCCTACATCTGCAGGATATCTCTCTGCGAGAGTGATAAAAGTCTGAAAAGGTATGTGCATTCAGCGGCCGGGATCCATGACTGATGAGCTGCAGCAAGCTGCAATGCGACGTACGCCGTCCGTTACCCTGATATGCATTAGCGCATACGTCTGTCCTTGGATATGGTGTTCGTAGAGCGTGTGCGCTACAGTGCGAAGGGGTGGTGCCGTCTTACTACTTGCGGTCCAGGCGCCACCGTTCATCCTACTGCCAAGCAATCGGAGCAAACGCCAAATCCAGTCAGGCGTGACAGTGATTTCGACGAGTTACACATTGCCGTATGCTACGCAATACAGTAAGAGACTCTGCAAGCCTGGTGAGCCCCGAGCGTCATGAAGGGCTAGAGCATACCTTGTTCACCTACGATGACCTCGAGTTTTCCCGCTAGCCTGCCACTATCCTCCAAGGCGTGCCTCTGAGGGAGCATGGTTCTACCTCGCGTAGTACTATTCTCGATAATCCTAGCCGACCACAAGATGCATGCTCACCAGCCGGTCAACGCGCGCACCCAGGGTTCAGGGGAAGTAAGGCGTCTGACCTGGGATGCCCCTCGCTTTGCAATGATTTCACTAGCGAAGTCCTGTCTTCCTCTGCTACAAAGGCAGCACCTAAAAGACCGACCTAAGAGGCAAGTTATGCTGACCGGCGGAAAGAGGCTGCCTTGTGGCCCGGAACGGAAACAATAACGTGGGAAGTTTCGTGATTGGGGTTTCGGCGGCACGCCATCCGCCGTCCGCATTCTTGTCCTCCGCCACCGTCTACCATCTGAGCTCCTCCCCGCCGCCAGTATCTTATCATGGCCACCAAAGCCGCCCAGAAGCGCGTACGTCGCCCACACCACCCTACAGCGCTTATGCTGATGTAATCCTCGCTTCCCCGCGCTCACGCCACTGCCCACGACCGATGCCCTCGCTCGCTGCCCGCCATCCATGACTCGACGCGCAGCTCTCGAAAGAGTACGCGACGATGCAGAAGGAGCCCCCTCCGTACGTCTGGGCGGTGCCCGACGAGCGCAACATCTTGACCTGTGCGTGTGCTTGACCCGCCGCCTGATCGTCTGACTGACGAACCCATTCATTCGCAGGGAACTTTATCATCGTGAGCACGGCGCTTGAGCTTGATAGGATAGGATAGGAAGCTGAATGGGCCGGTGCAGCGCGGTCCGCCTGACTCGCCGTACGATGGCGGAGAGTACCACGGGCAGTTGCTATTCCCCGCCGAGTACCCGTTCAAGCCGCCGGGCATCAAGGTGTGTGGCGAGTTGGTTCTGTGGGATAGGGAGCTGATTGGGAGCTTGCAGATGCTCACGCCGTCGGGGCGCTTCTACCCAGACAAGAAGATCTGCTTCTCCATGTCGGACTTTCACCCTGGGAGCGTGCGTGATCGACTTCTCGCTCGCGTCTAGCCGGCTGACCGTCCTTGTCGCAGTGGAATCCTGCATGGAGCGTCCAGACGATGTATGTGGCCGGTCTTTCCATGATGTCAACATCCACCTTCCCAGTCACCGGTATCAAGCGAAGCCCATGTCCTCTCATCCTCACCACCCGCCTCTCCAGAGCCCGCCCTCGTTCGACTACACCTTTCTTCGCCCACTCGCTGTCCATTCATCCTCGCCTGCCTCCCCCACATCACCGCCCCATCCCTCGATCTTTCAATTTCATCTTCTCCCAATACTAACCCTCTTCCCCAGTCTCACCGGCCTCCTCTCCTTCATGCTCTCCGACGAGATTACGACCGGCTCCGTTAACTCGTCACCCGCACACAAGCGCGGCTTCGCTGCGCAGAGCCATAACTGGAATATCCAGCAGGCGCGGTTTAGAGAGGCGTTTCCGGAGGTGAGTTCGCCCTCGAGTTAGTGGAAGGTTTTGGCGGATGGGAAGCGCCTGTGAATGCGGGAGCGCAAGGGCTCAGCGGGCGTGCAGCGCAGGCGTAGTCGGGCGAGTTCGACTTCACTCGGGCAAGGCTGGCTGCACCTGGACGCTGTCGCATTGATGCTGCGTCGCGCGTCGGTGCTGGTTCCTCCGCGACCTTCTCTTGGTCTTTGTGAACTTTTTGCAACCTGATCCTGACTTGTTCCCTTAGTACGCCACCCCGGAGATGCGCGACCTTCCGAATATGGGCGAGAAGGAGCGCGGCCGGGCGGATAAGCCGCCTACGCCTCCGCCCGCTCCATCACGACCTGCCTCTTCTACCGGAGGTATGTCTACCTTTTTGTGCATCATCAGGCGGCCTCCTCGTTATTTGGTCGAGCAGCCAGCGTCCGTTCTAGCAGCCAGCATCTGTTTTAGCAGTCATCACCTGTTCTAGCAGCTTGCTGATCCTTCACTACAGCGAACGCAACCTCATCTGCAGCCCAAGCCGCCAACGCAGCCCAGCCCGGAAACGGCGCACAACCAGCACCCGCCCCAGGTGCGTGGGGCGCGGCGCTGTGGGAGAAGTGGCGGTGGGGGGTGCTGATCGTGCTCGCGGTGCTGGTGTCGAGGATGTCGGGGCCGTAGTGGGGAGGCGATCGAGGCGACGTGGGCGGGAGGCGATGGAGGCGACGTGGGTGGGTGGGTGCGTGTCTTGGTGCTGGGGTCTCGTAGGTAGTATGGTGGGAGGGCTAAGAAGAGAAGGGATGCCAGGCGATGGGCAGAGGGGTTGGATGGGTTGGGCAGGGGAGGGGAGGGTGGAGTCGTCGGATGAAGGAATGCAGGGCGCTAACGGGGCACCAGACATGGCCTGCTTCGTCGCGTAGAATGGCAGCGGTACGCCCTCTGGGGGAAACTAAGGATCTTGCAGAGATCTGCTAGACGCTTAGTGGGCGTACTTTGGAAGCCTAGTGGGTGTACTTGACTTGGAATGGCTGCCGACGTCTTAGTCGGCGGCTTGGACGATGGTGATTCTATCTAATGTTTTTGGCGACGCTTTGTATATCGTATCATACCTCAAGAAACCCTCTCAATCTTTCACAATGTCCTCTAGGCCTTGTACGTGCACGACCGCTAGGGTGATTCTCGCGTAGCTGCGATGTGGGATCTTTCGAGGTGCGGCGGAAGCAGATTGGGATTCGGCAAGCGCCGACGCCAGATTGGGGACGTCACGCAGTCACAGCGGTGTTTGACCCGAACGGCCACCTATACATACATCGCCCGCCACTCGGACACTTGCACCGGAATTTTTCACAGAGTCGCTCGCATCGGGACCTACGGAAGTTGAGAACAACCCCTCAATAACTCGACACAAGCCGTTATTCCGCCCCAAACACGTGATCCCATGTGCGCCAAACAAACCCGTTGCCGAGAAGCCGAGAGACTTTGCGGTGTCACGCAGCAAAGTCCCTCAAAGTCGCCACCTCGCGAAGGGCAGGGGCGTTCAGACCAGAGACCAGCATAAGGTGCTTTCCTGATGATCAAAATTGATTTCTACATGCTTTACTATGGGACCTCTCGCGCCGAGTCCCGGAAAGCCTGATGGAGCGGTCGGAGTCACAATGTTGAAGTTGCCACCCTAGCTTCAAATTTGCCACCCAATAACTCACACTTGTGGTGACCAAAGAGGCCCGCCACTGCGCATCGTTGTGAGGAAGAGAAAAAGTCATATATATTCGGTCTAGAGTCGGAATTACTACGCTATACACGCCTATGGCAGACCGTGGGTAAGGAAAAGAAAAGTGGGCCACCCGAAGTCGATGGTGGCGGAGGACCATGACCATGCGTATTGCGCGCCTATACCCAGCGTAGAGCAAGATTAGCTTGTCTAGGCGGGCGAGAAAAGCTTGAGGGCGGGGAGTGGCATTGCGTGGCGTGGCATGGTGAGAGTAGAACGAAAGGAGGGCGTGTGAGTTATGCACTGTCACGCACCGGAAATTGGTCGGAGATCTCCGAAACGTGGCATCACGTGTTTGGGGCGGAATAACAAGACCTTAACTCGACACCATTCGACATGACATTGGCAAATCACGAACCTCCTCGTAATCACAAAGCTCCAGACTATCTGGATACAATAGCGCCTCTCGATCTGGAGACCGCTCAGCATATCGAGCAATCGTCCGCCCGGATACCCGGCTTCCTCACGGCACTGTTTCCCAACTCTGCTTTCCCTGCGAGGCCACCATCTATCTTGGGCGCTCTGGATGGACATGACTACAACGTGCAGCAGAAGAAGTGGATGCACTATTCTACGCCTACGCTTCAGGCCGACGACGTAGCACGTGCGCGCGCGATGGCTACCTTCTTGAACGAAATCTCTCACCATTGCTACATTGGCTATCAACACCTGCGGCTGCCCCGGCCCGACGCGCGCCGCGTCTGGATGCTCACCGAAAGCATACGAGTCCTTCCCGACGGCAGCAACGTCCGCGCTGTCGGTGCTGCCCTTGTCAAAGCCGGCACGGAGTCGGTCCAGTGGTCTGACGTGCTTTGCGACGTACAAATTGCGCAGCAGGCTAGCTCTATGGATCAGATCTTGCAGCAGTTATCGAGCGGAGCCACCAATGTGCTCGCCACTCAAGAGGATAGGCATTTTCATGTCGGGGTCGCAATCGCGGGCGACGATATCCAAGTGGCGTACTTTGACCGCGCGGGGCGCGTCACCTCCGGCGCACTCGACATCCACAGATACCCCGTCTTCGTTCTCCGTCTCGTTATGGGCTTGACCGTCATCGACGAATCTTTTGGTGGCAAGGACACCTCGATTGTGACTAGGGGCGGCCACCCCTACGTGACCGTTGGCGGTGCAGAATACAGGATAGAGGAGACACTGTCCAGGTTTGGTGATGTATGTGGGCGCGGGACGATCTGCTGGCGTTGCCGACGCCCCGGGAGCGACGAGGATTACGTCATCAAGCACTCGTGGGCGGGCACTCAAGAACACTCGACAGAGGGCCAATTCCTGCGGGATGCTGAGCGCGTCGCTGGCGTGGTTGACCTCGTTCACGAGGAGGTAGTCGTCCGCTCCAATGGTCTCCCACATAACACAGTATGGCTGCGCGACTTTCTGAAGGGATCAGAGCGTCTGGCAGTCATCGGCAACTGTCCTCGTCTCGAGCTTCGTCGGCTTGTTCTACGGACTTGCGGTCGACCTTTGGCCGACTTTTCCTCAAAGGAGGAACTTATTTCCGCTTTACGCGACGCTGTACAAGGTATATGCCTCCTTTTGTGCATGCATGCCTGCTTGAGCTGACATCTCTCGTAGCGAGCTACGACCTATTCGACATGGTGAACATCCTCCACTGCGACGTCAACCCGGACAATATCATGCTTCGCCGCCACCCTGACTCTGCCTACCGACGTGGCTTCCTCATTGATCTTGACTCTGCGACATACGTATCCCCTAGCGAAGGATTGGCTCCCTTCGGTCATCTCGCGGTACGTCAGTGATACATATCACCCAGATATTCTGCTGATGCGGGCATCGCAGGGAACACTGTTCTTCATGGCAATCGACGTCGTCCAATACACATACGCTGTTCAGCATGCCCCGTGGCACGACCTCGAGTCGTTCCTGTACACCCTCATGTATATCTGCGCGAACTACTCTGAGCCATCGAACACGCGCCGGCCGAACTTCGACATCTATAACTCTCCCCTGGCTCCCTGGTTTGCCGAAGACGCGCACGATAAAGCCTGCATCATGCGCTATTACAGTGACACTGAGTTCCGCGCGTTCCTCGACAGCGTCTTCGATCCTTACTTTGACGACCTCAAGGGCCTCGTCTGCGAGCTGCGCGCTCTCATCACGCGTAGGAAGGGAAGGCCGCCGGTTCGCCACACGCAGGTCCTCGACGTCCTCGATCGGCATATCCGGGCTCGTACGGAGGCAAGATACGCGATTACACCCCTCGACATGCCGACCATCATCGACACGCACTTGAAGCGCAAAGGCGGCCTGAAGCGGAAGCGTGAAAGGGCCGCTCCTGCTGCGCCGGCTGCTCCCACCGCATCGACCCCTCCTCCTTTGCCCGCCTTGCCTATCGCCACCCCTGCTGCGCCTGCTTCTCCGACCTTCGATCCACTCGCACCCGCAACTCCCGCCGCCGCTCCACCAGCGCCATCCACTCCTGTCGCGCCGCCTCCGCGCGTTCCGCCGCCCTCGACCTCGCGAACCAGACCTCCCCCGCGGTCATGCCCCTCGAGGCCGATGACCAGAGCCATGAAGCGGCGGCTTGCTGAATCGCGTCGAGCCGCGTCGCCCCCCAGCGACGACTCTGATCGTACGCTAGTGGATACGACGCCGGAGCGCAAGGGATCTCGGGTCGACAGTCCTTCGCCGGAGAGGAAGTCGTCGGTCAGTCCTGCACCGGAGAACAGGAGGACGTCGACCCGTCGTAATAAGAGGTCCGCCTCACCTAGCCCGTCCGCGGAGGAGCCTCCCTTGCGTGCAACACGTGCTTCCAAGCGGCGGAAGGTCGCATAACGCGCCTCGCGTATACGTGCTTGGGCTCTTGGTGTGCTAGGGACTCGGTACGCGCCTATCTGACGTCCGCCGTCGCTGAGGGCTGGCGATGGAGTTGATGTGTATGCGGAGGATGGCGGAGAGCGCCGCCTGTGTAGGTCCGGTGCCATGCTCGCTACGGCTGGAGCGCCCGGAATATTGTCACAGGCTCGTCGCATAGCGCCACCCAGTGGACCGCGCCTGTCCCGAAGGATGCTCCAGCACGGAGATAACATAGAATGGGCGTCCTTAGTAGCGCCGCCCGCGACGACTTGGGCAGCGAAGCGGGCCTGTCGGGCCTTGAGCTTGAAGAAGTTCTTGTTCAATGTAGCATACCCTTATTGTAGATACCATCGCGTTTGGACTTGAATATTTCTAGATTGATTCCTGTGCCCCCGGAGCTGTTTGTTTGACGAGGAGACTCGTGAGAGATTTCGAGCGTGTGATGAGTGCGCCGATCTTGATTGGAACCAATAACTTGATGCGACTTGCTCTGAGCCTCCATGTCTACATAATGGATAACGCGACCTTCAACTCCTCGCTATGACGGCCGACCTCCACCTACGCTCCCGCTCCAAGAGCTCCGCGCGTTCATGGTTTTTCGGAATACGCGACCATCTCAGCATGGCTTGGCCCCAGGTCATCACCTGCGTCAAGACGAGCTCCTCGCATCTTTGGCGTGCATTTCGACCTCTATCTTGGGGAGGACATGGGCGTGTATACGGTTGATGGGCTGTCGTGGCCGGATAAGGTACGTCGTGCGCCTGCTTTGGCGAGTGCCTGCTTTGGCGAGTGCTTGACTGACTGGCCTTGTAGCCAAGGCCTATGCGCAACTTCTGTCATCCCCGTGGCGAAGACGACTATCCCACCCCCCGAGCCCACATCGTCTTTCGGGGCTTTTAAGAGTCCTCGAGCATTTCCCAGCAGCCCATCCCTTTTTCTCGAGGCCGCAAGCTACGAGGTTCATATCGCCGTCCGGCTTGAGCATGACGCCCTCATATCTGGATCGCCAGCTGCACATCGCACACCCTCCCCGGAAAAGGTACTCGCCGCAAGCAGGCCCTACCGAAGTCCGCTCGCTGCTTCTTCGTGGACGACGCGCTCCGACATGACCGATCGCGATTCCAGAAAATCGCGCGCGCCGTCTCGCAACGAGTGCATATTGAACGTTGAGTTCGGTGCATCGACAGCCGAGATGGCCTCCAACAGGAGGGAGCTCTGTGGTGGCCAATCAAGCCCCCACCACTGCGATCGTCGTTGCCGGAATTCATCTACAACCAACATGCTCGCCAGTACTGACCCCGACAATCCTCGCTAGGCTCCTCACGCGATGCAGTTTACACGCCCCTGGTATCCTCAAGCAAAATAAGACTCTGCTGATCGAGTACTGTCCTCGCATGGATGTGTAGTCCTCGTAGACTGCCAGAGCAGATGGAGTAGTCGCACTGCGACGTCGATGAAACCAAAAGTTATGCTCGCTATTGACCTTAAGATCCGGCTGCAACTAGAGATTCTCCCCGCCGTACAGCGAGGCTCGAGCGCGCTATGATTCTGGCTACCAAGCTCCTTAACCCTGCGCTATGCATAGCACGTCGAGTCGTCCAGCGCGCTTGAGAGGATGACTGGAGAAGGGGCTGGTTCGCTTTAGGCCTCGGAGACAATGGACCCTTGTATATATCCACACTGTAGATACCTCCTGTACGTAGCTCTCCTTCATGGTATTGTACACCTTGTGTTCTCATCGAACGACACCGGGCTGAAGAAGCAGAAGATAGCTCACAGCCACGCACGTGGCAATCGCAACACGACCAAATCGAGCATCAACAGACCTTGTCCTCAACGTTGACCTCTCCAATCTTGGTTTCGCTAGGCTTACTCAGGTGATTACCTGGGCTCGAGGACATCACTTGCGCTCAATACACGCTTAGCTCGAAGGATGGCGGATGCTGAAGGACACCGCAAGGCTCATCCTTTTGGCTCTTCTCCCCCGATACCTTGCCACATCCCAACTCGCCACCCAAAATTTCCCGAAGAGCCTCTCACGGCGCCACCCGTACGACAACTCACGGACATACTCTTCGTCGGCTCCGATGAATTGAACGAAATCGAGGAGCACTCTCTCCGCGTCTTTGACATGCATACTACACTCTTCCCGGACGAATGCTTTGCATTGAAGCCGCGCGCAATGGTCCGCGGCCTCGATCAGACTCTGTATGATTGCAAAGGCCGAAGATGGCTTTTCGAGCACTCTCCCCCTACACGACCAGCCTCTGAGAAAGCTGCGACCACTGCCGCCTTCTTGAACGAGTTCACTCGTCGCTGCTGGCTTACGTATGAGACTCGACGTCGACCTGTCCCATCTACTGTGCGGCAATGGACTGTCGTCGAACGCTTGCGGCCGTCGGTCGCCGATGCAACCGCTCGCTCGTTTGGCGTAACCCTCGTGGACGTCGGCTCGAGCTCAGCGCGCTGGGAGGACGTACTTTGCGATGTCCAAGTTGTCACAGATGCTTCCCAGATGCCTGAAGCACTGATCAGACTTTCTAGTAGTGCTGCGCACGTCTTGTCCTCGCAGGATGACCGCTTGTTCTACCTTGGACTCGCCCTAGCCGGCGACAAGTACCAGCTAGCCTACTTCGACTGTGCTGGGCGCGTCCTCTCCGGCCTGTTCGACGTGCACGAGGACCCCGTGTACTTCACCGTATGCTCATGGGTCTATCGATGACCGATCGGTCACGTATCGGCAAGGATCCATCGCTTGTGTCTCGTGGCCAGCGACGCTTCCTTACCATGGCGCGTGGCGAATACGAGGTTGTGGAGACTTTGGCCCTCGACAGGAGGATCCTTGGTCACGGCACCGTGTACTGGCGATGCCGCCACGAAGACGGCGACGATGTAATAGTCAAGAGCACCTGGGCGAAAGCTGGGAAATCGCCTACGGAGGGTGATCGCTTTCGAAAAGCTTACGTCGAAGGCGTCCCAGACTTGATTTGCGAAGAGCCCGTCTTTAGAGCGGATGATCAGCCATGGACGACAATGTGGGTTCGTGATACCCTCGAAGGCCAGGAGAGAATGTCCGTTATTGGCCGAATCCGGCAGCTTCAACTGCGTCGCCTCGTCTTTGACATGGCGGGACGGCCACTTAAGGAGTTCGAATCCAAGGAGGAATTCCTCCAGGCCCTCAGGGATACCATATACGGTATGTCTCGCTTTGGATCCTTCTGTATGTCACTGACTTTCGTACCAGCGCACAAACATCTATTCTATCCCTGTCACGTCCTCCAGTGCAACATCAACGACATGAGCATCATGTTGCATCGGCCGCCAAGCAAATCGCGGCGGTGGGGAACGTTGGTCGATCTCGGCCACGCGAGTCCAACTGGAGCAGATGAGTTTGAAGGATCTGCCTTTGTGGATCCTAGAGTTGTACGTTTGTCCCTGCGACACAGTCCGCCTGATCTTGACCACCGTTCCTAGGGATCCTCTGCATTTATCGCGTGCCGTCTCGTCCCATACATGAGTTCCGGCTGCCGTCAGACCCCACGTCACGACTTCGAGTCGTACATCCACCTTCTTATGTACATGTGCGCAAGCTACTCGGGACCATCAAACACGCCGCGCGACAACTTCGACATCCGCCAGTCGCCTATGGCCGCGTGGTTCAACGGAGCCAGCGACGAGAAGTTCAGGATCATGTTCAGGCTCGACGACGGCGACTTCCGCGCCTTCCTCGATAGCCTGTTCGACCCGTACTTCGACGACCTCAAGGACCTCGTCTGCGAGCTGCGCACGCACATATTGCGCACGCCGGACGTCACCCCCAACCACTACTCTCTGCTCCGCATCTTCGACCGCCACATCGCCGCGCTGCAGGCGCCACCTCCCCTTCCCGAGCCTGCACCAGCTGCTCGTCAGCGCGTACTCGACATCCCGACCGTCATCGAGACGAAGCGCAAGGGCATCGTAAAGCGGAAGCGTCCTAGCGCCCCTCCTGCGGCGCAGGCGACTACTGCGGCGGCGGCCCCTACGCATACGCCCGTCACGGCTATCGCTACCCCGGTCTCGCCCGCCCCTCTCACCATTACTCCGGCTAAGCCGGCTCCTTCGTCACCCACCTCCGCTGTCGCGCCATCCGGTCCTGCTGCGCCATCTCCTCCTGCCGCGTCCTCCTCCACTCCACCGCCCCCAACAACCTCGCGAACTACACCTCTCTCGCGACAATCCTCGAGGCCGATGACCAGAGCCATGAAGCGACGACTGGCAGACTCGAGGACTGCGTCGCCCCCTAGCGATGACTCTGACCGTACGCTGGTAGACACGACGCCGGAGCGCAAGTGTTCTCTGCCCGATAGTCCCTCGCCGAAGAGGAAGTCGCCGGCCAGCCCTTCGCTGGAGGACAGGAAGACGTCGTCCCGCCGTAGCAAGAGGCTCGCGTCTCCCGACACGCCCTCGGACGAGCCACCGTTGCATGCAACGCGAGCTTCCAAGCGTCGGAAGGTCGCATAACGCGCTGCGCGAATACGTACTCGTGCTCCTGACGGGCTAGGGGCTCGGTACGCTTCTTCTCGGCGACCAGCGTCGAAGAAGGTCGGCGCTGGAGTCGATGTATACGCGCGAGGACGGTGAGAGCGCTGCCTGTGCAGGCCCGGTGTTGTGCTCGCTGCGGCTGGAGCCCCGGGGATATCGCCACAGGCGCGTCGCGTAGCGCCACCCAACGGATTGTGCGTGCCCTGAAGAGATCAGGGAAGCTGATATGTGGAGAGCGTAGGACGAGCTCCGCCCGCGGCGATTCGGGCGAGGGTGCGTCAGGCGTCGAATTCGAAGAGTTCTTGCTCAATGTAAAATACCTCAAATGTAAAATACCCTCAGTGGAGATACCGTCGAATCCGGACTTGTGTACAAATTAGAATGATCTCGACTCTGGATTTGTTCCATTCGACGATGAGATTCCGATGCCCAGCGCGCGTGCTCACTGAGCAGATGGGCGCCGCTCACCGCAAGGAAGTGTCTTTACGGCGCGACGCGACTGCTCCTGTCGCCCGATCAGATGCTCAACTCCCCAAAGCCGTGCAACATGTCAGCGACATACCCTCTGTTTTCGCAGAGCGGGACCGAGTTGAACTCTCGCAAGGCGTCGGACCGTCAAGCGTTTGCATACCCTCATTCGACATACGGAGCCCTGTACGTCATCCAAAAGCCTCATGTCTACGCCTGAGAGCACTCGGGTCCATCATACGGCGGTCTTCAAGGTGTTTGACCACTATATGCGAGCGCGAGCGCAGACTCAGGAGCGGGGACTGTGTCCGCTTCGTGTCACCCAGCGGGTGGCGTGACAGGTCACAGACGCGGCTTCCCAGTTGACCTTCATCATCGCAGCCACCCGCTCTCGAACGCATCCCCTCCGGTTTGACGCTCATCCTACACCCCTTTTACTGTCGATTTCTTACTCTTCATTGACGCGAGCATCGTGATCAGGTTCAAACTGAGCATACTTAATGAGGTGGGCGTCCTTGCCCTTGCAGTTTGCCACATCGCTCACCGCCCATGTAGCTGTCACATAATGCCCCTTCACACGACCAACGACACTAGAAGAGTTAGCGACACTTTTTTTCACGCCAGCCCTCCTCCAGCGAGTGCCGATTCTCGTGCGATGTCTCAACAGGTCTACCCGCAGGCCTCTTTGATCCCGCTATCCATTCAACGCCTTCCCGATATCCTTGCTCTTCGAGCAGACGAGCTCGACGAGATTGCGCGCCATACCGTCGAAATAAAGCGCGTTCATGCCACACTCTTCCCGGATGATCGCTTTCCCCTCAAACCTCGAGCAATGCTGCGCGCTCTGACCCAAAATCTATACGACCTGAAAGGCCGCAAATGGCTCTTCAATCACTCCTCTTCACCTGCGCCCTGCGCCTCTCTTAAACGGGTCACCGCGACTGCCTCCTTTCTCAACGAGATCGCTCGTTGCTGTCGGCTTGCGTATGCAGCTCTTCGGCAGCCAGCCCCGACTATTGCTCGCCAGTGGACTGTCGTCGAAACTGCTCGGCCGTCTGTAACGGGCAGCGACTGTCGCTCGTTTGGTCTTGCGCTCGCAGACGTCGGTCCGTCTGAACTCCGATGGGAAGACGTTTTGTGCGACGTCGAGATCGTCACAGACGCTAGCGAGTTACACGAAGCGTTGCAGCGACTCTCGAATAGCGCAGCGCACGTGTTAGCCACGCAGGATGATCGTACCTTTTACCTTGGCCTCGCTCTTGCTGGTGACACATACCAGCTGGCCTACTTTGACTGCGCTGGGCGCGTCCTTTCCGCTGTGTATGACATGCACCAGTACCCCCTGTACTTTCTCCGCATCCTGATGGGCTTGACGATGCTCGACAAGTCGTCGATTGGCAAGGACCCTTCGTTTGTCTCTCGCGGGGGGCAGCGATTTCTCACCGTCGCCAATCGCGAGTACGAGGTCATGGAGACCCTGAGCATCGACAAGAGGATCATCGGTTACGGCGCAGTGTACTGGCGTTGCCGTTCGGAAGACGGTGACGACGTGATGGTCAAGAGCGCATGGGCGAATGTGCACCTGTCCTCGACAGAAGGTGGCCTTTTTCGCAGAGCGTGGACCTCCGGCGGAGCACCGAAACTGGTCTCTGAGGAGACCGTCACCCGTCCGGACGGGCAGCCATGCTCGACTATGTGGATTCGCGATACTCCTCAAGGTCAAGATCGGCGCGTCGTCGGACAAATGCCTCAGCTCGAGCTGCGCCGCCTCGTTCTGAACAAGTCTGGTCGACCATTGAAGGAGTTCTCATCTAAAGATGAGCTGCTTTTGGCTCTCAAGGACACGGTTAGGAGTACGTTCAGCACGCTATAATTCACATCTCACATAGCTGACTACTTATCTAGCGCATAAAGTCATGTTGAAATCGCGCGGCCGCGTCATGCAATGCAACATCAGCGACATAAGCATCATGCTTCAACAGCCCCCGGATTGGCCGCGCCGCCGAGGAATCTTTGTCGATCTCAGTCGCGCGGCGCAGGTGTCTGGGTATGACCTAGAAGAGCATGTCCCCGAAAAATCCAGTATGGTAAGCTCATTTGCGCGATAAAGGCGTGCACTTTACTAACGATCATCTATAGGGCTCTCTGCCGTTCCAGGCATGTACTCTTACTCGGCATCAGGAATCTACCGTCGATCACCTACCGCAACATGACCTCGAGTCCTACATTCACCTGCTCATGTACATATGTGCAAGCTACTCCGGCCCGTCGAACACGCCACGGAAGGATTTCGACATCCGCGACTCACCCATGGCCCCGTGGTTCGACTCAAACGGCGAGGAGAAGTTCAGGATCATGGCCACCCTGCCCGACGTCGAGTTTCGCGGATTCCTCGACGACCTGTTCGACCCGTACTTCGACGACCTGAAGGGGCTCGTCTGCGAGTTGCGGACGCTCCTCTTGCGCAGACCCGACCGCGACTTCACCCCAAGCCATGACGACGTGCTCGAGGTCTTCGACCGCCACATTGCCGCGCTGCAGACTCCACCCTCCCAGCCCGAATCGGGGACGGCTTCGCGCCATGACGTGCCCGATATTCCGACGGTCGTAGAGACGAGGCGCAAGGGGTTCGTCAAGCGAAAGCGCGCAGGCGCCCCTCCTGCCGCGCGCGCTGCTCTTGCGGCGGCGACCCCTCCACCTGCGTCCGCCATGCCTATCGCTACTCTGGCATCGCCCACTAGTCCAACGGCCGCTCCAGCTGCACCTTCTCCTGTCGTGCTCCCTCCTGCTATCGCCCAGTCTTCACCTCCGCCCCAGCCAAATTCGCGAACTACACCTTCCCCTCGACCATGCCCCTCAAGGCCGATGGCCAGAGCTATGAAGCGGCGGCTCGCGGAATCAAGACGGGCTGTGTCGCCCCCTAGCGATGATTCCAACCGTACGCCGGTGGAAACGACGCCGAAGCGCAAGGAAACTCTGCGCGATAGTGCCTTGCCGGAGAGAGCGCTGTCAGCAAGCCCTTGGCCAGAGGACAGGAGAACGTCGTCTCGTAGCAAGAGGCTCGCGTCTCCTGACGCGCCACCGAACGAGCCGCCCTTGCACGCAACGCGAGCCTCCAAGCGTCGGAAGGTCGCATGATTCGCCGCGCGTGGGCGTCCTCAGGCTTCTAAGGGGTTATGGGCTCTGTACGCCACCTATGCGTCAAGCGTCATTGGAAGTCGATGGTGGAGGCGCCGCCTCAGGCTGAGCTGACCTGGTGTTGTGCTCGCTACGGCTGACTACACAACTCGAGCAACTGGTGAGCAAAGGGCGCTCTCGGTCACCTTCAAGCGGGCAACTTCAGGGCATTCCTCCAGTCTTTGAACTACTCGTGCACTGACGATTTCAAGAGTATAGTCTGCGAGCTGTGTACGCTCATCACGCGTGGGAAGGGCCTTAGATCCATCCCATGGCGGTCTTCGACCACCATAAACGAGCGTGTATTCAGGCTCAGGATTGCGGGAATCTCGACTCCTCGACCGGCAAAATCTGAGAGCATGATTTCAATGTCTCCCCGGCAGGCGGATCTTCGCATGCACTTTCGTCGACATCGTCACCCTGCTGATCATTCCGCATGTCTGGGCAAGCGGGAGGCTAACCTTGGTGACGTCCGTCCCACGATGCGCCACCGTCGAGGTGAATGAAGGACGAGCTTGTCGCAGCGGGGACTTGTACAGTTCGCGGGAAGACCGCATAACGCCCAACGACCGCCATTCCAATTTTTCACGCCCGCCTTCCGATGCCCGACTATGTACTCAAGTATACTATCGTACCCCACCATATTTGATCGTCTTATCAATGGTCTACGTGTGCTGTGAATGTCGTCCGTCTGACTTCCATGCAGGACGAGCTAGCTTCAAGGACAACCGCGGAAGCAGTGTCACGCTTTGTTCATATCAACATAGTATTGCCTAACCTCTGTGCGCGCTCTGTTATGCGAGACATGCGGCTGGCAATGAATACGCCACTTAAGGTGGTCTCTTTCAACGTTGCATAGGGGATTTTCCTCATTCTCGGGCTTCGTGCGTGCGCGCGCACGCAGGCGAACTTACGGACTGCAGCGCGACTTCAGCAATTGTTAGAACTTCGCCTTCTCCCTCGTTTCGCAAACATAGACAAGAATACTGTTCCATGAGTACACGTATACAAACTTGAGAATTATACAGAGGAAGTTTGTTAGTACACACGCTCGCCACTTCCCGACAGAAGACAGATGGTGAACTGGCGGAGCACACAGACAAAAGCTACATCGCGTCCGCCCTCGCCCTTCTCTTCGGCAGAGGCTTGTAATCCCTGTCGGGTTTCTTGCCTTTGCAGTTGTCACAGCACCACGCCTCCAATGAGTTGGCGGGCGGCTCCCTCAATTTCCCCATGCATCCACGGTGGAACTGGTCGGTGGCATCAGTGGGTGAAACCTACGAATGACGCGACTGCACTCACCAAGCCCGTTGAACAGCTGAGCTCCCGACACCGGATGAGGTTGCTGTCGCCAAGCCTCAGGATCTCGCCGCACTCGCATGTCATGTCGACAGTGTAGGGCGAGAAATGAGCTGCCCGAGTTTGTGTAGATTCTCGCCGCTCGCGCGGAACCTGAGAAAGTAGTCAGCACAATGTCGCGACTGAAAGCCCGATGGACTTACTGGGGCGGCAAGGACTTGCGCAACGTCAGGGAGCCTGTCCCGATCGGCCGTGTGACCCGCGTCAGAATCATCGTCGAACTGATCTTCGTCGGAGTCGGACATGCGTTCATCGTCCTCGTCTGCGCCATTTTCTGCGTCCACGATTGGAAGAGTTGCGCTATGTAGTTTCGCCTCAACGTAGGATTCGAGGACATCAATGAACTCCTGATGAGTTGGGCGCCTTGACACTTCGGCCAGCAGTTCTCGAAGCTTGCGGAGGAGCGGCTTGAAGTCGTCGAAGAACGGATCAATGACGTCGTCCAGAAATTCGTCGAAAGAATCAACGCATGCCTTGGGCTTGAACGACAGGACAAACCATTTGCTGGAGCCGACTGTCGTCTTGTCGATGTCCAGCCATCGACCCAAGTCGGATTTGGGAAGGTCAAAGTCCTCCCGTGGCAATGCACCTTGGTCGTTTCCAGAGCACGATGAGCAGAGAGCGATGAGAACATAGAAGAACGATTCCAGATCGTGGTCAGATCGTGGCATCGCATTGGGGGATGTGAGGATCTCCCAGGCCTCGTACATGCCGAAACACTGTATTCGAGAGAATTAGCACATCGGGCTTCCATACAAAAGAATCCAGAACTCACACTTTTGTGACCGCGCGAGGGCGGCTGTGCTTGTAATGAATCGATCACTTTAGCGACGCCAAGGTCAACAAGAACTCCGGGGCGCGATCCCCTCTTGCTGCCATCCGAGTCATCAAGTAGAACGGTTGTGTCGCGAACCTGGAGATGGATGATTCCTGCCTTGTCGCATAGCATCTGGTGAGCTTGAAGGTGGAAGGAGGCAAGCGAATACATCAGTATCCTATAGGTCGGAAGCCACAGACAGAACTCACCTTTGACTGCATCCCTGACGGCTCCGATGACCTCTGATTTCGAGGCGAAATCATGAAGTGGAACGGTGTGCCCCTCAATGAGGATGCGCATATAGTCCCGCACCTCGCAATCCTTCACATCGCCGGGATTAGGCAGCCGCTGCCGTAGGGTGTCGGTGGTGATGAGTGCTTTGCCGTCGCGGACGAATTCACAAGCAACGATTTTCGGCATGTGCTCGACCCCTGCGCGGTCTGCACGCTCGTACAATGCCCATTCGGTGGGGTTCCGGCTGCGATCGGCCCATACATTCTTGACCGTGAACTTCTCGTTGGTTTCCGTGTCGACGCAGCGCCAGTATACCGGAGAAGAGCCTCGAAGGTTGTATTCCCGGCCTTGCGGGCCCAAAATCTTGAGCGTCTTCCCGGCCAGTGTGATAAAACGGTCTTCCCCGGTCACTGTAATGGACGGGTCGAACCCTACAGCAGGCTTGTCGAGCAGAGCGAGCGCAAATACGAGATAAACAAGGATAGCGGCGTGTTCGTGCACGTTGGCAGGAATAGAGCGATAGCACCCGGCACGGTTGTAGTACACGATGAAGAACTGCTCCCCGATAAGAGCAAGGCCGATGTGAAAGATTCGATCGTCTTGCTCGGTGAGAATGTTGAAAGCCCCATCGTGCAGCTGCTTGAAGGCAGCCTCCCTGTCCTCCGAGCTGGACTTATGCTGCAGGTCATTGACTATGACCTTCCACGACGCCTCGGTGAGGGGATCAAAGGACGCGCCGTCGGGCTTCCGACTCTGTACACCGTCGGGAAGCTCTTTGTTGCAGAAAGCTGCCGACCACTTGCGTACTCGCGGCTTGTCGTCCGAGCTAAAAATACCATGCTTGACGAAGAGAGCTAGACCAGCTTCCCCAATAGCGTTGAGCCAGTCTGCGATAACAAGCTCCTCGCCTGGTTTGCGCAGCTTCGGCAGACATTGCCAGCGTCCTCGCTCCTTGTTGTACAGTCCTGCGTCACAGACAGCATCGAGGAACAGAGAGTCGTCAAGAGGGAAAGCGTCTTCCGGGATAGCAGCCTTGACGAGGCCCTCGATGTTGAAGTAGGTGGCACCGTCGAGGTTGGCGTCGATGAGCTTGTCGGCTTGTTGATGGGTCCCGAGTGTCTCGACACCCAGATTATCTTGAGTTCCTCGAGTATGGTTGGTAATGAAGCCAGGCTGAGAGGTGATATCGATCTTGGATGGTGTGCGAAAGGCCACTGGTGGGAGAGTCGGCCTCAGACTGTCAGGTAGCGGTGGCCGGGACATAAATCTGCGAGACACGACCGTCAATGTCGAGGCACGAACGAGATTTTGACTCAACGCACCTACAAGCGCGAACAAGGTTCCTGAAGCGTGGGGGAGAGGATGAGATGCGAAGGCAAGAAGAGAGCGATTGCCACCTTGTGACTTGAGCGTTACGATTGTTTGCTCACGTGAATGTTGATGCTCAGTCACGGCGTATGACACTGTCACGCTTGGCCCCGAAGGAAGAAGGGGCTTCAATCATCATAATCAAAGAGAGAGAAGCAAGCACACTACAAGCCTGCACCCTTGAATGCCCTGAGCTGAAATTGAAGCTCGTTAGGCTGAGATTCGCGAGGATGATCGATGCTCTTATCGTGGGAATTTTTCCTTGCCGTGACTAAATGCGTGTAGTCACTCGTCACAAACGCGGCTTCCAACTTGACCACCATCATCGCAGCCACTCGCCTTTGATTTGGCCTCTCCGCACGCGACGCATATTGTACATCTCCTCACCTACCGGTTCTGCTCCCTTGAGCCACGCGAGAGCCGTGACACCAAACCGGACTGGACACTACCTTCGAAGTGCGTGTCTTGCCCTTGCAGACTAACATACCGCTCATCGTCTACTTAGCTGCCCCGAAACACCCTCGAAAGATACCCTGTTGCACGATGGGCAACACCAGCAAAGGGTGCGACGGTGACTTCTACGCCAGCCCTCTCGCGAGTGCCGAATACCGAGTGGCGTCTCTTCAAAATTATCCGCAGACATCTCTGACCCCGCTACCCATACAACCCCTCCCCGATCTCCTTGCTCTTCGAGCAAACGAACTCGAAGAAATCAAACGTCACACCATCGATGTGAAGCGCGTCCATGCCACACTTTTTCCGGACGATCGCTTTCCTCTCAAGCCTCGCGCGATGGTCCGCGCCCTCGACCGAAATCTGTACGACCTGAAAGCCCGCAGATGGCTCTCGGCTCAGTTCTATCCACCTACCCCCCTCTCATCACTAGAAAGGGTATCCGCGACTGCCGCCTTCCTCAACGAGATCACGCGATGCTGCTGGCTTGCATATGCAGCTCTTCGTCTGCCATCATCGTTCACACCTCGACAATGGACCGTCGCGGAAACTTCGCGAACATCTGCAACGGGCGACGTCGACTCCCACTACAGCCTTGTCCTTGCCGACGCTGGTCTGCGCACACTTCGATGGCAAGATGTCCTATGTGACGTCGAGATCGTAGCAGATGCTAGCGAACTTCCCGAAGCGCTGCAGCGACTCTCGAGCGGCGCAGCGCACGTATTGGCCACGCAGGATGACCGCATCTTCCACCTAGGGCTCGCTCTCGCTGGTGACAAATACCAGCTGGCGTACTTCGACTGCGCTGGGCGCGTTCTTTCTGCCGTGTACGACATGCACGAGTACCCCATGTACTTTCTCCGCATCCTGATGGGCTTGACGATGCTCGACAAGTCATCGATTGGCAAGGACCCTTCGTTCGTCTCTCGCGGGGGGCAGCGATTTCTCACCGTCGCCAATCGCGAGTACGAGGTCATTGAGACTTTGGCCATCGACAAGAGGGTCATTGGTCACGGCACCGTATACTGGCGATGCCGTCGGGAGAACGGCAACGACGTGATAGTCAAGAGCGCATGGGCGAATGTGCACCAGTCGCCTACGGAAGGAGACCTCTTCCGAGCAGCGTGCAGTTGCAGGGGTACGCCAGAATTGGTCTGTGAGGAGAGAGTCTTTCGGTCCGACGGGAAACCATGGTCGACTATGTGGATCCGGGATACTTTGTCAGGTCAAGACCGACTGCGATTCATCCGGCGAATTCGTCCGCTTGAGCTGCGCCGCCTCGTCCTGGATTCGACAGGCCGTCCTTTGAAGGAGTTTGCGTCAAAAGACGAGCTGCTTTTGGTTCTCAAGGATACAATCAGAAGTACGTATAGCCAGTTAGATCCGTTCGAAGCATAACTGACTTTTCCCAATAGCTCACGAGACCATGTTCAGGTCAGGCCGTCGCATTCTTCAGTGCAACATCAGCGATACGAGCATCATGCTTCACCAACCATCGAGTTCACCTCGCCGACGCGGGCTATTCGTCGATCTCAGTCGCGCGGCCTGGGTGTCCGGATATGGACCAGACGGATTCGTCTCCGTGGGGTCTCGGACCGTACGTCTTTTACTTGAACGAGCGCGGCGTGAACTTCTCTGACGGCTCTTTACAGGATTGTCTACCATTCCAGGCATGCCATCTTACCCGACAGCCGGACTCCACGACCCATCACCTGCCGCAGCACGACCTCGAGTCCTACATTCACCTGCTCATGTACATATGTGCAAGCTACTCCGGCCCGTCGAACACGCCACGCAAGAACTTCGATATCCGCGATTCACCCATGGCCCCATGGTACAACTCCGACAGCGAGGAGAAGTGCAGGATTATGACCACCCTCCCCGACGTCGAGTTTCGCGGATTCCTCGACGACCTGTTCGACCCGTACTTCGACGACCTGAAGGGGCTCGTCTGCGAGTTGCGGACGCTTCTCTTGCGCAGATGCGACCGTGGCCGTCCCCCTGATCACGAAGACGTGCTCGAGGTGTTCGACCGCCACATCGCAGCGCTGCAGACTCCACCTCTTCAGCCCGAACCTGCGCCAGCTCCTCGCCAGCGCGCGCTCGAGATTCCAATGGCCGTCGAGACGAGGCGCAAGGGGTTCGTCAAGCGAAAGCTTGCATGCGCCCCTCTTGCCGAGCGTGCTGCTCTTGCGGCGGCGACCCCTCCACCTGCGCCCGCCATGCCTATCGCTACCCTGGCGTCGCCCACCAGTCCAACGGCCGCTCCAACTGCGCCCTCTCCTGTCGCGCTTCCTCCTGCTGTCGCCCGGCCTTCCCCTCCTCCGCCCCAGTCAACCTCGCGAACTATACCTTCCCCTCGACCATGCCCCTCAAGGCCGATGACCAGAGCCATGAAGCGGCGACTCGCGGAATCAAGACGGGCTGTGTCGCCCCCTAGCGATGATTCCGACCGTACGCTGGTGGATACGACGCCGGAGCGCAAGGGCTCTTTGCCCGAGAGTCCCTCGCCGAAGAGGAAACTGTCGCCTAGCCCTTCGTCGGAGGACAGGAGACCGTCGCCCCGCCGTAGCAAGAGGCTCGCGTCTCCTGACGCGCCCTCGGACGAGCCACCCCTGCAAGCAACGCGAGCTTCCAAGCGTCGGAAGGTCGCATAACGCGCTGCGCGTAGGCGTGCTCGTGCTCCCGGCGTGTTAGGAGCCCGGTACCTTCCTCTGCGTCCAGCGTCGATGAAGGTTGCCGATGGAGTTGATGCATATGCTGGAGGACTTCAGCGAGCGCCGCCTGTGTACGCCCGGTGTCGTGCTCGCTACGGCTGAAGCCACGGGGATATCACCACGAGCCCGTCGCATAGCGCCACTCAACGGACCACGCCTCTCCTGGAGAGAGGTCTGGGAAGCCGTTTCGTTATGTGTTATGTGGAGAACGTAGAATAGCATCCTCAGCCCGCGGCGCAGAGGGCGCCGGCGCGTCCGGCCTTGAATTCACAGAAGTTCTTGTTCAATGTAAAATACCCCAAATGTAAAATACCCCCAGTGTAGATACCATCGTGTTCGTGTTCGGACTTGTGTATATCTAGAATGATTTCTGTCCCCTGACAATGTATTCGACGACGAAATGTCCGAGGCCGTGATCAGTGTGGCGAGCATGGCAAGTGATGATCGGGACCAAACTGATGCGCCTTGTCCTGAACCTTCATGTCGGCACAACGCATATCGCGCCCTTGCTTCTCTCGCTACATATGCTGAACAGGTTCCATCCACCCTCTTGGTCATGGACTCTGCGCACCGCTCGGAAACGCGCCCATCTCAGCCTTGACCCGTATGATCATCCTTTGGGTCAACATTGCAGGCCAACGAACGACCTCCGTCCGACTTACTCAAGCGCATCTGAGAATGGACCTCGGGTCGGAGGGAAGGGACCAAAAGGCGCGACTCCGGACTCAGGCGCTACCTCCGCCGAGTACAGGTGCGTTGCGCGCTCAAGCTTTGAGTGCAGCGACTGACTCAGCCTGCAGTTGGGACCTATCCAAACTGTTCCTATCGTTCCCTATGATCTGAAGGCTAACCCCATCCCTCTCCTCGACCCACGTCAGCCTGTCAAGTCGAGCAACTCACCGGGGCACAACACTCAAGCACCCTCCTCCCATCCGGGCCTACAAGCTACGAGCTTCAACTCGTCGTCCGGCTCATCAAAACGCGGTCAGATCTGAGTCTCGCACCCTGCGTCTGCGTGGACGACGCGCGCCAATACAGCCCATAGCGATTCCGTCCACGGCCGAATTCTGCGCGCCGTTTCGCAATGCCCAGCGGAGGCGACATTTATCGCGCGTGCTCGAGCAGATAGGCACCAGTCAATGCGAGCAAGACCCTCCTTCAAAGCGCCACGCGCACGCTCTCGGCGCCCGCTCCCTTCAAGAATAAATCTTGCGCTGTCGTTGAACATGTAACTTCAGTCCCCCAGCGTGTCCGAGTCGAAGCCGCGCCGGCTGCGAAATTGTCCACCTTTTACATCCTACATATATCGACGTGCGTAGAGCACCGTCGTGGATGTATGTAGTACTTATTGAATATCCACCTTGCTCGTCTGGTCTTAAAGAACTTGGCGAGTTCCGTGCCCGGCACCCTGATCAACTCGAGGAACTTCATGGTCCAGGCGAGTGGAATCTCGAGCGGCTGCGAGAATGATAGAGGTCTGGCGATTATGCGTTGCGAGACCGCGACTAGTAGTGAGTGCTCTAGCGCTGTGGTAGCGCCTCTACTGAACGTCTTTCAGCACATTCAGGTCGAGTCTTAGAACAATGGACTGACGTACCCAGGCGCGACGCAATGGAAGCCGCACGTTCGCGACCGTCAGTTGAGCGTCAACAAGTTGTCGTCTTCATTCGCCTCGTCAAGATGTTCTCCAAGGTCTTCGGCATTGCTACGCTTGCCCTCGCGACGTTCGCCCCCGCGTCGCCGCTCGCACAACGTGGGGTCTCCGTTGACCCCGCCATGGTATGTCGTCCTTCTGCGCTTCATAGGGCTGGCACGACGCTGACGCTTCTGTTGTGGTACACGCTCTCCTGAGATGGCATGCAGTAGCTCGACTCCTCTTCGGAAGGGCGTGCTCGTGATCCAGCAGCACGACAAGTACGAGCTTCCTCCATTTCCTGAACCGCTTCACCCACTAACTACATCTCAGCTTCGACGACCTGAACAACGGTGTTGGAATTCACGCCGGGCATCGTGCCCATCCCCGAAGGGCGTCGTCTCTTCCCGAATGGTATAGAACATTATGGTATTTTCCTGTTGACTCATGACTCATGTAACAGTAGTATATTATGAGGGCTGAAGCCCGAATCTCTAACGAATCCATCTTGTTTCCTTCCCCCATCTTTGTGTGCCCCAAGTAAGTGTGGAATTATATTCCAGGTAAGTCTAGTCAGTCAATCCACTGCCTTCAATAAACGGCGACACTTGCAAGGTGTGTGCTCAGTACGCCACCCGTCGTTGGTCGCTGACGCGCTCGCCTGATGTACCGTGGACTCACCGTTCCAATTTTCCCTACATCATGCTGTGGGAGGCCGCTTGGGATATGCTGGTCGCACCCTCCGACTACCAGGCGCCCGTGTCAATCGCATCAGGACCGTCGTACGCGTTGACGCATGATCAAGCGGCGGCTTTCTCTGCACCTCAGCGATATATCCAATATACCCCTCGTCATTCGGGTGCCGGACTATTACCACGCAGCCACTCCGCCGTACACGCGCTCTCCCTCGGACGACCAGGAGTATGTCCTCGTGGCGCGCGCAAGTCGTCGCGCCTAGCGCTGATCTCTCGGACAGCGCATGTCTCTCTCGTGCCGTCTGGATCGACGAAGCGCAAGACGCGGGACTCGTCGGAGAGGGTCCTTGAGAGGCGGTCGAGGAAGAGGGGTACGGGATAGTCGTTGAGGCGATGATCATCTGTCGCTCGAGAACGACGCGATCTTTCGTTGGGCGCGAATGCCAGAGGATCTGCGGTGGAAGTGGAGCGCAGCTATTGCAGCTCAGCCGCTGGGGCCTGCTTTCGGAGCTACGACCCGCCGCTCGCCGGTGCAGGACCAGGACTTCTCGCGCAGTTTGGCATACGAGTCGGGGGCGCCTGCTCTCCGCACGCCATCTCTCGTGCGCCGCCGACAGTACCAATGCTACGGAGAAGACGTGCTGCGCCTGCACCCTCGCGCGCGCAAAACAGATGGCGTCGCGTAGAGCACCATGCTCTGCACGCATCTACGTCCTAGGGACCATCCACTTCCGCCGCTACCTACACGCCCACTCACGATCCAGAAGCGCGTCTCGCCAAGCCTCGGAAGAGGAGGAGCCAGCCTCGTCCCGGAAAATTTGCTCCGCGCCCTATCAACGCCACGGTCGATGCATACTGGGTCTGCGTTTCGCACGGCTGAATATGATGTCCGTGATGTCGACCAGAGCTTGCAATGGTATCATTGTACGAGATACGATATGAGCGTCTGTTTGGGGTGTACGCGCTAGTCGGCTGGCCCTACTGCCATAAGTCTCAAATCATCTACATCATACATGAGTGTGTACCGACGACTTCCCGTGATTCCGCTCTCCGTGTACCCACTGCGCCGACCATGATCTTGCACCTCTCCAAATATCTCTCACTCGAAACGACAAGGTTCGACGTCTCCTCCTCAGAAGGTCTACATTGGCAGCCGACCAGGGATGACCCATGCCACCGCTGACGCGCCGTACGCGGACTTCCAGTACGCAGGAGGCAGCAAAGCCAATACCTCTACTAGCGGATCCACCACCACCACCAACCGACAGCATTGTTGCATTCCCTGGTAGAAAGGGCCGAGTCGGCTTGAACCGCGCGGTCAGAGGATAAATTTTTAGGACACAATGCTTCAGAAGGATCATGAAAGTAAGACATAGAATATATGCTACGTAAACACTACACTCGCCGCCGCTTCAAGGGGGGCGTCACCTGCCGCGCGGCCACCTCAGCCTTATGTTCTTCTACGCCCTCTTCGGAGCCGTCCGCCCTCGCCCTCTCCAACCCTTCCTTAGAGCTCACCTGAGTGAGTGCCGTGTCGTCGCTCGCATGCGACGAATCGTGACTCGACCGCGATGACGACGTTGATGAGGATAGAGAGCTCGTCTCGGACGCATCGTCGCCCTCGCGATCACGCGGCGATGCCGGTGGCGGTTGCTCGTCTCGCGAGCTAAGCTTCCGCTTGCTGCCCGTCGGAGACCCCGCGGGAGGGCTCTCGTCCCTCTGCGAGCCAGCCGCCGAATCCGCGCGCGCATCCTCCCTCTCCTTCATATGCCGGTCGAAGATATCCAAGATGAGGCCGTGGCACGGCTGCAGGCCCGGCATGCGCGTGAGGATGCTGCGCAGATCGACGACGAGCTCCTTCAGGTCGTCGAAGTACGGGTCGAAGAGCTCGTCGAGGAATGCGCGAAACTCTTTGTCGTCGTACTCGCACATGACCTGCTCCTTGCGGCAGATGTCGCCGGTGTACCAGGGACCCATGGGAGATTCCTCGATGTCGAAGTCGGGCCGGGGCGTGTTGGAGGGGCCCGAGCAGGTAGCGCAGATGGACATGAGAACGTAGAGGAAGGACTCGAGGTCGTGCCACGGCGCGTGCGGCGCCGCGCTGTGGGGCAGCAATAGTTCGCACGCCATGAACGGCAGTGTTCCCTGCATGTTGGTCAGCAACTTATCGGGTAGGTAATGCGGCCGACGTACCACGTCATGAGAGATAGGAGCGAGGTTCGTCTCGGATTTGCTGTCGTATTGGACGAAGGCAGCGGCGTCCAAGTCAACGAGGAGTCCGCGGTGGCCAGGAGGAGCACCGCGATCACGAAGCATCACGTTGTTGTCGCTGATATCGCAGTGCAGGATACCCCTTGCCTCGTACAGCCGCTCATGAGCTGCAGGAACGTAAGACCTCCGCGTATCGCAGCATAGTTTCTGTCTCACCTACGATAGAATCGGCGAAGCCGCCGAGAAGTTCATCCTTGGATTCAAAATCCTGCAGAGGCCGTCCACACGGCTGCAACACAAAGCGGCGCAGCTCCATCTTCGGTTGGTCCTCAAAGACTCTCCGAAGCTGCGGGCCCTGCAGGACGTCTCGCAGCCAAAGCGTATTCTGCGGAAGTCCATCGCGGCGCAAGACTGCCTCCTCGCAGACCAGACTAACCACTCCGTCTATCCCGGCGGCCTTCCTGAGATAGTCGCCTTCGCTCGGGCGGTAGCTCGGGCTCAGAGCTGCCCATCTGTTCTTGATGACGAACTGCTCGCTTGTATCGGGCCGACGACAACGCCAACAGATTGTCCCCTTGCTGAGAATGTCGCTGATGAAGGAAAGGAGCTCCACAATCTCGTACTCCACGCCACCGACGGCCACATAGCGCCGACCATCTCGTAGGATGATCGAGGTGTCCTTTCCAACGTAAGAATCGTCGAGCAGGGAGAGGCCCATAACGGCGCGGAGGAAAGGCCCTGGTTGCGTGTGGACGTTGAATACGCCGCAAAGAACGCATCCAGAGCGGTCGTAGTACGCGAGCTGGAATGAATCGCCCGCGAGAGCAATACCGACGTGATACATGCGAGTCGCCTGTGCGGCAAACACGCTTGCGGCACCGCTGTGCAGTCGCCGTAGCGCTTGAGGCATCGACTCCGCATCCGCGGCGATCTGCACATCGCAGACAACGTCGGCCCAGTGCGACACCTTTGAGACGCGATCGCTCTCCACGAGCGCAATCCCGACGAACTGCGTGCTGTCCCCATCCGGCAGCGTCCTGGAGCTCTCGGTCACAATCCACTGACGGCATGAATGAGGCGGTCGCTGATTGGGGAATCGCAGGGAGCAGCGGTAGACAATGGTATTCAAAAGCTGCACGGTCTCCTGCGCTTGGGCGGCGGCATGGACGCGGAGAGATGGGGCTGGGTACTTGAGCCATTTGCGATCATTTGCGCTATAGAGGACGTCGAAAAGAGAGAGGAAGGAATCCTTAAGCGGTTCGGGGAGCGCGTCGTCAGGGATGAGCCTGGTCACTATGCCTCCGATCTCGTGGGCCGTTCTCTCGAGACGCGACACCACTTTTGCATCGGGGCAGAAGCGCGAGCGCAAGGTGCAGATAGACGTGGAGGAACTTTCCGAGTGACTTGACGATGCAGAGGCGACGGAAGGGGTTGTCGATACGATTCCAGAACTGCACGTCTGAGCCGGAGATGTCATTGTCATGGTGGCTTGAGGCTCAGTCAGCCCTAAGCTAGAGTGACAGATGATAGATGTCATTACCTTAGACAAGAGGGAGAAAGGTCAGAGTGGAGACCGGAGATTTTGCAGATAGACGCGCGCCTGGATGATGGCGGCAGGGATCAAGTTGCAATGCAAAATGCGCGTTACATAATCTCATTCCATGTGGCGTCGCTCGCGATGCTGCGTCCTCGTGGTCATCACCTGACTGCCACGCGATGTCCTTGATGGGATATAGGTTGCAATCCTCGATCGTCCTGCACTTGCTTTTGGTCCTCCACCGTCTCGCGCAATACACTTCTCCGAATCAACCGCTCTCGGTGCGTCTCTGGCTATTTTTCGCGGACATCGACTGACCTTACCACGCAACAGCTCCCGCTCTCACGGATAACATGCTCCAACCTTTTCCACGACGACCTACCACGCCAATGGCTATCAAGCGCTCGTCGCTGCCTGACCAAGTCAACCTCACTGCACGACTTCCGCGACACCCTTTCAATACCCACGTACTCGGTCATCACGACTACATGGAGCAGATCTACACCAACGAGTTCTCGGGCGGCGCCATAGTCAAGGGCGTGAATGACCTGCATGCGGTTCTTTTTCCAAAGGACGACTTCCCTGCTCAGCTTAAGCCTGCTAGTCTACGCAGGGCCTGTGTAGCGCGGGGCCTGTATGATGATGTACAGAAGTGCTGGACGCGTGCACCCGACTTCTCTATTCCATCGCAGGAGCCGGCCATAGCCAAGTTCTTCGAGGAGATCCTTGAGATATGCAGATCGCTCCTACCGCCCTCTCTACAGCAGGACCTTGACAAGCGCTACTGGACGTCTGCATTCCGAAACGACACACTGCCCGGTGGCGTCATTGACCGTAGGCCTGATGTTGTCGAACTCGCACTCAATCTCGATCAAATATGGGAGAACTCGTATTCTGATGCACAGATAAAGAGCAGCTCCAGAGATACAGAAGCTGCAGCCAAGCAGCTGCATGATGGCGCACTCAACTGTCTCTCCACACAAGACAATCGACTGTACCACATCGGGCTCGGCGTGATACAGCAACTGTTGTTCCTGTCGTGCTACGATCGCTGCGGATGTGTGCGCTCCAGGCCCATCGACATTCACGCGAAGCCTGAGGTGTTCCTCTGGGCCCTTGCCGGCTTGAGCCTGCTGCCCAAGGTTCATCTGGGATTCGACATGTCTATCACGAGAGACGACCTCGGGCATCGCATCGTCACTGTCCAGGCCGTCGAGTACATCATCGTCCAGCAGCTTAACCAGCACATCAGCATCCACGGCCGTGGGACAGTTGTTTGGCACTGCAAAAAGGTCAAGGGCGGCCAGGACGTCGCCATCAAGAGCGTCTGGATAGACACAAGCCGAGCGCATAACGAGATTGATGTCCTAAAGTTGGCGAACTCCAAGAACGTGCCTAATGTTCCGACTCTGGCGGGTCACGAGAACGTTAAGCGCATGGGAGTGAATGCATCCACCGCGACCTTCCGCGCGCAAGTATGCACGCCGGACGTTTTGGACAAGATCGAGGTCCGGGAATACGTGCGCTTCGTCATGGAGCAGTACGGCTCTCCTCTGGGGACCTTTGCGAGCACGGCCGAGCTTTTATCTGTAGTATTGGACGGTGTCGAGGGTAAGTCGCTCCATATTGATGCCTCATCCCTAACTGAAGCGTTCTTGCAGGTCACTTCGGCCTATACAAGAAATGCGACTTCATACACGGAGACATTCACGAGAAGAACATACTCATCAAGGATCGCGAGCGAAACAAGTTCGGTCTTAGGCGCGGACTCCTGGTCGATTTTGAGTCTGCTTGGAAAATTGGAGAGAATGCGCGTGATAAGGCCGCAAAGGGCCTCAGGAGTGTGCGTCGTCAGCTCATTCATATGATTCGAGCTAATATATTTTTACAGTGCCCTGCGTCGCATATGTCGTGCGGATACCTCACCCGCTACGAGTACAGGGACCCTACGGTGGCCGATGACCTTGAGTCATTCTTCTACGTTCTACTGTGGCCCTGTGTCCTTCAAGAGGGTCCTGACGGCAAGCTGCGCACCGACGACTTCGATCTCATGTCAAAAGAGATGGGAAAGTGGTTGTCTAGTGACATGCGGGTCGTCGGCTGTCTGAAGAAGGACATCATGCAGAATCAGCCCGGGGAGCCGGATATATTCCGCAACTTCCTCGATGACCACGTCCACCCATACTTCGCGGGCATGAAGGATTGCCTTTGCGAGCTTCGCTCGGTTGTCATGCGCAGAGACCCTCCGCCCACTCATCAGGATGTCATAGACGTCCTCCAGCGGCATCTTCGCGCCCATCTGCCGTCGGAACATCTGCCTCACCACCCGAACCCTTCGAGTAACGAAGAAGACACTTTGAGCTTTACTGTGGACAGTGCCAAGCCTTCGAGCTCGGACATCGTTCGACCCGACCAAGGAGCCCCGCCTACCCGGCCTAGCGACGACGCTCCCGAAATTGACGTGCACAAGGGGCCATGGCAGCCGCAAGCGGCGGCGACCAAGTACTCGAAAGGCGTGAGCTCCCCTCCGACTACCCGGACTGGTGCCAGTGAGTGATCATGACTGCGCTCTTTTTGACCGTTTTGCATATATTCTGACTGTGCCTTTACAGAACGAACTGTGGATCGTTCGACAACGAGGCGGGGAACACGGCAGTCAAACCTGAAGCGCACCGCAGAGCAAGCTACCGATTCGGAATCGGGATTTCTGTACCAGAGAGGCTGCACCGAATGTCTCAAAAAGGTGAGGGAGGGCGAACCTGGCTCGATCAAGTGCAATGGTCAAGGGTGCGACGTAAAAATTGTGAGTTACTGAAGCCTGGGATCAACGTTCAGTACTCAGTCTGTCTTTTCTTAAAGTTCCATCGGGAATGCGTGAAGGACTTCATCACGGGGCCGGACAGTAGTTGGATTTGCGATGGATGCTCGGAAAATCCGGGGCGTGCTCAGAAGAAGTCAAAAAATCAAAGCGCCACTGACAGCAAAGAGCGCACCGCCAAGTCCGCCTCCAAGGTTTCCAAAAGCGCTTCCAAGACCTCCAAGTCCGCCTCCAAAGCATCCTCATCCACCAACGCCGCAGATTCCGGCCCGACGCGCGTCACCACATCCGAGGACTAAGGAAACAGCGTTGGCGGCGATGACAGCGGAGTAGGCAAGACCCTCTCCACCCCATACTCCTTGGACTTTAGATTACGATCGTCTTCAGAGCTGCCATACAGCCGCATACAAATACGATGTATCGAATGTCATTCATGAATTTAATCTCTGGCTAGAGTGTTCCGCTTTGTATTCTAAGTCCGACGATAAATATGTCTCTGAGTCCCCCGACTTACTAGGACTCGTATATCCTCAGTAAATCTCTTCCTCCCGCGTAAGTTATACGGGACGTTTTCCAGTCCACAACGCTCCTCGTCGTGTTGATGGATAACATCGTGACCAGTCTTGGCGATCATTAAGCGCGGTCTTGCATACGAAAGACTGAATCTACGTCCTAAGCCGTCTTTTTCAAGCCATGAGAGTCCTTCACTGGTGGGATCAATACGTCGAGCGAGACCTGCTACGTTAGAGACTCGCACGATATCCAGGGAGTAAGACGAGGGTGCAGAGATCAGGTGTACACAAAATACAGGTATATACAGATCTAGATGCGGTTTGCGCGCTATCACTCGACTCGTCGCCGCTTCGAGGGTTGCGTTATCAGCTGCACGAACATCCTGGACTTATCCTCTTCTCTTCCATAATCACGCTCTCCATCCGAAGACACCGCGGCGGACCCGGATTGCGAGGTAAGCGGCATGCGCTTGAATTCATCGAGAGAAGGAAATGGGTCGCTGGAGGAAGAGGAAAGGAGGGAGAAACTAGAGCGAAGGGAGCTGCTCGAGCGAACTGGGCTGCTATCCAGAGCGGCCTCGCGCGAGTCATCGCTGGATGAAAGGGAGGTTCTCGAGTCTTTGATGGATGGCATCGGCCGGCTCGAGTCTTTGCACCCGCGCGACGGCGACTGGCCGCCAGCGCTGTCGCCATCGCCATCGTGATCGTCCCGTGAGGCATACTTCCGCTTGCTGCTCGCCGAAGGCCTCGCCGAGGAGCTGCCCGCCGAGGAGCCCGCGGAGGGTTTGCCTCTCGTAGCACCAGCTGAGGAGTTGCCTGTCGAGGGACCTGCGGACGGGCTACCCTCCGATGGGCTGCCCTCCTTGCGCGAGTTGGCAGCCGCGCCCTCGCCGCGCGCCGCAACTCTCGCCTCCATGCGCCTCTCAAAGACCCCGCAGACCTCGTCATGGCCCGCCCGGAACGGTGGCGTACGCGTGATGACGCGGCGGAGGTCGACCACCAGGTCCTTCAGGTCGTTGAAGTACGGGTCGAAGAGCTCGTCGAGGAACGCGCGAAACGCAGCGTCGTCGTATCCGAACATCACGCGCGTCTTGTGCTCATAGTCGCCCGCAAGCCAGGGCCCCATGGGCGAGTCGTCGATGTCGAAGTCCTCGCGCAGCGTGTCGCACGGGCCGGAGCAGGTCGCGCAGATGTACATCAGGACATAGAGGAAGGACTCGAGGTCGTGCCAAGGAGCGCGTGCCTCGGCGCGGGCGGGGTTCAGGACGTTGCAGGCAATGAAGGGGTGGGTTCCCTACAAGCGCGCGTATAAGCCAGTACACGACACCATCAAACGCACACCGCGCATACCTTGCTACAACCCTTCGGGCCCATTTGAGTTCGCTCGTCCACGAAGACGGCGCAGTCGAGGTCGACTAGCAGACCTCTGGATCGAAAGTACTCGTCGGGCTTGCGCAGCATCACATTGTTGTCGCTGATATCACAGTGGAGGATGCCTCTGTCCTTGTACAGACGATGATGTGCTGCGAGCAGTGAGTAGACCGAGTGTTTCCTGAAGAAAGCAAAAAACGCACCTTTATCGCATCGTGGAAGCCACCCAGTAGCTCATCCTTGGACACGAAATCCTCCAAGCCCCGCCCGAAGGGTCGCATGGCCATGCGGCGCAGTTCCATCCGTGGATGGTCGCGAAGGATGGCGATGCGCCCGGGCACCTGCAGAGCGTCCCGCAGCCACAGCGTATCCTGCGGCAAACCATTGGCGTGCTGAACTTCGTCCTCACAGACAAGCTGCGCCACGCCATCAATCCCCGTCGCCTTCTGGAGGAGTTTGACTTCCTTGGGCCGGTAAGGGTCGAACACCCGCCACTTGCTCTTGATGACGATCTGCGCGGAAGAGCCAGGCATGCAGCAGCGCCAGCAGATCGTCCCTTTGCTGAGGATGTCGCTGTCGGCGGAGAGGCACTCCACGATCTCGACTCCGCCCAAGGTCGTGAACTCTCGCCCGTCGCGCGAGACGATCGAGGTGTCTTTGCCGAGGTACGAGTCGTCGAGATATGAGAGACCCATGATGGGGCGTACCAGGGTCCCCGGATGCTCGTGGACGTTGTAGAGGCCCGACAGGACGCATCCGGCGCGGTCGTAGTACGCGACCTGGAATGAGTCGCCCGCAAATGCGATGCCAACGTGATACATGCGCGTCTCCTGGTGGTAGAAGACACACGCTGCGCCGCTGTGCAGGCGCTGCAGGACTTCCGGCATGTGATCGGCGTCCGAGGATATTTGGACGTCTTGGACGTCGCAGGGGACATTGGCCCATGAAGTCACGTCTGCGCGAGGCTCAGTGAGCACGATACCGACGTGCCAGTCCTTGTCGCTGTTCGGTAGCGCCCTAGAATCCGAGACCACAGTCCATTGCCGACGTGGGCGAGGCGGTTGTTGGTTTGCGCAGCGCAGTGAGCAGCGATAACTAATCGCGTTCAGCAGCTGCGCCGTCTCGCGCGCTTGGCAGGTATCTGAGAATACGTCAGCACTCGCCACCTATGGCGCTCCAGCTAGCCTACCTCAGCTGCACAGAGATACTCCTCCGGAATGAAGAAGCCTCGTCCAGAAGTACTAGCGGAAGATCGTGTTTGCTGAGGTAATGTTGGTCGGAGGTGGTGATCAACTCGCGAAGCGCGGGCTATCTTAGGGCCTGTTCGGTAACGGAAAACCAAATCGTGATTCCGCGGAAAACCGAGATATTGTTGCCTGTTTTGGAAGGAGAATCGTGAGAGCGAAATACCTGAGAGAAAATCGTGATTCCCGCGTGAGGCGAGTACGGTGACGCGGAGAGCGGGCCGGGCTCGGCTCACGGAGATGATGAAGAAGATTCCCACGAGGTTACTCTGTAACGAAGTCTCGATTGAAAACCCTTGCCCTCCTCCCTTGGAGGAGGGCCCTTTTATACCTACAGCTGTAAGTAGTCATAACTAGTCACGGAGTATATATACGAGTCATAAGAAACCAGGAGAACCTCAAGGAACTCCAAAGGAAATACCCCCGCGAGGGGTGAAGGCAGAGCACGTGGCGTCGGCTAAGGCCGAGGCGTCACATACCCCCCTCCAGCGCCTTCTAAGGCGCTCTGTAAGTACAGTAGCAACCAGTAAGTAGCACGTATGTATAGAATAGAAACGAGTCTTTGTTTTTGTATATATTTCGAACCTTTTCTGTAAGTAACTTTCGAGCCGTTGTTCTGATGATCTCTAGTAAGTAGTAAGTAACTACTGGTTCCCCTTGCCCTCGCGCCGCTTGGCACGGTTCGCCTCGAAGGCCTGCTGGCGGCGGGCGTTCGACAAGCGCCCCTGCATCGCCTCGATGGCCGTCACCTCACGAAGGAGGAGCTCCTCGTTGGTGGGCTCGGGCACCTTGCCCTCCACCTCGTCCATGTAGCGATGCGCGGCCGCTCCGCTGCTGATGTCGAGGATCTGACGCACCCAGAAGGTCCGATCAATGCGCTGCTCGTCGGGGATGGGTCGGACTTTGCCGGTCGCGAGGTCGATCGGGCACATGTGCTTGCCGAAGTCGGCGCGCTGGAGGATTTCCACGAACTCGGCATAGCCGGACGGGACCTCAACAACGTCGTGGCGGATTCCAGTAGCAGTGATGCCGTCGCTGAAGCGCATGTACTCGACGAGGATGGTGAGTGGGATGCGGTAACTGAAGAGGTATTCTTCAGGGTCGTTGCGCGCGTAGATAGGGATGACGAGGCGGCGTCCGCGGATCTCCCACGTCATGGGAACGATGCGGCGGTGGGCGAATTGGGCCGGGCCACGTGGCTTGGCGCGGCCGAGGAGGAAGCCGTCGTCCTCGGAGGCGCGCTTGGCGGGCGTCGTCTCAGCGGCGGCGGACGGAGGCGCGGTCTTATCCGCACCAGCGTCGGCGGCGGCGTTGACGCGCGGGATGGGTTGCTTCATGACGTCGGAGCGCGCGGCTTCCTGCTGGCGGATGCGGTCGGCGATGATACCGGCATTGTACTTGGCGCGGGCGGCCTCCTTTGCGCGGAGCGCGGCGGCGGTGTCGACAGGCGGCTCGCTGTCGATGAGAGTGGAGGCGGCAGAGCCGGCGGCGTCGAGGACGGACGACATCGTCTTGGGCGCGGGTGCCGGCGGGGCGGCCTCGGAACTGGGTGGGTCGACATCCATCGGTTGGACCGAGTCCGCCTTGTTGCCATTTTTGATCGCCGGCGCCGTTTTGGCCTTGGTGTGGGAACGGGTACCGACACGGTTGACGTTGGGCGAAGGGGAAGGAGAGTTGGGAAGCGGAGGTAAGGTAGAAGTATCCATAGTATGTATGTAGAGAGAGGAAGAGGAAATGGAGTTGGTTTGGCATACTGACTGTCCATCCCTTTTAAGGGGATCCCAGCTAAGCCCATTACCCGATTCGTCGTGAATCTCGCCATCGGGAACACGAGGCTCGATCGTGAGTTCGAGATTCCCTACATACAATTGGATATCCCCGGGGTCTGGTTCAGATCCAGCCGGGAGATCACCCGCTTTGTCAACGCCAAGCGCCTCAAGGTACTGCTTGACCTTCTCGAGGGTGGCAACATTCTTGATCGGGATCCAGGACATGTCGCCTGGCTTCCACTTCACCTTGAGTACTGCATCAGCACCCTTGCCGTGATGTCCCACAATCTCCTCAATTGCCCATTCTTTCTCCCAGGCACCGAAGTCGGCCACCTGAGTCTCAAGGCGGCCCGGAAATAGCCGATCATCATTGGGAATATGAATTCTCAATAGAGACGCGTGGAAGCGCGGGTGTATTCCCCGCTGCTTCAACTCCTTCGGGAGATCAAGAAGGAAGGCCTCATTGCCTAGATCCTTCAGGATGCGGTATGGTCCAATGAACTTGGGAAGTAGCTTACGAACGCGGCCCTTCGGGAAGTTCATGTTGGCAGTTGAGACATATACTAGATCGTTCTCGGCAAAAGGCGCGCGGATGCGGCGTCGATTGGCATCACGTGTCTGCTTGACACGCGCGGCGAGCACTGCGTCATGAGCCTGCATGATGGCCTGCTTGACGCGGCGCGCATAAGTCCGCACCCCGGGATATTCCGTCGTGGGTGCGTCCTCCCAGATCATGGCGCGGGGCATGCGACCAGTATTCAGGAAGAACGGTGCATACCCCGTGCTCTCCGAGCGCACGGAGTTGATCGCAAACTCAACCGCCGGCAATTTCAGGACCCAGTCCGATTGAGCGGGCTCGACGCATTCGCGTATCATCTGGACAACTGTCCGATTGGCCCGTTCAGTTGATCCGTCGGTCTGCGGATGGTATGCAGTTGACATGCGCAGCTCCGTTCCGATCAACTTGTGCAGGTGAGTCCAGAATATGCTCGTGAAGAGCGAATCCCGGTCACTGACTATGTACTTGGGGAGCCCATGTAGCTTATAGACTTCCGCAAAGATAATGTATGCCAGAGTCTTGGCAGTCACATTAGTACGCGTCGGAATAAGATGTACCATGCCGGTCAGCAGGCAGATCACGACGAGAAGGTAATTGAAGGTCCCATTGTGATTCTCGCTCTCGGGAAAGGGACCCGTGAAGTCTATCCCGATAGCTTCCCAAGGCGTGCCAGGCACCGGCAGGGGATTCAATAGCCCGTACGGCTTGTGATTGCTGGGCTTATTCCAAGCGCACGTGGTGCATGATGCGATGAACTTCTGCACATCAGGCACCAGCGTCTTCCACCACACCTGATCACGGAGCACGGGGATAACCTTAGCGGCACCGAGATGCGCGAGTAAGGTGTGTGCTTCCTGAATAATGAGTCCTCGCACGGAGCGACCACTTTCCTTGATGTTCGGAATGCACAGCAGACGACGAGAGTCCTGCTTCAGGAAGATGAGTCCGTCAACCACCTCAAAGTTTCGGAAGTGACTGGGTTCTTCCAATATCTTGGCAAAGAACGGATCGTCCTGATACTTATCCCGGATCAAATCTTCAATGCGTACACCCCGTGTGTGATTGGGTATAGCCGTCAAGATAGGTTCCGTGAGGCTAGGAGGTGCGATATCATTATCTTCGTCACCTTCCGCGCCGACCGAGGTCGAGACACGTGTTTCCTCTGCTGAGGCTGGTGTCTCGCCTGTCGGGTGTTCTGGTTCGGATTCCGACATCTGGACAGCACTAGGTATGTCTATATTCGCATCCTCTGTGATTGGGCTGCCGACGTCGGGCGACGACGGGCTGTCTTCGACAGCGCGCGAGTGCGCGTTCTCTCGGGTACCCGAGGGGTACTCGGAAGATGCCGAATGTGATGTTCCGCTGACATCACCTCGCGTGGCTTGATCGGAAGCAAACGCGTGATGAGCTGGCAGCGCGTTCTGCGCTGCTTCCTTCTCACTCATCTCGTCTTCAAACGCGTTCGGGTCACTTGCAAAAGGTTCGACCGGGTCGTCTCCCCCCTCCAGACGCGTCGCGCGTCTATCAGAATCGCCATCCGCCGCGTGATCGCCCACAATCAAGCGGACGGATCCTTTCTTCGCAGCGAGTCGGCGAACCCAGTCGTTGAAGGCCTTCGTCGAGCCTTTCGGACGACCGCGACCACGGCGTGGAGCTGCGTCGTCCCCGCCTTCTGGCGCAATTGCCAGGGCGCCAAGCTCGGTCACAAGCGGCCGAGTAATGTCCATACCGTCGTAATCGACAGAGCCATCCTCATCAAAGGATGTATATTCAGAGGGAGAGCGCAGTGTTCCAGGTGCGTCGCCCTCGTATATGCGTGATAGTGCATCAGCTAACACGTTATCCACGCCCGGCAGGTACACGACTTCGAAGTCAAACTCGCCCAACTTCTCAAGCCAGCGCGCTTGCCGCCCCGAAAGGTTTGGCTGCCGCAGAAGATGGACGAGACCACGATGGTCAGTCACCCACGTAAAGTGGAATCCCTGAAGTAAGTCGCGATGTCGCTGCATTGATTCCACGCCAGCTAACATCTCAATCTCATGTACAGGATAATTCTGCTGAGTCGTGCTCAGCTTCGCGGAGAAGAGCGCGATTACCGTTCCGGTACGCCAATCCTCCCCTTCAACGACTACTCCTGACAAAGACGACTTAGAGCCGTCGGTCAGAAGCCAAACGCGCGAAGTGGGCTTGCCATCCGGCCCGAGGGTGATGCCTCGGCGTGAGACGCGCTTGCTCGCGCTCACCAGCCGCTTGCAATCCTCAAACGCGCGCTGCTGCGTGAATCCCCACTCCCATCGGTGAGTTTCGCCGCACAA